TACTGAAACGGTTGTAGTAGAAGTCCCCAGTACCCTGTCCGGATATTCGCTGCTGAGATATTCTTCATTGGTTCCTCCATACCAGAACACCTCCTTTATCACATCTTACCTGATTCAGGTTTCAACGGCAGTGTCATCGCTGATTGAAATAGCCACAACCAGTGATAATGATGATGTGAAGTCAAGAACTGGAAGTTCTTCATATCCAACTTTGGTTCCAAGTGGAGGGGTTTCTACTTCAAGTGCTAGTGTACCAGCGATTAAATCTTATGTGGAAACTGGTTCTAGCTCTGGCGTTGTACAAACTGGTTCTGGCACTGGCGTTGTACAAACTGCCTCTTCTACTAGTGTTGGACAAACTGCTTCTTCTACTAGTGTTGGACAAACTGCTTCTTCTACTAGTGTTGGACAAACTGGACAACCTGCCACCACTGCTCCTTCTACAACTGCAACAGTTACATCGTCTCAACCTTCTACTTCCTCGTCCGTCACTGGACTGAGTTTGATAACAGTCACTACTAATGGTGGTGAAAATGGAAAGAGTTCAGGCTCAAGTTCGAGTGCTGCCTCGTCAACTTCAGGCACAAACATTCCACTTATCACCACTTATGAAGGTGCGGCTTCAAAACTTTCAGTACTGGTTTACGTTTTCCTTTCCCTTTTTGCAATCAAACTATTTGTTTAGGCTTTTCCAGGCTAATGGGTTTTATACAAGAGTTCATTTTTCATCCTGCATTCATATCCTTCTGAACGGTCTCATAATATTAACTTCTGACCTAATTTTATACCTTTTGTGTTACTTCGCATGTATGTTCAATACATATAATATTTCCAAAATTATAGTTACAGTATTCGCTGGTAAACCATTGCGACTTTTCAAAGTCTAACAGTGTTTGTACCCCCTATCATGTTCACAAGAGAGCCTAGTAAAATTGCGTGACTCCACAAGAGCAACAATTAAAAAATACAGTGCACAGGCGTAATTATTTCGGTTACAAATGGTAGCTGCGATAGTGATCTACAGCTCTGAAGTGTTTCTGATTACCGACCGGAAATATCTAACAAGACCAACTTCCTGGTTCCGGTGTGCAAGCCGCGCGACATTATTTACAAGTCAGGCAGATCTGTACCCCCTCATGGGGGTACAAAGCTGGCTTTCTCAATGCAGCCGAGTACACGACCCCCCACAATAAAATATTTCGAGACATTTTGTTCTTTCAACCAATCCCCGTCCCTTCTTATCTGGATGTCGCATTACATTACCATTTCAATCAATAAGCTTAATCTGAATCAATAGCTGATAGTAATTTGTCATTAGCACCACCCGAATTCTAGTTAACAGGTCGATTCTTCCGATATTAAGCCATTGTCAAATATTGAAACATAAAATTCACTATCTAAGTTTACACATAACTTTCACCGCTAAAAGCTAAAATGTCGGGTATAGCTGCAGATTGAGCACACAATTAATGGGGTGGCCGTAAATGGTTTTCATCATGGTAGAATGAGAGTACTTGGGAACCACGACATTCATTTAATACAGGTACGCGATTATTCCAGAAAATAACATATTTTTTATCCTCACTATCGACATCTTGGATGCTCCACCTTCCCCCTGCATCGATAAGATGCAAGGTCAGTGATTCATGTTCGATGCCTAACCTTGTAAAATAGCTCAAATGCGAGGGGAGTGGCCTTAAGTGGGAGTGGAGCGGAGGTGGTGAGTGGTGAGTGGTGGGGGCCGAGTCGTGCATAGCCATCATTTTTGGCTTGAAGCATTCCCAACTGGCACCGACCAATATCCAGATAAGGCTATCAGCTGGTTATCTCGAGCTACATGCGATACGGAAGTCGATATTTCAAATTTGTGTAGCATACATACACACCCCTACCAGCATCCATGCTAAACTGTCTCTGCTTGGCATGGTAATTCAATTTATCGTAGTAACTATTAGTAGTATGGATCAAAACTGGTAGATCACAATCGTGTGTGTGGTGAAAAATAATCAAAGCTTATTCGGTAAGGTTTAGCTGTTTAAGTGACATTGTTGGTGGGTGATATTGGGGTAATGCTATGGCCTACTGTGCTTCTTGTCCCTCAACCCAACAAGAAGGTGAAATCTTATCACACAGTCGGTGGGGGCATATTGGCGATCGCACCTGCATACCGCCACTGACTCTCAGCTGGTCACACAATGTCGTACACCCCCCAGAGGATATTTTACAGGTTTTCCCCTGCAGGACCTGCGCCTTGGCCCCGCCGAGGCAGCCCGCGCACCCGTACGCCTCTCCGTCCCGTCCACGTCGACGGTGCGGTTGATGGATGGCCTCGGGAGTACGGCCAATGTCGCACCACCTTCCGTTTTGGAATCCCCTCTTACCAGGGCTTGTGTATTTAAGATTTACATTTCCAATCAATTCCAATCATTTTTTTGGCCTCATTATTTTATCTATCTGTCATTCGGGACCTTTACCTATATTATATTCATCGCCAACTTTGGTTTTTCATCCACTGTCTAGGCCATCCCCCTAATTCACCCGGTCTTTGTTCACACCCTTAACCTCATCCTATCTTCCAATCGTGCTGCCGAATCTATCCGATATTTTTGTACCATAGCTATTTTACGTTGTAATTATTTTTTCCATCATGTCCCAACCCCCTAGAAGAAGATTATCCATATTCTCGTTTGGTTCCAGTTCCAATAGCTCTACCACCGCCACCACCACCAAGCCGTTGTCTGCCAACAGCCCCAGTACCGACGCCGACGCCGACGCCGACGCCCCAGACCACCAATACACCAGAATTTCACCCGGTACCAGTATCTCTTCGGCGTCAGCTCGTAAGGGTCCGCAGCGGGCCCTCACTGCCGACGGAAAGCTCTCGGTAAACACGGGTGCCGTCAACGGTCCCTCCCCCCTGGCGCCCGTGGCCTCGTCGTCACCCACGTCCCCCGGCACCGATTTGAATATTTTCGAGCGGTCGGTCCAAGATAACTGCTCTTGCGGATTCGAGTCTCCTTCCTCCAGAAGACCGCCGTTGACCCGTTTGCGGTCCAAACCCCACCACGGTCTGTCCATCTCGTTGTCCAACTTCAAAAATGAGGATTATATTCCTCCGGCGTTGGATGCCACCACCTCCATTTTGAGCGACTCTACCACCAACTTGGACAATGTTGATATTATCTACTCGTCACGCCGCAACTCCAGCGTCATCGGCCTCAACATGGCGTTGGGCCGCCCGGCCCCTTCCCGCAAAAACTCAGTGTACTCGATGAGCCAGTTGAACTCTCTGCCCAACATCCCCCAGCAACCACCCATCGCCATCCCCGAGTTAGAACTGGCCAACCTTTCCCAGAGCCAGAGCCTCAACCAACCCATCTCCCCCACGTCGCCACCACGGTTGTCGAGCTCCAAGTCCTCGATTCTGTTTTACTCCTACGCGGACTTGATCAACAACGACGAGTTTGCCAAAAGACCTTCCTTCAAACAAAACCTCTCACAGAGCATGGTGCCTTCCAGAAAGAACTCGGCGGCTTCGGGTAAGGCTGCTGTCGGGCCCAATGGGTTTAAAAAATTCGACACCAACTTGAGCAGATTTCTCATCAGTCCCGAGTCCTCCGACAGCGAGGACGACATCCACTCCAAACGCAAGTCTTTCCACGACACCGAAAGTCTTGTGTCTGAGTCGATTGGAGAATGCTTACGGCAAAACAAAACCGAGCTCAGTGGCAGCTCCTAAGTTAATGATTTCAACTAATGTTAAAAAAGAATTAGATATTTATATCAGTGTATATACTATGTATTTGAGTTCAGTTTCGTGACAAGATCTTAGCTAGAGGTAGTTTTTCCGGTTGGCGGTTCGAATGAATCGTTTCAACTGCCATTCTACTTCACTTTCCTTATTATCCATGTTACCCAACCGCATCTCAAACAACTTCATTTCAAAACGGGGCCCGATCTCACTCAACTCGACCGAGTCCTTGGTCTTGACAAAGATGTGGTGTCTGACAGAGATGTAGTCATTTTTATTCACAAACGTTATCACCCGAGAACTACTCTTTTTCTCTCCAGGAGGAAACAAATGCTTCAACACTTGGACCACCCGTTCTCCCAACTTGGAGCTAAACCCTTCGAATATTAAGTGGGGGTAGCTTTCAGAAACATTCCCCATTTCTGGTAAATCATGTCTTAGCTTGACGTTATGAAGAGTGAAAATGCAGCTAGGACCATGGGGGAAATGGTTGATGGTGATGGAGGTTGGCACCCCTCTGTGTTCATGCAAAACGATCATATCATTCATTCCGGATTTCTGACACGATTCAATGAGTTCAGGTATAATGTAATTACCTCTGTTCAATTTGATGGAATTGGGGAACATCAACTTAATTTCCTTGCTGAACTGCAGAAGCTTCACGGACGGGTTTCTGGACGTCGTCACAATAATCCGGGGATCAGCGATCCCACTGGTACTGGCATACTCGTCGTCGACGTTGACCTGCTCACTCTGGTCATAGACGAAGTCTTTCTGGAGGTCCTGGTCTTCACCTAATTCTTTTGAAAGAGGCTTTCCCGACGCCAACGCAGCCTTCAACTGTTGTCTCTTCTCGGTTAGCTTGGCGTCCTGGAGCTCGGCCGCCTTTCTGTAGAGGTACTCCCTTCTTTCTCTGGTCTGTTTGCGGATCATGGTGGGTATGAGATGAGATGATGAGATGAAATATTTTTCGCGGTGCGACTATTAATTATAACTAAATGAGCCTCCAGCAGTGGAGCGTCTTCTACGAAGAATCTCGTTACCTCTCCTACTTAACGCTTTGAACAAGTCATTGCCCGAGGCAGAATTGGTGGCCTGTGTCTGTGTACGCTCTAATGTTGCCTGTCTTCTTATGGCATGCTCGGCTTGTACCTGGTCTCTCTTGATCATATTGGCATTGGGTGTCATAATCGCTCGATCCAAACTATAGGGCAACCCTCTATGTCTTCCTCTGATCATCATGGCAATCAAAATCAACTTGGACACCACCGTAAACTGGCCCGCCAACGAAGTGTTGGCGGTCGGGTACCCCAATGACAACCCAACTGTACCATAAGCACTAACACATTCAAACAATACTGTGAAAGCAGTGAAATGGATATCCTGGTTGTCGAGCTTGGAGTTCTCAGCAATGCAAATGATGAAGAGTCCCAAGAAGATAAACCACAAATCAAAAGATAATTGGTTTCTCAAGTGGTTTCCAATAAAGTTGGTGGGGGACTTTTCATGATCCTCCTCCACATGGTTCTCATCCTTAATGTAAATCCCCAACGACTGTTCTTCGTACACGTTGGTTCTTCTGATGGAAATGGCCAATGGCAACACGGAAATATACATCATGATCACATAACTCACCTGCACTGCCGTGTGAAGTTTACCCAAATCCACTGCCGATAACCCAGCAGTTCTGGTGTTGACAGCATTGAAAAGCCCACACACCACTCGGAACCCGGTGGGGATGTCCAATAAATACAGGTTTTTCAAGTCCAAAATGATAAAGAAAATCCAATCGATTCCATTCAAGGCAATGAGAATACCAAATAACCACCACGTAGGCCCACTAGGAAATAAAAGCGTGAAGCACCGCCGAGGATGGTCCAATAAGAACGCCAAACTCTCCTCGTAAAGCGACATGGGTCTGGCAAACTTGTAGAGCACCCAAATAATGAATCGCAAAAACACCGGGAATCCGGTGTTTCCTGCTATAATTAAAAAACTATCCCACAAAAGAATATAGATGGACTTGTTGAACCCGATCATCGAGTTGGGTGTCAAGGTGAATCCCAAGTCGTTGAAGGTGGTCTGAGCCGTGAAAAAACTCCACCACACTGGAGTTACACCGTAGCTGCGAATCATCTCCTTGTAAGCTGGTTGCTTCAGAATCCACGCAAGATGAACCACCAACGCAAGAACATGAAACCCAATATAATACAGCCACACGATTTTGATCAAGAGAATCATGGCTCTGTACTCCACACCTCCCAACTCCTCTTTCTGTTCGTCTGTCAAGTGCACAAAATTGGAGTTTCTTCCAATGGTTGGTTCCCAACTCAAATAGTTTGTAGTCTTCAGCCGCGTGAGCGAAGTGGTCAAAGTTCGAGATATGCTCGTGAAGAGTGAGTTCTCTTCGTCGAGGCTGGACCGTGACACCCCTGGGGTCAAGTTGAACCGAGACCGTGAAACGTTTCGTCTATGAGTTTTCGCAGCCGGGGTCTCATCGGCTGAGGTTCTGACATCAAATGTGTTGGATCTTTTGGCATATTTTTTACCGCTCTGATCAGTGCTGGGCAAGGCGAGGTTGGACGTGGCCCGCCGCACCTGGTCAACGCTCTCATCGTCGTTGGAAAATACCTCCGACTCCACCTCGCCATCTCCGCCCTCAGACTCGTCTAATTCGTCAATGCCGTCTTCGTCTTCGCCTTCGTCGTTACTGTCAATGGAGTCGTTTTCATCTTCAAGCGAGTTCACCGACATGCTTCTGATTTTCTTGAACCGTTTGCGGACTCTGGTCTTGAGTTTTTGGGTGCTCATCAACCGATGGGGTGGTTCAAACAGAAGCAGTGGGCCCTTTTTGGTGAAAATCGGTCGAGACGAGTCCTCATTTTCGATCTGGTTGGGCGACTTGATGATCAACACCTCATCGTCATCTTCATGCTGCTGGTTATTTTTTTGGAGCAAATTGATCGATCTGTACATCTCGGATGGAGCGATTTCGTGGTTCCTCTTTTTTATGGGCGGTACTGCAAACCGGATGCCTGCATCGCCCAACGGCGTATGGTCATGGGTGGGCTGGGGGGTTTGGATATGGGTGATGTGATGTTGGGGGTGCAGGGGCCCAGTTCTGGTGTCCTGGGAAAACTGGATGCGGCGGTCAGGGGACGGCTCGCGGGAGCTCGCACCAGGTGACGGCACCAGGCGGGGCTGGTGTTCGCGCGGTGACCGCGGGGGCCGGGAAGACTGCTCATCCTCATCGCTCGGTTCACTCATATGGTCCACCTGTGGGTCCAAGTTCGTACTGGCGTCCTGGGTTGATGACGACGGCGGCGTCGTATCCATCACCGTCTGGTCGTCGTCTTTGGGTGGGTCCTCAAAAGTCATCATCGGAATATTGTTATTGTTTCCTAGCTGAAGATTGTAGCCGGTATTGGCTCTTGTGTTGATACCAGTAGAATCATTGGTTCTGGTTCTTGAACCCATGGTAAATGTCCGCCGCATCTTGTTATTCAATTTGGACGTCACTTTGATGTTGTCGAAGTACCGTTCGAACGACCATAACCTGAAAAATAAAACAAACCCGTGGATGAAAATGGGAGTGGTGAAAGTAGCGATAATGTATAAGCACATCTGTTGCCACAACAGAAGAAGGTTTACATCGACAGTGTTGAGGCCGGCTTGTGCTGAAGCTCCTGATGCGAAGAACAAGGCATCGATGTATTTGATATTTTTCACTGGGAATATCATGATGGAGCCGATAATTGACCAGAACACAATGTAAGAATAATGGGCAGCTTTGAAGTTAGGGATGAACATTCGGAGGTATGGAAGTGTCACCGATAAAATGTTGTCGATGAATTCTCGGATCTGCCATGCGAGAGGCCTGTCGGCAACAAAAGGGTATCTGAGCTTCATTTGGAGGTGCAGCCGCTTGGCCTGCTGTGAAATGGAGATAAATTTTTTTCGCAGCGTTTTGACACATTTTTGAGTAATTCGGGACGCACAGAAGACGGGGTTGGGGGAGAGTTGGTGTTGTCTTAGTGGCAGTGGTGGTAGGCGTTATAGTAGTGACGTTATACTATAGAAGGAAGGGATACATCATTTTCAAAGTTTGTCTTTGGAGTTTGTGGTTCTTCGTTGTTCGCATGAGTCGAAAAGCGTCTATTGCAGCCTTTGTTGGAACACTAAATAAACCGTAATTATGGGTGTGATCAGTTAAAAAGTACTCATTTCTGCTCTTTTTTGACTTAACTACCCTGCGGTACCGTCTATCTTTGTGCATCTTGTTTCTTGGTACCTCTTGTAGTGTTTTGGAGATACTATCTTCTGGTTCCTCTTTCTCTCCTTTTTTTGTGGAATTCACAATAAATGCTTCAAAATAATCACCAATCCAAACAGGAAAGATTCACCACAAGTCACTACGCATATCTACCGTCAAGTCACTACATGTACCACTACACCAGGACTGACCCAAACACCCATATACCACATAAACATATACTCCCCTACGTACTCTATTGTCGTAGTTTGCACCAACCTGCATACAAGTCAAACACAGTTTCCACAGCTAACAAACTAGTTTTCATCCAGGCGTCTTGAAAAGCCCGTCAAACACCCAGGACTCGCGCCCTTCCAACCCTAGTCGGGGCACATCTCATCGCTAGAGTGCCATAGTTGTCACCAATATTTTGTCTAAAGTACAGGATTTCACACGTACTCTCGGTGACGTTATGATGAATTTTTTTTCTCACAGTATAAAAGGATGAGCATCCCTCCGTCGGAATTTTTTGTTTTTATTCTATTTCTTCCTTCTTTCTTTCTTCCTTCTCTCTTTCTTTTAATAAACCAGGCCTTAGTTTATCGTCTAATTTTGTTAGAAGGTATGTCAGCTGCTTTATTAGAGGAAAGAGATCGTAGTTCGGTCTGTAGGAGGTGGGGTTAACCCTCTTGGAATAGAGGTTAGGGGTCTGTTCAAGACTGCTTGTTTTGAACAAGCAGTACTTTGAAGACCACTAGTTCATCAGTCTTCGTGTGATGTTCTTGATGTCATCATCTGTTGTCATGTCCCATCTCCATCGCGTCTCAGCCGTTGTATCTATCACTTGTTACTTGTCACTGGATCTGTGATGCCGCTACTGAAAAATTTCTACGCGATGCCCTTTACTTCTCATTTTGTTAAAAGTCAAAAATTACTAACTCGTCCCTAGTAAATTATTATCTATATCGTTGCTTGGTATAAACTTAAAGAATAAGTTCGGCTTCCTACCCCCTGCTGCTCGACTTGATATCCCCCAATTAGTTCTTTGGATTTATACTGCAATCGCTGCTACCCCCAACTGCTTTAGATAATAAATCACTACGACAAGATGGCTAAATTATCTTCTCCTATTTCTCCTCCTATGGAGTCTACTGGCGACAAGATGATAACCTTGGAGACACACGACGGCGTTGCCTTACAAGGGTACTCTTTCGGGGCCCCTGTTTCGGCTGCTGGTGAGGTGGTTTTCCAAACCGGTATGGTTGGTTATCCCGAATCGATCACTGATCCATCCTATGAAGGCCAGATCTTGGTGATCACCTATCCTTTGGTTGGTAACTACGGTGTGCCAGACCGTGAATTGAAGGACGAAGATGTTCCAGACTTGCCCAAGTACTTTGAATCTTCTAGAATCCACATTGCTGGGTTGGTGGTTGCTCACTACACGGAAGAGTACAGCCATTTTTTGGCCAAATCATCTTTGGGCCAATGGTTGAAGGAACAGAACATCCCTGCTATCTATGGAGTTGACACCAGAGCCTTGACTAAGCGTTTGAGAGAAGGTGGGTCGACTTTGGGAAGATTGTGTGTGCAAAAAGCCGACTTGAAGAGTCAGGCTATTATTGGACGTGAAGATTGGACTCAATACTTTGATGTTCCATCGTGGGACGACCCCAACGTCAAGAACTTGGTTGCCAAGGTCTCCACCAAGGAACCCAAGCTTTACACTCCTTTAAAGGATGTCAAATTGGGTAAAAATGGTAAACCCATTAGAATTTTGGCGATTGACGTGGGTTTGAAGTTCAACCAAATCAGATGTTTTGTTAGAAGAGGAGTTGAATTGAAGGTGGTGCCATGGGACCATGACATCACGACCGAGGATTATGACGGGTTGTTTATCTCCAACGGTCCTGGCGATCCTCAGGTCATGGATAAGACCGTTAAACAAATTCAAACCGTTTTAGAATCCGCTAAAACCCCCGTTTTCGGTATTTGTTTGGGTCACCAGTTGATGGCCAGAGCCTCCGGTGCTTCAACATTGAAGTTGAAGTTCGGTAACAGAGGCCACAACATCCCATGTACTTCTACCATCAGTGGAAGATGTTACATCACCTCGCAAAACCACGGTTTCGCAGTTGACACCACCACCTTGTCCAATGGGTGGAAGGAATTGTTTGTCAACGCTAACGATGGTTCCAACGAAGGTATTTACCACGAATCTATGCCATTTTTCTCAGTACAATTCCACCCAGAATCCACTCCAGGTCCAAGAGATACCGAGTTTTTGTTTGACGTTTTTATCCAAACTGTTATCGAACACAACCAATCGGGAGTTTTGAAAGCGGTTGAATTTCCAGGTGGAAAATTTGCAGAAAACTTGGCTGCCCACCCAAAGCAAGACGTCAAGAAGGTGTTGGTTTTGGGTTCGGGAGGTTTGTCTATTGGTCAAGCCGGTGAGTTTGATTACTCTGGTTCTCAAGCCATCAAGGCGTTGAAAGAAGAAGGTATCTACACGGTTTTGATCAACCCTAACATCGCCACCATTCAAACGTCGAAGGGTTTGGCTGATAAGGTCTACTTTTTGCCAGTCACTCCAGACTTTGTGAGAAAAGTCATTGAGTTTGAAAAACCAGATGGTATCTATTGTACTTTCGGTGGACAAACTGCTTTGAACGTGGGTATTAAGTTGAAGGACGAATTCGAAGGTTTGGGTGTCAGGGTGTTGGGTACTCCTATTGACACTGTCATCACCACCGAAGACAGAGAATTGTTTGCTCAAGCTATGAGTGAAATCAACGAGAAGTGTGCCAAGTCCGAAGCTTGTTCTAATGTGGCCGACTGTGTGAACGCTGCCAATGAAATTGGTTATCCATTGATTATCAGAGCTGCTTACGCATTGGGAGGTTTAGGTTCGGGTTTTGCTGATAACGAAGAAGAATTGGTGGCCTTATGTGAAAAGGCTTTTGCTACCTCTCCTCAAGTGTTGGTGGAAAGATCCATGAAAGGTTGGAAAGAAGTGGAATACGAAGTGGTCAGAGATGCCTTTGATAACTGTATCACCGTTTGTAACATGGAAAACTTTGATCCTTTGGGTATTCACACCGGTGATTCCATTGTGGTGGCCCCATCCCAAACACTTTCTGACGAGGATTACAACATGTTGAGAACCACCGCCGTCAATGTTATTAGACACTTGGGAGTGGTTGGTGAGTGTAACATCCAGTATGCTTTGAACCCATTCTCCAAGGAATATTGTATTATTGAAGTCAATGCCAGATTATCTAGATCTTCAGCTTTAGCTTCCAAGGCCACTGGTTACCCATTGGCTTATACTGCCGCCAAGTTGGGTTTGAACATACCTTTGAACCAGATCAAGAATTCCGTCACCAAGTCCACCTGTGCTTGTTTCGAACCTTCCTTGGATTACGTGGTGGTCAAGATCCCCAGATGGGATTTGAAGAAATTCACCAGAGTTTCTTCATTGTTGTCTTCGTCCATGAAATCGGTTGGTGAGGTTATGTCTATTGGTAGAACCTTTGAAGAAGCCATTCAAAAGGCCATCAGATCCACCGATTACCACAATTTGGGATTCAATCAAACCGCTGCTTTAATGTCAATTGACATTGATGCCGAATTGCAAACCCCATCTGACCAAAGATTATTTGCCATTGCCAACGCTTTCTCTGACGGATACTCTGTTGATAAGGTGTGGAAGTTGACCAACATTGACAAATGGTTTTTGAACAAATTGCACGGCTTGATTTCTTTCGGAAACCATATTTCTTCCTTCGTTTCCAAAGAAAACTTGCCTGTCAATGTGTTGAGAGAAGCCAAACAGTTGGGATTCGAAGATAGACAGATTGCCAAATTTTTGAACTCCAACGAAGTGGCCATCAGAAGATTGAGAAAGGAATACAACATCATTCCGTTTGTCAAGCAAATTGATACTGTTGCTGCTGAATTCCCTGCTTTCACAAACTACTTGTACATAACCTACAACGCTGACACTTCAGATGTGAAGTTTGACGAGCACGGTGTAATTGTGTTGGGATCCGGTGTTTACAGAATCGGTTCTTCTGTTGAGTTCGATTGGTGTGCTGTTAGAGCCATCAGAACCTTGAGAGAAAACGATACCAAGACCATCATGATTAACTACAACCCTGAAACTGTGTCTACCGATTACGATGAAGCCGACAGATTGTACTTTGAAACCATTAACTTGGAAAGAGTCTTGGATATCTATGAGCTCGAACAAAGTTCGGGTGTGATCATTTCTATGGGTGGTCAGACTTCCAACAACATTGCCTTGCCATTGTACAGACAGAATGTCAAGATCTTGGGTACTTCTCCCGAAATGATCGATTCTGCTGAAAACAGATACAAGTTCTCCAGAATGTTGGACAAGATCGGAGTTGATCAACCTGCTTGGAAGGAGTTGACTTCTATTGACGAAGCTGAATCATTTGCTGATGCGGTTTCTTACCCAGTTTTGGTTAGACCTTCTTATGTGTTGTCTGGTGCTGCCATGAACACGGTCTACTCCAAGGCCGACTTGGCATCTTACTTGTCCCAAGCCGTTGATGTTTCACCCGACTACCCGGTGGTGATCACCAAGTACATTGAAAACGCTAAGGAAATCGAAATGGACGCAGTTGCCAGAAACGGTAAGATGATTATGCATGTTGTTTCTGAACATGTTGAAAACGCCGGTGTTCATTCTGGTGATGCTACTTTGATTGTTCCTCCTCAGGACTTGGATCCAGAGACCGTCAGAAGAATTGTCGAGGCTACTGCCAAAATCGGTAAGGCTTTGGACATTACTGGTCCTTATAATATCCAATTCATTGCTAAAGATAACGATATCAAGGTCATTGAATGTAATGTTAGAGCTTCAAGATCCTTTCCCTTTATCTCCAAGGTTGTTGGTACGGACTTGATTGAAATGGCCACCAAGGCCATCATGGACTTCCCACTCACCCCATACCCCGGTGAAAAGTTGCCTGAAGACTACTGTGCCGTGAAAGTTCCACAATTTTCCTTCTCCAGATTAGCAGGTGCTGACCCCGTTTTGGGAGTGGAAATGGCTTCTACAGGTGAAGTTGCTACTTTCGGTAGAAACAAGTATGAAGCTTACTTGAAATCGTTGATTTCTACAGGCTTCGTATTGCCAAAGAAGAATATTTTATTTTCGATTGGTTCTTATAAGGAAAAACAAGAATTATTGCCTTCTATCAAAAAGCTTCATGAATTGGGATACAAGATCTTTGCTACTGCAGGTACTGCCGATTTCCTCAGGGACCACGAAATCCCCGTTCATTACTTGGAAGTGTTGGGTAAAGATGAAGACCAGAAGTCCGAATATTCTTTGACTCAGCACTTGGCCAACAACTTGATCGATTTGTACGTGAACTTGCCATCTGCCAACCGATTCAGAAGACCTGCTTCTTACATGTCCAAGGGTTACGAATCCCGTCGTATGGCGGTGGACTATTCTGTTCCTTTGGTCACCAACGTCAAGTGTGCTAAACTTTTGGTGGAAGCAATCGCCAGAAACATTCCTTTGGAAGTGTCGAACCTTGACGCTCAAACCTCGCATACGGTTGCTGAATTGCCCGGTTTGGTTAATATTTCATCATTCGTTCCTTCGTTTGACGATTTTGCTTCCATCACCAAGGCTTCTTTGGCTTCTGGTTTCACATTCAATGCTTTCTTGCCTCAAACCTTGGAAGGAACTAGTATTGTGGATGTTGACTCTTTGGAAGAGGCCATTGACGTTGCTTCTCACGATGCATACACTGACTTTGCCATCTATTTGGCAGGTTCAGAGCAAAACTCACAAGAAGCTTCTGACGCTGCTAGAAATGCTGGGGCGTTGTTCTTACCTTTCAACGCGTATGCCAACTCCAAGGTTTCGGCCATTTCTGCCCACTTTGCCTTGTGGCCAGAAAACAAGCCTATAATAACAGACGCAAGAACCACCGACTTGGCCTCGGTGTTGTTGTTGGCATCCTTACACAGCAGATCCATTCACATCACCGGTGTGTCTTCCAAGGAAGACTTGGACTTAATCACCATGGCCAAGGACAAACAGTTGAGTGTCACCTGTGATGTTTCTGTGTTTTCATTGTTTTTGTCACAAGAAGACTATCCAGAGTTGTCGTTTTTACCAACAGCTGCCGATCAAAGAGCCTTGTGGGAAAACTTGGCAGGTATCGACTGTTTCTCCATCGGAGTGCTTCCATCTATGGTTGCTAAAGCTTTAGGACTCGAAGCCACTCCTGGGGTGGGAGTGCAAGATGCTTTACCATTGTTGTTGACAGCCGTAAAGGATGGTAGATTGTCAGTTCAATCGATTATTGATCACTTCCATGATGCACCAGTTCGGATCTTCAACTTGCCAAAGCAAGACGCTAAAATCGAAGTCACTTTGGACAGAAGAACCACTGTTTCTTCGATTTTCAAGAACAAGAAGGCATTTGGCTCCATTAACCGTGTGAGCGTTCACGACGAAACCGTGTGCTTGGATGGCAAGCTCGTGGTCAGTGAAGCTACCGGAAAGAATGAAGTTGACACCTCCAGAGCCAGATTTGGATCGGTGGTGACTGCTCCACAATCCCCAATTTTGTCCAGGAAGAACAGAAAGTCCTTCAGCTTCGACAACAGAAGACCATCATTGGGTAAGGATACTCCGGAGCCTGCTGAATTCGAAAAGTTGGGTAAGGAATTGGTATCTCAACCTCCTGTGGGGGCTGGTGAAACCAATGCTTTGATCAACTACATCAGAAACAACAACAGTTTCTTGAGAAACTCGGTTCTTTCTGTGAAGGACTTGACCAGATCCGACATGCACGCTTTGTTCTCGGTGGCCCAAGAAATGAGATTGGCGGTGGAAAGACAAGGAGTTTTGGATTTGTTGAAGGGAAGAGTTTTGGCCACGATGTTCTACGAGCCATCAACTAGAACCGCTTCTTCATTCGATGCTGCCATGCAAAGATTGGGAGGAAGAGTGGTGGCGGTGGCTGCTGATGCTTCTTCTGTCAAGAAGGGTGAGACTTTACAAGACACCATTCGTACGTTGGCGTGTTATGCTGATGCGGTGGTGTTGAGACATCCTAAAGAAGAAAGTGCCGATATTGCTGCCAAGTACTCACCGGTGCCAATCATCAACGGTGGAAATGGTTCCAAAGAACACCCAACTCAAGCATTGTTGGACTTGTTCACGATCAGAGAAGAGTTGGGTACTGTTAATGGGATCACTGTCACCTTCATGGGAGACTTGAAGTACGGGAGACCAGTGCACTCGTTATGCCACTTGTTGCGTCATTATCATGTCAGAGTGCAGTTGGTGGCTCCAAAAGAATTGGAAATGCCAGCCAGCCTCAGACAAATGTTGGTGGACAACAACATGTTGGTTATCGAGAGCGAAGTATTGACACCCGAAATCATTGCCAAATCTGATGTCTTGTACTGTACTAGAGTGCAGGCAGAAAGATTCCAAGACGTCAACCAATACAATAGATTAAAGGATGTGTACATTGTCGACAACAAGATTTTGTCTCATGCCAAACAACACATGTGTGTGATGCACCCATTGCCCAGAACCAACGAGATTCGTGAAGAAGTGGATTTTGATCAAAGAGCTGCTTACTTTAGACAAATGAGATATGGTTTGTTTGTCAGAATGGCTTTGTTGGCCATGGTTATTGGAGTTGACTTTTAGACTACCACACCACACTGTTTGGGGGAATAGTTGTGGAGTAGATTAGTTATATATAATACAAGTTCGTTTTCAGTGCATTATTATACAATTAGGTTACATTGGAGTTTTCGCAGCCAGGTATGGCAGCATTTTGATTTTTGTGACGAATTGGCTAGTCCTTCAAAAACATATTGGCCTCCTCCTTCTTCTTCTCGTGAGGGGCCTTGCCGGACTCTGCCGCATCTTCGTTTGCCTCAATTAACGCCCGGGCAATCTCGATCTCCTCACGGTTATCACTATACTTGCGCTCAAATTCCTGGACTTCAGGGTCAACTGGAATATTATCACCATCTCCGCGTTTGCGACGAGATGACTCGTCATCATCGTCGTAGTGGTTGGCATACGCGTCCGAGTACGACTGGTGGTACTCGTGGTTGGGTCCGGCGGCAGCAGCCTCTGCGTACGAAGCATGCCCACGCATCTGGGACCGCTGGGCAGCCTCAACCGCGGCCATGATATTATCATCCAAGGCCAAGTCGTGAGGCAACATGGTATCATCGTCTGCATCATCGCCCGACCTCATCACCATATCGTCCACCGACAAGCCCATTCTCAGCTTGAGGTGGCGGGCATTGGGATTATTGGGTTGGGACTGTAATACTTTGCGGCGCACCACCGAAGGATATTTTTTCGCAGCCGTTCGCTTGACGAGCCCCAGGTCAATGGGCTGTTCTCGACAGTCAGCACAGGCCTTGATGGCGGCGGCCACCGTGTCCTTGATACGGGCCCAGTGGTATTTCTCCGTCACCATGGAGGTGGTTTTGTTGATTCCCCCGTGGGATACCATGTGCATTTCGGTGCAAATGTGGATCTGGCGCACCGGGTCCAGCACCACCTCTTTGTTTCTGAGCATCAACTTACCGTCATCGATCCGGTAGTGCAGGGCGGCCGACCGCAACCGACTCTTTTCTGCCCGGTCAGCCATCGCTGGATATTTGCCGGTTTCGAGGTAGAATTTGATTTTATCAAACCGGTACGCACCGATGGACGGGTCGGCATTGGTAACCAATTCTTTCCCATAAATAATCAGGTCGACGGCCGAGTCATGGCCCTTGAGAATCCCTGCCAGCTTGATACGCCCGATACGTTTGAAGTTGGTCAGCTCGAAGATCTTGCGGATGGCGGCGTTGGTTTCAAACACAAGGCTGAATAACGCGTAGGTGTAGCCCAACCGCGGGGCCCATACGAGAAAGCAGTCAGCCATGGTACGGCCAATACCTTTGCCCCTGATCCCGGCATTGACGAGAAACGTCGCGGTACAGATATGGCCACTGCGGCCAGGGTAGTTGGGTTTGATCAGAAAACTGCCCAAGCACTCTTTTTCCCATTGTTTAGGGCCTTGGAGGGTAGGAGCATCTCCTAAGATCATAACACCAGCGAAATGGCTCAACCAGAACCCCTGGAAACTGTCGAGATCCATGGGCTCGAAGAACGGATACGAGTCTCCACGTTCTATTTCCATGTTGATTTCATCACAGAGGAACGCTAGTAAGCCATCGGGCATGTCGTTGGCAGAGTGGATGGGGTAGATGGTAGCGGTGGTCTCACCGTCTCGAAGGAGGACCGTGTAGCGGTCCAAGCGGTCGGGCTCGTACTCGAGGGCGGCTTTGTAGTGGGCGAGGGCTGGTTCTTCGTCGTACTTTTGCATTGTTTTGCAGCCGTGGTAAATAGAGGACTGAGTATATTTGGGTATTATCAACAGCGCGGGAGTGAGGTTAGCGCGAGCAATCACGTGACAGAGTGGATGCAGAATGTCAGCATTGTACAGAGTAGCATTACAGTATTGTACAGAATGAAAACATTATATCCTTTCTACGGCCTACATGATGTTCCGTGTCTTCGGTGTCTTCAGCGTCTATGTTCAGTATCTATGTTCAGTGTCTATATTTGCCAGGCTACGTGTACCAGGCTATGTGTAGTGGCCTCTAAGTGTGTCTAGGTTGTCTTCTAGTCTGCCTAAAGATCCTTTCCAAACATCACCGCCCCCACAAACCCATCGTGTCCCTTCAACACCGCCGCATTCTTCACATACCCAATCCGCTCGAACCCCAAGTCGTCCCAGATCTTCAAACTCGCTTTATTGGTCTCAAACACTAAATTAAACACCGAATATTTATACCCCAACTGCGGTGCTACCTCCAAGTATTTGCGCCCCAATTCCTTACCCAACCCAAGCCCTCTCTTACCATGGTGCGTCTTAAAACCAGCATTGCACACATGTGAGCACCGGCCGATATAGTTGGGTTTGACGTAGAAGTCACCCAAATACCGTTCATCCCAGAACTGCTCCAGTTCCTCTATTGGCAACTCTTGCACCGATGCGTAGTGGCCCTCCACCAAGACCCCCACAAAGTGGTGGAACCAATACTCCTGGAACCCCTGATAGTCCATGGTCACGTGGTGGGGGTACGTTAATCCTTCATCCACAATGTACTTAAATTCCCGGTAAAGTACCCTCATTAACAGCGGAGGCACTTGGGATGCATCGTTAATACATAAAAGTGTTACTGGCTGGCCATTTTTAGCAAGGTTAAACATAATGGGTTCAGTCACCACAGCCGGGAACTGGTTACCGGCGAATGGCAAATGTTTGACGCTTTCGTAGCTAGTAGAATCAACGGTCATAGTGAGTCAAATTCTGATTTCCCGCGCGCACTTTTGCAATGAAAGAAATCCGCGATTAAAACCACCTACCATCATGGACACCATCAGCAAGAAGGATAAACGCCGGCACCAGATCGTGCTGCGGCTCTCGAAACTTGACTCCACGCTCATGGTGGACCGCGACAGCTTCTACCGGGTGCTGCTTCATAACCTTCAAACTACCCTTGCCACCCTCCAACAAGGCACCAACCCTGAATTCCTAGCCCAAAAACAACAGGTGGAAGTCAGCAGAGATTTCGACCTCACGCAGTTGCGCCTCTGGGAAGAGTACCAGGTGAAGCGCTGCGAGGTGGAGTACAAGGCGGACTTGGCCACCGCCAAGGAAAACCATGATAAGATGATTCGACTCTTGAAGGAAAAACTCTACGATAAGCTCCAGAAGGAAATTAAACAACTCAAGGAAGATAAACTTCTTTTGAACCTCGTGAACGCTAACCTGTGGAGTGCCATGGGCCACGATGCCAACACGGCGGCCCTCAACGCAGTGGCTGGCCATGCGTTGACGGGTCGGCGGTCTCTTCGAAAACGGGAGTTGAGTCTGCGGTTCACCCCAGGCGAAAAGGACGATCTCTCCGACGGCGGCGGCCACTCGGCCGGCTACACTTCCACCGCCGGCAAGCGCCAGCGCCACTATGCCACCCGGTACCTGTCCAACGACGAGATGTCGTCGGCTCCTCCTCAGGGATACTCCCATGCGCATCTGAAACTCAACCAGCAACACACCAGCGGCATGTCCAGCGGCAGCGGCAACGACAGCAACCTTAGTGACAAGGACTACGATGCGTTGAACTCGATCATCATGAACAACGAGTTGGGTGGTACCGGCTTGATACTAGCGGATCCCAATACTCATTCTCGTGCTCACACGCGAGCGCAGCACAAACAATTTGTGGGGGTTCAGGGCTTGAAGCCAGAAGAGTTGAACGACGACTTGTCGATGTTGCGCAACGCCATTGTGAAGAAGGGCAAGTAGGCTTTTGTATAATAATATGTACGTTTAGTGTCAGCGCGCTCGCGAACCCATCTCTCATCAGCGCGGCTACTCATCAAACACTTATGACCACAAACACAGGCCAAGACATTCGGCTCCCGCGTCGAGGGCGGCTTACACCGCTATCACCCTTACGTGCCCGACGGTTCCGCCTACTGCTCGCCGCTTGCCTTACGCTCGCGTGTCTCGTGCTTTTGTACACCTCCGCCAACCCCGACAAACACGTCCACCACCTCACAGATCAAGAGCTAATGCACCGTCACCACGTCGACAGCGCCTCCAAGTTGAAGTTCAGCGAACGCGATATCTCTTCGTCCATTGATGCGCCGTTCCAGCTCGGGTGCCGTGAAATCGACACTTCTCAGCCTCGGCAGAACGCTGCTTTTATTGTGCTAGCTCGTAACAAAGAACTCGATGGCGTCATCAAGTCAATGACATCGCTAGAGCGTCACTTCAACCAGTGGTTCAAGTACCCGTGGGTTTTTCTCAACGACCAGGAGTTTGACGATACTTTTAAGCAAACGGTCCAGCAGTACACCCAGGGCCGCGTGGAGTTTGGGGTGATTCCCCCCGAAGACTGGGGGTTTTCGGGCGTGGACCCCGACGAATTCAATGAGTTCATAAACAGCCAGGGCGACCGGCGGATCTACTACGGTAATAAGGCGTCGTACCACCAGATGTGCCGGTATTTTTCAGGTAAGTTTTACCAGCACCCACTAGTGCGTAAAAGGGACTGGTACTGGCGGGTGGAACCCGACGTGGAGTTCTTTTGTGACATCACATACGACCCGTTTGTGGAGATGGAAGCCCACAACAAAAAGTACGGGTTCAATGTCATGATTCATGAGTTGTACTATACGGTGCCCAGCCTATTCCGCGAAACCAAGGCTTTTGCGGTCAATCGCAAAATCAAACCTTCCAAGTTATGGAGAATGATGGTGAAAAATTTTCGGTTCAGTGGGGGCGTGGATGACAAGGACTACGACATGATCAAGGATCGCAAGCAGATCTTGAAGAAAGTGGAAGATGAGGTGGCTATCAAGAAGTTTTTGGAGATGCCCAATAAAAAAGATCTTTCGGGTATCGACGATGGGGTACTCGACCAGTTCATCAATAAGGCCCGTCAATTGCCCCGTCTTCATGAGGATCGCTTCGACTACGAGGAGTATAATTTATGTCATTTCTGGTCGAACTTTGAGATTGCTCGAACCGATTTGTTCACGTCTGAGTTGTACCAGGAGTATTTGCAGCAATTGGAACTTAGCGGGGGGTTTTATAAAGAAAGATGGGGAGATGCACCGGTGCATTCTCTTGCGTTGGCCATGATGTTGGACACCAAAGATGTCCATTATTTCAGAGATATTGGGTATCAACATTCGACCCTTGCTCATTGTCCTGGGAACTCCAAGTTAAACCAACTACCATATACGCCTGATGAAGCCAATGCGAACAACCCATTTTTCCAGCTGTACAAACCCAATGCGCCTGTGGTTAATGGGGTTGGATGTCGGTGCAAGTGTCCCTTATTTCACAGAGAGATTGAGGATTCGGGATCTTCATGTCTAAAGCAGTGGGTGCGAACTACTCGCGACAACTATAATCCGTATAGGCCATTGGATCTTGATCATTTTCGGCAGAAGATTGGGTCCCGTATGGACCGATACTTGAAGAAGGGCGGGAAGTTGGGGCGGAGCAAGATTCTGGAGGGGCTATAACGGTAGTAGAGAGGGTGTAAAGAGAGGTAAAAGTTGATAGGCAGGTAGAGCAGAACCGATTGGTGCGAGGGAAGTGTTGCTGCTAGGATGTAAAATAAGAGCGGAGACTCATGGAAGTAGTGTAACTAGAAATGTAATATAAGGCCACCATTATAGCCGTTTACTACAGGAGCGAGTGTTTGTGCGCCAGAACCTTTTCATGTGCGATTTTGCAGCAGTATAATTTAACATTTATTCTAATATACAATAAAAGAACTACAAATACAATAGAACTAACAGCTCCAAAGGGTTTAACCTCCGAAACCGTACAAGGTTCTACCTTGTCTCTTCAAGGCGTAAACAACGTCTAAAGAAGTGACAGTCTTTCTCTTGGCGTGTTCAGTGTAAGTAACAGCATCTCTGATGACGTTCTCTAAGAAAGACTTCAAAACAGCTCTAACTTCTTCGTAGATCAAAGCTGAAATACGCTTAACACCACCTCTTCTCGCCAACCTTCTAATAGCTGGCTTGGTGATACCTTGGATGTTATCTCTCAAGATCTTTCTGTGTCTTTTGGCACCGCCTTTTCCTAAACCTTTTCCGCCTTTTCCTCTTCCGGACATTGTATTAATATATCAATTTGATAGAGAAACAAATACTCAGGATCCGCTTCACTATTTATACGTCTCGCACCCTTGGTTTGTTTACATGCTCGTTGTTGTTGTTTCAAACACGCTTAGCCACTTTGTGCTGCATCAGAAGCGCCCCAGATCTAAAATAACCGATTCCACCTCGCTTCTGGCTGGCGCAGCGGGTTTGTTTATGTTGTTTTATGGGGTCGCGGGAGGGAATTTACGCGTGCACCCTCCGCACATCTGGGACCGCGCCCTCGCCACCGCCAGTTTTGGCGATTCAAGCTGCTTTTCAAGGCTGCGAAAGAAATGTAAACACCCTCCACCCTCGCTGATGAACTTGTTTAATTCCAAACAACGTCAGGTAAACCGCGTATCAAAACACTGCCGCTCGCCCCATCCAAATGGTATTTAATCAGACCCGATTTCCTGTTGTACTATTTTCTTCATCATCTTTATTTAATCAATATGGCTAGAACTAAGCAAACCGCAAGAAAGTCTACTGGTGGTAAGGCCCCAAGAAAGCAATTAGCTTCTAAGGCTGCCAGAAAATCCGCTCCATCTACCGGAGGTGTCAAGAAGCCTCACAGATATAAGCCAGGTACCGTTGCTTTGAGAGAAATCAGAAGATTCCAGAAGTCTACTGAACTTTTGATCAGAAAGTTGCCATTCCAAAGATTGGTGAGAGAAATTGCTCAGGATTTCAAGTCCGACTTGAGATTCCAGTCTTCTGCCATTGGTGCTTTGCAGGAATCTGTTGAAGCTTACTTGGTTTCCTTGTTTGAAGACACCAACTTGTGTGCCATTCACGCTAAGAGAGTCACCATTCAAAAGAAGGACATCCAATTGGCCAGAAGATTGAGAGGTGAAAGAGCTTAAGTATGATGATTAGTACTTTAATTCGGTGTATATTAGTATTGTAATGAATTTACCTTTTAGCAAATGTACTCTATAATTTTTGAGAATTTTATTAATCAAAATGTTTTGCAGCCGCGCAATCGAAAATTTCACATCACTCAAATGTCTGCTGAGCTTATCGACACCGCTTCCACATCTCCAGTGCCTCCTTTCATATTCTCCACCCTCCTTCTTTCTCGTGGCCTCACCGCTACACGTCCAATTGACAAGATTGCCAGTGGAAGCTCCGGGGCGTCCGCCAGATTGGCTCTGACTTTGGCCCTCGCCAAACCCACCCGAGTTTCGTGCTTTTTGTTTGGCTTCACCAATCTCCTTGGCAGTTATATGATTTATGACAACGAGTTGGAAAACGGCGCCGGCTTCACCTTCGCGTGGTCCACCTTGTACCTTCTTGTCAACGGTGGGGCCAGCATCAAAAGTGCCATCCGTGGGAGAGTCGTACCGTTGGGATTGAGTGTATTGGCATTGGGAAACGTTGGGTTATACGGAAGACAGTACTTTTGGCCTTCTCGTAAACTCATCGCCTAGTACCTAGTCCCAGGAAAGTGGGAGATAGTTGCGTTCCTGGCAAAACAGCACGATCTCCGTCTGGTTGTATAGTTCAATAAATTGCTGGTCCATGGGCCTTTCTTTAGGAGCCGCAAACCGTCTGTACTCATCAAATATAATCGTTAACGACCACTGCTGGAGCCGCCGTAAAATCCCCACCACGCACCCGGTTCTGTGTTTGCCTCTGTTGCAGTGTATGAGAATGGGCTGGTTGGCGGGATCCAACACAATTTTGAGGGCTTCGGTAATCAACTCGTGTGATATCACCACAAATGGTTCTTTATTTCCAGAAAGTCCGAGTTGAAAAAGCTTAATGTCCTGGTTTTTCAAGAACTGATGATGAGTGTCTGGATAATCTTCAGGGATCAAACACAAGATGGACTTCAATTTGAGCCGTTCAAGAAACAGGAAATTGGTGGTCTGTGGAAACGACGACCGGTAAATGTTGTTCACAACCGGGGCAAAATTCTCCGGCGGCGTGAGCGGATGGTTAGGCTGGTTCACGAGTGACGCCTGCGCCATCTCCGTGGCCTTTTTGTGTTCCCCTTCGTCAAACGCATCGTCGGCATCTTCTGGGAACTGTTCCAAGTCGAGCACCGCAAGACGTGATCGTATCTGTGCCTGGTCGGTGGCGGCGGTAAAGTTGTCTATGGGGTCGGAATAGCTTGAAGCAATGTGCAACGAGGCCGAGAAGTCATCGTCCATTTGGAACGGATCTTCAGAGAAGTCGCCCATTACTGATTTTTGGTGTGCACTGTGATCTATCGATGGGAGATAGAAAAAGCGAAACTCAAGTCGCATTTTCTGTTTTGAAATCTTCTCAACACTAAACCAATGGTATGTAGAGACTGATCTACTGCACCGAATGCTTGTACTAACTGTCTAGTCTGCGTTGTTCAACTTCCAGTCTCTCTTGCAGGTGATTCTCCTTTTAATATGTACGTGTACTTACGTCCACGCCACTTGGCCCAGTATCTTAGATAGAAACAAAACAGGAGTGTTTGGGGTGTTTTGGAAGTTTGCCCGAGTCGGTGAACGGTTGAGCCCGTACGTCAGTCTCGGGTTGGTGGTGATGGCCGTGAAACAGGTCTGGACATGAAATCGGCTGGCGGTATATGCCTTGTACACTATTATATTTAGTACCCGTGAAAGCATTGGATAAATCTATACATTCCTAACTACTAAATGCACATTACGGATGTCGATCATTTGAACTCGTAGGTCTCGTTTATCGAGTTGCACAAAATAGGTGCTCTCTGGTTTCCCACAATCCTCTCCAAAGCCACTGCATCCCATTTGGAGTAGATGGTTTTCACAAACGAGAGATTCAAGTCCACAAGCCCGTTGAACACAGACTTGCCAATGAACTTCAAGTACTCTTTGTAGAAAAGCGGGTTGGTGGGAACTCCGTACAAAAGGATGTTCTTAACTCCAGCAATCTCGAATCTCCGGAAATGATGAAGTCTTTCGCTGTAGAGCAAGATTTTGACATCTCCAGAAATAAACTGCTGCCTGGCCTTTGTCAACTTGGACTGCGACGTATACTCATCAATGGCTGCAAAAGTCACTTTTGAGTGGTTTTGCATGTAGTCTTTCACGTGAATAAAGTCAAAGTATGAGGGTATGACAATCAAAAGCCCATCGTCATAACTGGTGGAGTTTGAAACAGATCCAAACACCGAGTTGGTGAAGAACTTGAACCGACCGTCAGGGTCTTCCGTGGGATTTTCACAGTCAAACCGCTGGAACACTTGTTTAACTTTTAACCCAACTGCGTTCATGATACAGTTATCGGAAGTAATGACTTTCTTGAACTTGACTCTACCGGCCATGTTGGTGCTTTTATTGACAATGTTATTGATGTTGGGGGTCTGGTACTCACTGAAGACGAGTTTTTGGGTAAAGAAATTGGCTTTATCGTTGATGGACCACATTCTGATTCGTGAGAAGTCTGCATCGTGAAACTTCTTTGGAACACTGTTCAAGTACTTGAACACGGTGTTTATATGGCTCCAGTTCTGCATTTCCAACTGGTTTGCGTTATCGACAATCACCACTTCGATGGATGACAAAAAGTCTTGTTCCCGTTTCCTTTTATCTTCATGCTCCAATATCATCGACAAGCCAATTGGGGACGCAAGAATGATATCGGAAGAGTAGAACGATGAGTATAACTTCAAGGATTTTCTGGTAAACTTGATACCTATGGTGAAGAAATCGTTTGTGTTGCCCTTGAAATAGTGCTTGAAGTCGTCTGGTTTGGTTGGTGGTGGAACCGCATCGACATGAAACTGGCCAGTGAACCGTTTTTTGTTTTCTTGCTGTTCGGTACCCGAATACTTTATCAACAAACTGACTATCTCATAGCATGCTTCTCTGGTGGGAAGCAATATCAACACCTTGGGTCTGGTGAATCCCTGATCTCGGTATTCTACTTCTTCTGGGGTTTTACCCAGTTTGAGGTTTTCTTGATAGTTGTGAAGTCTGGCATTGTTTTTCAAAATCAGATCTCTGGTCTTGTAAATATGATTCAACGCATGTATGGCGTACATCTTCTTGTACGTTTGGTTTTTGTGGCTGAAGTATGGCATGTTGATATCTTTGTACTGAGACATGGCATTCAAGAGCACCAAATCCAACTTGGAAACGTCCTGGGATCCTGACTTCTCAAATGAACTCAATACTCTCTTCTTTATGGGAAGATCTTCAATCGGTTTTGTAGTTTCGGTCGTTGGTATTGGTGTTCCTTGGGGAACTTGGAACATATAGGTGTAAGAATCTAACGAATTTTTGGACTTGAATGGCCACTTTTCATCCACATGCCGTTCCTGCTCTTCAACGTACTCGTCGGTGATGTTGTTGAAATGCACTTGAAAAGGGTCGGTTTCGTCTTCATCTTCATCTTCCTGTGGCTCTTCTTCATTATCGTCATCTTCTTCTTTTTCAACATTGAATCCCACAATCTCATCGGTTTCTGATTCAACGTCTTCGCTGGTTTGCAAAGACTTGTTATTCTTCTTGGATATTGCGGGTGCAACTTGGTGGTCGGCACTAATCAACGTCAACAATGCGTCGTACGCTTTTGCTTTATCAGGCACCTGCTCATCGGTTTGTACATCGCTGGAGATATCCTCGGTATCAGGAGTCTCATATCCGTTATCAACACTGTTTACAGGCTCATCCAGAACCTCTGGACGTCGGCTCGTACGCATAACCTTTCGAAGCTGTTGACGGCCCTGTTTGCCGTCACCATGACGTTTAATAGCGACCATTGAAGAGAGTAATGATTTTTTATCTCATCGCGCACTAGCGTAAAAGCCTAACTTCCGGCCGCGCTCGCACCACTTGTAGTTTGCACTTGTCTTACGACCGCACGCCACAGGAATCGCGTGAGCATTTGGGAGCCCGGTGCGCGGCTGCTGGCACCTATCACGAAAGATCTGGGCGTCAGCCACCTGCTGCACACCTCAGTGCAATCGCACCCACTGCATTCGCACCGTACGTCACCACCCCGCCCTGGTCACCAGCGCTACCCCAGAAAATCTGCAGCCATAACCCGTAATCTGTGTGGTTGTGGCTTTGTGGTCCTTGCTAACAACATGACCTCTTGAGCGCAGTTTACAATAGCTCCACCATACAACCGCCCAGCACCAAAATTTAATTAAATGCCTGAAACTAGCAGCTTCTACTATCCAATAAAATCACCATCTGAATTGCAGACTCGATTATCATTTGGTATGAAATTTGAGGTACAACTAAATTAGTGAGAGGAAGAAAAAAATTTTCTATTGTTTAGAAAAGGGGAAACTCGGTTAACAGTTTAAACTCATTTGAATCGGCGCTCTACTACGTGTATCAGATCACCACCTCTTGTACCACCTTCCATATTCCCATAGCTGGCACCCCTTAAGGTCTTATAATCTCCAGGACTTGTTTTATATGGTATTTCCCCTAGGTTTCAGTTCTTACCCCAGCACCACTTGATTCATATATTTCGCCATACACAAAAGGCTGCAACTCCAGTCCCAACTCCTATCTCCTGTCATTCACAACATGAATCCCCAGTTGATACGGTTCACTCGACTGGTCTTGTCGCTAGTGTATCTAATACTCATCATCTTATCTATACCGTTGGCGTTTGACGTGGGCGGCATAGACTGTGGTCTTACGTTTTCCTTCACCATCTGCGTGCTATACTTTGTGTTGGCCACCGCCAGGCTGTTGACCCGCAAGAACAAGTATCTTCGGTGGGTGTCGGTGTTTTACTATTTCCAGTACATCGCCATACCTTCAATATTGACCCTATTTTTATCATACTATAGTGGGAAAACAAAGCCTCGAAAGTTCTACGTGGTGGAACTATGGACCATATTTATCGTCAACTCCACCCCGATTTTCACCATCTTGGAAGGGTTCTGTTCGCTTTTGTCAATTCAAGCCATAGGCCAAACTGTCAGTTGGTTAACCGCGTATAAGTCTGACAGTTGGTTAATTGTGTCATTGATAGCTAGTGGCTCTACCATCACCGGTGGGTTGTACTTTTTGTACAGAATCTACGTGCTCCCCATCACCATCGATTTGGTGGGATCGTCTTTACTTGGGTCTTTGCTCACTTTGACATTTGGACTTGGATTATTTGGAATAGTTTCTGGAAAAGGCTCCATCATCGAGTCATCCTTATTATTTGCCTACATTGTCAGGTGCATTTACGAAACGTTTCCTCAGTTGAGAGATAACGCCAATCAGGCCATAACCGATATATTCACTAACACGCGCTTGCTAGTGGAAATCCCAATGTTATCTCCACACCTTTCCAATACGATCCTGACGATTCTTCCGTTTTTGGCGGCAAACGTACCGGCTTCTTTCAGAACCATGTATGAGTTCTTGAATGTCTCGATTACAAAGCTCCCAATACCTGTGCTATTCAACTTTTCGTACAGAATAACTCTGTTTTTCGCCGCTACCAAAATTATACCGGCCTTGTACCATTCTACGTTGTATCCATCTGCCTCCCCCCCAAGAACTCCATCTTTGGTGAGGTCAAGAGAAACGTCCACTGCTTCCATAACGAGTATGTCCCTTTCAAGATCGGAATCGAACAATTCCCAGGCTTCGATACATTCTAGTCATTCAAGCCATTCAATCCATTCCATCCACTCTAACCACTCCAACCACTCCAACCACTCCATCCACTCGTCCTCAAGTTCTCATAACCTCAATATCAAAGCCAGAAATATGAGACAACAATTCTCGTCTGATAAACCACCTTCCACGATTGTAAGATTAATCTATTCATACTCCCCATGTATTATTATTCCGGTTTATACCCATTTATTGATGCTGTATCATGGTGAATTAGCTACGCACTTGAAGTTTTGGGATGTGTTTGGCTCCGGCGGTAGTAGCATAGTCCAGCTACCAATCCATCCAGTTAAATTCTGGAACTGGGTTAATATGGGTACTACCTTACTCCTCTATTTATTGGAGCTAATGGGAAGTAACAACCATATTGACGGAAACAACGCATTAACTAACCATTGGAAAGTCGATTAGTCAAAATCATCATATACTTACTCCAGATTTTATTGTACAATAACAGTTTTCTTCAATTCTTAATCACCTTTAGTTTTATAGTTACATAATTAAGATGTTTGACTCTCGATATTCAATATTAAAAGGTTCATAAGTAAATCAGAATAATGCAACTCTCGTCCCCGATACGAAACCAGTCATCTTTCCAGACAGTGAAACGATCTCTGAGCTTGACTCTATGTTTGCTTGATATTTCATCATAAAAACACTCACAACAACCTCTTAATTTCAAAATATAAAGTAGTTCAAAAACACATAAAACCTGGCACATTTGACTGTGCACATCTCGATGGCGTGGACCACCAGATTCAGGCTTTGATAAAGGGAGACATCCATGGACCAAGAGTGAGCTCCATTGAGTTAGCTAAACAATTATAGCCAATTGTCATAACTATCGTCTAGAATACACAATTCCATTACCGAATATTTTGTCATTATGACAAGCCACAAGAAGAATGTCCACACGACTTGGTACCCTGGAACATGACGCAAACAAACACAATATCAAGATCCACGAAGGGATCCATCAAGTACTAGTAAGCCAGTTTCATAGGAACCTACAAACATCATGGTTCTAAGCTAATTATGGCCCACCAAACGAACTGATTGGTTCGCTACGTCTCCGCATAGACGGTAGGAGACTTTCCCCAAAGCATTATGGAGCCACTAACGGGCCTTTTGATAGCTTCGAAAACAATTCTTTGTCCATGAACGTAAAGAGAAGAAAAATTTTCGAGATGTGTGAGCAGCGGCCAAATGCCACTGGGATGCGCCACGACTTTGTTGCAACTAAGAGTATATATTTCGTACATTAAGTCAAGATCCACAGAACAAACGACACTGGAAGTAGGCTGGAAATCCAGTCATATATCTGGGATCCAGTTCCACAGTAAACCACTTGTGGGTTAGTCTTCTTGGGGTAAATCAAGTCAAAAAGAACATGGTACAAATCCCTTAAATTCGTACCTTTTCCAGAGGACTTTATAGGACTGGACCTAAATTGAGACTTGGTGAAGCTGCGACTATACAATAGCTTTATGTCTTCATTCCAGCTCTTGATTTCGGCGTTAATTATGCTGGATGTCTTTAAAGATGTGTTGCTGTTGGACAGAACGCTGATGTTCCCCAACCTGACTTGAGTTACCTGGAGATTGTGCTGACGGATTTCCCTTGATAAGGTGGTGAAAAGTCCCTGGAGAGCATTTTGCAAAAGGCTCTCAGGTGAGTGGTATGGAAGATTCAACGCACTAGTAATGCTGGGAGTAATAAGAATCGTCTTACTTTCCTGTAATCTGATCAACTGGATTAGTCCTGAGGAAAAGAGCTTGAGGTAAACCGATAACCGGTCAGTTATCTTCGTCCACGATGCCACCGTGATATTTTCGATGGGTCCAATGGGATAATATAAATTGGGGGTGAACACCACTGCTCTCAACTTCAAATTGTGTGCTTCAGCTCCAGCAAAGGGCACGACCGGCACTTGGAGCAAATGGTTAAACTTGTTCAACTGACTTTCAAAGCTGTAAGAATTGGTCAAGTTCAAGTAGTTTATGTCGTTGGTAATTGGATTTGATTCGATGTACTTCAAGTCTTTTTCATCAAGAATCGTCAAATACACAATAAACCCACGTCTTTCAAAGTCTAACGCAATGAGCCTGGTAAGTGGTTCGGTCGGAGACCCTACCACTAATACCACATCTTGCCTAGCCCCGTTTGCGAGTTTAGGCACTCTTCTCTTGGGTTTGGGAGGCATATTATAAGCAGGTTTGAGCCCCAATTTATGGGCAGGTTGGAATTGGTTATAGTAATAGAAAGCACCTATGCCAATTCCCACAGTCAACAAGCCGATTTTCCCCTTGTGTTTATATATCACGTCCAATAAACTGCTCTTTCTTGTAAACTGATTGCGAGTGCTATCAGATCGTAAATCATACTGCTTGAAATCGATTTGCTGAAGAGCTTCAGCCTGGCTCGACAAAAAATCGGATGCCCTTCCGTAAAAGTATCCGAGAGTATCAAGAGTAGCTTGAACAGGCTCAGCTACCATTTGCTATATTGTTTGAATGAGCAACAAGATTGTAAGAAGGTAAATCGAGGAGACCTGCCGCGCGGATTCTAAAAAAAAAGAACTGCCGGCCCCAGGAATCGAACCTGGGTCGTTTCTGCCACAAAGAAATATACTGACCACTATACTAGACCGGCGATCTACAACAGAAAAAGAAGTGGGCTGAACACGAGATAATTATTGGATGATTCCAGGAAATTATATGGCCAATGTTTGAAATGGACGGTAGTTACTTACAATGGACTACTTGCATTTAAATTGCTTACTATTTCAAAGAATCAGGCCGATTCATCGGTCTACTTGGAAATGTCGAATAATTAGTATTCAATGTCTTTGAGGACTTCAATCCACCTGAAACTCCGAATATCTCTTGGCTATCATGGAACCTTGCCCTATATTGATTCTCAAGTGTATTGCTCTTCTATTGACTTCAATCTCTCTATCTAGCTTTGATACCTCTCTCGCGTAAGTGAAAATTTTCAGTGCGGAGGTTCTTCACTCGTCGGACACAACCTCATCATGAGCGCAGTAAGATTATTACAACTCAATGCCAAAGCGTATACGAGCTTGGTCATTCACAGATCTGCTCTTAGTACCATGAGACCTATGGTCTCCAATTTCTATCATTTTCGAACACGCTTCAGGACACCACAAATCACTTCTTCGATAATAGTGAATCAACCTTTCAAGCATTCAAGAAGCTATTCAACTAAAACTTCTCCTCCGCCACCCCCTCCGCCATCACCCTCAAAGGATAAAAATGCTAAAGGCAAAGTGTTCCTCAACAGAATATCACGGGCTTTCACATTCTCTTTATCAACGGTAATTGTTATTGGTGCTTCTGGAGTCGCATTGCTTGTTGTGTACTTGATATTATCCGAATTATTTCTACCATCTGGAGACACAAAGACGTTCAACAAGGCTGTTAAGCTTGTAGAAAAAAATGAGCAAGCTAGAGCCCTCATGAAACTTACCAGTGGCGAACGGATCAGAGCTTACGGTGAAAGTGTTTCTGGTAAATGGGTGAGAAACAGACCTGTCCAAAGTGTTAGAATGAGAGACCAGGATGGCGTGGACAGATTGGTGATGAAGTTTCACGTAGAGTCGGATGCCTGTATGCATGGTACTGTGTCTCTTGAGCAAATTGACCAATCTTTCTGGAGTTCAGAGTTTGCTTATATTGCATTGGATGTTCCCAAAAAGAACAGAATCTACATCATCGAACCCAAATTCCAGGCCAAGAACTACGTGCCTAAGATCACCCGACAATCGGGGTTCTTGGGACTCAAATGGGGACCAAAGAAAGACTAGTCTTATATTACTTGTACATATAGTCAACCACTCTCATACTCAAATAAAATACTTGAGAACTAAAAACAACATGATCAGCGCAACCAAATGTCCAATACTATTCCCGCTTGAACCATTGGAACTCGTGGTATCCGTGTGGTTGCCTGGTTCTTTGGAAAATCCAAACTCCCCATTGGGCATCTCTTTTAAGTGTTTTTCGTAGATGTCTTTGTTAGGATTAGTCAAATCTTTAACACCTTCTAGGGCTTCTTCACAAGTTCTACCATCTCTCACGGTGATGGTCTTAATATCATATTGGTCATTGTTTGACACCAAAACTGCCCGTTTGTCGAAAGAACATTCCAGTTCTTTACTGCCATTCTGTTTGTAGAACTTGTTGAGTGAAAAAGACACTCTCTGATTCAAACTACAATCTGAGAGAGCTCCATACTTACCTAGTTCTCCATTTGCAGTAATCTCGGAACAGTCCACCTTGGTACATACTTCGTTGAGCAATTCCTGTTCTTTCACCTCTTGAAATGGTGTCATAATGCAAGATAAAGTGGACTGCAAACACTCACATTTGCCTCTATCAGGGGTTTGGGGTAATTTTTCTGAACCATGCCAGTACTTGCTTTGTAGACATTCTGAATTGATAGGAGTGGTTTCGTTGGTGACTTTTATAATCTTCGGACTGTTGGTACCGAACCTCATACTTAAGGTGTAAAAGTCTTCCAAAGCAGTCACTGACCCGTCTGGGTTTTCCTGCACCACTCCGTAGTTTCTTTCGTGTTGAAAGTACTCATATGCGATCCCTCCAGACCACACTTTGCTCATGGTCAACCCATAAAGTGCTTCTATTTCTGTAAATGGTCTGGGATTAATGGTGTTGCAGCCAAATTCACTGAAAAAAATTGGGGTTTGGAAATTGAGGTACTCGAGGGTCCTGTCTCTATATCCGGAAGTAGTATAAGTGGAGTATCCACACCACTCGTACATGTTCAAACCGAAGAAATCGGCTTTGGCCCATTCCTCATCACCACACACAAAGTAGTTGGAAAGGTCAGTTCGAATTCTTGAGTCGTCATTAGCAGTATATCCAACAGGGATCTTTCTGTAACCCTTACTGTGGATGTACTTCTTTGCATCCCGGATGGCTGCTTTCACAAAAGGGGATGCATCTACGTTTGCAATTGTGTTTGTGACTTCATTTCCTGCAATGAACCCCAACACATTCTTATAATTGTGCATCGAGTCAATCACCGCCGAATACCGGTCGTAAAGATCAATGTCCCAAGCCGGGTTGTTGCGGTTGATGGAAGTTTCTGGTTCTGGCAAGTCACATAAAACATAAATGCCTTTGGTTGCAAATGCGTTCATACAAGCATCGTGGTTTTTGTTAGGATCAATATGGTACACTCTAACAACGTTGATGTTAAGCTTTTCCAAGTACTCCAAGTCTCGAAGACAGGTTTGGGAGTTTGCTAATGGATCAATATATCCTACTCCATCTGAAATTTGAAAGTTATCACCTTGTTCCCTCAGTTTTTGGTACGCAATACCCTTGATGTAAAATTGGTACCCTTTTTCGTTGACAAACTTGTTTCCAATGACTTTAATGGTGGAAATATCCTTGGGAGAGGAAGAGCCCGATCTTTTAGATGCCAAAACCACTCCCAACAGCAAGTAAATAAAAATGATGAAAAACTGCATTTGTGTTTACGGATGCTGTTTGTGGTGGCTGCGAATTAATTGAAACTATTTTACCATTAAATATCTATTTTAAAATTAATCTCGAAGTAAACTCGTTATATACACATAAATTAAAACACTTCATAAAGCTGCTTTAGCTCTTTCTTACCCTTACATTCAATCATGAACAAGTCATCATCAGAAACTTTGACCAACAAACCAGCTTTTCCAATTCTCTCGATCCTGTCGAGCACTTCATCTTCACAGATCAACCAACTATATTCCTCGCCATCTTCATTGAGATTCCCATTTCTTTCCAACACAATACTGAAGTAGTTTTTGTCGGTGAACGTATCGGAAATACCATATATGCTCAAGGAGAACATGGACAAAATCTTCCAAGATGAAGGATTGTTCACCTGCTCATATCCTCCCAACAGCTTTTGCAATCTAATCTTCATGTTAGTAAGCAAAAGTAATCTGCCATTCTCTGGATTGGACATAATTGCAGCATTAGTGATATCCTCTGAGCTAATAGAAGCCATAGAAAGATCTCTAGTTAACTGGGAATTGCCATAGGTTTTGTTGTTGTCGTCACCACGAACAGAAGAGTCAAAGCTGGTGACAGTAGACGATTTGCTGGTGACACCTCTATTGTTTTCCATAACAGATGAAGCGATAGTTTGCTTTGATCCGCCAATGGAAGATCCGTAGGAAGCTTTCAGTTTCAACTTCTTTGGTGCTAAAGCTCCTTTTATGTTACTAACATTGGAGACAATAGCTTGAGCCAAATTGTTGGTAGAACATCTAACCATTACCAAAAGAACTTCATTTGTGATACTATTTTTGGCAGAAATTTGAACGTCGAGAGCTGAAGACTGGCTGATGTCAGTCTCAGAATTCATCTCCAAAAGCAAAATAGGCTTGTCGACTTCCTCTTCATATTCAGCATCGTATTCTTCCTTGAAAAAGATCATCCAAGAGCTGTGGTGATCGTAGTTAACAACAATCTTGATGAAAACATTTTCATTCAAAGTCAACATTTCCCATTTTCCGTACTTAGCCTTCCACTTTGACACTTTCAAAGCTTTTGGAGAAGTAGGTGAAATGTAGAAGTCAATAGAGTTCTCATCATTGATCACATTCTTCAATTCTTGGGGGACAGACAAGCTAGCTTCCTTGATTGCTTCCTCATTTCTCGTAGAGGAGTTGGCATCCTTGTATTGTCTGAAGAAGTATGTTGAAGTTGAAGATGGCAATGCAAATGCTGTTCCTGATCCGTTTGCATGTTGAGTCAATGAAGCACTGGATTTAGTTTGCGAAACAGTAGAGACATTTGATACAGCAGAAGCAGCAGACAATGGAATGGTATCGGAGTCTGAGTCCATTGGAATCAGGGTGTTGATGTTCAACTTATGGATGTTCGAATTGGATTTTCTGGAATTGGAAGCGATTTTAGGAGTAGCAGAAGGATGAGCCAAATTAGGGGTTCTGTTGGATTTCTTGAAGAAGTCGAAGAATTTGGATTTTGGCCTTTCATTCTCTTCCAACATCTGGTTTAATCCTTTGTGAACACTGAATGAAGGATTGTGGTTCTTACCAAAGTTAGAGATGTCGATACTAGAAGCTTTATCTTTCTTTGTATCTTGAGCTTCTGATTTTACAGGATCAACATTTTCCTTTTCGTATTCACTTTCAACTTGGATTTCTGCAGAAGAAGAAACCGGTCTTTGTTGAGGTTGCTCATTTGTCACTGGTACACCAGTACGAATATTTTGAACTTGCAAATTGTTCTGAATAATAAAACCTTTTGTTTGAGCAGATAAACTTCTGTCATAATTAGGTCTGGGGATTGAAGTAGAATTAGTAGATTCATAAGAACCAACTGACCTAAACGAATCAGTTGGAGATGAGACTGCCGAATTAGCCGACAGTTTAACGAAAGGTGGTATCACAGGCTGGTTAAACACAACAATAGAAGAGCTCTGAGAAGAGCATGAAACAGATCTTAACTGCTTAGGCACTTGTAAAGTAGGCACAGGAGCAGATAATGATGGAGAAGAAATCAATTCTTTGAATGCGGTTTGTGGGGCGTCAGGTGAAGAGTCTGACTTTGGAGTGGACTTTTTATGTAAGCCTTCAGTGTCACTTTCTTCACTATGAGAAGAGTCCGATAACATGTCAATACCCAAACCAGCCATTTTAATTTGAGGGCTCTCATTCAACTTCATCTGAAAGTAAGAGTTGATAGGTGACAGAGAGTCAGTAAGTGGAAATATGGTGGATAACTTTTTCACCCATTCGGCCAAGAAGTCATCATCTGGGCAATTGATAATAAGTTTATCAGTCAGTCTGGAATTATTTTTGGCTGTGAAGCGGATAGACTTCAAGATTAACTGACAGTTAGAGTTGCTATAGCTCAAACTAAGCTCATTGAGCCGAAATGGTGGGAACATCAATGTTCTCGAAGAGTTATCGGGTGAAATGCACAACAAAGCTAAGGCATTGTAGGGTTGACACGATAAGCCATTCAAGTTCACCAACAACAATTCAATGTGCGTCTTATGACGAGCGTTCTCAAGCACCAAACGGGTGTTCTTTGATCGCTCCACAATTTGGGTGACTTTGAAGTAGCTGCAAACATTGTCCGCATAATTCTTGATGTTATTGGAATCACCGAAAAGTTGCACTTGATTAAAGTTTATATTCACGAGCCTTGAACTGTCGCTGTATTCCACATAGTCCTGGAGGCATTTGTCACATTCGTCTCGGTAGCTCTTCAATTGCTCAACAATATATGGATTTCTGACGATTTTGACAGCACTGTCAATGAACTTGATGTAGTTTGAAAGATGCATGATAGGCTTACTGAAGTAAATGCTATCGTTGGGATAGCTCTTAGCCAAATCTGGCGACTCAAGACATGCTCTGAATTTGTTGAATAGGATCAAAACGTCGTCATTCAACCACATGAGAAATTCATTGATGAAGTGCTTGAAAACCTGTTTCTCGTCATTAAGATCATTAATGGCCTCAAGACTTTTGGAACATTGATCGAGGAGCTTTAATAAGGTTTTGTTTTTGGTAAACAAACCCCTGATAAAGGAGGTGATGGAAGTTTGAGAAGAGTTGGAGGGTCTAAGAATACCCAAGATTTGAATCAAGTTGTTATTTTCATCGTTTTCCACTTCCACAAGTTGAGTGATTAATTCCAGAGGAGTGTCTGAGGACGACACTATAGCAACAGGAGCCGAAGAAACAGTTGGGGCCATGATGAAGGAAGGTCCAAACTCTGCTTGAAAAAAAAATTCACTGCAAGGAAAGCGTTTGGAATAGAAATGCAAGGAGCCTGGTAGTACTTATAACTTGCGACGCCGAAGTTGGAAAAACCTATGGGATGAAGTGAAAGCTGTAAAATATCGGTACTTAGCAAAAAATAATTTGCAAGGAACGGTGAAATATTTATTTATTTCCAAAGTCAAAGCCTAATTCACGATTCTGATTCTCAGATTACCGAATGAGCCTCGAGAAAACATTGCTGTTGGGCAGGAAACGAAAAGGTTACCCCAAACAAACATTCGTGTGAAATACGCTTTAAAGCAGACGGTTTGCGAACCTTGCAGCCAATCCCTGTACGCAGCCCGAATTTACCCAGTTTCAGCTAACATTTGGTGTCGCAGGAGCAGCAATTTGGAGATGAGCGCCAGACAGAAGCGCCCGTCGCGTTTCGCGTCGCACTAAAATACAATAGACGTGCGTTGAGCCAACAATACGCGGTACCTCATCGGCAGCACGAATTGTGGGAGTATGGAAAAACAGAAGGGGATCAGGCAACAAGCGGTCGCGAAACCGCTCGCATATCCCGGGAGAACATTAAGGTTTTACCTAGTCGCCCCCTTCTCGCTCACGCACCACCCAAGGGCGTTTAGAATCCCATCGCCTGTCTTCCCACTAACCATTTGCACGCCCCACGCGGTGGATGGCGGAACGCGGCGTTGGAGGTCGAGCTGCGCAAGCAAATTTGTCCTGAGCGCTGCCGGGTCCGGTACCAAGTCCACTTTATTCATGAGTATGAGCAATGCCACATCTGAGCCCACTTTGTTTTGGGTGAGAATTTTGTGCTCGAGTTCTTCAAAAGACTCCTTGATGCGTTCCACTGCCAAACAGTCCACCACCCATATAATGATGTTTGTCTTTTCAAAATAGTTTCCCCAGAACGGCCGGAGACTGGACTGCCCGCCCACGTCCCAGATGTTTAACGTGTAACCACCGTGAGTGATGGTACTGATGTTGAAGCCCATGGTGGGAGACACTTCTGTGATGTCTTCATGGAGCCATTGTTTGACGATGGTGGTCTTGCCGGCGTTATCGAGTCCCAACACAAGCACACGTAGCTCCCTATCTTTGGACTTTTGTTTTCTGATGATGCTGAGGAGTCCCATAGCCAACACAGAGATACAATATCTGAAAATCAGTCGCACCGCATCAAGTCGCACCGCTGCGAAAACTGATCGAGTGCAACACCTGAACATATGGTAACAGGTACGCCTAGAGCAAAGCGACAACCGCTGATATTCGACGTACGTGTCGTGAAGCGCGAGAAGATCGAGATGGACTTTGTCGACTTGACAATGTCTGATCTGGTGCAAGGTGAGGGTGATAGACCTGATAGCGCGTATGTGAAGATGGAGCGCGAGAGTGAACTTCAGATCAAGAGTGAGTTTAGTGACACAGAGGATGATGAGAGCTCCGAACATGAGGGCGAGCTCCTTGAGCTCGACTACTATAACTCCAGTGAAGATGAAGACTACGTGCCGTGGAACGAGAATGACATCGATCTCAACTACCATTCGCAGGACGAAAACGAATATTGTTTCCATATCCTCAGCGACATTTCGTCCTCCAGCAAGGGCACAAGGTTGGAAATAGATCACATTAAGCATATGGAACTTAGGAGCGTCTCAGAAGTGTGCTGCCCCTTCTGTTTTGTGTTCTTGGGTGGAGTTCCGGAGGCTTCTCGTATAGAGCATTCAAATCAGTGCTTGGAACAAAGAGCTTCAACTACCGTACAAACCACAAGACCAAGTCGAATGCCCATGAACAGGGATGCTCCCATGCTTAAGAAAGAACCACTGTTCAAAAACAGAGAAGACCAGGTTCCTGCTCCAAAGTCACTTGCACCACCTAAATCTCTCCCTAACAAAAGCAAAAGAAAGCCGATACCTGAGTTGAAAACCTTAACATTCCCTGTTACGGGTACCCACTCATATTCGATATCAATGGATGCATTCAACTACTCACCCGATCCAGAGATGGAGATATACTTTCTCAGTCACTTCCACGCAGACCACTACGGAGGCATCAGCAAAAAGTGGTGCTATGAACGAGTGTTTGAAAGTGTTGATGACTTCAAAGATGAGTCAATGTATCGACCTTTGATCTATTGTAGTAAGACTACTGGAAATCTTTTGACGTTGAAGTTTGGAATTGATCCCAGGTTCATCGAATCTCTTGAGTTTGATGTGCTATACCGAGTAATGCGGTTTGACTCGATGTCCCCAGCGTTTGAGAAGGTCAGTGAAATGGACATTGAAGGAATCTATGTCACCATGATGGAGGCAAACCACTGTCCGGGCTCAGGAATCTTCTTATTTGAATCGAAGTCTACAATGGCATCTTCCAAGAAGTACTTGCATTGTGGAGACTTTCGTGTCAATAAACAAATGATTCAACATAAATCTCTCGAAAGGTTTACCCTTCCGAATTCCACTGATGTTCTCGATAAAGTGTATTTGGATACCACCTACTTGTCCTTCCAGCGGCGTTTTCCCAAGCAGGATCTCGTTTGCTCGGAAGCTGCTCAGTTGTTTCATGATTTATGTCAAGGCAATAAACCCGGATTGATGACAGAGTGTTTCGGCCTTGGGAGACAATCCAGAATCACGGAGTTTGGGTCCAAGTCATCTAAACCAAAGAAGAAGTTTTTGATCTTGGTGGGAAAGTATATTATTGGTAAGGAAAGGTTAGCAATCGCCATTCTGAAGAAGATAAACTGTCCCATATACGTTTCCAACGCTAAAAGCCGAGGCAATCATGCAGAAGTTGTGGATGCCTGTGAGATAGAGTATTTCAAAGATCACATCATTAAGAACGACCTAGGAGACGATAGTTCTGACTGCATTATTCATCTTGTTTCAATGGAGGTTGTGGAGGCTTTAGAAAACGTTTCGAACTACTTCAAACACAACAAGTATCATGAACACTTTGAGAGGTGTATTGCATTGCGACCTACCGGATGGCTGCATGCCTATGACGAACTGACGGGATTTCGTTTCGAACAGTTTGAATCAACCGATCCAATCAATACTTCTGCTGAAAACCTAAACAATGGCTTATCGCAAATATGTGAAACCTGCTTCAACGATACTCCATTTTCCTATCAAATCCCTATAGATGCTAAAAAGGCATTCAATAAGGGCCAATCAAAGCGAAACGACCTTCGTATTTACTCCTTCCCCTACAGTGAACACTCTTCATACCGAGAGCTCACTTACTTTGTATTATTCCTTAACATCGATCAAATCATCCCCACTGTCAACCAAGACAAATGCCCAAAGATCATGGAAAACCATATCGTCTATTGGAACATCATCAAGGCACTTCGGGCTGGCAGTCGACCAACGCCCAAAACTAATAGTATGACTTATGACAAACTCCCTTGTCTATCTATTGATCCCCACATTCGTGAAAAATTCCAGCAGTTGACGATTGACAACTTTTGAAATATTGAAATATTTGTGCAATAATATACAAGCCAAAATCTATAGAATCTATTCCGGATTAACATATGAGTTTAGAAGCTTTTCACAGTTTTCGCCTTTGCATCCTGACCATGTCACGACAAAGTCACCTTTGGCGTAGGTCAAGTGGTCTCCTCTAAAGCCAACAGCACGCGGGTCTCTGGCAGCTATGGTTTTGGCAGGAATGATAGCAGATCTACTCAAGCAATACGGATGCCATTGCAAGATATGTGTCAAGGCTGAGTCGGGTCCGTAGGGGAAGTTAGGATAGTCAAAAAACAAGTCTGACGACCAGAACTCGAGAATCGACCTTCCCACCTCATCGTTCTTCAACAAAAACGATTCTGTTTCAACCTTTTGGTCTGATTGTGTTACAATTAACCGAACGTGAGAAGCCTTGGACGTCTTGTATGTTTTGATGATTCCGTTCTGTGGGTTAATGGGCTGTTCTCGTATCATTATTGGGGATAAGGACTCTTCCTTCAATACGTAGTCCCACAAGTTGATATTCAAGTCCATAATTAACCCGTCTTCGTCCAAATACCAGATCCACTTGGCGTGAGGGAACGCAAACATGGCAGCCCGTACACAAAAGGTCCGGATCCACTTTCTTTTGTCTTCGTTATCAAAGTTAGCGAAAGAGTTGATTCTGGGTAAGAATTCCTGATACCACCGCACATACACCCCGTAGTTATTTTGGTGGGCGTAGTCGATTCTATTTTGCACAATGGATGTCAAGCCTGCCAATGAGTACTTTTCAAAATCGATGGCGGTCACGACGATGATTTCGGGATAATTTTTCATCGATTTGGGCTTGTAAACAATCTTGTCACCATTCTTAAAGGTATTTCTGGCGGCAGAAAGCCCCAGAACTGCATTTTCTTCCTTTTCTTTGGCAAGCTGAACAGAGGGGTTTGGGTCATCATACTTATTCAACGACCTAATGATACTGACGTCGATTTCAGGATGGTCGGCGCTTCTGACCCTTGATTCCTCAACCAACTTCTTTCTACCTAATTCTTGCAACAACTGGGCGTGCTCGACTGGAGGAAAGATGTACTTCGACGACGTTGTAACCATGTTAGGGCTTGTGAACGGATGTGGAGCTGGATACCGCCTGTGGTATTTTTTTTGCATGAAATTCATGGGAATTCCAAGTGGATTAAACCATAAGAAAATCACCACCAAAGTGGTTATCCAAAGAGACCATTTGGATTTCTTGAACTTCACGAAGTTGTTGAACGTAGCAGGCACGGGCAAGTATCCCTTGGACGTTTCCTTGGGCCTTAACGATCTCCCTCTCAACATTTAAAGTACACGCAGCAGTGTTATCTTCTGGGAAAAATCCGCGAGGAATCCACGTAGTACTATGCGCGAGACGGTGATGTAGGTAATATTTGTCTTTTAGCTATATATTGGCTGAAACTGCCGTAAAGTACATGTAGAAAGTAGTTTTTTTCAGAACTGGAGTGAAAGAGATGATGTTTTCCGATTCTTCTTGGTCTTCTCAAGGTCTAGATTCCTTGTTGATTCTATCCTCAATCACCTGAAGAGCAACTTGTCTTCTTCTTTCTGCCACCGAGTTGGCAACCGACTTCTGTGTCTGGTTTATCTGTTCCAGTCTCTTCTGAGCTCTAATATTGCCTAGTTCAACAGAGTCATCGTTGAATGGAGCAATCACCCCCAATAGCACTGACAATTCATATATCTTATCGAAAACCACAGACAACACCGGCTTAGAGATATCTGGAAAGAACTCCACCAATTTAAAGACATCGGAGGCATCACCATAGATGACATTACCGGCATCATTCGAAGAGACTGGCAACAAAGGATCCACTGTAAACAATTGAAAGAACCTCAAGTATATGTAGGTGATCAAAAAGCTTTCCACCGAAGGGATAAATGGGTACAAAGACCGAGAAAAGAGTAAGGACCACAACAACAGCACACTGACACAAATAAATGGCAAGTGTTTCACTCTGAAATTGATCAATCCTTGAAACAAAACAATATTGTGCTCTGGAATCAACTGCTTTAATGCAACCAAGAATCCAATATAGTACGAGATCCCACCACCCAATGGCTTATCCATTCCCATGGCATCTCCCCGGATAATATTTGAAATGATGGTGATTAATACGGTCAAAAAATTGGTGACACTGCAAACAATAAACACAAACTTGATCACCTCTTTGGATCCCCAGAATTTCTCGATGTATCTACTAGTCACTGTCAACACGGCGGTTGACAAAAGGAACCCTATAACAGAGATTTCCGCAAAGATTGAGGTCACAACTGCCCAAGGGTAAAAAATCGTGTATCTAGGAATCAACTGAATGTATGGGACTCTAATGTCATGGAGCTTGATATCACCGGACGCAGCCCGGAACCTGGCCAATTTGATAAAGAAAAGTAACAGTGATACTGTCACAAGGCATCCCAACAACACGCGTGTAGAGTTGGGTAAATGGTGGGACCGCAGTAAAAATGGCATTATTTTAAGTGATAGCTGGTAACAACTATGTGTAAAGTTTTGGAAATTTAAGTGAGCGCGCCCTGAGGTAAAACATAATATATAGATTTATGGGTACACATTTTATAACTATGTGATCAAAAGCAATCCAATATAATAAACAAATATAACCGATCCTGATAAATCAACAGTGATGGATAATCACCGAGTTTGGTTCATATGATCCATCTAAGCCTTGGTGGTGTAAGACGTCGTCTTGGATGGAGTGTAACTGGCAAACGACCAAGAAGAAGCATAAGCCTTGGATGGTTTCTTGGTATCATTGTTGTCAGTCTTTCTTGGTTGGAACAAACCGTTGGCAATCAGCCCTTCGGTGTTTAATTGCTTTCCAAGGTCATCAGGTACGAAACGAGATGCAATAGCTGGAGCTGCAATTAACACAATGAACAAGATCAAGATACCAAAGTATAAAGTACAGTACTTTCTCACCATTCTCTTTCTCAACTTGGCCTGCTTCAATGAGTAGATTGGAGGTCTGATTAATCTAGAAGGCTTTAACCAGAACAACATAGTAGAATGCCATCTGTCAATCATTGGGATTAACAAGATTGGGAACTGGAAGAACAAAATGATATGAGCCAATACAAAGTCACCAGCAAATTCAGACAATTCAATCACCTTAGCACAGAATTCTCTTGAAGGTTGGGTAAAGGCCATCCATCCCATACCGGTGTTATACCATTTACCGGTCCAGAAAGCAGTGTTGGATTTGTCATTCTTGAATTCTCTGGTCAAACACACCAATGTCAAGAACTTGAACAAACATCTTTGGATGTAGATCATGGTACAGAGACCTAACAACATCTTGGCAAAAGAGAATCCTTCCAATACCCACATGACAATGAAGAAGACCAAGTGGATCACAACGGCAACACCGTGAGCAAACCCAGCAAGAACTGCACCAGTCTTCTTACAACACAAGCCCAACATTGGACCAGCACAACAAGCCATACCGAGACAGAATGCCAACACACCACAATCAATAACCACAGGAGCCAAGGCACAAATGACAACTCTCAATGTAGAGTTCACATCTTGCACATTTTTGGTGACACCAGTTTGAGCATTGATAAACGTGAATGCAACGAAAAGACCAGCGGTGTAGAATACACATGGAATAAAGTCAGCAAAGAACACGTTGGATCTGTGAGCTCTTGAAGCGTCACCAGCAGACTTTTCAGAGATATCTCCAGTCAACTTCCTCTTGAATCCAGTAATTCTGGATCTAGAAAGACGGATGTAACCAATCCAAGAGTTTCTGTGCCATTTAGTGTTACCACGAGACAACCATCTGATAAAGTCACGGTAGTCAATAAAGTAATCTTCCCATGCAAATTGATGAGGATTGAAAATGAATGGAGAAAACATCAATGCCGACAATGAAGCCCAGAACCACAATAAAGCTGGTTGCCAATGGGAAACAGTACCAAACAAAATGATCAACATCGATCTAGCACCCATGTAAATGGAGGAGTCAGCAAATCTTGAGTACAAAATGGAAAATGGAATACGAGACGTAGCAAATCCTCTACCAGTCGAGATATATCTGGCACCACCGGTGGTCAAATCAGTAAACAACGAAGTCGAGTAAATTTGAGCAACAAACACTTCAAACATTGGAGACAAGGAGATGATATGTCTAGCGAATCTTTGAGCTGCCTTCCAAACACCTCTTTCAATCAATTCTTGAATAGTCAAAGGAATGAAAGAAATGAAGAAAACAATAAAGATAGACAATGTATAACGTCTAATCCAGTCAACAACAGGAGACAAGTTGTAACATCCAATTGGGTACAAGATATCCGTAATTGGCTTATATCTGTCATAAGAGCAGAAGATCGATTCATGAGCCAAAGAGTTCAAGTTAGCCAAAACCAATAAGAAACATTGCAAGGAAAATTGAATGAACAAGTTGTTAATATGGAAACCAGGGTGACCAAAGTAGAAAGATAAGAATCTGTCCAATGGTAATTGAGTCGACAAGTAGTAGTATTCACGAGACAACATCTGTTCACCCATACCAGCACCAATCTTAGTTGTGAAATTCAAAATCGAACCGAAACCCATATCTCTACCCTTACCACATTGGTAGTATTCACAGTGCTTGATTCTACCACCTCTCAACATAGCGTTCATACCAGCGTAAATATCTTCGTTCAAGTGCAAACCCTTTTGAGCCTTAGAAACACCACCTCTAGTTAACATGAAAGTAGCATTCAAGAAATCAGGGTGACCGTAATGTAATTTACCACCGATTTGAGCCAAGGTTCTAGCAAACAAGGTACCGAAAGTCTGTTCTTTACCAGCGGCAACATCACCTAAAACACCAGAGTTCTCAGAGAAAATGTATTCTCTAGCACCCAAAATCGCAACAGGGAATTCAGTAGTCTTATCCTTGTTCTTCAAAGATGGAGCATAAGGGTTAACATGTTCAACATTCAATTCTTCAAATTCAGCCAAAACAGATCTAATCTTCAAACATTCTTCCAAATAATTGTCTTGATTAGCATCAATCAACTGGATATATTCACCACGGTGGAAAATAATAGCGTGATTCTGGTTATCAGACTTACCATCACCCAAGATTGGGTTACCAGACAATTGGACTCTAAACTTAGGACGACGTCTACCATTTTCTAACATCTCACAATGACCATCAATCAAAGCAGAGTATACTCTTGGTTCTTCATCTTCGTTCAAAGCTGGTTCTTCATCCAAGTAAGCAATCTGTAAATCTGGGTAAGCTCTCAATAAGAATTCGGCATTTTCCATTTCGTCTTCCTTGAACTTAGCCAATCTTTGCATAGAAACAACAAATCTGAACTTTCTTCTTGCCATTCTTTCCAAAGCCAATTCTAAACCTTCTGGGTCACCACCAAAGTATTGAACTAATTCGGGGTTTTCAACACGGTATAACAACTTAATGGCTCTGGCGTAATTCATGAAACCAGACACGGTTCTGTACAAGGTTTGGGATCTCAACGAAGCCCAAATTCTGGTTCTCAAAGTGTATTCAGGAGCAGCAGATTTGAAACCAATACAGTAGAATGGCAAATCATCAATCTTAGACTTCAAGCCATCTTCACTCAATTTCTCTGGATCATCACCATTTTCATAAGCAGCGGTTTCTTCGGCCAAGATCTTAGTATCCTTAACGAAACAGTCCCATTCAACTGGGTGTAATTGTTTCAAGTATTCCAATAAGGTGACTCTCGAGTATTGATCATCCTCTCTAATAATTTCTCTCAAAGATAATAAAATCTTTTCGGAATAGTGAGGAGTAAACACAGTGAATGTGGGCATGTTGTCGACTGGCAAAGGTTCCAAGATTGGAGTAGCCAAAGATTGAGCAAAGAAAGAAATTCTTCTTTCGGCTTCAGAGTTGACTGGGAAAAACTCAGTGTCAAAACTGTTGTCATCCTGACTGACAAAGAAAGTTGGAGCTCTCAAAGTTCTCTTGCCTTCAACTTCAGATGGAACTTGGTGGTACAACAACTTCTGCACGTGGTCAATAGCCAACAAATGTTCTCTGTACATGGAGATAACAATAGCGTTCCAAATTTGAGAAATCAAGACCTTAGGCTTGTACTTGATTTCCATTTCAGTAGTAGCCAAAATCTTGGAGTAGATTCTCTTTGGCAATCTGGTGAAAATATTTCTCCATGGAGTCAAAATGGAAATACCCAAGTAGAAAGATCTACCAATGGAGAATACACAGTTACAAATAATGTACCACATGTAGGTATCCAAGAAGAACAACAAAAGATCAGTCAAAAGCATCAAACCTAAAACAATTTTGGTTTGGTGCTTACACAAAGTGTTGGTGAACCATATATCACCATGACATCTCATGGTGGTGGTGGACAAAATTCTTACAGGATCAATCAAAGATTTAATCAAGAAGAAATAAGATTCAAGGTACTTGGCCAAAAACACCAAGAACCACAAAAAGTAAGATAACCACATATCCAACCCTCTCAACTTGGAGAAACTGGCAGTGAAAGTCTGGGAAGACAAATACTTTCTGGATCTTCTGTTCATGTAAGAGGTGAACAAACCACCCAAGGGCATGATAGCAAAGAACACGATGGAAACAACAGCAATGAAGAAACCAACAACCGACACCACCAAAGCAGCCTTCGACTTAGCAGCCAAACCAGCCCAGTAGAAGGTAAACACCACTGGAGCCAAATTTGCAATAAAGATCAAAATCAAAAACACCAACCGACGAGTCAAGTGCTGAGCACCAGACCATTCTCTTGGAACAAACATCCATTCAAACAAGGTTGCCAAAATCTGAATGGCACTGGCAATAATACCGGCAATGGCAGCAGCAGCCCATCTAGAAGATGTCACTGGTTGGTTGTTCAAGGTTTGGAAGTAGTGCAAAGTGTAAAGGGAAGGAGAGTAAAAAGACATGTAAATCCAGTAGACACACACGTGAATAATCCAGATTCTGTTGAAATTGGTGACAAAATGTAACCAGGTTCTGATTTCCTTATAGGTCTTGAAGAACACGTTTTTCCATTCAACTTCACCTAACCTCAAGTATCTTTCTTCTTGTGGAACATCTACCAATCTCGAGCCGTCTTCAAAGATGATTCTGGAAATACCTTCTGGATACCAGAACAACTGGTTAACATCATCGTAACCAATCACCTTGTTGTGATCTTTTTCTCTCTTGATAAATCTACCATCATAGATTTCATACACCTGAGATCTTATGAATCTGTAGATTGGGGTGACAACTCTGTTCAAGTAGTCACCTTCAGGAACAGCTTCTTGTCTTTGTTGACATTGAGGAGATTGTAAGTAATCAAAAGCAGTTTTATAAATGTAACACAAGCATTCAGGAGTAAAACGAACTTGATTAGCTTCACCCCATAACAACAAGTACAAGGCCACGTCTCTAACTCTTTCTTGAGGAGTCAAGTTGTTCATCTTGGCCTTCCATCTGATTTCAGCAGCTTCCAAAGAGTAGTCACCTTCCAACTCATTGGCCATAGCATCGATGTCTTGACCGTGGTCTTCGACAGCCTTTCTGGCCTTCTTGGATTTCTTAGAAGCCTTTCTAGCCTTTCTACCAACCTTTCCCATGGCCATGTTGGAAAATCCAATGGAATCGTCCAAATCTTGTTGACAAGCAAAATACCATTTCTTGTAGTTGGCATTATCACCACCAATATAGTCGGCATGCAAACTCAACAAGGCTTGGGCAGGAGACATTCTCGACGATCTGGAGTCCAATAAGGTCATAAAGTAGTCAAACATATTTCTCATAGAGTCTCTTTGGAAACCAAACTTGTTTGTCAAATCAATAAAGATATCTTCAATATGTTCAATCTTAATAGGAGCTTGAGGATCAGCACTCCAAGCTGGGTATGGCAAGTTAGACGACATTTGAAACTGGGTGGGATCATAGCCGTTACCGCCATAAATAGGAGTGGAAGCTCCACTTGATCTTGGACCTCCTCCATAGCTCATTTGCGATGGAGTGTATTGGGTACCATATTGATCATAGCCGGGAGTACCAGGAGTTTGGCCACCGTAGGAAAAGTCACTAAAGGCTTCGGGGTCCTGTTGGTAGTTTGGCTGTTGTTGGTAGTTCAGATCTTGGTAACCGTCCATATCATAAGGTTGCTGATATTGGGCGTTTGGATCATAATATTCTTGTTGGTTCACATTATCGTACGGTTGTTGTTGATAATAACCATCATGCCCAACCGGTTGGTTGGGATCATAATAATTATTTTGGTTATTATCGTTATACGACATCTTTCACGTTTGTTAGTAAACTGGTTGGATCAATAAACTTGCACAGACTTCTGGAAGCGTGGTTTTTTTGTGGATTTTGGGGGAATTTTTCTGCGAGGAAGTTGAAGCGAATGTGTTTAGAAAAACCAAGGTCTTGAAGATGATTCGGGTTCACGGTTAATTTGATTTATTCAAGGAATACTTGAATAGAAAAAATCAAGTGTGAAGAAAAATCTGTTTTAAAAAATCAAGAAGCGTTTTTCATTTTTCTGCCCTGACATCCTCTATACTGAACGGATCGGGACAATCTCACAAACACCTGGTGCAATCTGCAAAGCCCCCTGTAACCTGTAAATTACCCTCGGGGCCAGGAATATTTGCCACCGGATCTGGAAGCAGGCGTTGCAGGTTCGGGTGAAAATTTTCCTCTATAGCCGAGAACTTTGTGTAACATTGCTATTTCAGAGCGGTCGTGTCCTCGATTTGGTAAGACTCCCACTACAATGCAAGATCCGCGCACACCGCCCTTTTGGTGGAATTTGCACTTTACGCCTTTTAGTTCCACCTGCACCTTGTCCCTTAACATCCTTAGTAGTGCGATTTAACCTGCGCCTGCTTGGTGGAAAATTAAGTTCTCAGAGTGGTCCTGGATATTTCTCTTCAAATGAACCACGCCAGACGGATCTTCATCGCCCAACAAGTAGAATACCCGAAAAATGCGGGAAAAAAGAAGCTTGGAGACACGGATAAATCGGCTTTTCATCTGTAGAGTGGTCGTAAATCACCAGGGATCTGGCACAACAGGAGTAGTTAGGGATTCAGGTTTACCACAAGTATATCAGCACACTTCCGGTGTCAAATTCACGCATTAGGGGAGTCAAATCATCAAATCAATGGAGAATCAATCTGGTTCACACATTTCTTGGAACCAACTGAAAACCCCTGTCAAAATACCCAAAAAAAACCACCACCATCGAGCAAGTCTTGTAGAAGCATTAGTAACAACTAGAAGGTATACATACAATTCAAAGAACCTATGGGATGTTGATATAACGGATAACTAATCCAAAAGAACAGTATAAAGAAGAAAAAAATAATCAGCGTGAGAAAAAAAACAAATGCTATCAGAAATTGAACCACAAAGCTGGCAAGCAAAATTCCTATAAAAACGATATCAACTAAATTATCCACAAAAATGTTGGTCAAAGTATACCTAGAGAGAGTTTAGAATATCTACAGGGCTCTGCTATTACGAAGGGTTTCTTGAAGTGTTGCTGGCATGGGCGGTAGATGTCTCGTCAAGGGATAACAGGGATTCTACAGTTCCACGCCCTGGGTCTATCGCCAAATCTGACGGCGTCGATGCTGACGCGCGGCAGCGGTAGCGCGCTGTCGTTGCAACTCGGTCGCCAGGCACAACAGCAGTTGACTACCAACACCAACGCGACGAACGCGAAATTTGTTTTGAACAATAATGCATTATTTTTAGAGTTTTGCAGGTTAGCACTGGGAACCATTTGTTCGCCGGTGAGCTCGGTACGAACATGTTGCGCCGACTTGCATGGAGTAGATCGCGTTTGCTTCAAACAAAGGCGGGATTACAATAACATTAACCAGGAAAATCAAGGATTTGCATATTGCTATTTATAGTAAAGTAATTGGCAAAGCCCAGAAAAGTCTTGCAAAAAAAGCGCGCCTCCACCGTCGTGAGGAGATGATGAGTTGCCATTTTGGGAGTCAACGTTGTGTTCGGTGCATTAAAAAAGAATAAAGCCTATTTACTGTCAATCAACTAAAAGTATTCGTATAAGCACCCGACAATCACTCACTCCATCCCAAGTTGTCCAACTCTTTGCGGATCTCATCTTCTTTGTTGATTTTGGAGATTTGTGTGTCTTCTAAGGTTTCTCCGTACGCCTGTTTCATCTTCAAGCTCTCAATAGCCCGCAACTTCTTCAACAACGACCGGATCCGTTTTTCCTCAATTGAGGAAACTCCTCCCACAACAGCTCCAGCCTCAGGCTGGGCTTCCTCGGGCTTTGGTGTCGACTCAGCAGAGGTGGCTGCAGCAGTGGCTGCAGCGGTGGCAGCAGCTTCATCTTCCTCTTCTTTTTTCTTTTGAGTCTCTCTCTTTTTCCGGTTCTTAGCAGCGGTTTTTGACTCCTTCGCCACAACTGGTGCGGCCCCCGGTACGGCCCTTTGTCTTATTCCCGGGGTGAAGGTGGAAGGTTGGTTTGACGAAGCCAATTCTCTTTGGTACAAAGATGTGGCCTTTGGAGCCAGATCCCCATTTCTGGCATGAGGAGGTCTGTAAGCACCAGCTGGTTTTTTGGCAGACAGAGAGGCAGCCAGTTGCTTCTTCTCCAAGTATTCGCGAGCCAGAGCCTCTGGTCCAGGAATGGGTTCTGATTTGGAAATGGCTGGGAAATCTTCCACCTTGGCTGGTTTCCACCCCACCGCAAACAATTCGGTATATTCACGGTAGTAGATCAACCGGCCACTGAAGTGCCAGACCTTCAATCCGTTATCCACACGTAACCTAGGAGACGTAGTTGCAGTTAAAATATACCGTCCATCGGGCGACCACAGACACACACTGGTGTTGGAAGCTTCAAAACTCACCACTTTACGAAACTTGTCTTGACGGTCATAAATATCCACTGTTCCTTGCAAGTTCCCAAACCCGGCCACCAAGATGTACTTTCCGTGAGGAGAATACAAGATGGTATTTCTGGGTAAGGTAGGCAAAGAATGAATAAGGTTACCACGAGCATCGAAAAAACTGGTTTCACTTGGCATGTAACCATAAATCACCGCAAACTCTCTGGCAGTTGGAGACCAACATATATCGTGGATTGGTCCCTCTTTCTTCAAATCGATTCTCGAGTTATACAGCCCGGCGATTCCCAAAAGGTATAAGTTGGTTTCTCCATAGTACGACTGGTTGGTAGTATCATGATCAATCAGAGCCAATGCCAATAATGCGGTTCCCAAAGAGTTCCATTTCAACTGACACTGTTCGGCTTTGAAAAAGTTCTTCAGGCATACCGCTTGGTTAAAGTTGGGAATATTATAAATTGAGACGTTGGCTGGCTTACCAGACTTTTCGGGTGTGAAGATGGCAAGGTACGGGTTTAAACCAGGACTGATACTAAAACTTTGATACGGGAGTTCAGGCTTGTATCTGAATGCAGCTGAAGTCACTTGCTCGACGTTAGCGGCATTGGACATGTCAAAGAATTCGATTTCTTTTTGGTTGAATGTACCTTTGGCAAAAAGGTTTTCATCCTGAGTAAATTGGGGTTTCCAACCATTCTGGTGCTTATTAGACCACTCCATAATGATTCTAGCGTTCGCAATGTTGAAGATCTTGACGTTTTTGCTCCAGACTCCACTCTCTTTATTGAGCATTACTGGTTTGCGCCACATACACAAATAGGTCCCATTTGGTGAGAAGGCAATGTCAAAAACATCACTTAATTCGATTTTCAACAACACTTTGTTGGTTTCAGTGGAAAACACCACCACCTCGGTGGGTTGTGTGTACCCAAAGTACTTGCCATTTGCCGAATAAACAGCACTTCTGCATTCGGCGGCTGGTTTTGGAAACGATTCCACATCTGAGTATTTGTTGATCAACCCTACGGTTCTTGGTTGACGGCCTGAAGAAGGTACCTGTTAGTATATTGGGGAGCTTATGATGTATATTGTTTGGACGGTGTCATCAAACGAGTAGGGACAGCTGTTACGTACAAAATATTTGCGTGTCGAATGACATGGTTGTTTGCAGTGAAGAAGAAGTATGTCGATTATTTTTTTCAGTGTGAGGGTGTCGTGCGCAAACGCTCAGTTTAGAGGTGGACGGCTTAGTTGGATATTGTTGTTGTAGAGCAACTGGAGAAAATGTGGAGTTGGTGATTCGTCAAGGCTGACATTTGAAAGGGGTTATTAAGCCGACGGCTTTTTTGGACGGAAAGGAGTAACTTTTGGGTGTGAGAGCAAAGCTTTGAGCAAAGAATGATCTCAAGCGGCGTGGTAGTTATCTGATTTGAAGTAGAGAAGACGTGTATTAGTTTAGATCCAGCCGAACCTAACCAGCTCATATCAGTCCCTTGTGGTTCTGAAGATGTGAGCATGTTTTGGCTCATCCGTGTAAAGTTGTCCCACACAATATAAACTGTCGCAAGAATTGACAAGATAGGCTGTGCGCCAGTCGAAACTAAGCTCTTTCAAGCCATAAAAGTCGGTGTATGTGCTCACTTATGTGTCCTCAAAGTGATAAACCTCTTACCATTTGGTATGAAGTGGATGGTGTAGAAAGATCAGAAGACCAACAAGATAACCTCCAGATCATACTTCTCCAAATCTAAAATGGCCCTTTTCATTGGCATGTTTAGCTGCCCCTGTTTCTCCAACGAGCACATCATAGCACTCGAGACATCGAATTCGGAACCGTGTTGTATTGGTAGTATAGTTTTTGGTTTGCAACAACTTGCACAATGATTCAGCGGCTTTCATAATGGGAGTCTCTTCAGGAGATCCACGCTGCCATAAACTAGTGTCAATGTCCTTGTCTTTTTCCAGGGTGCTGAGAATGGGGTTTGCACTCAAAACATCGTAATGAATTCCCGAGTACACTAAGTTGATGAAAGAGCTTGGAGGAGAATCTTCATTTTCAAACTTTATGATATTTCCCAGCTCAATGTCGATGCAATTTATCCGGACTTTGTAGTAGTCGCTCAAGATCCCAAGCTCGATAGCGCCTCCCCACGAGTCCTTCTTGGTGATCCAAGAACAGTAGTCATCATTAGACCGGCCAAGCGTCACTTCGTCGAACTTGTCGGGGTCAGACATGATATATGAAGCACACACGGCTCTCATTTCGGTGGCTGAGTCGGTTTTAGTGGCGTATCCAATGGCATTGAACATACACGAGTTATCGTCCTTGATATTGCGTAGAATAAGATATTGGTTCAATTCACCGATATGGACGTTGGGAATATCGTCGTTGACTTCCTTCGAGATGGGGTTCTCCCTTGATTCTGGTGACTTCTCATCTCCGACCTCAATCAATAGCTGGTCTCCATTGTGGATATACTTTCTGATAGTCTCGCTGGGAGGGATGGAGAGGGGCTTGGGAGGAAAGCCGGTTTTGATGGTCAGTATTTTAGAGAGACCAGGAAAAAGTTCTGTGTCAGCGTGAAGTTCCTCTAGTAGCTGCGACTCGGTTAAGTTGTCATCGATTGTTAGGACTTTAACTTTAGTTGGGGTTTTGACCTTTATTCTCATATTTACGTAATTCGCCATTTTCACACAAGCGCGAACAGATCTGAGGTATCTAAGATTTGGCAGCAATGATTAGAATGTTGAAAGAGATACAAGATGAAATATAACACCGATAGGTGGTCAATGCTACAACATGTTGTTGAAATAGAAGAATGAAAAAGTTTTCAATGCAACATCCGTTAACCAACTGCCTTCAGGAAATTGTTCCATAATAGTAAATAATAATCCACAGGTTTAAACACTAGTATTGGTATTACACCAACTAAAAGAACTAGCCCACCAACAAACGAGAAAAAGAACAGAATTTGATTATGGTCACTGATGACCCAAGTATCATCCAAACGATACACTTTCCATATGTCGTACATTGTCTATCATAACTATTGCATCATATCAGCATCATTGTCACCAGCAGTAGCAGCTTCGGTTGCAGCATCCGTCTCTTCAGCAGCGTCATTGACGCCAAGAATAGTATCCAAATCTGGATTTTTCTGGGCGATTAATTCTTCAAGTTCTTGCTTGTTTTCTTTCTTGTACTGCTCAATCCGCTTATACTTGTCAACAGACTCCATGAACTTCAACATATTAACACCCGAGGCAGCTTCACTTTCCAACGAGGTGTACGGCCTCTGGTGCAATTCCTTGACTCTTCTCTTGTGCTTTTTACTCTTGGTGTGGTGATCCAACATCCTCTGGGTCTCAAAGTATTTGGCACATTCGATACAGTAGTACTGACCCAATCCCGGTAAGTTTTCGTCCACCGGCTGGTTCTTCAACCTATAGATGCTCTCCTTCAGTGAGAGGTCATCGTAGACAAGATCCAAGTCTCTGGTTCTTCTCTTAGTTTTATATCTCTTTACACTGTACCTTCCCATAGCGATGAGCAGAAGATTTATTCGCACTGATTTGTTTGAGATGAGGGTGGCTGCTGGGGCTGTTGCCCTCCTTAGCACGTGTGCGCGCTCCGTGACCGGTGGCGACTTGGTGGCTTTTGTGACACCTTTAGTGATTTTCCGTCTGCGCATTCTTGAGCGAAGTTTTTTTTACCTATAACTAAGCAACTAATAACTATTAGTATGTACCAAAACCACCATAACGAATGGGATACGACGTACAACACCGATAGTGATGAATAAGGCTGGTACACAAACCTCCTCTTTGTTTGCTGGAGTACACACCAGTCGGAAGTGATGGATCCAACTTTGATTCAAAAATACCTGTATTAATAAGCACAAATTTTCACATAATCTTCCCATACGTTTTTGTTGAACATATTTCATATACTAACAATCCGTTTAGAAAATGGCTAGAAGACCAGCTAGATGTTACAGATACTGTAAGAACAAGCCTTTCCCAAAATCCAGATATAACAGAGCTGTCCCAGATGCTAAGATTAGAATCTATGATTTGGGTAGAAAGAAGGCTACTGTTGATGAATTCCCATTGTGTATTCACTTGGTTTCTAACGAATTAGAACAATTGTCCTCCGAAGCTTTGGAAGCCGCCCGTATTTGTGCCAACAAGTACATCACCACCATCTCTGGTAGAGATTCTTTCCACTTGAGAGTCAGAGTTCACCCTTTCCACGTTTTGAGAATTAACAAGATGTTGTCTTGTGCCGGTGCCGATAGATTGCAACAAGGTATGAGAGGTGCTTGGGGTAAGCCTCACGGTTTAGCTGCCAGAGTTGACATTGGTCAAATTATCATGTCTGCTAGAACCAAGGACAGCAACAAGGATGTTGTTATTGAAGGTTTGAGAAGAGCTAGATACAAGTTCCCAGGTCAACAAAAGATTATTATCTCCAAGAAGTGGGGTTTCACTCCATTGAACAGAGATGAATACACTGCTAAGAAACAAAATGGTGAAGTTAAAGATGACGGTGCTTACGTTAAGTTCTTGTCCAGAAAAGGTGTTTTGGAACACAACTTGAGAGAGTTCCCAGACTACCAATACCAAGCTTAAGTTTCTGACTGTATAATTAGTTATGTAACTGTTAACTGAATATATGTTCATCCCAACAATAATCGTATATGCAACGTTGTGTTTTAGGCTGTGCGAGCCTTGTATTGAGATTGTTGCACTGGCCGTCGTGCCTTGAACGTGTTCGCTGGATTTTCATAAAGCGCTTTGTTGTCCAAACACCAAATATAAATACATCGGGATCCTCAATTTTTCCAATCATATTTGATACCATTTAGAAAACCATAAACATGTCTTTTGCACACAAAGAAAACCCAAAAACCTTGGTTTTGTTCGACGTCGACGGGACTTTGACTCCCGCCAGATTGGAAGTTTCAGATGAAATGAAACAAACCTTGAAGAAGTTGCGTGAAAAGGTTGTGATTGGTTTTGTTGGTGGCTCGGACTTGAGTAAACAAGTCGAACAGTTAGGAGCTACTGTTTTGGAGGACTTTGACTACTGTTTTTCCGAAAACGGTTTGACTGCCTACAAGTTGGGTAAGGAATTAGCATCCCAATCTTTCATTGGTTGGATCGGTGAAGAAAAGTACAACAAGTTGATTAAGTTCATATTGAAGTACTTGTCTGAGATCGATATTCCAGTTAGAAGAGGTACTTTTGTTGAATTCAGAAACGGTATGATCAACGTTTCTCCAGTGGGTAGAAATGCCTCCACTAAGGAAAGAAATGAATTTGAAATCTTTGACAAGAAGGCCAACATCAGAACCAAGATGGTTGAAGCCTTGAGAGAAAACTTCGCTGACTTCGGTTTGACTTACTCCATTGGTGGTCAAATCTCGTTTGACGTTTTCCCAACTGGTTGGGACAAGACCTATTGTTTGCAACACGTTGCCAATGAAGGGTTTGAAGAAATCCACTTTTTTGGTGACAAGTCTTACAAGGGTGGTAACGATTACGAAATCTACACCGACGAAAGAACCATTGGTCATGCCGTCGATTCCCCAGCAGACACTATTAGAATCTTGAATGAAATCTTTAAATTGTAGATTTCCTTCCTTTTCTTTAGTTAATTATATCTCATAATAAATACCCAAACTATATACATGTTGCGATGAGCTTCTACTTACGTTTGTAGTAGATCACAGAACTGTTGCCAGTGGCCTTGATCACTTGCTCAACGGTGGTACCGTTTATCTTCAACAGCTCTTTCAAAGAGAGTCTGTTATCTGGATCAAACACTCTTTTGGTCAACAGTTTCATGGTTTCCATATTTTCGATATCAACGATATCGTGAGGTTCAATCAACTCAGGAATCGGTACGGGCTTGGAGCTTCGGATCAATTTCCCATTTCCGAACTGGCCAAATTCGTTATCACCAAAAATCATGATATCCTTTTTAGATCCAACATTGTCCAATTTGACAATGGTATGGTTGAGACCACTGCTGATTTCCTTGATACCAATATCTTGTACCTTGTTGGTGGTCTCATTAAACTCCTTCAAGTTTAATGTCTTGACCACCAAAGGAACGTTAGAGAGATGTAAATATCTGCTGATACCGAGTTGTCCTTTTATACCATTTCCGAAGCTTAGTAAAACATCGGTTTCATTTTTGTTCTTAAGCATAACATAACTGGTTTCCTCACTGCAATCAAGCTTTTCTACTCTCAAGACTTCTGTCTTCAAGATCTTCTTGAAGTCTGTGAAACTAAACACTTTCTGCGGAATTGGTTGCACATCACTCTTATGGGTGACGTTCATCCCACATTGTCCATGAGAGTTTTTGCCCCAACACCAGATATCACCATTGGAGTCAGAAGCCAAATTATGAAAGCTACCACTAGCGATGTGGGTGAAAGTACGGGGACGAAGGAACCTAGCATCTCCATCAGAAACAAGCTCATTATTCAAGGACGTCAATGGGAATACCTCATTAACAGGGACTTCCGAGTTTTTAACAGGAGCGAAGGCAGGAGTTCCAAATTGGCCATAGTTGGGTCCTTCTGCGGTCTTTAAGTTGAATAGTCTGCCCTGGTTTGTGAGAAGCAACATGTGGTTGTCTCCAGCGGACATCTCATTCACCTTTTCACCTCTGTTGAAGTCAGAAAGGTCAAGAGAGCTGTACCCATCATCACGTTTGATACCCACCCAGTTTCTGGATTGAGGGGAGATGAACTGCACCTCTTTATCGGGTCTAGGAGCATAGACAACTTGTCCCAGCACAGTTAAAAAATACACAAACCCTTGAGAAATTTTACACAGCTCTATTTTGCTAGGCAAACGAACTAACTCTGGTTGTTTCATGGTCTTAGTATACTGGTACACCTTGCCATTGTCTGCAACTGCAACCAAAAAGTCCCCTGAGATCTGGACATCCTTCAAAAGCATATGATCGAAAAACTCAATTCTGATTGGCAACTTGCTGCCATTGTGAGAACCAAACACATACAACCCCAGGTTCTGTTCAGAGTTGAGAACTGACCCCAAAAACGAAGCGTCTAACATCTGCTGTAACTTGCCTTGCATATAACCAAGCTTTTTAACGTTGGTGACGGTTGTTTTCACTTGTGATTCGTCCACATCGTAGCTCGACTTGTTGAACACAGATTTATACCATTGGTAGTGAAATATAAACTGATGGAGAGATGCAATACCGACGATGGCGGCGATTCCGTACCCAACCGCCTTGAACCTCTCACGGCTCTCGTATCGTTGCCGATTTTTGCGCTCTTTTCGTCTGAACTCCTCACTGATTCGAAAGAGCATCTCTTTGTACTCTGGTGATCCGTACTCAAGTTGCAGCAAACGAGGATCACTTTCAAGAAGCTCATTGATACTCTGCTGCTTTTCTTCCTCTTGTTGTTCGGCGATCCGCGAGTGGATTTCTTTGGTGTTGGAGCCTTCAGAAACATGCTCTTGTACTCCGTCACCAAACTTGAACTCGGTTTTGAACTTATTGAATTCATCGATATTTCTGTACTTCGAGTCCTTAGCGTACATCCGCACCCCCAACATGTTTATGTTCATGGCAAAAGAACCTTGGCCCCTGGTCATCAAACGGGACATAAGCTTGGAGCTAGCACCAAGTGTTCGAAATGCTAACATAGTGGAGATGTGAAGAAGTAATTTCGCACTCCATTTTTATCATTAGTTTTTCTAGCACACTATGTTTACTACAGCAGTCAAAAACAAGAATATCTTACAAGTCGGAATGGGTTCGGCCAGACGGTTATCGTCGATCACCAAGTTCGACACCAAGAAGTTTGTTCAATCGCTTCAACAAAATGGGGGGTTCAACGCGCAACAAGCAGAAACAGCCGTCAATATTGTTAACAAAGCCATTAACGATGGAATCTATTCGATCACCCGTAACTTGGTCACCAAAGAAACTCTATCGTCAACTGCGTATGAGCAGAAGGTTGACTTTGCCAAATTGAAAGGAGAGCTACAGACCATGGATAAGTCTGAGTTTAATAACCTTAAGAAAGAACAAGAGCAGTTAAAGACGGATCTAACCAATCTTAAAAACCGTATAAAGGAGGAGATCACCAAGAATCAAGCGGGTGTGAGGCTTGACTTAAACTTGGAAAAGGGGCGGATAAGAGAAGAAAACTCAACTCATGAACTGAAGATCGAAGATACTTACACCAGAATTGACGAGGAAATCGCCAATATGCAAATGCAAATCAAGCAGGTCAAAACCCAGGTCATGCAATGGTTGATCGGTGTGAGTTCTGGTACGTTTGCCTTGCTTTTGGCATTTATTCGTTTCTTTGGTTAAATTGCATTTGGTTGCCTTGCCTTAGTGCGCACCTAATTCAATGTTTTTGTTTTTCCTCCAGCATCATCACCAGTAGCCACGTATGAATTCATTATACAATCACGGGCTAAAGCAGACGCAGCTTCTCAGTAAGGACTTGTCATCGTTTGAGAAGAATCTTTCGACGTCTCCTCTTTCGTTGCAAGGCTCTATCAGCACGTCGTTGACGTCGTTTCGCAAGACCGTCAAAGAGTATGGTGATTTGATCAAACAGAATGCTAAAGACCAAAGTATCGCTAAACATGACGCGCGATTGGAGAGATTTGAACAGGAGTTGGCAGACTTCACCCGGAAATTCGATGACTTGAAAGTTCAACGTGAGAGCACCATTCATGAATCCAATAGGCAAGAGCTTTTGGGCCGTCGTCATACTCAGCATGTTTCTGATAATCCATATGATCAGACAGGGGGATCCGAGCCGGCATCCCAGCAACAACAACTGCAAAGCATGGCGTACCTGGAAGGACTATACAACGAGAAAAACGCTCTACAAAGAGGTTCACAGCAGTTGGACCAAATCTTGGAGATGGGACAGCAAGCATTCGAGGATATAGTGGAGCAGAACCAAATCTTACAGCAATTGGGGGCCCGGTTTGAACTGAGCTTAATGACTCTTGGCGTGAGCCAAACAACTATAAGAACCATTGAGAGAAGAGCCAGACAGGATAAATGGCTCTTCTGGGGTGGTGTTATAATTATGTTTGTGTGCTTCTGGTATATATTGAAGATATTTAGATAGTCATAATGTATACTCAGTATATTGACAATCAAGTTGCAAAAGTATTGTCACCGCGAGCATTTAGGAGCTTATCAAACTTGGTGCAAACCGATGAGATGATTTGCCTCCCCACCGTTATTATTTAACGGGGAAGTGGAGCTGAGATCAGCTGGGGTAGTGAAATTCAGCATGCTCCTAATCATTAGGTTACACAATACACTATGGCCGTAAAAGCCAACCCCATTTACATGTTTTCTCATAACCTGGCCCTAGGAATGCCCTATTTAGGCAAGAAAAAGTCTATTGCGTTGGAAAACCGTCGCAGGTTTCCATGAATGCGACATTAGTTTGAGCAAACCACAAGACAGTTCGAGCTGAGCCTTGTTATAAGAGGAGAACATGGTTCATTAACAGGAGAGGGTGAGAATCCTGTTGGCATTGTTGATGCGAGGCCTACTATGTCCCATTTCACTAATTATCACCTATGAATGAGAATTTATTTCGGTCATCCCAAAGGCTTTCCCTCTGTAAGGTCAAGTATGCTTCCAGTAGAGCACTTATTGAAGCAGTCTAAACTTTGTTTGGTTTTGTGGGGATGCAAAGTCTAGGGTATGAATTTCACGCGCCCACAAGCTACTGTATCAACACTTTCATGAAACAGGTTGTAAAGCACCGATGCCCCAAAGGGAGAAGACATTTTGCCAACCCCTAGATGGATCATGCCTACCCATCCATTGTTGCCTAATTAGGTCATACCCCAAGAACTAAGAACATTGCACAAATTTCCTTATTAGGCTCGCAAAAGTTCAGGCAGTGCTGCAACCATGGTCCATTACATTGCCTAATTAGGCAATTTCTAAAGATGTGTCAACCTTAGATTTCTTAACCAACACCGTCGTCGTTTTATATAAAACTAGGAATTTTGCCCACAATCCCGGTCTATTTCAGCTACTCATCGGTCCATTCCTTATGAAGCTAAAAACTTCTGTGTTTCTTTCCTTGTTGGCAGCGTCAACCGTATCGGCAGCTGCCATTAAAGATGAGCGATTCCACAAGCGAGATGTCGACTACGTGACGTTGGTCACCACAGTTGACTTGGCCCTTTCAGACTACATCCAGGCCACTGCCGCTGCCACCACCCTGACTGCTGCAGCGGTAGCCACCACTGCTGCCGCCACCTCCACCAGATCATCCGGTGGCCTCTTTGGCAGTCTTCTCAGTGGGCTCCGAGGATGGCTCAGTGGAGACGACGATAGCACCACCACCGCCGCCGCCACCACCACGTCGTTGGCAACCCCTGCCACCACATCCCTTGCGGCCGCTGCCACCACCACCGCCGCCGCTTCTTCTAGTGACGACAATGACAATGGCATATTTGACCTCTTTGATACCCTTTTCGGCAGAACCTCGAGAAAAACCACCCAGGTCAGTGCCACCACCGCTGCCACCGCCTCTACTTCCGTTTCCGTGGTAGCATCTGCCACTACTAGTACCGACTCGGACCTGAGCCTGACATCCACCAGCTCACCTGAAACTCCGTCTGACTATAACCAAGTCGAAACGTACGCAGCCTTGGGGGCCGGAATTGCCTACTCTCCCTACACCAAGTCCGGACTGTGCAAATCACAGTCTCAAGTGCAACACGACATGGACGTGTTGTCGGCCTTCGGCATTATTCGTCTTTACGGGGTCGACTGCTCAGGTGTGGACAATGTTCTTGCAACCATCAGCTCGAGCCAGAAGGTTTTCGTGGGGATCTACAATATCGACGATTCCAGCATAAATACCGACTTGCTGACATTAAAGACGGCGGTCGAAGGATCCACCAGAGGCTGGGATGCCATTCATACGGTGCTGATTGGGAACGAGTTGGTGAATGCTGGCACTGCTACTGCGTCGCAAATAGTGTCAGCAATGCAGACTGCCCGCGCGTGGTTTAAAAGTAATGCTTCCGACTATACGGGCTCACTTGTTTCAGTGGACACATTGGTGGCGGTGAAGGGCAACCCATCGTTGTGTGATGCCTCCGATTATCTTGCTGTCAATTGCCACCCATTCTGGGACGGAGGAGTTGATCCCAGCAATTCTGGTCCATGGTTGCAAGAGCAAATTGCAGCCTTGAAATCGGTGTGCGGAAGTAGCAAGAAGGTGTTTATTACCGAGTCTGGCTGGCCCACTCAGGGAGATACATACGGATCCTGCGTGCCATCGGTAGCCAACCAGTTGGCTGCTGTTAAAAGTATTGGACAGACGTTAGGAGATGATGTGTTGATGTTCACCACTTACACCGACTACTGGAAGGACCCAGGAGCATATAATGTGGAACAGCACTGGGGAATCTTTGGAGACCCTGCTGCGTAGATTACTATATCTAGACCACTAGATCTAATAAAATCATGTCTTATAACCTTTTGTTAACCATTAAACCTATGTAATGTAAGTACCTATGATGTGTATAGTCTAATGAATGTACTATTCCTCTTTGCCTCCGATGGAAGTTAAGCTGCTGACCATAAAAGGGGCCATGGCAAGGCATACGAACTTGGTTACAAACACAAGCACCACGAAAAGAATGTAGTTGGCCCATTGAAAAAGCATGATTTCGTTGAACGCAATATAAATATAGTAGGCCCCATTGGCTACCATAAGGGTATTTGCAACTGTAATTAATCCAAAGAACTTTTTGTGGGGAGAACTGAGAAGATTCACTATCGTCACGATCTCGAGTATAACGAAACATGATGTCAACACCACAACTCCAGCTTTATAGTACACAAAGGTGGATGTGAGTTGTATGAGACCCACTAGACACAAAATGACGGCTGCTAGATCAAAGAATAGAACTGGATAATTGAACAATGAGTATGAGGTGCCGGTTTTCCTGAAATAGAGCTTGAGAATACGGTTCAAGTATACAAGCGTGAAGGCAGTTCCAAGGATTTCAAAGAAACTATTAAGAATAAACCATACATCTTGCCAAGCCTGGGTAATGTACACCAATCCCAAGGTTGCTGATAATGCTTGCCAAAAGCTGGGATATAGAAACAAGACATGGAGGTAGAAAAGGTCGTTCTCTTTCAAGTACTGGTAGGTTGCAAAAAGGACATAGAACGTAACGAGTAATGCAATCACAAACACAATTAATTCCACCGCCAAGACTATTGTCCAGGTATTCATCGTCAGGAGATGAGTCGACTCAAGAAAGGGCGGATTCAAGTTTTCTTATAGAATATCTCATTTTCGGTTGTGTTCAAACAATAGCAGCAGTGCGGCTGGGTAATACCGTAAAGGCTAATATTTCAAGATTTTGCAGTAATCTAAACGAGGCGGCTATTGGGGCCTTGGAGCCCGAGAAAACGGTTATCTAGTTCATTTGGACCTTCTGAGTCCAATGCGACTGGCTCTATGGTACCATGTGATCTCTGGTGCTAGTCAATAATATATATATGAGAATGGCTGGCTTCTGTCGTTGCCGCGATTTTTACATTTCTTATCATTATTGTTAGTTGTAAGGAGAGCAACAAAGATGTGAGAAGAAGATAATTGGACAAATTTAAGATGGAATGTTGATGTAATTAACAGGGGATTTGTCAAGACAAAATAAGTGCATGAACAGTCAATATGGTACAATGGTTAGTCATTAACCCAAATTACCGATTCCTGATGCTGCTTAGGGTTGCAAGATCACAGGCACGACAAGAGAGAATATTAATCACGTGATTCTATCGTGCGCGACCCGTGCTCGCCGAAAACCTTTCGCGTCAAAACATTAAAAACTACACAAGTTAAAACCAACCTTCAAATGTCTATCGAAAGAGAACGCAAGAAACTCGGGAATCGGTTGAATCATTCAATCGATGGGATTCTTGAACTACAAGACTCCACTGGGTTCCCAGTGTTCGAAACTTTTCAGCGTCTTCCTTTGCGTTCAGGCACTGACTACTACAAGTACATTAAGAACCCAATCTCCCTTCACAGTGTGAGACAAAAAGTTAAGAAATTCGGCTATACGTCTGGCCAGGAGTTCATCCAGGATCTTACCCAAATCACTTGGAACGCCCGTTTGTACAACCAGCGTCAATCTCGGGTGTATACTCATGCTGTGATTTTGGATAACTATTTGAAAGACAGGATTATTCCCAGGTTAGCTCAAGATAAATCAGTTATTGATCATGAGCTGTTACATTATCCCGACTTGGGTCCACTTCCAGCGGATGATGAGCCCTTGGTTCCGTTGGAAAGTGCCACCCCTGACGTTAAGGATGAAGATTACGGTGACAACCAAGGAGACGATGATGACTATGATGAGTATCAGTCTATGACACCCCAACCTCGTCGTGATATATACCAAGGTATGCGCCCTCAATACAGTTCTCCATATGCCCAATCTTCCAAACACATCACTGGCCTTGAAACTGGGATTCGTCGTGGTAGACCTCCAACTGTCGATAAACCATACGAAACCCGCATCAAGTTAATCTTGAAGAACTTGAAGAAACTTAAGAATGGACCCGAAGTACCTCTTAACATCCCCTTCTTTGACCGGTTACCAGATCGTAACTCGTATCCTGAGTACTATAAGGTGGTATCAGAACCTGTTTCCCTCTTCGAGATTAAGGGTAAGTTGAGAACTCGTAAGTATAACAACGTCGATGAGTTTTTGGCGGATTTGAACTTGGTATTCTACAACAATAAATTGTTTTATGGTACCCACTCTGCCCAGATATTCCAAGATCTTAACATGCTTGAACAAGAAGCCACAAATATGATTGCTCAGGAATTACAACGGCTGGAACAAGAGTTGATGGCGTTTGCTGCCCCTGGGGGTGATGGGATTGTGAGGTTCCCTCTTGATTCGCTTGAAGTCAATGGATACATCTACCGGGTTGGAGATTGGGTGCTTATTAACAACCCTAATGAACCCGATAAGCCTACAGTGGGACAAATTTTCCGTCTCTGGTCTTTGAAAGATGGCACCAAGTATTTCAATGCATGCTGGTATTACCGTGCTGAACAAACTTGTCATAGGTATGACCGGTTGTTTTACCTGAATGAAGTGTGCAAAACTGGACAATACAGAGACCATATAGCTTCTGAAATTATAGGGCCATGTTATGTGGTGTTTTTGACCAGATACCAGAAGGGAGATCTCGAAAAAGGAGTCATTCCAGAAGGTTCTCCTTGGTTCATTTGCGAATTCCGTTATAACGAGTCTAACCATGTGTTCAATAGAATCAGAACCTGGAGAGCTTGTTTACCAGATGAAATAAGAGACCATCCTGAACCACCAGTGATTCCATTACGGGAACCCCGAAAATTAATCAAATACGAGTCCCCAATTAGGGCATTACTTCCTAGTGGGGTGGACACTAATATGTCTATCCCCAATGTGACGGAGGGAGCCCATCCAAATGCTCCTCCACTTGTAGGATCAGTATACTTGCGGGAACCTGATAGAGACGATGACTTGGGACAATATTACACCAGTCCTAACGTGACTGCTAGTCCAGAAAATGATGATGTGGTCAACAACAGAAAGGCGTACCTCTTCACGCCTATTTCCCAGTCAAAGTCGGTAGGGTATCCTGCCACAAGCTCCAATGCTGGCTATGGATCCAATGTACCTGGTTATGGAAGTGCTTATACCCCTCTGTCTTCCAATCCCATGCTCACCGGAGGAGTATCAAGCTATTACGCAGCTGCCGGGGCCCCGTCCGTCACATCGGCGGTGCTCGCTCCACCTGTGGCTAGTGGATTGGCTCAATCACCTCCCCAAGAATTTTATGACATGAATCGGTATAAACCAACGCCTCCTGCCCCCAAACCATACATTGCAGGTCCTCAAAGGCTCCGGTTCGAAGCTCCAACCCGTCGTCAAACCACCCCAAGTGGCTCGGGACAAGCTAATAACTTTCATGCCTCTACGTCGAGTCATTCTAAGGTGCTCCCAGGAGGCACGGTGTCGTACTTGATAGAAGATACCGAAAGCCTTGCGGCAGTTAGTGATGGCATCACCAAGAGACGGAGAACAGATGGTTCGGGTGTGACTGAAATCGTTTGGTATCGTTCCCCACCGGTGCTTTTGGCGCAACGGCTTGTATCACAAGATGCGTCTGTGGTGGGCCATTCTGCCCGATATTTGAACTGGAAGGCATCACAAGTATAAACATCAAATAAAACCAGTTGGACGATTAGTTTGTGTACGATATACTGGCATTCAAGGAATACATATAGAAGTCAGACAAGACAAAGCATTTTGTAGAGTAGTCGCGAACCTCGTAATATTTACAGACAATGAGTACCAGGTTAAACAAGCTGATGATGGAGTTTCAGGACCATTTGCGGCACAGCAAGCGTATAGTGGCGCTTGTGGGAGCCGGACTATCGGCTTCTCTGGGACTTCCGACGTTTCGAGGTTCGCAAGGTCTATGGAAGAATTTCAACATGATTGATCTTGCAACCCCAGATGCGTTTTACATTGATCCTGGGTTGGTATGGCAATTCTACCTGTACCGACGGCACGCGGCCCTCAAAGCCCATCCCAATTCCGGTCACTTGGCGTTAGCACGGCTCTCGCAGGTTCCTTCGGTGGAGTTTGTTACAATCACTCAGAACGTCGATGGGCTTCTGATACGAGCAGGAACCCCACGACATAAACTCCACGAAATCCACGGACTGTTATTCGATCTACGGTGCACCAGCTTCGGTTGTAACTACGTAGACCACGACAACTTTGTCGACCCGTTGACGCCGGCGTTGGGGGGAACAGAGGAAGAATTTGATCGTAGTGGTCGCAAGCGGCTGATGCATGGAGATGAAGACACGGACGGGGCCAGCGTGTCGCCCGAATTCACGCCAGTGAAGCAGCTCGACGACAGCGAGCTCCCACGGTGCCCCGCCTGTGGTGACTTGCTCCGGCCAGGGGTGGTGTGGTTTGGAGAGAGTCTATCACTCCAGCTCTTGAACCGCATCGATGGGTTTATTGAACAAGGACCTATTGACTTGATGTTGGTGGTCGGCACCAGTGGCACCGTGTATCCGGCCAACGGGTACGTGGACAGAGTGCGGTATAAGGGTGGGAAGGTGGCTATCTTTAATACAGATATTGAGGATTCGGTGGTGGATGGACAGCAAGAAGGTGTATGGGGGTTTCGAGGAGATGCTGCTGAAACGTTGCCACAGGCGTTGGATCCGTTGATAAGCCAAGTGTGTCCGTGAACCCCTAAAAAATGCCGTTAGCACAAAATGGCCGTACTGTTCGAAAACAGAATGACAGGAAATAAACCCGTTCACCGTCTACGACGATGATAATGGCCGGTGACGAGTAGTTATCTGCACCACCAGCCGTCGTCGACACAATATATATACTACTATTTCTGTCTCTAGGTAGATTACAATGAGGTAAAATACAGTGTCCATTAAAATACAGGGTCTATAGATGTCAAGTCGTGGGGGTCATGAAAGTGGCAGAGTGCTGCCGTCAGCCGAGCTGGAGCTCAGGACATCGGTGTCGTGGAGATCGTGGCACGAGTGGCCTGCCAGGTGGTGGTGAAGATGGTGGTGAAGATGGTCATCGTGGTCGGCCTCATTCTCTGAGTCAATACGCTGTCGCTCCGCCAATGAGAGCAACAGCTCGAACGACGACATTGACCGGTCAATTGAAAGCTTCCGTTTCTTCACGGGGCTGCCATTCACCAAGGGAGGAAATCCTGTGGAATTGGCTCGAATAGGAGGTGGAGGCCGATAAAAAGGGTTTCCCATATTTCGCCTCAAAGTCTTCTTACATGGGATCAGGTCCAAGGTGGCCAGGGGCTTCAATGGCGGTCGTTTAAAATCTTTGACGTTATAGGTACGTTCAGAGTCCTGGACGTCCTTGGACGTCAACTTCAATTTTCGGTCGGAGAAAATCAGGATTTTGGCGTCTGATTTGGCAGTGGAGTAGTCATCGGGGTTGTTCATCAACGGTGACAGTAAGGTTAATTGGGAAGTTTTAGAGGAGATGGAATTGGATCTGCTTCTTAAGGCGTCGGCGTCGTCAGAATAAACCGACAGAACGCATTGATTGTAGGATTCGATATAGCTAATATCGAACTCTTCCAACGAATCAGCCAAGTGAATGTTCATGAGGATATCAGATGAGAGGAATATGTGACAAGAATTGGGGATATATGAAAGGAATTTTCCACCCTGACGATTTTGTAAACAGCAAGGAATTAATTATACGGGGTTACACCACAACCCGCTCTATTGTTAATAAAAAAATGCAGTAGTGCAGAGGTTCCAAACAATTTTCAAATTTTCACCTTTATGGTAAACGAAGAGTTTTTATGGAGGGATTTTTTTGTTTTTGATTTTCAAAGGTTTTGCTTAGGTGTCCATTTCAAGAAATGGGCAGGAAGATGCTTATTTGTTGAACATCAAACAGGAGGGCTTTCTAGAATTCATACGAAGAGTATTACCATGGTATGTCGTAATAAGCCCATTAAAAGGAGTCTAGTGCAAACCTTGGATATTTTTAGACACAAAACCCAATTACACTTGTGCAGTTGAAACTTACATTTTTTTAGTGCCCGAGTCGGTTATTTTATTATTCTACTTAGGACTGGGGATGTTTTAGGTCGACTGTAGGCCTAATATCAAGGGTGTTTGGTTTTTTAATGGGATCGGGATTTTGTGTATGGATTGATATTCATGCAGAACCTGTCTAAATTGGATGTCGCATTTTCAGGTTCAGGACTTTAGTAGATTTGGTGGATCAGATCGGCGCAAGCGACAGGCCCGCTGTAGGAGGCAGGGGTGGACGGTAGGTAAATGCATAGAGTAGGATCATCTAGCACTTGAAGTGACAATCAAAAAGGGTACTTTCATAAAGATACGAAAAGGAGTAACTCGCATATACCAATAGGTAGTCCTATTTCAAGTATTCCTTGAATTAGGTTTTCCCGCAGATTGAGCACCAGAAACAACTATTTAGAGTATGAGGGGTTCTAACCATAGTGTCGCTTATCGGGTAGTACCGAAGTCCAGAACTCGACGCTACTCAACCCCCCCACATTAATAAGCAAACCCCAAATACTACAACAATAGAAGCTATGTATAAGATCCGAAACTGTTAGTAAAATCTCATTTGTGGCTCAATCCACCTTTTTATGGCCATACCAGTCATGTCCACAATAGTTACTGCTACTCAAAAGCCTAAAATGTTCTTGCCGTCTCTTACCTTTTTGCCAATCCGAAAAAAATATCTCTTGGCCTCCTGGGGTGGCTTCAAACATCGCCCATATAAAACACGATAAAACACTTCCATAAGAACATCAGACTTGTATAATGTCCAGAGGCGGACAGCAAGTTGCTGTGGGCCATTGCATACACCCAGACCAATCTCAAAGCCGCGTTGATATCTTGTTTACAGAGGTGTGGACCACCGTATCCGTGTCAAATAGCATAGGGGAAGTAGATTCACCGGTAAAGAATTATTCCATTTTGGGAAATGGTGCAACCCTGGAATTGCGACATTGATACCGCAGAGGGGGCAAAAGGCACGGAAAACTCTACCGGGATTGTATTGGCGTCGGCTATCGTTCGTGAAAAGTGTAGTCGAAGGCTACCAGATATATTTTTTAGCTTGGTTGTGAAGGTGATTTAATCTATTCGAACCATTGGTTCCTGACATGAAAGATTCATTTGACCGGTTAAGGAATTTCATGTGATCAAATCCATGTAATAATTCACCATGGTCAACAATGTGGAATGCTTGCCGAACCTTATTTAGTCTGTTGTACGGCAATAGAACATCTTCCAACTCAAAGCTGATTTGATGGCGGTTTAGCGGACGGTTCGCAGACAGTCCTGAGCCGCACCCACGCAGATGATCGCCAGGTGCGGAATCAAGGCATAATATTGTCTGATCCTGGTGAACAAATGCGGGTTTGTGGTGGTAGTGTTGTTGAAAAGGGGGAGTGGAGGCTGTTTTTGACTTGAGATCAGTCCGATCATTGAGTAGGCGATGTTCCCATGACTCACCGCCCGACCACCACCAGGCCACCACCAGGCCACCACCAGGCCACCACCAGGTTACCACCAGGTCACCGTGACGAGGGTGGATGAAGGGGCGGAGGTGGTGCGGTGCTGGCTTCCTCCTGGTGCCAGAGTTCGCGCCCTCGCCCTAACTTTGGCGCCGTCGCTCACCGCACCAACATCCCCGCGACTCCCGGAGTGTCTTCAAAGCATCACTCTCCTACACACCACCCGATCCACTCTTCACTGCCCCTCCCAAATATACCTGTACACCTCAAGCCGGTGTTTTTAGCTCATCACTCCCTCACCGTCCACTCGTGACCGCCCGGGGAGTTTTGACCCATACACCCACTCGGATCCTCAACTATCGTCCGTGATTGCCCCGGCCGGTCGTGCCCCGGCCTCGCGTTCTTCGGACAATTACCAACCATTTTTTGATATAAAATCTTCACTCAAGTAATCCTTGTCATCAATTTAGAAACAATGTTAAGATCAAACATCAAACTGTCTAGACAATTCAATTTGGGCCAGTTCATTCGGTTCGCCTCATCCAAAAGCTACGACGTCGTTGTCATTGGTGGCGGTCCCGGTGGGTACGTGGCGGCCATTAAGGCTGCCCAATTAGGATTCAATACCGCTTGTATCGAGAAAAGAGGTTCGTTGGGAGGTACTTGTCTTAATGTCGGATGTATTCCTTCCAAGGCCTTGTTGAACAACTCGCACTTGTACCACCAAATCCAACACGAGGCCAAGAGCAGAGGTATCGACATTGCTGGAGACGTAAAGGTCAACGTGGAAAACTTACAAAAAGCCAAACAAAAAGCTGTTACTGGTTTAACCAGTGGAGTGGAAATGTTACTTAAAAAGAACAAAATCGACTACTTGAAAGGTGCTGGATCTTTTATTGATGAGCACAATATCAATGTCAAACCCCTCGACGGAGCTGAAGATTACTCGGTCGAAGCCAAAAACATCATTGTTGCCACAGGTTCCGAGGTCACTCCATTCCCTGGAATCGAGATCGATGAAGAGAGAATCGTGTCGTCGACCGGGATCTTGGAATTGCTGGAGGTCCCCAACAGATTGTCCATCATTGGTGGAGGTATCATTGGTTTAGAAATGGCCTCTGTATGGTCGAGATTAGGTGCCGAAGTCACCATCATCGAATTTCAAAACGCCATTGGTGCTGGTATGGACGACGAGGTGGCCAAACAGACCCAGAAGTTGTTGGCCAAGCAAGGTCTCAAGTTTAAGTTGGGAACAAAGGTCACCAAAGGTGTCAGAGAAGGAGATGTGGTGAAGATTGAGGTTGAAAACGTCAAGTCTGGTGAAAAGGAAGAGTTGGAATCCGACGTGTTGTTGGTTGCCATTGGTAGGAGACCACACACTGCTGGATTGAACTTTGAGAATGTAGGTTTGGAAGTTGATCAAAAGGGTAGATTGGTCATCGACTCGAACTTCAGAACTAAGCATGAACACATTCAAGTGATTGGCGATGTTACCTTTGGACCTATGTTGGCACACAAGGCCGAAGAAGAAGGTATTGCTGCTGCTGAAATCATCAAGACTGGCTACGGTCACGTCAACTACGGTAACATTCCTTCTGTCATGTACACTCATCCTGAAGTCGCATGGGTTGGTGCTAATGAGCAACAATTGAAGGAACAAGGTATCAAGTTCAAGGTTGGTAAATTCCCATTCATCGCCAACTCCAGAGCCAAGACCAACGTGGATACTGACGGGTTCGTCAAGATCTTGGCGGATGCTGAAACCCAAAGAATTTTGGGTGCTCACATCATTGGTCCTAACGCTGGGGAAATGATTGCTGAAGGTGGATTGGCTCTCGAATACGGTGCTTCCACCGAAGATGTGGCCAGAACTTGTCATGCCCACCCAACTCTTAGTGAAGCCTTCAAGGAAGCAGCCCTTGCTACTTTTGACAAGCCTATTAACTTCTAGGTCCATAGTGAAATATATTTACCATCAAATGAAATGCGAACCGGCAAAACCATAACTACAAAAGTATTCGCGTAGGCGTATATTGTGTACATACTAATACATGAGGAAATCAATACTTCATAATAACATAAACCGCATGTATGATACCGGGGATATATCCTAAAATCGTCAAGATGATATTGATGAACAAGGACGAAGAACATCCTCTTTCAAGGAACACTCCCAATGGAGGTAAGATAATGGCGAAAATTAACTTGAAGATGTCGGAGCACGTAACAGCCATTGCAAAGTATTGAAATTAATGTTTATTGGTAAGACTCAACAAAACAATTATTTCTGTACTACAAATTTCAGGGGGCTGGTGTTCCAATTTATAGTGGTTGATGTTGCTAAGCCGCACTGTAATTCTTCTCCTGGCTACTCAGCAAGGAAACCAAACCTAAACATTAATCATTCAAAAGCAACTCCACCAGCCTAGTTAGTTATTTTTAGTTAATATATCTCCGTATATGACTACACTTGTGCAGACTCCCAGATGTTTGCAGCCTTTGATTATGAACTCCTGTTGTGCTGGAGATAGTAGGAAACTCGCACACCAACCGTAAAAAATGAACTTTAGCAACACTCGAACGAGCAAGCAATAGTAACTGAGCTCGGCATTTATAGAGGTTATTGAGCAAATGGCCAATGCAGCAAGATTTACAGTATGCAAAGTCAGGTCATGAAATGTTTATAGTTTTTGGACCATCTGGGAGGACATCACTGAACTATAGATTCCTCGGGAACTCCAAGAGGAATAGGTGGCCCCCTGGGTCAGGCGGTGGCCCCCTGGGTTGAGCTACATGGCACGAGCGCAGGGGGGTCCCCGCTAGTTCCCCCCAGGTCTGAGGTTAACTCACATCGCGCGTTAACACCCGCCCGCGACTTCTCAGCGTCCTTGAAAATTTATCACCAAGGACTCAAACATATACTCAACCATGGCAGATTTGCAGCTTAACATCTTAAAGGTTGTTGACAAGTACGGCTCGGTCGAAAACACATTGGAGTGTCCCGAGCTCAAGTCGCTCGATGCCAGTACCCTCCACTCTAACTTGACCTCGTTGTGGTCCAAGGAATTAATCAACTTCTCCAAAATCGAAATCGAACAATGGGACTTGACCAAAGAAGCGCAAGACTTCTTGGTGAATGGATCCCACGAAATCCGGTTGTTGGAAGAAGTCATCAAGTCCGTCGACGGATTGAAGATTTCGGACGTGAATTCAAAGTTGGGTGCCGTTGGTAAACTAGGTCAAGGTAAAGCCTTCAAGAATGGGTGGATTGCCAAGGACAGTGATAAGTTGGTTTCGAAAGTGTCATCTTTGCCAGAAGATTCTGTGGTGCAAAACTTGCAAATCATCAAGAAATCCGGTACTTTGGAAGATAAGAAAGAACTCACAGAATTGAAAAAGAGAAAATTGATTACTCTCAACAAGATTGTGGGTTACAAAATCACCAAGACCGACAAATTTTCGGTAGAAATCGTCAGTCTCGAAACTGACATCACCAGTGAAATGATTACCAACAACACCTGGGCTGACAAGAAGTTCAAGCCATATAACTTCAATTCCGAAGGGGTTTATCCTCAAAGTGGAGCATTACATCCTTTAAACAAAGTTAGAGAAGAATTCAGACAAATCTTCTTCTCCATGGGATTCATAGAAATGCCTTCTAACCAATACGTTGATACAGGTTTCTGGAACTTCGACACATTGTTTGTTCCTCAACAACATCCAGCTAGAGATTTACAGGATACTTTCTACTTGAAGGACCCCAAAGTTGGAGGACTTCCACAAGATAAGGAATACTTGGAAAATGTCAAACAAGTCCACCAAGAAGGAAAATACGGCTCCATAGGTTACAGATATCCTTGGAAGTTGGAGGAAAGTTTGAGAATGGTGTTGAGAACTCATACCACTTCCATCTCTTCTCACATGTTGAAGGAATTGGCCAAAAACCCCAGGCCCGTGCGTTACTTTTCCATCGATAGAGTGTTCAGAAACGAGGCCGTGGATGCCACTCACTTGGCAGAATTCCACCAGGTGGAAGGAGTCATGGCTGGTTACGACATCACTTTAGGTGACTTGATTGGCTTCATGGAAGATTTCTTTGGTAAGATGGGGGTCACTGACTTGAGATTCAAAGCCGCCTATAACCCATACACCGAGCCTTCGATGGAAATTTTTGCATACCATAAGATATTGAAGAAGTGGGTGGAAATTGGTAACTCGGGAATGTTCAGACCCGAAATGTTAGAAGCTATGGGATTACCCAAGAATTTGAGAGTGTTAGGATGGGGATTATCGTTGGAGAGACCAACCATGATTAAGTACAATGTTTCCAATATCAGAGAATTATTGGGCCATAAGGTGTCCTTGGACTTTATTGAGACCAACCCTGCTGCTAGATTGGATGAGTTGTTGGTGTAAGTATATATGCTGTAATTAATACAAGTTGAAAAAACCACCAGTCGCGTTTTCGAAACTAGTTTTCCAAACTTAAACCTATTGCGCAGCATGGAAGCACCACCCACAGAGCACTCTATAACACCGGTCGCAGAACCCCTTCCCGAATCGATATCTGTTGCTTTAGATGAACCCGATATCAAGGATGACGACGAAGATGAGCCAAAAAAACGGAACAATAAGGCAGATTCAGATGACTTGAGTTGTAAATGGACTGATTGCCCGGAGAGCCAACACACAAATTTGCCTTCTTTAGTAAGACACTTGAACAATCAACACTTGAACTACACAAACAGCTTGACTGTCAACACGCCCACCAAATACTCGTGTCTCTGGGAAGGATGTGCTCGTTACGGTGTTGAACAACCGTCTAGGTTTGCATTGATCTCTCACTGTCGTACGCACACGGGAGAAAAGCCATATTTCTGTCCAATTCCCGAATGTGAAAAGCACTTCACTAGGTCAGACGCGTTGGCCAAGCACGTGAAAGGTGTACATGACTTGCACATTCTTCGGGATGCCGTGACATTAAATAGAGACCGGGTCAAAAAAGGTCGCATGGAAGCCAACTTCTTGAACCAGGACAAGGTGACAGAGTTGGAATTTTTATCGATGATAGAAGATGACTACGAGTTGCGAGTGCCGTGGTGGTTTTCGAATGATTTCTTGAACATTGTCAGCGATTCCTCGGACGAGTTCAAAACTCTTTACCGTATTCCCCTTACTTCCAAACAGTACAGAATTGCCATGAAAAGGTACCAATCATACTATCACGAACAGTTTGAAGACAACGATACCAAACTTCCGCCCCAATTGAAGAATGCCATTGATGCGTTCACGGAAATGCAACCTGAAGATGAAAGTGAGGACACAGTTATAGACTTGGGTGAGCTACAAAAATTACACCAAAAATTGCTGAATCAGTTATCCACTAGCCAGAGGGTCAACAAGATCGCTACCAAACAACTAACGCATTTGGTGGACGAGAAGAGGAAACTCTGGTACATCAAAGAAGTTCTTCTTGATGCCAATGCCAAGCTCAGCATTCCTATCCGCTCATCTGATAAGGATGCTGGCCAACCAGATAAATACGATGATGAGTTGTACGACAGTATCAAGACCATCTGACTGAAAATTTACTATGGGTGCTCGCTCATCTCAAAATTTTTATTCTTAACATTTTTTGTATACTACTTTTATAAACATCAATGGCTCCACACACCACCTCCACGCACGAGGAACACATCTCCGAAGTCTCGGAGACGGATATCCCCTCCACCACCGAATCTATAGTCTCAGATCACCAAGCATATCATGAAATGAGTCTAGAAAGCTTGTTTCACCACCTCAAACAGCAGACCCAATCTAACGAAGATACGCCCAACGCCAATAAAGACCGTTTCACACAACTCAAAGAGCGGGTGGACAGGCTTCCTAAGATCCATGCCAATCTTGAAACCACCCTCAAACCACAGGCAAAGAAGGATATAGTCACAATTAATGATCCTATAATCATAAAGGCACCAAAGAAAGATGAGACAGACGACAGTGGCAGCAAATGGTTCAACATGAAAGCCCCTGAAATAACTGATTCTATCAAGAGGGACTTGCTAATTATCAAGCAGAGAAGTGCTTTGGACCCCAAAAGACATTACAAGAAAGATAAGTGGGAGACTCCTAAATATTTCCAGATGGGTACTATTGTAGAAGGAAATACCGAATTCTACTCGAGGATGACCAAGAAGCAGCGTGGAACCTCGCTCGTTGACGAGATTCTTCATGACAACGACTCGCAGAAGTACTTTAAAAGAAAGTACAGCGAGATTCAAAAACATAAAACTAGTGGAGGTAAAGCCCACTATAAGAAGGTCAAGAGCATGAGAAAGAAGTATTAAACATAACTCCATTTGAAATTCGTATTCGTATTTAGTGGTATGTACATAAATGATTCATGAAAAACATCCAAGTTCCTGGGGTCTTATTCCTCTAAGCCAGCTCTTTTAAAGACGTCCAGTCTAACCTGATCCCATAAGCGTTTTTTATCATCCTTTGATAATTTGATCTTTTTCCCACCAGTAGATTGGTTGAGCTGTTTCTTGACCTCATCAGATCGGATCTTGTATTCGTGTGCAGTGGTGGCTGCAGCAGCCAAGTTTATAAGGTAATTTCGAAGGGCGATTTCCTTGTACTTGAATTTCAAAGCCGCTTGGTTATCAGCAGACGTTATAGGTGCTTGATTTCCTTTGGTTGGTGAGTTGATTTGAAGCAAGGGGGATTGTTTGACGCTGATTTCCGCTACGCTTTTCTTGAAGGCGGCGTCCAAATTGTGTTCCTGGTAAAGATCTGATGAGTATAACGTGTAGATGAGCTCTTTATCGGGTATGTGCGGCTGAATCAACACTAGATGACAAGTTTGTGCAAGGTCTCCCACAAGTAGTGGGAATGAGCCCAGCGAGTAGTGCAACTCAGGAACAGCAGACACCATGGGCATTTGTATCAAGATCAACTTACACCGGGTGACATTTAGGTTCCAATCGATCAACGACTCAGGAGTGTTTTGGTACATGAGACCCGATCCCAACGAGATTTTGTAAAGTTCGTCGGTATCATCGTCCAACAGAATGGTTTTGCGTTCTATGCCGTTTTCGACTTCTTGTTGGAAGTGAGTTTCATGAAGTTGGATATCATTCACAAACTGCTCCACCGTAGTGGAAACAGGTTCACTATCCTCGGGAATTGTGACACTGGACGACGAATATCGAGAGGGAGCCGAGCGTGCAGACCGCTTGGAGAAGATACTCGAGTTCAGCGACTTGAACAGATGGTGCTGGTGGATCTGCTTATTGTACTGTTGGAATGAAGGTGCGGATCGGATGGAGGATGCTGAGGGCAGAGATACCAGGGGCAACCGCTGGTAAATGGCACTTCTGGCACTGTCCTTGAAATGCAGAGGAGGTGTAGACAGCAGCTGCCCATTACTTCTTACAAAGGGTGAGCCAAACATAATTTGGTGTTGTTCGAGTTTCCCCTTTTAATTGTGTTTTTCCTGGAAAAATTTTTGAGAGTTCTTCCGCTTACCCAACGTTTGCGGAGAGTTTTTGCGAAAACAACTCCGAGGGATCTGGGGGAGATGTGTATATTTTGGGATCGATTAGAGGATGTATTTTAGGTGGAGCGGGAGGTTGATAGATATGTGGAGTGAAGCAGATGACATAGAAGTTGGAACCATGAAAATGGGGGTTCAGAATACTGAATTATGTGAGAAACTCATGTTATGTGCCTTCTAAGGTCCTCAAAAAGCACCTGCATGTTCCCTGTGGTTGACCTACTCTAATTCTTTATTTGAGAACCTTCCAAAGTTCTAGTACTGTCGTCAAATCATACTTCACTGTTATCTGCTATTTCCGTTGATGTAGGCTTTTCGCACCTACCTGAAAAAAAAACCAACTGCAACAAAACAAGCCCATGTCAGAGTTAGTAACTGAGGACTTTGGGTTCTCTCTTGTTGGAGAAGAACAAGGTGTCAAGGTTTTCGACGGTGCTTTGGATTTCTCTGACGTCCCGCAGAAATTACGGTTGTTTGCTCTAGGAAATATTCTGAAAACGTTTGTATGTTCAGATACGAAAGAGCTTAAGCTTGGAAATTTATCTGATTTAAATGGCAACAACGTGAGTGCCGCCTCAACTATAGATGTTGGTGTTGGCCTCATCTCTCAAGTGTGCTACAACTACGATGAATCAAAGATCTATGTTTTGGGGAGCAATGGCATCAAGTTCATCGATTCTAACGACAAGAGTGTTGGTGTGTTGATTCAAGAAAATGACACGGAAGTGGTACTGTGTTCCCCTGTCAGCGACGCAACGGCCATCATAGCGGGTGGAACATTGCAATTGTTCCATGGTACTACAAAGAAGATGGATCTTTTATCTAAGGCTGTGGAAGCTTCATGGTCTTCAGATGGCCAAACCATCTACACCGCAGACAACCAAGAAGTCAAAATATTCAATGTCTCGGGCCAAATGACAAGGTCGTTTGTGTTTCCACATATAGAAGATGCCTCGGATGTGGCTGTGGTGAACATTTTTGAGTTGTTGCCAAATCAATTGTTGGTATCCTTTTCATTCGATGAGGACAGTGAAATCAACACCAAAGCATTTTTTTTAAACCTCGACTCTGAAGAGTTCTCAGAGGCCGATGTGGCTGTTCCTTTCGGATCCAGTGAGAGAATGAACTACTACTACTTTCTGAAGTTGAACGGATGGATTGTAAACAGCAGTCTCTTCTTTGTAACTTCCGGTGGTGCAACTGATGTAAATGCTGTTTTGAAGAAAGACGACGATGAATTGTATATATTGATGCCCGCCGACGATCTGATGGCATCTACGTTTCCCATGAATGATGCTGGAGATGACATGTCTCCGATAGGCATGTCAGTGGATTTGTCCAATAAGGATGTCAAAGCAGAAAACCTTACAAATGCTTTAGATGAGGCTATAGGGTTACCCAAGCTTTGGGTGTTCACGCAGGAGTTTCTGTTAATATCGTGGTGGATATTTGATGTTAAGGCTGTTAAGAATAACAGTGTCTCGCTAGAGTCTGCCTTGAACTCGTTAGTTCGAACAGCAAGTCATACTGAAACTAAAGTACCCGAATCGAAACAACCTTTTGGATCGTCTTCCGGTTTCGGAAGTTTTCCTGCTTTTGGCTCTGGTTTAGGAGGCTTGCAAACCAAGCCTGCCTTTGGTTCTAGTTTCGGCTCCACTGAAACAAAACTATCATTCGGCTCAACCGGTTTTGGGAAAACAGAATCCAAGCCAACTTTGGGATCCACGAACTTTGGATCCACCGAGTCAAAACCTTCATTTGGTTCTACCAGCTTTGGAACCACTGAGACCAAGCCGGCGTTCGGATCTACTGGTTTTGGATCTTCTGAATCTAAACCTGCTTTTGGTTCTACCAGTTTTGGAAGCTCGAGCGCTGCTTTCGGGTCTTCTGGTTTTGGCAATTCTACCAAAGGAACTAGTGGAGGAAGTGGTTTTGCAAGCTTTGCGAACACTAGTGAGCCGTTGGGAAGCACTAAGAAAGAGAATGTTTTTGGAGGAAATGGTGCTTCTCCGTTCGGAAGTGGGTCTGAAGCGGATAGTAAGCCTTCGCCCTTTGGGAGTCTCACGAGTAGAGCGGAAATTAAATCTTCTCCGTTTGGGAGTCTCACGAGTCAAGAGGAAACTAAACCTTCTCCCTTTGGAAGTCTCACCAATAAAGCGGAAACTAAATCTTCTCCGTTTGGGAGTCTCACGAGTAAAGCGGATAGTAAGCCTTCTCCCTTTGGAAGTCTCACCAATAAAGCGGAAACTAAACCTTCGCCCTTTGGAAGTCTCACCAATAAAGCGGAAACTAAACCTTCGCCCTTTGGAAGTGTACTGGGCAACCCCTCCATATCCTCACCATTTTCAAACCTCAAGAATGACCCAAACACCAAACCCTCGCCCTTAGGAGGATCTAAGTCACCCTCCGGTGGCCTCAAAAGTATTAGCACTGAGGTAAACCCGTCTCCCTTTGGCAGCTCCAAGCCGGAATCTAAACCTTCTGCGTTTGGTAGCTTCAAGAAAGACAAGGAGCCAGATACAAAGTCTCCATTTGGCAGCTCCCTCTCATTTGGCAGTCTCAAGATAGATGATAAAAAGGAAACCACTTCATCAATATTTTCCAGCTTGAAAAAGGAACCGGCTGAAGCTAACCCATCGTCTTTTGTTGGTTCAAAAATCGAAGAACCTAAACCAACCGATGCCCCCTTTGGCAACTTGACTAAGTCAAGCAACCTCAGTTTCGCCAATATGGGTGAAAAGAAAGAGCCATCCACATCGCCTTTTGCTTCTTTAACCAAGCCCAGTACTCTTGGTGCTGCCAGCATTGACAATCACAAAGAGCCCAGCTCATCACCATTCAACTTTGGTTCTACATTTGACTTGAAGCCAGCAGGAAATACCACCTCTGGATTGGGTAAGACTTTAGGACACAAGAAAACCGATGCATTAGCAGAATTTGGGTCTTTGAATCTCGAATTGAACAAAGAGCCAGCCAAGCAGGAGGCACCAAGATCAGAGCCAAGTGAAAAAGACTTAGGCCCGAGTGATGACAGCCAGAGAAGCGACTCGGGGAACGATTCCAACGACTTGGAGAATGATTTCAACGACTCGGAGGATGATGCTTATACAGTGTATGAACCCACGCATTACTACTTTGGTGGTTTAACCAGAGACCTCAAATCCACCAACAACGAAATCCTCGATATGATTGACCAAATATTAAACAACGTCCGTGGAAATATGGAAGTACTTTCCGTAAACGAGGAGGAACTACACAACGCTTTCGATGCCCATCTTTGTGCTGAAGACTGGGACTCACTGGAGGTCACAACAGCTCTTGATCATGAAATGCCACTTCGACTCGGCATGATCAGGCAGATTCGTCAACTCCTTAAAGACACGTCCAACGAGACGTCAAGCTCGTTGAAGGAGATTCGTCAACAGTGGAGTCACTTTGAAAAACTCGACAAATCCACTGAAGAGTTGCTTATGACCAAGTATCAAATCCAAAAGGCTATCATCCAACTCCAGATGTTTGCGGATGAAAGCCACAACCCATCGGATCTCGCGCGGTACTCGGCATTGGACTACCGCAGCACTCAGCTTCAGAAGAGTATTCGTACTAAGCTCCAGACTGTCAATAACCTTAAAGACCAGTTGATATCACAGATGATGCCTCTCAAGGCCAGAGTGCAAGGAACAGAACTTTCAGTGGAAAAAGTCAAAGAGTTGTTGTTCCAACTCAACGCACTTATTAGCGACAAAACCACAGTGGTGGACGAGCTTGCCGCCAAACTAGCCAAAACTAAATTGCAACAGCCTAAGGAGCCGCGGGCTCTTAGTTTGACGGCTGCGAAAGCTCCGTCTGCCAGATGGCACGTAGGCCAGCAGATCAACTTGAGGCCCAAGTTCATCAGCTTGCAGAAACTTGAGTGAATCCATTGAATTGACGACCAAAACAACACAGCACAAAGGGGTACCTGTTAATTTTACTTTGAAACGCAGCCTCGATTTATGTAGTACAGAAACATTTCGTCTAATTCGCATTATATCGATTTGCAAACGTAAATAAACCGCATTGATATTTTTTCGTCTTTGCAACAAGAAGTTTATTTGTTTCCACTAAACATACTTTTACCAAGCAGCAGCCATCCACTATCCATTGCTTCTAATTTCTTCCTCTGAACAAGCTGCATAGTATGGTTGAACATATCGGCTCGCAGGTCAATGTGCCTGGAACAAGAGGCAAGGGTATACTAAGGTATCACGGTCTGATCCATGGTAAAACCGGAATATTTGCGGGAATAGAGCTTCTTGGGCCCATTGCCCTTACCCGGGGTAAAAACAGCGGTGACGTCGAGGGGTTCAAGTACTTTGAGGTCCAACTGCCCATGTCTGGGTTGTTTCTACCGTTTGAGAGGCTTAAAGCTGTCAATCCACAAATAGACCATACAAGAGATATGATCAATGAGGCCACGCTCAACTTCAACAACGATACTTTGGATGATGAAATACCCACGTTCTCCGGATTGAGCTCGCCCAACTACCTGGTGAACAACTCTGCTCCTGGAATCAATCGGCCTTACTCTTCTCAAGGCTACACATCTAATTCAATTTCTGTTAACAAGCGCCAAACCCTGTTCAGCGAAAAACCACGGACCTCGAGTGTGAGCTCCTACAACCGCAGTCCTGTCGTCAACACGCTGGGAACTGCAAACCTGCGAAGCTTTTCAGCGAATGGTAATAACGGAAATAGACTCAGTAATGAGCTGATGTCTTATCTCGAACAGGAATTGGTGGAAATGCGTTCCAAGTACGAGAAGTCAGAGCGGGAGATGGTAGAAAAAATGTCGATTTTGAACGAATTGAAGGATACGGTGCAAGAGTTGCAACCGATCTTGAAACAATACGAGAGCGAGCTAGACGAACGAGATCGAAAGATATCAAAGATCAGAAACGAATTCGAGAGCGCAAGAGAAGACTGGAGACAGAACTTGGATATCATGGTCAACACTTACGAGGCCAACGAGGCCTATTACGAGACCAAGATCAGAGAGTTACAATCCAAAGTTAGTGAAAAGAGCACTTTTGAAGACAAATCTGAACAGTTGAAGAAACTACAGGAGAATTTCAACCAGTTGAGCACACAGAAACAGGAAATAGAGAACAGCTTGAATATCCGCATAACCCAGCTCGAGTCTGCAGAATCCCAGGATGATACGAAGGAGTTGAACAAAGTCATTTTGGACCAGCAGAAAGAAATTGAGTCGTTATCAGGTCAGTTGATGGAGGTGCATAAGTTCCCCTCACAAAACTCCAGTGCTTTACAGGAGAAAGTGTTGCATCTTGAAGCGGAAATCGAAGGGTTGATTCACTATAAAAGCAGAAGTCTGGAACTTGAAAAAGAGGTTGTTGAATTGAAACAAGACATCGAAAGAAGACATTCTCTCGAAAAACTCGAAGATAAGAACCCTGAAATCAACAAATTACACGATACTATCAACGACTTAAAAGACCAATTGGCATCTAAAGACAAAGAGATCATGGAATTAGAGGATAGCTTGGACAAACAAGTCAAGGCTACCAACAACACGATTCCTGATGAGAACTCTAGGATTACAGAATTGGAAGAGAACCTTTTCTTCAAAGACCAGGAGATCAAGGCCTTGCAGCAACAGCTTGACAAAACCAATTCTACCGTTTCCACCCAAAAACAGAGGATCAAGCAGCTTGAAGCTGCAAGCTCTAAAACTCTCGATGGGACTAACACCTCGGACAACAGCCACATCACTCTACTCGAGCAACAAGTCCTGGAAGCTCAGAAACTTTTGTGTGAAAGAGAAAATACTATAAAAGAACTCGAACAAAAACTAGGCGAATCGCTCTCGAAAGAGTTGGATTCCTTAAACATTAATGACGCGGCCGCGATGAACGAAATGACTTTCCGAGAAGAAGTAGAGCAGTTAAGGTTGCAACTCGATGCTAGGCCCACCATCGAAGAGTTGACCGAACTTCAAGACAACATTGACGAGATGGTCAGGTTGCATAATAACGAGGTGTTCTTCAAACAAGAAGAGCTCCAACGAGTAACGAACGAAAACTCCAAACTCCAGGTGCGTTTGGAGCGGGCTTTGGAAGGTTCTATTATCACCAACCGAATTAGCGATAATACCAGCCATGACAGTATGACAATTAACTCATTACCCATATACAAGCCAGAAAATGACACTGATCCAAGCACCGGTAAGGACAATTGGTGTGGCCTCTGTGAGCGTGATGGTCACAATAGTCTCAATTGCCCCTATGAGAATGATATCTTCTAATTTACTTGTACTTATATAATAGTGATTTAGTGCAACTAACGAAAAATTAAGTAAACTGTGCGTCTAGCACATATGTGATTTCGCGCTCAACGATTTTTTGTTTATTCGATTCGACTCTCACAGACCTGTCGTTGTTTAAATAGCCACCGTTACTATTGCAAAGACAGCTGTTCCTTACCCCATTTGGTGGACTATAATTGCAATCCATATCATCCACCGTCATGACAGAGTCTCTCGAGCATTTACAGGCTTCAGAAACTGCTGACACAGTTAGTCACGACTCAGATCATATACACCAACAATTGAGCAAATTAGACGTTTCAAATGAAGTGTCTTATGATGGGAATACTTCCGCGGTTGCTTCTGAAGTACATGATACACGTACTGGACTGAGTGCAGTTGCGCTCTCAAACCCGGTGGAATTTGGCAATAAAGAATTGCCAGAGTTGGCAGCTACCCAACCCAGATCGAGAAGGCCTTCTTTGGTGACTGATAATACGTTACTTGAGTCCGAGGCTCCCTTGGCACAAGAGCTGCTTGTAATCGACGAAGATGAACAAAACTTGCCCACTTTGATAGATAACAACAAGTTTCAGCAAGAAGCTAGAACTTCTCTTGGCTTGGATCTTGAAGGGGAACAAAACGCGTTCAGCCCGAATGAAGAACAGCTTCAACCGCGCGATGCTGAGGCCCAAGAACAGCAGACATCTTTCCCTTGGGAACTGAACACAGAAGAGCCCCTCCCGTGGGAGACTCCTGCTGCACAGGAAGTACATGAACCTAGAAACGAATCAGTTTCTGCTGTTTACACTACGGAACCGGTTCCACAAACCGAAGAACCACTCCCATGGGAAGTGGAAACTGCTGAAGCTGCTTCTGTGGAAGAAAGACACTTTGAGGCAACTCCCTTGCAAAGAAAGGAAGAACCATTACCTTGGGAACAGGAAGAACCATTACCCTGGGAAGAGCAAAATGAAAATGGTTCTGTGCAAAACAGTTTTGGTAATGGCAATGGTGTCCATGATGAACCTGAACATGTTCATACTGAAACGAATGAAGCCCCTGTGACTCCAATTGGTGGTCCAGCTGACGATTTCTTCAGTAGTCTCGAACAAGAGGGTCCATTGGAAGCCGCTCCCGAAAAGTTAGACCTACAGCCCAGTGGTGGGGAAGCTATTTCCAAAGCAAGTGCTCTAGACGAAGTGTTTGCTGACGATGATCTTTTAGAGGAAGAGCTTTTGGAAGAAGAGAACATCAAGACTCTTCAGGAAAGCTCCTCGTATGTACCAGATGTTCCTCCAAAGGATACGGCCAAGGTCAAGCAACTCGACTTTCTTGATGATGATTTTCTCATTGATGATGATTTTCTTGCAGATGAACAGGTTGAACCACAATCTTTACCTCAGCACCATAAATCATACATCCCCCAATCATCTGTTCCTCAAAAATACACCGTTCCTCCAGTTGCTGGTGATTCCTATAAAAGCCCTTTGGTATCCAAATCATCGCTCACGTCCCAAGATTTCAATTCTAAGTTGCAAGAGGCCAAAAAGAAGAACGATGCTTACGATTTCCCAGCTGATTTGGTAACCAGTCATATCAAACCAGCTCCACGCACCCAGCACACCAAGTATGCACCAAATAAAGTCCTGAATCTGGGTCCTCCTCACCCACCGGCACCTCCAGTTTCAGGTCCACCTCCTTCGGGTTTGGTACCTCCTGCTTCTGCTTCGGGTCCACCAACTTCAGTTACTCACTCTACAATCAGCTCTTCAAGCCCAGCTGCTTCACAAGTTGTCCCGGTTCCACAAGTGCAACCGAAGAAGTCCTTCTTTGAGGAATTGCCAATTAGGATTCCCGACAAGCCCGTGAAGCCAGCAAGAGTGTCCAAAGCTTCCGCAGCTACGGTTTCACCTGTGCTTTCTCGCCAGTCCCCTAATCAACAGTTTCACAAACCAGTTGTGAACCCCTATGCAAGTGTTTCTCACCCACCTGCTGCATCAGCTCATACCCAGGGTGTAATTGGTCCTGGAGTTCCCCCTCCAAGCATTAAGGTTACTCCAGGCCAGCCACAAAAGAAACCTCCTGTTCCCACCACTAATATCAATACAAACCTAGTGAAGACTGTTAGTGGTAATTCTCAAGCAAGTCCTTATGTTCCTAACGTTGGTCCATATGCTCCTAGCGGTCATAATAGAGCACATTCAAGAACTAGCTCTTTGATCGGCGGGAGAGGAAGAGAACACAACCCTTATACTCCAGCATTACCAGCTTCAGGTACACACCCTCCTCAACCTGTATCTGTACCATCTCCGGTACAAGGTTCAGTTCACGTTGCAGTTCCAGGCCCAGGTCCAGTACCGGTTCCTGTTTCTAACTCGGCTTTGAGATCAAGGACTATTTCAAACCCAAAAACAGGGCTCTATGGAAGAGCTCGTGCTCAGTCAATGGGAAAGGTACAAAACCCGGAAGCTTTATTGAAAAGACAGTTTCCTATCTTTAATTGGAGTCACTCTAACTTCGTAAGTGTGTTGATACCCAATGGTGTTTCTCCGACCTTTCAATCCGGAGTTGGTGCCATTCACGTTCGAAACAGTTCCACTATATTCAGTGATAGGGACATCTTAAGTTCATTCCCAGGCCCCTTATCCAAGGGAAAAAGTAAGAAGAAAGAAGTTGAAAAATGGGTGGAGATAAATATTCAGTATCTTCAGGGCTTGAATGATCCTTCTAAAAGTGATGAAATCTTGTTAAACCAAGTATTATTTACCTTACTCGAAAATGATGGAGATATTAGATCAGAGGAATTTGCAACTTCGTTGTGCAAATACTTGAATCCAGCTCTTGATTATGTTACTCCTATTTCGAGTGCGTTGCCTTCCATGGGAGCATCTCCAAATGCGTTTAAGTTGGACCAATCTGGAATCAACCATGTTTTCTTGTTGATTCAAGTAGGTAAAGTGGAAGACGCTGTATCTTTTGCTATTAGCAAGGGTGATTGGGCTCTTGCTTTGGTGTTGGCCATGTCTTTGGATAAGGAAAAATTCCACAAGGTTGCCTCTGACTATGCTAGAGTGTCTTATCCATTTTCCAAGTCTAATAATAAGGTGCACCATATGATGCCCGTTGTGTTAAAGATTATAGCTGGAAATGTCAAGGATGTGATTGAAGATTTCAAGAATGTCCTGGTGGAGGGTGAATGGTTTTCTTCCCACTGGGCTGAGCTTCTTGCCATCATTCTCATCAACAAAAGTCCAACCGGTACCGATTTTTTTCATCAATTTGGCAAGTATTTGAAAGCCTCCAAAAACGAAGTTGGATCCGAAATATGCCATATTCTCGCCGGATCTCCTCTTTCTGTATCCACATCTCCAACAGAAGGATTTTCGTACGTGGGTGGGTTCACCAGCAAGGCCATTTATTCTGAAATTTATGAATATGCTGTGCAAATGTCTCCAAACGCAATTCCAACCAGTTTGGGATTCCCCCACTTGTTACCACTTAAATTGAAGCACGCTCAAGTCTTAGCTGACTATGGAGCAAGCGTGGAAGCCCACAAGTACTGTGACTATGTGGGAAATACTCTCAAGAGTGGTGGAAAGAATCCATTCTTTGGACCAGATGCCTTTGCAGAGTTTCAAAGATTATTGGTAAGAATTTCAGACGCTGAAACTAGTGATTCGAGTTGGTTTGGTAGCAAAATCAGTAAAGTCAACCTCGACAAGATGTGGGGCCATTTGGATAAGTTCATTGGAGGAGAAGAAACCGAAAAGCCAACAGAAAATGGAGTATTCAGTAAGTTCAGTCCTTCTGTATCCAGAGTTGGTTCTGTATTAGACTTCACCGCTGGAGGGCCACCCTCTGGAGGTGCACCTCCACCTGTTTCTTCTTATCCCAACAATCCCTACAACCAGTTTCTGCCTAAAGCTAAATATGACGGGAGTAGAGATCCAATTTTGCAACCACCATCAATTGGAGGTCCTCTCTCTGCTCCTGATATTTATGGAGCCAAACAAGGTCAACATGCTAGTAAGTACTCTCCTTCGGTGAGACAAAACAGCTCAATTCTGGCAACGGCAAGGACTCCATTGCATGAGAACCTTGATAGTAACTCCGTGTTTGCTTCTTCTCCTGCTCCTATTTCTGCACCCCCATCAGCTATTCCTCATGCTATTCAAGCTCAGGGCCTGGTCCAGCCAGCTTTCAACTACCAAAGTTCTAAGTATGCAGCCTCCAACGCTTCTTCCCAGGACTTACATGCTTATGAGCCTCATAACCAAGCTAACAACGCTCAACCACCTTTGAACAGATCTTCTAGTAAGTACGCTCCAGGGGGTGTTCCATCTGGAACTCCTAGCTTGAGCAACCAAAGGGCTCCTCTTAGAGCACCTTACCAAAACCTTGCTGGTACTCTTTCAAGTCTGTCTGTCGGATCTTCTCAGTTGGCTAGTTATGCTCCTACATCGGTTTATGGAGGTCCTCCAACTCAACAGACCCATGCGGCTAATCGTGCTTCAATTTCAAGCATCTCAGACAACTTTGGACAGAATGGTTCAAGTATTAGAAACGAAACCAAATCACCATCAATTCAAAGCGATATCAGTTTGGATTATCCGCTGGAGTTCAAAGCTGGTAGAAGACCAAGTGACTTCTCTAATGATCATGAAGGGTCTTCGAAAGCAAACGATTTTGTCGTCAAATCAACTATTGGAGAAGAATCTCACGTTCCTTCACCTGACCCTGTAAGAGCTGAACTGCAGTCGACCATCCATTCGTACCGTTTACCTTCTTCTAATGAGTTTAATCCTGAATTTAACAATGATCAGAGGAACAGTCAGGAACCTGATGACGACCACGATCATGTTGATTCAATTGAAGAAACCCCATCTAAACCACCTCCTCCAAAAATTTCGACTATTCCTCCTCCAAAGGGTAACACTGGTAAGCGAAACAGACCTAACCCCTATGCTCTTACTGGGGGAGCTTCTCTGAGAGCATCTTCTAGCAAGTATAGTGGTGGTTCATCTAAGTATGTGAATTCAAGCGCACAAGCTCTGCAACCATTTGTGATGCCAGAAATGAAGTCTACTGACATGTTCAACTTTGGAGAGTCAGAGAAGAGTCAGGAACCACCAAATCCAAGCCAACATCACAACATAGAGTCTTCCCCACACAAACATCAAGAGAAGAGCCGTGTGCCCCAGCAGAAGAGTGTTGAGCAGCCACCCAAATTGTTTAGACCAACTAATGTGGATGACTCGTTCGAGGCTCCTGATGATGTGATCTTAGAGACCCCCAAGCCCAAGTCAGCTCCGTTGATTTTGAATAATCGATCTCCAGGTAACCGAGAATCGATGTTTGCTCCATACCAATCTCCTCATGAGACCATGAGAAGAGCGTCTGGTTTTGGAATCGACAGTAGCTTCAGTGAATTTCCTATTCCCGGATCCCCAGATTTGACTACTAGAGCCAACTCTGTGATCAATGGAATGGGAGGAGGGTTATTCTCGTCCAGGTTATCCCAATCTCAACAATCGGCAATGTACCTTCAATATGAAGTTCAGGATGATACTGTCCATGACTATGTTCCTGTCGTCGATGAGGAAGAGGAGGATTCTGATGATGAAAAAATATCCAAGAAGAAGAAAATGGAAGAGGAAAGGAAGAAAGCCAGCCAAAGACGCTCTGCAAACCAGGCAAGAACTCCAGGACAAACCAATAATGGTCGGTGGTTATCTTGGTTAAACAGAAATGATGACAGACCAAAAGCTATTAGAGCCAACATGGGTGAACAGAATAAGTTTGTCTACGATGAAAAACTCAAGAGGTGGATAAATAAGGACATTCCAATCGAGGAACAGCAAAAACCTTCTGGTCCGCCACCACCTCCAAAGATTAGAAAAGCTCCTGGAGGAGGTCCAAGTGGTCCTGCTCCAAACAGAGCCCCTCCCGGACCCCCAAACATTTCTACTAGTCCATCAGCAGGCTCGGCGCCTCCAGGTGCCCCTTCTAACACATCTGCTGGTCCAGCTGCAACTTCTTCTCCTACCAACAATGTTACAGGACCTCCCAAACCACCAGGTCTAGGAGCAAACCCTCCAAGCCTTGCCACTGCCGGCTTGGATGACTTGTTGTCGATGGGGGGTTCTAACGCTAGCATGACTAGTACTAGAAGAGCTAAGAAAGGTGGACGCAGAGGTTACGTTAATGTGTTGGAACAAAAGTAATTATTAGCATATATACATTTTTCATATACCTGGTTGAATATTCAAGTGTGTAGAGTAGGCTAGTTGAAATTACATGAAGAGCATTGACAGACTTTTCTCCCTAGTTTCTTATTAGCAATTAATTGTGTAGATCACCCGGGTGCCTGGACTTCTCTTCATTACACCTCACTCCAGTCTCTTCTCGTTTTATAATTGTCGCTTTTGGCTGCAAAATTATATATTCCATCCGCTGCAACCCTAAATAGCCGTTTCAATCGTACGAACCATCAGTGGTCCGTAATAAAGAGTTTTAACAACGACACCAAGCACTCACGGAGTTTGGATCCCCTTCAAATTAACACCACCGTTCCTTCTCACCCAGATCATTGGAACATGGGACTCGTTTCATTTGTTCTTGTCATTAGATAATAAGTGGGCTTCACAAGTTTGCCGCTTCGGAGTCTTCGGTCTTTGGGAGAGTCTGGTGAACGGTGGTATCCCAATTTGCTGTACCATTTCAAAGCCTTTTCGTTAGCTGAAAACACCGTCAAACTCGTCCGTTTGCTACTAAGTTCATCATCTTCTTGTGCATCCAAATGTAAAGAAAGCTGGTGGAGCTTTCCCATCAACTTTGAGCCGAGTTTATTGTCTTGAAAATCGGGATCAATGTGGATCTCATATAGGTAGAGAGCTTTCTCTCCACAGTCAACTACCAACATAATGGATATAAACCCTATAATCCGGTCCCCAAGCATATACGCCACGTATACCAAACCCGTCTCTTTCATCTCAACTATTTTCTCCTGTTTCCAGTGTTGGCCGTTATTTTGACAATACAAGGTTCCAATGGTGGTACCAATTAGCAGTAGAAATGGAGCCAAATCACTGGCAGTAAGTTGATGAGCAGCCTCAACACGGAGAAATGCCTTCTCGCTTCCGATTACCATGACCAGGGGGAACACATCTGCCACCGCCTGGCCCACCTTCTCTGCCACCCTCTGCATCAATGCCGTATCACTCTCATCAAACTCCATCTCTAGGCCCACACACCCGACCGCGAAACGAAACAATATACGGCACCCAGGAGCGTGCCCCCACCGGGTACGTTATCACCAAAAATGCGACCATCGCGTTTGAAACCACCTAGCAAGAAGATGATCAATTGTCAGACACACGGGGGACTCGACCGCATCACCAACTCCCAGAAAGAGCGAGCGTACGAATTGTACCATCCGCTCCAACAGCTGCTCAAAACCCGAAATGACCAGCCCTCTCATTCCCAGCCTCTGACCATAAAGCACCATCGGTCACCCACCAGGGCCAATCTGAGAAACAAGTTTAGTCGAATGAGCGAAGTCCGCCACCGGCACAAGCAAGACCAGCTCTCATTGCGGCGCGAGAAGGTTACTGACGACCAACTAAAACAGAGCTTGCAAGTGATGCACGAGTTGGATAGTATTTCACTTCAGGTGGATCTTGACCAGCTTATTGATGAAGAGCGGGAACTCGAATCTTTACGAGAGCAGGAGAAGGAAAAGGCTCAGGTGTTGACGGAGTTGGAGGAATATGAGAGAGAGTTGGAGGCATACTTCCAAGACCTTGAGATCCGAGACTGACTGCCAGAAAGCAGAAATGAGTTACGAGTAGTTATGTACCAATAAAGATGAGTTACGTTCGGTAGTGTAGACGGGTTAGAACTTCATGGTTGGTTAACTAAGTAGACCTACAAGAAGGCAACAGTCACAACCAAGTCTCTGCCAGGTGACTGCCAGCCAACATCACCAACTGACCGCCAGCCAACACCTACTGACTACCAGCCAACACCTACTGACTACCAGCCAACACCTACTGACTACCAGCCAACACCTACTGACTACCAGCCAACATTACCAACAATAGATTGCACTCCCACCCGACTCTCACGCCCTCGGCCTCTATTTTTATCAACTCCACGCTATACCAGATGAAATCAAGAACAAAAATCGCGTAGACATTACACAAAATCAACGTGTCAACCCAAATGAAGGTTTGTTTTCGAATCGCCTCAGTTAAAATTTTTCCCGCCAAAAGACCTGGGACTATCCATTCGTTTTTCATCTTCTCCAATCCTACTTGGAGTCCTTCCCTCGTTGTCCCCTACGTGTTTGGCCCTATCCCTGCACCATAGTTGTGTGCCTGTTCTCTCCCGTTTAGTTTGATTTGGACATTATCCACCCCTATTCAGTCTGTGAAGTTTGTTTGGAATCAACACTATGCACATCCAGTTGATCCACCACGCGTTGGCCCTCTACACCCGGTCCAACAATGATAATGACGACAATTGTTCTGGCAAGAACAAACACTCGGCCCAATGCCAAAAACCCGAAAATGATAATGGTTTAACAGTGGGTTTGGCAGTTGGTTTACCTGTCGCCGCAGTTCTTCTAATGGTGAGCTATTTCATCATTAGAAACTATAGAAAGAACAAAAAGGAAAGCATGGAACATGACCCAGACTTTGACGAAAATGGTGAAGCCACCGTGTTGCCCGATTTCCCTATTGGTGCTTATGGAAGACCAGTGGAGATGGAAGATCCATTTGACAATAGAAACAGTGCCCGTTTCCCTCCACCGGCCCCCAAAGGTGCCAACTTCCATGGTGGCCGTTCATCGTCAGCTCTGTTTTCCGGAAGTACAAAAGGTGATGCCTACGTGCAAAGCTTTGTGTTGCCGTACCAACACCAAATTGGCAGCAAGGTCTCACTTGATGAGTATGCCAAGCAGTTGGGTGAATATGGCCTGGTGTACGCGGCATCTCCTAGAGGCTCGGCCTACCTTGTCCCCGGGGGTCACACCCGTGCTGGAAGCTCAAATCTTTCTAATTTCCCTGTGGTTCAGGCGAACGGTAGTGGTAATAAGAGTACTACCGTGTCTCCTCAGAAATCCAGTTTGAAACACGAAACCAAACCTTCTGTGCCCGAGGCGGCCAAATCTGATTTGCAATATGGATCTATTGCCCCAGAGGATGGTATTGAAGAGGTGAGTGACGACTCGGACTCTTCCATTAGAGGTGCTGGTTCTCCCCAATTTGCAATTAACTACGAAAACGAGTCTGACCCTCACATCAACAACACTTTGAACCAGAAACTCCCACTGCCGGTAGTCCGTGTGGATGCTACCCATGACACTAGTAATGACTCGTTCAATACCACTACTGACCAATTCATTCCAAAGGAGGTTCCAACTATAAATGATACCCACCCTGAAAGGATAGAAAACAACCATTCTCCGTTCTCAGATAACGCTCAAGTTGACACTCCTCCATCTGTGGAGCCTACAGTTACTGAAGTTGAGGACGAACAAATCGATGGGGATTTCGACTTTTCCAATGAAAGTGCTGATGCTAGTGCCATTAATACCGTTGGAGTTGGTGAACAATTGACAGCCAATACCTCAGCGTCCAATTTGGATGTTCCTGGAGATGCAGAAGGTCAGAAATTGGCTGACAGTGAGAGAGTAGATAGCGGATCCAGAAAATCTCCCAGAATATCTGCTTTCAACTTGTTAAAAAATGTTAGTGACGATGAAGATGATGGTCAAGAGGAGCATGATGAAGACAAGCCTCTTGAGAATGACTTGTCTCCTGATCAAGAAGAAGAGTTGAGAAGAATGAAGTCTGTCTACAGATTATACTTTGATAGAGCCAACTCTGTGAAAAGAAAAGATTCGGTCAAGTCTGAGCATCCCGAATATGAAGCCAACTATGAGTTCCAGGCTGATCCAGACCAGCCTTTACCTCAAGTCGATATGGATCAGTATTTGAAGATCAATACTAAATTGAGAACTGACACTGACTATAACAAGAGATTAACCACCACGTCATCAATCTATACCGATAACGGTCCTGAATTTGTTCAACGTGCTCCTCCTCAACAACAGTATAACTACTACTTACAGGATCAGAGCTTTCAACAATTCTATCAAGAGCATGTTCAGAGCTTACCTCCATTGCAAAGTTTGCCTAATCCTTCTGATATCAGAAAATCAACCATTCAAACATACACTGACTATCAGCCTAAATCTAAAAATAATCCGGTGACATCTCCAACAATGAAACAGCCTTTCAATCCTATTGAGAGCGATAATGTCTGGACTTCACCTGCTTCTTCTCCTGTGACCAACAATCCTCCAACATTTGAAACGGATACCTACACCAAATCGTTGGCCTCTGCACCTTCTGCTACTCAATTATCTAGATCATCTGTGGTGATGTTGAATCCAGTAACAGAAATCACCAAACAGAGAAAATTCAAACCTGCTGGATCATTACCTAGCGGACATAGAAACAATCATGCGTACGCCAATGCCGGATATGCCCAACAAGGTTACCCTCAACAAGGTTATCCTCAACCAGGTTACCCCCAGCAACAGCCAATGCATCAACAACACTCGGGACAATTCACCCATGAGCATAGCACCGATAGCTTAATACCTGGTGGAAAGAAGAGCGATGTAAGAAAAATGATGAATAGCAACTTCTAGTTCTACATCTCTGATTATAGTTGACTTGTAAGCTAGTGTACATTATTATGAATCTATTTAAATGCCAGGAATACCTTTAAGTTAAGTCGTAATCATCAATCTTATTCTTGTATTTGAGTAAGTTTCTCTTAATCTTGGACGTATCAACCCAAGTGAGATAATCTTCCAAGTTTCTCGTCACCAAGAACGCTGGATCTGTGATGACATTGGGGCCCACACGTACATGGCCCTGTTCCACAAAAGTGATGGCGTCTTTCAAAGTTTCTGCCATTTTCAACCTGCACATCACCACACCTATCCGTCTTCTACAAATGGCACTAACAGTGACCTTATTCTCCAAATCCGATATCTTTGACTTGGTGGCCAAAACTCCGATATTATACAACTTCTCTAACAAGAGCTGTTCATGCTTTATTCTAAAACTGTCGGTTGGAGACAATAGTGATAACTTATTTGCAAGCTTTCTGATATCCCCACAGATTTTGTTATATTTATGGTAGTCTTCTCGATTTTGGATGTGATACATTCTCATAACTTGGGTGTCACGGTGCCCCTGGTCTTGTTTCCAGTCTAGGAAGTCGACCTTCTTCAAGAGCTTCTTCTCATGATACTTCAAAGCCCGAACCATGTTTGCAATGAGCTTCAAATTTTTTCGCTCCTACCGTGCGACTTTTATTTGGTTCTGGGAAATACAAATTTTTCACTCACCAATCACCAACCATGTTTAAAAACGGGGGAATGGCTGTGGCCACGAGCAGCCGATACCTCAGCACCTCATGTACAAGATTTTCTAACATAGGAAGACAACCCATAAGAATCGGTAGCGATGTTGAATGTGCCACCTACCAGATCCCCTATGAGTTCTGTAAGACGTTTACAAAAGGAAAAGATACGATAAATTTGGACCAACAAGTGGTGATAAAAGGCCCCAAGGGCGTGATGAAGTTAGCATTACCAGGATTCGTCAAGGTATTGAACGAAAACGACCTCATTTCTGTGAGTGTGGAAGACCCTACTAATAAGATCCAAAGAGCCATGTGGGGGACCTCCCGAGCCTTGATTCAGAACAACGTGATTGGAACCTCTGAAGGTCATTTGGCGGTTTTGCGGTTCGTGGGAACCGGTTACAGAGCTCTTCTCGAAACAGATGAAAACGGCACTAAGGTGGTGGCCCTCAAGTTGGGATACCCATACACCCCCAAATTAAGAGTTCCAGTCGGATTGACGGTGTCGTCGCCCAACCCAGCCAGATTGTTGATCGAAGGTGTTGACAAGCAACAGGTGAAGTTGTTTGCTGCTAGAATCAGAGAATTCAAGAAACCGGAGCCATACAAAGGGAAAGGAATCTTTGTAGATGGAGAATCCATCCATTTAAAGGAAAAGAAGATTAAGTAGAATAAGTGATGACTGGGGTGAGCGTCGCTAGAATAGCTTGTGTATAGTCGTTCATAATGAACATTATTATTAGGTTGTGATATTGTAGGATCACTTATGATGCGACAAGGTACACTCGCACTCGAAAACTTTTCAGTTTGAACCAGTGAAAATTTTGACCCACCCTCACCAATGTTGTCACTAGGTTTTAAAAGGGCAAGTGTGGCCAGAAGCTTGGAGTTCACGCGGACCGTGGCCCAGCTCACATCCATCCACGCTGTTCCCAGCGTGAAAACACCCGTGGGAAGAGTGAATCACTCTTTGGAAGCCTCGAATGAGAGAAAGTGTTTATTGACTAGACCCGGTCTTTTGGGAATAAAAAGAGGCATGATCACATGGTTCACCGACAGTGGTGAGCTGTATGCTGCCACCGTCATAGAAATCGACGCTTGTGAAGTTATACAAAACAAAACCTTACTGACTGATGGTTATTGGTCGGTGTTATTGGGACAAGTGGATAAGTTGAAGAATATCAGTGAAAATAACTTGAAAAAATTCGAACAAGCTGGAGTAACTCCCAAGCATCACATTGCTGAGTTCAGAATCAGAGATGGTTCGGGCTTAATACCAGTGGGTACTGAGTTGAGAGCTGATTACTTTGCTGTGGGACAACAAGTTGATATCAAGGGAGTCACCAAAGGGAAAGGTTTTGCTGGACCCATGAAGAGGTGGGGATTTGCCGGTTTACCAGCCACCCACGGTGTTTCATTGGCTCATAGATCGCATGGTGCCATGGGTGGTAATCAGACCCCCGGTAGAGTTTTACCTGGAAAGAAAATGGCCGGGAGAATGGGAGGAAAGAACTGCACTGTTTTCAACAACCAAGTGTTGTATGCCAATGGAGACGAAGGGATCTTGATAGTAAAGGGACAAATCCCTGGTCCCAACAAGTCGTTTGTAAAGATCAGAGATGCCCTTAAACTCTATGGTAAATCGCTCTTACGAATCAAGCACGAGAAAGAAGGAGGCGTGGTGGCTTCTAGTAGTTAAACTGTACATAGTAAATATCATATCACCCACTGTCAATAATGCTCTCTCATCACCTGGAGGTACCGGACTCGGAACTGCCAGGAGAAAAAAAAGGGTGTATGACAGTTCAAAACATCCCATTAAAGGAGATCCAAAAATTCCAAATACGCCATTGACAAAGACAGTTCCCGGATGTTTCTGGTAAAAGGCAAGAAACATGTACGAACAGAAACTGATCTTCTGGCGACGAAGAAGAAAATTTGCCAGTGCGAACCAGCACCTTTAAATAGGTGAGCAGAGGGTGGTCGTGCGCGGGGTGTCAGATTATACTTGAATGAATTCCTATTTACAGAGTCTAGTAGTCTACTTTTTTCTAGTCAAAACGGAGTTGGTCAAGAACTCCAATGCACTTCGAGAATCACTCTCGGGTAAAACCCTCAAATTATCCAACGCTTTTTGACAGTACAATTTTGCCATTTCTCTGGTCTTCTCTAGCCCATCACATTCTTCAACCTGTTTTCTGGCCAATTCAACATCTCCTTCCTGACTGAACTTTCTAGCAATCAAATCACCAATCTCAGGTCTTTCTTTCCAGGCAAACAAAATGGGAGCCGTGGCCAAACCCAACTTCAAGTCTGCTTGACTCGGTTTACCAAACGCACTGTCACTTGAAGTGTAATCCAACATATCATCAACAATTTGGAAGCAAAGCCCCAAGTTTCTGCCAAACTCGTAGCAGTTGTCGATGATGTCGCTCTGGGCCCCGCTCAAAACCGCGGCAGCTCTCGACAGTTTGGACATTAAAGAGGCTGTCTTCAAGTACGTCTTGTGCAAATAATACTCAAAAGCAGCATTGACATTGGTCTCATGATCGAAGTCCACAGGCTTGGTGACAGTATACTCATGGGTCTTTGTGGGCACTTTTCCTGATGGTTCTGGTACTGTTTTGGATTCTCCGTCGTTATCAATGGAGTTTTCGGCAGCCGGGTCGATGACAGTGTTTTTCAACTGCATGAATTCACCCTCCACCAAGTTGGCGATAGTGGTCGACAACAACTCGATGACTTCAGGGTTTCTCAACCGGGCAATGGCCACTGAGGCCCTTCCCAAGAGAAAGTCACCTGCTAAAATTGCCATTTTGTTGGTGAAAGCAATGTTTCCGGAAGGTCTACCTCTTCTGGAGTCGGAGGAGTCTATCACGTCGTCATGCAAAAGGGTTGCGGTGTGGATCATCTCGACAATTTCCGCCAACCGTCTTTGTTTGGGCAAAATTCCGTTCATGGCGTCAAACTCAGGAAGTCTATCCATGGGCTTACTCAATGGATCCAAAATTACTTTGGGATTGATTCCATATAAGATACTCAACGGTGAGAGCGAGTCATCCACAGACTTCCCGGCCACTACTGTTTGTGACGGGGTGCCAGAGAAGGGTTTTTGATCGGTGACATCGAGAGAATCGATCTTTATCCGATTGCGCTGCTCAAGCGGAATCTGCAGCAACGACTTGGCCAAGAGTAACACGATCAACGGCCGGACGTTTTTACCCTCTGCTTCGAAGTAGTAGGATGATACACGGTTCAAGACGGGGTGGCCAGAACCAATGAGGTTTGAAATGGACTTGGCCAAGTTAGACATCTCATGGCTTACAATGGAGAACGGGTCGCTGAACAGCTGCGAGTTTTGCGGCTGGACCAATTTCTCGGCCGCCTCCACGGCGGCGGTAAACGACGAAGGCTGCGTGGAAACCATCCGGACCAAGAGGGGTATCTTGGTTCGTATGGCCATTTGTTTCTGCACACTTTTGACTGCCTTGTCTAACATTGCTGGGCTGGTGAAAAAGGTGCAAATGTCAAAGATGCGAGTGCGACTGACATTGGCTGAAGCCAGAGCCGAGCATGATCACGTGATGTATGTGTAATTTCTCTAGATAGGTTCTACTCATATAGCTGACGTTGATCAGGGTGCATATTCGCTAAGAACACATCGGGAGGCATAAGTGCACCTATATTCCGGATTGCATGGACGTTCAAAAACGTCAAACCAAACATATAACTGGCGTTGACCCAGCCAAACCCTTCAGTAGCAACACCTTTAAAGTCGGCACCTTGGTTGCCATACTCAGCATCCACTTTGTGTGGAGTGGCCCCTTTGACCACGTTGTACTTCTCCACCACCACCCCGTTATAGTCGGCAAAAGCCTTTGTCATCAAATAAAGCCATCTGTAAATGAGCCTACGAGCATCACCATCAAATCCATAATTGGCCAACCCAATCCATGCCAATATCTGCTGTGGGGCCCACCCGTATGGGTAGTCCCATTGCCGTGATGGTCTGCTCAAGTTCACCGCACCTCGAGATGCCTCGGTACCAGCAACCAACCCACCAAACTCTTCGAACTTATGAAGTGACTGTTTCACCAACCGAGATGCCTGCTCGGGAGACGCCGCTTTGGACCACAAGGGCCAAAAGGTGGTGGCCGACTCGTAGCCGGTCTGTGTGTGGTTCTTGATGTGATAGTCGTAGAAGATCCCGTCTTTTTCGTTCCAAAGGTACTTGGTGATGTTCTGTTTCCGAATGGTGGCACGCTCCAACCACAGCAGTTTTGTCTCTACCACCCCATTGACTTGTAAGCTATTGTGGAAGTAGGTCTCCACCATAAAGGCAATATCCACCTCGTACTTGTATAAAAGTGAGTTCAAGTCAACGGTTGCAAGATACGCACACTTCCCTTCAAGACGGTAGGAAGTGTCGTGGCCACTCTCACGAACGGCCCTATCGTGCAAGAAGTATTCGTCCAATGCAGGCTCCTTGATCTTCTCCGAGTTGTACAACTCAATGAACTCTTCGTGAGATACGTTGTACTTTTCTGTATAAGGTTTTAACACCTCAACAAAGTGCAGCGACTCTGTCTCGGGTGGAACTCCCAAGCCTTCAGGATGATAGCACGAAAGCCCGGTGGCGTCATCGTACCGGGGTTTGGCGGTCCAAATGGTTTTATACTCGATTATGGCCGCTTTGACGGCTCTTTCCAAAAACTTGAGCGATTCTTCCGTGGCTTCGGGTCTGACCTCCATGAGCTTGTTAAACACCCGGAGGGCCATATCTGTCAAGAACGGGGGCTGGGATCTTCCCAAATAATAAGATCGGTTGGCATTCAAGACCTTACCGTAGTGGTTGATTTCGTAGATGAAGTTCTCGGTCATTCCCTTTGCAAGATCCAAGTTGGTGGTGTTTGTGGGGGTGACATCCACAAGCAACCCCAAGCTTTCCATATACGAATCCCATCCGTAGAGCTCATTAAACCTTCCTCCTGGAACCACATATGGCTCATTGATGAGATTATTGGGGTCGTTGGGGTCGGGACGTGATTGCAATGCCAAAAGACCTGGTTTCTTATTGATCGACCGGATGAACTTGGCATCTATCACTTCAGGAAGATATTGCACGTCGAGGTTGGCATCGGTATTGGTTTTTTTGATGGACATAAAGTATTCAAACTGGTCGGCTCGGTTGTGGGGCACATATATTCTGTGGGTTTCTCGGGCAGCCACCTTCTCGCCCTTCTCGTTGATGTATTCCTCGGGGATCTTGGTGTCTTTAGCCATCTCCATGATGGTATTCTTGGTCATTTGCCGGGTGAGGTTCTTCCAGAACTGGGTGGAGATCAACCTCTTCATCCGAAACACAGGGTTTTCACTCAACCGCTGCTCATCCAACACCAAGTGTTTCTTGCCAAGCCGCTTGGCAATGGTCAACTCTTGAAGCAAGTTGGATAACATGTATGTGCCTCTGATATCAAACTGCTTGTACCCATTGGAATTGGCAGTTCCGAGCTTCAACACCTTGGGCCCGGTGTCTTCGATGGTGATTTGGCAGTTATGATCGGTGTCTTCGTTGTTCAAAAGTTGGGTCAAGGTGGTGTCAACATCAGGGATATAAAACTTCTTGGGTCTTCTGTACATATTATCATCCCACGAACTTCTTCTCAAGTGCAATTGCTTGATACGTTCATTGACCTCTTTGACTTCCTCCTCCGTCTTGGTCAACTCCGAGGTCGAGGAGAAGCTTTCGTCGTAAACGGGGACAATGGAGGGTCTTTTGGCAAAATTAGATGACTCTTCGGACCTTGATGACCCAGACGAGTCACTTTGCAACATGGGGACAGGGACGTTTTTGTCGGAGACTTCGGGGGCCGGGGTCGATGAAAGCGAGTCGCTGGGAGTTGGGGTGTTTTCATGGGACCGTTCGGAAATCGGGTCATCGCTGTAAGGTGAAAACTTGGTAGAGCTGGATTCGAACACCGAGAAGGTTCGGGCTCTATTCATGGAGACATTCTTGTTGCTGTAGTAGTCTTCTGGGTCCTCGAAGGGATCGAATTCGGAAGACGAGCTATGTGTTCTTTTATGTTGGCTGTCACTCATGGTTGAAGAAGAGACAATTAACAAAGACAAAGATTTGAGCGGTGTGTGTCTATATATGATAAGCGCAAAGATGACATTGTCGCGAAAAACATTCCCAGAATAATTCCACGCAAGTCTTTAAATAGAAAATGGGGAACAGGAGAAGGGGGTTTGAAGGGCTGGTGGCAAGGCTGGTGTTGTGACTAAGTTTTCGATATGGGAGTATGAGTAGTGGTTTGGCGGGTGCAAAAGTTGCAAAAGTTGCAAAACTCACAAAAATTACCCAAATTGACTACAATAGAGTGGATGCAAACTCATCAGCAGTGATTTATATAGACATAGTTTTCACAATGCATATCATCCTGGATTACCACTTGCTGCAAACGTCATCTTCTGGTGCGCTCGTCGCTGCTTCTAATGAATGCCACAAGGGCTGGACCGGAGGAATCTCGGATCAACCCTAACACCTCCGAGGTTAACCACCATCACAGGATAACGTAGTGGCCCGGGGTTTGCGCACGACGGTGCGGGTCTACCACCAGTCGCCGGGCTAAACTCCAGAAAAAAAAAGAACTGCTGCGGAGCTCGCCCACTGATGAACACACGTTATTCGCAGCTGACCAAATTGCCCGCCACCATTGGCTCTACTTCAAATACCCTTTAACTACTGTCCACGGCTGCAAAATATCAGATGCTTGCATGTCTGCCGCGTTCGGAGCCGCAACCGCAATTAATTCCAAAAACTCCCACTGACCCGGCTGCCTCCCGGGGCACAGGCCGGCACCTTTAGTTATGAGGGGACAAGGTTTTTTTTGACCCCTCGCGCACGCCCCTCGACCCTCTGATTCTCTGGGGTAAGCTATTTACCGTTATATATAAAGGGGGCATTTCCTGCCAACATTTTTTCTCACGTCCAGTACTTTTTTTTTCTACTAAAGTTATCATGGTTAAAGTAACTGTTTGTGGTGCCGCTGGAGGTATCGGCCAACCCTTGTCCTTGTTGTTGAAGTTAAACGCCAACATTTCCGAATTATCCTTGTTCGATGTTGTCAATGTTCCCGGAGTTGGCGCCGACTTGGGCCACATTTGCTCCGACTCCAAAACCGAATCGTTTTTGCCCTCCTCCAAAGAAGATAAGTCCGCCTTGGCCAGCTCTTTGAAAGGATCTGATTTGGTGATCATTCCCGCTGGTGTTCCCAGAAAACCAGGTATGACCAGAGATGACCTTTTCAACATCAATGCGTCTATTGTCAGAGACTTGGCCCAGGGAATAGCAGAAAACTGTCCCGATGCTTTTGTGTTGATCATTTCTAACCCTGTCAACTCGACGGTGCCTATTGTGGCTGAAACCTTGAAGAAAAACAAGGTTTTCAACCCCAAAAAGTTGTTTGGTGTAACCACCTTGGACATTGTTAGATCCAACACCTTTATCAGCCAAGTGTTCTCGGGCGAGTCCAAGCCTACGGATTTCGATACCATTGTGGTGGGAGGCCATTCCGGTGAGACCATTGTTCCATTGTATTCACTTGGAAAGTCTGCGGATTTGTACAGTAAATTGTCGGAAGATGACAAGGCCAAATTGATTCACAGAGTCCAATTTGGTGGGGACGAGGTGGTGCAAGCTAAGAACGGAGCTGGTTCTGCCACGTTATCCATGGCTTATGCTGGTTACAAATTGGCTGAATCGATCTTGAAGGCGTTCAACGAACCTAACGTGGTTGAATGCACCTTTTTGAACTTAGACGATTCCATTAAAGGTGCTGCTGAGGCCAAAAAATTGGTCGGAGGCTTAGACTTTTTCTCATTGCCAGTGGTGTTGAGCAAAGATGGTATCGCCGAAGTCAAATACGACGTGTTGACTAAAGCCAATGCCGATGAACAAAAGTTGTTGGAAGTTGCCAAAGAGCAATTGGCCAAAAACATCGAAAAGGGTGTCAAGTTCATCACCAACTAATGGTAGATAATATATATTCCTATTTGAACCCCCGTAATCATGTCTCTACATTTCTATTGCTTCTATACCCTCATAATCTTGTCTCTACACATACATTACTTGTATACTAGCTGAATGGCTGCTTTTTGAATGGTACTCCACACATCACCATTACAAATCCGCGCATTCACGCTCTCACGATTTAGGGGCATCCAAAAATTTTTCTGCTTCTGTTTGTTTATTAACAATCTATCATACAAGTGAACCACAAAAATGGAAACAATCTTGGACTTCTCTCAGGATTTGGACATAGGCTTGTTTGATCAGGTGGTGGATATGTTCTACAAAGGCTCAGGACCTGACCAGCAAAAAGCGCAACAGGTTTTGAATGAGTTCCAGGACAATCCAGACAGCTGGAAGAAAGCCGACCAAATTTTATCCAACTCCAAAAATAGTCAATCCAAGTACATAGCATTGAGCTGCTTGGACAAGTTGATTTTATACAGGTGGAAATTAATTCCAACCAACGAACAGGTGGGAATCCGGAACTTTATAGTCAACATGATCATAGCCTTGTGTGACGATGAAGAGATTTTCGCCAAAGACAAGTCTTTGATCAACAAGATTGACATGACTTTGGTGCAGATATTGAAGCAGGAATGGCCTCATAACTGGCCCCAATTTATCCCTGAAATCGTTTTGAGCTCCAGGAGTAGTTTCAATGTTTGTGAAAACAATATGGTCATTTTGAAATTGTTGAATGAAGAAGTGTTCGATTATAGTCATGATCAGATGACCCAGGCCAAGAGCAAGAGCTTGAAATTGAGCATGGGGGCCGAATTCGAAGAGATTTTCAAGTTGTGCTATGAAATATTGGATAAAACCACCAAGCCTTCTTTGGTGGTGTCAACTTTAAACTGCTTGCTCAAGTACGTTCATTGGGTTCCTCGTAATTACATTTTTGAGACAGACTTATTGAAGTTGTTGTGTAACAAGTTTTTGAGCCCTATTAATACCAGATCTGTGAGCTTGAAATGCTTGATTGAAATCAGTTCTTTGAGCTCTTCCGGTTATGAGAAAAACTGTTTGGAATTCTTCAAGGATTCCATGGATCAGATTTACCAAATTATACCTCCTAGTACCAACTTGAAGAAGTCATACCAAAGTGCCAGTTCGAATGATCAGTCATTTTTACAAGATTTTGCCATGTTTTTGTGCACCTTTTTATCCAACAACTTGTTATTATTGGAGCAGCTTGAAGAGTTTGGCGACTTGTTGAACAACTCCTTATACTACTTGATAGAATTATCAAAGATTGAAGAGAGAGAGTTGTTCAAAACTTGTTTGGACTACTGGTCTCAATTTGTTAGAGAGTTGTATGAAGAGATTCAAAGGTTGCCTCAACAAGAATTGAGTCCTTTGATGAGATTGAACTACACTCCTTCCTCTAGAAACGGAATTGGTAGCGGAGGTGCTCCAGATCCCTCTGTTTTAGCCAAGTTCCCATTAAGACAGCATAGGTATTCTGCAATCTTATCCAAATTACGGTTAGTGATGATTGAGAACATGGTAAGACCCGAAGAAGTGTTGATTGTTGAAAATGACGAGGGTGACATTGTTAGAGAGTTTGTCAAAGAAAGTGACACCATTCAATTGTACAAGAGTATGAGGGAATGTTTGGTTTTCTTAACTCATTTAGATGTCGTCGATACTGATCAAATAATGATTGAAAAGTTGGCCAGACAAATCGATGGAAGTCAGTGGTCTTGGACTGCTATAAATACATTATGTTGGGCTATTGGATCAATTTCTGGTACGATGAATGAAGATATGGAGAAGAGATTCTTGGTTACTGTGATTAAGGATTTGTTATCGTTGACTGAAATGAAAAAAGGAAAAGATAATAAGGCCGTGGTAGCGTCCAACATCATGTACATTGTTGGTCAATACCCTAGGTTCTTGAAGGCTCATTGGAAGTTTTTAAAAGTTGTTGTAAACAAGTTATTCGAGTTTATGCACGAAACTCATGAAGGTGTCCAAGATATGGCCTGTGATACTTTCATCAAAATTACCTCCAAATGTAAAAAGCACTTTGTTGCAATTCAGCCTCAAGAAAGAGAACCTTTTATTCTTGAAATAATTCGTAATATCCAGCAAATCACAGAGGATTTGCAACCCCAACAAGTCCACACTTTCTACGAAGCTTGCGGTATCATTGTTAGTGCTCAAAATATCAAGGAATCGAGAGATTCTCTCTTGAGTGAATTGATGAAGTTACCCAACATCGCTTGGAATGCAATTGTTCAACAATCTGGTAGGGATCCCCAATTATTGACCGACGCTGGAACTGTCAAAATTATTGCTAATATCCTCAAGACCAATGTGGCTGTTTGTAAGGCTTTGGGACCAGGATTTTACAGTCAGTTGGGAATGATTTATGTGGATATGTTGTCGTTATATAAGGCAGTCAGTTCAATGATCTCAGATTCCGTCGCTAGAGATGGAATCATTGCTACCAAGACGCCCAAGGTCAGGGGTTTAAGAACGATCAAAAAAGAGGTGTTGAAAATGATTGAAACTTATATTGACAAAGCTGACAATTTGGAAGAAATCGTAAGAGATTTGTCCCAACCATTATTTGCAGCAGTGTTGGAAGATTACCAAAATAACGTTCCTGACGCTAGAGATGCTGAAGTATTAAAATGCATGTCCACGTTGGTGTCTAAAGTCGGACATATGATACCTGAAGGTGTTGTACTAATTTTGCAACACATCTTCGAATGCACTTTAGACATGATCAAGAATGACTTTGTTGAATACCCTGAACACAGAGTGGAGTTCTACGGTTTGTTAAAGGAAATCAACTCGCACTCGTTCCAAGGTTTATTACAATTATCGGGAGATGCATTCCAAAGTTTGATCAATGCTGCTCTATGGGCATTTAAACATAACAACAGAGAAGTTGAAGAGAACGGATTATCTTTGACCTTGGAGTTGATAGAAAATGTCGAGAAATTAGGAGATACTCCTTTCACCAAAGCATTCTATGAGAACTTCTATTTCCAAGTATTATCTGATACGTTTTATGTGATTACGCAACCCGATCACAAATCTGGATTCACGTACCAATCACAATTACTTGCCCAATTGGTTCACTTGGTTGAAGATAACATCATCAAGGCTCCATTATATACTCCCGATCAAGCAGCTCCTGGTACTTCCAACAGTGACTATTTAAAACAATATTTGGGCACTCTTTTGTCGTCAGCTTTTGAGAACTTACAAAAAGAACAGATTATCAATTTTTTGGGTGTCTTGACGACGGTCTACAAGGACCAAAACAAGTTCAAGGCCACCTTAAGAGATTTCTTGGTGCAAATCAAACAATTTGGTGGAGATGCTACTGACTATATGTTTGCTGAAGATAAAGAGTTAGAGAAACAAGAACAAACAAGGTTACAAAGACAAAAGGATATGCAAGTGGGAGGTTTAATTAAACCATCAGAAATGGATGACTAGAGTCCGACCACGCGTTGTGGTTTAATATTTCAATATATAAGCAGTAATACACTTGCCAATCAGTAGAACGTGAGAGTATGCCAAAAAAGGCAATCGACCACAGTGGTGTCCCAATTGCGCGCCTTCGTCCTCAGAAAAAATTTTGTTAACGATCCATTGTCGACTATCAAACATCATGTCCTCTGAGGAAACTAAACCAAAGGTTGAAGCCACCGCCGCCTCTCCTCAACCCCCTACCGCCAGTGTGTTCTCCATGTTTGGTGCTAAGAAGGAAAAAAAGGAAGAGGAATCCAAGGATGAGTCAAAGAAGCAAGATGACAACAAAGATGAAGACGCCAACGATAAGAAGGATGAAGACAACGACGACGCAGAAGAAGAAGTCGACGTGCACTTCGAGCCATTGGTCCAATTAGAGAAGGTCGATGTCAAAACCAACGAAGAAGATGAAGAAGTGTTATTCAAAGTCAGAGCTAAGTTGTTCAGATTCCACGCCGATACTAAAGAATGGAAAGAAAGAGGTACCGGAGATGTCAAATTCTTAAAGCACAAGAAATCCAATAAGGTCAGATTGGTGATGAGAAGAGACAAGACCTTGAAGATCTGTGCCAACCACTTTGTTTCTCCAGACTACGAATTGAAAGCCAATATTGGATCTGATAGGTCCTGGGTGTACTCTGTAACTGGTGATATTTCCGAAGGAGAACCAGAAGCTCAAACCTTGGCCATCAGATTCGGTAACAAGGAAAATGCCGATAAGTTCAAGGAAGTGTTTGAAGAAGCTCAAGCCTCTAACAAGAAGTAATTAGTTAATAAGTCAAATAAACGTATATAGCGAAACCACGTCATGCTACGAGCACCGCGGTGCGTCCCTCCAGGCCTCACGCGCGCAGACCCCGTGCTGCACGTGGAGCGTAATTATGACCGATGCGAATACATATAAATGTTTCTGGTATCCACTATTCTCCATACACCCTCAAAACTCCTGTGTTGAATGAAATTCGGAAAGTATCTAGCATCTCGGCAGCTCGAGTTGCCCGAGTATTCTGGCCACTTCATCAACTACAAGGTGTTGAAAAAACTTATCAAACAACTTGCCATACCTTCCACTGGCCTGACGCTCGATAAACCACTATCGCAGGCAGAAATCCAAAACACCCTTAAGGAGAACAACGCGTCCTTCTTCTTCAAGGTAGAACGAGAGTTGGAGAAGGTCAACTCGTTTTACCTCGAAAAGCAGGCCAATTTGGCTGTGAACTTGGATTTGCTACTAGCTACTAAAAACGAGCTCTTCTTGGACGTCAAGACTCTTATGGATGAGAATAAAAACATCGACTCCGACTACCTCAACTCCACATTCAAGAACTCCATCACCTTCTTGAACCTATATCAGAATTTTAAGAAGATTCATCAGGATTTGCTAAGATTACAGCAGTTTATATTGTTGAACGAGAGTGGGTTTCTGAAGGTGGTGAAGAAATGGGACAAAAGATCCAAATCTCACACCAGGGAGTTGTTCATTCTGACGGCCATGAACGTTCAGCCAGTGTTCCACAAAGACGAAATCAATGACTTGAGTGACTTGGTCACAAGTTCATTATTTGATTTGGAGTCTATTATAGATGGTGATTTGGCTCCTATCCGCAACTTCTCATCGGTAAAAGCTCCAAAATACAGTTTTTCCAACTCTGCTTCCAACAATGATCTCATCAAAGACATAAGGAACGACACGATATCATCATTACTTTTTCCTGATGGACAAGTGGCTCGGGCTAGTCACTTGTCGATTCAAAATAACGAAATCGACGAATTGTACTCCAGTTTCGTTAATATTGCAACTATCAAGGTTCCCGATTTACAGTTGTTGGCTCGGTTGATAGATAAAGTGCACAACCTGTCAGAGGCCTCAGTGGGCAATGACAAGTCTAACGAGTTCAATGAGGCTATCAAGGCCAAATTCTCAAGAGTGTTTCTATTAGCAGTCACTAATTTAAAGATTTCCGATAGCTTTTTGCAATCGTTTTTAAAGCTGATACACTTCAATGTTTCCTTGTCTCAGATCAACAACAACTTCAACAATAACAAAAATATTCTTCACGAATGCTGTTCCATTCCAACCTTTTCAACACAAGAGAGCAATGTCATTATCAACAACGGGGTGAAGGTCGTGAAATCGACAGACTTGATCAAGCATTCTCGTGTTTTTATAGTCCAACGAGCCATGACCTCTCTCAAAGGTGACCAATTGGACCAATTGTTGGTTGCAAGAGACTTCAATGGTAGAAATTGCTTGCATTATGCGGCCCAAAATAACCGAGCTGACTTATTGGATATAATCCTTCCATATTTTCCAAGAGATCATTTGGATGCCTTGGATAATGATTCCATGTCTGCACTATTATTGGCAATAAAGCACGAAAACTTTGAGGTCATCAAGAAGATGGTTGAGAGTGGCTGCAACGTTTACCCTGAAATGGATGATGAGAAACTTCAATACTTTCCCATCAACTATGCCTGCAAAATTGGAAATTATGAAACTGTCAAGTACTTATTGACGGCAGGAAACCCAAACTCGAACTCTATGAATGCATTGGATGTAGAAGGCTTACTGCCTTTACACGTGGTTGCAAGGTCCGGTCACCATCTACTTGTCCAGTTACTTGTTGAAAATGGAAGCAACGTAAACCATGTCGATAGTTTAAACAAATGGCCTCCATTATTTTATGCTGCTTCTGAAGGCAACTTGAAAACTACTCAAGAACTTCTCAGGTTTGGTGCTAAAGTGGATATTGTGGATGAAGATGGTTATAATGTTTTGTATTATTGTGTTGTGGAGGGAAATATTCTGCTACTCAATGAGTTATTGAAATACTATCCAGCCATTATAAAGTCCACAAAAGAGGACTTCTCCAATATTATCGATGATTCCCTCGCTGACAAACAACCTGGGAGCTCTGGTACAAGCAACGAGAATGCAAGCTCAATGGCTATTTTGGACGAGGAAGAAGATTCGGAAGACTCTAATGATCTTCCCAAGAACGTTGATACCATTCCTGACCTCCAGTTACCTCCTCCTATCTTGCCCTTAAGAAGGTATGGACACAATTTCTTGGAACAAAAGGTGTTAATCGAGTTGGTGTTCCCCAACAGTTCAAAGTTTATTAATTTGTTCAACTCAGGCACCGATCTTAAACCTGGGAGAATCACGTTATCATCTAACATTTCCGATATAGTTCCAAGAAACATCATCCTTCCTAGTGCTGATGAAACCAGAGTCAGCAACTGCATATTCCAAACTGACATGGACTCTTTGAATGAATTCAGAATTGACTTCGAAATTTTTCCCAAGTTTGGGACAAGACTTATTGGAAAAACTACCGTCTTATCATTTGCTCAGCTTGATACTTCGTCTTCGGGTATCAATTCAATAAGGCTTCCATTGTTTGACTTGAGATTGAAAAATATTGGTGAAATTTGTTTTAATTGTCAGGTCATATTCCCTTTTGCGGGGGTTTTATTGGAAGCATCAAAGTTTGATACTTATTGGAAATCGTCGACCAAAATTGTTAAAAGAAAGACGGCTCCATTAACAACCTTAGCTTCTTCTCCAAATACTTACCTTTCCCCGTCTACCATCTCAAACACAATTGGATCCAATCAAACTGTCACCTCAACTGCTGAATTGGTCTCAGGTAATTCCACTACATCTTTTGTCACCGCAACTTCTTTGTCTGGAAAATACTTGAGGATTAAGGTTTGTCTTCTTAATGATGGAACTCCCGTGGTCTGTCCACATTGGTCTATATCCATCACAGATAGCATCGAGTTGTATTTACCAAACATGACTTTGGAACAATTGACATCCATTACAGACAACTTATTTGACTACAATAAGGTCGTTCAAGATTTATCCCAAATGTCGATTCAAGATCTTGAGTTGATCAAAAAATTATTAAAGATCATTTATTTACCATTGGAGTTAGTGTTGCAAATTATTGATGTCGAGATCAACTTGAACATCGAAATCATATTTCCGTCCGAGTACGAAATTAGAAATTTGCCATTTGCAGCCAATGTATCACTGACCTTGAACAGTTTCATTGATTACACCTTGAATGATATCTTCAATCATTTGAGGTCCTTGAGAGCTAATAATAAACCCAGCAGATCTGTCATCTTCATTTCATCCAACTCCTTGATCTGTAAGATTTTGAACTGGAAGCAACCTAATTTCCCCGTGTTTTTGGCCATGAATAGTATCTCGTTTAACGATACGTTGAAAACTTTTGAAGTTAAATCTACCAATGGCTTCTTACTTCCAGATTCGGGTGACGACAGTAGTGAATACTCGAGTTTTGATGAAAAGGATGATGATGCAGAAATTCACGTCAAGAATGCTGATCCTGATAAATTGATTGAGAACGATCAAGAACAAACTTCCAAGTCCATCAAACATGCTGTCAACTTTGCTGTGAACAATAACCTTATTGGGTTGATAACGTCAATTCATCTTTTACGACTTGTTCCCAAGTTAATGCCATTGATCAGATCCAGAGGGCTTATTTTAGTAGCCACAAATGATACACACGAAGAAGATGAAAAGATTTTTTCCTCCAAAGAATTGGATGTTTACACTAAAACAGAGATCAACGGATTAAGGTTCGATGATGTGTTAACGTTCAAGGACGACATCACCATGTAAATTACATATTAATGAAACGTATTAAATGTTATTAGTCTGTAAGCTTGTAGAATGCTCAACATTCAGTGTCTCCTCCTAGGTGGTGGTGGTGGTGGTGGTCCACTTCGTGTAGCAAGGGAAGGTGAAGATAGGGCCGAGGGAATAGGTGATGCACAAAAGCGTGGAGATTGTGGTGGAGGCGGAGCTCTTTTTCTCATTGCCTTTTGGAGTAATCTTGAGTGCTTGTCATTAACATCTGGAATAGCAGACAAGTATTCATTGGGAAGGTCAAGGATATTAGATTGTCGTTTTTGTGGTTCCTGGCCAACTTCAGATGGTGCCTGGCTAAGGCCAAGAGAATTAAAGCCTTGAAGAAACATATTATGATTGTTCTCCTGGGCAAGGTTTCCACTCCAATCATTCTGATCTATGTTATGTTTTGTGGTATGCAAATGGTAATCATTTCTCGTGTACGTCCTTACCGAAGCTACTCTGGTGAACGAGTTCGCAATTGATTCGGTTGAAGAACTGGTCTTGTGAAGTATTGGTCTTGATAAGGAACTGGAAGAGTTCAAAGACGATGACGACGAGTTTGCTTGAGAGTTAGGGATAATGTTTCTATTCTTCTTCTTCAACCAAGGAACCGACATGCATTTAGATGCCAAATCGGATATTTGTTTGAGCAGCTGAGATATCTGATCTTCTTCCAGAGAAGCAGATATGTTCAGCACAATATTCAGGAGCATGGCGACGATATCCAGTCTCCGGTATCCATCAACAAGGTCTGCCATTTGAGAAAACCTCGTCATGGGATACATAACCTTCAAGTACGTGAGCACTAAGATCCGGTTTTCAGCATTTTCTTCTTCCATGTACTCAATATCTTCCAATTCTCTGATGAAAATGTCCATCAAGATCTTGAGGTCATTCAAGTAGTACAATTTCGATGTGTACGAAGACGTGAACACAAGGTACAAGAACTTGAGAATAAGAATCTTGATGATTTGGGATTCTTCACGGTTTATATGGTAGACCAAAACATTCAAGAACCCAGATATCTTTGAGTTCACTGACTCACTTCCTTCTTCCAAACTCTCGCTCATTAACCCATCGAACACTTTGTTTCTGATTCCTGGGCTTGAATATGATTTCATCAAGTATTGCTCATTGATGAGCAAAAGAAGCTTGAACTCCTCGTACGCAATTAGTTTGTCTTCGTCTTCCCATTCCAAGTCATTTATATCATAATTGTGGAATGACTTATTGTTGAGCAAGTCGTCAATTATTGTAGCAATGAGACTCGAACGAGCCACCAAATCATCGAATTCTTGGTCGCAGAGCAATTCCACGTGGAAGAGATACTCGAAGATTGAGTCGCAGCACACTTTGAGCAACACAAAGGAGGTTTTTGTGTTCTGGATATGACAAGTTATGAAGTTGGCAACAACAGCTATCAATGAACAGTCACGGAGGGTGTCAAATAGCTCCACCGCATCCACAACATCGTTGAACTCCTTCATATCTGGTTCTTCGTCTTCGGAATTCTTAAACTTCAAAAGGAGAAAGAACACAATGCACACAAACTCTTTCATTCGGTCGTCATCGTCGCAGGTCTGTACTGCACCAGTTTGTACCTCAAAGTTCTTGACATTTGTGAACACCGTTAGTAATGCTAGTAATTTGCCTATACACAATTTGTAGTTGCGGATAAACAAGTTCAGGGTGATGAGCTTCATTGCATAGACTGATAGTTGATGGTAGTTTGTGCCTTCAGCAGTAAAGGCCATTTTTTCGGCCACACATTTGATATAGGTAGAAAGGTTTTGGTTGCACTCGGACGGGTCACTGTTGATCAAACACAAATGCAATTGATCTTGCAGCAACACAACGGAGTCAGGAGCCACATCCGGGAACGTTGTGAGAGGTACCGGCAGTCGTGGCGGAGGCACCTCGAACTCGGACATATTAAAGGTGGCATTCAACATTTGCTCGTGAGAGTCTTATCTCGTGCGGTGTAACTACAGAAACTTTAAGATCGCGAAAGGCTGACATCATGCTACTCAAACCATACAAAATTCTAGCTACCAACAGTTTTCAAATACACATCTGTACCCCAGCCGTGATAACTCTGTATAGTTAACAGGCCCTTGACACGTCCGGCATCATTCTCGACGTCCAAGTCCTTGGGGATGGTGTCGTTAAAGATCTCAATGTAATTTTTCAGCAAGGGCAATCCGTACCCCATACCGGCCACGGTGTTTCCACCGAGTCCAGGCGGTTGGTTGAGCGTCTTATACGCTTCTCCCTCTTGGGATTCATACGTAGAGAAGGAATAGTCGAACATATGCTTCAACACGGCCGGAGGTATTCCTTTACCTCTATCTCTGATTCTCACTTCCAAGTATAATGGAGAGTGGGACACCGAAACCGTTACATTCACCGGCTCATGAACCTTGTTCTCTATATGCGCCCTGAAAGAGTTCTTGAACAACTCCGTGAGCATATAGTCGAGATGGTACTCAATGTAAGGAAAAAGCACCTTATCGGACTTCTTCAGAGCCTTCAAGTCAGGTTCGGCTCGACTCCAGTAAGTATTCGAATAGAGATTATTATCCACACGAATCTCCACCGCCTGGTCATACTTCATCAAGCAAATGTCATTCACGACCTCGGCGTTTTTCTTGATCACGCTGTAGATATCCAATTCCTTAATGACTCCATTGTACTTTCCTCCCTTGACATAGGTGCCTTCTTTCAATGCCTTGGAAAGTTGTATGTGCTGGTGGGCAATGAGCCGCATGCTGATACGCTCTCGCAAGTGTTCATCGAGAAACTGTTTGATTCTGTCGGTGGACACGAGATGAAGCACTTCGTTGAATCCTCTGGACAAGCTGGGAAGAGTGTCTGAGTGGATGTTGATGAACTCGTCCAACACTTTTTCGGCAAATGCATGGTTCTCTTCCAAGGTGGCGGGCGGGTATAATGAGGCGGTTATCAACGAAGACATGGTGTTCAAGTAGCCATTATAAGACTCGGCAACGGAAGGATTTAGCACCACAAGGTAAGGTAACCGTCTAAACTCACGTAGCCGCCTGGCGTTGTAGGCAAGGAGGTATTCGACGGTGTTCTGGGCATTCTGAAGGATGAAGTTTGGTGAAAGAGACTCTGACTGCTCGATTAGGCCTTGGATAGAGAATTTGGAAAGAGGTCTTTGGGCGTAGTGGAAGATGAGTCTTTCTAAAGATGACCTTATTTTGTATTCTTTGAGAAATGCTTCCTGTTGAGTGGTGGATACGTAGCGTGAGCAACGAGGCGCTAGAGTTATGACGGTGGTAAGTCGGGGTACAAGTCTGTGTGTTGTTTGCAACCCTCTCATGGTGTTAAGATAACTGGAGATAAAGCGCACAAGTCGCGAAAAAATATCGCACCAGATTCAATTATGACAGGCTGCGCTGTTTGTGGGAAGGACACGGAAACTAACGGAAGTTGGGTTCAATGTGACATCTGTCGCCGTTGGCTGCACTTCACCTGTGTGGGTGTCGATGTTGCTGTGCTTTTGGCCTTCCATTGTACCAATTGTGCGGTTGATCATGGTCCTAGTCAGTACCGCCGTAAGCTGAAAAGAGCCAGAGTTCAGATAGATTACGTGGCTCTCAACGATGGGGAGGTTTTTGCCGTCGACAAGTCGATACATCCTCATGTGCACAAGTTCCATGCGTTTGAACCCTATGCTGATACTATCGAGAAGTCTACCAATCTTTATGTGGACATTTTGGATGAGCTCACATATGAATATACCACCGAAACTCGCTTGAAACGGCCAATACTCGTCCCCAACGGCGGAGAAAAGGCATCTGTGGGAATGGTTCTCCCAGCTCCACGTGACCAGATAACCATTGACTATATTCTTGAAAAAGTAGGAGGTGATACTCCGGTGGAGGTGATGGACGTTCTCTCCCAGCAGGGTGTAAGTCCACGGTGGAACATGCAGCAGTGGCGAGACTACTTTTCAGCCGCTCCAGGTAACCGGGACAGGATCCGAAATGTGATATCTTTGGAAATCAGCCAGATCAAGGGTTTAGGAGTGGAGTTCAAGCGTCCTAACATGGTAGATGCAATCGATTTGGTGGATAAAACTTGGAATGATAGCTCTGAGAGACCCCAGGTTACCAAATACTGTCTTATGTCTGTGGCAGGGTCGTTCACAGACTTCCATATTGACTTTGGTGGGACTTCTGTGTATTACACTGTGTGCTCGGGTGCTAAGACATTTTTGATGTTTCCGCCAACGGCCCAAAACCTTGAACTTTATACATCGTGGTGCCTTGATGAGAATCAGAACTTCACGTGGTTTCCGGAGTTCCTGAAGTTCAATAAGGGAAAACGAATATATCCTGAAGGGGGATTCAAAGTGACGTTAAGGCCTGGAGATGTATTTATCATCCCTAGTGGATGGATCCATGCGGTACATACCCCCGCTGACTCTATTGTCATTGGTGGAAACTACTTGACTATGATGAATATGAAGACTCAATTGGACATTTACAAGATTGAAAAAGATACGCACGTTCCCATGAAGTTCAGGCACCCTCAATTCAATAAGGTATTATGGTTGGCCAGTTACTACTACTATACTCACCAGGGCGAGTACTTGAGTGACATCGGATGTGGCAAGGACTTGGTCAAACAAGAACATGAAAAAGATGCAAAAGATACTGAAAATAAAATGGTTGCAAAAAAGGTGCTCTCATCGCTCATCTCTCATTTGAGAGACCATTACAATTTAAGCAAGACTAACCACGCCGCAAGGAAGAGCATCCCCACCACATTGATCGGTAAGGATGTCGAAAAATATTTAAATGGATTGAACAAACTACTTGAAGAAGTAATATACAGGGTATAGTAATGATTAATGTTTATTATGAGGCAGTTATGTACTTACAACGTCAACGTTTCACCCTTTTCTCTGGCAGCTTCGCCGTACTTCTTGATACGAATGGCTTGGATGGCAATGAATCCAGTGGTATCTTCTGGAGAGAATCCAGTCAACTCATCCATAGAAGACTCAGTGGCATCGTATAACTTTTCGGTGTCAGAAGATCTACCCAAGATTTGTAAAGAACCCTTGTAACAGCTGGCTCTGACAACACCATTAACGGTCTTTTGGGAAGGAGCAATCATTGCACGAATGTATTCACCTTCAGGAGTGAAGTACATACCGTTGTACAAGATTTTAGCATAAGAAATGGTGACAAATTGATCTCTCAAAGCACGGACTTCTCTGTCCAAGGTCAAACCTTCAATATCAATGTGAGCAGTTCTCAAGAGAGTAAGGCCGGGGGTTTCGTAACAACCTCTGGATTTAATACCAATAAATCTGTTTTCGACAATATCGATTCTACCAACTCCGTTTCTTCTGGCAAGAGCATTGGCTTCAAGGAAGATTTCCACTGGGTCAGTAAACACCTTCTTTCCCACCACCAACTTGACGGGTAAACCTTTGTCAAACACCACGCTGAAGGTTTCTGGGGTGTCTGGAGCATCCGTTGGATCCACAGTCAACTTCCACATATCTTTTGGAGGAGTGGTGTCGGGGTCCTCAAGAATACCGGCTTCAAATGAGATGTGAGCCAAGTTCTCGTCGGTAGACCAAGGTTTGGCCTTGGTCTGGGCAACCGGGATTCCCTTCTCGGAAGCATATTCCAATAAGTCATTTCTACCAGCAAATCTGTTGAAAAATTCAGGGTCTCTCCATGGAGCAATGACCTTGATGTCAGGCTTCAAGGCGTAGAACGACAATTCGAATCTGACCTGATCATTACCCTTACCGGTACACCCGTGAGAAACAGCGATACATCCTTCTTGTTCAGCCACTTGAATTTGGGCCTGAGCAATTACTGGACGAGCCAATGAGGTTCCCAAAAGATAGACGTTTTCGTAGACGGCGTTGGCTTGAATGGCAGGGAAACATACGTCCTTGACGAATTGTTCTCTGACATCAACACAAATAAACTTGGTAGCACCAATGGCCAAGGCTTTCTTTTCAGCTTCTTCAAAGTCTTCTTCTTGACCGATATTTGCCAAAAACGCAACCACTTCGTAACCTTCTTCCAATAACCAGGCCAAAATGACCGAGGTGTCCAAGCCACCTGAGTAAGCCAAACAAACTTTTCCTTTAGACATTCTAATGTAAGCTAGTGTATTATGCTGAAATCAAGAAAAAATTTTCAGTTTTTTCAGCCCTTTTTATATTGCCGATAACGAAGCGCGCTTAGCCTCGAAACCCATTACCCGTTTGGGATGAGTCATAGAGACAAACGGTTTTCATTGGTTAATTTGGGACTTTTTTGCAGTTGACAAGAGTTGGAGTTATATGGATGGTGGTTGGTTGGGGATGAGTGTGGATGGTGGGAGCTTTATGAGAGACGGTGTTTGACCGGTTTTTGGAATTGTTAATTGTTTGGCCTGGGCACGACTTTGTCTCCAAACTATACGGTATAGAATGTGAAAGTCCATAGGCAGGGCTTATAGAAGTGTATGGACCAGCTTAGATGGATTAAGGGACTGTTCTGGCTATTTTTTCTAGAATGAAAAGGCCCTGTTACCTCTATTTCTACTAATTCAGTGTCAATTGCCTCCTTTTCGGGGCTTTTTGGCGTGCTCCATATCCCTCTGTCTCCACCATATGGTTTCCGCCATCTCAATCTCCAAAAATACCTCCCTTCATTCCCCAAATTACTAACTTACCCTCATTGCTCACCTGAGTCAACTGAGTCAAAGAGCCACACAACGCGAGGACTCAGAAAAATGATTTCTAGTCACCTCAATGAATCATCGTCTTCCTCAAAACAACCATCACTGTTCACATAAATGAAAGAAAAACAGGACGAAATCTCCAAGGAGGAGCAGTATAGACGACTCGGAGTCACGCATGCCATTCGAGATAAACTCGATTTCCACGACGAACGGCGCTGGAAGCGGTTTTCTGCCCGCAGGCTAGAGCTCATTGACACTTTGGACTTAAGTTCTAAAAAGGCTTCCGAACAAGAGGCCAACATCACCAAGGTGGCGGAGGCGCTCCGTATCGAGTTTGAGTACCTGCTGGAGTACTTTGACGAGTTCGACCGGCTTGTACGAGCGGCCATTCAAAGTGTCCGTCGAAACCGGAAACGATCCTCCAAGTCAAAGAGAAGTCAAGATAAACTAGCGGGGAAAATCGCCAAGGTCAAGCACGAGTCATTCGATGGTGGCTCCAGTAATACTGACAGTTTCAACAGTGCACAAGACGATAACGAATTTGTGTCGGAGTATACCAAGTTCAACTCGGACTCGCAGGACGATACCAACGAATACTCAAAAAGCAAACACATATCCAACTACGACCAGTCCCGTGCCGCCATTGTGTCGATGGTGCAACCACGGGTGGGACGTCAAAACTCGAATTTTCTCGGGGCCAAGCTCCCATCATTCGAGAGTCTTTCTGCCGTCAGCTCGCTAGCACAAATCTCCTCCAAGAAAGCGGTGCTCTTGAACTATATCGAACGGTCCAAGTCGTGCGCCGAAGCCACCGTCAAGAAGACCGCCAACCTCGAGTTTTTGGGTAGGGGCATCATCATTGCCAGCGTGGGCTACGTATTTGAACGATCTTTTGCATCCACCAACGAGAAGTCCCTCGACTACCTCCGTGGAAAACTCGTTCAGGAACTGTACTTGGCCGACTTCTTCCGCAACTTGGAGACTCTTCCCAACAAGGATGTACTGCTTAACGACGAAGCAGCAGTAACAACCCTATACGCTCTTTTGGGAGGGTGTATCAAAGACTTCGGATTCGAGGCCATTATGTTCCCGTTGTGCGAGCTCTTGTACTGGAATATCATCCGGGAGTATCCCTTGATCGCCCAGAGCTCAGTGCCGTTCAGAAGCACCGATAGTATGGGACCCACATCGCAGCCGTCTCCTGAGATCCAGAAATCCGATTCGTTTCTTCAGCTCGAGTCTCTCGCGGCCGTGGCATCACAGGTCCGCAAACAGGAGCAGGTCCCCCCTGCTCTCCGATCGCTTTCGGTGTCGCCGGTGGCTGGTAAAGTTCAAGGGAAGAAAGCAGTGGCCCTCCGGTTTCTTTCACAAACCCTCAATTTCACCTTCCCCACCAAAGTATCGGCCACTCCCAAGCTTGACGAGCTTCTAGAGAATGCTCGCTCGGCCTTTCACCTTTCTCTGTACGGAGACTCGCAGGTATTGGGGTTGAAGAACATGAAGGACGGATTTATTCTCAAGTCTGATGCTGATGTGGAACGGGTGTTCACCAGCGAAGACCACATCGAGCTCGAGATCTTCACCCAGAAGCCCCAGGCGGTGCCGATCTACGAGATCACCTCGTTGAACATTCCCAATGGCTATATATTACCACCACCGGTTCCGGGTGGTGGTCGCATCAACCTGAGGTCACCCGATACAGTGCCCACACTTGCTGGTGGGAGTTTCAAGTTTTTGTCGAACCAGGATGATCATCCGCCACCACATATACCCCCGGTGCCGATTCTTCCCAAGTTCCAGCCGTTATTATAACCTTTATTATGTACTCTATTGGATAATTAGCAGCCAATTTAAACTCGCGCTCGCCCTGCGAATAAAAATATCATCTACCATGGCCCGGGTATCGGAAGCAAACACCATCCCGACGCTGCCAGACAGGGACGCATACCATGACAATGGGCTAAAGCTTCCAGCAGATGGTCAGCTCGACAATGGTGTACCGGTTTTCACGGCAAACGCCAGGCCACCACTTGTACCACCGCTCAACTTCTCGCTAGTGGAAGACCGAATTTACCGGTCCGGATTCCCCAACCCCTTAAACTATCCATTCCTCAAGCAGCTTGGCCTCAAGACCATCATCTACCTTGGGGATTTGGGACAGGAGGTGAAGAAGACGCCGAAACAGCCGAAAGAACAAAAAGAAAAGAAGGTCAAGAAAGACAAACATACCAAAGAAGATATCTGGAACGAGTACAACGCTTGGATCGGCACCACCAATATCCAATTCCATCATCTCGTGATGGAGTCGTCTCAAGAGCCGTTCACGTCACTTCAGGAGCAGCAACAGGCCAGAGATTCGCTTCGAACCGCTCTTCAATTGATGCTAGATAAGAACAACTTCCCTATGCTCATTCACTCTAATAAGGGTAAGCACCGGATTGGGGTGCTTGTGGGGCTCATGCGAAAGATCTTCCAGGGATGGTGTATGAGTGGGATTTTCGAAGAGTACGAGAAGTTTGCTCTTGGGAAGTCCGAGTTTGACTTGGAGTTCATGGAGTTGTGGCAGCCAGAGCTCTGGGTGAGCCAAGACAGTCGGCCGGAGTTTCTACGGTCATAGACCGACTATAGTTTCTTCGTCGTAGAACGACTAGAGTTTCTACGTCGTAGACGTGACTATTGCATATATGTGGCATAAATATGGGATATGAAAGGGTTCTTGAAATCTTACTCTCTCAACTCTGGTTCTTCATTTCTCTCAACTTCGTCGTCACCTTATCTCCATCAGTCTCTCCCGTGGCCTCTTGCACAGCCGGGTCATGTAAACGCATGAACGGGTTGAACTCAAGCTCATCTCCAATTGTGAACTTACCAGTGGTGAACTCGTTCGTTTGGCAAAACTGGGACAATTTTTGCATGGCAAGACTCTTCAAGATCTTTGACGAAAACACCACATTGGACTTGGTGTACTCGTGTCCTGGGAACACAATGGTGTCATGGGGCAAAGATGCAAGCACTGTGTTCAAGGCTTTATTCATTTCTGCCCCCACCCCTTCGAAAAATCGGCCACACCCGCTGGTAAACAACGTATCTCCCGTGAAAACCACCCTCTGGTTGGTGGTCGCATCCTCTGCGTAGTAACAAATTGAGTCCTGGGTATGACATGGAGTGTGTAGTGCAGTAATTGACAAGTTGGTACCTAGCTCAATCACCTCTTTGTGAGCCGGGGTATGACTCACCAATGGCGAATCCTTGCCAGCAATGACGGGAAGTGTTGGATACACTTTGTGGAAGTGTTTGTTTCCCGACGAATGGTCGTAGTGATGGTGGGTATTTACAATGGCCTTTAGGTGGAAATCAAGATTGTGAGACTTGAAGTACCGCAACACTTCATCAGGCTCGGCCGGGTCAATAAGCCAGGCATCTTTTGAGTCCGAGTCCATCAACAAGTAAGCGTAGTTGTCGCCGGAGCCCCATCTCATGGGAATGGATTCGACGTGCATGGATCTGGTGTGGTTTAAAATCAATCGAGGTTTGAGAAGCATTACAAAATGATATCGCGCATTCAATTATTTAGGGGTGAGATAAACAAAACCGCTAGGTCCACTTCTTGGACTCCATGCCGTCAGGAGGCGACGTCTCAAACGTCTTTGCCTGCGCTTCACTCCAATCGGTCGTTAGCACCGTTCCATTCAGCTGGGTGAACGACTTCATCATGGCTCTACGAGCCTCGTCATCGGCATCCTTATAGATCTTGGAGAAGAATGCATTGGGGTCTTCGTCCTTTTCCTCTTCTTCTTCCACTGAAAAACTGGCCCAGTTGATGGCTTTTTTCGAAGACGTAGGATATACCAAACCCGTTTGTTCAGTTTGAGGTGTTTCTTCATGTACAATGTCAGCAGAGCCGGCAGACGCTTCCAACGCCGTCCACTTATGGGCGGTTTTCTTGGCCAATGTGATTTCGATCTTGGTGCTCTTCACGGTGTACTCACACTTGGAGGTATCAATGGCGCCGTAGAGTGGGTCCAAATTGTAGTTGTATTCAGATCCACTGCCACTGGGGAACTCGACGCTAACGGCGCGTGGGCGGAACTGGATGTGCACAGACTCGGGGTTGATGTTTTTGGCGTAGATGGTGATTACCACTTCATCTTTGGTTTGGTACCAGTCTTCTCTGATTTTGATCTTCAAGGGAGCGTGCTTGTTGATCTCGTCGATGCTTGTGGATTTGGACTGGGGGGAGGCGGCCTGTGAGGTTTTTTTGTCAGCAGCCACTGGTATGGGCTTAGACAAGTTGATCTTGGAGATGCCCTCCTCCAGGTGCTTAAGTTGGTCTTGGTGCGCAACAAACCTCGATTCCAACATCGTTTCCCAGCTGTCTTCCGGGGCAAGCTGGGCTTGGAGTTGATGGGGCCCGTCTGGTTTGGCGAGAATGGCCTGGACATCTTTATGACTTTTGGCTTTCCAAATTGCCAATGAGGGTTCACGACAATCCAACTGTTCGGCTCGGTCAAGGAATTTGCTTGCCTTGCCGCAGTTGTTCTTGGAGTAGTGATAGATGGCGAGCCGGTAGAAACAATCGCCTATATCCTGTTTTTTACCTGTTTGCTGTGCGATGTTAAATGCTTTTACGATATCTTCTTTTGCTTTGGCGAGATCACCACTTCTTTGGAAGGCCACGGACCGCTGTAAAAGCGCCTGGAGAGCTTTGGGGCTCTGTTTGAGGTAGTCAGTGTACGCGTCAATGGCCTCCGGGTACGCTTTGTTTCTCAAATACGAGTCTCCTTGTTTGATGAGTTTGTCGGCAGCCATGAAGTTTATGATCTGCGAGCGCGACGATTGTTGAAATAAGTACCAGAAGTCAGACTACCAATTGATGAATGGTACTGTAACCTATTAACCAACTCACCAATCGTAAGCCTAGCCTACTGCCCAACTCCCGAATAGTAGTCCTAATTCTCCATCAAACTGAATCTACTGATATCTACTTACCTACCAAATATCAAATTGAATCTATCTCTCACTATTCTCTACCCATTTCTACATCACCAATTTGGACCATCTACCAACTCAACAAACTTCTCAACCTTTCCATTCCCAAGCCCAACACCGGCTCCTTCCGCGGAAAGCAGAGCCAGAGGCCCAACATCATCGAGTGAAGAATAATAAACCCCGGCAACACAATAAACGGCCCGAACCGTTGCGACATGATCCCAATGATGAAGGGAAATAACGCCCCTCCACTGGACCCAAACGCGGTGGTGATGGTTAAAGACACCACCTGAATCTTCCGCGGTAAATAGTCCACCGACGCCGCAATCATGAGCGGAAAAATGGGTCCTACAAAAATGCCCGATATCGACACTATAACGCCAGCCACTATGACGTTGGGAATGGCCCATGTTAATGCCACAAACACAATTGCCAACAAGGACGCAATTATTATGCTCCGCAGAATCCCCACGTATTTGTGGAGCGGCCTCGTCAACACCAACCGGCCTATCGTCAATCCGGCCCAGAACCCCGACGCCACGTACCCAACGCTGGCAGACCCGTGCCGATAGTCCAAGAGGAACGTGACGATCCACCCCGCCAACGACACCTCGGACCCCTGATAAAATAATACAAAGAATGCAAGCATCCACGTGATGGGGAACTTGACTGCCTCCATGAACACCGAATGGCTGCTGGAAGTTTTTGCAGCCGGCTGCGAAATGGCGCTGGGGCCCAAATCCACCAACCCAACGCCCTGCTCATCGGTGGGAGACTCAGTGGGGCCTACCAGTGGCTCAACATCGTGGTCCCACGGTGCAAGGTCCTCGTCGGCACCCTTAAAGGCAAATACAAACATCACCCCGTTCGCCATCATCATTCCCAACACTATCAAATAAAAATAATGCCAGGTCACCCCAGCCGACACGATAACAGTAGCAATCAACGGGGAAATAGTGGCCCCGATTCCATAGCACCCGTGGTATGCTGCGAGGTACTTAGACAGTTTATCCAACCGGGCCAAAAACACGTTTGCCTGTGCCAGCACCGATGCCTGGCCCACACCTCCCACGAAAAACGCCGCCACGATCGCGGGAAAAACCGTCCCCGTCAGCACCGTCGCATACATGATGACGGAACTGGCAGTTCCCATCACCAACGACATACGCTTGCCCAAAACCCTCTGGATCTGATGAGACAAACATGCCACCAAGATAAACCCCATGGCGTTGGAAATCCAGATCAATGACACAGTGGTGTAGGTGAGGCCATAGTCACTTTCGATGTATGGCAAGATGGCTCCAGGAGTGGCATCTGAGAACCCGGCCGTGACGCCCCAGAGACAGATGGCCGTGACCCGCCAGAGGTTTCTCTGGGGAAATCTGGAGGTCATGAGAGGCCGTTCTGGTGGTGTTTGTGAGGGAATGGTGGATGCAAAGGTGGATGCAAAGGTGGAAGTAGGGACGATGGAGGAGGCCATTGGTTCGGACCGGTGAAGCTGATGGAAGTCGGTGAAGTCGGCGTTGGAGTGTCTGAGGTCCAACCGGGGTCGTTGTGGTTTGGGGATTGACACTCGCGTAGGACCGGCAACCGGTTCTTCTGTGTAGTCTTGGGAATCTTGCCTGGAGATGGTATCGACCGTCACCGACTCCTTCGATTGTGAGTGGGAGTGAGAGCTGGGTCTGGGTGTACTCATTCTGATGATAGGGTTGAAACTTGCAAGGTTGCAATAAAACATTTCGATGAGCTTACCTGCATCGAGGTAATGCTCGGACATATACAAATGGTTGCTACACTGAATAACCGATTTTATATTATATGCTACATGTACTGGGGGCGGTCTATGGACTACTCGTCATGGACGATCTATAGACTACTCGTGGTGGACAGTCTATGGACCTACTCGTCGTGGGCAGTTGATTGCACCAAGTCGAGAAACTTCTCCTTGCTCATCTCATTGAACAATTCCTCCTTCTTCACCTGACCAACCTTCTCCTTACTGATGGCTTCGTTCGTTCTCACTTGCGTGGACATGATGGCATTAAAGAGTCTCACCACCCCCTTTTGGGCCACCTTCTTCAACTTCTTTTCCGACTCGAGAATTTGTCTGATGTTTTCTTCTTCTCCAGTTGGAAGTAAGTTCTTCACCCGGTGCTTATCGAATGCCTGTTTTTTCTCCGATAACAAGGCTCTTTTGGCTTTGTGCTCAAGCTTGTCGGTTTCAAGCTTCTTCAACACCACCTTATTTCTTGTCATGATGGGAGCTGCTCTGCTGTGGGCCTTTAACTTGGATCCGATGATATTGGTGAAGGCATTGGCAAACGATGCACTGCCGTCGTCTGTGTTCTTTTTCTTCTTCAATTTGGGAATGTCATCGTCGCTGTCTTCATCGCTGTCATCGTTGCTGTCGCTGGCGGCGTCTATTTCATGTTCATCGTCTATGTCGCTATCGTCTGCGGCGCTCAGATCATGGGTTTCAGACACAGACTCGTCGTCTTCAGAGGCAGACTGGCTGCTTTCAGATATAGACTCTTCGTTGCTCTCGTTGTGTACTACGGCTACTGGCTTGGCCTTGCCGGTACTGGTCTTCTGTTTCTTCACAGCTTTGGCACTCATCTCACTTGAACTGAAAAAAAACGAGATGAGATAAATGTGCGGGTCTGATACTGAGATACTGGATTACCCTTAAAATGTAAACAGTTTCAGCTAAACACACTTACGTTTACAAAAGGCCTTTGTAGTCCTAACCTTCTTCACCCAATCGCCCACCCCACCAGGCCAGTAGTTTTTTTTGTATTTACTGGAAAACAAACGCGTGTCCCTACCGCACGCCTACACCTCGCATTTGTTTGTTTGTGATTCCAAACACCACATCAAACAATGGACAAGACAGTTCCCAAGTCGCCAGAGCCGTCCAAGGTGATGACTGACACAACGCAGTCTTCCCTCAACATCCCGCGAGAGTGGCCTTCTCCTCATAAGAGAAGAAAGCTAGAGGACGTGGGCGTTAAAAGCAGAATCCCAGTCCGGTACTCCCACAACGAGCACCTATTGAAACTCAAGCGGTTGGTAGACAAGAAGGAGGAGGCTATCAACCGTGTGGGGATGGAGATGATGACACTAAAGACCAAGAAACATCATTTTGAGTTTGAAGGGTATAATCTAGAAGATGAACAGTTGAAGTTGAAGAGCGAGCTCAACTTGATCACCGGCCATATTGAAGAAATCAGACATTTTGAACAACAGTCGTTACAAGATCTCGAGGCAAAGTACGACATCACGATCCGTAAGCTCAAGTTGGAGCAGGAACAGCGGCTTGAGGAAGAAAAGGAGAAAGTCAGTACTGAGATTGAACAAATCATTGGATCAATCCAGCAGGAACACATTGACCAGAAAACCCAATTGAAGGCCCGATGTGACAGGTTGAGGGAGCAGATCAGTGGCTTTAGTGTGAATGTCGAGAAGTCTTTGAAGGCTGCCAAAGAGAAGCTTCTCGAGAAGTTCCAGGAGTCTGAAACCACGGTAGTGGAGACTATACGCCAGTTGACCAATGATATTACACAGATACAAACAGAAATACGCCAGCAAATAGAACAAGTAGACCTAGTTGAGAGCACCTGTCTCAAGGATGTCACAGAGAAGAACCACCGGTTGAAGAACCAGTTGAGTGAAGTTCAGAAGGCGTCTGATGCCAAACAAGAGGAAATCGAAGTTATCAACGACAAGGTCGCCAGTCTTGAACATAAAATCGTGGATATAGAGACAAGCATTACCAGCAGAACAAATGAAATCAACCACAAGCTGGAGCTGATTATGCAAATGAAAAACGCTCTACTTCATGTTGAACACGAAAGAAGGTATCTCCACAACAAACTTCAGGAGCTAAAGGGGAACATCCGGGTTTACTGCCGTATACGGCCTCCTAGTCCGGGTGTACACCCTCAACAGTTGGCAGAAATAGAGTATCCTGCTGATGATAACGATGTTGATGAGAGCTTATGCCAGGCCATCTCCATCTCCAAGGAACTTCCATCTTCAGAGTACCTTCAAGGACAAACTCAAGCCCGCAACAAAACCTCGTACACGTTCAAGTTCGACAAGGTGTTTGGTCCCAGTCATCAGAACTCTCAGGTTTTTGATGAGCTTTCTCAATTGGTTCAGTCTGCTTTGGATGGTTTCAACGTGTGTGTATTTGCCTATGGCCAAACCGGGTCGGGCAAAACTTGGACAATGTCCCATCCTGGAGATGGGATGATTCCGCTTACGATTCACAAGATCTTTGATGATATTTCAGATTTGAAACAAAACGGTTGGGAGTATCTGGTAGAGGGTCAGTTTTTGGAAATCTACAACGAAACTATAATTGACTTGTTGGCCAATGGATCTGGGGACACCAAATATGACATCAAACACGATGACATCAACGGTAAGACCACAATCTCGAACTTGCGTACCATTCGTCTCAATTCTGCTCAAGAAGCTCTTATGTTGTTTAATAAGTCGGCATTGAACCGCTCAACTGCATCCACAAACTCCAACGAGAGGTCGTCCCGGTCCCACTCCATATTTGTATTGAACATCAAAGGCTTCAATGCCAAAATAGGAACCTCGTGTGAAGGGTGTTTGAATCTTGTGGATTTGGCTGGTTCCGAGCGTCTCAATAACTCTCAGGCCAAAGGAGACCGATTGAAAGAAACACAGTACATAAATAAGTCGTTGTCGTGTTTGGGAGATGTCATATATTCGTTGGGTCAACCGAAGAACAATCATGTTCCATACAGAAACTCCAAATTAACTTACTTGCTCAAACACAGTCTTGGTGGAAACTCCAAAACGTTGATGTTTGTGAACATTTCCCCCGCTGCCACCAACTTCAATGAGTCTTTGAACTCTTTTAGATTTGCTACCAAGGTGGGTAATACCAAACGGGGTTCTGGTATCAGAAAATGAAAGTGTTTGTATTAATATTTACAGGTAAATCTACAGATTTCTTCTACTTCAGAACTGCCGCCGTGACGTTCTCCAAGAGTAAACTGGACTCTGGCAAGTAGTTGTTTGATCTGGTCAAAAGCTTTTTATCAACAGCTGACTGCCATAACTCTTTGTAGTGCGCATGTGCCCATTCTTCAATCTTGTCTTGATCTTCCAGAGACAAACAGAAGTTGTAGAGAGAAACCACTGTATCCTCTGTTACTTCAAGACCATAGTCGTCCATTTCTTCCGTAAGACTAGTGGCCTCTTCAGGAAACCCATGATACACATAAGCGATCAAGTACTGTCTAAATATCGCATCATTCGGAAGAATCCCAAACCTCGAGAGGTTATTCCAAAACAACTTGACATGGTTTAAGTTGCTATATGTGAAAGTTTTAAGCATGATTTGAACGGTTTCTTCATTGATGGTGGATTTCCCTTCGATTTTCTTCATGGGGTTCATGGCCAAAAATAAGTCTCTAGTTTTTCCCACCTCTTGTAGATTGGAGTATGCTTGCAACAACGAATTCTGCAATTCAAGATCTTGTCTAGGTAATGATACGTCTGTTTTAAGGTATTCATGGATTTCCTCTACTCCCTCCTGGTAAAGCTTATCACCAAACTCCTCGAACAAGTAAACGTACATCTCTTTCAGAGGAGGAAGATTATTATGGTTCCCGTGAGTTTCGTAAAGGTTTCTGATTTGTCTGAAGATGATCAAAGAGGCATTTAATCTGCCCCTCTCACTGAAGAACTTGATGGCTGGAAAGTATGATTCATAAGGAACGTGGAAAAATTTGTGTAACTCTCCATACAAAACCCAGTTGGTTTCAAAAGTCTCTTCGTTGGTGTACGAAATGGCAAATTCATGGAGAAGATCAAATAATTGCCTATAAGCAGCTGCGTATGGTTGACTCACCTCGATTTTAATGTTATCGTCCTTCTTGATGGACGGAAGCTCTCTTTTGAGCATTTCAATACAATCTCCCACATATTCTACCTGGAGCATTCGACGGGACAACTCGGTTATGGCATAAATGTTGATGGGACGATCGGTCATCTGTTGCTTGATTTTTGAGAAGAATAAGAACAAGTCTTCAATATCGTTCATATTCTTACATGCTAGGATAATGAGGTCGTTCAAGGTTCTCAATACTTTGGGGCCGGTTCCGTCCCACCACTGGACGTACAGGTTGATGCTCTGTTCAAAGATGGTACTCGATGTGGCCATGTCGTTATTCTTGATGGCAGCATCTATGCAAATCTTGTAAGCTTCCAAAGGAGTCTCTATGCCCTCGTTGTTGAATTTTGTAGTTAGTTCTGTCACGAATACTCCATTGGGAGAGACTCTGCCAGAAGTGACAAATATATGGATGAGCTTGAGGTACACTTTGGAAGCATCCACACCTGAGCTGTCTTGCTGCAAAATATCCTCAACCAGTTCAAAGAGCTGATGTTCATCCTGATTTGGAAGTAAGTATGCTTTTGCTTGGACAATACGCTCGGTCAGGTAGAACATTTGGTTTTCGAGAACCGAGTTCAATAGCACAACTGGTAACTCCTGATAACCTTCCGATAATAGGGCATCGAGTGTGTGGTCAAAAAGCGATTCATCGCCGGGTGCTTGTCTCAAGAATGTTCCTGTCAATTTGGAACCTATTGACTGCAAATAATCAAGGATGGTTCTTCTTGAAGAAATCAAGTTCTCATTATAGTTGACGGAAATGAGCTCGTTGGTGAAGCCAAGAAACCTCAAGATCGTGGACCGTGTCCGCTTTTCAAAGTCGAGCTGTCTCGTCAAGTCCGACGTGAACTGTTGGATTCTGAAGATGTTTCTCTCCAATTGCTTGTATTCATGCACTTGTGGATGGTCTTTTTCAAACATTTTCTCCACATAATTCATGTACAGCTGAAAAAACTCATCGTACAACGGGATGTCATTACTGGCACAAGCTTTGGCTATGGTGTCAAACGTTTCCATGTTCAACGAGCGAGTCCGGCTCAAGAAATCCACTAAAGCGTTGATAAAGGAAGTGCCAATTTGAGGACCGTTTTTCACCAACAACAGCAACGTAGCATGAAAGCTCTCGGGAGTCTTCATCAACTGTGATGCCAACAGGGCTATCGATACCAACGTCTCGTCCTTGAGTGGAGCTTTCGACTTCAACAACTGTCGTATCAAAATCGGCACATATTCAGGCATCTCCAATTCTTCGTGGGCGACCAAAACCGAAATCGACTTTTGAAGAAGCCGCTCGAGATCCTCTTGTGTGGTAATGTGGGCTCGGAAGTGGTTTTGTTTGTACACCTCCAAGAAGATGGTGTTTGTCAAAGTGATTGTTTCTTGGTCGAACTCAACTTCGGAGATGAGAAGTCCCAACTTCTGGAGCAAGAACCGGCGCTTTTCTTTGGGATTAACGTCATTGGAGCGCACCATATGACCCACATCTTTGAAACGAGGGTCTGACATCACTCCCGGTGAGTCTGAAGGTTCTTCTATGATGAGCAGTGTCTGAGCTGGTTTCTTGCCTAGTTTCGTGAGGGGGCCTAACCACGATCTGTGTCTTTGCTGAATGATCCATGCACCCAGTGAGATCTTTATACCGAGGCTTGTGCGGTCAGTAGACCCGTACAATAGCCTCTGTGTGTGTGTTCGAAGTGCTAGTCGGTACATCAAGCGGTTTTAAAATTTTCGCGATAATCGCAGATATTGAAGGAAGTAACAGATGAGGAAGAGCCTGAACCGGTTCTTCTGTGATTTCTTCAGGGCGTGCTTGGTTGAAGCTCTTCGAACTATATGTCAATATTAAATACTACTTACAAAAATGACTCCCATAAGTAAATACTTGTGCCGTCATCATAAATATTCCCACTCACTCATCAGAATGGTCGTACTCAGGAAGATGAGACTGAAGACGTCTGATGGCCCAGTTCTTACCAATAAACTTCACATCCGGCGCCGACGCTCCCTCTGTTCGGGTGTACTCCTTCCAGAACGATGGGTCCTTGAACCGAGGGTCCTCGGGGTTGAAATGGCCTGTGCTGTTTCGCACGTTGAGAACCGCTTCTCGTAACATCGCAGCCACCTCTGACCGGAGCTGCTGGGCCTTCTTGCCAGTACGAAGCTCCTCCGACAAGTCGTTGGGATGTTTAGGGTTGAAGTACTTGGCACACAAGCCCCGCCAGCGGCTTCTGTAGGTCTCTATTTTTGCATCCTCTACCTCATCGCCAAACCAGATGTGCACCTCAGCACCAATATTGCTGGGCAAGTACCGCTTGATACCCTCCTCGGCCGTGTTCTCCGGAGCAATCTTCTCGAACCCGTAGCTGAAAATTGGTAATACAACTGGCGCCCTGGTGCTCTCGAGTAAAAGACGAGAAACACCCCATTTGAAGTACCTCATCGAGTTGTTGTGTGGAGGCTCCAACTGCAACACGAACCCTTCAGGGAAAACGTGGAACCACGAAGTCTTGGTTCGTATGAATGGCAGTCGTGACATTAAAGGTGCCGGTTGGGCCGTCTTGGCAATGGGACCGTTGTTCACCTCTTGAAGCACCACCGACTTGGGTTTCTTGTTAAAGTCGGGTGCAAACTCCAAGTCAAGCGTATCGTCCGGCGAGAGGATCCGGATGGCGGCGTCTACCGAGCCTTGGAACTGCCCATATCCAAACCTCTTGGTGCCCAATACCTTACCCAAATTGAAAAAGAGTGAGAGGGCACTGTTGGAAAAACAGATGTTATGGGCTCCAAAAGACCAGCGGATGGTGTCAACGTCGAAATGGAACCGCCAGGGCAAGGCGGCGTAGAAGGTAGGGTCGTCAACCACCGACATGTGGTTCATTACCGTCAAAAGACCTCTGTTTTCAGATCTGGCTCTGACCAACGCGGCGTCGAGCTTGTCGATGTGATGGAGTTCTGGCTTGTAGAGAAGGTTCAAGAAAAACTTGGACCCCACGATCATGGCGAAGCACGTTGCATGTGATGCTGCGTTCCAGAGATGGGAGTCTCGTGGTGCACCTCGAAGGAAATCTTCTCCCCTGGTTATCACGTCCTCGAAAGACATGGCGATGAAATAAAAATTCGCATTAATTTTTGATGAGACCAAGCTCGTGGCTGTGAAAAGAAGCTGGAAACGGCGGTTCTAAATAAAAACATCTTCGTACGCCCACCGGCTGTCTAGTGGGAGTCCCAGGGATATGCTTCGGTGAAGCTCCTCCCGGAATCCCTCGAGGTACTGGCCAAACACCTCTTCCTCTGCTGCTCCATTATAATGGAGGTAGACCCCAGGAAATACATCGATGTCGTAGAAAGGCTGCAAAGACCTAGAACCGCTCCCGTGGTCCACGTAATCAACTTTATGTGAAAGTACGCTAGATACCAGGGACATGGCAACCAGCTGGTAATGGGGGAAGTCACAGATGTGGATAATTGGGTTTGTGGATGGACAAAGTTCGAATCTGTGGGCCAAGGCGTCAATGTCCACCCCCGAAAACCCGGCTCTATACTGGTCGTACGGAATATGTTTGTTGTGCAAGATTTCAGCAAGCTGCCGCTTAAATAAAAGTGTGCTGACAGGAATGTGTATCTGTGGAAGCAAGTTGTTGACGCAGTTATGGTAGATATTGGGCATAGCTCTGGAGAGGAAGCCTATTTGCATATCAGATGAAGTCTCGTCGCGGGTGGCGAGAGGGTAGTGGAAATGTATGTACGAATTATAGAACCTATCGTCGGAATACTCGATTCTATTCTGTTCTTGTTCAACTACTGGCATGATGTTCTTTTGTGCTTTCGCAGCCGTTTTTTGGAGTGTTACACAATGGACTACTTCACTGCAAAACTCCACCAACAAGATATATGGTTGAAAGATGCTATTGAGGTATACCTTGAAAATAGTAACAGTAGTATGTTCCTGGATAACTCGAAAGTGTCGTCCACCACGTTGACTTATCTCGTTGTCAAAACCCACACCGTTTTCTCCGATAGCGAGTACCAGCACATGCTCGAGTTGAAAGCTTCGTCGACCCATCAGGTGGTTTTCGACAGCATTATCCAGTACGTTCAAGGTGTGGCACGTGAACTCAAGATGATATTCCGATTTGACTCGTTGTTGCTGTTCCCATTGACAGACTTGAAAGACATTTCGTATCAAATCGCCCTCATTTTCAAACAGGTTTTCCTTGTACCCATCATCCACAAACATGAAATCCTGGAATACGGGGTGTGTAGCGACACCATCCGATTCATTAGCAAGTACAATGAGATGTGGATTCTCACATCCCTTCTTGTAAGAGAATACGCTAATTTACAATAATGGCTGCAAAATGCACCACACACGCCCCCCATCGCTACCCATGCACCATAAATTTTTCCATCTCATCGCACTAATTTTTTCACAAACCGACTATACCAGCATGAGAATCAAGAAGAGAGGAACGTCCGGGAACGCCAAAAACTTCATCACCAGAACCCAGGCGGTCAAGAGATTGCAGATATCATTAGCCGACTTCCGTCGGTTGTGTATTTTCAAAGGAATCTATCCCAGGGAGCCTCGTAACAAGAAGAAGGCCAACAAAGGTTCTACTGCTCCTGTCACCTTCTATTATGCCAAAGATATTCTGTACTTGATGCACGAACCGGTGTTACACAAGTTCAGAGAACACAAGACTTTTGCTAAGAAATTGCAGAAAGCTTTGGGAAGAGGTGAAATTAGAGACGCCGAAAAATTGGAACAGAACAGACCCAGATACACCTTGGACCATGTTATCAAAGAAAGATACCCTACATTTTTGGATGCTTTGAGGGACTTGGATGATCCTTTGAACATGTTGTTCTTGTTTGCCAACATGCCTTCTACCGACAAGGTGAGTGCCAGAATCACCAAACAAGCAGAGACCTTGACCAACCAGTGGTTGGCCTATGTTACCAAGCAAAGATTGCTCAAAAAAGTATTTGTGTCGATCAAGGGGATTTACTATGAAGCCAATGTCAAAGGTCAGGAAGTTAGATGGCTTGTTCCGTTCAAGTTCCCAACTATGATTCCTTCCGATGTGGATTTCAGAATTATGTTGACGTTCTTAGAGTTCTACTCCACCTTGTTGCACTTTGTGTTGTACAGATTATATAAAGAATCTGACTTGGTTTACCCCCCTGCCATCGATACCACCAAGTTGAAGTCGGTGGGAGGTTTGTCTGCATACATTTTGAAGTCAACTGATGATAGAAGTGCATTATTACCTGACGTTAGAGAAGATGCTACACAGGCTGAAGCTTTGGACCAGGCCGAGATCTCCAAGGCTTTGCAGGCAGACAAGACCAACCAAAAGGACGATGAGCCTGAGCAGGAGGAAGATGTTGATGTAGAAAACATTGAGCTTGACGAGTTCGAAGCTACTAACAAAACCACTGGAGACGTCTTGGAACAACCTTCCAAGTTCCTGTCGCCAGTTTCCGGTTTGTTCTCCAAGTTTATATTCTTCGTCGGAAGAGAAGTACCCTTAGACGTGTTGGAATTCTGTATTTTATCATGTGGTGGCCGTATAGTGTCTGAGCTCGCATTAGACGAATTGAAGTATAACGACAAAAAAGCGTTTGAAAAGTTGGACTTGGCCAACATCACCCATCAGATCATCGACAGACCCAAGATCTTATCGAAGGTGAGTGGAAGAACCTACGTGCAACCTCAATGGATCTTTGACTGTATAAATAAGAGTGAGTTATTACCTGTGAATAAGTACGCTCCAGGTGAAATCTTACCTCCACACTTATCACCTTGGGGAGACTCGGGTATCTACAACCCTGAAGTTGCTGCGGCAAATGAAGGTGAGGATGCGGTTGAAGAAGAAGAGGAGATTGAAGTGGAAGAAGGTGATGAAGATGAAGATGAAGAAGATGAAGAAGAGGATGAACAATTACAAGCTCAAAAGGAATTGGAACAAGAGGCTGCTGGTATCTACAAGAACACCGCTGCCAATGACAAGAAGGTTAAGAGAGTCCGTTCGGAAGAAGATGAAGAAAAGGAATTGAAGAAGATTATGATGACCAACAAGCAACGTAAATTGTACAAGAAGATGCAATATGGAATTGAGAAGAAGGAGGCTAGACAAGAGTTGTTGAAACAGAAGAAGAAGACCTTGCAAAAGACCAAGAAACAGTTGGACAAGTTGTAAGTAGAAACATAGCTGCCCGTAATGCATTCATAAGAGAGAGATTGTAGAAGCCATCGGCATCGCGACCGCGACAGAAAAGTTGCAGACCCCATGAGCTCCATCAAGAACACTTTGAACAAGCACACTATCAAGCACTTTGTTGGCCATTCGACACGAAGTGTGAAGAATGTGATCCATCCTAATCCCGAACCAATTGTCGGTGAAGAAGAATTGCAAAAATTACTCAAGTTGTCGGGGTTGAACGAATCGGCAGTTTCTAAGCAGTCACTTATAGACTCACTAAATCTCCAACTATCGTTCATAAAATCCTTGTACGGACCCAACGAAATGGTTTCCAAGTCAAACAATGACAATATTTTCCGGCTTCTAAGGCCCGACAACAGACCAGAACCACCGCTTACACTAAAGGCATTACAGGCCCAGATCGAGAGAGTAGACAACGAAATCGATCCTGAAAAGGGTGAAGTCGGGTTTAGTCACAACGGCTTCTTTGTCATCAAATACAAAATACCGCAGGATTGACCCTAACGAACATGAACTTTGTACATTAATATATAAGCCACTAGTTTTGCACTCTTGAATCCATAAATATCCTGTCGGGAATCTCCAACTGAATGAGGTTTTTGAGGAAGTCCTGAAGCTTCGCCAACTCGGCCGACCCCTGGGTAATGAGATCTATATCTGTGGACTTGGGAACGTTGATAAAGGCTTTTATCTGGAAACCATTGGATTCATCCAAGAGCTTTAAGGGAATCAGGTCCGACGGTGAATCCTTATTGGCATCGTCTCGCACAAACACCTTGAAGATCTCGATGACTATATCACCATGGAAGAACCGGACGCCTTTGATCCAAAACTGGTTAATGGAGTTGTATCCCAAGTCTTCCAAGAACTGTAGAAACGAGTCTTTATCGAGATCACCCGAGTCCTTCTCGTCACCAGCATCCTTTCGTGAAGCTGTGTGGGTATGCACTAGGGTGCTTTCGAAGATGTTTTGTGCTGAACAAGTCTGGTTCTTTCCAGCTATTGGAATGTCACTGATTTGAAGAGTCCATATTTTCTTTGTGTTGGCGGCCGAGTCGCTGTTGAAGAGAATGGAGGTGGAAACTCGGTCAGACAAGTACGGCGTGGCAAGGTCGAAGGAGTCCAAGTCATCCCAGGTGGTGATACATTTCATGAAATACTGTTCTATTTGGTTGACTTTGCCAGGAACAAACTTGGGCTTAAACTTGTTGATGGGCTTGCAAATCAACGTGTAGGTGGACACCGGCTGGGGTGACGTGAGTCCCGTCAACGCCTGGAGCGTGGAGATGGTCTGGACGTAGCTGCTGTGGGGGATTGTGGATACTAGAGAGAGCTGGTGCACCATGGTGGAGAGTTTCGCGAGCGAGTGAGGATGAGGATGAGGATGAGAATATAAAGAGATTGGAACTTGATACATATCATTAGAGACACATAACGTGGCGAACCACATGTGCTACATTGGGGGTTGTGCGTGTTTATTACTATACATCACTCGTCCTTCTTCTTCTCGAGCTCAGGAATCTTTTCCTTAAAGGCCACCACAATAAACCCAATCAACACCACGTTAGCGGCCAACGCCGCCAACCCGCCACTGACGAGGGTGTTGTCGAACAAGTACTGGAGCACAAAGAAGGACGACAACGGGAAAATAATCATTGCTGCTGTGAAAAACACCAACTTATTGATGACTGCTCTGTGGGTGTTAGTGCTGGAGACAGTTGGGAGGTACACACGCGGGGGTTTAAAAACCCCTGGTGTGTGTGGGCGGATTGGTCTCCCATCCCACTGTGTTTGTGTTGTTATACATACTGTGGTACGTCGGCCATGTTGGATACTTGAGGAACAAAAGTCGCACTGAATTTGGACGATAAAGGAGCATACCCTACAGATGTTATTCAGTAAATTGGCGATACTCGTGGGCTTGGTGGCCCCAATTAGCGGGTTCCTCGACTCGGGGTCCGTCTACTGCAACCAGAAGTTACCTTCCAAGTATATCATCGACAGTACCGAGTTGATGGCGGCAATCTCCGGCCAGTGCTCGTCGCTTCCCTCCTCCATCGACAAGTTGAAAGTATACCGGGTGAAGGACCTCTCCACTGCTCCGGCCGCCAACTTCATCAAACACGTTCAGTACGATCTGATGGACGACTTGGACCGTTTTTCTGGCTTGTGTGGATTGTCTGGAACGGTTGAGACCATCGATAGGTTTGAGGACATTGAATTCTCTGACAACCATTTGGTGTTGGTGCAACAGATCCCGCTGTTTCAAAAGAGAGACATCTATGATGAGGTGGCAGAGGACTTGAAGGCGGCCGAGTCGATGGCGGCGGAAAATGACATGCCAGTTCTGATTTTCGATGGTGACAGTGGCAGTAGCCAAAGCAAGAAAACCAAGGGGTTGTTCAACAACTACCAGTTTTTCTCGCCCGGTATCTTCCTGTGCTTGATCGTGTCGTTCATATTGTTGTTTGTGTTAAGCACGGCGTTGAGCTGGATCAGCTCCATCGAAATCACCTACCAGTCTTTTGAGAAGCAAATTGATTTTGAAAAGAAGAATGAATAGATAATATACTTTTTGGTTACATACTGTGACTGCCTAGTAGAGGTATGGAATGATCTTGTAGGGGACTCTGGCCTTATACTCATCCCAGCTCTGTTTGTACTTGCTGGCACACTTTTCGTCGTCTCGTACTTGCCGGTGAACCAAGAGAGATGCAAAATACACCGCATAAAAGTACGTCAACGGCGTGTTGAACCCCGTAGCCAAGCACCACGAGAGCCCAATGAGCCAGTCTCCCAAGTAATTTATGTGCTGGCTGAGTTTCCACCACCCATCGACGAGCAAATTGGACCCGGTGACGGTTTTCATGGACTTCAAATGAGCCAATTTTCCTTGTTTAAAGTCTGACTTTTGCTGGTTGGCCGAGTGGAACACGTAGTATCCCAACGCTGCGATGGCCACGGTGGCAGCACAGTACGGCCATCCCAAATCGATATAATTCAAAGATAAATATCTAGCTTGGAGCGAGTATGCCCATGGCACCAACGCCAAATCACCAAATGCCAACATATTACCAAACCCATCGGTCACAACGTCCATCATTGTCAACAAACCTTCCTCATTCAAAATCCCGTCAAAAATGTAGAATCCCTGCAAAAAGTTGATTAAGAGCATCGAGTCTGAAATGGTGCCATGCTGCAAATACTGGCTGTACAAACAAGACACATTTATGAGGAGCCACAACACCAATCCCGGCTTCAATTCACAAAATAACTTGATGTCCCAGCTACCTATACGTGGGTTCAATTCCCTGCCGATGAACCAATCATACACCACCCTTCCCGAGTTTCCAGGTTCAGCAAGAATTCTGTCGTTGGTGCCCAAGCCATTGGGCGTTTTCAACGGAAAAAACGAGTAGATATACACAAACACCGCCAAAGCAAACGAAAACAAGCAGCACGTCAACGTCAATTCAAGTTGATGCTCATAGATAAACTCGAGTTCGGGCAAACTTCCTAGAGCATAAAGCCGTGCAAGCAAAACTGTCACGATGACAAGAATGAAATTGAGGCCATTGATCTTGTAGGTCAACTGGGTCTTGTCTCTCAACACGACCCCTTTTATGTACTTGCCAGGGACCAATTGGTCTAGAACCACAAACCCGAAAAAGTAGGTTGTGTAGGCAATCCAGGTGTTTTTGTCAAACGCAGCGTTGGCGATACGATCGAACGACCAGTCGAAGGGGAAGGGGATTCCTGATTTGAAGGGGGACTGGGAGTTGAGGACAATACCAAATACCGTGAGGAGGGCTGGAAGCCCGAGGGAGATGGCGACGGCACCGACGGAGCCATTGAACTGGATATCAGTTGTTTGTGGGTTTAGCATTGATTTGAAGTAAGAAGACAAAAGAGGTGTCGCGAAACGGCTGCTAATGCGGAACGAGTGCAGGGAGCGGAACGAGGGCGATGAGCGTGAGCCTCAGGCCCTGTAATTAGTGCGGGTGTGGTGCCATTAAAATGACTCCTGTGGTGCGGTGCGAAAAAACTCCCGGTCGGCAATGGCACCAGGAGTTCCTCCTTCCTTCCCGTTAAGCAAGGACTCTAGTATCTCCTCCCTTTTTTGGGTGTATGCTTACAAAAAGATCTGCCTGAAGGTCTTCCCTGTAAAGCGGAGTTGTTCGCCATGTGATTGCACAAAACTGTCTTCGGTTTTATTGCCTGTGTAGATACTACCACTAGGCTCGTTTCTGGTTACCGTCCTGTTTGTTTCCTGTCGGGCATCCTCTAAAGGCGTGCGACTTCAATTGATGTTGGTTTACGAGAGAGCTCTAGGGTTAAGAAAGGTGTTGTCCAAATAATGGCCCGACCAACGGCTGTTACACCGATTCAGTCACAGAGGGCTGCCAACCAAATAAATAGCAAGCGAACCGTAAATCCCTGCATGGACTTTAGCTGCAATTATTCAACTTTTAACAATAGGTGCAAATAAAACCCCTGTAACTATTCGCCTTCCAGCCCCTAAACAATATATTTATGGTGGCAGAACGTGGACATTGTCTGCATGTGTGAGAGATTTACAGTTGGGCACTGGGAGCAAAACCCTTGGTAACTGGGACTAGAACTGGGACTGGGTGCAGGATATCGACCCAACCAGAACTGGGCAGCTATGACAAATGCACCTCTTGCAAAAGGATGTCGCGTCCCTTTAGGTGGAGTTAGGTCAACTTTAGGTTTGCTAATGAACTGCGTTGTCAAGTTCGCACCGTAAGCTCATCACCCATCCAAATGCCGTATTGTATCACGATCTCAGGGTGAGGGTTTGCAGTTTACAATAAAACATTCCTGCTAGTCGAAGACTAAGGCGATGTTCGCATTGTCGAGCATTTCAATTCGTTACCATAAATATCAATCAAGTCCCACTTGCTACGACGACATAGTCATTGTAGGTTTGAAGAACAATCATTTCTCAAGACAAAATACGACATCCACCTAACTAAGGGGTTCCTTATTGGTGACACATTCTTGGTGGCGCAGGTCAAAATAAGCGAATTCCATGCGTAGTAATGTAACCTCCGCTCATTTCAGTAAGTGGTTAAGGGGGTTGACTTTAAAAGATGTGCACCAAAATCAAGATGGATACTGGGCCATTTTGCCCGATTCATGCCTGCACCAGCATAATCCTGTGCCCATAGGAGAGGTTTGAATTGCCGATCAATATCTAACCTTTTACACATCCAACTTATGTGATGGTTATTAAGATCATCACCTTGAAAGGGGCTACTACTGCTGGCTGATGAAAGGCGTGACTACCAAAGCTTCAAACGAAGCGCAACGTGAGAGTCTAATAAAATAAAATCATCGGCTACCGCAACCGCGGCGACAAACCTGCTACAGCCATGATCCAGAAAAAGAGGAGAAGACAGTGGAGCCTTCTTGTTTTTCACCAGTGGTGATGTTGGAACGGTGCTTCGTTCATAGGAAATAAAAAGGTGTTGAGATACATCCGGTATTGTTGCCTATTGTCAAGACAGGTTGGTCTTCCCCCATTATTCCAGGAGAGAGCCAGTAAAAAACCTTAATAGGGAAAATTAATTGGACGCGTAATCGGTTTAACCAAAATGAAAAATATATTTGGGAAAAAAAATTGGAAAAGAAAAAACCGTCAAAGAAAATACCGCCAAAACCTCTGCCTAACCAGGCCACATTTACCTAGTTTAACGCCTCCCGCATCGGTGACTATCACTAATCGGCCTCTTGGTCCAATTTTATTTTTATTACCAGAAACTATAAGAACAAATTAAAATCCCTGCTACCCATTTTTTTTATATTTTTCTTAAGGGACCCGATACTCATATCTTCAATCCCTTTAATAATTCATCACATTCGCCTTCACTCATTTAGTTGTAGTGAGTCTGAATCAATTGCATTAGACTTTTTTGTGTCCCCCACGCAAGCCTCAGTAACCAACCTGAATCAGCAAATTTTCCTCGTTCTTGTGAACCAGGCACAACAGGGACATTTTATTATAATATCATCCTTTATCCATTGCATTCTGCATAATCCTGACGACCACATCGTTTTCTGTCGCTTGTTTCTGTTGGTCATCCCATTCATTGCCGCTTTTTGCCCTTTAAATGGTCCCCAACACCCTCCTTACACCCTATCAATCATTGAGCAGTGTCATGAATATGAACCTCCAAAACAACACCACGTCGGTGCCTGTTCTCGCACCGCCGCCAGTGGTGCCTCCCACTCCCAAGCGGAAGAGAGGTAGACCACCAAAACCTAACAACTTCAGCAGTAAAATCACCAAAACCATTAACATTTCTGTTAACACATCGCCGCTTTCCAACTCACCAGACGCCGAAAACAACTCGAACCAGACGGTCAAACGAGGAATTCCCGATATCTTCACGCCTACTATGCGAGTAAGTCCTAGCGCCGGTGCCATCAGAAGACGGAAAAAAAGCTCTGTCGACATGGGAAATTCACCAGCTCGCCGCAAGAGTAGCGTGCATAGCTTAAGCCATGGCTCATCTTCCAGCAGTTCTCAGAACTCCCCTGCCACTGACTACATCAACTCACGGACCTTGGACAACATTTCGCAGATTACAAACCTGGGTCGAGGAGCGTACCAATCTCCTCCACCGTCGGCCAAACAGCAAGGTCGTCAACTCGATAAAAACTTATTACCTCCGGTATTAATTCGTACTGATAGGGCTGCCAGCCCTGTACAGGACTTGAGTGACTTTGGTGATTTTAACTTGAAGCTCATGATTGACGAACTGGGCAAAGCCGTATTGTCGCAGTCCCAGGCCAATACTACCATTGGCATCCAGGGGCATTATGATAGCGCTCCTACTACCACCGCTACCGGCGACTTGGACTACGGGCAGGCTCCCGTCCAGTACCACCACCATCAACAACAACAACAACAACAACAACAACAACAAAGGCCCATGCCCATGAAGTATCACTCGGACTACGCATTTTCTGACACCAACCCTCCACAGACACCAAAGCAGAAGGACTACACTATCAGCACCGGCTTGACGCCATTGGGTTTTGGCGGAAACTATTCCACCCCCCAGTTCAACTCGCTTATGAACTCTATCATCACCTCGCCCAAAAAAGTTGGCAACAACAATAACCAATTTATGTTCAACCAAGAGATGTTCATGAACAGCGGGTTCGATTTCATGAATGGTAACCCATTGCTTCAGGCACCCCAGCAACTGACGATGATGCAGCAACAGCAACAGTCACCCAGTGGAGGTCAGTTCAATACTGGGTCAGTGGGTGCCAATGTTGGCTACCAACCACAAATGACTCAGCCGCTCCAGTTCCCAGACGACTCGGATGCCCGGTTAGCGTTGAAAAAAATCATGCATGTCAAGAGAATATAACGAGTTAGACGGTGATTTCATTTCTATAGAGTATAGCATTATATCGGAAAATGTATTTTGGAAAAGTATTAGTTATAAAATGCAAAGTTTAATGTGAAATTCGGACCAAAAGATAGAGGTAATGCACATCATGATGACATAAATTGGGATATAATTTTCGAATTCATGCAATTGTTTATAGTGAGTCCAATTGACGCGGCCAATGAGTTTAACCCGCGAGTATTGACGCATGCCGAATGGCGGCAACTAAGTCGCATGCATAATCTATTCGAGGCCAGGATTTATTTACACTCCTTTGCATACGGGCGGTCACCCCTTAAAATAATAATGCAAACGGCTCTGGCTTCATATCAGTAACGATTGGTTGCCAGGGAAAGTGAAACTGAGCGCAACCCCACTACGATGGGCCTTGTTCGGATTTAGTCTAGGCAAGCGCAAGTATTATCAAAGTTTTGCAGTGGGAAGATCTCGGTAGTTGCCGATTGGTACATAAGCTTCGAGGCGAAGAATTCGCCAATACTTCTCGCCCCTGTGCCGAGCCCCGTGCCAACCCTAAGCCAGGCAATTATATCAAGACAATTAAAACAATTGGGTCTGTCTTAACCGGACTGAGGGATTGGCAGTCCGACCCTTATTGTCACTGGGGCATTTAACCACAGCGGGAAATTAATTGTTACGGACATTTCGTAAGTTTAATCTGAACTCCCAAGCCGCACTTTAATTGCCTCGATGCGGAATGTGGTGGCAGTTTGGCAATATTAGCCATGTCGGGGGCAAGGCTGGGTAAAGCGAAGATAGGCGAGAGCAAGCGCATTGACACATGTAGATCATATGACCTGGCCACGATACCACGACCCCTACTGATCGTTCAAGACTTTTGTGAGAATGGGTCTTCAACGGTGAATACGTTTGTGAACGTAAATGGTTGTCCTCTTTATTGGTTACAATCGTTGAGATTGTATTCAAACTTCCATGGTTCTGCTACTTGTATTCTTGTTGTTCTTCTTGTTCTTGTGGTTATTGATAATTACTTGCGTGCAGTTACTATATACGAGTGCCTCGCACGTGACTCATACACCTACAAGTAGACAAGTTCTGACCCACACCCACAAGTCGACCCCACAACCTTCTGATCTTCCGACCATGGCCTACACAACGTTACATCCACCGTGTCTTTGATGGCCCGGAAACTAGCTCGTTAGCGCCGCTGAGGAGGTCTCTTCGGACTACTCCTCCCTCACTCCCGCCGCGGCTGGGATTTTTGGCAACTGGTGCCTGCAGTGGCAGCACAGCGCGCGTTGCTCCCTGCAGCTAATGCGACCATTGCGCTACTCAAGGCTGCCAAAAGTTTACCGTTGTGGGGTCTGTGGGGCACCTGGCCCCATGGGCTCCAGTCGGACCATTCATGATCCGATCAGTATCTGAGGTTGCCCACCCACTCGCTCGCCCACCAGCTGGTTGCCAAAACTGATGAGTGTGTCAAAACACCGTTATGCTGTCACTTGGATCCCTGTGGGACCTGACGATCAGACACCCATTGGATCACACATTCCTTTGATCCCCCTGGAAGAGTTTTTGGATCATCACCGTCGCAAATACAGTTCTTTTGCAACCGTACCCCAGTTCCCCTCTCACCCCAGATTTTGCAATATAAAAGCCTCGACATGGCACCAGGATTTTATCTACATCAATATGGATTATCTTTGGTTCAAGTCTCGGTACTTTGCAAGAGGTAAAACCCTTCGTTATGTGGTCACGTTCTGTTCGTGTACCGGTTTTTTGCTTTTAGGATATGACCAGGGAGTCATGGGGTCAATTATTGGCGACCCAGTGTTTCTCAAACAGTTTGGGTATCCCGATGCTACCACCCAGGGTTTACTCACGTCAGTGTATGACTTGGGGTGTGTGCTTGGCTCGATCGTGGCGTTCTTTGTGGGAGAAAAACTTGGGAGAAGAGCCATGATGTTGTTTGGGGCCTTCATCATGATGGTGGGGACGGTGCTACTTGGCAGCTCCTACACCCGTGCCCAGTGGTACGTAGGGCGGATGGTCACCGGTATCGGCAATGGGTTTAACTCGTCCACCATTCCCGTCTACCAGTCTGAATGTGCTACTGGAAACAACAGAGGAAGGCTATTGACATGGCAGGCAATTGTGACGATTTTGGGAGTGGTGATCGCCTACTGGATCGGGTTTGGATGTTCATACACAAACTCGTCCCTCCAATGGCGATTCCCCATCTCTTTCCAGGGAATTTTTGCCATTGCCTTGTTCTTTGAAACCTGGTTTTTGCCTGAAAGTCCCCGGTGGTTGGTGCAGCAGGGCCGGTCAGAGGAGGCAGCCGAAGTGTTGGCAGCCTTGGACAGTGACACTTCCACCATCACCACCGAGAGGGTGATCCGGCAGAGAATCGAGATCGAGACGGCAGTGGAGATGGAGTCACGTGGAGGACCTTTCAAGGTGTCTGAGTTGTTCAGTGGTGGAGAGCTTCAAAACTACAGACGATTGTTGATCTCATTGTTCCTTATGTTTGCACAGCAGTTTGGAGGCTCGAACTTCATCAACTATTATGCTCCCACAATCTTCACGTCGGCCATGAATATGGACCGGGTGACATCGTTGATTTTGGCGGGCTGCACGGAGATCGTCTACCTTGGGGGGTCGTTTATTCCTCTTTGGCTCATCGATAATCCCAAATTGGGTCGCAGAAACCTTCTTATGATTTCAGGCTCGGGGCTTTCTTTCTGCTTTATCATGGTGTCAATATTGCTTTCCATCGGTGGGTATGGATGTTCCGTAGGGGCAACGTTCTTTGTGTTTTTGTACCAGCTCTTCACCGGAGTAGGGTGGCTTCCAGTGCCCTGGTTTATGGCAGCCGAAATCAACATCACCAGATTGAGGTCACGGGTACAGGCGGTGGCTTCGGCCTTTAACTGGCTCTGTGTATTTGCGGTGGTGCAGATCACCCCCATAGCTATCGACAATATTGGGTGGAAGACCTTTATCATCTTTGCCATTCTTTGTGCTGCATGGGTTCCAATTGTGTTTGTGTTCATTCCCGAAACGGCTGGGTTGGAGTTGGAGGATATTGACTATATATTCAAGAGAACTGGGTTTACCAGAGGGGTGTGGGAGACTAGAGGAAGAACTGTGCAGCACGATGCACATGCCAGGGCCATCCACCTTCTTCCTGAGGATGACGAGAAGGATATTAGTATCGTCGAGGTGGATGACAATGGTAGCGTTGAGGCTGTATAGGTAATACACAGTGTATATGTGAATACATGTAGGATAGACTGGCAGTAGGTAATAGAGATGATATCAAGTCAGAGAAGACCAAGTCTTACTGTACCTCCACCGTACTAGATCTTTCTTCACGAATCTGCTAACATCTGACAAGACAGATGTTCATATATGGGCCTAGACGTGGGCATTCTCATGCAACCCACTGTTAAACAAGAGATGCAGATGCATTTGTACCACATTGGTGCCGATCTCTGCACAGAGGCTAAGCCGAAAGGCCTGACAGGCAGCCGATCTGACGATCGCACCCCGCATATCCCAGCACGCACCCCCGTACATCTCAGACCACTTTCAACCAACGCTGATTTTTTTTTCTGGTTGGGCACGCCCCGCGATGCTCAAATAACTTTTCACTTTCGAGAAAAAATTTTCACCTATCTAACACATTAAACATGTCCCACAGAAAATTCGAAGCCCCAAGACACGGATCCTTAGGATTCCTCCCAAGAAAGAGAGCCGCCAGACACCAAGGTAAGATTAAGTCCTTCCCAAAGGACAACAAGTCTAAGCCTGTGTCTTTGACCGCCTTTTTGGGTTACAAGGCCGGTATGACCACCGTTGTCAGAGACTTGGACAGACCAGGTTCCAAGATGCACAAGAGAGAAGTTGTCGAAGCCGCTACCGTCGTCGACACTCCTCCTTTGGTCATTGTTGGTGTTGTTGGATACGTCGAAACCCCAAGAGGTTTGAGATCCTTGACCACCGTCTGGGCTGAACACTTGTCTGAAGAAATTAGAAGAAGATTCTACAAGAACTGGTACAAGTCCAAGAAGAAGGCTTTCACCAAGTACTCTGGTAAATACGCCAAGGACCCTGCCTCCATTGAAAGAGAATTGGCCAGAATCAACAAGTACGCCTCTGTTGTCAGAGTTTTGGCTCACACCCAAATCAAGAAGACTCCATTGTCCCAAAAGAAGGCTCACTTGGCCGAAATCCAAATCAACGGTGGTTCCGTTGCTGACAAGGTTGCTTGGGCTCAAGAACACTTTGAAAAGACCGTTTCCGTTGACTCTGTCTTTGAAGACGGTGAAATGATCGATGCCATTGCTGTTACCAAGGGTCACGGTTTCGAAGGTGTCACCCACAGATGGGGAACCAAGAAGTTGCCTAGAAAGACCCACAGAGGTTTGAGAAAGGTTGCTTGTATTGGTGCCTGGCATCCAGCTAACGTTAACTGGACTGTTGCCAGAGCCGGTCAAAACGGTTACCACCACAGAACCTCTATCAACCACAAGGTTTACAGAGTCGGTAAGGCTGGTGATGAATCCAGTGGTGCCACTTCTTATGACAGAACCGTCAAGAACATCAACCCAATGGGTGGATTTGTTAGATACGGTTTGGTCAACAACGACTTTATTATGGTCAAGGGTTCTATCCCCGGTACCAGAAAGAGAATTGTTACCTTGAGAAAGTCTTTGTACACCAACACTTCCAGAAAGGCCACTGAACCAGTGAACTTGAAATGGATTGATACTGCTTCTTCCTTCGGTAAGGGTAGATTCCAAACTCCAGCTGAAAAGCACGCCTTCATGGGTACTTTGAAGAAGGACTTGGAATAAATGTTATGTAATAGTAGTTAGTATTATAAGCATACATTTTAGTTTTTGTAGCAAAAGATTTCGCACCCATCTGCCGGGCAACGGAGTGCATCGACTTGGCGATATTTTTTTAACCGTTCGCGCTTGTTTGGTTTCCCATCATCATGTCCGTGGTGTACTCCAACTCCATCAACTCCTCCTTCATATCCACCGTTGACCACCTCCCGGCCGACGTCGTGCGATCGCTCTGGCTTCTCCAGTCCATCAACATAACTATCGACAAACACAAAGCTGCCGTCCACCGTATCTTTCTCGACCACTCCGAAATCACCCCAGAGTTGAGATCACAATGTTTTCAATTGAACCAACAGATCAACCGCTTAAACCTTGAGAGCGTCCAGGAATCACGGGCATTGTACAACCAGCTTGTTGCCCACAAGCTCTCGTTGTGGGAAGAAATTAACCATTTGACCACAATGCAGCATAAACTTCAAAACACCCATCAAAACAAAATGGCAAACAAAGAACTTCGAGAGAAACTCAACGAGCACTACAAAAACCGGCCTTTGATCTCCCTGAGCGAGGCCTTGAAAGAGCACAAACTCTTGCATCAGTCAGTGGAGAAGAAACCTCCACTGTTGAAGCTCTTCTTAAAGATTCCCAAGTCCATGAAGAAACCTAAACAAAAGGTGCTACACCACCAACAAGGACAGAGACAGAGGAGGGAAAGGCATCATCTCCAACAGCAGGAATCTCTACAAGATTCCAAGCCTCTCCGGCCGTCTAGAGGTTTATCTAAGGCATCTGGGCAATCAACTAGGCCCTCAAGACAACGAGCGATCGCCAGTACCACTCCACACCACCGCCCTGTGCCAGGGCCCGAGCTAGTGCCACCGCCGTCGCCTTCCTCAACCCTCACCTGGTCCCAACAGTTTGAGCCTACAGAACGCTACTGCTTCTGTAAACAAGGGTCATTTGGTGACATGATTGGCTGTGATAACGAAGACGCTTGCCCCAACGGCGACTGGTTCCACTACAAGTGTGTCGGGTTGAACAACCGGGTGGAGGCCCTTAAATACACGGTGGGAAAACAGAAGTGGTTTTGTTCGGAATTTTGTCGACTGGCGTACAACGAGAAAATCCAGACAAAGCGAAAGAAGAAAAAGAGATCCAAAGGGTGGTGAGTATGATATAAAGTATGTAAATTGATGACAATGTATAATGTACAAATTAGACGGCCAAAAGCTCAAGCATTCCCTTGATCTCGTTGGCTTCTTTGGATTTCTTGACCTCATGTTCGACCTTCTTGATCAAGCTTTCGAAAACATCATTTAAGTCTGAATTTGTCGAGAGATACGACCCGTAAAGCTCGAAAATCACAGACAAGTAGTCAGCTATCAAGTTGAACGATCTGACGTCCTCTATATTCTTATGGAACCACAGTAATATCGGCACTAAGGAGATCTCGTCTCTATTCTCCAAAGAAACCCGGACTTTACCTCTTTTTCTCAACTCGCTCAATATGGTAATAGTATGCTCTTTAGGGATTCCACTCACAAACCCGCTGTCCAAAGCCTCAGACCATTTGAAACCACCCAAAAGCTTCTCAAACGTCTTCAACTTCTTGGTGCTTTGCTGTGACGACGATACTATACGCTGTTCCTCTTCTCCTTTGTAGTCCATTCCCTTCATCATCCGGTTGTATGCGTTGCTTCTGGTCTGTTTAACCCCCTGCTTGACTCGAGGCTCGGTTTTCCGGGTCCTAATCGATACTAATCCCGAGGTCAACCCCGTCACAAAGTGCTTGTGGTCGTTGGGTGACACTCCACAGCTCAATACACCTCCGGATCCAAACTTCCATCCGAACTTGACGTTCCAGGCACTGGAAGTAGAGTCAAAGATCTTAACATGGCCATCTAATGAACCCACTAGCAACCCCTTATCGTGAGTGTTGTGCAAGGTCATGGCAGTCTTGGTGAAGTTGTTCAACTCGGTGACCTTTTTGTTGGTGGAAAGATCCCATATTTTGACTTGTGGGCCTCCAGCGGTCATGATGGTGGTGGAGGAGAACCCCAAAATATCTTCAACGGGACTATTGTGCTCGAACCTGGCGACACATTCGTGGGCCCGCGTGTCAAACACACGTACTATTCCATCGTAGCACCCGGTGGCCACGAGGTGGGGGGCATCGGGAATGAAGTCTACACTTCGAATATAGTCTTGATGGTGCGAGTCGTCAAACTCCACCACTGGGCCCGACGTGGTTTCGGAGATGTCGTACAACCGCAACACCCGGTCGTCGGAACCTGTCACCAACTGCTTGCCCATTGTGGGATGGAACTTCGCCACGTGAGTTGGATAAGTGCTGGGATTCAAACTTACAAGAAGACTTCGAGGCTGGTACGCATCGTAGATTGATACCAACCCTGACTTGTCGGCCGCGACCAACAACTTCCCGTCATGGCGGAATTCTCCCAGTAACACTGTGTCTTTGAACCGCGAGAATGTTTTGATCACCTGTCTGGTTTTGGCGGAGTAAATTTGGATTCTTGTGGATGACGATACTGCGAAGTCGTGAGGTGCTTGGGGGTTGAAGTGGATGTGGTTAATGGGGTGGGTCTCCTTGATGAGCTGGGGGCTGACGAATCCTCGCCAGTACCGCTGCTCGGGTGTGGTCTGGGATGGTAACGTGGGGTTCCTGACCTGGGCCACCCTTGGTTTGCTTGAAGACATATTTAGTGGTGAAAAGCGAGAGATGAGATTTAAAATTTTTGAGATGCATGCGGGTCGTGTGCGACGAGGTGCTTGGGTGGCAGGTAGTTATGGCCATTGTCAGCGCTATAGGAGGAAATAGAGATTTATATAAGGGGTGTTGAGGTTCTGGAGTGTGGGTTTATTAATGGGGTCTTTTTGGATATTTTTGGAGGTCTTCGGTAGCGTCTCCCAGCATTGGCGTCTGCTGAGGGTAAATTAAATGGTCGTGAAGGCTGCCAGTTGCCCCTAAAAATCTCCTAAAAGGCAAGGGCTTACTTATACCACCCCATTATCTGAAATACCTTTCACAGTTGAGGTTTTTGTTAAACCATATATTATATCTGCTTAGTCTCTCTTTCAGTGTCTCATTGTTTTTCTGCAATATCAAAAACTTCTTCTCATTTTGTAAAAATTGCATTTTTTTGCAACCACAAATGGATCTTAAAAGTTTCAGACCCCACTCCCACGTTAACTTCGTTGACCCCAGTGATTTGTTAGTTGAACAAGAAGACTCTCAAAGTGGCCAAGGACCACAATTTGAAAGCCAAGTCTTGAACGAAAAAGACTTGGAGCCTATCTTGTACTCTTTCAGCTATGATGGATATGATCTTGATCACGAAAACCTCAACAACTCAGACCAAAAAGTCACTCAAAATGACTTCAGAATCAGTACTGGCATGTATTTTGATGTTGACAAGAACTTAGATGATGACTGTGAAGAAAAAAAGAGAAAGAAGTTCTGGTTCTTGCCCTTCAGTGTCGACCTGAGCCTTATGGTTGACTCAAACTTGGTTGCCTCGAACACTGGAAATTCTGGTGGGTTGTTTAACTACATCCCTATCACAGGAGAGACTCCTGGCGAAATTGTCTACAGCCAAAGCTTGGAGCCTCAGTCTACAGAAGAAACTGACGATGCTTCCACTGCAGCTGCCATTACATCGCAAGAAGAATTTTTCAGGCAGTACGGTGACGACTGTGACCAACTCCATGACAGCTCTGGTTCTAGTTTATGGGCCGCTACTGTGGTGTTGTTAGCCATTTCTAGCTTAGTTTCATACTTCTTTAGTGTTTAGGTGGACAGAATATAGTGTACAAAAAGATGGTGCACAAAGCGAACCCAACGGCTACTAAATATATTATGGTACACAGATACTGGATTCTACACCGAAAGAGTTCACTCCTGTAGGGCCCGCAATCGCTGTCTCATTTCATCCAAGGCCTCATGGTCCTCTTCGAACGCAGCTTCTTGTTCCTGAGGCTCTTCGACACTCTCAGTGGGCACTTGGGTGTCTATCTTGCTGAATTCATTCTTAGTTAAGTCCTCAATGATCTTGTTGATCTCCTGTTGTGATTCGTCTTCCAACTCGTCCTCGTCTACATCCAAGTCTATCATGTCATCCATCATCTCGTTTATAATGCCTGACTTCATCAACTCCTTCTGAAGTTCTTGCATTGTTCCTGAAACAACCCCCAAATGCACCAACTGGTTGACATCTCGCATCACCGATGTCGAGCTCTTCATGCTTGTCGTCAACTTGTTCATGGAATACTGCTCGTTAATGGACATGTTGATGGAATCGACTCGGGCCTTCGATAAATGCAATTTGTTATACTGCTTATTGATGTTCTGCAATTCCCGGGCATAGAGCCGTGCCGTCTTGAGATCCTTAGCCTTAGCAGCATTCTTGATCAACCCTTCGGTTTTCTTCTTCAAGGGCTGCAACTGGTTCATGGATCTTTCAAGTTCTCGTTTGTTCTTTCTGAGAAGCTGGTTGATCTTTCTCATCTAAAGTCGTTAGTAGCGGTCAAAACTTGGGCAAAAAAAGCACACAGATACCCCTTGCAACACCCCAAACCCTAGCACATACCTGTTCCTTGGGATCCGGCCCCCAAATCGCCTTTTTCACGTAATCCATGGTGCTGGCTTGTCAGTCACCCTTTATTTGTGCGGATTCGCGAACTCAAAATCTCAAATTAAATCCCCAGCCCACCTTATCTGTTCTTATTGATAATGTTATCCACTTTGCAAAAACTGCTTTTGTGCCTCTTGGCGTTCTTTTTGCCACCGGCACCGGTGTTCATGCTCCAGAAAACAATTTTCACCAAGGAGTTTTTGGTCAGCGTGTTGCTAACGTTGATGGCCCATTTCCCGGGGTTACTTTTCAGTCTCTACTTTATTATAATTGAGTACCCCAGAACCGGCTACGTGAGCGCCGATACCGAAAACCAGAGACACCACCACCACGATGGTGACGACAACCAGCCTTCGAGTCACGCCGCTGCTCTGTACAGTGACTTTGTCCCTGCTGTAGGTGACTACGGTAGTAACAGCGAGTCCCCGGTTCCAGCTGGCGGTGCTGAAGGCAGCTCGAATGCCCCACCGCCAACGTACGACGAGGTGGTGCCGGTTGAGCACCAGTTGCAGCACGGCGAGGCCGACTCCAAGCGGTCAGGTGACAATAAGGTTCAGGTTTAAATAGTTTATACGTGGTATATACGGAAAGAAACGTTACTCGTTACTCAAGAGCCACCATGGCTTTGGCCACAAAGCCCTCCAAGTGGAAGATGGCCTTGGATCCCAAACTCAACCGTTCGTCGAACATTGACCCGATTTCCACCAACTGCTGGGCCTTACTGTGGTTGTTGCACAAACGAAGAAGCTCAAAGAGCACACCCTTTAAGATGATTCGAGCGGGAATACAGTGGGCGAGCAACTCGTAGAACACTACGCGAGTCTTGGCCAAGTTTGACACAGAGCGGTTGGTGTAGATGGAAGACGAAACGTTTTTGATGATGACTTCCCAGTCCAACGTCACCACCGCGTTCTGCCCGTCACAGGCCACGGAGGCATTCAGCATCAGGATGGTCTCGAAGCTAAGCAACGCCCGGCGGAGGTTCTGGTCCGAGTTGGCGGCCACTTGACTCAAGAAGCCCGATTGTACGGGGTCTGCTGTGAAGTGGACGGACTCTTTGGTGGCCACGTCGGCCAAAATGGCGGTGATGTCGGCGACCGATGGCGCGGGAATCCGCACTAACAAGGTCCTACTCTTGATGGGCGGGATTATGTTGGAGGTGGTGTTGGAGATCATGATGAGCCGGATATTGGCTGAGTACTTCTCCATGGTCCGTCTCAAGGCAGCCTGGGCATCTCGGGTCAATGAGTCGGCCTCGTTGATGATCACCACCTTAAAGCGGTGCTTGGGCGTGCCGTTGTTCTTGGAGTTGGAGAAATCAACTTGTTCGGTGCTTGCGATATCTTTCAACAAGTCCTGGATCACGACTCTGTCATTATTGCCCATGTCGGACGGGGTGATTTCCAAGTGGAAGGGCGAGCTTAAGACATTGAACTCCAATTTCCGGTTGGACAGGGTGGTGAAGGTTTTGACGTCGATTTTGAGTTTTTCCACCTGGGGACCAAAAAGCTCGTGGAGAGTAGCGTACACACGGGTTTTTTTCCCACTACCACTGGGGCCGTACACGAGAAGATGAGGGAAATCGCCGGTGCTGGCGAGCGCCTTGAGGCTGGCGGTGATGGGCGCGTGATACAGAAGCGCGTCCAAACGACGGGGTCTATACTTGTCTACCCACAAAGACATTGACGCGTATGAAATGAAAATGAGAATGAGATTGAGATTTTGAGCAGTGATGCGATTTAGCGACCGACTTGAGTGGGGATATGTCCACGCTGTCAAGATGTTCACTAGCCACTGACACATCACCAACGACACTACGCGCTTCTACTTGATCTTCCACTAATATGATCCAATTTATTCATCTATAACGTTCCAATGCCAACCTTCAACATCAAACCTTTGGCTTGGTGCGAATGAAGTGTGAGGGACACTCATAGCCGGTAGGGTGCTTCTTCAAGTATTCCTGGTGATAGTCTTCGGCATCGTACCACACCTTGATGGGTTCAATAAATGTGACTATCTGGTGATTTGGATAGTACTCCTTTTGGATCCGTTCTTTGACGGCTCGGGCAAGTATGGCGTCGTCATCCGAGTGGGCCATCACCACAGACCGGTACTGTGTTCCATTGTCTGGTCCTTGCAGGTTTAACGTGGTGGGATCGTGCATTCTGAAGAAGATATCCAAGATATCGCCCACCGGCAACTTGGAGGGCTCATACGAAATCTGCACTGCTTCAGCAAACTGGGTTTCACCGCTGCAGACTCTTTTGTAGTCGATTTCGCTTATGGAAGGAATCCCATTGGCATATCCTACTTTGATGTCAACCATTCCTTGATCAGCAAACTGCTTGACGAACACCTTCTCCACCCCCCAGAAGCACCCGGCAGCTAATGTGATGAGCCTGGACGTTGACGTGGTCCTCAATGTAGGAGAAACTATAGTGGCGGTCATTTGTGTGGTGTATTTGTAGATTTAATGTGCGGTTTTGTAAGCGGTTTATTTCGTGTGGATTCAGATGAGTACGTTATTTCCCGTGCGGAAGATCACGTGCCTCGGTGTCAACTCCGAGGCCTCTAAGGCATTATCGATAATATCATTACTGGCAGAAGCTTAGACACTTTCCATGGCCACTGCCGCCCAGTTGAGTGCTACAGGCTCAATGAACTCAAATTGAACTAGACAACAGCCATAAAGCACCAAAAGAGCATATAAAGTTGGGTAAGCTGAAGTTTGCTGCCTCCAATATCTGCGTGGATGGTCACACTTGCTATTGATGAATGGTACATAAGGCGAGCATAGTGAGGATGCAATATAGTATAAGTATAATTTTGGGCAGGAATCAGGGTTTGGAAGATTCCCAAGATCCGAGATCTCAGATCCAAGTCTATTTCCGCTTGAATCCAAAGAGCAGTTTTTTCCGGTCCTTTTCGGACTTCTTTTCCTTTTCAGACTTCTTCTCCTTCTCGGACTTCTTCTCCTTCTCCTTCTCCTCCTCCTTCTCCTCCAGTATATTCAGTACCAAGCTTCCAGAGCTCAATTTGCGTTCTCCCTTGTCAAGCTTCAGCTCTCGCCGTTTCAAGCCTCCGACCCACGACTTCTTCTCTTTCACTTCGTGGTCAGGCCCTTGCGATGTCGGCGCCTGGGGCAGTACCGGCACCGCCGTGGTATCAGGCAGTGTTGGTGCAAGGGTTTGCGGAGCTACTGGCACATGAGCAGATGGTTCAGTAGATACTGCAGTCGAAGATCCAGACACAACCGAAACAGAAGGGGTATCGAGCCGGAAGTTCTTCTTGAAGATGTTGGGAGCTTTACGGGCAGGCACTGTATCTGTAGACAGCTCGAGCGAGTGGTCGTCCACTTTAGAAGAAATCGACGACTTTTTCACCGACAGGTCCAAAGTGGTGTTATCGTTGTCCGCTTCGTTATCCTCTGTCATGCCGCTCCCCAGACGAGTATACCCATTGACTTCCACAGTACCATTTTTGTCGATGGAGTAGTCGTTTCCGTCAAAGATATCGTTGATGTCGAAACCAAAGTCCATTTTGTCCTCTTCTCCCGGCTCTAAGTAATCACACTTTTGGTAGAACAAGATGTAGGCACTGGCAAGAGCAGGCCCGTTACCAAAAAACTTCATGACAAAGAACTCGTCCACAATCTCAACCGTCTCGTCGTCGAAAAGAAGCCATATCTTGGGCTTGATTTTGCACAAAGAGATGTAGTGCCCGTGCATGGGGCCACCACCGATGTGTACCACGAGCGACGAAAGCTCATACAACTGGAAGTTGTTCTGTGCATTGTCCGGGTTGGAGGTGGTGTTGAAGAGCCGCAACTTCAACGGATAGGAAATCATATCGAAAAGCTTGATCAACTTGTCCACCTTGTCGTCGTACTTGAACCGCTTTAAGTTGATCACCAACACCTCGGGTAAGTACTTGATTTTGATGGTCTTGACGGCCTCCTGAAGCGATGAGCATGAGTTACAGTAGAACTTGTTCTGGTGAGTTAAGATTTCCAGCCGCGAGAAGTTGTTCAAGAGGTTGGTGAGTGAGTTGGAGTGGGAGTGGGGAGGAATGTCGATGGAGAGATCCAAGAACGTTTCCTCCTTGGAGGTCACAGTCTCACAGCTCAAACACTTGGTCTCGTTGGTGATTCGGCCTTGGAAGAGGTCGTTGCACCAGTTATCCTCGGGCCCGTTCTCCTTGTTCAAGCACTCGATGATCTCGTTGATGAGGTAGTTGCAAAACTCGTGCGCATCGTGGTGCATGTTATTCTGACGGAACAAGTAGTTCTTTTCCTTAAGTTTTTGCATAAAGTAGTTGGGTGACACCACCCCCGTGTTGCTCTTGTTTTCCACCATGCATTCGAACATGTCTTTCAAGGCGTACAAGAGGGCTGAATCATCGTTCTGCTCACTGGGTAATTGGAGTGAGTGGTCGAGGTTGACGATGGGGCCGTTGATGAGCGCCGACCGCTTCCGCTGGTCGCTGGTGGGACTGGGATTGAACGGGTTGATGGGGTTCTGGAGGAAAGTCTCGGGGTAAGGAATGCCGATGAGAATGAAACTCAGCTGGGACGAGATTTGTCCGTCGTCCTTGGACACGGGTGGATCGGGCACCGGAGCGGTGGTGGAGGTCCCGGAGGCAGTCCCGTCCCCCGTGTCGCCCCCGAGAAGCATCGAGGAGCTCTGCGAGTAGTCGTTTTTGTCGGCAATGGCCTGGTCTACGTTCTGCGACGGTCTGGTGACCATGACGGGGATTCGCTTGAAATCATCATTATCGTACCGGGAGATCAAATTGCGCTGCTCATCCGATAGGTACAGACAGTTGTGCAACTCGAAGATGTATCCCTTCTTGTTGGGGATCTCACTGTCCAGGTAGCTGGCCACACCGCCGTTGGGGCCGGAGCTGGAGTTGAATTTGATACCAAAGATAGAACCCTTCCGGGACGAGCGGCCCTTATCATCGGCCGCCTTCTGCTGCTCCTTGCTGCGTTTTTGCACCAACATCTCGTACTTATTGGTGAAGTTGTGGGTTTTGATACCGTATAGATTGAGTTTCCGGTCATGGTGAGTTTTGTGGTGAGACAAGAGGTGGACTCTGAAGTTGTGGGTGTGGTAGAGACACTGGAGAATCGAGTTACAATAGCAGGTGTTCCCGTAATTCTCCATGCCGAAGACCTTGTCACTGCCGTCACCGTACGGCAATTGGTGAGCTAGTAATTCTACTTGAGACTTTGTCATGGTGGGAGTAAGTGGAAAAAAGTGCGAAGCGGGGGAACAAATAGGGAGGATCGCGAAGATCGCGAGAGACGGGGCGATGATGGGGGCGGGGGACCCGCGCGGCCGGGGACCGATATAGGGCCAGGCGGGGCGACGATGGGGGCAGGGAGCCGCCGTATGTGAGCTTGACATATTGTGCGCGCTATCTGCAAATTATCAAAAATAGAACATCTTTGCCTACCTCTGATCTGTCAGTTTAATGGTACGCAAAGTCCGATGTCTCAGCTGTCGCAAGCTCAAGATTGGCTGTGACAAGGGCCGTCCCAAGTGCGAGTACTGCGTCGCAACTGGCCGCGAATGTGTCTATGGCAGCTCCAAATCACCCTCGCTTCTACCGCCTATATCACAAGAACCCTCCACCCATATGGTAGAAGAAATCACCACCATTCGGTCGCCGACTTCTGGCACCTCGTACCGTCTCTACAATGATAGTCTGCTCAATTCCATGTGTACACAGCTCGGAATCAACAAGTTCGAGTTCCATCTTCTCTGCCAGTTCCACGCTTGTTTCCTAGAAACAAGCCTCTCGTTCCATCAGATAGCAGACAATCCCAACCTTTCGCCGTTGGACAAGCTCTGGTTGACAGAGGTACCACGGCTCTGGCAAGGCAGTGCCCAGCTCCGCCAAAATGTCTATGCCATGACATCGTTGCATCTCGAGGCCCGCGTTCTGTTGCAACAAATGGTGATCGAAGACCTTGGACCCCACGGGGTGTTTGACACCTTTGGCACCTCCACCTCGGTCCACGACGCCACCCGGCGGATGCTGGACATAACCCTCGCCTACTTTGGTGAGGCGGTGCACGCGACTCGCAAGAGCATCGATGAGCTCGTGCACGGTAAGGAGTTCACGGTGGAGACGGCGGCGGCCACCGTTTTCTCGTCAATCATTCTCTTTACATTTCTATCGTTGCAACCGCACTGCTTGATCCCGCTCGTGGACCCCCGGCCCCATGCCCTGGACTTGATCAAGCTTGTGCTGCTGATGAAGGCAGCCATGGCTTGTGCGTTACCTGTCATGTTCCACACCAGATACCACGGGGTGTTCTACTTGGCAGAATTCTTGCGAGATCACGACGCCAGCACCACGTTCCCGGTGGTCGAGCACTTGCGGGATGACCTCCACCGCCGGCCGCGCGATGACGACGGATACTGGGGCGCTCTTGAAGGGTCGTTGAACATGCTAGACCGGTGCTTTGCCAGAGCTATGAAGACCGATGACTATGTGCTTCTTTTCCGGTATGTGTTTCTCATGGACTTCAAGGTGTATGACTTGATAGAGGCTGGCGACTACTTGAGCCATAAGATTCTTTATTACTACTCGATCATTTCGTTACTCTGCGGGATGAGTTTTAGTAACCAGCACAGCGTGTTTCGGGATTTTGCAGAGATGTTTAGGGAGAAAAGCTTCGAGAGGTTTGGCGGCTGGGAGCATGATATGGATAGAGACATGTACCTTCTAGCGGCCAGCGACTTTAGCTTGAAGGAGCGGCTTCTGGGACTCGCAGAGTTTGTACCGGGGGCAATGGTGAGGGAAGGAAGTGCAACACAAACACACTAACAGGTACAAAGGCAATGTCACCTGTTCCCATTACCACGTTAGGTACTCATTGGTCCTGAACAAAAGTTGCTCGTATAACTAACTTATTCGCTCCGCGCTGCGCGCTTTCTTGCAACCACAATGGCAAGGAAAGTCCGATGTCTCAGCTGTCGCAAGCTCAAGATCGCCTGCGATGAGGCTCGCCCCAAGTGTGAGTACTGTGCCGCCACCCACCGCGAGTGCATATACCCCAATCCGACCCGTGGCGTGGCCCCTGAATCGTCATCTGAACCGTCATCTGAATCGTCGCTCATCTCACTCAACCATTTACAATACGACACCCTCGTCAACCTGGCCGTTCTCAACAAGATGTACGTCCAATTGGGCATCTCCAAGTTCGAGTACCGGCTCTTGACGGAGTTCGACAGCCAATTTGTGAGAAACAATATCAAACCGGGCATGAAGCGCAACCCGTCACCTCTCGACAAGCTCTGGATGAACGAGGTGCCCCATCTCTGGGGCCAGAGCCTGCTTCTACGGCTGAACATGTACTCAATTCTGTCGATGTTTTTGGCGGATAAGGTGTCACTTTCGCAGATGTTGGTGGAGGACCTTGGGCCTCAAGTTGAGTACAAGCAATTGGGCGGTTTGGAGAACAAGGTGCAGCAGATGGTGCTCGAGTTTTTTGGAAACTCGTTGGTGCAAACGATGGCGGCGACCGATGAGGTGTGCCGGAGTCCGCATGGCCTCACGCTGGTGCGGGCGGCAGAGCTAGTATTTTCGGCCATTATCCTCTTTACGTTTCTTTCGCTCCAGCTGTACGACTTGATGCCGCTCCTCGACTTGGCGGGGGCGGACGTGGCGGGCGTGGACGTGGCGAGCGCGCCGGTCGATTTGGTGCGACTCGTGCTGCTGATGAAGCTCGCGATAGGCGAGTGCCTCCCGGCGCTTGTGGGCCTGCCGTACACGGGGCTCTTCTACGTGACAGAAATATTCTCCCCCACCCAGTTAGATGAGATCTATCCCATCGTTGAGCACTTGAAAACCGAGCTTTATCGCTACAAAAGCCTGTACACGGGCCTGCAGTTCGAGGACTTGCAGTGGGCCCTTGAAATGTTCGAGCGGTGCATGGCCCTGGCGGTCCAGAACGATGACCGGGTGCCATTTCTACGTCTCATATTTCTTTGGCGGCCCAGTGTGTACAAGTTGATGCTTGAATACGATTTCTTTAGTGTGCAGATGCTCTTTTACTACTCGACCTTGACGCTTTTGGTGGGGTTGAAGCGCAGCCCCACCAACATTTTCCAGAAGTTCAACGACCAATTTCGGCTGCTCAGCTTCCGTATGTTTGGGGGGTGGCAGAGTCAGACGGATATGGCGCTTTACCAGCTTCTGCTGAATGGAGTTGACATTAGCAGCAATTTGCAGATGCTTCAGAACTTTGTGCCCGAGACCTACGAGTACCATGGCTGAGTGCACCTGCGTAGCGGTAAGAACAGTTCACTGCGCCCTACCTATCAAGGTAGTTGATGGGAGATTCAGACGATTCAGATGAGATTGACGGCTGATTGCAAAATTCGCAGTCTGTCAAATGCTGCGCAACAGCGTCGCTGCCCTCACTCAACCTTTGCTACCCAAGATCGCTCTTCCGCGTCGCCACATAAGCCAGCTATGAGTAACTGTGGCAAGACAGTTGAGCATACCTAATTGACACCCACTGAGCAAGAACTCCATGGAAGTTCAAAGAAGTCCATGACGAGTTCCAGCAGCAATGTGTGGCGCAAGGCTTGCTGCGGTTGCCACGGGGTGGGTCCAACATGCAAATACAGCTCTAACCTGCAAAACCTTTTTCAGTGCCGCCATGGCAACGTGCAGGAGGCTCGCCTGTGTTGCCTCGTTATCAGTGCGTGAGAACCCGTGCACATCTAGAGTTGCTTGACAATGCTGCCTAAAGATAGTCTCGAGATTAGGCTTTGGTCATCCCAAACAACCGTTAGGTTTATGGTCATGAGTACGGTCACGAGTTTATGGTCATATTTACAGTCATGCTTCCAAATGGCCCGGTTTTGGCACATGACCAGGCACTCGGAACATGTGGCATCTCGTCTAATCGTTGAACAATGAAATTTTCTATTAAAATATATAATCAATACAATACTTTAATAACAGCCGTTGATGGAAAGTGACATAGCATTAGTCAACGGGAGAAATTAAAACAACCAAATGAAACGAAATTTTTGTTATGCTAAGTAGAAAGCTAGAAGCTTACAACAACAAAGCAACACCGGCGGCAGCAGCGGCTCCCAACAAACCAGTAGAAACAAAGGCAGCACCAGAATCATCGGAGATGGAGGATCCGTTGGTGGCGTTGGAAGCGTTGGAGGCGTTAGCGGCCTGAACAGCGGTAATGGCAGTTAAAGCAATGATAACAGATTGGAATTGCATTTTATGTGTATATCTATGAATAAATCGGTAAAGAAGGGAAAGAAAAATTCGCAAGGGGGATATTGGGAGCTTTTATAGTTTTTGGTCGGGCCGGAGGTTCTGTAAGGTTCTGAGAAAAGTGGCCCAGGAAAAAGAAACCATTTATTCTCCGGCTCCTGCACACGTCATCTCATCGCCAGACATTTTTACAGGTTGGCGCTATTTTGTTAATTAATTATCCTATTTAGGAAAGCATAATACCACCTTCTAACATGACTCAAGCATAGCCTAAATTTCACCATGCCCTATTAGTTGCCCTTTCTGGACTGTTGCAAATATATTCCATAATAACTGCTAGTTGCTGGTCAATGCTACCGATGAAATTGATCCGGTATCGTTTCAGAGCAACTTGGATTAGAGTAGCAAAACCTGCACACGTCTCGTACCCCTTAATTTTGGATGTATCGAGCTTCTGCTTCACACAAATTGAATCTATTAATACAGTAATACTAATGCTATATAATGTGGCTGAGATCCCCGACTCTGGTCTCAGCTCTATTGTCTTAGACTCTCTTAACTGGCGTTACTGTCAGTGAGATGCAGACTCTCTTATCGGATAGTGGTATTAGTGAGATTCAGACTCTCTTAACTGGCGTTACTGTCAGTGAGATTCAGACTCTCTTATCGGATAGTGGTATTAGTGAGATTCAGACTCTCTTAACTGGTATTACTGTCAGTGAGATTCAGACCCTCTTATCGCGTACTGGTATTAGTGAGATTCAGACTCTCTTATCGGGTACTGGTATTAGTGAGATTCAGACTCTCTTACCTGTACTCCTACCAGTGATAGCCCTCTCAGGCTTATTCATAAGTTGTGAAAGACCAACCATCTTATTAACTTCTTGGTCATAATTCCACCCAGTCTCATATATCCGGTTGATAAAAAGGTCCATGATGAAGTTGTTTTCCAAAAACTTCAGGCTGTCTCCCGTGTCCCGCGAGTACATGAGCTTATCCAATTCTTCCTGATGGTTGGCTGAATTGTTGCGGTTAATTAAGTAATCCTTGAGTATGGTCTTATCTTCCAAGAGATTAAAGTAGTCATTATATCCAAGCTTATTGATCTGGAGCTTCTCAAGAGCTCCCACCACCCGTTTCTCATTCTCATCTCCTTCCCCTTCCACCTCCAGGGATGATTCCCCAACGTCTTCCCGAGCCTGGACCTGCCCGTTCTGCTGTGCAACCCACTCGTCACTATTTTTCATGTAGTCGAGGATGTTTTGGGTATTGACCCAGATCCGGAAATTCTTCAAGTAGATGTAGTCCCGGTAGTTCTTCTCTGTCATTGACAGAAGCTCGTATTCGTTGTTAATCATAATGAGAAAATTTGTCAGAAGATAACTTGTTTGGTCCTGAAAATGAATGGGTTTGAGTAAATTCACCTCATCCACTTTAACAAAATGGTCGTTTCGGCAGTTGGCAAGGCCATGCTTGAGGTTCAAGTGGAAGTTTTCCTGACCCGTGACTTCAGCGAATTCAGGGGCTGGCAACAGGTCGTACTGGGTGGGGGCAAGGGTATTGGTGATGGCCAACGCGGTGATGTCCACGTAAAGCCCGGTGTCGGTATCGATGAACCGGCCATCAATATTGTTATTGCCGTTACCTTTTTCTCTGTAGGTGATGCTTGAGCCCACATCCACAAAATACTTACCCATGCCGCTGAACTGGCCATTTTTCATGACATTTTCCACCACCAAGCTCTGGTTGAATCGCTCAGCAAGCTTATTCAACTCGGCTATAGGCATCTGCACATCCAAGTCGGTGTCCCATGGGAAAATCAGCCCGTTCCAGTACCAACTCAACAACGACCCGTGGGCTATCCACGTCACGAGACCCTCGGTGATACACAAGTCTAAGTATGCTTTGATCAACTTGCACAACGAGATCATTTGCTCACCCTTGCCCACCGTCAACCCGTTGAAAAACCTCCAATCGTAGTGCTCACCCAACCAATGCTCTTTATAGCTCTGTAGCAACTTGGCCTCATGGAAGTATTTGGGAGGCTCGCCTTCTTTTATTGACACCTCCAATGAGTTCAAGTACATGTCCTGGTTAAGAGTTCTTTTTTTCACGGCCCGGAGCTGCTTAATCTTGTCCTTTGCGTCAAACATGAACATGGTTTTATCGAGTTTCACCTCCTTTTTCACGGGTGGGAGTTGAATCGTCGGCGTCCCCCACGCCTTGACCATGGCCTTATAGCTGGAGGTGACCTCAACCGGTCCCGATAATTTTAACTTTTCAACGTATTTGTTGTTCAAAAGACTATATTTCATGTTGTTGTTCCGATTCGAAACAGGAACCTCGTACAAGCCGTCATCGTTCATCAACACCAACTTGGTGGGAGGCTCGAACGTCGTGTACAAAAACGACTTGCCTATAAGTTCGTTATTTTCGATAGTCTGTGGACCAGCAGCAGATGTTATCTTGTAACCCAAAGTGGTAGCAAAGTAGTTATGACAGTAGTCATTGATGTGACGGATCTCACTGTCTCTTATCAACTCTTCGTTGCCGCTGATGTCAAACATATCTTCACATTTGTTTATTTGACCGTTGTTGAACACAAGCGGTGTGAGCTTGGACAAGTCCACCCAGTCACTCCAGTGGAACACCACCGGCTCATTCACATGGTGCTTCATCCATTGGAAGTATACCGATAGCGTGAAGCGAGGGTCGAATGGTTGCATAATGGGTTTAGGACTGGAAGTCATGGGGTTAAAGTATTCAGGAATAGTTACCAGGAGTGGTAGGTCTGCCACCCGCTTGGTGAGACTCCATAGTTCCGGGTCCAGCTGATGCTTTTCGAGGAGTTTTTCCACATGGGCGTTGAACCGGGGGTCTTGGTCAAAGTCGTACTCATTGTGAAGGAAATCGGAGTACCATCGGTGAAGTTTTATGCTGACGGACTGTTGAAGCCGGAGGCGGTCTCCAATGACCCGAAGGTCTGAGTACTGGCGCTTGAGGCTGGCAGCACTGAACATTAGCACGATCGCTATGAACACACGGATCAACATCTTCCTGAGCTTGACCATCTTGGATAGAGAACTAAGTTTGAGGATTTTTTGTCGATTGTTTAGTGCGCACTGGTGAAGTTGCTTGATTGGGGGCATTGCGAGCCCTGGTTGCCAAGAGGAAAGTATATGCACTGGGTGCCACCGGGGTTGTTTATTGACCGCGATGAGAGATTCTGGAAGGAGGGGGTTGGGTTACAACTATAGAACTTCCAGGGAACTTACAGAAACTTAACTAGTTATTAAAGACCTCCTTAACAGACATCCAGAGACGCCTGACGCAACTCCAAGGCGTGTACTTCTATTTGATTTCAGGAAAAGCGAACAATGCGGCACGGTTCGTGTACACACTAGCGAGGCAGGAATACCAAAACAGGCTTTTCACTTATCGCTAAGGCTCAAGGCAACCTACTACGTCTTGTCAACGTCAATGTCCAACTCCCGGTACAAAATTCCTTCCACCCCCATTGGAAGCGCTCCGTAAAACCTTACCAGCGGATTTGTGTGCCCCGTAGCATCCCCGACGTTATTTCCAGTAAACGAAAACATCGACGACGATCCTCCGTACATCACGTCTGTCTCGACTCCCACCCGATTACACGTCACGACGGCGGTACGGCGTGGCGGTAGGCTATTATGGGGGTGGCCCATAAATGGGAAGAATCGAAGAATGTGGTAGTCGACAGTGGACATGTCTGCCAACCGCGGCACGTACTGGTCAGGGGGGGCAAATATCAGGTCTGTCAGGTCCAGTTCCTGGACATCAATAACCGGTAGTACTTTGGCATTTTGTAATGCCACCTGTCTTGATGCGCGGTTCCGAGTGCTCGCAAAATCCAACAGTGGCAGGTGAGGGGACAACCAGGCCATGGGGCAAACTACCAACTGGGCGTGCTGGCGGTAACACGCCAACGAAAACTCAAAGGCGTTAAACGGAGCCTCGAATTTGTAGGGGTTGAGGTCCATGCAAATGCCAAACTGCATTCTGGCAGTTGGGAGGCCTGGCAGGGGATCGGAGGTTGGAGATGTGTAGTACGACTTGTCGAGAATCACGTCGACGGCACTAAAACCAGGTCCTTCGCTGCAGCCCCATACCTCGTCCGTTTCGTAGAGGAAGGCTTTGTGGTGGGTGTGGAGGAGGGAGCCAGAGGGGGAGATGAGTTTACAGGAGTTGTAGATGGGGGTGGGAGCTGAGGCGCAGGTGGTAGGATTGGCATTAGAACTGGCCAACTCAGCCACTCCCACCACCGTAAAACATCCCCATTCCCGACTCAATCCCCGTGCAAAATCAACCACCCTCGGACTATCAGCCCTGTCAAGATACAGGCTAATCCCCTCACGAGACCCGAAATTATACCCAGTAAGCGCCATCTCTGGCAACACTATCATATCAACCTCAAGCAGCTTCGGTAGCTGCGCGAGAAGTGAAATAATCTTCCTCTTATTAACTTCAATCTCTCCAAGTACCGAGTTCAACTGAACACTAGCCACGCGGAACTTCATCTCACTTAAGGTACCTATTACGTGAATCTCGTATAGACTTCGATCGAATGTGTCAAGGAGATCCTCCTGTGTCGGTGAATCCGCACCCGGTTACTTCGCCTGGTTCGCGCGCGCAACCGTACATACTGACACACTGCAAGCCCTGTCACAATTGAAAACTTATAAAACTATCATTTCCAACCACCTTTCATTTGTGTCTTCCATCTGTCTTCTTATCCGGAACCTTTTTAGAATTTTTGGCTGAAGATGTTCAGACGCAGTCGATACTCGATCTTTCTAGCGTTTTTGATCGTGATCCATATTTTCATCATAGCCTACATAAACGATGTGCTGGTCGAACTGATGGTACCCAAGGTACTCTCCACCGCTGCCGCCAAGCCGGTGTCACTCCACCAGCGGGTGTTGAATCGCTTTGAAAATGACGTTTTGGTACCTTTCCGCAACAGCCGTCTCAAACCCACCGATCCTATGGCCAAACTCATACCACACTTGGACAGAAACCACCGCCCAGGGGCTACCGCCGTGCAGGTGCCAGAGGCATACATGGAAGAGCCAGGCCCTCCCGTGGCCGCCTATGATCCCCGGATCACCTTTGCTACCATCCTCAAGCACTTGGTGGACCTGCTCGCGGCTGGCGGTGACACTCCCACCACCCCCGCCGCCGGCCTCGCCCTGCTCCAGGACCTCTCGGTACCATTTTTTCACTGGGCCGACTACGCCAATCTCCTGATTTTACATCAATATCAGGTGTCACCCGTGGCCCAGAAACCCACCTGTCAGGCTCTCACCACCACCACCAACAACAAGCTTCGTGACAAGAGACTCGAGATCTTTGAGGTGGAAACCTTCTGTGTGGACGATGCCGCCCTCCAGACGTTTATCGACAACGAGTATATTCCAACGTGGACTCGCCACCGGGCCCAGCAGATCCAGGACCTTGGCCCGCAGTACCTGGCGGGGCTCCACGTCCACCGCTACGGCGGCCGAAGCACCAAGGATAACAAGATTTTGCACTCCAAACTGTTTCTCCACGATTTCATGCCCACGCCTTACCTGATGGTATTGCTTCTCCCGGTCGATACCAACAACGTGGGTGGCGACGGCCAATTGGCCAACGCTCTCCAGGTGGGTGTCAACCAGGAACCCAACGGATGGAAGCGGTTGGTCGATACAAACCTGTTTAGGCAATTGGGATCCGCTGATGGTGATGCCAGCATCGATGTGCACTCACAATTGCAGCAATTGATTCGCCTCCTCGATACCAACCCTGGCTACCAGGAAGTCAAACACAACAACTCGCAGATACCATACCAGAAACCATTAGCCCACGAGATGTTTGTGGACCCCACACAAGACATTTATGATGCCATGTCCGTCTCCGACACCGAACTCAACATCCACGACTGGCACTACCGCCATGCGTTGCACACATCGTTGACATCTCCATACCCGTTCAAATACTTTTTCGAGGCCAAGATGTTGAAGAAGGACCGCAACTGGGAGTTGGGTGGGCACTATGACTGGAGGTTTTTTGGTGGCATCATCAATTATACCGACAGACAGGGCCCGGTGCTCCACTCGTTGATCAACGGGTGGTTCCGCTTTGTTAACTCCTACAAGATCAACACATGGATTGCCCACGGATCGTTGCTCAGCTGGTTCTGGAACGGTGTCACCTTTCCGTGGGACATTGACTTTGACGTGCAGATGCCCATCACCGAGTTGCATACCGTGTGCCGTCGGTTCAACCAGTCGTTGGTGATGGACTTGGGTCTTCAGGACCAGGTGCTGGAGGTGCGCTACGGCCGGTTTTTCCTTGACTGCGGTACCTTTATTGGCACCCGTAACAATATGAACGGCCACAACAATATCGATGCGCGGTTTATTGATGTAGATACCGGCCTCTACATTGATATTACCGGCTTGGCCTTGACCGATACGCCTGCTCCTCGCCGGTATGACCAGATGCTTCCCGAGCACATGCGTCGGACCTCCGGTGACCATTCTATCGGCGAGAAAACCCGAAATGAGTACTTGCAAGTTTACAACTGCAAAAATAAGCATTTCTTATCATTGAACTCCATAAGCCCGTTGCGGCTCACGGCCTTCGAAGGCCAGTTAAACTATATCCCTAATGACTACCGAACCATTCTTATTAATGAGTATAAGCAGCTGGGAATTGAGGCCAGAAAGTTCAAAACCCACTCATTTTTGCCGAAACTCGAGCTCTGGGACCTCACCAAGGACCTCATAAAATTCGTGAAAGCAAAGTATCCAGGGCGCACATCACTTCGAAAGTACAGGGCCGGCACTCCGGCCGGTAATATGGCCTCCAAGGCAGTTATAGATGAAGAGTTCTCCAGTGACACCGATTACTTACTGTATCTCTGGTCCAAACCGGACGCTCTTTTCGAGTACTTGGTGATCAACGATGTGACCGACCTCCACCGCCAGGAAATGGACTTGTATACGACTGGCCACTCCACCAAGCCTATGTTCTTTGACGGAGACCTTCTCACTAAGCGTACCAGTCCTTTACGTCACGATTTATTTAACTTTGAGCAGTTATTTGGTGGCTACCGGTTCCAGCACAGCTTGCAAGCAGTCCAACAGGTGGTGGAAGCTGCGACTTCCAAGACAGTTAATAATGACGACCTGGTAGATGAGCAATCGGAATCGGAGTCGGAATCGGAGTCGGAAGTTCTTCCAAAACCGGTGGTAGATGCCATCGAGGAGTTGGATCTTACTAAAGAAGAAGGTACAGTAGTGGAGGTGAAGGTGGTGGAAGAGGCACCTCCGGTGGGAGATCCGGTGGTGGAAGCACAAACAGATGAGCATCTCTCCGACCCGAATCAGAAACGACCATTCTCCCATGACTCCAGTACTTAGGTTATATGTATATAGATGTGGGGGCGGACACGCCCTCGACCCCAATACACGTGAGACGACAAGAGTTTTCGTGCGCCTCCCAAGAAATCATACCAATGAAAAGGCGCTCAATGCTCAGGCCATTTGTGCGACAAGCAGAAAAAAACTACACAACTATCACTCAATGCTTTCGAAATTAGCACAACGTCAGTTCGTTAGATTCTCCTCGCACGGCCCTACCACCGCCTCCAAGCTCCTCAACGAGCCAGCCTTCCATCCTTCCAAGGTCAGCAAGGCCGCCGGTGAAGCCTTCAAAAAGGCCTCCCAGGAAAAAATGCACCACTCGGTGGGAATCACCAAGTTATGGAAAAGAATAACCTACTTCGTGGCCTTCCCTGCCTTGCTTCTTACCGCCATTCCCGTGGGAAATATCGAGTTGAAGCATGCGGAGCACAGAGAGCATTTGAGACACTTGAGTGATGATGAGTGGCCAACTCAGTACGATTACCAGAACATCAGAGCTAAGAAGTTCTTCTGGGGAGACGGAGACAAGACCTTGTTCTGGAACTCGGATGTTAACAGAAACATCGAGGCCTAGTATGCATAGTATATGGATAATAAATGTAAGAAAGGAAGATTGTAGAGTCTGACAGGGTTTTGGGAGGGGCAGAGAGAGACAGAAAGCCTGAGAGACAGACAAGCAGAGTACCAATCATTTATGATGATTATATATTTATCACCTACAATGCACCTACCACCTTCAACCTTCAATTCGCTTCTACTCTTGTCTACACCTTATCGCTTCAATGTGTATTAGACGCATTACAATGCCATTATCGTTAAAGAGTCGAGAAGATGAACAAGTTGTTCGTAGCCGCAATCGCAACAGAATTCTCCCTAGGATGCCATGATAAGTGAAGTATGCTCTTCTTAAAGTCAATGTTATCAAAGTCATTGCTGAGATCACTACCATTGGTCATCATTCTCCGTCTCATCATCCCGTTGTTGGACCCCATCTTCTTGGTCTTAAACGCAGACTTATCGGCTTGCAAAACAATCTCTTCCTGTTGATCGTCATCAAGATGACTACTGGTAGGACTTTCAGGGAACCCACCATCGGCAGCCGGCGATTGTGGCTCCTCATCGTCATCTTCTTCATCTTCTTCGTCGTCGTCCCCCTCTTCGTCGTCGTCTTCGTCGTCTTCAGGCTCGCCAACCGTTCTACCTCTTTTCTTCATTTTGATTGGCTTCATCGATCCATACGAAGAATCTCCATTGATCAGGTTGGGATAAATCATGAAATTGTTGTTATAAGAACCAGTCATTATAGATTTGTTATCAGGGCCAAATTGCACTTCGAACTTGTCGAATATTGCATCATTTTCATAGGTATCACACAACCGGTCTCTCAAATGCTCATGCACATTAATGGTCTTGATGGGCTTCAGCTCCATCGCCAAATCCCAGATCTTCACGGTCATGTAGTCACGGGACACAATGTACCGCCCGTCGTGACTGAACTTCACATCACTTATGGAGCTGGTGATCTCGGTGAAGAAGTTGTGCGACGCCGGGTCCAAGTACTCCTCAAAGATCTTGGAATGGCTGTCACACAACGAGTTGGACCGCATGTCGTTCAACTTGATGGTACCCTTGGACGAAGAGTACATGAACAAATTACAGTGGCTGGGATGGAACTCGGCACTCGTTATCACCTCCGTCAACTCTTCCATATTGGAGGGCTTTATGTCAACAATGTTGAAGCTCTGGTCACTGATCCCCAAGTTCCACAAGTTGATTCTCAAGTCATCACTGGATATATAAGTCTCTTGATCGGAGTTGACAGAAATCGAGTTGATGTGGTAAGCATGGGCATTCGAGTAGATTTTCTTGGGCTGGGCCGAAATCAACTTATCGTGAACCGTCATCTTGGGCAACTTCAAGCTGGACAAATTCAAGCCTGACGCCGGTAAATGGTCGGCTCCATTCAAGTTGTTCTGGTAGAGCAATTTGACATTTCTTTCCATGATCTTCCACAATTTGATGGTTTTGTCATTCGTGGACAACAAGTACAACGAGTCGTTATAACTCTTGATCCACTTGATCTTATTGATTTTCTCCTCAATTTCCAACGACTTCAAGTAATCAAATTCTGCGTCGTGGCTTTGAAACTCGGTGAAGAACTTGTATTCACAATTACTATTTTTGCTGTGGTTTCTCTCAAACAAAACCACCCGGCCACCTTTGTCACCGGTGGCCAAGAAGTTACCGTCGTGATTGAATTCCACCGTCGAGATCACATCTGCTTCTGTTAAGTTTTCAATATCGCCCTTGTCTCCAAAGCACTGGGAGAACTTCCAAGTTTCGTTTACGGTCATGATGCAGGGGATGAAAACTTATTCAATGCAATATGGGGATGGTTGGGGAAGGAGATCGAGCAATTGGATTGACAGGAGATTGGGTGTATGGGTCTAGCGGTTAAGTCAGGTTATACGTTAGCCGGGACCAATTGACTTGAACAAAAGGAAAAATAGGTTCAAATCGAAGGCTGCAAGCGGGTTACAACACACGTATAGACGAGGGTGCGTGTGGGTACGGGTTGAAGTAAGTTGTGGTATTGACTCAAATCCAAGATGAACTTTCCTTGATCCTCAATTGATATGTCCCTTTGTAAAAAACTTCGAAAGGGCGAACACTAGGATCGCAAAGACAGAACGGGCAGGTCGTGCGCGGGAAAACGGCGCTCAGGTCTGGCGGTCGCTGGCGCGTGCTGGGGCGAGAGGTGGCGGTGCGCTGGGGAGAGCTGTGGCGGTAGCCTTTTTTTTGTATCTTTACGAGACTAGGACGATGGGATTAGTTCAAAGCCTGTGATGGCTTAGGGCACAAAGAAGTGTCCATTGGTGAAAATGGGGCCAATTCGGTGATTTTGTGAAAATGTGATTGTTTTACTTTTCATGAGAACTCGACAACCATGAAATAGGAAGGAACAGTCAGTTACACCCGTGCAATGAGACCCATGCCAGTACTGTGGATGTATGGGTCAGAACATCATGATACCTCAAGGACTTCCAATAGTATAGGTGTAAAGACCAGACCATCATAATGCACACAAGTTCCCTGGGCATGTCTCTTCTCATATTCCTCCTACGCTGTTTTATAATAATATTTATTATCGAATGATAAAACTATACAGATCATTAAGTTTAAACTTTCTTAGCAGCATCTTGTGGGCTAACCTTTCTGTCAGTGTTGAATCTCTTTCTTTGAGGAGGAGTTCTGATTCTTCTGTCAGTTCTGGATCTAACTCTGACAATTCTGGCGTGAATAGCACAAGAGACACAGTAGTGCAATTTGTTGTATAACTTTGGCAAAGCGTATTCCTGGTAAACAGAAGCTTCAGACAAGTCTCTAATAGCAGCGGCTTCAACCATGTTTCTGATAGTGACTCTCTTGATAGCCTTGTCCTTTGGAACACAGGCGGCACAGTTCAAACATCTGACTGGCTTGACGTGTCCTCTACCTTTCTTATTTCTACCGTTGGAAGCTCTCTTCTTAGCCATTTTCTAGAGGAAAGTTAGTATTTATCAATTGGATGTGAGGAACATGAGTCGACATCAAGGGTGACAGGAAGGGAATTTTGGGACTTTTCCGGAGGCGGAAAGCTGGCACCACGTTGGAATAGGGTGTTAGGTCCCATATATTGGGAGTTATCAACTCATATAGTTCTCATGGTGCAGTTGAATATTAACATACTGTTTAGTTTTAATGAAAAAATTATAAAGTATCTCTGAAAATTTTTAAAACCTATTCGACTTGGAGGCCCGCGAGCATGGTGTGCACACAGACCCCCATCCCAATTTGGACCGGCAGCAGTCACAGGCGCGACAGGCGCGGGATGGACGCTTACCCTGATGGGGCGCACGTGAGTGCGCGCCCTTTCGCACCAATCAACACACCTCAATTAATGGCCTGAGCATTGGCTGATTTTCACAACAGAAGGCAAGTGATAAAGAACACCATTCTTTGTTTTCCAATACACTTACCGGTATAAAACGTACGTTATCCACGTCATACAGCCACACAGATTCAACGTGTGTCCCTGAAGCAATCCCCACTCCCCATTCCATCATCGTTTACTAACTTGTCTCCCAGATGTTTTCTCGTGCCATCAAACAATCTTTTGCTTCTCTTCCAAGAGCAAGAACCTTGACCTCGTCCGCCAGAGTCTTTTCCGCCCCCGTCAAGACCAACACCCCCACCGCCAAAACCTTGGCTGATGTCACCGGTCCTGACTCCTCTTTAATTGGTCCTGGTGCTACCCCAGGTACTATTCCAACCGATTGGGACCAATCCACTGGTGCTGAAAGATTCGAACTTTTGGGTAAGATGGAAGGTGTGGATGTGTTCGACATGGAAAACCCCATTTTCGAAGGATCTGGTACCATGCAAGACCCTTACCTCGTACCTACTTATGTGGGCTACAGATATGTTGGATGTATGGGAAAAAAAGGAGAAGAACACAAGCCTTATTGGTTGAAGGTCACTGCCGACGAGCCTGCCAGATGCTGGCACTCGGGAGTGGTGTTTTTGGCCAAGTATGTCGGTAGCCCCGAACACGCTCACCATTAGGACTTTGGTATAATTCTATTCTTTATTAGTCTATTTGCATCAGTAAATACAAAAATTGTGTTATGTAAAATGGCCTCTAGTTCACCCGGATAAAACATCCTTGGATGAAGCCTAACGTGGTGATGATTCCTAACCCCCACCATCCAAGGCCAGCCACGTTACATGCTTGACCCACTGTCATTAAGCGTCCGGTGAAGAGTGGACTTATACAAGCAGCTAGTGACGCGGCCGAAATCGCCGCCCCGTTAACAATACCTCTATACTCCTTCTTGGCATTGGAGTTGATCAGAACCATGGCCAACGTCATCAACGAACTAGCCACCATCACCCTAATAAACACAAAAGCGTAGAGAAATTGGTCGGCATACTTGGTGGTCAAGTCTCCGTCCAACTGCTGGGGCAAGAACAACAACACGTACGGTAAAATTGCAAATAACAACGGGAAAATCCCTAAGGCCACTAGAAAAACGGTGTTTCTGTTGAATTTGCGGTCAATTGTGGGAAACACCAAAAGTACCATGAACATGCCAAAAAAACCAGAACTAGAAAGCAAGTCTCCCGCGCGCTTGGGGGTGTACCCCAAACCACCCTTCAAGTGAAGCGGGAACTGAGACACCCGTGCACCCGTGTCGGTGTACGCTGGAGGGTATGATACGAAAATGGGTAGGAATTCGTCGAAAGCGGTGAAATGCGACTGCATTATAAAGTATGCTAATATAGGGTTTAAAACCTTGGGTGTAAGGATCAGTCTCCACTCGAACGGTTCGAGATCCGTCTCGAGGTCTGCCAGTTGACCGGACTCGGCCAGCTTGACCAAGAAAATGGTGTTTTCGTCTTCCGCGTCCTCCACAAACTCCGACTGACTTTGCACAGAACCGATTCCAAGGCCACGGAGGAAACTCGTACTGGCGTTGATACCATAGTCCTGGTGGTGCTGCAACGTGGGGTGGGTTTCTTTTAGGCAAAAATAGGTGATGGCTGCTTCGGCCACCAAAATGGCTGCAATTACCATATTAGGCAATGCGTATGGGTAGTGCCAATTGAGGTTCCCCCAGAACAGTAATGGGGCCGTGTCGGGGCGGAAGGGATGTGAGAGCTTTCCACCAATGTACGGGCCAAACACAGCCCCGACATTCCATGAAACCGGCATAGATAAGAAAGCAAGACCCTGATGGTGCTTTTTTGGGGCAATTTCGCTAATAACTGAACGAGATACTCCTGAATTCCCGTTCAACAGGCCCATAATGCATCTGGCCGTGAAAGCCATTGCGAAGCTCGAAGAAAACCCGAGCAAAAGCACCGCCAACAGCGAACCAAGAAGACCTATGATTATGACAATTTTGCGCCCGTAGATATCAGCTAGTTTTCCCCATACAATTGCAGTGCTGAACTGGCCAAAGGCAAACACCGCCGCAAGGTACCCGGCGTAAGTGGAGATTTCTGCTTCTGACTTGGCGACACCAAAGTCTCTGATCATATAAAATGCATATGGAAATAAGGAGGTGAATGCAATAGGTTCGGCAAGTTTGATAAACGAAATCACCAAGATTTGCACCAATGGGAACCCTTTGATCTGGGCCTCGAAGGTGAGACTGGGCAGTTGTGACATAGGTGGGGTTTGCAGAAGTATCAATCAAAAATACACGAAAAAACACGAAAACGGTGTTCTTTTAAGTCCCTGTCTTATCGCAAAGATAAGCGAGTAGATCTCGGCTCGGAAAAATGAGCGGGGGTGCAGTGAACAATAAGCTTGGAAAGCCGCAAGTTTGAAAACGAACAGAGCAAAAGAGTTACGACCACACACTGGAGCCATATGCGGGTGGAGGTGAGTGGATTGTATGGGTGATATATATTATGTGGATATGGTGAATTTTACAAAGCTCACGCAAAGAAAATGGCTGCAACACTAGTTCAAGATTTATTTGATACCAACGATGCATTCATACCCATTTTGCACTAGCTGCTTCTGGAGACAACACCCATGAGACTAATCAGGGAGTTTGTACTTCTGGGGCCACGAAATTTCACCACTGGCAGATAACTTTTGACCATCTTGGCTCATCCTTTCATCAATGCTGATGTCTAATCTTGTTAATTCCGACTCTATACCACCCAACCCCCCAGAAATATCATTCGTTTTCACGGTATTCAAGTCGTCAAGCAAGCTTCCAATGTACTTGATAAATGAACCAGTGTCCGGTAACTTATAAGTAGATTCAAAAAGGATTGGCTCGAGTTGAGTCAAGATGTTACGCTTTCTCTCTTCTCCCTCCCCATACGCTAAGATCACATACAGCAGACAAAGAGCCTTCATCTGTTGGGGGGTAAGCAGGTCAAGTGAGATGATATTTTGTGGATTGGGCATTTGAAGCTTTAATCCACCATCGTACATGGGGAACCTAAAATTCCAATTGGGTTCTTTTGTCTTGTTGAACAAACGGTCAGCAAACAGTTGGACTTCCAAGATCATCGCTAGGTCAATACCTATAAGTTCTAAGTGAGCTTTTATTCCTGATCTCGCATTGGGTCCCATACGTTTAATATGATTTAGAATATCTTCAGGAGCTTGGCTCTGCTTGACAGGAGAAGAAACGTACACGAGCTTGGTCTGTCTGGCACCTACTTGAGCTCTAGTGTTGTTGGTACTTCTGGTTTGTTTAGTGCTCCTCATATTTGAGATTCAGATTTTTGTGTTAATTTTCCCAGGTTCGGAACCTGAGGGTGGTACAAACACCAAGATGTTTATTTATCAAGAAAAGAAGACAGCGGAACAAAGACAGAAGTAGATGTGTGATTAATACTCATAATACTTGTATTGGTCTAGAAGATAAAGGACAGATGCTGGCAGTGTCCACTTTGATTCCCATCACTGAGATTTGCAGCCATTAGGTTTAATTGAGCACACTGTTAACTTTTGAATACATTATACATAAATTCCTCCCTACGCAACTTGGATGAAACATCCCTGGACAAATCCCGCTACGGTGATGAGGCCTAATGCCCACCATCCAAGCCCTGCCATCTCAAAACGTTGTCCTAAGGTCATTAAGTACCCAGTGATAATAGGACTCACACACGAGGCAAGTGATGCAGCCGAGATCGTGGCCCCGTTAACAATACCTCTATACTCCTTCTTGGCATTGGAGTTGATCAGAACCATGGCCAACGTCATCAACGAACTAGCCACCATCACCCTGAAAAATACAAAAGCGTAGAGAAACCGGTCGGCATACTTGGTTGTAAAACTGTCATCCAAGTGTTTAGGCAAAAACAACAACACGTACGGTAACACCAAGAAAAGGAAGGGGAAAATCCCCAATGCCACTCTGAAATTTGTGTTTTTGCTGAACTTACGGTCAAGCCATGGGAACACCAAAAGCACCATAAACATGCCAAAAAAACCAGAACTCGAAAGCAAATCACCTGCTCGTTTGGGGGTGTATCCCAATCCTCCTTGTAAATGCAAAGGAAACTGAGACACCCTTGTGCCAGAAGCATCATAGGCTGGAGCATAGGATACAAAAATTGGTAAAAACTGCTCGTACGCCGTGTAGTGAGACTGCATTACAAAGTAAGCCAAAAGTGGATTCAACACTTTCGGAGTAAGAACATTCTTCCACAGGAATGGCTCGGCCGGTTCTGTTTCCACCGCGGTTGGAACTCCGTCTTCTAGCACGTTGACCGTCTCCGATGACTTTGACTTTACTAAAAGAAGGGTCTCCTCATCTTCCACCACTTCGATTTCACCCAACTCTTGCCCAATGAGCCCGAGTCCACGAAGAAGTCTCTTCGTTCTGTTGATGCCCGGGTCGTCATGGTACTGTAATGTAGGATGAGTTTCCTTCAAGCAGAAATAAGTTATCAAAGCCTCTACTATCAAAATGGCTGCAATTACCATATTAGGCAATGCGTATGGGTAGTCCCAATTAAGTCTTCCCCATGCCAGCAGTGGTGGTGTGTCAGGACGGAAGGGATGAGACAAGGTACCTCCGATCAAGGGCCCAAAAACCCCTCCGATGTTCCACGCCACTGGCATAGACAAAAATGCAAGACCTTGATGGTGCTTATGTGGGGCAATTTCACCGATAACTGAACGAGATACTCCTGAGTTCCCATTTAAAAGACCCAGCAATCCACGGGCCAAAAAGGCCATCCAGAAATTGCTTGAAAATCCAAGCAAAAGAATTGAAAACAGTGAACCAAGAAGTCCTAGTATAAGCACGATCTTCCTTCCATACACATCAGCAAACTTCCCCCACACAATTGCCGAGGTAAATTGGCCAAAGGCAAACACCGCCGCAAGGTACCCGGCGTAAGTGGAGATTTCTGCTTCTGACTTGGCGACACCAAAGTCCCTGATCATATAAAATGCATATGGGAATATGGAGGTGAATGCAATAGGCTCCGCAAGCTTGATAAACGAAATCACCAAGATTTGCACCAACGGAAAGCCCTTGATCTGGTCTTTGAACGTGAGATTGGTATGCTCTGTCATGGTTTATGGATGGCGATGTTCGAAGTGGATGTGGGGGACTTTATGTATTTCCTCCAAATTGTGTTTCCGGGTTGATCATCTGCCTTGGTCCGGTTTGGGAACTGATTTAGTGGGGGTGCCGATCTTCAAAACTTCTGTACGTCAATAGAATTACTTGCACCGCGTAAGGTGGTAGTAAACGGACCCCCAAGAGACATATCCAAGGGTGAACCATACCAAATGCTTGGTATTGATTTGTAAGGCCCATTAAACAAACTAGTCACGTTGTTTAAGCGACTTCAATAGGACCCTGAAAAATCGCACCTCCACCACCACCACACGGGCAGACAATCGGAGCGAGATAAACCCGGACCCAAGTACCCGATGTGGTAGGGGGGAATTTTGCAGCAATATGCAACCGAACTATGATCACACATTCCGGTCCCCAGATCCCCACATTTTATGATTCGGACCTTATACTATTTAACCTTTCGGCTAATTATGACCCATACACCCACACTAAGGCCCTTGGCGCGACAACCGGGTGCTACTGCCGTACGCCGCCGTGCGTGCGTTTATCCAACCCCGGTCGCGGAACCACTATGGTGAAAAAAAACTGCAACTAATTCAAGTGAATAACTAATTCAAGTGAATACAAGTTAACAAACTACAGCAGCAACTCAACATGGTGCAGTCCAAACCACAGGTATTGTTCATCGGAGAGCTTAACAAGTCTTTGTTGGAATACCAGCAATTTTCGTCCAAATTCGAGTGCATTGATTACGTTATCACCAGTAAGGCTCAGTTGGTCCAAGATCTCCAAACCAAATTCAAAAACATCGAGGCCATCTATGGAGCGTGGCTCGGGTTCGTTCCGGTAGGCGGCTTTCGGGACGACATAATTGACGCCTGTCCCAGCAGCCTAAAGGTCATCTCCATTTGTTCTGTTGGATATGACGGCTACGACGGCGAACGTATGAAGTCCAAAAACATCGTGTTGACGAACGTCCCATCGGTTGGGGCAGCCGACCCGGTGGCCGACCTCGTGTTATACAATACGTTGACTGGGTTCCGTAATTTCCACTTGTCCCAACGGGCTTTCTTAGAATGCCCTCACACGGTCAACGCTCGTGCCGCCCTCCAGTATGGGTCGTTCGATGGCGCGGATGGAGCCGTGCGCTGGGGCGAGCAGTCGCGGTACGCGTATGGTGAAAGCACCGCCGGTACCGACTGCCACAACCCGCGCGGCCACCACGCGGTCGTGGTAGGGTTTGGCCAGATCGGCCAGCTTATTGGCCAGCGGTTATCTGCCGTGGGAATGCACATCCACTACGTCAAGCGGACGAGACTCTCGGCCCAGCAGGAGGCCCTGTTGGGCTATCCAGCCACCTATCATTCCCTGTTGGCCGATGCCACCATGGCCGATTTGGTGGTTATTGCAGCCCCAGGAACCCCGGAAACCAAACATATGGTCAATGCCGACATCATCGAAAAGTTTACAAAGCCCTTCAGGATTATCAACGTGGGGAGAGGTACGATCATCGACGAACAGGCGCTTGTTAATGGTTTGGAGCTGGGAAAAGTGTTGTTTGCAGGTTTGGACGTGTATGAAAACGAACCCCATGTTCATCCCAAACTCTTACATAGACAAGATGTGCTTCTCACCCCCCACGTTGGAGCTTCTACCATCGAGAACTTTGATTTCACAGCGGTTCAGGCCTTGAAAAATATTGAAAATGTCTTGTTGCAAAATGGGTCTGGTTTAAATAGAGTTAATTAGACGGCTGCGAAATAAATATTTTGCATCCACAAATGGGAGACCAGATGAAAAGAAAGGCTGAACCCCATGAAAATACCCGTACTGACGGCTTCGTTGAGAAGTTGGCTGTATTGTTAGTAGAGAACTTGATAGACTTCAACCTTCAGGGCAATTTCCACTTGAAGCGATTGGTTTGTCAGATATCGGGCCACTCGACTGAACTGATACCTAGTACAGACGTATTATATTTTCACGTCAACGAGATGTACAATCTTTTTCAGGAGAAGCTAAAACAAGTCTTCAGCTCACTGAAAGGAACCTTCACGTTGAATTTGCACAAATGGAGCCACACTAGTGAGTACATCTTTTCCCATGTCCAGTACATGGATGAAAAGTTCGACACCTTTGAACTTCCTTTGGGGTTGGTCAACCTCGAGCTAGTCGACGGCAATGTGGACGTGGCTCTCGTCAAGAATGCGTTCCTACAGGAGCTCAAAGGCAAAATCAGCTTTGTCACCACCAACTTCGAGTTGGACCCCAAAGCGAAGAGCATCGTCAGTTTTTTAATGGGAAATGGCGACAGTATTGAAAACGACTTGGATTTGGCTATTTGTGTCAACTGTGACGACCGGGTATTGCAATGCTTTCCCTCGTTTGTTCTCGAGTCATATCACTGTTTCTTGAAGGAGTTGGCCAGTCCGTTGGAGTTGGAGAAGCTCATGGGAACAGCTGTTCTTTTTTCACAAAAAGTCGAATTTATGTTCCAGTTGGTGATCCAGGAGAACGCTCCCAAAGCCCTTAGTTTAGACTCGTACAACTTCAAACCGCCGAAGGATATTGATGACATCTACAAAACCCATTTGAAAGACACAAACTCAAGCAATATCATCTTTAGGACCAGAGCCTTGGTAAACATGAAGAAGTACTTAGTTGACCCAAACCAGTTTACACCATATCAGTGGCAGTTACTTGAGTTCTTGTCTTACATCTCGGTCTTCACGTACAAATTAGTCTGTGACCACACCAGAACCCCCTCCTCCCACCAACTTCTTCAGCACCTCAAGTACGAGTTGTTTTTGTTCAACCAGATGTTTGAGATGTTTCCCAGCAAATTCAACTTGTTGTCTAGAGGAATCTACAAGGTATTTGAGGAATACTTCATCAAGGTTGAGGCATACCACAAGTCTTTGCAAACCAAAGCCGACATTCTCATGGCCACATACTTGTCCCCCGACTCCAGAAGATTTTTGCAGGCTTCAGACGTCCAATCGATTAGAACAGAGGTGTTCAAAAACAGGTATCCCATCTCCACCATAGACTCGACTTTCGGTGAAGACGAGTCTCTTGGTGTGGTTGACGGGTTTGTGATGGAGGCGTTCCAGTGCTCTGGCAGCTTGAGTCCCGAGTGTTTTCTGTTTGAGTCGTTCCCGTCTGGACGATGTCCTACACGAGATCTTGTTGGATTCTGGAAAAAAAACCACCTTGACTTTCCCACATTGGCAGCGGTGGCACGAAGAGTTCTTCCCATACAAACCGGCACCGGTAGGGGCCTTGGAGAGTTTAAGGCCAACTTTGACCGCATCCTAACTCTGGTGCAGCAGCTGCAATTATGTTCGATTGAATCGTTTTACTTTGTGTACTGTCTTTCACGGGAAATTGACTTGATATGTGCTAGCTCCGGTGACACACGTATCGAGCAGTTTCAACATAGCTGCCACAAACCCACAATTGTTCATAAGAGCAGTATCAGTGCCCGGGACTTACACTTGCCCCAGTCAGATTAGAGAGGTAGATTGAGTAGTTCAATACAACAAACGACAAAGACGCCAGTACTATCCACACCTAGTAACAGGAACTCGTAGCATGGCCACCATCCACTGTCACCACTATTGCCTCTGTGTCATTGTCTTCTCCACCAGTTTGCAACCGTGACTGGGATCCGCGAACTCCTAAATGCGAATCGACATAAATCTCAGTCCCCAACTACGTACCGCCAACAGGCATTCATCACCACCATCCAAATCCACAGACATGTCGTTATACATCGGGGTGTATGTGGCTTTGTACGAGTACCAGCCACAAACAGATGAAGAGTTGAGTGTCACACCGGATGATATTCTCTATTTGCTCGAGAAGTCCCAAGTGGACGACTGGTGGAAAGTCAAAAAGAGAGTGTTGCCAGTGGGCGACGAAGAGGTCGACGAGCCAGTGGGGCTTGTGCCTTCCAATTACATCGAGCCAGCTCCCACCGTAAAGACGTGTACTGCTTTGTATGACTATGATAAGCAGACGGAAGAAGAGTTATCGTTCAGAGAAGGTGAACTGTTCAATGTCTATGACTTGAACGACCCCGACTGGTTGTTGGTGGGCGACGCTGCCACCGGCCAGCTGTTTGGGTTTATTCCTTCCAACTATGTGCAATTGAACGGAGATACAGTTGGTGCTGGTTCTGTGCCTACCCCCTCCCAACCTCTGGCAGTTCCAATTCCCGGCTTTGCACCTCCACCACAGCACATCAGCCGTCAGGTCGTACAACAGCCCGATCCCGAGCCTGAGACATACGAGGAGGATGCCGAAGAGTTCAATGAAGCCGAACCACCCTTGCCGTCAAAACCCAGACCTTCTCAGCCCTCATATGAGAGAGAAGTTGCGTTGGACGACGACTTGCCACCACCTCCAATGCCTCTGAGACCACGCGAGGACCTGCGCGATGCCGAAATAGAGGAGGATTTGGAGGCTCCGATCCAAGAACACAGTTTTGACGGAGATTTTTTTAAGTGGCTCATCAACGAAATTGACGGAAAGAAGAAAAAGGCCGTCACGTTGGCCATCGGCAAAGGTTTGATTATCTTGAAACCCACCCTGCCTAGTCCCCGGAAGTTGCGGTTGCGTTCCTCGTCCAGTTTGGATAACGAATGGCGTCTCAAGGACTTGACCAGCTTCAGCAGTGAGAAGAAGCATCTTTTCTTGGAGTTTAAAAACCCCACCACTAGCGTGGAGTTGCACTGTGGAAGCAAGGATGTGGCGGACGCCATAATGTCGATTTTGGGTGATTTAAAGGGTGCTGAGAGTGCCAAAGGTTTAAGAGAAGTGGAAAAAGCTTCAGTTCCTTCTACGAAAGGAAATAAGAAAATCGGCCGCTTGATCTACGACTTCAAGGCCCAGGGCAGCGATGAGTTGGGATGCTATGAAGGCGACGAAGTGTACATTGTCAATCAGGAGAAATCTAAAGACTGGTGGATGTGTGAACACATTGACACCGGAAAACTGGGTGTGGTTCCATCCGCGTATATTGAGATTGTTGGGAGCTCCAACCTTGATAAGCTAGTAGACGCACCATCAAGGCAAAAGTCTACCACCTTATCTAAAAGTGAGGCCAAGAAGAGACAGAAACAACGTCACCGAGATGAACGTGAAAAAATCAGAGAACGGGACAGAATCGAAAGAGAAAAAGCCAGAGCCTCGCAAAGGTCTACAGAAAAGGACGTTTCTCCTGATAAGTCGATGCCAAACTTTCACCGGGTGCGTACTTGGATCGATAGTTCTGGTTCTTTCAAGGTGGAGGCCGAGTTTTTGGGATGTATTGAAGGAAAAATACATCTTCACAAAACTAATGGTGTAAAAATTGCCGTTTCTGCCACTAAGTTGAGTACCGAGGATCTTGAGTACGTTGAGAAGGTGACAGGCACATCGTTGGAGTCTTACAAGGAACAAGTGCTTCAACAGATGGCTAAACGGAAAGCTGCTCTGGAAAAGAAGAGTGATGTGAGCCGTGATGTGAAACGAGAAGAAAGGAGGTCTGCTATGGCCGTTATCAACGATGTTGCACCACCACAGCCCACACGTCCGAAGGCTTCCAGCACCACCCAGGTTTCAGAGCCTGAATATGACTGGTTTGACTTCTTCTTGACCTGTGGAGTGGACATTGGAAACTGCCAACGGTATACCTTGAACTTCAACCGGGAGCAAATGGATGAAAACATTCTCGAGGATATAAGTCCATCGTTATTGCGGACACTTGGCCTTAGAGAAGGGGATATTATTCGGGTGATGAAACACTTGGATGAAAAGTTGAACCGTAAGAAGGAGGAACCAACCATTTCCGCTACACCTACCGGAGCCCTCTTCACTGAGGCCACTGGAGCCTTGAAGAACAACTCGACTAGTGAGGTTTCTAAGGTCGATGCCAGTGCTTTGCCAGCACCATCTCAAGCACCAGCACCATCTCAAGCACCAGCACCATCCCAACCTCCTACTAGGCTGGACAACTTAATGGATGACGATGCCTGGGCCATAAAGCCCGCAGCACGGTCCACTGAAGACCTTACCAAACCTCAACAACCCCAATACACCGGCTCATTGCAAGATTTGGTAAATATCAAACCACTTGAAGGAGGGATCAACACCAACAAACCAGTCCCTGCTTTGCCATCTGAAGTAACCCAAGCTTCGACAGGGGTTCCTTCTGCCACCCCATTGACTCCCGTGAGAACTGGAACCATTGTGTCTCCTCAAAAAACTGGTACGCTTGTGCCTGTGCAAAGAACCGGTGGATTGGTTCCTGTTCAAAGAACCGGCGGCTTTGTACCCTTACAAATGACAGGTGGGTTTGTGTCTGCTCAACCAACGGGATTCATTCCCATCACCGCCCAACCTACTGGATTCGTGCCTATTCAGGCCACTGGTATTTCTCAACAAATCACCGGATTTGTTCCAGTACAAACAGGTTCTTTTAGTTCAATGCCTCCAGTATCGTTCGGACAACCGGTTCTTCAAACTGGTACTATGACCATGCCCCAGACCACTTTTGGTCAGCAATTGACGGGAGGATTCCAGGTCCAAGCTCCCCAACCCACCGGATTCGCAGCCATGCCCCAAACGTCGTTTGGCCAGATGTCGGTCCAGCGTACGGGTCCATTAGTGCCAGCCCAGCGTACGGGCTCGTCGTTCCCCCAGAACTCATTCCAGCCTCAAAGCACCTTCGGCCAAGCCATCTCGGCTCCTCCAACGTTTAATGCCCAGCTCACCGGAGGTCAGCCTCAGTTCCCCCAACAGCTGTTTCCCCCACAACAAACGTTCCAGCCACAGCAGACATTCCAGCCGCAACAAACGTTTGGCCAGGCGCAATTCCAGCCACAACAGACCTCGTTTGGACAACCTTCCACTTCGTTTGGACAACCTGCTACCTCGTTTGGCCAGTCTGCAACCTCGTTTGGACAGCCACAGTTCGGCCAGAACTCGTTCAATAACAACATGAACCAAATGACAAACATGTTTCAGAACACTGGCATTGCACAGCAGCCCACTGGATCCTTCGGCCAGCCCCCAGTGTCTTTCAACCAGGCTTCGACGTCTTTTGGCCAACCCACCACCTCATTTGGCAGCCCTTCGTTCGAAGGTTTTGGTGCTCTCCAGGCCCAGGCCACCGGGTCCGGGTTTGGAAACGCACCGTTGCAAGCTCAGGCCACCGGTAAGCGAGCCAACTTGCTGGCCGCCACTCCAGACAATCCATTTGGATTCTGAGAGGGTTAGATCTGTTTCTAGATATTGTATTAAAATCAAAGTTATAAAGTAGTGCAATCGTAAGGTCCGTCGTGTACGGTCCAAGTGTGTGGGATTCTGCTGGAGGCAATTCGCAGCCAATGTTACCAGTAACTTACACACTAGCTTTTTTTTTTAATATGACTGAAGCTTCAGGTATTTGGGAGCTTGAACAGTTCAAACCATTGGTGGAGTTTGTTTTGGACAAGAATGATGAGGTACTTGGTTTTCCCGTCTTGGGAGACTTGGAAACGGTGTTTTCGATGTATCAGGACCGTCTCACCAATACGAATCACATCCTCAAACAGATGGATTTTAACAACTTTCAGAGCTATGTTAACAGCTTCAATGACATCACAGGCGGATCTCTTGAGTTGGAACAGAATGGGAGTCAAGGTAAACGCGTGGTCCATATCGAGAAAGTTAAGATTTACTTGTTTCAAGATAGGCTCAATGGTGCACCCTTAAAACACATTCTGTTCAAAACCTCCACCAAGTTTCACCCGGACGAGGCCCAGAAACCCACCGAGTGGTTGCTCAAGGCCTTAGCCGGCGAGTTGGGCAGTCACATTGAAATCTCCTCTGAGACTTCTGTTGGTGCTGTAGAGCTTTATGCTAACAAGACCCAATTGAAGCAGCTATTAGAAAAGCCACTGGCGTTAGTACTTTTAAGTCGTCAGCGGGCCAAGTCCATTACAGCGAGGAAGCCGTTCCACGAGGTTTGTAAAAACTCGACCCACGCCAAGGTCTTGAGTAATGTGTGTTTTAGCAGACAAGATATGTTGAACCAAGGGTCGCTGAGACAGATATTTGTGTCAATTGACAAATGTTATCAGTCCATTGAACAGTCTCAGAAGTTGTTTTCGAAGGGAATATACGAGTGTTCTAAGAGCAAGACCCATTTCTTGCCAATTATTCACTCAAACACAGATATTGGTTTAGGAGACTGCTCATACTTGGATACCTGCCATAAGATGAAAAGTTGCCGGTATTTACATTACTTCACGTTGGTTCCCAAGTCCAAAAAGAAGGTGGACGTCCAGGCCGAATTGGCAATGGTCAAGAAAAACATTGCAAAACTGGAGTACACAGTTGGGTTCTGTTTCAATGAGTTCTTCAAGCCGCAGTTACCAGCACAATGGATTCGGTGTGATATCCGCAAATTGCCGTTTCTGGTGTTGGGGAAATTTGCAGCTATCATTTCAGACCCGGCCTGGGATATCCATATGTCCTTGCCATATGGGACATGTTCGGACGAAGAGTTGATGGAATTACCGATGAACCAATTGCAAGATGAGGGAGTTATGTTATTGTGGGTCACAGGGAGATCAATCGAGATTGGAAGAAAGGCATTGGTGAAATGGGGGTATAAGGTGTCGGATGAAATCATTTGGGTCAAGCTCAATCAGCTTCAAAGAACAATAGTCACTGGACGGACAGGACACTGGTTAAACCATTCCAAGGAGCATTTGTTGGTAGGTCTCAAGGGAGATCCTAGTTGGATGAGTCGGTCTGTTGATACCAATGTGATTGTGAGTGCCACCAGAGAAACGCTGAGAAAGCCAGACGAAGTCTATGACTTGGTTGAGCGTCTTGTTGGTCCTAGTGCTCGAAAGTTAGAGATTTTTGGAAGAGATCACAACATCCGCCCTGGGTGGTTTACAATTGGCAACCAGTTAACTGGAGTCAATATTCACGAGCGAGAGATATCAGAAAAGTACACCAAATACCAACAATCGTTAAAGCATAACTAATAAATACGGTTCATTGAGTCTTTTTCGTCAGTTGCTGCCGCATGAATTCAAGCCGTTTTTGGGCTGCTCCTTTATCCATGTACTCCTTTATATCCTGTCTGAATCCCAACCAGAAAGCCACCTCAAAAGACACAAAATATGGTGCCAACACCAATGCTCCAAGAAGGTTATCCAACAAAGCAGGAGCTCTCTGCTCGTGAAATTTGTGACCATAGAATTGAGCTAGCCATGCCACCACATGCACAAACACAGCAAACTTAAAAATGTCCGGTTGGGTAAAGTATGACAACGGAGATTCAGCCACAAAGTGGTAGTAGTTGGTGAAGGCATACGCAAAGGTTCCGTAAACACAAGCGGTAGGGATACCAACCTTCCAGTCCAACAAGACATAAAAGGTTCCGAAGCTAGAAATAAGAAAAGCTCCCAAGTTGAGGTATGGATTGGAAAGCGCAAACGTAGCGAGAATGGCAATTGCACTTGTCAAAATGATTGGGATACATATCAAATGGATGTTGACATTCTTGGGGTTTGTGTGATATGATCTGTAAAACACCAAGTGTTCTTTTAAGTCTAACAAGCCAGTCATGGAATAAAAAGTGTGTTGGGGATGAAAATTTTAAAAACTAAAGATGCTGACCAAATGCGGAGACGCTACTGTCAGTTATTTACTAATTTAACTAATATATTTTTGGTTCTACTCACGCAAGGATATTTTAGGTTTCTTGATGATTCTAGACTTCTTGGTCTTGGAGCCAGCAGACACTTGTTTCAAATCTCTACCCAAGTTGTCTAAATCCTTGACCTTGTAAATTCTCACGATCCAGTTTGTAGATGTGAAAGCCTCTTCCACCACACTTAATTCGGGTGCATTGGCAATAGGGATGGTTTGACTTCTAACTCTGTCAATACCATCTCTACCATTGAACAAATCGTGGAATCGGTAGTACGACATCTTGTACATCAAGGAGTTTTTCATGGTTTCGGTTGCAGATTGGTCAACTTTGTATTCACCCCTATCGGTGAAAAAGTCCCGTTCACGAACCTCATCGGGCCAGATACCTTCGGAGATTCGAATCATCCACAAAAACTTGTTCAAGTCGTCACCCGAGAACCCAATGACCCCTCCAAAAATAATCAATACGTAGTCCACATCATGTTTCTTCAAGATCTCGTAGGACACTTCTTCTGACGAGCACATAGCCTTACCAACGGTGGCAATGTGGGTGTTGTTCCAGGTATTGTTGTCAACGAGAGTGGTTCTGTCGGCCATTCCACCGATCTGATAACCATAATCCCACCAGGACATCACCTTAGCATCTTCAGGAGTGTTCATTCTCAACCAGTAGTAGGCTTCTCTGTAGTCATCAATGATGGTGGGAGATCCGTCCGGGTTTCTGGAAGGTAACACCACCGAAGGCGAGGAGTAGGCGTTGCTAGTGACCCAGGTACAGTGGTATACAAAGTAGAACAAGTAGTAGGCGAACGACGTCAATACCAACACCTTCGACAAAATCTTGAAGATGGTGGCCGAAGAGGCTGGTTTCTTCTTGGAGCCCTTCTTTTTAGAATCTTCTTCCACCACCTCACCGGTGAAAAGGTCTGAGATGTCCAAGTATGCATCGAACAACTTGGACACGGCAATACCTCCACACACACAAATCACCGGAGTCAAGGTCAACATCAATCTGACCATCACCCCGGCAAAGTACGAGCACAACACCCCGTAGATGATCACAAATACATGCTCATCCTTCAATTCTTGGAAACATAAGTAGATTCCAGCTGGGAACAACCAGATCAAGAAGGAAGTGTCAAAGAAAAATGCCGGCCAGGCAGTGGGCTGATGTTCTGACACCGAGGCGATGATGGGAATATGAATCTTGGCGTAGCTAGTGTCCCACAACGAGTAGAACCGACCAGTCCATGGAGCAATCCATCCCAAGGCCGTTAAACCCACCAAACCACCCAATCCCAACAGCACAATGGAGGCAATTGAGACCACCAAGAAGGTTTTGAAGGCCTTTTCGGTGATCTGAGACTTGACATAGTCACCAAAGGCCACCAATTGAATCAAGCCAAACACCCCCAATGCGGCCATATGGTCATTGGATCTAATGGGCAAGAATCCCACAAACGGAATTTGCATCGACGCCAAAGTTCCAATAGCGTACCAGGTGCAGTATGACGTGTACAACCGGTGGTTATACCGACCCATCAAGATCAACACAAACACATGCAAAGGAATCAAGTTGGTGATGAAAACATACCCACCCCAAGCACTCACCATGTAAAAGTAGAGCAACGCCGTTAAAGTGCCGTACAAGACCGAACCCTGTTTCTGGGCCTTGATCCAGAAGGCAAACGTCGCCATCAACAAGGTGATAGCAATAGCCTCGTTATCGTAGGAACCTGCTACTGATCTGGAAATGTATCCAGGCGCAATTCCCATGAAAATAGCCGACAACAACCCGGCGTTCGAGTCCTTCATCTCGGTCGTCAACGCGTACGTGGCAATGGCCGTCAACCCCGAGAACGCCGGCGCCAACATCACACAGATGTTTCTAATGTCAATGGGTAAGCTGAACCAGTCTCTTAAAACGTGCCAAATGACACCTGACGTTACCATCAAACCCGGGTAGAGAGTTCCACCCGTAACTCTACCCAATGGGTACCACGTTCTGTCGTCGAACCAGTTCAAGAAGTCGTAGAACGAGTGGGTCACCAAATATTTGGTGGCTCTGAAGTTGAACCACGGGTCGAACTCGTGGATAATAGACTCAAATCGAATGACAGAAAAGAGTCGGGAGGAAATGGCTGCTCCTGCCACAGACACAAAAATAAGCACCTGTAGTAACAACCGGATCGTGTCTATGGGGATCCCCAATACCTGCGATTGCAATTTGGTATTCGTTGACATTGGAGGTTTAGCAAACACGTAGATGAAGTTTTGGCTTTCGTTCGCGGTGAAAAATCTGAAAAGTGTGCGACCCGTTATTATTATATTATTATAGACTATGCAATGAGACAAACTACTCCAAACAGAGCATTCATTTCGGTGGAACACCCAACCTTGAGATATTAGAATGAGCTCCAACTCCAATTGGCGGGCACACTGCCCACAATCGTCTCAGACCGACCATCCTTAAGGTCTTTATTTAGTGCCAGGGTGGGAATATCGGTGGCTGTGAACGACTGCCTTTCGTAGAACTGCTTGGGCTGGGCCGCGTTTCGCTCGGGAGCCCACAGCTCGTTGCCGACGCTGGTCCGTGGCGTGGTGTCCCCGTTTTTGTAGAGGTTAACCCCAAATTGGCTCTTCATGAACTCATTGTACTCACCAATACACCCGTCACACACACGAGAGAGCGTGCCCCGGCCCCCGGTGGTAAACTGTGCTAGGTGGTTGATGTACAAAAAGTGGGACGTGTGTTCTTTGCAAAAGATGGCTCCGCATTTGCGGCAATGGTGTCTTCTCTCAAAAAAGTTGAACTCTCTTGGGCATTGGGTGATCCCACACTTGTAGACGGTTTCATCCTTGAGCCAGTGTTTGCGGCTAGGAGGTTGACGTAGGAAGTGCTCGTAGCTCTTGAAGTTCTTGATGGTGGAGGTCGATGATGGTGATAGCACCGGCGAAGACGACCGCGAGTCCACCGACAAGGTCGAGTCCACCGACCGCATGGACGCGGCCGACGAATCGTTGTTGGTCAGAGACGTGGCGGAGATGGCAGTCGAGGGTTCTCCAGATTCTTCGTCGATGGTCTTGCGGAGCACGGCTGGAACGTACATGGGCGACCGCAATCCTTTAATATGTTGGAGGTGTTTCTGCTTGATGGGAGGACCAGACGGAGCAGGCGAGTGGACCTGTGGGACCGGGAAGTACGACACGGCATTAGCTGGTGGTGGGTTTGGGTGTTGAGTGGTCTGTTGAATAGGTGGATTCGATGGAGTATTATTGACTTGAGGCAAGCCCTGGGAAGCCCCAATACTTCTAGGCGACGGAATCCGGTTGACCAAGGTCATGGGCAGGTTTTGAGATCGTCTTCTTTGGGTCAAATCGTTCAAAAGAGTGTTTTTTGTTTTATTGGGGTACAGCTGGTTGCTGATATCACCGTTTGTACTCAGACGTTGAACCGTTTGAAGCTGCTGAAGCGGGCTTTGAATCAGCACTTGTGAGCCTGTAGAACCTGCACTATTTGGAACCGAAGTCGAAGTGCTCAACGGTTTCAAAGAATCGGCCATTTCGGATGCACCAGATAACCTTCTTTGGTTGACGTTTGGTTGACGAGTCAAGCTGGCAAACGTGGAGAGGTCGACGGCAGCTGGTTGGTATGGCTCCGACTTGCGGGCTCTTGTATCTGTGGTTTCGTCGAAGTTGTCGTTATCAATGCGAGGCAAAGGCGATAAGCTCAACTTCTTCAAAGCGTTAAGAGTGAGCTGCTGCTGCTGTATAAGAGGGTCCTCGTACGTATCGTTGTCGTTCAGTTCTTGCTGCTGATCTTCCTGGTGGCTTTTATGATCAAATGGCAACTGTCTACCGATTTCAATTTCGTCCTTACGTGGGTTGGATATAGACGAAAGCACGGGGGCCTGGATGTACGACTGGAAGTTTTTGTTGTTATGGACGTTGGAAATGGACGAGATTATACTGCTATTGCGGTGGATTGGGGGTTGGGTTAACGACTTGAGGGAAGCAGTGGAAAGTACCGATTGGAACGACTGGGTGCGTGGCTTGACGTTTTTCTTCTTGAACTGGAGAAAGTTGATGGGATTTGTGGCCTCGGGATCGGCTTCGTTATCGTTAATGGCGTTTTCGTCGTTGCTGCTATTACCGTCATTTATCCCATTTTCACTGTCATTATCGTTGTCGTTGTGGCTGTCGGAGTCGCTGACATTCGCGGCACCATGGTGCTGGTGGCCAACGCTGGCCGTACCAACGCGTGGCGATGGGCTGTGAGAAGTACGGCTGGACGCCACAGGTTGGTGATGTGTCACGCCTTTAATTTGGGAATCGGTGGTAGACTGGGTGGTTGGCGGTGGTATCGCCTGTGATCTGGGCAGGATATCTGTGTTTTCACCCGGTATCACGCTTGTGGGTCGAAGTTTTTGGAGCTGAGCCGGGGGGCTGGGAATAATCGTGTTATCTATGGCCGATGTCTCGCTCGAGGTATGCGAGCCACCGTTTGGAATGGACAGTGGCGCCGTGGGTGAGGCCAGTACGGCTCCGGGGCGAAGTTCCTCCGCCGAGTTCGATGAAGACAACGTGAACTTGGGGGTTTCTGTGGTGATGGTTGAAGACATATGACAAATAAACAGGGTTAAATGCTGTAGCAAAACTTACTGGCTCCAAGGATTAAATTGGGATAGTGCGAGCAGCCAGTCGTGTGGTGGCAAAGCCGTTGGTCCATCTCGCAAAGGGGGAGATGGACATGGAGACAGCATGAGGAGTTGTTGGTGTATGGGCACATGGTTTTGGTCTCAGAGAGGTAGGATATACACATCTCGAAGTTTAGGTGTTTTGAAGGCTTTTGTGGAGGTAGTGGTTGGAGATTGTGTATTTAAGTATGGGTGTCTAGAGCAGTTTTCAAAGCCGGCTGCGAAACTTCTCCAGATTTCATGAGAGGTGATTTTTAAGAGCTGTAGAATGCAAATTTCTGGCGATTTGAGATCCGAAAATTGGTATGTACCTACAATGGTACGTTATTAGTTGTTTTGTCTATTTCTGTAAAGTATAGTATCCTATTGACCCAATTCCGACGGATTCTCCGGGAGGTTTTGGGGCGTAATTGAAATGCTTCTTATTGGATAGTTGGCCGCGCACTTGGGGGAAAAAAAACGGATAGAAATTGTACTTCAAAACTCACTCTAAAGAATGTTGTTAACTCGTGTCGGATTAGGATTAGGATTAAAGAGTACGTTTTTCACACCATTATGATGAGCCAATCCAGCAGAAGCGATGGAGCTGTTTTTCACACCCGAAAACCCGTCCAGTCTCGCACCTGATGCTGCTCCTCGTTGGCCAATCAATACTAACAACACAGGATCCACTCAAGTTTTGAGATACTCCCCAGCATTTGCCAGATATGTGTCAACTATCAAAGCCAGCCACGACGAAGAGCAAGCAATTTTGGTCCAACAAAGAAAAAACAGACCAGGATCCCCACACTTGGAGATTTACCAACCTCAGCTCACATGGGTGTTGTCATCATTCCACAGAATTACCGGTGTGTTGATGGCATTCGGGTTCTACGGATTGACGTGTGGCTATGCTGCCTCCAGTGTCTTGGGATATCCGCTTGACGTGAACAGTTTGATTGCTGCTTTTGGCAGTTTACCATTAGTGGTGAAGATTGGTGCCAAAGCAGGAATGGCATTCCCATTTGTGTTCCACTCTTTCAACGGGTTGAGACACTTGTTGTGGGACAGTGGAAGAGAGTTGACTGTCAAGGGGGTGTATAGGACCGGGTACGTTGTGTTGGCGTTGACCGGGGTGTTGGGAACATACTTTACTTTTATGTAGGCATATATGAAATACACTATTTATTCGATTGAAGAGGAATATTTAGATAGTCGTTCATGGTTATTTATACACCATTCATCATTATTGTCTACCTCATCATTATCGTCTATTCTTATACACCTCATTCATTATCGTCTATACACCACTCATCATTCTCGTTTATAAACTACTCATCATTCTCTTTATATACCACTTATCATTATCGTCTATACACCTCATCATTATCATATATACACCTCATCATTATCATATATACACCTCATCATTATCATATATACACCTCATCATTATCATATATACACCTCATCATTATCATATATACACCTCATCATTATCCTTATACACCTCATTCATTATCATCTATTATACACCCGCAATTCATTATTCATCTATACGTACTGTCAGAGTACTTCTTATCAGTATCCAAGCAGAAACACGTGGACTTGCTACAAATGGCACACGCCTTGGTGGCCGAAACGTCGTTGAAGTCGTTGATGATCAACTTGTCAAAAAGGTTGTTCTCGGTGAGCAAGTTGGACCCGAAATTGTTCAAACCGTTAAACAGCTCGGGAACAGGCCCAGGGTCTGGTGGCGGCATGGAGGTGCTCTTGAGCTTTTTATTGCCCTTGTTGCGCTTCAGCTGAGTCTGCTTGAAGCTGGCACGAAGCTTCAAGTACTTTTGGATCTGGTCGTTGATCGAGATTTTCTCATCGGCCTGGTAGTTTTTCGTCACCCGATGGATGAGACTAGACGACTTGAGCGAGTAGCTAAGGAAGCGCTCCAAGTCAGTAAAGTCATTGACCATCTCCAAGTCCTGGTAATTCAGCATACTGCTGGTGGTGGCCGAGGCGATTTTCTGCGCGAGCGGCCGGGTGGCAGACGGGGCTCCGCTGGCGGTCGCGGTCGCGGTCGCGGTACCCGTGCCGCGGGTGCCGGTCTTGTCGCCCGAGCTCTGGTTGAGCTGGTTAAGCGTATCCAGAGATATGTACCCGTTTTTAATAAAGTCGAGCTGCTTGATCTGGTTGTTGATGACCTCGATATAGTTGTTGATTAGCTCTTGTTCCTTAAGTTTCGTGAGGTAGTCAACCTTGAGTTTGGCAAGTTCGGGATGCTCAGGCACCGGCTCAGGCACCGACAGATCCGATGCCTGCGTGTCCGTGCTGGTGGTGGAGGCGGCCATGGCAGTGGCCGCCGGTTTTCGTAGCGTCTCTGCCGCTGTCACAATCGACGGCTTATCACGCATATTCATCTCTTTAACTCCACGATGTATATCTTTAATACCGGACCGCTTGGGGTCGTCATCATCCACGTTGACAGGCTTTCTACCTGGCCGTGGCCGCGGAGGTAGCACCCATTTTTTGCTGAGGCCTATTTCGTTTTTGAGCTTGATAGACGAGGTGGGTTTTATGGTTGGGTTGAATTTGGTTTCCAACCGGCTGGAAGGTTTGGGCAACACGGCGATGGGCACGGGCTTGGGCTTCTTGGACGGACGTAGGGGGGCGGCGGCGGTGGCGGCCTTGGCCACTGGTGCTGGCTGGATTTTGGGGTATTTGTGTGGAGGCGGTGGTGGTTTAGCACCGGGTGTCAGGGAGGACGGATGGGTTGTTGGGGAGGCGGGCGCTAGGGCCACCGGCGGTGGCGGCTCGGTACTGGCTCCCGTGGGCATGGGGGCAAGTTTGGGGTTGTTGGTGTTCATTGGCACGAGTGTTGAGTGTATGGGTCAGAACTTGAGAACAGACCCGTACTTTGAAGAGAAAAAACCTTTAATAAAATAATGCGGAAGCATAGGGACACGATTGTGAGCGCACACCACGCAAGGAAAAACATGAAAAGTATGTTTGGTGGTGGTGGGGGTGATATTGGAAGAATCTGACTAGTTAGTTGAGAAGGTGTGGCGGTAGAGGTGGAGGTGGTGCTTTTGTTGGATGGAAAAGAGTGGATTTAGTGGCAGATCGATGGAGTTTGGGGTCCAATTGTTGTGCCTTTTCTCCCGCATTCCACAGCCAATATCCGGGGATGTGAGACATGGTTCTAGAGATGCCATAATTGTGAAAAAAACGGGATTTAGGGTGTTTTGAGGGTCTGAACCCGATTCCCAGATGACCCAACCTGGTGGTTTGACTTTGGTACCGTTTTTTCACCATTTGACCATGGGTTTGACAGGGTCAAACGGGTGAGGTACGTGTCCTGCATACAGCTCCTGGCCTAGCCCGCACCATTTTCCTCGCTGGCAGCGTAAACAAACTACCTAACACCGATGAGCAGACTTAGTAACCTGTCAAGCTTCAAACAGAGCCAGCTTAGTCACTTGAATAGTCAGCTCATGCAGCTCCAGTCTAATCTCCAGGACTTTGATGAGTTGATCGATACGACGTGTTACCAGTTCAAGTCGATTCAGAATCTTGGGATTAGCCATGGGTCGTTGTTTATGGCGTGTCACCGGGTGTTTGACAAGGACAACTTTACGAATGATAACGAGAGTGGGGAGGAATAGGAGCACGAGGGTGGTATGCTTCTGGGTGTGGATGTTGTGAATCTATGAGTGTCATGAGTTTATGAATATGTACAAACTATGAATAGTTTATGAATATGTACAAACTATGAATAGTTTATGAATATGTACAAATTATGAATCTGCTACGTCAGGGTTCCTGAGTTCCTGAGTCCCTGGTCATTGAATCCCCCGTCTCTGACTGCCTTCAAATATAGGAACATGCTTTCCAGCACTCCCAGAAAGAACAACAATTGAGTCAACGAGTTGAATGGAAATCTGGGTATTTCAACCGCGGCCTTGGTACTAATGGTACGGCGATTGGTACGGTGGGACGGTACTGCCCGCACTCGTGCCTCTCCCGTGCATCACCCTTCATATCATTATATATTCCTATTTACAGTCTAATCATATTCTCAACCCTGCTTCTTTGCATTTTTCTCCTGGATCAAAATATCTCTCTCAATGTCCAAATACTTCAACTGCTGGTATTCCTTCATGCACGCCAACTGGGCGTCGTTGAAATCCTTGCAGTGGCCCATGGCATCCCATGGATTCTGGTAACTGTTGGAACACCGTATATACACTTTTATGAGCTCATCGCACTGCTTGAATGCCTTCTTCCTCCACCTCTGAAAGATCAACTTCTCTTCCTTGGGTGTCAAAATCCACGCCGGTAACTTGGGATCACTTGGAAGGTTAAGCTTTTCGTAGTCGGTTTCTTTGGCCATGTGAGCGACTTGGTGATGATGAAAAAAAACCACCCGATTTGCGAGTGCGACTTGTTGTTTGTTTATATAATGCTTCAAGGAAATCCCGAAGAACTCATCCAAGCGTCCATAGAATCATTTGAGATTCAGCCGGACTTGCAGACCCTCGACCGTATTGACGAGAACATTGTCAAGATCCTTAACAAGCGGGCAGCACTCCTCAAACAATACGGAGATACTAATGGCGACCTTCAGGAACAAATCAGTAAGTTGCAAATAGACGTGCAAGAATTGGTGAGGACAAACAATTATCCACAAATACACGATGGGGCCAGTCCCGTCGACACCGATGTGTTCACATATATCAGCAGCAAGTTGGACGAGCTCAAAAACTTGAAAGTGTCGATATCCAAGAACTTGAGTGATTTGAATGTATTAATCAGCTCCAACAACCGGTCCAAGTTGAAATTGACCGACAGTTTGACGACTTTGAACGACAACTACCACAGTTTGATCAACAAGAATCTTGGTTCCCATAAGAACTCGAATGTGATGAAGATCAACTTGTACAAGAGTCTTGGGTTGGTGATAGAGAGTAAGGGAGAAGAGGACAATATTTTGGTGTACAATGAGAAGGAGGGAACTAGTGGGTTCTTGAAGGTGGACGAGCAGTACTCGGATTACTTTATCGGCAATTATATCTGGGACAAGTTATAGGAGAGAGGAGATAAACATATGAAAAGACATAAAAGACGTGGAAACCCCTGAAAACTGACACCCAAACTGTACACTATAACCAGGCTCCCGACGTATCATACGTCTTTCTTGTCGACAACTACAAATGGTCCATACTACTCATGATTTGATGACTTCTATTATACATATTTACAAGATTAATGGTGCATGGGGTTCTCTCTGAAAGACTTCTTGGTCCACTTGGGGACCTTAAACACCAACTTTCTATAGTCCTTGGCCTTCTTGTCAAAGGTCGTATACTTGTCCTTGGCAGACATCTCGTTCTCTTTAGGAAATTTAAACTTCAAGTAATCGACTTTTCTGTAGCTGGTAAGCCCATTATGGTCTTTGGGTAATGACTGGTAGATGGCCTCGATGTTTGCGTCCACCGTTTTCATCCGCTGTCTCAATCTGCTTTTCTGCGGACTGGACAATCTGGGAGCAGACTTCCACAAGTAACCTCCGTGGTTCGTCAACGAAGCTCTGAAAGCACCAAACATACTACTTGAGAAAATTTTCACGGTCGAGTGCGACTTTTGCAGGGGGAGTGAGAGTCACGTGATTATAGGGGTGGGACGGTGGACACCCGGAACTTCTGGGTCACCAGGAGTTCCCCTCTACCTTCAACCTGCATTGTTAACCCCACCAATGTATTGGATAATAAACCTGTATTTTCTATATATTCTAACTAAAATGGCCCTGGAACCTCATTTGCCAGATCGATGCCTCTCCACATTCGCAAATCACAAAACTGTGGTTCTTGTGCTTAAAACTACAAGTCTAGTAATTGCTTTAAATGCTTTGTATAATGCGTTATATGCTTTGCTATTAACCTATCTATAAACCCAAACCCGGAGAGTATCAAACTATCGTAAACTTCATGAACATTTCTTGTAATTATAAACAAGTGCCAGTCAACCACTTTTTGTAATTGTGAGAGGTTGACACAATGTTGTTGGCCGACTCGGAAAGAGAGTAGTTCAAGTTGATCTCGTCAATCGAGTCCAAAGGGATGTAGTAATTATCGGAAGCAGATCCGTCACTAGCCGTGTAACTATACGTGTAATCGGAATCTTGACCTTGATAGGAGTAGTTGTAGTTATAGTTGGGAGATAACAAAGGAGAAGCAATGTGATCTATCGGCACAAACGTCGAATTGATTCTTTGCGTGTTCAGTTCGTCCACTCTTTTACAAGCTTCGGAACAGTAGATGGAGTTGGTCGAACACATCTTTTCACAATTGATACAGTAGTTGTCAAAGGCAAAATCAGTCATTTTTCGGTGGTAAAACTGTGGTGTAGTGGCTGCAAACAAAAGAATATGCTTGCTAGGAGTATGAAACGTTTAAAGGAAGTTTCCAAAGTAGAACTTGAGGTATTGATACTTTGGATGAAGATTGTAAACTGATGTCTGAAAAAAAATTTGGTGATTGCCCAACCTTTTTATATTCCTTTTGAGAAGTGTGGTGCAAAACGTTTGCATACGCCATGAGTCAATTTTTAGTGAGAAAATTTTTTGCATGTTGTGTGTGTGCAGGCGCAACCCAATAATTACCGGAGTGTGGATATTTTTCAGGGTTTAGTCACTGGGGCCACTGTGGGATGAACCTGTGGTGTGTGGCGACGAGCGGTGGCGGCGTCGGGGGCAAGGACCCTGTTGTTTGCGCCATTGGGTTTTGGGAGTGCCACCACTGTGGAGTGAAATGGAGATTTGTGTTTGGGGTAAACACGGTGTGTCACAGGTCACACACAGTTGCTTGGAGAAGGTGCTAGATTGTAAAAAATTTTCTTCGGAATTACAGGTTCGCCCTGGCATGTTTCAGGTGGCGCGCCAAATTAGGAGTTGGGGTGTGGGTGTGGGTACGTGGGGAGATGAGTCGTGGCGCGGTGCCACCACCATAGGGGAACTTTTGCAGGTTGGCGCAACGAGAAGCCCTCGCGGTGGGCGTGGTACATGCCGCGCCAGTAAATTACTGCCACCTCCAGCCCCCATGTGTCCTAATTAATTACTTCTAATAATATGGTAGGCGTGGACAGGAGATATTAGTTCTGAACAAAGCCAAGGTCTGGTTGACTCATATTCTATGCCTACGATGAAGTGAGGATTTACACCTCCGGTGCACCATATCTTGGTGGTTATGACGAGATTCCTCACCGTCTGAGTCACAATATTTTACAGGTTGGGTTTTCTTGTTTTGGCCGCCAAACGCAATTTGCTAGTTTTTTTTTGGAGCCCGTTTGACGGAAATGCGCTAGTCCGAAAATTTATCAATTCCATCAACCACCACAATGGATAGAATTTGTGGTGGATTGTTTTGATCTTAGTGGTGGTGTGGGTGTGGAGAAGGTGGTGATGGGCAATTGGATTGGAAGCAACCTGTGATTGTGCCAGTGACACTGATAGCAACCACATTACTACTCGAAACCGTTGGGTACCCCGGGCGGCTTACTGAAGGGGGTGCATGCTTCTGGACTGGCGCGGGTGCGGGCGCGGCGGTAGCGGTACGGGGTGCTGGCGGTGGGTTTAGTGCGACTTCGCGGCACCTTCGCTGCAGATGCCGGCAGCTGCGGGTAGGTGGCGGCTCGGGTATCATCAATTTTACAGGTTCATCGGGAGGGGGTTGCGTGCGGCCCAGTAGAAGACTGCAGGCTCATGGCGGCACGATGCTGCGGTAGGTACCCGTTCTAGAATTAGTCCCTATTTAAAGTGTGTCTGTTTCTTCTGTTTTCGGTTATATTTAGAAGTGCGCCCACATGGCGATGAGGGTCGTGCATGCTGCCGCAGTGTCTGAATTCCCTTCACTGAGTCTAGAAGCATATCTGGAGCCGGTTCCGAATTCCCCTTCCGTGGAACCAGTTGCTATCAAGCAGTCAGGGGGAGCTTATGAGAGGATTGCTAGGGGAATATCAGGGAGCAATGTTAGGGGTAGGCCCTTCTAGACTCGTATATATCTCCCAATGCGCATGATACGGTTAGTCCCGCTTGATTTTGAGCACCTCTCTTAAAGTGAATGTCGCTCGCTCTCGTTTTCATTTGCCCTACCAGAGACTACGTGACATTGCGACATTACTTCAGTAACCGTTAATTTTAACCGTATGAACAATAGCTGCGCGCTTCTGTGTGTCGTGTGTTCCCGATCTGAGAGTTGGCATTTATGTATTACCTATACGGGAGGTGTTTGGTCTCGCTTACAGTAAGGTTGTTTAAAAATGTCCTTATTAGGGAAGGGGGATGGCATGACTTTTGCTGGGGACAGCTACCGTCAGAAGGGAAGGATGTCATGGACAACCGACTGCGGTTAGGTGTAGAAGACAGGTGTTTGTTTGGGTGAGGTATTCGTTTCATGGCTTGGGAATGCATGAACCTGAGATTTGTAAAGGTAAATGTTCTGGTGGTGCACGACCCCTGGCCTATGATTAGGGAAGGGGTATGGTGTCGTGGTGCGTACAGAAAGTGAATACTGTGAATGTGAAAATTGTGTCTTTTGCGAAATTCAGGTGTTTCGCAGAATATTCATTTAAATTACTTAGCGGTAGAGTCGTGTAAGGGTCTAGTCTTAAGTAGTGTATAGGTGAAGGAGTTTTCCAATGGTGTGTGAAGTCATTGGCAATTCAAATAGTGCTCTAAATCCTCCTGCATCAAAAGTAGTGCTTTTCCAGGAACAGTGGTCCCAGGAGTCTTGTGAGAGTCACACATCCTTATACTTGTACTGGCGTGTAGAAAGACTCAAAATACTGCCGATATTCCCGTTGAAACTGTGGAACAAGTAGAAATAATTGGCATAATTGATCACCGGAACCACAAACAACTGATTGTACCACAGTCCCACCACACATGCTAGCACCAACGCCACGTTCATATGGCTGACGATCGGCGCACACTTCATATTGAACCTATAGAAGTTGACTCCCAAACACAATACAATTGCAGCACACACCCACGGGCCGATGCCAAAAAGCTGCAACACAAGCACCAACCCAATCTCTGCCACCATCAGGGCGTTGATGAGGTTGAGGTAGTAGTTGAAGTTGGAGTTGTTGATTAGGTTGAGGTGTTCAATGAGTGACAGCTGGTCGTCGGAGTCCAACAAGGTCTGGGAGTTGACCTGCAGAAGAAGGGTTTTGTCTATGCGCTGGGGTTTCATGGGGTTGATGAGCGCGCAGACGTGAGGATGGAGAAGTGAGAAATGTGAGACTGACTGCGAAAGAGCGCGAGACTGGGAGTGCGAGGGAGGAGAAATGTGAGACTGGCTGCGAGAGACAGTGAGACTGGGACTGAGACAGTGACAGTGAGACTGAGACAGTGACAGTGCGAGAGAGCAACCATAGCAGGCATTATGGCCACAGCTTGGGTGTGTGGGATCATGCGAGACCTTGAAACCTGTGAACTGCTCCCATCGGCTCCCCTCTCTACCTCCATTCCCTACCCATTCTGCCAATTAGTAAATAAAACATTAAACTCCTTAGCCTCTTATAATCGCGTCAATGCAGGTACCCCTGCTTCTGGTAATCCACCCAATCATACAGTCCCATGCCTACTTCCAGTAATGTTTATAATCAGCTATACACCCAGGTCTGCGTCTAGTAGTATTTATAATTCTCACCTCAAACAGTTGGGCCTGTAGGCAGGAACTTGAGGGTGCGCGCACACCTCACAAATACTTCCGTAGGAGCGTCGCCCTCCAGTTCCGGGGGACGCAGGAGGTGCTCGATTTCAGATGCGGGAGCCTTTAGATCCCAATGGAACCCTACCAGATCCTCCATCAAAAGGTTGATCCGAGCACCTACACACCCATAATATGGGTCTCCTGATAAGAGGCGGTGGTTGCTAACACCAGCTTTGCCTCTCGTCAGCTACCTACAATGCGATCAATAACTTGGGGCCATTATTATCTAGTAAACAATGGTAGGGCATCTAAGAGGTTGTCATGCACACAACATCCAACCTCCCCAATTGGGGGCCAGTCCGCCACACACGCCGTGACGAAGGAAAATTTTTCGCACATCGGGGCATATGTACAGGATTTTCAACCCTCGACTAGAAGCCTCGCCTAAAACCATAGGTCGTGCGCCGGGGCCGTGGCCGCTCATTTAAAACTCCAAAATCCCTTGTTTTTTTTAACCGAATTTTTGACTACAGCGCCATATAACTGGGATCTTTAGTTTTTGGTTGATTCATCTGAACCGCCAGTTTGCATTTCTTATACCCTTCCCAGGTCGTACCTCCATCCGACTCTCGGGACCCACTTCCTTATACCCCCAAAAACGGCCTTTTGGTTCCTGTTTTTGAAACCAATAGACTAGTTTCCAGCGTCCTAGCGTTTTCCTAACTCGTTTCATACCCTTACATATCACCGTTCACCTTCGTTTTAAACTCACTTTAGTCCTTCTTTTTCCTCCATGTTGTCCAAAAAACAGCTCCTCCTCGTCCTTTTAGGATGTCAATTAGCGTCTGCTACCATCATCGATGTGACAAGTAACAGCGAAGATTTCTTCGCCAATGAAGTGAAAAGAGCCAACAATGACAATGACGATAACAATAGCGATGATAACACCAACTCGTGGACCGAGTGGTTTCTGAATCTTGGAAGTTCTGGCGATAACTCATCTGACGACAACGAGTCGTCTAATGCTGCGTCGACAGACAAAGACTCCAAAGCTGTGACGTTGTCGGCAGGGGCTGCCACCGGTACCAGCGTCAGCGATTACTTAGGGTCGCTATTTGCGTTTACAAGTAAAGATCGTACTTTTACTAGAGATTCAGCTTCGACAGCAGATGTGGATACGTATAGTGCCACTAACAGCCCCACTCCTACAACCCAGTCGGAAGATACAGTAACCCCTACCACATTGTCCATTGAAGATAGGTCGACACCCACTACGACTGAAGATACATCGACACCCACCCCGACTAAGGATACGTCGACACCCACTACGACTAAGGATACGTCGACACCCACCACGACTAAGGATACGTCGACACCCACCACGACTGAGGATACATCGACCCCCGCCGAAAAGTCCACCGAAGACACCACGAGTACTCCCACTACCACCCCTTCTACATCGACCGACACCCCTACCACTACTGCTTTGGTAGCTCCGGCTGACGCCAGTAGTGACGCAGACGTGCTGACAGCGGCAGCTTCTTCCGACCCCCAACTCACATCGACCGATATTGATGCGGTTGCTACCACTCCCAGCTCAGTTGCCTCGGACGACACTAGCACCCCCGCCATAGATTCGGCCTCCACCATAGCTCTTTCGGAATCGACCTCCAGCCCTGCCACTACTTTGAGCACTCCCATCACTTCGACAGAACCAACCACATCGACCGAACCAACCACGTCTACGACTCCTACGACTTCAACCACCCCCACGTCCACTAAGGATACCTCATCTCCCACCCCCACTGCTACATCCACTAAAGGAACCACATCCACCGCTCCCACCACCTCAGACACTCTGCTGCCTTTGGAAGAGTCCACCACAATAGATGCAGTCACGGCTCCAGCTGATTCCACCACCGAAGCTTCAACCACCGAGTCTTCCACCACTTTAGAGACCCCTTCCACAGCCGACCTCTCTGAAACAGATTCTACCACGCTGCCAGATGCTTCGACCAGCGAATCTTCAATTGACCTCGTGTCTCCAACCACTTCAGAGTTACAAACCACGTCCGATACTACATCCGGTACAACCTCCGGTACCTCGACCGGTACCTCGACTAGTACCACCTCCGATGCCACGAGCGACCTTTCTACCCCTTTGACCACCACCAGTGCTGTGTCAGGTGCCGTTGAAAGTTCTGCTTTGGAGTCGCCAGTTACTTCCGAATTGGCTTCGGAGTTGGCTACCACCTCAAATGTCATTTCTACACCATTATCGGCCACGGAGTCTGCTGCACTGACAGCTGCTTCAGACGCAGCTGTCAGTTCGGCTGCTGAAGTGAGCAGTGTACCCGTGGTGGCTTCTTCTGCGGTGGAGTCGGCTGTGACTTCTGCTGCAGAATCCGAAGCTGCTGCATCTTCTGCTGCCAAATCTGAAGCTGTTGCATCTTCTGGGGCTCAGTCCACAGATGAGATAGCAAGCTCTACTGCTGCAGCTTCTTCTGGGGCGAAAGCTTCCCATTCGGCTGCGACTGAAAGTTCGGCTGCTGCCTCCCATGCTGCAGTTTCGGCTTCAGCTTCAGCTCAAAGTACTGCCGAAGCTGCCAGTACAGTGGAAACATCTGTGGGACCAATTTCCAGTGCTGCTACGACTGCCGAAGCTTCTAAGCAACCAACCACCACCGATAACGATGACTGGTTACCATCCGACTTGATTGTGGAAGGTACCACCGACTCTCCAAGTCAAACTGATGAGGAAATCACCAGGGCAACGTCTGAACCATCGCAAACTTCAGGTTTACCACGGGCTATAACTCCAGCTGAAACTTCCAATCCTGGTAGTAACTACGAAGTTGTTTACATTGGGTTCACTTCTGCTTTGAACTATCCTTTCGTGGTGGAACACTCACTTTCTTCCGCGCAGATTTTCCAATATTTGCCGGATGTTTTGACATTCCCATTCACATCTGATGAGATCTACAACGAAGTGTCAGTGAAGAGATTAATTCCGTTCACTGCCGATGGAGTGGATTACACTATCACGGTGGCTGAAGTTTACTTCCCCACCCAATCAGTCCCAGCATTGGCCCAGTTTGTTCAGGATTCCACTTCCAAGTTATACAGAAACCCTCTGAAGACTGAGAGTACCTTGGGAGGTTTAATCGATAAGCGTATACCGCTTGTGGGATTGGACACATCTAGCTCGAGTTCAGACTCTGATGACAGTGAAGGCACTTATAACAAGGGATCCATCGATGAAGGTTCAAGCACCAAGTCTGTATCTGACAAGGGTAAAATTGTTGGATTGACGGTTGGTGGGGCTGCCGGTGCTGGGTTATACATTTCATTAATGGTGTTGTTGTTCAAGAGATTCAAAAAGAACAAGGGAATAGAATTACCACCAAGTGACAGTGAAAGCAACGTTGGTGTTGCGTCCACCGAGACACACGAGTCAGGGATTTCTGCTGTTTTCTACAGGATTTTAGAGAACAACAACAACAATAATGCCAATGGAAACATCCAGATCAGTGAACCTGTTAACGCTTCTAATTCTTTAGGTTGGAACAGCCACTCATAAAAAAGTCTATTTTTTGTGTATTTTATGTTTATTTCAATAAACCGTTTAGATAATCTCGTTTCTTCAAATACCTTTTATGAATTCGTTCAAATCATTAATCAACGACACTGCATCGTTGTCGAAAGTCTCGGTGAGTTCTGCCATATCTATCGACTTGTCCACGAGCGAGTCGTAGATGAATTCTACCAACTCGGTCTCTTTAATACCTATGTAGAGTTCCACCAACTGCTCGATTTTGGTTTTGACTTTGCCCAATTGGGCCTCGGAGAGCCCAGTCACATCCGGAGCTTTGACATCTGATGCAAAAGGTAATGGTGCAACTTCTACTTCCACTGGCACCTCTTTCATTGGCTCTTGCATTGGCTCTTCCACGTCATCAGCATGCTCTACCCGGTCAATCTCATCAACCTCCTCCTCCTTCTGCTTCTCCTTACTCCTGAGCCTCAAGTAGCTAGAGAAGTCGAACCTCTCTTCCGTGTTCTTCAAGTCATCTATAAACTTGAACTTGTTGTCAATCAAATAAAGCTCGTAGTTCTTTGCCTTTTGGTGACGAGCCACTAGATGGGCTTTCCTCGTCTTCAACTGGACCAAATCACCAAGCTTGGCCTTATACCGCTCGCCATGCTGTCTAGCCGACTCCTTCTCAAGATACTGTTCGTACTGAGCGTCGTCCAACTCGGGCATCACCTCAGCAGGCTCTTGGGCCTCCAATTCAGGCTCCACTTCCATTTGAACATCGAGGTTTTTGTTGAACAACTGGTTCATGAGTCTCTTGGACTTCAGGCGCTCCTCCGCCAACTCTCGGCTCCGTTTCTGCTTCTCCTTGATTAACATGATCGACCTGAACTTGATCAATTCCTGGGTGATGGCCTCTTTCATCAGGTTAGGCACCTCGATTAACTCATTGGAATCCACCTTATACGATTGGCCATAATCCAGAGGGTCTCGTGACTCCTGTGACGGGTCGACGAAGTTGTTTGAGTGGTTGAGAATGCTAGAAATAGTGTTTTGTACAGTGGGTTTGTCGATATCTTTTAGCGGCACCTCGTCCAAACTAACACCATAAGTATTTACCAGCACCAGCTCGCTGATACCATCGAACAAGTCCAAATTGGCCTGAACCAACTTCAAGTCTTTGAGTGTACGGGCTTGTAAATACACCACGAGCGAGTCAGCAGACTCGAGTTTGCTCCATTTGTAGTGGCGTGTGATGGTGTTGAAGATTCTCTCAATAAACCGGTCTTTGACGGGGCGGAAGCCCTTGAACACCACTAGCGTAACCTGGTCCTTCAAGGAAGCGGCCTGGAGTTGCGGAAGCGGTACGAAATGGGCCAAAGGTGCTTCGTCGTCGTCTGTTTGTGGTTCATCCGTTTCGTGGTTGAGCTTCTCGGTATTCTCTGCAATGATCTGGTTGACGTCCAAATCCCGTGGAACCGGGATCCGCATGACCACCGGCTCAATGGGCTCGACGTACGGCGTGGGATTCACGAGCCCGTCGTGGTAGAAGTCTTCTCGTTTTTTATACGGTTGCACGAGTTCCATGGTTGTAGGGGTTTGAAAAGTTCGCGATGCGATTTCCATTTATTAATGAACGGTCACAGTATTCTCCCGGTAGACAGACATCCCAGCACACCTGCAAAAGGTCCCGAGGAGTTCGAGAGACTCAAGACCGAGGTTGATACCTCACCCAACAATATCCACAAGTGGGATGAACTTTTTGCCAAAATCGATGATAGAATCAACTCCGTCAACCCCAAAGATGTTTCAGCTGAGTTCAAGCTGTTTATACATACATGCTACACCGAACTTCTAGATCGATTGCCATTTCTTGTAGAGCATTGGAGGAGGTTTCTGATCATCGAATACAAGTTGAACGGTATCAAGCTGTCGATTGAGGTATTGAGTCGGTCTGTGGATGCGGTTCAGTTCTCGGTGGGGTTGTGGGAAGACTATTTAAATGCTTTGGCGTTGGAAAAGGACGAGAAATACGGCCATGCACTTGAGATGTGTATTCTGCTCAATGGACACCACTTCAACAGCCATAACATCTGGGATAAGTACTTGGAACACAAAAAGGACAATGTACTTCCCGTGTACCTAAAGCTCATCCACATACCACTCTACGAATATGCCAAGTACTACAACCAATTTGCCGAAATCAACAAAAATTACCTGCTCAAAGACATACTAGGAGATGACCTTGAGGAGAACTTGCAACGTTTCGGTAAGACCAGCCCCGATGAGTGTTCGGTCATTGAGTCTCACCAGATCATCGATGAGTTCAGCTACCAAATCTTCGCCACCAACCAGACCAGAGTCAATGCCAAATGGGAGTTTGAGAGCAAGATAACCACCCTTGATTTGAACCTAAAGGTGAGCTCAGACACCGAATCAGACAACTGGTTTGCCTATTTGGACTATGAAATTCAACACTACAAGCAAGACTATAACACCATTACCAACTTGTTCGAAAGGGCTTTGATCCCAAACTGCTTCAATCAAAAGCTCTGGCTCAAGTATCTCGCATACATCAACGTTTCTGACGAATCTCACAAGTTTCAGGTTATGGACTCCATATACTCGAGATGTGTGAATAAGTTTATTCCATTGGACGTGAACTTTGTCAGGTTCAGCTACGGGAGATTCTTGTTGAAGCACAACAAGGTGGACTTGATGAACGACTACTTGTTGGACTTGGTCAAGTTCTTTGGTGGAGATAATAATTCCAAATTGTACTTAAAAAGTGGATACACTGAAACGGTTGAGAGTCTTTTAGTGAATTGGAGCAAATTAGTGGGAACAGAAGCTTTCTTGCAAATCTCACAGAGTCTTTTAGAGTGTTATTTTGAAGAATCGAAGCTGATCACCGCTGAAGTGGAAACTGTTTCACGTCTGACGGTGAACTTGTTGTTTTCTCGACTCAACGACCAGTCGATATTAGTGGTGATAAAGTTATATTTAAATACTTTGTTATCGGTTTCAGACCTCTCAAACCCAAAGGATGTGAATGGGTTGAGACAGTTTTTCAACAAACACTATAAACGGCCACAGCTCAGGAGTTCTGTGTCGTTTTGGAAGTTCTATGTGGAGCTTGAAGGGGCTGGTATGTTCAATTTTTCTCATCTACATCAGATCATCAAATACATCCAAAAGGAGACAACTTTGTCCAAAATCGTGGTCAACAAGTTTTTAAACTTCCAATACAATCTATACACATCCAACTACAAAAGGTTCAAGGCAGATGTTGATGACGACTCCATTATTAGGTACCAGAACAATTTATCTTTGAATCCAACCGACAACAAATACTTATTAGCCAGCTACGGCAAGTCAATACGTGATATCAAGGACCAGTTCGAGCATCCTGGAATCGTCATTGACAACAAACCCGATATCACCAACAAGTTGATGAATCAAAACTTCGACTTGTTTAGCGACGAGTTCCCATACCCAGCCACCTTCAAGAACATAGAAAAAGCTAATGCTCCCATTCCATTCCCCCAATAAATATACATTAGTGCCTATATGGCATCTCCTTGTCTTCCTATAATAATCATGTCACTTCTAGTTTTGGCCTTGTAGGTACACCTATTATCACCAAACACCTCCAAAATCTTCAACTTGGGGCATTTTTTGCTTAATAGGTTTAGGATCTGATCATCTATAGACCTCACGAATCCTACGTTCAAAGTGGTCAATAAAGGAAATGAGAGTCCCGAATAAAATGTCAACGAATCATCCGCATTGTTCTCTTTGAAGTTGACCTTTAACTCTTCGTAGTCATCTGTCAACACTTGCCAAAAAAAGTTTTTGGAAAGGTTGTCGAGTGAATTCAAGTTCAATTCGACTAGTGTTGTACAAGATTGTTTCAAGATATCATAAATCACGGCTTCAGTCATCTCAATGCATTTATTCAAATCAAGGGAAATCAAACCACCATTTATTTCGTTGAAGCCTTTGAAGTTAGCTTCTTCGTTGATTTGGTCCAAACCTTTCATCGACAAATGAGTCAACGTCTTGCAGAACAGAGAAATACCTTCATTTATGAAATTGTTGGTGAGACTGGTACACCCATCGACGTTCAAGGACACCAAAGAGCCTCCAGTTATGGCCAACAAGTTGATCAAAAGTTCATCTGTCACTAGTTCTTCACTCTTTGGATAACTAATTTCCAAATGTGTGAGAGAGTTAGGAGTCAAGTAATGAGGAATAAGCTCATATACCTCGGCAGAAGTGAGCCCGTCCAACCGTGATAACTTCAAGCTCGTCAAATTCTTTCCACAGTTTTCAAGCATCCCAATCAACGAGTCGTTGCTGAACCGGTGGGTGTTTCTTATTTCAAGCTTCTCGAGTTTCTTTCCACAGCTTTCAAAGAAATCCTGCCATGTGACCTCATTGATCAAGAATGGCCCGTTTAGATTCAACTCTGTCAACTTGGTGAGCTTGTCACTATAATACTCGAAATTGTCGTTGTGCAACTGACCACACATGAAAAGGGTCAAGCTCTCGAGATTTGGACAATAAGAGGCAATTTTGTTGAAGGAGTCTGAGTCAACATTGGAACAGTCCCAGAACTCGAGTGACTTAGAGTCTGGATTCAAGAAAAGCGTCATGGTCTCATTGTTCAAAGACCGGTTTTTCGACAAAATCTTCGAAATCTTATTCATGTTGATGGAGCCAATCCCACCCAATGCCTCCACCTGATCAATGTTGCTGGTGATATACTTTATGCAGATGTCTTGTAATGTGGGAATACTCACGGTAGTCTTATCTAATAGCGCCTGGGCCACTTTTTTCCTCTTTCTACGAGCATTCTGCTGGTTCCGACGCGTGTTTTTCTCCCTCTGCTTCAACTCCTGGTTGCAGTCTTCACACAAGTATCCTCGCCGCACCTTGTCGTACCGCGAGTACACCGTCAACTCGAACAACTTCTCACACTCCACGCACACATCTTCCTGACCACTTTGTTTGTACTCATTTCCCAAGGATGCGGACCTGGCCACCGAGTCGTAGTCTTCATCATCCTCATCGTCGTCGTCGTCGTCGTCGTCGGCACCGATAAAATCATCATCACCATCGCTTCCACGTCGAGCAGCACGTCTTTTTCGCCTAGCAGCCGCTCTCATTTGCACGATTTCATCCTCCTCCTCACTAGGGTTCTCGATACGACTGGCCGTGCCGCTCAGCTGGCGGAGGGGATTCAGGGACACTTCCTGGGCGGCTGTGGGCGCCACTGACGACTCGGTGCTGGAGTCTCCAGAAGTAATGCCCTCGATCGCTTGGTCCTGCTGTATCTCGCGTCTTCTTCTGAACGCGTCTGTGATCCCCTCGACCCGCAAAAACTCTGTCAACGCAGAGTTAGGCCCTCTTACATTCGACCCTGTGTTCTTTGTACGCCGTGACATGTTAGGGTTGTGGAAATATCAAGGTTTCAGTTGATTAGTCAAGTTAAGCTGATGCCAAAATTGCGCGGATGCGAAATTGATCTGTCTCAGAGTCGCACCAACAAAAAAAACCAAGCTCGCCACTTAAGCAAAAGAAACAGAGGATGCAAATCACCTTTAAAGACTTCAAGAAGCAGAAGCTCACGATCGACGTCGAAGTCGACGACACGGTATGTCCAGTGGTCCTTTGACCTCCACAAAATGTGTGCTTCAGCTGTACTAACCGTATAGGTGTTGAAAACTAAAGAGACAGTCGCCAGCCAAAAACTGTGTGATGTATCCCAATTAAAGTTTGTGTACTCTGGAAAGGTGTTGGCAGACGACCAGAGTTTGGGGTCTTATAAGATCAAAGAAGGTGACTCGATCATTTACATGATTTCGAAGGCCAAGAAACCTGTTGTTCCAGTCGCCGAACCACCAACAGCCGCCACCACCGGTGATTCAAGCGAATCAGCCGCTAGCGAGCCCGTAGCACCTACTCCCAGTGCCACCACCGTGGCCCCAGTATCTGAAGAGGCTGGATCGGCCTTCGCTCAGGGTTCTGAGAGAGAAGCCACCATTCAAAACATAATGGAGATGGGATATGACAGGGACCAGGTGGAACAGGCGTTGAGGGCAGCCTTCAACAACCCACATAGAGCGGTGGAATACCTCTTGACGGGGATCCCCGAGTCCTTACAGCAGCCGGTTGAGCCTCCCACTGCGGTTGAAGAAGATGTCGATGCCACCCCTGTTGCAGCAGAAACTACCCAGGACGATAAGGACCATGATCACGACACCAGTGACAGAAACGTCAACTTGTTCGAAGCTGCTGCCGCCGCCAACAATGCCAGTGCCGGAGAAGGTGACGCCAGCGACCCGGTCGGTGAGTTGGACGACGCTGCCCAATTGCAATTGTTGCGGGAGGCCATACAAACCAACCCCGAGTTGATACACGAATTGTTGGAACAAATCCTGCGGTCCAACCCCCACATAGCTCAGTTGATTCAGCAAGACCCTGAAGGGTTCATCAATCAGTTTTTCGGAGCTGGCGCCGAGGAAGGATTTGAGATCGATGACGAAGCCATGGAAGAAGGTGAAGATGCGGGTGTGAGAATCGAAATATCGGAAGAAGACCAAAGTGCCATCAACCGGTTGTGCGAGTTGGGCTTTGACCGCAACTTGGTGATTCAGGTGTACATGGCCTGTGATAAGAACGAAGAAGTGGCTGCTGACATTTTGTTCAGAGACTCATAGATCCGCGATGAGGTATTGTTGTACATTAGCTTTGATGCTCTGTTTATATATAATATTTCCACAAACCTAACTGTTACCACGGTAACTCCTCCAAGCTGTGCACAATGCCGTGAGTGTCAATGTCATCCTGAGAAACCGGTGCGTTGCCCGGTCTGTCGACGATGCTGACGGCTATGCCCGCTTCTTTTGCTGCGTGGATTTCCTTCACGTTGTCGCTCAAAAACAACACATGTGATGGATTGGTGTCGTAGCCAATGCTCTTTAGAATACTCTCGTACGAACTAGCCTCTTGCTTGGATCCAGCCGTGGTGATGTCAAAGTACCCACTCAAGTATTGGTTCAAGTCCACCACGTTGTTGCCATCTTTGACGTATTTAAACAACAACTTCTGGGCCTTGACACTGCCGCTCGAGTAGATGTATATCTTACTGTGCTGAGAAAACGTCTTGATCACATTGATAGCGTCTGGGTAAATGGGTGCCAACAAATCACCTTTTTCATATCCCAATTTCCACACAAATCCCTGGAACGACTTAAGAATCGGGTCCTTGACGTCATTGGCGACCAACTGGCGGATATGTGATGCGACAGCATCGAGTGTTGCGTGCTGCGGGAACTGAGCCACGATATTATTGATCAACTCGGTGTCCGTGGGGGTTTGGCCAACGGGCTTGTTCAGCAACGGGTAGTCCAAATCGGCCAAGAAAACCTCGAATTGATCCATGAAGTATGGGTATAGCACATCCTTGACGAAGGAGATCGAGCAGACAGTACCTTCGATGTCGAGTACTAATACTTTGGGGCTCATTGTCAAAGTTTCAGAGATAATTAATGCAAAAGAAAAGAATTGCAAAAGTCGCGAAAGCAACTGGCTGAGACGCTTTGGATTGATTGTATAATTGTATAGCTGTAAGTGCACGATTATCTCCCCTAAGGTTGTATATATACAACTATAAGTACACTGTAGTCCACTCAAACGCTTCTTATACAACTCTAAGAACATCACCATCACTCATTCTGATCTCACCGGCTTTTTGCAGACCTCTCCCGGACATCAGTTCCCCAACAAATTCGCGAGGTTGCGAAATACCTACTTATCTTTTGGTGACCCTAACACCACGATGTATAAAATACCTTTCTGGCCAGGTGACACATTATATACTTCTCAGGCACTAGACAAACCTAGTTGTAAGCCGCTATACGATGAGACCAATGACTATATAAACGAAGACCATATCCACGAGTTTGCAAAAGCTCTCGTGTGGGACAGTGAGGAAGACCTTGGAGAGAATGACATATCTTTACGCAATCAAATGGACGCTCTTGGCGCTGTGGACGGCGGAGATATGGCTGCTGGGCTCTCACCTACGCGACGCTCGTCCAAACCCGACCTAATCGTCTCCAAAAGTGACTGGTATCCTGTTCACACTCCGATGGCAGCAAGTGATTCCAACACAAAAGAACCACGCTCGAAGCGGGCTTCGAAGCTGAACGACTCCAAACATGCCACCAACGAGTTCCGGGCCAGTGCCGGCTACCTTTTGTTGCGGTGGCCGATTCTTATCGGTGTGTTGATGTGGATGGGGTTTTTGGGAGGATGCTACTCGGCTGTGCGGTTTTGGGTAGCGCTCCTGGAGTATTATTTCACCTGGACCGGCGACAGAAAGCGGCTCAGAGACCGACTCAGAGCGTCGAAGACGTACGAGGAGTGGGTTGCCAATGCATTGGCGTTGGACCGGTTTCTTAATCTTGATAAATGGTCAAGTAACCCCAAGTTTTCATACTACGACTACAAAACACTACGACTCACGATCAACAAGTTGCGACAACTCAAGAACGCCAACATGGATTCGGAGCTCTTGATAATGCTCCAAGGATGTGTGAAGACCAACTTTGCTGGTATTGAAAATAGACAGTTGTACTCCCACCGGTACTATGGCACCAAGAATCTCGTGGAAGACTACATCCAGTTGGTCACCGAGTGTATCGACCACATCACTGACTCGGAAAGCATTCCATTTGCCACGAAACGCAAGTTTTTCCGGTTTATTCTGAAGAATTATGGCAAAACTGCCTTGTGTTTGAGCGGAGGAGCCTGTTTTGCGTATACTCATTTTGGGGTGATCAAGGCCTTGCTTGATAACAACCTCCTTCCATCGATAGTGTCGGGGACGTCCGGGGGTGGGGTGGTGGCAGCTTTGGCGTGCACACGGACAGATGAAGAATTGAAGAAGTTGTTGGTACCTGAATTAGCCCGGAAAATCACCGCCTGTGAGGACCCCTGGTGGGTGTGGGTTCCGAGGTTCTGGCGGACCGGGGCCAGGTTTGACTCCATTGCCTGGGCCAGAAAGTGTAACTTTTTCACCAAGGGATCCATGACTTTTCAAGAAGCTTTTAAGTACACCGGCAGAAAGTTGAACGTTTCTACCGTGCCAGCGGACCCCCATTCGCCCGTGATTCTCTGCAACAACATCACGTCGCCCAACTGTATCATCTGGTCGGCACTTTTGGCATCGTCGGCGGTGCCGGGGATCTTGAATCCGGTGGTGTTGATGATGAAAAACCCAGATAATGGTCGAGTGGTGCCATTTTCATTGGGAAACAAGTGGAGAGATGGGTCCTTACGCACCGACATCCCTATCGACGCCTTGAATACCTACTACAACGTCAACTTTTCGGTGGTATCGCAGGTGAACCCGCACATCTCTCTCTTTTTCTACGCTCCAAAGGGTACGGTGGGCAGACCAGTGGCTCTTCCCCGGCGTTACACCAACCGGCAGAAGTACGCATCGTTCAGAGGGGGTTTTTTGGGGGCAGCGGTGGAACAGTTGTTGCGGCTTGAAATCACCAAGTGGTTGAAGATCATTAAGAACTTGGACTTGCTTCCACACTTGCTTGAGCAGGACTGGCTGAACATTTGGTTGCAGAGGTTTTCTGGAACCATCACCGTGTGGCCCCGGAACCGGATCCTGGACTTTTTGTACATCTTGAGTGACCCCACAGTGGAGCGGTTGGAGGAGATGCTCATGAAAGGTCAGAGGTCGATGTTTCCTAGATTGTTATTTATCAGGCACAGAATGACTATAGAACGGGCCATCGAGAGAGGCAGAAAAGCCACGAGGTTGGGCAACAAGTATGAGACTAGTCATGTGATGAGCCTGGCGGGTACGGTCAATGATACCGAAGTGCACGGAGTGCGGTACCACGGGGATGACGATGAGACGGGCTCGAGTGAGGAGGATGTTACGATGTTGGAGTCGCCGTTTGCGAGGCAGTTTGGTTGGGAAGAGCAGGTGTCTGCGTCGAGCCGGACGGCTAGTCCTGAGGTGACGGAGGATGAATTGGAGGAGCCAAGGGAGCCTAAGAGACGGTATACGGTTTTGTAGAAGGACTCTGCACTGAACGAGTGGACACAATGGTGTCACTGTGAGTATTGAATCTTATAGAATACGTACAGGAGCATGAACTCTGCCTATCCAGTACCTAACTTGAACTCTGCCTATTCAGTGCCTAACTTGAACTCTGCCTATTCAGTGCCTAAAACATGAAATCCTATCTCGCCTTGGTAAAGTACGCATTCACCTTGTTACAGTCTGCCACCTCTCCCTCGGCCTCAACTATGTACTCCAAATAGTCGATAGCCAAAGGAATACCCTTCTGTTCGAGCACCTCTTTCTCCTGAAGCCTGAAATTCGATAGCACCCACGTAGCAATGGTGTCCTTGGTGGCGCTGACGGGCTTGGGCCCGATCCCCACCCCTAATTTATAGAAATTCTTCATCTCCTGAAACACCCTCAGCACCGATTTCACTCCATTATGAGATTCATTCTTCTTGAACTGAGAGATCCGTACACGGCCCAAGTCCAACTCAAAGTCATCGTACAATACAATAACGATTGCTGAGTCTGGCCGTTTCTTATTTGCCTCAAAGTACCGTTTGAGGGCTTTTTCAGACTCATTCATATAGCAGTTGGACTTGACGAATGTGATATTGTTAATGGAGCTCAGCGAATACACCCCCGATTTCTGTAGCTGTTTGGCCCCAAAGTGCTCCATGGCGGCTTTGAGCACAAGATGTCCACATGAGTGGCGTGCGATGGCCCCCGGGTTTCCGATGGAGAATATCACAAACTGGCTGTCGCTCATGAGTAATGTTTTGCAACAGTCGCGAAATCGAAAACCAAAAACTTCATCTAAACACCATGGCCAAAGTCGAGTTCAGTGACGAAGAAGAATTCGATACGTTCAACGAGCCTGTAATGGACGATTCCGCCACCCTGAATCAAAAGGATGACGACGACTTCGGATCGTTTGACAGTGCGTCTTTTGATGACTTTGAAGCACCCACCGCTCCCAAGACTCTCAGCAAATATATGAAAATCGATGGTTTCTCCGCCGCTAACGAAGAGTTTGACCGCCAGTTGGATGCACTATTGGACACCATTCTCCCCGGTGATGGCGAGACCCCAAAAGAGCGGCCACAAACACCCATATCATCGTTGTTGGATGATCGGTCCAGTATGATTCTCAACCAACTCAATAAGATCCCTCATTTGAAACCCAACAACTGGGTCCGTCTGCACATCCGCCACAATTTGTTGATCAAGTTGGGCATTCCCATTAATCTTGACGAAATCAAAGACGAAAAAACGGCGTTTTTGAACCCTAATAACCTCAAATCGTCTGCCACCAGGCGCAAATCTATAAATGAGCAGGACATTGACTGGGACGGCATAGCGATTCCAGAGTTCAAGCAGCTCAAGCTTTCGCAAAACGAACGAAGTGAACTTATGACCAAGACAAACGATATTCTCTCACAGATAGAGACGGACAACTTGAACAATTCGTCAAAGTCATTTTTAGACGGATGCAGTGAAGATAAAGTGCACCAGAAACTCGAACAGCTCAGGCACAACCTGGACCAGTTGTTGAAGTTGGCGAGTGTATGGAAGGACCAGTTTGAGGACCTCAAGAAGAACTCGGAAATCTATGAGTCAGTGGTGCAAAACTTGATTGGATACAGCCAGAAACTCGAGCGAAACGAGCTTTTGAACAGCTTGAAGCACGTCAAGTCATCGACACATAAGAGAAAGTCTGCATGGAGGTAGATAAGATCATAAAGTGTATTATCATAAAGTTACAAATAAGCTACATGGGGGTTTGAAAGTTGAAAAGCGAGCCTGCCATCTCGTCCTCGATGTAGTTGTCAGCCCCTGACTGTAAGTTCATATTGATGAAGGTACTGTCGATGAAGTTGGTGGTGAAAGTTCCACCTGGGGTATGCGGAGGAGGCATATACTGGTCATTGGCCAAGTCGTTGGAGTCCCGAAGATCGTCTTGGTTGATCATACTGGAGATGGCAGGGGATTGGGCCCTACTGTCAGCCATATTGGGGAACAATTGAGTGGGCTCGAAGTTCTGGAAGAAATTCAGGTCAGCCGGCATATCTTCTGTGACCAACGAAATGTCTGGGAAAGACATCGACGAGGACGGAGAGATGATATTCTTTTTCTGGTTATTGTTTTTAGCTTGAGGTTGGTGAAGCTCGTTTTGGAATGGTCTCTTTACTTCCTGTACCATTTGCTCAAAGTTGGCGGTGGTGGGGTCTCTGTTAACAAATGGCTCGGCCCGAGGAGAGACGCCTGAGCTTACCAGCGACGTGGTATGCATGAAGTCACTGTTGAGGGTGTTGCCATTATCACGAGTGAGGTTTTCGTTACCACCGGTGTTGGAGTTGCCGTAGTAGGCCTTCATGTTCTGCTCATTCTCCAAGGCCCTCTTGGAGCTGCTCATTTCCTGTCGCATGGCGATTCTGCCGGTTCTCTCGATGACCTTGGCTCTATTGATGCGGTCATTGGCGTACTTTTCAAACAACTTGAGCAACACCTTGGCAATGGGGAACACCTCCGACATCTGGTCCATTACGGTTTTCAACGTCACCAACGAGTCGGACGCGGTGGACGAGATCAACTTGTTGCTAGAGTCCACATGGTAGATCAACATCAACAACGCACTGTAGACAATATACACAAACATCACCGGGCAATTGTAGATACAGTCCTTGTCGTACAAGATCTTGGAGATGATGGCAATCATACGGGCGGCCTGGAAAGAGATCCCCCACGAGGGATATTTGTAGTTGTTGGGATCGGTGGAATTGGACCGAGCCATTCTGATCAAGTTGGACCGGTGAATCAAGTACAACCGATTATAGTACTGAGCGTTCAAAAGACAGCTGAAGAAGTCCTGCTTTGACACATCGTTGAGAGAAAATGTCAACTGCGGTGGGAGGTTGGTGAACCAAATCCCCATCAACATATCACAGTGCTGGATGATGGAAAACTTGTTCTTCTTTTTCATCGACTCGGCCTTAACGGTATATTGGTGCCGCAAGATAATGCCGGTAATCTCGGCCAACTTGACGAGGTGGATAAAGTAGAGTGCCTGCTTTTCATTAAGTGGGTACGATGAAACCACACCCGATTCAGGGTCGTTTTCGTCAAAGTCTTCGAGAGTTAACATGGGCACATCACAGTCGCTCAAGTCGATCACCACGGGTCTGCCAAAGGCAATGGCAACGTTGCGGTCCTTCTCAAACAAACACCACCACACCCGGCGCCAGATTTTTTTTTCGTTATTGGAGAGCGGTGACTTGGAAACGTCTCGGTGGAGCCCAAATCCCTGGGCCAAGCCGATGGCCACGCGGGTCCAGTAGAAGGAGTTCTTGGTGACATCCTCCGGGCCCTCCCAGTAGGTACCGATCAAAATCAACGTCTGGACGATGGCAATGGGGTCACTTTCGTAGTTGGTTTCGTACAAGGCCTTGGCCCGGCGGAACAAAGTCAAACACGCCAAGTTGTTGGAGTTGTTGGAGTCCAACAATAACGGGTTCCGGGAAATACGACAACCACACAAGAGCACTGCCTGGAGCAACATAAGTGGTGGGTTGTCGTTGGGGTCATTGAATTTATTCATAAATTCGGTACGGTTGACCACTGGCATCAACGGGTGGATGTGTTCGAAGTAGCTGTTGATCAAGTCCAACGCCAACTCGCGGTCCGGGAGGAGGAAAGCGCCTCTGATCTTGAGAATCTCCAACTCGACCGAGTCCAACGAATTTTCGTTCACATCGAATACATCTTCATTCAACTGGACGTGGTTGTCGCCAACGTTCTGGGCAATGACTCCCACCGACGACGACCCCAAAAACGTGAACAGGGCCTTGGCCTTGCTGAGCATCAACTCCTTTTTGTGTACCAGTGGCCGGTTTTTGTACTTGGACGTGAGTGACGGAGGAATCGATACCTGAGAGATGTTCAACACCGGCTCGCTGGAGTTGGAGTGGGCTTTGGCCTTGGGCGACGGGTCCTTGATAAACTCCACCGACTCGTCGTCTTCAGTCTTGATGATTTCGTCTTCTTTACGCTTTCTGCCATCGGGGGCGCCGTTGCCTCTCTTTTTGACCATTGGTAACTCACAGTCACACCCAAACGTGATGCAGTTTGTGCACGGGATGTGTATTTCGGCGTCACAGCGCACCTTCCGCTGCCGACATACCACACACGCTCGGGAGCCTCTTGGGCGCTTGTATTTGATGGTGAAGGCTTTTGGTTTAGCGGCAGTCGCTGGGGTTTTGGTGACCTTTTCTTTTTCGGGTTTGTTGACCATGGATGAGTAGTTATGGTGGAAGGTATGAGTATGTCAGAATTCACCAGGTGTATGGGTCAGGGTTGTAATTGTAGATGGGAAAATATTGTTTGATGAAATAGACAGTATGTTTGTTTGAAAATAAAGTCCGTTTTCTCCAGAGTTTTTGCGGGTGCTGCGAGAGGATTTGGAAAATGGAGTGGACGATTTAAGGTTGCAGTTCATAACCGAAAACGAGAGATGAGGCAGAGGATGGGAGGATGGGAGATAGTGGGGGAGGGGGGGAGACGAGGGTTTGGAGAGGGAGGTGTATGTTTTTGGAAGTCCAAATAAGAGTTCATGCTGATGGTTCTCACATGGTGCATACATTTGTTATGGTCTGACATTCGGACACAGGTCTAACGGAGTTTCGGGTTATGTAGCGAATTGTGGGAGCGTGGGGCCATGGGGGAAAATTTAAATTCCGGTAACCGGTTACATTTCACGAAGAGCATTTAGTTTGCGCCTGTGACTTCGCACCCTGGGCTTCCACGACAGCTTCAAAGATGACCACTACGAGTTCGATTCTCAAATTAGCAGCAGCAGTGGCTTCGTCGGTATACGTGCTAGCACAGGTGGCAAAGATTGTACGACAGGGGCAGAACCCCCGGCTAACGAAACTTCCGCCCACGTCCCGGGGGGTCGAGAGTCTCGTGGGGAACACTCCTTTAATCGAGATCAAATCCCTCTCCAAACTCACTGGGTGTCGAATCTACGCTAAGCTCGAGCTCTGCAACCCTGCCGGAAGCGCCAAGGATAGAGTGGCACTTGCCATAATCCGAGAAAATGAAAAGTCGGGCAAATTGACTCCCCACCACGGCGATATCATTTTTGAAGGCACATCTGGGTCAACAGGAATTTCGTTTGCTTTACTTTCCAATGCCCTCGGATACCATACACATATATGCTTACCAGATGATACCAGTGACGAAAAAATCAAGTTACTCGCCAGTTTGGGTGCTATCATTGAACCCGTCAAACCCGCATCGATTGTCGATCCCGAACAATACGTAAATGCAGCCCGAGCGAGAGCATCTGCTATTAATGACGACCAACTGGACCCTCGGAATGCTGTGTTTGCCGACCAGTTCGAAAACGACTTCAACTGGAGAGTTCACTACAATACTACCGGTCCTGAAATATGGACGCAAATGCAGGGTCGTATTGACTGCTTCATAACCGGTTCCGGTACCGGGGGGACTATTGCCGGAGTAGGTAGGTACTTGAAAGAACAGGATGCGTCTGTTAGGGTGATCTTGGCAGATCCACAAGGAAGTGGGTTGGCCAACCGTGTCAACCATGGCGTCATGTACGACACGGTCGAGAAGGAAGGCACGCGGCGGCGTCACCAGGTCGACACGTTGGTGGAAGGTATCGGGTTAAACCGTTTGACCTGGAACTTCCAGCAGGGTGAGAAGTACATCGACTCGGCGGTGCGAGTGTCAGACGACCAGGCATTGAAAATGGCCCGGTTTTTGTGCGAGAATGACGGGTTGTTCTGGGGGTCGTCTGCCGCCATCAACTGCGTGGCTGCGGTGCAGACGGCGTTGACGTTGGGTCCAGGCCACCAGATCGTCGTGGTGGCATGCGATTCTGGTGCCCGGCACTTGTCGAAGTTCTGGGCTCATGCTGCCCGTCTTCCTGCTGATATTTCTCTCCAGGATATTGTTTAAGCATTCACACTATCTAGTACAAGGCATATTTCGCTGAACATATCTAATACACCTACAACTATCATAATGGGTGCCGAAAACATTGACAGCCATCTCTCAATAGTAGAGGATATGTTACATTAGTAATCTACACATTGCTAGCGGTACATCTAATCATTCTACGTTCCTATAATACATATCATTTTTTTGCAGCCATCTTCACGCTCGTTTCGCGGTATATCTTGAAGGTGCTCAAAGATGAGGCAATGAGCCCGAACCAGATCTGGAGAGTGTTGAACGGGAGTTTCATGTGGAACACCGTGTACGAGTCAAACACAAAGTCCGACATCCATTTGTAAAGATCCAAATAAGCGTTGAATTTTTGGAACTGGATTTGTTTAAGGCTCTCAGCATCATGGTTACGGGAGTTGGAGCTTTCATTCAACAAGCTTGCAAGTGAAGAAGTATCACTGTTCAGCTTGAGACCAAGAATCTGCTTGGAGAGGAGCTTGGCCTTGTTTTTGACTTGGATTTGGATCTTGAGGTCCATCTCCTGCTGACTCAAGGTGTTGATGGCATCCACCGCCGTGTAAATCCCCAAAATCGAGTCATAGTACCAAGCCAACGACTCGTGCCGGGACACCACCTTCTTGAAGCTCTTGTTGGTCAACAACCCGAGCTTGTACAACAACAAACACTCATCGTTGAACCCGTAGTATAAGCCGATGACTTCTCCCAACGTTTTCTTCGTCAACGCGGTGCTGTTAATGGTGTTATGGGCAAAGGCATCTTGGAGCTTGGTGGCCAAGTCTCTCACTCGGAAGGGAGTTTTGCCAAACCGAAGAAACTGTCTATAGGTGGATAACCCGTTAACCATACCTTGGAACCGGGTAGAGAACCGAGAACACACCAAAATCACCACGATCCGGGCGAAATCCACTGGATGCCGCACAAAGTTGGCTATCAAGTTCAACTTCTTACTGCGATCGTTGTAGCTTTTGTCGATGGAACCGATGTTGATGGTTTCATCACTGAGATAGTCTTTTGTTTGGTTAGCGTGGTAGATCAACAACCGCAAAAGATACTGACCCACCTTGGCCATCTTGTCCTTGCCGGTGATGTTGTTCAACATGGCCCAGAAGATATCCATTGTCGGTATGGCAGTAGCAGGTTTATGGACAAGTTGACTAGACTCAGCAGAAGTAGAATCATCCACCAACTGACTGGTGGACGAGCTTCGGCTGAGCAAACGCTCGTTGATATTGATGGAACTGGTCTTGTTGTCGGTGTCAGGAGTCATATACGCCGTTACCTTGGGTTTGACGGGGGTTTGGTAGTTTTGGGTGACAGTAACCGACATTTTTGGATCTTTGGACGGCGAGTTGATGGGCGAGTTTTGGTTGGAGTCGAGCCACTCGGAGTGTAGCGTGTGGATGGGACTAGAATGGGGTTGAGTGGCGTATAAATAGGTGGAACTATATGGATTCCTGTGATTGTTTACTTGCGAGTAATGGGAGGGGAGGGTATTGGAGGATGCAGATATGGTGGTGGGGGCTTGGGCTGCTGTGGGGTAGTACAGACGCCGGGGCAGGGGTATATGAGAATCAGAAAGGGCCACTGAGCCTATGTCGTTCATCTTGAAAAATCACTGGGAATCGGACAGTATTTATATTGATGAAGTTTTTGAGTATGCAACGGGCGCGCGAATGTAACATGGGAGGGGAAATTTTGGGTTGCAGCGATGAGATAGGCAGTAGGGCCAGCAGGAGAGAGAAAGGGGAACTTAGCGGAAACAGGTGTGATGTTGGGGTATATATTAAGGTGTATATTAGGGTGGGAGTTATTGATTGCGCATGAATACTGAATGCAAAGAGGAAAGTGAATACTGGCTGAAGCAATTGCATAGAGCAGAGCGTCTCATCGACAGTCGAGTGTGTGGAAGTCAGTGAATGAGTCCTGCAAGTGGAAATGTCATGGTGGTCTGTGGGTGTTAAGTCTCTGGATGTGTATGGTGGTCTGTGGGTGTTAAGTCTCTGGATGTCATATCTCTGGATGTGCCTGTACCGTTCACATCCTCCCGGGGACCAGGCCCCATCATGAACGCCCCCACCGACCCCAAGTATCCCTCGTGCCTCAAAAAGTAACTCTTCATATCTCCCTGGGACCAGAAATTCACCGCATAACTCAAGGTGTGAATCGTCTGCTTATGCCCCGATATATAACTGCCTCCAAAGTATATTCTCTTCAAATTAAACCGCAATGCCTGCAAATAACTGATCTGTCCAATGTTGTTCGACACCAGGTAAAGCAACGACCGGGCAATATCCTCCCCTTTGAACTGAGCCAACTTTTCGGCCGGAGTACTGGTGGAGAGATCTTTATTAAACCGTAGCTTCTTGAACACCTTGGCAAACGAAGAGGCAATATGGTTGGACTTCAAGCCGATCTTGTTGTAGCTGCCACCGTAGATGTCTCGGATCAACAAGTCGATGTTCTCGTTGTTTCCTCGTGATGCCATCTCCAACATCTCGTTATAGTCTTTCGCTTCCGTCAAAAGTGACAAGAGTCCCCAGAGAGTTCCTCCTCCAAGAGACGACCCACCGATTCTCTCGAACCCGTTGGGCCCCGGTCCCGTCACCTTGATCATCAGCACTCCGCTGCCAATGTTCACAAGTAAGTACGGGTAGATCTGCTGGTCGTGGGTGTATGGTGATGAGATGAACTTGGTTTCGTTATCCTCCAAGTCGTAGATGAAAATCTCGTTGGGGATCTTGGTGATAAGCCAGTCCAACCCTTTAATTAAACACTCCATCTCGTCGGTGGCGATGATTTCCACCGGGAGTTTGTTTTTGGCAAATCTTTTGGTCATGGTTGCGTAGAACTTATGGGCACCACCTCCGGTGGCCATGATGTAGGTGATGGGCGGGAGCTTCTCCTTGTCGAGTGATCGCTTGATTAACTTGAGCATAAATGCCAACACTTCGGTGGAAAAGTTTTCTGTTTGAAAGTCTTTGAAATGCAACTTTCCTCCTTTCAACTGGTGATTAATCTTCTTGCTGCGGGTGAAATACACGAGCTTGGTCAAGGTTCCACCGATGTCGACGGAGATATGTATCACCTCCGAGTTATGTTTGGGTAAGGTGATGTTGTGGGGGATTCCTGTGATGTCTTCGGGGTCGTTGGGGTCATTATCGAATTCAGGATCCGAATTTTCAGGTGACGGCGACGTTGATGACGCCGGCTCATCCAGCGCCGCTACGAGCTGGTCGTTGGCGATGTAGGCGCCCGAGCAGTCGATGCGGATGGTACCACGGCCCACTACGTCCAAGTTTATTTGGTCTTGTGGAGACATGAGGCGGGAGAAAAACAGCTAGAAAAGGAGGTTTTGGGGGTATGACAACGGGAAAAATGGCCAGGGGAATGATCGAATGGTGTGGTGGGGGTGTGGGCAGTCAACAGATGATTAGATGCAAAATACAGCCGGGGGATGTGTCACTGGCCGAGGTGCTCGTTTGTAAGCGTAAGATTTGTCGCACTCTTTTTGTTGGGAACGGGAACGATGCAAAGAATTTTTCACAACGGTTTTCAGGTTGCAAAAAAACCCATTTAAAATGTCTGATTCGCTTGTGGCCACCAACAGGTGGGTGCCAGAGAAGTACAACGTGCTTTTAGATGTCGACGTTCACAAACCCAACTTCCATGGGGCCTTGGAATTTGTGCTCAAGAATTCTACCACCAGTGCCCACTCGCAGCCCTTCCACCTCGTGTTACACGCCGCCAAGTTGGTGGTGCTCGGGGCCACGGTCAACGGTCACGTGGTACAGGTCAAGAACAATCCCACCAATACCACCGTCGAGTTGTCAAGCGACCTGTTGCCCCCCGCCGATTATACGGGCAGTTTGGTGCACATCAAGTATTTGGGCACCATCAAAACCTTGAACTCGTTCGAACAGACCAAGGGAGTTTTCAAGTTTGAAATCGACGACAGGGTGCTCATCGCCACGCAGACTCAGCCGCTGTTTGCACGGATGATATACCCGTGTATTGACGAGCCAGCGTTCAAAGTTCCGATGAAATTGACCGTCAAAACCGCCAAAGGGCTCCAAGTGGTGGGCAACAACGCGGTGGAGTCAGAGGAAGTTGACCCCACGGGTGGCACCAAGACCGTCTCGTTTGTGGCTACCCCACCAATGTTATCGTCGAATTTTGCCTTTACTATTGGGGATTTGCAGTATGTGGAGTCGACCAAGACTTCCGTGCCAATTCGCGTCTACTGTCTCCGTGAGTTCGGGATCAAGGCTCCTCAGGTCCTCGCCATTGCCGAGAAGTTGGTACCGCTCTTGACCAGCCGGTTCGGGTCCTTTCCGTTGCAGAAGTTAGATATCATCGGGGTGCCGTACTTGACAGAAGGGGCGATGGAGAATTGGGGGGCCATTACGGTGATGCAAGACTACTTGTTCAAGGACGACGTGCTACAGACGCAGCAGTTGGTGGCGCACGAGCTTGTGCACCAGTGGATCGGGAACTTGGTGCTGTTTGACGACTGGAAGTACGTTTGGTTGAACGAATCGTTCGCGACGTTTTTTGGCAACCATTTTGTGAGCATCATTGATCCCTCCTACAGTTTTGTAGAGGAGTTGATAGACATGAGCGGACGCATGGTGCGCACGGGAGATGTCAACATCCAGAAGTTCATGAACGGGGTGAGACTCACGGGTGACACCACCACCGGCGAGTTGTTCAATCATCAGGTGTATGAGAAGGGTATCTTGATGTTGCGAATGATAGGCAATATTTTGGATCCCAACACCATCGACAACTTCGAGGTGTTTTTGGCAAGCATGAGCAAGTTTGTGGAGGCCCATAGGTTTGAGTCGATCAAGGCCAGTGAGATCTGGCAGTTTTTCTTGCAGGAATTCGATATCGATTTGCTCACGTTTGTAAGTATGTGGATTCGGTATGACAAGTTTCCCTTCATCCAGGTGTCGCAGAAGAATGGAGAGTTGGTGATTGAGCAGGCCCAGAGCAAGCCGTACCAGTTTCCACTCGTGGTATCCACCACCGAGAGGGACTACCAATTTTATATCAAGGACAAAACCACCAAAGTGAAGCTTGACGAGCAGGTGGTGGCAGTGAACAAGCACCGGGTTGCTCTTGTGAAGCAGGACATCTCGAAGAAGCTTGTGAAGGACTTGGAGCCGCACTTGGGACGTCTCGATGCGTTGAGTTATCTTATTGACTATCCTGATAGCGGCAGTGGAGTTCACCAGATGCTCCAGGGAGTTTTACGGAAGCAAACAAAGTAGGAGGGTGGAAGAGAGTGAATAGAGTGAATAGTGTGAATAGTGTGAATAGTGTGAATAGTGTGAATAGTGTGAATAGTGTGAATAGTCAGAAGTGTAAATAGAATACAGTCCAATGATGGCCGCATCCTGTCAACCTACGCTAACATTTCACCATGTAATGTTTATAAGTCATGAATGTATAAAGGCGTATGCTGAATGCTAATGATTGAATGCAAGTCTATGATATCAGATGTTCCACTTGACCTCCCGCTTATTGTACACAAAGTCCAAAATGTTGTTGGCAAAGTTATCGACCGAATCGACGGAGTTGGTGTCACTGTTCGCACCATGCTGGCGCTGGCGCTGATGCTGGTGCTGGTGTGCCGACAGAATGCTGTGGTGAGATTTGGTCTTGGAGCTTTTTTCATTTTTGCAGCCTTTGCAGGTACACTCATTTTTCAACAAATCTTCTTTGTACTTGTTGGGGAGCCTCATAGTGGACTTGCTAGGAGATAATTTGGGAGGCTTGGCGTGGAGTAAGTGTCCTAATGACTTTGAATGTCTCAACGGGGGTGTGGGAGGTGTGGGAGGCGTGGATGTATAAGGAGATTGTCCATGAGAGGAATGATAGGACAGTGAAAGTTCGGAATGATGGTGGGTCTGTGTGGGAGTCACTACTGGACGTGGATGGAAAATGATAGACGACTGGGTCTTCAAAGTGGGGAGTTGGCGTGAGGACGACGACGACCGCGATCCAGGCGGTGGGCGAGTGGGAGGTTTAATTGAATTTTTGCTTTTTGATCCCAACCCTTTGGTAACCGGAAGCAGGTAAGTATAGTTGGTAGATCCATTCAGACTGGAGTTGGAAGACAGGGTTCGGGAATGCAGCACTTGTGGTGCACTCTTGGAAGACGAACCAGATTTGGAGCTGCCACTGGATCGGGATGATTTTAATGAGAAGTTCGAATTGTTGGAGGTTGTCCGTTTATGGGATGCCATGGCATTGGCATTATTGGAAACATCATCTGATTTCTTTGCCTTAGAGAATTTTATATTCATGAATCACAACACTCAAAAGAATAGAGAAATGCAAAAATCGGTTAGGGGGTATAAAGGAGTTTTGTATGTGAAATATTCCTCCGGTTGATAAAACTGAAAAATGTGAAAAATCTTAAATAGGGTTTGTTCTAGGAAATATTCCACTAAAAGGGGTGAGATCAATGGAGCCAGTGTAACAAGTGATTGACGTGAGTATAATAGAGGCAAAAGAAAAAATATTGGTGTGGACTATGTGATTGGGTTACTGGGACAAAAGAAAAAACCGGGTCTTTCTTATCAGTAAAATAAGTAAATTATATAGCCCGTTTTGCATAGTGTTGAATACCGCGATCCAACTATTCATAACCAGCCAACAAGTCATTCATCTCTCATTCGCCTATCAGGTTGATGGGTCAACCTGATAGACGGGATACTGCTTCCATCCACTGCCATCGTCAACTTCCCGGTTTTAGTTTGGGCGGCTATCGATACTTTTAGGTCCTGAATAGTATTCTGTTGATGTCGCTCATTACCCCTTTTACAAGCAATTCAATTATTTTTGCAGCCAGGTTGGGATTGGGTGGCCACCGGAAATGCATTATGTCACATTCTTATTCATGTTAAGAGGGGGGTTTCCTTACTCCACAACCAAAGTCAAACAGCGCGATATTAGCTTCCAATATTGTTCCGCGCTATTGCAGGAGACAACAAGGCAAATACGTGGTATGCAGTTGCCATTGAAGTCGCCTAACATAGGTCAGCATAGAACCATGCGCCACCGATACATAGAGGCTGCTCCCCGTATCTTTCACAAATCTGTCGTCTCTTTCGGCCAAAATTTTCTCTCGGGCGGCACTGGTAGTCAATTAAAGCCGATCAACTGGAGGGGACTCTCAGGCGGGTAGGTAGCCCCAGCGATCCCAACTTCCACCGCCACAGACCGCTCCCAGGATCCCGGTTTTGGGAGGGGGACCAATTCCTGGGTTACGAGCAAACAGGCACACATGCCTCCCTGAGTGTTCCTTACAACGTCCTGATCCGGCAGGTGAGTTCCCGATCAGGTTAAATTAAGGCGGTCTAGACCTGTAATTCCATTAAAGTCAATAACCTCCTGGGCTTAGATCCTATTTTACGAGAGTATGCCCCAGCGAGATACAAGTGCACACCGACAAGCATTCTCTAAATCCTTAAACTCCCATTGTGTCAACAAACTCAGGTAACTGCCAGGTATCACCCTCCAAATTTGCAACCACAAGCATCTACGTTATTCCCATCGGTGGGGTTCCATTGATATGTCTATTTACTGAACATTGAATATGTGGTGGCCGATGTCGATGCCCATGGTGGATCGCGTGAGATCTCATCACCTTTGATCCACTGGGGCGTAAACCTTGGTTGGACATGTGTATGTACAAGATTGCGAACCAAAGAACTCGGGGAACATTGGTCTCAAGTGGGAATGGAACATAGACTAAACTGAAATTTGCTTCGCTTAAACATTCACTGGCGCAACCACTCAGGCTACAACTGCTTCTCGTTTTCGATATTCTCTTGCACCAACTCCTGCTCCATGTCCAAACTCTCCTGGACATTCCAAAGATCCGCATATAAGCCGTCTTTTTGAAGAAGTTCCAAGTGCAGCCCTTCTTCAACCACCTGTCCTTGCCTCAACACAATGATCTTGTCGCTGTCGGCAATGGTCCGTAATCGGTGTGCAATCAGGACGTTGGTGTTGCGGGTGTCTTTAAACACGGTACGGATAACCTTCAAAAGGTTCTGCTCCGTGTGAGTATCCAATGCACTTGTTGCTTCATCAAAGAAGGTGATAGGCAGTTTTTTGAGCAAAAGACGGGCAATAGCAAGACGCTGTTTCTCTCCACCCGAAACCATCATACCTCTCTCCCCCACCACGGTGCGGATTCCATCGGGAAGTTGCGAAACCAACTGGTCAAGCTGGACCCTTTGGATGGCTTCGTTGATTTCGGCCTCACTGGCATCAAGACGTCCATACCGAACATTCTCGTAAATGGTATCATTGAAGAGTGGTGTGTCCTGGGGCACGATCCCCAACTTCTCCCGCAATGACTGCAACTTGACGGTTCGAATGTCCTGCCCATCAATGAGGATTCGCCCACTAGACACGTCGTAGAACCGGAACACCAACCGCAAGATGGTAGATTTCCCACTGCCACTGGGTCCCACTACTGCCACCTTCTGGCCGGCAGGGATCGTGAATGTGGCATTCTGGAGAATAGGTCTGTCGGGATGGTAGCCAAAACTGACGTTTTCAAAGCGGATTTCACCAGGATTCTTGGGGTCTAGCACCAAGTCCTTGGCTCCCGGGGCATCCACAATTTCGATGTGATGGCTCTGGAGCTGGAATAAGTTCTCCATATCTAACAAGGACTGCTTAAGCTCTCTGTACACGGATCCCAAGAAGTTCAAGGGCATCAGAAGCTGAAACACAAGCTGGTTGATCAACACCAAGTCACCGACACTCAACAGGCCACCAGCAACTCCCAGACACCCCATATACATCATGGCCGTCAAGGCGGAGCTGAAAATGAGGTTCTGCCCTGAGTTGAGAAACGCCAACGAGGTGGCCACCTTGATAGAGGCATTCTGGTACTTGGTGAGAGCCGCATCATACTTGTATGCCTGGAAGCCCTCGTTGTTGAAATACTTGACGGCCTCGAAGTTGATCAACGAGTCCAATGCCACACTACCAGCTTGGTTATCAGCGTTATTGGCCTCCCGCCGGAACCGGGTCCGCCAGGCAGTGGTACGGATGGTAAACACCGAGTACGCCAACATGGTGAAGAAGGTCACGGCCGCAAACAGCGCCCCGTAGTTGTAGGTCAAGACGCTACACACGACGGAAATTTCAAAGGTGATGGGGATGATATGAAATACCAATGCATTTAACACGTACGAAATCCCCTTGGTGCCTCGATCAATGGCCCGTGTGAGGCCTCCGGTTTGGCGCAGAAGGTGGAACTGGAGGTCCATGTTCAACAACCGTTCGAACGTGTTGAGAGCCACACGGCGGATGGCGGTCTGGGCCACCGATGCGAAGATGGCGTTACGAAGCTCGCCAAACAACACTGCCCCGAACCGGGCGCCCCCGTACGCGAACACAAGGGCCGCCACCACGCTGCCACCAATGCCTACCCCGTCGCTCCAATCGACATTCATGCCGTCGATGATACTTTTGAAGAAAAACGGCACTTGGACGTTGAGGAGCTTGGCGGCGATGAGGAGAGCAAGAGCCACCACCACCCGTATGCGAAAACGAGGGTTGTTTTTGGGCCAGATGGTCATGAGGAGGGACCGGAGCATCTGAGACTGGGAGGTTGAGATGGATTGGCCAAACAACGATCCGGACTTGGGTGGGACTGTATCTTTTTTGACAGTGGCAGTGGTTCCAGGGGTGCTTTTGGGAGCGTCGCCGCCAGCAGCACCATTCTTAGCGGCTTCCATCGTCTTCCTGGTGGAGCTAAACATCCGTACACCCCAATCCTTTAGCGCTGGTGTCACGCGAGGTCCAGGTGAACACAACGATTTCTGGGGGTAAACGGGAGCTGAAAATACCAATGGCATCGACCGAGGCGAGCGGAACTGCCAGGCACCGAGCCCAGCCCGCTGTCGAGCTGCTACTCTCGCTGTATGCTTAATCATTGTGTATCCGAAGTCGCACAACCGTGAGCCTCAGAAACGATACCGCGGTGGAGCGCGGTGTGGCAACAGCAACCGGGGGGAGGGGGGAGAGCACGTGCGCAACAGCACGTGCTTTAGTGCGACAGTTCGCGAAGTCACCTGGCCCGCCCCTTGTGACTTTCTCGTGATCAATCAAAACAACCACACATGAGTAAACGGCCAAGCGAGCAGGATCCCGATCCTGAAAAGAAGTTTAAGCACGATAACGTCGAGTCCGTTGGCAACAACGGCCACGTGGATGACGGTAACGGTGACGGTGATGGTGACGGTGACAGTGGTAATGGAAATGAAAGTACCAGTCTGTCAACCAGTGCGTCAACCCTGTCACCGCACCAATCAGCTCCTAAACAGGCCTCTCAAACAGATATTTCATTAACAGCCCTGTCAGCTTTACTGGCACTCCAGGCAACTTCACCACCTGTCCCTACCACGCTCCCGCCCGCGTCTAAACCCGAACATGGTAGTGACGAATGGCACCGGTTACGCAAGGAAAGCCATAAAGAAGTCGAGCGGCGGCGGCGGGAAAACATCAACGGTGGAATCCGCGAGTTGGCAGGCTTGATTCCTACCAGTGACACAAACAAGGCCCAGATTTTGCAGAGAGCCATTGAGTATATTAAGAGACTTAAGGAAAATGAAACCAATAATATCGAGAAATGGACGCTTGAAAAGCTTTTGACAGAGCAGGCGGTCAGTGAGTTGGATGCATCCAACACCAAGTTAAAACAGGAGTTGGAGCGGGCGTATAGGGAGATTGAGCAGTTGAAAAGAGAGTTGTCAAATGAGTAGTGTATATTACAATGTATGAAACCAAACAGTTCGATGTGCTAATGCTAACAAAAAGATGCTAAAAAAAGGATGAAGTAAAGATGACTGCTGCACTTACGCTAACGTCCTTTTTTCTCGTCTTTGTCATTTGTCTTCTTCTCGTCCTCATTCTCCGTCTCCTCATTCCCCAGCTGCTGGTATATCTCGTTCAATCCCAACACCCGCGCCACCTCCTGGTCGTAATTCAAATAGTTCACCAATACCTTAAAGTAAAACGGATCAATCTTCATGGGCTCAAATCCACCGCGAGACTCAATCAACATCCGCGTCAGCTTATCCACCATAAGTCTTTCCATCTCCATTTCATGAAACCCGGTGAACTCACGTGTCGACACGTACTCCATGAGAATCTCATCCTTCTTAAGAAGGTCCAAGAGCTCTGCACGCGGTAACTGCACCACCAACTCCACGTCGTTTACGCTCAACCGAGCGGTTTCCAACTGGGGGTTAGGCTCGGTTTTTTCACCCTGCTGCTGTCTGAGCTTGGCCTCGATTTGCAACTTCTTCTTCTCTTGGGATGTCAACTGGTATGGCTCGACCTGCGCGCCCTCCACCCCCAGCTCCACGTAGTTCTTCTGGAAATCGTGGTATTGCGTCCATTTTTCGCGGTCGGTGAGAAAGTAGTAAAGGTCAGTCTCATGGACCCATAGCCGAAGCTGTGGAAGAAACACATGGCTTCTGAAGTACTTCAGGAGAGTACCCTTCTTGTACTCGACTTCGAGGGGCAGCGTGAACCGACGTGGCACATAGGCAGATTCTCCTTCTACACTCGACCGCACCAATGGACTGAGCTCGTTCAAGTTGCTGAAATGGTTATTCCGACAGTTGTACACCTGCAATAAGTTGTTGGCCTGTTTGAACGACTCGGAGTTCTCCTCCACCTTCCACACCTCTGGTAACTTGGAGGTGTACCGGTCGGGTGTCCGAGAGGCCAGCAATGCCAATCCCGTGATGTCAATATAGAGTCCGCTATCCACATCGATGAACCGAGCATCAATATTGTTATTACCGTTTCCCCTTTCTCTCAAGGTGATGAAGGTTCCACAGTCGAGGAAGTACCGGCCCACCCCGTGACGAAGGTCTTCTACCACCAACGTCTGGTTGAAGTCGCGGGACATCTTGTGCAAGTCTCGCAAGGGCATTTGTACGTCGATATCGTTATCCCATGGGAATGCCACTCCGTTCCAGTACCAACTGAGCAATGATCCATGGGCCACCCACACGTTGACCCCATGGGTTCGGCAGAAGGCCAAAAAGGCCCGTACCAAATGGTGGAGCGTAAGGGTCTGTTCATAGGTTCCGTGGATAATCCCCGCAAAAAACCGCCAGTCGTAGTGGTCACCCACATGGGTGCCCCAGAGACGCAGCTCGTAGAAGTACTTGGGTGGCCCGCCGTTGGCCACCACGTGCTTGGAATACTGGAGCAGCTGCATGTAAGTTAACTCGCTCGACGTGAGACGCTTGCCTTTACGAGTGCGGTCAACCAAGTCACTGATCACCTCATCGAAGTCCACATCGAAGTCCTCGGGCTTGAGGGCCACCTCGTAGTCGTCAATCACCCAGTGGTGGTTGGGAGGTGATGAGGCGGCCAACTGGGCTTGTTCGGTGTACAAATCAAAAGTACGACCACCACCCAATCTGAGGTGGTCGTGGACGATTCCATTGGTAAGGAGACCATTCTTTTGTACTTTGGTAGTAACGTTCCACGATCCTTTCTCGGTGAGAAACACAATGGAAATGGGTGGAGGGGCATAAGAGTACAAGTACAGCTTACCGACGATGATTCCGGTGCGTTCAGGCACGCGGCCCGGGTTTTCAAACACGTTGAACCCGGGGCGGAGCGAGTTACCGTCGTTATGGGTGGTAGGGAGCTCGTGATTCGAGACACAGTATTCTCTAGGGTCCCGGGGTGGTGCAATCCGCTTAGCGAGCGAAACGTCTCTTTTGTCTTTGGAGTCGCCTTGGGAGTCTTCTTTGGAGTCTTCTTGGGAGTCGCCTTGGTAGTCTTCTTTGGAGTCTTCTTTGGAGTCTTCTTTGGAGTCGCCTTGGGAGTCACCATGGGAGTCACCATGGGAGTCTTTTTTGGAGTCGTCTTGGGAGTCGCCTTGGGAGTCACCATGGGAGTCTTCTTTGGAGTCGTCTTTGTCGGCAGAGTTGTCGGTGGTGTCGTCCTCGACACCGACGTAGGCGGAGCCGGTGGCAGCAGTGGCCTGCGCCTGCTTTTCCTCCTCCAACTGCTTCTGGACCTCCTTCTCAAGCTCCTCTTCCTGCTGCTGCTCAAGTCGGTTCTTCTCTGCGTTGGCCTCATTCATCTCCTCTTCGCCCTTTCGTGAGTCCAAAAAGCTGCAATCAGGTTTCTTAGCGTCGGGTGCCAAAAGATATGCATCCAACACCAGAAGGTCAACCCAGTCACCCCAGTGGAACGGTACGTCAACCAAAGACCGCGGATGGGCCTCCAACTGGCGGCGAAGATACCCCAAGTACGCAGAAATGGTGAACCGGGGGTCAAACGGCTGAACGTCTGGTACTAAGCCTGAGTAGTCAGCAGTATAATACTCAGGAATCGTCACCAGCAGATGGTCTGCAAGGTTGTAGTTTACGATCCAAAACTTGTCTTCCACGTCGACTTTCTGCTTGGTGTTGAAAATATTATCGACTTCGATGTCGAAATCTACCTTTTCTTGGACAGAAGTTTCACCAAATGCCTTGAACAACCGACCAAAGTAGGCAGTGGCAGCACCATTAGTTATGTCAATCGCAAGAAGATCGTAATCGGCCATCCGGAGGCTGGCGATGGTCAGGAGTGTAAGCATCGATACCATGAACACCATCAACAAAAGCCGGAGGTATTTCCTTCGAACTGATACAAAATTCATCTTGTGAGTTTATGTGTGTGTTTTATGGATGGATGGGGTTAGTTGTTGTTGGAGCCAGAATGGGTAGGCGGTGGCAGTGATAAAAATGGTCAAAAATGCTTAGTTGTCAAAAAAGTGGTAACGCTGTTCTCTAGAGATCTTATAAGCATGAAAGGGAGATTGCGTTTGGTTTTTGGCGCGACCAGAAAAATTTGTCGGGTATATACACGTCCATCGTTTCAGGGGATTTCAGGTACACTTGTCCATGTAGGTTAGCAAGGGCACTCAGGACACGTAGCGCAGCCGCTGAGTATTACATCATGTCGGAGTTTTTGTTTGCGAGCACCCAGAGGTGCTGTATAAGAAACAAGAAACAACCTGTAAGCGAAACTGTGTGCAGATCCTTTTCTCAAAGCATCTGAAAAGATCAATAGAAGAACCTTAGCTCGGGCTATATGCAGATACTAACTTCTTTTTTGCGAGCCATGCATTTAGGGTTTAGACGATGATGGGGGCTGTTAAGTGGATGGTACTAGTGGGAGTAATGCATCTAAATCCGAGACCCATGAACTTACCGAACTTCCGACCGATGCGTCCTTAAAGTTCTATTTCATATTTGACCCATACACCCAAATCAAAATCTCGCGGCTGCAAATCAAATCCACAAACATGTTCAAGCGTCTTCTCTCCGGAAGCTCCGGTGGCCTTGTCACCAACCCCCTCCCCACCAACTGCGTGCGTACTAGTTCCTCCTCCGAAGCGCTTTCTCCCTTTGGCGCCTCGTCTCTCCTTAAACGGTCCCAATCAATCATATTTCCCGAACTGAATCTCGATTGGGATGCCACAGACGTGAGTATTGATCCTTTTGAAAACCAGTCTCTCAAAAAAAGCTGCAGCTTGCTGGCCCTCTCCTCCCATTACAGAGGCTTTTGTACCTTGCAGAAACCCCTGAAGTCTGTTCATTTCAGCCCTTCCAACCCCGCATTTGATGAGTCCAACGAGACTTCTCTTACCCATGCGGACATCAACACCTTGAAAACCACCAGAGCACAAACCACCAGAGCACCACAAACCAACGTCCAAACCGACCCATCCCTTGCCAGCGACCCCGAGAACCTGGGGTGCTGGTTGGACACGGTTGCCGATAGAAACAACCATCTTAGAATAAACTCCCTCAAAGTCCCCAACACCCTCGTAGGAGACTTGTTAGAGGGTTTGGACTCTCCCGAGAGAGAGTCCCTGTGCCCAGTTGGTGAAGAAGAGACACAAGAAACTGACTATGATGACTCGGATGCTGGTCTGGCGTTGGGAATGATGAGCATTGATCTGTCCGAACAGGTGCAGATGAAGGAGGTAGTCGACACTTTGATGGACGAGTTGGAAATCCCAGAAAGAACCATGAAGGTCTCAGCCGTCATCAGCACCTTACAGACAGCGGCTTTCAAATTGAAGGAGTATAGGGAAAGTTCTGATCTTTTGAAGGAGGCCAAACGGGAGAACCACTCCAAGATCCAGACGTACAAGGAAAAGTTAGAGGCCTACGAAACAAAGGTTAGTGTCTACGAGAGACTTTTAGAAGAATCTCAAGCACGGGAAGAGGATTACGTACGTAAGTTGAATGGGCACAAACAGAAAGGTGAGACGATGGAGGTTATGTTAGAGGAAAGGCAGATCGAACTAGATGCCTTGGGCACTAAGATTAGTGAGCATGAGAGAATGGAAGCAGGGTGGGACAAGAAGAAGCAGGAGTATGAAACGCTGATGAAAGATTCCCAAACCAAGATTTATGACTATGAGAGGAAGGTTCACGAGTATCAAGATCAGATCCAAGACTATAAGACTAAAGCCCAGGAATCCCAAACCACTCTCGAAGAGTACCTCTTAAAGATTGCTGAATACCAGGCCAAATTGAAAGACCATGATGACAAAATTCAATTATTGGCAGACGCTACCCACCAAAACAGCTACTTGCAGCAAGAAAACACTGATTTGGGGGCCCAAAACATCACCTTGTCTGCTGAAAGAAACCATCTCCAAGAAGAGCTTCAGAAATTGGGGGTAATTAATGAAACCATGTCAAACAAAAACCACGATTTGGAAACCAAGCAGTTGTTGCAGTCAATCACCAAAGACATTTTCCAGCAGCAGATGAACGAGATTGAGAAATGTCTTGCTTCCAAATACCCTCAAACAGGTAAGATCACTCAGAGGATCGAAAAGCTTGTTGATGATAACGATAGGCTCATGAAGGATCTGATGGAGTTGATAACTACAAATGCTGCTTTAACAGACTCGATTGAGGGTCTCGAGGCTGAAATTGTTGATCTTCACTTTGAGCTAGATGTCTCAAGAGAAGCTCAGAATGACTTAGATTTGCTCTTTAACATGATCAAAACTTCTCAGAAGTTGGAAACTGAAACCACCTCCGACTTGCTTTCCAGATCGAATGAGATTGTGTCGTTACAATCCCAGCTCAAACAGAAAACCCAAGAATTGTCAAAAGTTGAACATGAATGCACCAAGCTCCAAAGGTCGAATATGGAAGCTATTGAAGAAAACATGGAATTGGAAAGAACTAAAAAGCAGATTCATATAATACATAAGGAATTGCACGACAAGACTGAAAACTTGTTGCAGGAGATTCGTGGTTTGGAAGAAAATATGGCTGCAAAAGAGAAAGAAGTTAAAGTTATTTCTGAGCTTTCCAACTCCTTGAAAGGACAGCTGGAGCAACAAGAGATCAAGATAAACTCGCTTTGCGTTCAGCTTGAATCTGAAACAAACAATGCCAAAGAATTAGAAGATAAGCTCAATGGGTATCTTCAAACCATTGACAGGATTAACCAGGAAAAAGTGGAAATTATTTCTAACAACAACTACTATATTGCAAAATACAATGAGTTACTGGAAGTTTTGAAAGAACAAAAGAGATATATCCAGCAAACTCAAACAGCCAACGAAAACTTAGATCAATCTTTCAACATGGCACAGCTTTCCAACAACATCATCATCAAGTTTTACAACGAATTGATCCAAAAGTGCCAGGATTCGTTGCGGTCCATGCTCTACCAGGACTCCATTGTGTACTTAGAATCGCTTCATTCATCCTTTGCCGAGAAGCAGTATTTCCACGAAAACCATATGCTGTTGTTGAGAGAAATCAACTCGTTTATTGCGGTTGCCATTTCCGATCTTGTGTCCAGTTATCTCAAAAACGAGTCTATTCTAGAGCACGAGTTGGTAAACAAACAGCGTAATTATGACCAGATGCTCCGGGATCTTAGCGAGAAAATGATCCAAAAGCTCACATACAAAGAGTGATGGTTATCCAAGCATAAATATGTTCATTGGTACAGAAAATAGGTCTAATTGCGGAAGCTGGTGGGCACGTAGTTCCCGTCACTCGTCAACGTAGTCAACACGCTCGGAAGTACCTCTACCTGGAAGGCTCTGAACGGGAAGTCTTCTCCATCTACCGAGAGATAGTGTTTCGAATTCTCCGGTAATTTGGGCACCAATCGATAGCTAGTCACCTTGTGATGAGAAACAAAGAGCTCATCGACGTGAGTTCCTTTCTCAATTGCCAACAATGCCCGCAATGCTTTAGGAAGCGACGTACGGGCGTCAGTGATGATCATGTCCATTGAACCATCATTAGGAAGAGCAGCAGGAAAAAACTGAGTGTTTGACGAAACCATAGGCATGTTTCCCACGTAGAAGATACTCAAGTTGTCGGTCAAACTCTGGTCCACCTGGATCCAATCAGATGGGGGGCTCTCGGTGAGCTTAGGCCCCTTTATGTCAAGGGTTTCTTTGGTGATAACATGCGTTTCTTTAGCCTGGCCAACGCATTGGTTGAAATACGACACCAACTCATCCTTGGTGGTGGTCAAGTACTTGACATACACTTCACAAGGATACACAGCCCTGCTCAACGTCCTCTGAACCACCCCTAAGTCGAACCGAATAGGACCCATCCATCGCAAGTGTTCAGTACCTATGTCGCTATCTGATATGGCACCATAGCACTGAGAGAGAAACGAAAGACTGGTTTGCTCGTGGCCATCATCGTCAAGTTGGGTGAGAGCCATGAGATCCATCTGCGTCTTCTCTGACTTCAACATCCGGAAGGTGGCCACGGCAGCCCGATTACTGCCATGAGTGCTCAACGTCAACGCATTTCCAGACCCACACGGTAATTGTGTCACCACCAACTTGTTGAAGGCAGCAGCACCTTTATCTGGCCGCTGGTAGAACCCGTTGATAACCTCGTGCGGGATCCCGTCGCCGGAGCAGCACGCAATGATGTCGTATTTGTCTATATCCAATTCTCGGGCCACGTCCATCGCGTGCTTGGAGTATAGTGTTTCTATCACCGTAATGTCTGCCTTGGCCGCCTCCAACACCGGCTGGATACGGTGCGTGTAGATACTCTTGGCCTTGCCCTGGCCACCGTGGGGATTGATGAGCACCAACACTGACGGCTTCACAATGCTTGTGCCGTACGCCCGTTGCAAAATGTGAGCACTGAGATCCTGTGACTGGGTGGGTGTATACGCAGTAGGCACGTCGTCAATGGTGGCAGTGAAGGTCATGGTGTCAATGTTGGTGCCGATAGGCGTGGCGTACGTGACGGCGTATGTGGTTTCATGGAGCTGTTCACACCATAATATGTCTTCGAAAAGAATGGTGCGGGAGGTAGGGCCACTGGCACCGCTGGGGAAACAGGCGTAAGACAGCGAATGTGCGGGGTTTAGAAGCGACTGGTCAATGATCACCAAGCCAGTGTTTTCAACACGGCACCGGGTGCCTGATTGTGGAAGAAGAAGTCTTTCTGAGGAAGAAGACATGGCTGGGGAGTATGTTTTCGCGCCTGGAAAATAGATTCGCAGCCCTTCGGCAATAAAACAAGGTTCAAGATAAAGTACAGATTTTAGGGAAAGTACAGATCTATGGAACTACAGATACCCAAACGCACACACACACGCACTTCATTTCTTCTCATATAGCCGGTAGAAAAACCGCATGTTCTCCAACTTCATCGGATAGTCCACCTCTTTCTCATCGATGCGGTACCAGCAGCTATCACTCTGATCCACCAAATCCCATGCCCCAGTGTCCTCGCCCTGTTTGCCCAATAAAACCGTGTCGATGATGAACTGAACGGGAAACTTTTTGGTTCCCACCGTTATATGCGAATATGACCCGGCACTTTCGGCTATTAACAAGTGTGCACCCTGTTTGCACAGCCGGTTTAAAGTCTGCAAAAACCTTATAGTTTCAGCCCGTTTTTCTGAAAAGAGCTCGTTGGTGGTGAACATCAACGTGATCAAATCCAAGTCACCGTAGGCGGAAAACCCGTTTCCGAGGATGTCTTTGTGAATGAACTGAGTGGTTAATTTCTCGGGTTTATACAACCAATTCTGCTGCATGTACTTGGTTACATTCGTCACAATAGCGCTCCAATCGGCGATATCGACGATTTTAACCACTAAGTTGGATGTCGACGTCGAGTTGTGCTCCTTCAAGCGACAGAAAACCGATGCCAACCCCACCAACTCACCGCCTGCTCCTCCTCCCACACAGAGCACTGAGGTGGTACTATCTGGATCTTCAAAAAGACCCTTCACCGGCTCCAAGCTCGAGAAAAGTGAGGCATATGCTAATGATCGGGCCGGCGTCCATCGCGCTGCGTACGCGAACCGCTTATTGTCGTCGTCAAATGCCTCAAGAAACTGTCTTTCGTACAACAGGCCCTTGACCACCTGGATGAATTCTGGAAGATCAGGCGAGTCAAGTATGCGCTGGAAACTCTGTGAAAACAAGTCGACTATGGCGAGGGCCCCTAAACTGTGCTCGCCTTCAAATGGGATCGAATCGTTCTCGGACGACCGCCCACTGCGTTTACTTCTGCTGCTCATCGCTGTTGAAGATGAGCATCGCACCCTCCACTAGGATTCGCACCGTCGGAGGAGGGCGTGCACCCATCCAATTCTCTCATATAAAGCCCGCGCGATGCCCACCGCACTTTTTTTCCACAGCATCTGCCTGTGTCACGGAAGAACCTCAGGAAATTGACAGCTAAACTTCTTCGGGAGTTGCTGCCAACGACCTGTAGGCGTTTTCTGTGGCAGATCGGTGCTCGTGAAGCAAGGTTCATCATTTGGGGCGCCTGTGGAGGAATTTAGGCTCATCGTGACGGCTGTGGTTTCAACCGGTCCTTTCTCAACGAGAAGGTTTGAGCGGACGAATGCCACGGTTGGTGAACACCAAAGTCCTCGTGACACAGGTCCTCTCTAACGTTGTGGGTTTCCTCAATTTGGACCAGAGTAGCTCCACTGACAGGCAGTATAATAATGGATCGATCTTGAGCTCTCGCCTGGCGGTTGAGCTCGGTCACCATATTCAGTGCAACATATTCCTGTACTCTGCGGACGGCCATTTGGCTAATGCGACGCTTTGAGTAAAACCATGTTGCATACACTCGTTTCTCTGTTTGTTTTACCTCTTTTTTCCCCTGTAAATGGCGTGTTTTCCTCTGTTGTCTTGTGAGGTTTTCTCTAATCCTGAATGCGCGATTTGGCATATTACAGCAACCCTCTGGCATATCACAGTTTGTATGCCCTGGAATCCTCTGGTCACTATGCAACATCCCAATGAGACATACAACCGGAACCGTTCTACATCTTCACTTTCCCAGTCCGTTACCCACGAAAGGCCCGCTTATGGGTCTCGTTTAGGTATATCCCAATTGCCGTCGTTACCAACAGACAACTGGTCACAACCCACACAACTCTCGTCTGACGACGAAGCTGATGCCACCGGCGGGTCCCTCGCCACCAATGCGACCCATGACGATACGTCGTCGTCATTTATCGAGTTTGATTTGGGAAAACGGTTTCCTAAAGATCATGGCATCAGAGCCTCTCTTCGAAATCCCGGAGTAACGCCCCAATTGCCCATAAATGAAAGGCTGGAGACCGAACGACTAGGCAGTAAAGACGCTAAAGACGCTGACTTCGACTTTTTTGCGGACGATATGGCAACGTGGAAGACCATGAAAACAGTCACAGAACAAGACTACTATGACGAGAAGGGAAACTTGGAATTCTCATCTGGCAGAGACCACGATCGATTTGACCCCAAAAACGTCAATGGTGGCTACACACGTATTGACACGGCAGAGCAAGTGGCTAAGTATGCCGAAATGGATAAGAAAACCGACTTTTTGTTTGTTACAAAAGACACAGACAAGCAGGAGGTGGCCAAGTACCGGCACGAGGATAACAACGAAGATTCCGATGATGATATTCTCTATGACGAGGTCGAAACAATGGAGACGGCCGATGCGTTGCAGTCCACCCGAGAAATGCTCAACGAGGGACAGAAGTTCTCATATGTGGGTATAGTCAAACTCATAATGGTGGATATGGCAGCTGAATTAGCAGGTATCAAGCAGTCCACCACATCCAAAGTTGCCCGTCAGTTGAGTGCCAGCCAGAAGAACTTTGCCAACTGGTCCATGTATATCTCTGGAAAGGTGTACTCCCATTTGAATGTTAATGAGGACGAGCAGAAGATGATTGAGAATTTAAGCATCCATGGAGTCAATGTACTGGACTTGACGTCCAGTTTGGTCAAAGAAGACGATAGGAAGCCGGGACCGTTGAGCCTTGACTGGGTGCTCGTGTGTGACTTGTTTCTACTTCTTTTGAGTGATGGGTACTATGATAGTCGCAGTCGAGCGTTGCTCATGCGGTTTGCCAATGAATTGGCAATTGAAAAAATAGAAGTGTTCCAGTTTGAGCGTAGGCTTCTAAATAGCTTGGAGCTCGAGACAAAGGACAAATCATTGGAAGACAAAGAAGATAAGCTCAATGACAAACAAATCATCCAGAAGTATATAAAGCGGAACAAGGGCAGAAGAATGGCATATATTGGACTAGCTACCGTTGGAGGTACTTTGGCCATTGGCCTTTCTGCCGGGCTCCTCGCTCCGGTTATAGGTGCTGGTTTGGCTGCCGGGTTGACCACCGTAGGAATCGGGGGTACCAGTGGGTTCCTTGCTGGTGTGGGAGGTACCACCATCATTACCACGGGAGGAGTTATGCTTGGTGCGAAAGTTGGTTCCAAAGCTGGTATGAGACGTGCAGGAGATGTGGAAACGTTTGAATTGAAGCCTTTACACAATAACAAGCGATCTAACCTCATCATCACCGTCAGTGGGTGGATGACTGGTAAATCCGATGACGTACGGTTACCATTCTCCACTGTCGACCCTGTAATGGGAGATTTGTTTTCGGTGCTTTGGGAACCAGAGATGTTGAAATCCATGGGTCAAACCATTCTGATTTTGGCCTCTGAAGCGTTGACAAGCTCCATCCAGCAGATCCTAGGGGCCACGATTTTGACGTCGTTGATGGCAGCCATTCAAATTCCCGTGGCTTTATCCAAACTTTCTTATCTTGTTGATAACCCATGGAACGTTTCGTTGGACAGGGCCTGGAAGGCAGGCAAGATCTTGGCCGATACTTTAGTGTCGGGGAATCTTGGCGTACGGCCCATGACACTCGTAGGATTCTCGTTGGGGTCTCGGGTGATTTACTCGTGCTTGGTGGAATTGGCACAAAAAGGGTGTTTTGGGTTGGTGGAAAACGTCATAATCTTAGGGACCCCTATCACTATCAATAAAGACCAGCTTGGACTCGCCAGATCTGTCGTGAGCGGGAAATTCATCAATGGCTACTCGCGCAAAGACTGGGTTCTTGGGTACTTATTCAGAGCAACTGGAGGAGGATTGGCGTCGGTGGCAGGAATTGCACCCATCAACGACTCGTACGGAATAGAGAACATCGATGTGACCGAGTTTGTGGAGGGTCATATGGCGTACAGAAAGGCCATTCCCAAGATTCTACAGGAGCTTCAATGGGAAGTTCTTGACGAGGAGTTTGCCGAAATCGAAGAACCAGATAATGAGGAAGGAGAACGTCAACGGCAGTTGATTCACGAGTTCGACGAGGCCCGGGCCAAGATGAAGAAGGAGATCGAGGATGAGCAAAAGGAACAAACGGAGAAGAAGGGATGGAAGAAGTTTTTTTCAAGACGTCAAAACAACTGGTGGAGTGATATTGGTGAATCTTCAGATACCACTGGAGAAGAGTATATTGAGCAAGAAAACCCTACACCCATTTTTGATGTGGGCTCACTCTTGAAGGAGGCAAAGGAAATCGAACATCTTTCCATTCCTGATAAACTGCAACTCCCTCAGGAAGTTCCTATCACCAAGCCAGTGCTGGAGCTGAAGTTGGAGCTGAAGCCGGAGCAGAAGCCGGTACTCACCAGTATCTCTGAAACTGTAGCCCAAAAGTCCACGCAGCTCAAGCATAAAGCCTCCGACATGTTGCTGAAACCACTGGAATCTTCTTTGGACAAAGCATAATTCTACCACAAATATACATTTGCATTTAACGATAATAAAGTGAATGTTTTCACGTACCTCATTTATATGACTTTTGCGATTTCTGTAATTTTTTGTGTCTGATACATAACATCAGACACAAAAGCATCGCCCAGGAATATGAAGTCAAAAGTACACATCGTTCAATATTGCAGAGGCTGGGACAGCTCTATTCTCTAGTATATGCTGCGAGTTGCAGCCATGCCCAGATGTACCATGGCACGCGTAACTCTCCACCCACAACCCGCGAAAATTTTCCTCAAAGTTTCAAGACTCACAATCCAACGCCCCAGCCATGCCTACTATTTCAGTGGATAAACAGGACTTATATGAGTACTTAGGTAGGTCATACACCACCCAGGAGTTTGATGAGTTGTGCTTCGACTTCGGGATCGAGTTGGACGAAGACACCACCGAGGACTGCACCGCGGGCGAGAGACCCCAGTTGAAGATTGAGGTGCCCGCCAACAGATATGATATGTTATGTTTCGAAGGGATTGCCCAGGCCTTGAACGTCTTCTTGGGCAGACAACTCCCTCCTACCTACAAGTTGAGCAAGCCAACCACCAAATTAACCATCCACAAGTCGGTGGAAGAAGTTCGTCCTTATGCGGCAGCGGCCATCTTGAGAAATATTAAGTTCGACCAGAGAACTTATGACTCGTTCATAGCGTTGCAGGACAAGTTGCACACGAACTTGTGTCGTAACAGAACGTTGGTGGCCATCGGAACTCATGATTTGGACACCATCCAAGGCCCTTTCACCTATGAAGCATTGAAACCTCAAGACGTCAAATTTGCTCCTTTGAATCAGACCCAGGTTATGGATGGACCTGGCCTCATGGAATTCTACGAAAAGGACAAGCACTTATCCAAGTATTTACACATCATCAGAGAGTCCCCTGTCTATCCCGTGGTGTTGGATTCCAACCGGACTGTTTGCTCGATGCCTCCCATCATCAACTCCAACCACTCCAAGATCACCAAGGACACCACCAATGTGTTCATTGATGTGACAGGTACTGACCGCACCAAAACCGAGATCGTGGTACAGATCATGGTGGCGATGTTCTCTGCCCACTGTGCTGAGAAGTTTGAAATCGAGCCGGTGGAAATCATTTCCGAACACAATGGCCAACTGCGGTTATGCCCCAGTGTGACTCCAAGAAAAGCCCATGCCGAAATCTCCTATATCAACTCGTGTTTGGCCTTGGATTTGCTGGGAGCCGACATCGCCAAGTTATTGAAGAAAATGGAGTTGGAGGCCGAGGTATCGACTTCAGACTCCAAATTGTTGGAGGTTTCCATCCCCATCACCAGATCCGACATCTTGCACCAGTGCGACATCATGGAAGATGCAGCCATTGGGTTTGGATTCAACAATATCAAAAAAACCAAACCCAAGAGTGAGAGTTTGGTGGCTTCTGCCTTGCCTGTCAACAAAATAGCCGATATCTGTAGAGTTGCATCGGCTCAAGCAGGATACTCCGAAATCATGGCGTTGACGTTGTGTTCGCACGACGAAAACTTCAAGTTCTTAAGAGTTAAGGATGACGAAACAAAAGCCGTCAAGTTGGAGAACCCCAAGACCTTTGAGTACCAGGTTGTCAGAACTACCTTGTTACCTGGGTTATTGAAGACCATCAAGGAAAACAGAAAACACTCATTACCCATCAAGGTTTTCGAGTGTGGTGACATTGTGTTGAAGAACGATGCTACCGAGAGAAGAGCCATCAACCAGCGGAACTGGGCCGCCATCATCGCTGGTAAGACGTCTGGCTTTGAGTACGTCCAGGGATTGTTGGGTAAGTTGATGCAGACTTTAAGAGCCAACTGGATTGAGTTTCCAAAGGAGAATACCGGTAGAGGCTACTGGATAGAAGAGGACAGTGAAAACCCTACCTTTTTCCCCGGAAGAGGTGCCAAAATCTACTTCAGAGCTGGTCCTGACGCCAAGGAGCAGGTGATTGGTTCTCTTGGGGTGTTGCACCCGGAAGTGATGAAATCGTTTGAAATCCCATATGCGGCCTCGAGTGTGGAAATCAATGTTGAGGCGTTCTTGTAGACGTAATATGCCTGTATAGCTAATAGATCATGCGACCGTAACAACTGCTATATTCTGATACCCCAACCAGCTAGTTGGTGCCATTCCTGTTCTGCTCACTAGCCGACGCGAAACCGCGAAACCGTGAGGTGCTCGAAAATTCAAAACGAAGCACCACCTTGCACTGCTCAGACTCGGATACTTTTCAACCATCAGTTCCGATACATCCTTGACTACCCATAAAGGACTATAAACCCAACATCCATTCAAGTTCCGAATTTCTAAGGCTTCATTGGTTTTGAAATTATTGTCGTAAAAGTCGTGACCCCCAGAATAGCAAAAAGGAGATAATTACCATGAGTGGAAGAGCCCCATCTAGATCATATGATATGATCATGAAGTTGTTATTGGTAGGTGACTCCGGTGTCGGAAAGTCATGTTTGTTGTTGAGATTCGTCGAAGACAAGTTCAATCCGTCGTTTATCACCACCATTGGAATCGATTTCAAAATCAGGACTATTGAGAGCAAAGGTAAGAAAATCAAGTTACAAGTGTGGGACACCGCGGGCCAAGAGCGGTTCAGAACCATCACCACCGCGTACTACCGTGGTGCCATGGGGATCGTGTTGATTTATGATGTGACCGATGCCAGAAGTTTCGAAAATGTTGATAACTGGTATCAGACGGTTACCCAGCATGCCAATGAAGATGCACAAATTTTCCTCGTGGGTAACAAATGTGACGATAGCGAAGGCAGACAGGTGTCTACCGAACAAGGACAGGAGTTGGCAGCGAGGTTGAACATTCCATTTTTAGAAGCCAGTGCTAAGTCCAACATCAATGTCGATTCGATATTTTATGAGTTGGCAAGTATTATTCAAGACAAGAATGTTGATGCAGAACCAGAGAAAAAGAGCACGGGAATTGATGTTTCGAAGGGAGCGTTGTCCAAGAACTCTTGTTGTTAAGAGATTGGAGATTGTATTTGAATATATAGTTGTATGAGTAGAAATGTAATCGATCTAAAGCTGAGGATTTGTGTGAGAGAAGTTGTATATCGTAAGTCTAGTTACGGTTTCTCACGTTGCTACTGTTCAGTTGGTAATCTTAATGTACCTCTGTGATGCTTTTACTTATGTACTATTTGTTTATTGTTATTTATTCTACTTGCTATTGCCATGCACCCCTAAATCTTCTTGCCAAAGTACACCCACTGGTCGTCCAAAGGCTTTTCTTCCAACTCTTCCCAGCACTTTAATTCAGCTAGTTCATGAGCCAAACCCAACTCTTCATGGGCTTGGATGATGATTTCTTCGATCAAACCACCACCGATTTTGTTTTCAATCACTTCGGAAACCTCGTTTTCTTCCACAACCTTCAACCTGTTTCTGGTCAAAGCTTCAACCGATTGTCTGTAAATAGAGTGTTTTGGGAATTTAGTGTCGAGCAACGACAAAGTATGGTTATAAAGGGAAATCAATGCCGGTCTGGGATTAGGGTGCTGGTAAAGACCAGTGATACCGGTGGGGTTACCGGAAGCGGCCTTGATTAACACCTCTTCAGCTTGTTTCAACACTCTGGTGAATCTCATCGTTGATGCCAAATATCGAGAATTTGGTTGGTTGAAAATTTCGCGCAGTTGTGATATTGATAGATGTAGACTAGAGACGATAGGGCAAATAGCCTAGATATAACAAATAGACTAAAGATACGAGGATCACAAATGTGTCAGGAGCAGTAACATATGATCAACACAGGTTTTAACAATAACCAACACAGGCAATAGCACGTGCACAATAAAAAGGCGTCCCCCGTAATAACAGATACAACAGATATGGGACAAACACATTGGAAAGACAGACTCAAGAGGAAACTAGAATAGTGAAAATATGTCAACAAGCAAACAATAGCGGCAGCCTGTTCACTGGGCACACTTCTCTTCCCATATCATCAAAAGTCACCACCTCCAAAGTCACCACCGCCAAAGTCACCACCATCTTGCCCATCGTTGTACCCTTCGGCGTACGACTGGTTCTGCGAGTCACTGATCATGTCTCCAATTAACATACCTCCGAGTAAACCTCCTCCCATACCTAGAGCCATTCCACCCATTCCACCCATTCCACCCATACGACTGGACCGGCCTTGTTGAACTGGTTGTTGGTAGTACCCTTGTTGAGGAGGGTATCCTCCGTATCCTTGTTGAGCCCCATAACCTTGTTGAGCCCCATATGCCTGTTGAGCCCCATAACCTTGTTGAGCCCCATAACCTTGTTGAGGGTATCCTCCGTAACCTTGTTGAGCATAACCTCCGTTTCCTTGTTGAGCGTAGCCGGACTGGTCTCTGGTGGGAGCAGAACCGGTGCCTTGTACTTTGGAAGCATTGGGGCTGTATGAAGGAGGAGGTACATCTGTTGCTTCAGATGGAAATGTTGTTCCACTGGGAGCCTCCCATTGCGATTTCTTGGTATTTAAGTCCACGTAGAACCAGGTTTTGTATTTATCATCAAACTTTGCGAGCCAACCATCAGGAACTTGTGGTTGATTTGGCGGTTGTTTCGACATGATTATTTGATGTTGAATTGAGTTAGCAGTGGCAAACAACAGAGATATATGTGTGATTGATAAGCCTCGATGCCACGAAAATATGATCAAATAGGAGTGCGACAGACAGGCCAGGACACGACTTCTATCTTATTCTTTCCACACTATTGGGCATATTCTTATCTCTATGACCTGTATATTTACTAGTGTACATTGGTATGGGCTGTAGTTTCTTGCCTATTGACGGCAATCAATTAGTGCCGAACTGCAATCAACCAGTGCCAAACTATAATCAACTAGTGCCGAACTGTAATCAACTATTGCCGAGCCGTAATTAAATTGCAAATAACTGCAATCAACCGCAACCAAATGCGATTAACTCCTACAACCAAGCATACCTAACAATTTTTTACTGGTTTAGCTCAGGAAATAACTCATCCACAATCTCGTCAAATAGCTCAAACACAAGGTGTCGAACAAGAAAGTCGTTTTGAAGGCAATTGAACACCACCGAAAATGCGTACTTAGTGTTACCCACTCCAAAAATGGTACTAAACGTCTCAGACATAAACACACTGAGTAGGAACCTCGATTCTTCTTGGGTAGTGTACCGTTCTACAGCAGACCTGATGACGGGTGGGTCCCTGAACTTACCGTTGGGAAAAACAATGTTTTTAAGAAGAATAAGTACATCGAGTATGCTCTCTTCCTGTTGGATTTGGGCTATTTGTTCATATATCTTCTTCTCAATGGTGGTTCCAAACACCTGCTGAAGGATCACAAGAAGTGCCCGTCCCCGAAGCCAGCTTTTGGCGTTTTTAAGCTTGAATACCGTCATAAGAATGTTGATGAGCGGTTTGATAAACACTTCCCTCTCGTCAAACGACTTCAATTCTCTCTCCATATCCCTAAGATTCAGCATGTTCTCTTCAATATTTTCCGAAGCCTTAGGTTTTTTGTTGGTTCCCACGAACCGATTCGAAATACCCTGATATAGAGCTTCAACCGTGTTTTTCTTGGGTTTTGTGGTCTCTTCGAAAGATTGGTTTTTGCGGACATTGAAGTTCTCTGACGATAAAAACGACCGAAATACCCGGTTACTACAGACCTCAGGAATCTCCAAGAGTTCTTTTAGGTATTCTTCAAGAGCAGCTCTTCGAAGTTCAACAATCTGTTTCTGCTGGAGCTTGAACACAGTTCGCTTTGGGAACTTCAAATTGTTGACTTGAGGATATCGGCTGCGAAGGTATTCATGGAGCTTGAAAAACTGACTGAAACGACGGGCAATGATCCAGCCAGCGGTATTTGTGTTTGGATCGCTATTTGAAAACCTCTGTAGTTCAATAATGTAAAGGATAAAATCATTTCCATTTTCATTTCCACTGATATATGACAGGATCTTAACCCGAGACTTGCCGTACAAACTGTTATCGTTTTCTTGGACGATATACTGTTGTTTTTGCAACTCCTTTGAGCTTATCTCTCGTTCCAAACTGGCCTTGGAGTTCTTCAAAATCTTGATTTCACTGATATTGTTGGTAAGCTCGGCCTTTTTGATTAACGGGTCAAGAATCGTCAATTGTTCATTAAGTACCAGAATGTCATTTGTTAGCTTATCAATTTCTTCAGCCAATTTCAAGTCTCCAGGAGCTGCCAACAACAACGATTGCTGGTCATCTCCAAGGGCATCTGCATCAAGTTCCATTGAACTTTGGAGGTTGGTATTACTGTCAGAATCAAAGTTAAGCGAGTCACTGTCGGTTCCTGATTCGTCACTCAAATCGTCGAAAAGCTTGGAGTACTTTTGTGCATTGTGGTTAAGGGTATCTTGAAATAGACTGGAGGATTCACCGAAAAGACCCCTTTTCAATTCAGAGGCCTGAGCCTGCCGTTCAGATTCATACGCTGCATCCAAATCCGTATTATTCTTCATGATCCGTGTAAAGGCATCTTCTACAGCCTTGATGACTGTGGGGCTGACAACGTTGCTGTCGTTCACACTGTGTGAGACTGATTGAACCAAGTCTCTGTACCTATCTGTAGTGGTGAAGTCTTTAAAATCATATTCTAGTTTAGTATAAGTCAGCTCTTGCAAGCGAAACAATCTGTCTCTAGCATCCTGGTACAACTTGCTCTTGTTTATCAAGTCTTGGGAGTTAATATACTCTTCTATGACCAGTAAGTCATCATTTGAGGCACCGATTTGGTGAAGATACTTCTGGTGGATCTCCCTGATTTCATTAGAATTCGAAAACCCCAATGAAAGCGAAAGCTTATCATCAGTAAGTTCTAGTGGAGCTTTGATTCTCTCCACCGCTAACCAAAACTGGAGGAGAACACCTCTCGAATTCTCGTCAAGATACTTGGAAAACTCATCGAGGTAGACGGTATTATGTAAAACTTTCAAGAGACCTAACCCTGAGGTTCTCTCAAGTTCTTTGATCTTAGTCTCCACCAACAGCTGAACTTCTCGCAACCGGCTTATAAGTTTCAGATCGCTTGGCAGTGGTAATTGGAGGAGCTGAAAAGAAACATACATCCGCAACTGCTTGGCTTCATCCAAAGACGAGAGGCGTCCTATTTTCTCCAAGCAGTTATTATAGGCCACCATATCCATGTTCTCAGTAACAATATAGTCTTTGTTGATCTTTGTGGTTTCATCGTCATGTTTTTGCTGCGTGTGTTCGTCCAAAGCTGCCCGCAACTTCTTGACTTGGTCTCTCCTTTTCAAGTTATCACCAATGAGCTTTACTATCAACAAGTTGTAGAAGTCTCCCTCACCAAGCATCTGAAACACATTGGCCAACACCGTGCACGCAAGGATTTCTCTGACCAAGGAGAGGCCGATATCGTTGTTTTTCTCTCGCTCAGAAAGCACGTATGGCAAGAAAGACCCAACTTTGGCCCGCAAGTAATCCTTTTCATTGATGTTACTGGCACCGGTTTTGGAGACGGTCACGGCAGGATGGATCTTACCTCTTCTATAGTGGCGAGCCACATCGATGTCGTGATCTATCGAGTCACCACTTCGTTTGTGCGAGTTGATCTTGCCTTGAACTCTTTCCTCCGCTCGTATATAGTCCAGTAGATGGTCATTTACTATGGGAACAAGCTTAGATACTAGCAATTTGGCAAGGTCAATGTCAACGATTCGATTCTTCAATTGGCCAAACACCTGGTTCAACTCCACGCGAATGCTATCCTGGAACAATGAGTCCGACGTTATTCGGGTGTACCAGCCGTCTATGAACTCTTGTATAATCAAGGATATGAAGTCTTCGAGGGTTTCAGATATGAGAAACGCTTCCTCCACAATCGGCTTGTTCACTTCTGCTGGGTCCACCGACAACTTTACCTGTTCATCTTGCCACAAATCGATGTTTAGAAGCTTGAACCGGCGGGTAGCACGCTTGTGGGGAATTCTGGGGGGACTGAACACAAAGATATGATAAAGGATCACTCCTACCATTACAGCCATTCCGCTGAAAAAGAGGTACATATATAGCAACAACCGCTTAAGTACAACGATGTACAAAATATACATACCCACAGCGTACAGCGCTATGCGTACGGGTTTGTGTTCCAAAATTTGGTATATGAATGCTGGTAGCATGAGTTGTAACAAATCGCGATTGTTTCGCAGCTACAGAATTTATTTAACAACTAGTTAAGATGAATATAGAAACACACCATTCTCCCACCACAGGGCCTCACCTGCTCATAACTTCCACTTGGGGTTGAGCTGGAGTGTGAGACATGTCAAGTCCAACCACCGGCCAAACTTGACGCCCACTTCCTTGAATGTCCCACTTTCCTCAAACCCAAGCTTCTGGTGAAGTTTGATTGAAGCAACATTGCCTGACTCTATACAGCCGACCATCATGTGCTTGCCCTGGGCTCGTGCAAGTTGAATGAGTTCCACCAACATGGCCTTACCAGCTCCGTTTCCTCTGGAGTTTCTGTCCACATACACCGAGTGCTCCACAGTATGGACGTATCCGTCGTACGGGCGCCAGTAGCCATAAGTGGCAAACCCAACGACCTTGTCATTGTCGGTGGCCACGATAACAGGGAATTGTGTTTGGTGTTTGTCCTCAAGCCACAGAACACGCTCTTCAGAGGTGACGGTTCCTGACTTCCAAATGGCCACTGTATTGACCAAGGCATCGTTGTATATGCTAGCGAGGGCCACGGCGTCGCTGGGCCGTGCGGGCCTAAGTTCCACCATTTTTGCCAGGGTTAAGATTAATTGAGATGTGAGATGGGCTTGTCCGAGAGATGGCCTTATCCGCGCTCGCAGGGAAGAGAAAAGTGTGGAGATCTTTTAAGAATTATCATTACTAGTGTATTACAGATGAGACGTATATGATATGCAGAATGTGTGAAATCGAGATTATTTTCGATTGGGGGTGGTCTTGGACTTTTTTGAGGGTTTGGTTTCCTCAGGAAGCCTTCGTTTGGAGGACTTTGTGTGTTCGCTTGTCTGGTCTTTCTTTGGGTTCACCTTTTTGTCTTTGTCGGACTTTCTTCTCTTTTCGTTATCTTTCTTGACTTTCTTTTCGGTCTTTTCGGTCTTCTCGGTCTTGTCTTTCTTGACTTTCTTTCCCTTCTTTCCCTTCTTTTCCTTCTTCTCGGTCTTGTGTTTCTTTTCCTTCTTTTCTATCTTTTTCTTTTCCTTCTTTTCTATCTTATTCTTTTCCCTTTTCTGCTTCTTCTCTTCCTCCTCCACCTCCTCAAAAGTAGCCACCAACTTCGAATGCACCTGTTTCTCAAAAACCTCCTCCGCATTCAACTTACTCTCCACCTCCTCAAAATCAGTCTTCCCAACCGTTCCCTCCAAGCCTTCGCCCTGGATAAACATTCGGTACAACGGAGAGTTCTTCTTTCGAATGGTTGCCGCCACTTTGTTCTCATCAATACTAAAGTTTACACTGGCACTGTCTCTGCTCACCTCCAAGTTCTTGAGATGCCCATCGAATAGACTTTCCCACCAGGTCTCCCCATCCTTGTCTTTTCCGTGGCCCAAACCCTTGTTATCTTTTTTATGCTCCACTAAAAGAGGGCGCTTGAGGCCTCCTTGCTGGAGTGCCTCTCCTTCCTTCCATCCAAATGACTTCAAGTACGACTTCGTATCCATTTGTGCAGATCCAATTTTTCGAAACCGCGCGGGATGAGGTCAAACAGAACTCACTGGCAACAATAGATGGACATCGAGGAATTACAACAAAGAGTCCAGGAGCAGCCGTTTGAGTTGAGCCAACACGACACCTTGATAAGTGCTCTCCGCCTCCACAAGACTACGAAAGTGTTGGACTTGTACCAGGCACGAGTCAATAAGCTCGAGTACTTCACCCTCCGCCATGATGAGATTAATGAGATTCTTGAAGATTTAATGGCAATTGATGATAAAAATACCCGGATCGAGCTCGTCGACGGGTTCTATAACCTCCTTATACGTGAGTACCCCACCAGTTCCTACTGGCTTCGATATTTGGATTTCGCTTCCCAGGTCAAATCTCATCTGGAGCTTCATGAGATGTACACTCGGGCATTGAACGACACCGTACACGATTTTGAAAACAGCCACTTGATATGGAACAAAGTACTAGAGTTCTTTACAGAGATCCCCGAGGGGTCTACACCCGGCTCTGACCAGATTCAAATGTGGTGGAAACTACACATTAAGCGTCTCAGCTATCCACACAACAAGCTAGAACAGTCATTTAGCGACACTTCGGAATTTGTATCCGTGTATTTTCCGGATAAGTACGACGAGTTTATGACCATGGCTCTGGAGGTCCATGGTACGACACAGCGGCTGCAAATTTACTACGAAAAGCACGAAGTGCACCTTACGCTGAAACACAAAGATCCCGATTTCTGGGCCCGGTACCTCGCTGACGTCGGGAAATACTCCACGGACTTGCGACAGGTTTCGACCCTATTCTACCGGTCGCTCATGCTGGCTGTCAGCGATTGGGTGCCCGTATGGACCGCATATATCTTCTTGTTGTATTCTAAGGATGATAACACCAAGTTCTTGATGGACATCCTCCCCAAGTTCGTGTGTTCTTTCCCTGGAGCATTTCATCCGTACGTGGAGTACATCAGGAACATGGAGCTCTTTGACGAGCCGGAATTATATGACAGGATACGAGACAGAATCGAGTATATGAAGTTGTTAAACCCGACCAGTCAGGGCTGGCAGCTTATTGCCACCACGATTCTTTCCTTTGAGAACCGAGTTGAATCGCCCCGCTTGTTGGGAGATGTGAAGCGGTTCTTTACGGGTGCTGTTGCAGACAATAGCGTTGTTTCTGCCGAAGACAATGCGCATCTGGTGGAGAAGATATGCATTTCGATTTATGAGTCCAGGGGACTTCTTGAAGAGGCCAAACACTTGGTGCTGAAGCTCACATTGGTGTTCGGAGGTGAAAGTGCCGTCTGGATATATGCATTGAGGTTTTTTGAACGTAACCACTTTAAGTATGAGGATGTAAGCAGATTTTTGCACACTGCAATAGCAGCGGCGGTGGAGATGGACTCACCTGTGCAACTCATAAACGAAGCTCTTTTGTATGAACAAGTGTATGGCACACGCATATCGTTGCAGAAAGCTGTGGTGAGAGCCAATATCGTCTACAGAACAATCAATGAGAAGAAGGCAGAAAGTGAGGACGAAGATACGCAGTGGAACCAGTCAGCTGTCGCAGAATTTGTCAGTACTCCAGGTGTCACTACGCGCAAAAGGCCGCTAGACACCCACGAACCCATACCAAAGAAGGTGAAAATAGATAAGCCCACCAGAAACAGAGAAGAGCTTTCCGTCAAGGTGACAGGACTACCAGCAAATGTCCCTGAATGTACGGTCGAACAGTTCTTTCAAGACTGTGGAGTGGTGAGAAATGTGGTTGTGTTCCACAGTGGAGAAGGGTGCGAAGCGGTGGTGGAGTTCGAAGACAACCAGGCAATTTTTGCAGCATTAACCAAGTCGCACAAGAAGCTTGAGAACCAAGAAGTTCTTGTAAAGCGTATGTCCCACTGCATTTTGTGGGTGTGTAACTTCCCTCCTTCCATGGACAAAACCAAGCTCATCAAGGTGTTTGAACCGTACGGGACTGTCATAGACGTACGGTTGCCATTTCAGAACAGTCAGCACCGCCAACGCCGGTTCGCGTACATTGAGTACGCGGAAGGAGAACAAGCCCGTGCAGCGGTTTCGCAATTGAATGGTAAAATGCTCCACGACGACCTCAATGACAGCACCTATAAGCTTGTGGCCAAGTTCTCCGACAACAGTGCTGAGCGTGGACCGCCAGTATTCAAGAGACAAATATACGTAGGAAACATTCCATATGATACTACTACTGCCCAGGTGCGAGAGTTTTTCCAGGTATATGGCCGAGTCGAAAACGTCACATTACCCATTTCCACCCAAACAAAAGAACGGGGGCATATGAATAGCGGGTACGGGTTCGTTTTATTCCAATCTGAAACTTCTATTGCCCAAGCCCTCACAGCAGATGGTAGTCTGTTTCGCGACCGAATCATCAAAGTATCTGCCTCCAAACCCTCCCAAGTGGATATCGTGAACGAGTTAAGACCTTTCAACCACCAGCTGTCGTTGGCCTTATACCAGGTGCCCAAAACAGCCACCAGAGAGCAATTGCTGTTATATTTCAAACAAACCACCGGGGTTAAACCTACACGCATAACAATATTTCCTGATAAAGAAGCAGCTGCGGTGCAATTTGCATCCACTAGCGAGTCTGGAAAGGCCGGGCTTGCGATACAAAGCCATCAATTCAACAGCACATTTTTGAAGGCCGATAGCCTTGATACCTTGACCTCCCTGGTACCACGTGAGGCCCCTGTGCCCTCTCCCGGGCCCAAGCGTAATTACTTTATACCAGCATCGGTACAACGCAGGTAGCCTATATACTTGAGTCACATGGTGAATACACGACCGGCCTCCTCCTCCCAATGTTTGCAGCTAAAAATTTTCATTCCTTTCGCACAATCTCAAATTTTTCACTAATACTAACCATATGAGTGCTCCTATCAAATTAGAGAATACCTCCCGTAGAGATACTCTTAGAGAAATCGAAAAGAAGTATCAGGCGGTATGGGCCAAAGAGAAGACCTTCGAGGTCGAGGCACCCCCAATCGAGGAGGTTCCAATTGAGGACACCGATGAAGTTAGAAGAATCCATCCCAAGTTCTTTGCCCTTATGGCATATCCTTACATGAACGGAGTTTTGCACGCCGGGCACAGTTTCACGCTTTCCAAGCTTGAGTTCGCCGCCGGGTTCGAGAGAATGAGAGGAAAACGGGTGTTGATGCCCATGGGTTTCCACTGTACTGGTATGCCAATCAAGGCCGCTGCCGATAAAATCAAGCGGGAAATCGAGGATTTCGGTGAGGACTTTTCAGGATGTCCACCAGAAGACGTCGAGGAAGAAGAAGTCAAGCCCGAGAAGGCCAAGAGCGAAGATGTGACGAAGTTTAAGGCCAAAAAGTCTAAGGCTGTTGCTAAACAAGGAAGAGGTAAGTACCAGTTTGAAATCATGTTGCAATTAGGTATCAGCAGAGAAGAGGTGGCCAAGTTTGCCGACCCTCACTACTGGTTGGAATACTTTCCTATTTTGACGCAGAGGGATGTCACCAACTTTGGAGGAAGAGTCGACTGGAGACGGTCGATGGTGACCACCGATGCCAACTTATACTACGATGCGTTTGTGAGATGGCATGTTCAGAGATTGAGAGACATGAACAAAATCAAGTTTGGAGAGAGATATACCATCTACTCGGAGAAGGATGGACAGGCTTGTTTGGACCACGATAGACAATCGGGAGAAGGTGTAAATCCTCAGGAGTACACCGGGATCAAGATTGAAGTCACTGAGTTTGCTGAGGCTGCGCAAAAGGTGTTTGCCGACAACAGCTTCGACACCAATGGCAAGACGGTGTATCTTGTGGCTGCTACCTTGAGGCCCGAAACCATGTACGGACAAACCTGTTGTTTTGTGTCACCCAAAATCGACTATGGTATCTTTGATGCTGGCAACAACCAGTACTTCATTTGTACCGAAAGGGCCTTCAAGAACATGTGCTACCAGAAAATCACTCCCAAGAGAGGCTACTACAAGTCCGTGGTGGAGATCAGTGGAAGTGCATTGATTGGTTCCAAAATCGATGCTCCTTTAGCGGAAAACAAAAACTTAAGAGTCTTACCCATGGACACGGTTTTGGCCGCCAAGGGTACTGGGGTGGTGACCTGTGTTCCTTCCGACTCGCCAGACGATTACATCACCACCAAGGACTTGTTGAACAAATCCGAGTTCTATAACATCGATAAGGAATGGGTTTGTGACAACATTGTTCCGGTTATCAAGACTGAGAAGTACGGTGACAAGTGTGCCGAGTACTTGGTTAAGGAGTTGAAGATCCAGTCGCCCAAAGACTCTGTCCAATTGGCCAAGGCCAAGGAGATGGCGTACAAGGAAGGTTACTACAACGGTACGATGGTTATCGGAAAGTATATTGGCGAAAAAGTTGAGGTTGCGAAAAATAAAGTCAAACAAGACTTAATTGACCAGAAGTTGGCGTTTGTGTACAACGAACCCGAAGGAGTGGTGATTTCTCGGTCTGGTGATGACTGTATTGTTTCTCTTGAGGACCAATGGTATATCGACTACGGGGAAGATTCGTGGAAGGCCGACGCCACCACCAGTTTGAACAACATGAACACTTACTCCAAAGAGTGTTTACACGCTTTCGAAGGAGTTTTGGATTGGTTGAAGAACTGGGCTATCACCAGAAACTTTGGTTTGGGAACCAGATTGCCCTGGGACGAAAGGTACTTGGTCGAGTCGTTGTCAGACTCGACGATTTATATGGCATACTACACCATTGGCCGCTTCTTGCACACCGATTACTACGGTAAGCAACCCGGCCAATTTGGTATCAAGCCCGAGCAAATGACCTACGGAGTATTTGACTACATTTTCAACGGAGCTAAAACCGTCGACACCGACATTCCGATTGAACACTTGAACGTCATTAGAAGAGAGTTCCAGTACTTCTACCCAGTGGACTGTAGTATCTCCGGTAAGGACTTGGTGGCAAACCATTTGACGTTCTCGCTCTACACACATGTGGCTATTTTCCCCAAGAAGTTCTGGCTTCAGGGAGTGAGAATTAACGGGCACTTGATGTTGAACAACGCCAAGATGTCCAAGTCCACCGGTAACTTTATGACCTTGTCGCAGATAATCGACAAGTTTGGTGCTGATGCATCGAGAATCGCATTGGCCGATGCTGGTGACACCATTGAGGACGCCAACTTTGACGAGTCCAATGCCAATGCTGCCATCTTGAGATTGACCACCTTGAAAGAATGGTGTGAGGATGTGTTAAAGAACCAGGATAATTTGAGAGGTGGTGAACCCAACAACTTATTTGACGATGCGTTTGAAAACGAGATGAACGACTTGATTGAAAGAACCTACGAGCTGTACAGTCAAACCAATTACAAGGCTGCCTTGAAGACAGGTCTTTTTGATTTCCAGGCGGCCAGAGACTACTATAGAGACTCGGTATCAGGTACAGTGGGCATGAACAAGAAGTTGGTTTTGCAGTACATTGAAAACCAGATCTTGTTGCTTGCACCTGTGGCATCTCATTTCAGTGAATACATTTACAGAGAGGTGTTGAACCGCAGTGGCAGTATTCATACCGCCCGGTTCCCTCGCGCCTCCAAGCCGGTGTCGAAGCCCATTAGCGATGCGTTGGCGTATGTGAGGGAATTGACCAGAGCTGTGCGTGAAGCCGAGGTGAACGTGTTGAAGAAAAAGAAGGGTGGAAAGCCTTCTGAGGTTGACGGGTCCAAGCCCGCCAGATTGACGTTGTTCGTGGCGTCGTCGTTCCCCGAGTGGCAGGACAGCTACATCGACTTGGTCAGAGAATTGTTTGAGGCCCATACTTTGAACGATAACAGTGTGATCAAGCAAAAGGTTGGTAAAGACATCAAGAGAGCCATGCCATTCATCTCGATTTTGAAGCAGAGATTGGCAGTGGAGGACCCTAAGACCGTGTTCAACCGGGAATTGACCTTCGACGAAATTGACACCATCAAGGCAGTTATGGCCAATATTCAAAGGGCTCCCGTGTCTATTGACATTCAGGAGGTTGAGGTGATCACCATTGCCAGCGGCTCCAAGGTCGGCAAGAACATTGCCACGGGCGAGGACTACGAGATCACCATTACCGGTAAGATCATCGACTCGGCCGTGCCCGGTCAACCAGGAGTAATGATAAAAAACATATAATAGTGTGTTAGGTATATAAAGAAATCTCGTGTCGCAGACAAATGTGCGCAGAAACCATAGCTGTAAGGGACGCTCGAAAATTTTAGTTTACACAACAAGTGTATATAAGCTGTCAACCGTCATAGTTTTTGCCTCAAGACGTGCCACCTTAGCAAAGTCAGTTGTGTGTTTTCCTTGCTGTTATTTGCCGTGAATATTCACCTTCCGTACTACTTTATTTGCCTGTGCTCCAGAAGCTTCTCCTCCACATACCCCCATAAACATGTCTAACACCCCACCAATGTTCCCGTTGCAGAACGTGCCGGCCAAACACGAGTACAGTGTGTCCAACCCGGCGGCCCGGTTATCGGACTTCTGGCTTCAAAACGAGTATCTGAAGCTTAGTCTTGCTCAGCACAACCGTGAGAACAGAAAACGTATTCGAGACGGAGACACTATTTTGGAAGAAGATATCAACGAAAGTGACGATATGATTCTGTCCGACACCGATATGAGCATATCGCAGTTGAGCCAAACGTCCTTCCATCCTCCCAAGAGAAGGTTGACAGTTTTGTCGCCTATGACCACGCTTACTCCTACATTTCCCGACTCTCACCATCATGAAAATAACATGATGAGTTCGACCGATGGACTCAACGACGTGGTGTCGGTACAACCCCGGACCCCTGACGCCGGTCACACCGCCACAAATACCCCTGTGTCCGACATGGAGGAGCAACCACAACAACTTCCCTTGCCCTCGCCCAGTGCGTCTCCCGTCCACAGCGGTATGAAGCAGGACTTACCTGACCCCATCGAAGACTTGTTGGCCAACGTTCCCACGTCCCAGGGAGATTTGATCAACCTCATCCAGAACTTGTCGTTGTTTCTTACCGAAAGGAACCAAAATCATTTGGTGTTTAAGTTGTTACAGAACGTCAACCGGTTGACTTTGAGTTCGTTGGGTAACACCATCTTCCACAACTTGAAACGGGATCTTTTGACCAACTTCCCGCTGGAAATCACCCGTAAGATTCTTGACCAGTTGGACCACAAATCTTTATTCAACCTTGCCCTAGTCAACCGTAAATGGAACCGGGTAGTGAATGGTTCCAACGTGTGGGTGGAATTGCTCAAGAAGGACCGGTTGATGGAATCTCCTGAAGATATCGAGCGTGAAATCGCCAACCCTGACCAGTTGATTAGCGAATGGGCCGATCCTGCTGCCAATTCGGAACTAAATATTGCTCAACTTCTATACAAAAAGAGATTGACTATCTACAACCGGTGGATGAACCCCAAGTACGAGCCCAAACGTATCAGTATCAAGGTGCCCAGTCAAGGTAATAACGTTGTAACGTGCTTACAGCATGATGATGAAAAGATCATCACTGGTGTGGATGACAGACTCATCAATGTTCATGACACCAAGACCGGGGCGTTGCTCAAGGTACTAAAGGGCCACGAAGGTGGTGTCTGGGCCTTGAAGTATACCGGCAACACCTTGGTTAGTGGTGCCACCGATCGGACAGTCAGAATCTGGAATATTCGGACTGGAAAGTGTACGCATATCTTCAAAGGACACACCTCCACCGTGAGATGCTTGGATATCTTACACCCAGTGAAAATCGGAAGAGACGAGTCTGGTAATGATATAATATTTCCTTCGGTTCCGTTGCTTGTGACTGGCTCGAGAGATCACAACTTGAATGTCTGGAGATTGCCCATAATACCCGATACTGATGAGGACGACGGCATTCCATGTATGACATACGACAGTTCTGACATCAACAACCCGTTCCTCATGAAGGTGTTGGTGGGACACACCCAGTCGGTCAGATCGGTGTCTGCGTATGGAAACTTAATTGTTAGTGGCTCCTATGATGCTACTGTCAGAGTATGGGATTTAATGAGAGGTGGGACCTGTGTTCAAGTATTAGCTGGACATGTGGATAGAATATATTCGACAGTTTTGGACTACAAGAATAAAATCTGTTATTCTGGCTCAATGGACTCGACTATTAACATATGGAATGTTGATACTGGTGAATTATTGCACACTTTGAAGGGTCATGGTTCATTGGTAGGGTTGTTGGAATTGAGCAAGGACTACTTGGTTTCTGCCGCTGCCGATACTACTTTAAGAGTTTGGAACCCCAAAACTGGCGAGAATTATAGCAAACTTGAAGGTCACAGTGCGGCTATAACCTGTTTTCAACACGATGCCTTAAGAATCATCAGCGGAAGCGAACGAATGTTGAAGCTTTGGGACATTCGTAAAGGAAAATTCGTCAAAGACATACTTGCCGATGTTACTGGTGGGATCTGGCAAGTAAGATTTGATTTCAACCGTTGTGTGGCCGCCGTCCAAAGAAGTATTAACGACAGAGAGGAAACCTTTATCGAGATCTTGGATTACAGTGAACCTCCTAATAACGTATAGCCCTATTTTCACTTCATTTTGCTTTCAGCCCTTTGCGGTTATTGTTTATTTATAAAGAAATGTCATCAATCATCAACTAAATACAATTTGCGTAACTTGTTCAATCTCTCCAACCCGTCTGCAACATCGAAACTTACTCTTCGTTTACAAGATTCATCATCAGTGTACATTGTTGAGTCAGTTTCCCCTAGATATTCTCCATCAGGCCCAATTCTTGTTTCCATCCGAATTATCAAGTTGAATAAATAATCAGAAATACGTTCCTGATTGTTCCAAACCAATTTCCTCGAACACCAACACTTATGTTGGGAGTATAAGTCTATAATTTCTTCCTCTTCTTCCTCTTCTTCTACGATATCATAGCAGCTTTTGGTGAAAACAGAGCTTGTTAAGTTGGAAGGGTACTTCACGGGAGTGAGAATCTTGGATGTCGACAAGTCCAAGCCAGTAGAAACAGGTACATGCGGTATATCCTTGTTGATGGGTGGATGCTGCCTGTAGTCAAGAAACACTTTCTTGTTGCAGTCTGAACACACCAAGAAGAGAACGAGGTGGTTTGAAAACGACTGGACTTTCAAGTCCCAGCCATGCAAGCTGATATCGTATATCCACGATGGTATATGATCAAGAATCATACTCTTATCAGTCTTGTTATCACCATAGTACCGCTTGAGTATCCAGTTATTGGACACGCGTACAAACGCCTTCAAGCGCTCGGAGCTAGGACTAGTGCTCGTAAACATGCCTTGCTTATCTGCTATTATGCGGTGATTATCGACCAAGCTCTTTAGGCACGACAAGTAGGTATTGATGAGAGTCTCATTAGTAGACTCAATGAACGGTTTGACATAGTATACTCCTTCCAAAGGAGTCTCGAAGTTGCGCCACGGACAATTGACGCTATGGCCAGCATTTTTCACTTGGTGGATATACTCCTCTGCCAAATAGCAGTTGAGATCTTCACAGTTCTTCAAGTCAAGTTCAGACAGTTCTTCACTAAATTCATTAAACCGAAGACTTAGAAGTTTCTTACATGATGTGCATAACAAATGGTTTTTGGAAACGTTATTGATAGCAATTGAAATACACTTCCATCCGTTCTGGGCACATTTAAGTTCATTAAGTTCATGATCAGTATCAAGAGGAATGCTCCAATTTAGTGACAGAAATGTGGACAACCGCTCAAGGAGAAGCGTCCTCAGGAAGGGGTCAAAGTCACTTATTAACGATAGCAGAGCTGGGGCACTTTTGGTGGGGGTTCTCTTGTATTTGTGATAAGTAAAATGGTTTCTACTCTTGATGCTCTTGAAGTACTGGATGTCTGGGTGGTGATTATATTTGTCGCGGATGTTCACCTCAATGGGCATGGAATACTGCTCGTGCTTGGGGGAGTCGAACAACTCCAAACACTGTTTGAGTACCCGGGGGGTTTGGTCTGAAGACTCCATTTATGTGGTGAAGGAGTTATCTTAAGCTAATTGCGAAAGATAGTGAGACTGCAATTTCGAATGTGCGACTTCTGGTGCGCGCTGAAAAACTTCGTCGTTCATCTTACCCAACCTTTCACACAATCATGTCAAGAAGACCAGTATTAGAGGAAGTAGATGACGATGACATCGATAATATGGACATGGACCTCGCGCAGTTTGATCCTTCGTTGAACACACCCATAGCCCCCTTGAGAGCTCAGCCTACCGTTACACGATCACAAGACCTGGAGCCATCTTTATTCCCCAATATACCTGTACCATCTGCAAAACCCCCAGCAACCTCTCCCGGAGGAATCGCCCTGGATGCAATCAGGGACCCCAAACTGTTCACTGACGAAGAAAAACGGGAATTCAAAGCCTACCAAACCATATATCCTTGTTATTTTGACAAGAACAGGAGCCACAAACAGGGAAGAAGAGTGTCTGAAGAAAATGCGGTGGAAAACCCCTTGGCCTTAACCATCGGTGATGCTTGTCGGTTCTTACAATTTCCAGTATTGTTAGAGTTGGATAGGACACATCCCCGGGACTTTGGAAACCCTGGAAGAGTGAAGGTGTTGTTGAGAAAAAACGGCGAGCCAATCGACGAGTTTGTGAAAAACAAACGACAGGTGTTGAACGCTATTGGAAAGTACTTGAAAACCCACCCCACCACTTTGAACAGTGTAAGCGCTAGTAGTGGACACCCCATACCTGAAGAGTACATGGTTGGATTCACACCTGAAAAAATACCTAAAGTTAGAGGATTCAAGATGAACACAATTGTACCGGTACATTCGCCCTTCACCATGAAGCATCCTATGACACAAGGTATATATGCACCCCGCCCCGAGGCTCCGGCCATAGCTGCTGCTCCCAAGGCCCCCAAAAAGAAGATCAAGAAAATAAGAGCTTGAGTGAACAGAGCACAAGCACCTGAATTTAATACACATATCTATACATTACGCCTTAGGACTATAGTTCTTTCTGTATTCCTGGATCATCTCGAGCTCGTCTGCCGAAATCTTGCCCTTCAAGTGAGTGATGATGTCGTCCAAACAAGTGATGGAAACCACTGGCACATTAAACTCTTTGGCCACCGCTTGGGTGGTTGACACGTCTGATCCGGGACTCGTCTCTTGTCTGTCCAAGGCAATGATACATCCAGCCGGGGTTCCGTTGGCATTTTCGATGATATCAAATGCTTCTCTGATAGCAGTTCCAGCAGTAATCACATCGTCAATGATCAACACCTTCTTGTTTTCGATCGAAGCTCCAACAATGGAGCCACCTTCTCCATGGTCCTTTTTCTCCTTTCTGTTGAAGGCATATTCGATGTTACCGTAAGTTTCAGGTTCTAATTCAGCCAACTTGACCACAGTGATGGAAGCTAACGGAATACCCTTGTAAGCAGGGCCAAAGAGCACGTCGAACTTGATGCCTGAAGTGATGATGGCCTTGGCATAAGCGGTAGCCAAAGCCGACAACCGTTTTCCTGTGTTCAAAAGACCTGCGTTGAAAAAATATGGGGACTTTCTACCTGATTTTAAGGTGAACTCACCAAAGATCAAGGCTTTGGACTCCAAGGAAATGTCTAAAAACTCGGCGGAAAAGGATTGCATAGCGACTGATGAAAGGAGCTTAACAGAGACTACAAAGAAAGAGAAGAGGAGAGGAAAGAGAAAAGAAGAAGGAAGAGAGAGACGAAAAGTTTTTTTGGTGCGAGTGGGATGTGTAGATGGGAAGATGTCGTGGGTGCCAGATGTCGCGCGAATCGCGATGGATGTCGCTCAACTTCTACAAACAACAATACCAACATGCCCGAGACAGACATTAGTGAATATCGACGGCTTTTGGGCCTGTTGGAAAAGAGCCACAGGAGAGACCTCGCTACACATCTCTATTCTACCGCATTAATGCACAATTTACACCCGGTGTTCCCATACTGGCGGTATACTCAATGGCCTTTGAGTGTTGACCGAGTGCCTGATCCTCGAACCCAATTTGAATATACAGACGTGGCGAACATCAGGGGCATAAGGTTCGAACCGGAAGTGGTACAAAGTGCGGTGGAGGCGCGTTTTACGCGTTTTACCCCCAACAACTTGGCTACAGAGCCCGTGCTACCGATAACACGAGGATCTCGCAAACTACGCCATGGCCAAACTGATGCTCCACCTTCAAGAAAACGCCCAGTGCGAGAGGTGGATTCAGACGACAGCTCTGAGTCCGAGTATTTTTCTGCTGGTGCCGACGGTGGTAGTGAAGAAGAGCTGGATGGTGAGGTTGAGGAATTAGACTGGTTAGACGATGAGAAAGGTGATGAAAATGGTGATGAAAATGGCGTGGAACCCAACAACAACGACTCGGACGAGGATGAAACCATCGGAACACTTCGCGTCTCCGACGCGTCTGACACTGACGCAGAAGAGGAGCTGGACTCCATTAACCCGTTGAGGCGGATCAAGTTTGTACAAAAGCGAAGCGACCACAATGCCGATTTGTACTTGGAAATGAAGGCTTTACTTGAACGAGCAATTTCCAAAAAGCTCAACCGCATGAACCTAAGAAAGGGCCAGCAAATGACTACTAAGATGGATACTCCGGCCACCGACCAAATGGCCAAATGTCTCGCAGGAAAAGTAGATGATCTCACTCGAGAGTTGGCAAAACTCAGCCATAAAGACGACACAAACCCCCATAGACATGGGCTTTTCACGTGGCAGGATATACTCATTTCAGAGCAGTTGATAGCCAAACCAACCCTCCCCAGCACAGGGTCAAACGAGTTCTATACCAAGTGTGAGGACATGTTCCTCCACATGAAGTACAACTATAGGCTTGCTGGTGAAAGTGAAAATGAAGAGGAAGATGCTCCAACAAACTCATCGGTAAACTTCAGTTACTATGATTACCTCCAGCGCTTGCAACACAAGAAAGTCACCAAGAAGTCAAACATGACCCCTGAGTTCATTCTTCAGCAGAAGCAAGCAGTAAAGGAAGTGGCTGCGAACAAACGAAAAATCTTTATGGAACTCCTAGCCCAAAAAGAGCGAGACAATACCCTTTCTTGGAACAAGGGATACAATAGAGATGGGGTATACAAAAAGGGGAAACGGCACTTCAAGGCCCCCAAGAATGACGAGGAGTTCCCAGAGTTTGCCTTGCAACACGGTGGATTGCGCATCGATGAATACGAATATTTGGTAGATTTCTGAATTATTAGGTACATTGGCATAAACAAGCATGAATGAATTAGTTTCTTTTTTCAAAGGTTTCGGTGATCTCAGTGTTGAAAATCACGTCCCAGAACTTGGAGGTGACGCCGAAGCCCAACTCGTAGTTCTTATAGTGGTGCTCTAAGTGGTAGGTTTTCAACTCTTGAAAGTAAGCTGGTAACTTGGTGTGGTGCAAAAAATAGTGGGTACAGTCGTACATGATATAACCAAAGGTCCCTCCAGCAAATCCCGAGCACGCCATGTAGAATGGAAGGAGAGAAAACACCAACCTGTAGAAGGGATAGGCCAAAACAATGAATAAAACTGGTGGTAATACCAATCTGTATTTATCCATTGGCAAATAGTGGTGAACTCCGTGTAAAGAAAAGTGTAACGTGAGGGAAATAGGGTGGTCAGGCAAGTACTTGTCCAAGTGGAACAAGAATCTATGTAAGCAGTACTCGACAAGGGTCCAAACCCCAAGACCGAACAACCAGAGACTCAAAGCAATGATTTTGTTCTGGTTGACAAACCCCACGTAAAAGATGAACAAGTTGGGTGCCAACCAACACAACGGAACCATCCACCATGGAGTCAACGTGAACGGTTCCAAGAAGTTACCAAAGAACATAGCAGAACCTTGCCCGTAGTGTCTAGGTCTGTGAACTTGTTCCAAGTAGAAATCTTTAGAAAAGTTTCCAAACAACACCTGAGGGAATAAAGGCTTGCTTAAATCCAAAAATTTGTGTTTCTTGATATCGGCTTCGTAGTCGGTCTGAATAGATAACTTATCCAATGCAGGTAAGTGATCGTGGAACTCATCCAACGCATAGTTATTGTTGTCTTGTAATCTGACTTCTACCGGAGTGTGGTTTCTGTTATTCAACATTTCTTCTTCCTCAATAGGTGTGGCCACGTAAGCAATCAACATCTCTTCGTCCAACATATCGTAGGCACTTTCAGAGTGTTCGTGGGAGATGGTGTCGGCCATAATCTGGGTGATATCTTTTCCTAAATATGGGATGATGATATCACCACCAGCGGGATGCTCATTGATAAATCCGGTGATGTCATACACCTTTCGGTTGTAAAGGGTAACCCACGCATCAGTGACAGTATTATGTTTAGCCACTTCCAGTGCCAGCAATAAGGCCAAGTTTCTTGACATAGTAACTCTATAAAAAACCTTTTAAAAGAACAAGTGAAAAAAAAAGCGAATGTTTATATCACCCTATTTTTTTTTGCTTGTAAACGAGGTGCGCAGACGTGTGATTCGCGCGTGATAGAGGCTTGGTCTATTGCGTACGTTTATTTTATACTATACAGTGTCACGGCAATTAGGCGTGGGAGAACACTGCCGACGAAGTGGTGGTAGCGATGCCGTCAATGTCAGCGTCGGTGTCCGAGAGCCCATCGGTGTCCATTGCGAGTTCAAGCTCTTCATCGAGCTCCAACTGATCTGCCGACATCTCCGATTCAAACTTTTCTGTTTCTGGATCCACTACAGACTCATCTCCGTTCATTTGCTGTTCGAGGTGTAACGTGTGGTCCACTAAGTTAAGGTACGCGTACATGAAATTGGAAAGAAGCACTTGTTCTCTCAATGATCTCTTTGGGTTTGCAAGCTTCAAGTGCGACAATCTGTAGATGGCTCTTTCTACATGCACAGGGAACCGGTAGTCTAACATGATCAATGTCGACTGGGAAGGAGGCGGAAGCGGGAATCCGAAAGCGGAGTCTGTGAACTCAATGGGCTGGTTGGCCTTGGAGGTTCTTTTGATTGACTTTTTGAGCTTTTCCTGAACTTCTTGAGTGCTCTGGAGAAGTTTATCATCAGCATCCTTAGGATCTTCAACCGGTTCTTCTTTCGTAGGCTCTTCTTTGGCCAGTTCTTTTTTCTTCTCTCTGGCTTCTTTCTTCTCCCTGGCTTCCTTCTTCTTCTTTCTGTCCTTTTTGTCTTTCTTTTCAGTCTTGAGTTTGCTCTCAAGCGATTCCTGAGAACCATTTAACTTGTCGACCAAACTGTCCAAAGAGGCCTTGGGCTTCGACTCCACTACCACACTACTATCAGTTTCAACACCTTCCATGTCACCTTCAGATCTATCTTTTGGTGATGTCTTGTCGACCAAATTGGTTCCAGTAGACCCTAAGATCTTCAACCCCAACTTATTCTTGGGTTCTTCTTTCTTTGCTGAAGGCTTCTTCTTGAAGATCCTAGAACCCTTGATGATATTGGCAGACTTCTTGGCGTCGGAATCCGACTCGTAATCAACTATAACGTCGTCATTGCTCGAAGGCTTCTCTTGCACCACTGAGTGTGAATTGCTTCTCTTCCGCTTGAAGAATTTGCTGATAACGTTTTCTTTACCAACAAACGGTTCTTTCGAAACATGCGACGTTTCTTCGACAATGGTCTGAACTTGTACGGGAGTTAGCTGTTTCTTAGAGTCCTTTGGCTTTGAGGCCTCCAGTTGGTCGGTATGACTGAAAAGTTCCGGTGAGGAAACCGACCTGGGACTGAACTTTGGAGTTTCGGGAACAGTAGCCAACTCAACAGTAGAAGAACTCAAAGACCTCTCTCTTTCTCTGATTTTCTCTTTTTCGTCATTATTGTTCCGCATCCAAGGCCAGGACTTCTTCTTTTTCAACATCTTGGTTGGATTGGTATTCTGAGGAGTTATAGAAGGAGCAGTCTCATTAGATACCAATGAACTGGCAGATTCGTTCTTGTTTGTAGTGAGTTGAACATCATTTTGAGGTGATGTTTCTACTGACGATTGATCGGAGATTTCATGAGCATCGATTTCGTCAATGTTTGCAACCTTATTAGCCAAATCTTCTTCCTCAGAGTCAATTTCCTTCAATGTTTCCAACTCACTCAGAGTATTGGGCTCTTGTGCAACCTCTTCTTCTGCTTGAAGTCCTTCATCAGTTGTACCTTTATTAACAACCACAGGCTGTTCACCCAATAAGTCCACTAACATAGCACCTCTCTGATTCAGAGACACTTCATCGTCATCTAGTGCGGCAATTCCAAGTTTGTCTTCAAAAGAAAGGTCTTGGTAACTTTGTTCAAAGCTGAAATCAACATCAGCATTTTCTGTGATTTCGGTAGAATCATTGATGAGCACTGGTTTCTTCACAACCTCAATTTTCTCGCTTCTACTTAAGCTCTCTTTAAACTCGTTGATTTCACTCCTTAAAAGATCGAGGTTCTCGTTCAACTTCTCGGACTTGAAAATAGCATCTTGGCTCAGGGGCTTAATGGGTAAGGATTCCGAGCTTTTGAGTTTTCTTTCAGTAGAAGAGGAATAAGGAAGCTGGGTATTAAGACTACTGATCAACTCAGGAACACTATGATTAGGTCCATTTCTAATCCGTCTCTTGGGAGAAGCATCTCTATGACGTTTAGGAGACACTGGCTTTCTGGAAGAAGCGTTCGAACTCTTCCCCACGGGAGATGTTCCCTCGGGGACCGTACTATCTGGCATAACTTGAAAATCTGAAATCGGTTCTGTTGTAGAGTATTTGAAGGTACTCTGACGCGGTGACCCAGACTGGGAAACTACTTGCTGGCGAGTAGGGTTCTGAGGAATCATCTTACCAGGAATCTTCTGAACCTGATTGGCAGATGACGACCTGTAATTCTTTGGCATGTATTGGCCTTGAGGTTGGTGTCTGTGATTAGAGTTGGCTGGCTGACCGTGAGCAATATGCTGTCCTTGTGGATGCTGTCCTTGTGGATGCTGTCCTTGTGGATGCTGTCCCTGTGGATGCTGTACCTGTGGATGACCTTGGTATTGCTGGTACTGAACTTGACGATTGTAGCCCGATTTGTAATGAGGTTGAGAACCGTGAGATGACAGTCTATGATCCACCGGATATCCTTGTGTTCTGTGGCGATGAGACCGTTGTTGACCTGGAGGATGCTGGCCCTGTACCTGACTATTTTGGTAAAGCTGTTGAGAATTACCCGAATGGCCTCGGTCATTCGATTGAGATGAGCCGCCCGATGGAGTCCTGGAACCAGAAGAACCTTGGGTCTGGGGTGGTATTGGACCAGACTGCACTGGTATTGGACCAGACTGCACTGGCATTGGACCATGGCCGGATATTTGTGGTTTCATGTTCCTGGAGGTTTGGGGGTGTACTGGGTATACTGGTGATGTCTTAATATGAGACAACCGCTTGGCTGTCAAGTTATGCTGAGTGTACTTCGTGGTAGGGAGCTTTTCCTCCAAAGGTGATGACGGAGCAACTGACCCATACGGAGAATCTTTAGTGAAAGGCCCGGCAGTAGGATCAAGACTATGGTTGCGATAGCTGAACAGCTTTTGCGAGCTCCTGTTTGTTTGGACATGGAGGTTTTGAGGCTTGGAACGGCTGGAACGAGAACGTTCACCACGAGCATCAACAGAAGAGCCCGAAGCCGACCCACCGTACTGAGACACTTGGTTAACAATGTATGGCTGTTGAGCCACAATATAGGGTTCGGTACCGTACTTCTTGGGTGCTGGTTTAGGAACCGGTCCCAGAGAAAGGTTATTCCGCAAGCTCGAGATCCTTTCGGCTTTGGCAGTCTGAAGTTTCAGGCCCGACGACTGCACCTGTTTTCTGTAGTCCACCCGACGAGACCGACGTAAAGCAAACTGCAGGTTCACGCCCATGGGATCGATGTCAGGCGCATCAGTGTCGAAAGGAAAGGCCGAGTCTTCGTAGGTTCTCACTGACGATGGAGACAATGGGTCGTACAACTCGTCCACCGAAACATGCGAAGAGCGAGGAGACGAGTTGAGTTCATCAATGGCCAACTTCTCCACATCGGTATACCCCAAGGATGACGCAGAAAGGGTTCGAGCAACCGTTACGGCATCGGTGGAGTTTCTTCCCGCGAGTTTCGAGAGCTTTTCAAGCTCATTTGACAATTCCCGCAATGAAGGGTTACTGAACCTGTTCGTGTGGATGGCCAACGGCGAGGTGTGGTTGGGAGAGGTGGCGGTGTGGCTGGGCGATGAAGAAGTACTTGTTTCAGGAGGAGTGCCGTGACTGGGCAGGGGAGTTTTCACCGGTGAATTCTTTGTGGGCGAAGACTCCTGCGACGAGCCGGGGCTTTTGGTTTCCAGGGCAGAGTCGAGCCGTGATATGGACGTCAGCAACGAAGAACGCCGTTTGAGGGAGTTTTTCCGAGAAAGTTGACGTTCCATGATTTCTCCCACCGTAGACTTGACGTGATTCTTGAAGTTTTCGGGAGCCACCTCCGGATGCATATTGGCAGGAACCCAGAGAAGCTCCTCGGCGTCAAGAGACTCGTTCAAGTCGCTAGCACTAGACCCAGGACTGGTTTCAGGGCTTTTGGGCCGATTCAAGCCAGTTTCTGCCCGTGACGCCGTATGAGGGGGTGATATGCTGGGCAGTGGCGACCGCGATGGCGACCGCGACACCTTGGGCTTCTCATGATCGTCAAAGAGAGTGTCCTGGAACAGGAACAGAAAGTCCACCTCCTCGTTGGGTAAGTCAGGATCATAGTTCATCATGTTTCCAATGGAAAGTCTCTTCAAGGCTGCCACCATTTTCTTCTCCTGCTCGATTTCTTTGGCAGCCGACTCATAGTGCAGCTTGTTAGAGATGCTCTGGCCTGACTGGGAGTCGGGCGGGAGGGCAGGATTTAGATGGGACATTCAGCAAATAGTGGGAAAATGAAATGAAAGACTAGGTATGCATGAACGAGCAATAATTTGAAGAGGCGAAAAAGGAGCGACGGGGAAGTGTGGGGTAGTGGATGGTCAACTGATGGCAAAGCTAAGCTAGCAAGGCTGGAAGATGCTGGGATAAATGGTTGGAAAAGATGTTACCAACGACAGAACACGGTTTGTGGTTGTCTTTTTTTGAGGCTTCTAAATCCAGATAAAATCCAAGCGAAAAAATCAACATAAAACGAGACTGGAAAATCGCGAACCAAAAGCTTTTAATGTGCGGCGCTAACTAAAGGTGGAGGAAACGTAGTACTGGAGGTAGGGGACAATATAGAAGGTTATAGGAAGTGGAAATACGTGTATTCATGAGTTGAGTAGAGTATAAAGTGATTTAATGAGAGATTAACAGATGTTTGTGGCCGCCCTACCCCATTAACAATTCTCGCAAACCACTGCAACAAAACGTATGACGTAGCACCAAAATGTCTAATATCACATAAAACGTCCGTTAAGGTTATAAACCATCTACTGTAACAGAGGGATCAAACATCCGGTATAGTTCTCCTGGTCGTATACTGTGTTCAGTGGGCCTATTTGGACTTGAATAATTTCTAAATCATGTTTATAAACCCGTATACTCCCAATGGGAGTAGCAAATAGTACACAAACTTCGCCACCACCGACCCGTGTACTGTGATAGGTGGGATACCCATCACATTGCACACGGCGTGAAGTATAGCGGCACACCACATGCTATTATATCTTTCAAAGACGTATCCCGCCAAAACACCAAACAAGGATGTGTATAAGGTTTGGAAAGTGACACTCGACACCGCCATTGCCACCGAAACTCCCTGGTGGACCACAAGATCATATCCGTGGTGGGCATGGGCCAAGCCAAATAATAACGGACTATAAAGAATGATGGTTGTGGTTGGAAATTGTTTAGAGAGAACCACAAACACAATTGAACGGTAAACAAGCTCTTCGGTGATGGGAGCAAACACATGGTTCCTGAATCCTTGAAGAGAATAGAACAGCTGCTGGAAGTCGTGTGACCAGTATTTCGTGGGGGTTTCGACAATATATGCAAATATAGGTCCGGAGAATAGTACTAGACTAGCACTTAAACACCTTAATGGTGCTGAAAATGTGTCTACTACATCCTTTCTGGGTATTAGAACCCCCATTAGTTCATAGACTCCTGTTAGAGAGGTACTGGGATCTTCATACACTAAAATTGACGGTACCACCGCCAAAAGTACCACACACAACCCCGATACCCTACGTAAACGGTGAGTGATCAAGGCTGCATCGTCCCGCGAGCTACCCTGGAGTGTTGTGGGAGTCCATGCATGGATAACTATCACGTATAGAGCCGCTATCACCACGCTGGCAGCAACACTCGCAATACCGTTCATGGACCAATACAATTCCCCAGAATATTTCTGACTCATTTTTCGCGCTTATCGAGATGGATTCTGAATCAGCGGTGCGAAGTTTTTCGTGAGTAAGACAAAGGCTTCTAGGTTTCTTAGTATGAAGGTTTTTTTTAGACAGTTTTCGGTAACGTCTGCTAGAGCTAGAGGTCAGAACTTGACGGAAAAAATCGTCCAGAAATATGCCGTAGGGTTGCCCTCTGACAAAAGAGTATTTAGTGGGGACTATGTTTCAATCCAGCCTGCTCACTGTATGTCTCATGACAATTCCTGGCCTGTGGCTACCAAATTCATGGGCTTAGGGGCTTCCAAGGTTAAAGATAACCGTCAAATTGTGTGTACATTGGATCATGATGTTCAGAACAAGTCAGAGAAAAACTTGGCCAAGTATACCAATATTGAAAACTTTGCTAAAGAACAAGGTATAGACTTCTATCCAGCAGGAAGAGGTATTGGACACCAGATCATGATAGAAGAAGGATACGCGTATCCATTGAACTTAACGGTGGCATCCGATTCACATTCCAACACTTACGGTGGTGTTGGGGCCTTAGGAACTCCTATTGTCAGAACTGATGCTGCTTCGATCTGGGCTACCGGTCAAACATGGTGGCAGATCCCCCCAGTTGCCAAAGTGGAATTGATTGGTCAGTTACCCAAAGGTGTTACTGGAAAGGACATCATTGTGACGTTATGTGGTCTTTTCAACAATGATGAAGTATTGAACCATGCCATTGAATTTGTGGGAGAAGGCGTAAGAAACTTATCTGTGGATTACCGGTTGACCATTGCCAACATGACCACCGAATGGGGTGCGTTGTCTGGATTGTTTCCAGTTGATGAGACCTTGATAGCTTTCTACCAGGACAGAATCACCAAGCTACCACAACCTCATCCCAGAGTAAACGAAGAGACTGTGGGGAACTTGATCAAAAACCCTACTCATAGCGACGACGATGCTGTGTACGCCAAGCACTTGACCATTGACTTGAGTACTTTGAGCCCGTATATCTCCGGTCCTAACTCCGTCAAAATCTCCAACTCATTGTATGATTTGTCCAACCAGAATATCAAGATTAATAAGGCATACTTGGTTTCTTGTACCAATTCGAGATTAAGTGATATCAAGGCAGCTGCTGCCATCTTGAAGGGGAAAAAAGTGCATCCCGATGTCGAGTTCTACGTGGCTGCTGCTTCATCTAATGTGCAAAAAGATGCTGAGGCTGATGGTGCTTGGCAAGATATCATCGATGCGGGTGCAACGGCCTTGCCTGCTGGATGTGGTCCTTGTATAGGGTTGGGTATGGGATTGCTTGAAGATGGTGAAGTTGGGATCTCTGCCACAAACAGAAACTTCAAAGGAAGAATGGGATCTAAAGATGCTTTGGCATATTTGAGTTCACCTGAAATTGTCGCTGCTTCAGCTGTTTTAGGGAAAATCGGTGGCCCCGAAGAATTAGAAGGAAAGCCAGTTGCACAAAATAGAGAAATCACTAAACAAGTCACGGTTCCTAAAGCAGAGACTACTGCCTCAGCAGAAGACGGAGGAGCAGTAGATATATTGGATGGGTTCCCAACGGAAATTGTAGGGGAATTAATTCTATGTGATGCTGATAATATCAATACCGATGGTATTTACCCGGGTAAGTATACTTACCAAGATGATATTCCAAAGTCCAAAATGGCTGAGGTCTGTATGGAGAACTATGATTCTGAATTTAGAGATAAGGTCCATGCCGGTGATATCATCATCAGTGGATTCAATTTTGGAACTGGTTCTTCCAGAGAGCAAGCAGCCACAGCTATTTTGGCTAAGGGAATGAAGTTGATTGTGGCTGGGTCATTCGGTAATATTTTCTCCCGTAACTCCATCAACAACGCATTATTAACGTTGGAAATCCCAGCCTTAATCAACATGTTAAGAGAGAAGTATAAGGATTCCAAGGAATTGACAGTCAGAACTGGTTGGTTTTTGAAATGGGACGTTACTAAAGCCATGGTTTACGTGGCCGACTCTGACAGTAATATAATTTTGAGCCAAAGGGTCGGCGAATTGGGAACAAACTTGCAAGATATCATCGTTAAGGGGGGCTTAGAAGGTTGGGTCAAGAGTGAGTTGGCCAAAAACTAATTTCAGTATTTATTTTATGTATCATAGGCGTTTGCCTCTTAGCATAGTGCAAAATATATGCAAAATCTAATCTACCAACTAAATGCTTTTTAAGTAGGATCGATATTTTCTCGCCAATAGACACGAGCCAAATATAGAAAGCTTAGTCCAGAATTCTCAAGATATATATCTAATCACTCAAGAACTGTATCAGCGCACTGGAACCAGACGCATCTATTATTGAATTTTGCAACTTATCAGTAAAGTTTGAATTTTTGAGTTGTCTTCCTAAAACCCTGATAGTGAAGTCACCAATAGTACCAGAAGTGGTTATATCATACCCGGTGTCAGTAGCCCGAACCGTGACTTGGGCAACAACCTCCCCGCTAACTGATGGAATATCAACCGTTTTATGGCTGCAAACTTCATAGATGTTCACCATGAATGATTTGGCGTAATCATAATCCGGTTTAGCATGATCTGACCTCGTATCCGCGGAGACGAACACAGAGTTTGGCCTCACCAAGAGAGGCAAGGAAGTGAAATCGTGAACTTCGTCAATCCATTCACCTTTACCCTCACTGTGCCTTATTTTCCCATCGATTAAACTGTACCATTCACCCTTTGGAAGGTAATACGAAACCTCACCATTTTCTGTGAATACTGGACTGACTAACAAAGCGTCTCCCAACATAAACTGTGTGTCGCAGGTTTGGGCAATTTTGTCTTCTGGAAACTCAAGTAACATTGGTCTCATCACCGGAATCGCATGCTGATGTGCCTCTATCGCAAGACCATATATATACGGCATCAATGACAACTTCAACTTTGTAAACTTCCTCAAAACCACGCTAGCCTCGTCGTCAAAGTTCCAGGGAACTCTGTACGAGTGTGAACCATGAAGTCTGGAGTGCGAAGACAATAGCCCAAATGCACACCATCTCTTGTAGACAGCCGGGTCAGGAGATCCTTCAAATCCGCCAATATCATGAGACCAGTATCCAAACCCACAAAGAGAAAGTGATAACCCTCCTCTCAATGACTCGGCCATGGCCTCAAAAGTAGATTCGCAATCGCCTCCCCAGTGTACTGGGAACTTCTGCCCTCCTGCGGTGGTGGACCTTGCGAAAAGACATGCTTGATTTGCACCCAATTTTTGTTCCAACACCTCAAACACACATTTGTTATACAAATACGTGTAGAAATTGTGCATACCTACCGGGTTAGAACCATCGTGATAGTGTACGTCCCTGGAAGGTATTCTCTCACCAAAGTCGGTTTTAAAGCTGTCAACTCCCATATCTATCAAATATGCCAACTTTGACTTGTACCACTCGCACGCTTGGGGATTAGTGAAGTCAACGATTCCCATACCACCTTGCCACAAATCACACTGGTAAGATGCTCCATCCTCTGTCTTCTTAATAAAATATCCGTTGGTATCAGCTTCGTCGAATAGATCTGATTCCTGAGCAATATAGCTGTTTATCCACACACAAATCTTGATGTCGAACTTGGATTTCAAGTCCGAGAGCATCTTTTTTGCATCTGGAAAATACACTGGATCGAACTTAAAGTCACACCACTGGAACCCTTTCATCCAAAAACAATCAAAATGGAAAGTGTTCAACGGAATGTCACGGTCTTTCATTCCTTGGAGGAAGGAACTAACAGTATCATAATCGTAGTCTGTCAAAAAAGAAGTAGTGAGCCAAAGACCAAAAGTCCATGCTGGAGGCAAGGCAGGAAACCCGGTCAAAGAAGCATATTTGGTCAAGATATGTTTGAAATCAGGCCCATATATGATATAGATTCTCATGCCTTGGCCTTGGACGGTGATGTTTACTCTGCTAGTTCTTTCGCTCTGTAGCTCAAAGTTTACATTGGAAGTAGAATCGACAAATATCCCGTATCCTTTACTACTCAAATAGAAAGGAACGTTCTTATAGGTGACATCTGAGGAGGTACCACCGTCCTCATTCCACATTTCGACATGCTGGCCATTTTTCACGAATGGGCCATACCGTTCTCCCAATCCATAAAGCCTTTCACCAACTGCAAGTTGCAACTGGCAAGTCATATAATCGTTGAATTTGTGGCCAGTTAACCCGGGTTTTTCAAAGCGGGAATCCTCCACATATCCAATGGACCGTGGTCCTAATTGTGTCACTAGCCTTCCAAATTCGTTGGTGAAGTTAATACCAAATTGCTTCTCTTTGACCTGAGCTTGCAAACGATTTGACTGAATTTGGTACGCAGCCGCGTCTGTCGAAGTGAGAGATGAGCTTTGAGAAGTCAACTCAAATCGGGGCTCTTTGGCATGTTTATAGGCCGATTTGTTGTGGTAGGTCTCAAGCTTGACGATATCATCAGCTGGGCTGGTCAATTTGGTGGTGATGATGGCATTGTTCAAGATATCACCTCTATGGTTGATAGGCCTAGAGCTGAACACAGAATAGACAGACTCGGTGTCCACGACCGTCTTGACGTTTTCGGTGGCCCAGAGGATCTTCACTCCCGCCTTCAATTCCCAGCGGCCTCTAGAAAACTTGGTGTCACCATCTACATGGCGATCAAATGAAAAGTGCTCAGACATTATGGGTGTTAAGCAATGGAAAAAGTCTTATTTATAGGCTTGATGTTAGTAACCCCCACCTTCTGTTCGTCACATAAGTTCATATGGAGACGTGGGGGCAAAGACACCCAATGTAAGAAGATGGGGGGGGGGATTTCATGGGGTATATCCGAACTTGGGAATCTTTGCGAGTATCTTTTCGAGAACGAGAATGAGAATGCTCACTAAACAAGCAACAAGGAACCATTTTTGAATGCATTTAGACTGGCTGTTTCAAGTGCTTATGGTAGTTGGGGGTAGGATTGCACTTTTGTAGATGAATAGTAAGTAGTAATTATTTTTGTATGTTCAAATTTGCAGTCATTCTCTAAGTAGAAATTTGTGAAATTCACGAATTTGAGTACCTCACAGTTGATTGAATTATTCACCGAAAAGTGACTGAAAAAGAAGGGTCTAAGTAGTAGGAAACGAAAGCCAATTCTCTTAAAATACCAGGGTCTATCTAGATAGACCGTGACCACAGTTCGTCCTATAATGAGATATTATTCACCATGTGATAAGAATCAAGGCCAGAGAAGGACTGAGTAGATGGATATAAGGTAAACTTGTTAGTCAATAGTCTTAGAGAAAGATGAGTAGGATTTCTTGTTCCTACCACAAATAGCAACCACATCATATCCTATCATAAGACAACCACATAGACCTCAGTACACCCCACGCCCCAATATCTACACTGCTACCAGTGGCTAGGCCCTAGAAATCACCAATCACACTCAGAAAAGACCTGATTATACGAAGGAATACTATTAAACTTCAGCCCAAGTGCACATGCTGCATGAACTAGAGGCTCGTGTCTGAACTACTTGTTCCAAATACGGTTGCTATTTAATAGTTATACGTACTCTAAATAATAAATAATCAAGTCTAGACTTGTTTGCAGCCATGGGCAAATTTCACATGCGCGAGATGCCTGCATCTGCAGCTAAAGCGACCGGCCATTGCCCCTCTTGCACCCCGTCCTCTGCATGGTAGCCGTTGATCGAAGGCAGACGCCAGGATACATACTTGGGATATGATACATACTTCGGATGTATCATCACCGGAGAATATCAGGAAAACCCACTGGAATGGCTTCCATTGGAGATGACCAGGAGAGGAGATTTCAAGGATGCCAATTACCACTAATTTATATTCTTAAAAAACCCGTTCCTATACCCCGATAGTATCAAGTTTACATTAGTATCAACCGCCTCATACACCTCAAAAATCAACTCAAAGAACAGCAAAATGATCATTACCGAGTTCATGGCATAGTATACAATCGTGTCAAATGTGTCCACCACTCCATTCAGCACCGTCTCCACAAACTTACGAAAGAACCCCAATAGCGTGAGTGCAAAATCCCACGCTGACGACACCGACGACCTGAAAAGCTGGTAGGTGGAAAGGATCATGGCAGTCAGATTTTTTGGTAGCAGACCCCAGATATATATAGGCTGTAGATGTCGTGTGAATGCAAATTATACCCAATACTCAAACGGTCTAGAAGTTCGTGTAGACGACAAAACTAATTCCTTCGTGTAGGACGGATGTTTGGGATACGTTCGGAACTTTTGACGATAGTGGCGATTGCAGCCTTTTGTACTGCTGAAGCATATATTTTTTATTATCGTTTTGAGTGATCAAAATAAACCCTCTCCTCTTTCCATGTGGAACAGGTGGAATTTGACAGACGCTGTCGAGCGTTTCATCCTATGGCGTGGCATTATGAGGGGAGCGGTATTGTTTATGCCGGTTGTGTTTGTGTTTATGATGTTTGTATTTGAGGTTGTTTGTGTTTATAGTGTTTGCACTCCTCTTGTTTGCAGTTCACCCTACTTGGTACTGCAGTGGAGAAATAATTTTCACAATCCTGGGGTAAGCGGCGTGCGCGCACCACCACCCTCATCATATGTTGGCAGCCCTCAGTGGAGATAGCAATTAATGTCTAACACTAACAATAAGGAGTCGACTGCTGAACAGCAGCAGCAGATGGATGAGTTGTTCAACCAGTTGAAAGGTTCCATCGACAAGCAAAAGTATCCTCAGTTCGAGGAGTATATCGACAGCACTCACAACTACCTTGCGAATGTCATGAAGCAAATGGAGCAGACCGACGATAAAGACAGAACGTCCAAGGAGATTGCGGATGACTTGAGTGGTAAGCTCAACAAATGGCTTGAGAGTAAACAGAAGGAGCTCGAGACCCAACAGAAGAAGCAAGAGTCCAAACCACAAACAGAAGAAAAGTAACTGTTTCTGCTGTCTCTTGCATTCGGCCGGGGCCGCATATTTTTATCAAGTTTTATCTAGATATCTTAAATTTCCTTAAATATTCTTAAATACACCATGCTTTGGATATTTTATATCCTTCCACTCGTTTACTGCCAGCAGGTGTTCAACTTCAATACTGACCTCCATGACTACTACGTCAACGGCCAGTCGATGCTTGAGTTCCACAAGAACCTTGTCGATATTCCTTCTGTTAAGCCGTCCGAGTTGGCAGTGGCCCAGTACATCGAACAGTTTTTAAGTTCCAATGGGCTTACTGTCGAGTTGCACAAGGCGGCTGAAAATAGATACAATGTTTATGCATTTGCGGGAGACGAAAGAAACAGCAAGATCTTGTTGACTAGCCATATCGATACGGTTCCTCCGTTCTTTCCCTACTCAATCGATGGGTCCAGGATTTATGGAAGAGGTAGCTGTGACGCCAAGGCCTCGGTGGCCACGCAGGTGTTCACGTACTTGTCGATGCTCCAGCTGGGTGATGTTGTGCCTGGTGACGTGTCGTTGTTGTTTGTGGTTGGTGAAGAAACCGATGGGGTTGGAATGAAGAGTGTTGGGCACAGCTACAATGCTTCATGGGAAATTGGTATTTTTGGTGAACCCACTGAATTGAAGTTGGGGGTTGGCCACAAAGGAATCTTGATGTGCTATGTCAATGTTGAAGGGGAGGCTTCTCATTCAGGTTACCCTGAGTTGGGGATTTCTGCCACTGAAATCTTACTTCCTGTTTTGAACGACTTTTTAACCTCAGATTGGCCCGTGGACGAGTTGTTGGGCCCCACCACATTGAACATTGCCCAGATCAGTGCGGGAGTGGCTGCCAATGTCATCCCACCGTTTGCAAATGCTTCGATTTTTTTTAGAGTATCCTCTGATTTGGAGGCTTTGGATAAGAAAGTGAGATCCAAGTTGGATGGTATTGAACACTTGAGTTATGACATTCCGTTTGAGTCTGCACCCGTTTATTTGGACTACGAGGTGCCTGGTTTCGAGTCGATTATTTTGGCATATGCCACCGATATTCCAAACTTGTACCACCATAACTTGACCAGAAGATACTTGTACGGTCCTGGTACTATTCACGTTGCACACTCGGACCACGAGTATGTAGAAAGCAAGGACTTGGTGGATGCAGTCGATGGGTATAAAAAATTAATCAAGTACAACTTGGAATATTAAGAAAATACTCCACAGCGGACCACCCGATTGGATGGGATGAGCCTGGTGCTAACCAGAACTACAACTGCTCACTACAATATCTAATGTATACATATTTCTATATCTAACATAGGTAAAACATTCCATGTCAGACTCAAACAATGTATTCTTCCATCTAGGCAATGTGTGAAGCAAAATTTACACTGGTCTATAAATTCTGTCAAAATAATGCCAACACATGCTAATTGCATCATGTCCTACACCCATTAGCTCTGAACTCAGGTGCTAAAAGCTGTAGCTTCAAAAGGCAAATTATGCTGTGTGTTCTATAATAAAAATTTTCCACCTTCTCATTCTGTTCGCACCTCATCTCCATCTCACTGCGATCTTACTCCAATCACAAATTTTAGCCATGGAACCAGCATGGAAAAAACTCGGGCTTCAGGTACAGGCTGACCAGGACGAAGGCATTAAGCACTTGGAGTCTTTGGACCAAAAGCAATTAAATCGTTTAAAGAAAAGAAAACAGCCATCCACCACTGTAAATGACTCCAAAAAACCTCCAAAACGACAAAAATTACCAAAGGATAAAAGACCACCACCTCCAGTCAAAGACCAGTATGTGTACTTGAAGCAATTTGTGGAGGACAAACCCAACTGGAAGTTCAGCAAGCAGAAACAGAACTGGATAATCAAGAATATAAATTCAGTTCCGGATGACTATGAAGAATACTTGATCGCATATTTGAGCACCATACAAGGAGGTGGAAGAACCCGGTTGATAGGGGAGTTGAAACAGATTATTGAACAATGGAACAAGAGTATGGTGAAGGTGAAGGAGAATATCGAAAAAAAGATCCAGGCTAAATTGGAAAAGAGAGAGATTGAAGTTGAAGAGCCCAAGTTTACCTACACCCAGGAACACGCGTTGCGGTGCCAGAAGATCTTGAAGACTATGGGAGAGGTGGTCGAGCTTGATGGTTTAGAAAACCAAGAAGAGAATCGGGAATCAAGTGAAGGTGCTGGAACAGGTGTGGACAGTAAACGTAATAGTGAGGTGGAAGCGGAAGATAAGAAGACAGGGAATTCAGATTCAGATTCGTCGAGTTCAGGCACTGAGACTGTTTCAGGTTCGGATTCAGATTCAGATTCAGGTTCGGATTCGGATTCAGATTCAGATTCAGATTCAGATTCAGATTCAGATTCAGATTCAGATTCGGATTCAAGTAGCTCGAGTTCAGATAGTTCGGGCTCAGATTCAGATTCAGACTCAGACTTATCCGCCTCCGACTCTCACGATACAAACTCCGACTTTCCTAATCTCGTCATAGAAACTGCTACTATATAGATTCATACATAAATTCGCATTTTTCCAAAACTTACCGTTGTAACATGATTACATTCAGATCCATCAAAGATAAAGCATTGGACGTGGACCCGGATTTGCGGTTCATGGCCCTAGAAGACCTAAAGAAGCTCTTGGATAAACATCACAGTCCTCAAATCGAAGACTTCGTGGGAGTTTTGTTTAAGCTCTTAGAGGATCAGAATCCTGATGTAAAAAGTCAAACTACAAAAATATTCCCTATCATTTTACCATACGTATCTTCGTCTTGCATCCACAACACCGTATGGAAGCTCTTTCAAAAAGCGCAAAGTGAAAAGGGTGATCCGGTAGCATTGATGGTATTGAAGTTGATCTTCAATTCCAACTTTCTGTTCAGCACAAACCTATCCCGAAAAATCATCGAGATGTTATTACCCCAGTTGACTAAACCTGATATTGGAAACGATATGATAGAGATTTTGATTGAACTCATCAAGAATTTCGGTCCTGAGTTTAAGTTTGAAGAATCCTTGAAGTTATCCAACTACTTGATAAACCTTTCGTTTGCCCAGGTATCTAATTCTATTGGGAAAAAGGCCATTTTTGCATTGGACTTGTTGTTGTCCAATAAGTTTGATATAGATACCGAGATTTTCGACTCACTATTGACTTGCATTAACTTGGACTACGATAAATCCAACAAGTCGTTCAAGTACACTTACAATAAGTTGGAATTGACCCTAACATTAGTTAAGAACTTGGACAATTTGAACATTCCATTGACAACTTCAATAGTTGAAGAGCTCTTCAACCAAGTACAATACCACCTAAATTTCGAACCGGAAGACCTCGATTACGATCAAATCCAAGAGGATAACTTAATCAAAGAAGTGTCTTTGGATATCTTGATCAACATTGTCAACTACAATTTAAGTGTAACCTATGTTATCGAGAAGTTCATCGATTACAACCCAATGAAGTCGGAAGACGACTCTGACTTTGATGTAGAAAACGAGGAAGACGAGGTGGAGTTTAGTGATGATGACGAACTTGAGAACCAGCAAGAAGACTTTGATGATGGGTCCTGGAAATTGAGACTCAAGTCTATTGTGTTGATTTCCAAGTTGAAGGACACCAACTACTTGCCTAAGTTGATCGAGAAGATTGGTGACAAAAACGAGTTTATATTCAAATACTCTGTTTCAACAATCAACTCTTTGCTTATTTCCGGCTCCGTGGACTTGATCCCCTCTATCGAAAGCCAAATTATTGCCAACATAAGCAATGAGAACTTGTTGACATTTTTATCTTTGATTGAAACCATCTTGTCGAGAGATTTGACGTTGTCCGACGATTTTGTCCAAAACTTCTTGAATTACTTGGAGAATAACATTAAGAATTTTGAGTTGATCGAGGTTTTGGGATCGTTGAATTTGATCATTAGCAATATGTCGTTTCACTTGTTGAACAGCATCAGTGAGAAATTAGTGCCAACATTGTGTGGTCTATTAGCTAAGAACTCCAACCTTGTTTTCATGGACTTGAAAATCTTAAATCAACTTCTTGCTAGATTAGACTCCGAGAGAAATGAGACTATCTTCAGATCTATCATTGAAAAGTTGAGTGATTCAAAGTTGTTGATTGACTTGAAAATTGAGTTATTGAACTCACTCAATGTCTATATCCTCAACAACCAAATTGATAGCGAAGAAAAGATCCAATTGATCGTTGCGATCTATGAACAAAATTTAAATTCGGAGTTGATGATCAAGTCCAACTTAAGTAATCTTAACCAAATATTTGACAAGAGCTTGAATCCGAATGTTGCCAAATTTTCCAGCAATAAATCCTTTGAAACCATCCTTATTAATACGTTAAAATTGTACTTAAACTCCAACCCAAACAGCAAGTCGGTTTATTACTCGATTTTACATTTGTTCAAAAAGCTTGACTACTCGCTCAATACTGATGAATTATTAGACTTTGGGATATCTCACAGTAACGATGTCAAAATCGTTAACTTGATATTTGACAACTTAAGCAGTATTACCTTCAGTCAGGAGGAATTGGAGCACTCGGTAAAGTTTATCAACTCAATTGAAGACCTTGAAGACCCTGAGCTTGTTCTTCTTGATGGGTTTGTAGCCAATGTTTGCAGCCAAGGAAATTTCTATAACCAGTTTGAAGCGTCCTTGGATTTGAACAAACTCATCAGTATCAAGGCTATGGCTTTGATTACCATTAAATTGGGGTTAACTGAAAAGATCCAAAACCTGCAAACGAAAATGAACGAAATGATCATCAATAAGGCTTTCAACAAGGATTTCAATCAAATTTTACAATACTTGAGTTTTATAAACTTGAATTATGATTTGGAACATATAAACTTAAAACAGTTGATTAGCTTGTTGAATTTTGAGGATATTGATGGGGCTACCAAGTTTGAAATCAGTAAGTGCTTAGGCTACTTGACAAAAACAACACCACATCTATTAATTGAGAAATTCAATAACAATGACGACTTGATCAAGGTTCAGCTCTTGAACTCAATTAAGTATTACTTAAAGAACTTTAGTAATCAAGAATTTGAAGCTCAGATTTGGAAACTCTTGTTAGATGAAGTGAATGTTCCCAGCATAAAGAAGGAGTTCAAACTCATTGGAGAGATTCTTTCAATAATTGCTATCAAGAACGAAGAGTTTGGAGAAGTCTTGAATATCTTGAAGTTGGAGAATCAGTCTATTGGTCTTATCTTTGCTAATTTGATCATAGTCAATCATTTGATTGTTAACTTGAACGGCCATGCTGAGCTTATTAACGAATTTATCCTACTCAGCTTGAAGTTCTTTGACATAACCAATATCGAGTTGAAGATCATCCTTGTGAAGAACCTCATCAATGTGTACTACAACTATCTGGTTCTACTAAACGAAAATATTTCGTTAATCTTGCCTAAATTATTTGATGAGTTAAAAGCGTACGATGAGTTCAAAAAAATCATTCCAATGGGTCCTTACAAGTATGTAATTGACCAAGGATTGGAAATTCGGAAATTGATCTTTGAGTTGTTGTATTCAATTATTGGTGACGCTAGTATTTCCAAAGACTTGGATTACTTGACTAATGAAATTGTTGCAAAGGGATTGACTGACAAGGAGTTTGATGTTGTAAACTTGAGCTACACCAGTTTATTGAAATTGATACACTTGAACATCGAGTACTTAAACAACTTTAGTAATGTGGATGGATTGATTAACAACTTGACGGTTAATTTGAATAAGAAGTTGAAAACCAAGGCCACTAGTCAGGAAATCGAGATTTTCCAGGAGAGTCAGAAGAATTTGGTTAACTTGCTGAATAAGATTAACGATGTTTTGCTGAAATACAACTGGAGTTATAACAATTGGGATGTTTACTATAATGCTGTGAAGAAGTTGGGAGACTTTTAGGAGGCAGCAACTATAGTAGGATATCACCGAATTGTATTCTTACACTGAGTATCACAAGATAGATTTGTTTGGTACACATTATATACTACTTTCACAATAATATTATCAATTACTTCTTTCCTAAATCACCTTCGGTCTTTCCAAGCTCACCTTCAGTTTTAGCAACCTTACCTTCAGTTTTAGCAACCTTACCTTCAGTTTTAGCAAGTTCACCTTCAGTTTTACCAACCTTACCTTCAGTTTTACCAAGTTCACCTTCGGTTTTACCAAGTTCACCTTCAGTTTTACCAAGTTCACCTTCAGTTTTTCCAAGTTCACCTTCAGTTTTTCCAAGTTCACCTTCAGTTTTACCTACCTTACCTTCAGTCTTTCCAAGTTCACCCTCAGTTTTACCTACCTTACCTTCGGTCTTTCCCTCAGTCTTGCCTACCTCAGTCTTTGCAAATCCTTCAGTCTTTCCGATATCACTAGCATCGCCCTTCTTGCCGCTTTGCTTCTTACCAATTGATCCTAATTCTCCAAAGTCTCCCATGTCGATGAGTTGCTAAATTTCGCGAAACCCTATGACTTTGATTGTGGTGGACTTCGATGAGACCATCACCGAACATGACACAATTCTGTTGATCAGCCAAATTCCATATACAACAGACCCCACCAAAACTCCACCGTTCGAGTACTTCACAAATGTGTACTTGCAAGCCCTAGAAAAATACCGTTCAGTTGCCAACATACCTAAAAGTATGGCAGAGGAAATCGAGTACCAGAAAGGTATGAAGTCGGTGGAAATGTCGTCTATCAACGAATTAGAACGTCACCAACTCTTTAATGGAATCACCAAACAAAGCCTAGCCGAGCAGGCGGTGAAAGTGAAAGTAAAGCCCGGATTTTCCAAGTTTTTGTCCATATGCTCATCTCGTCAAATCCCTGTGAAAATTCTTAGTGTCAATTGGAGCTCGGTACTAATTAGAGGGGTTTTGGCTGGGTTAGGATACGAGTTGGACGTGATGGTGAATGAGCTCCAGTTCGACGGCCACAGCGTTTGTACGGGTCATTTCGACCCAACTATCAGTGTGCGGACCGGCTACGACAAGTACATGGCCATTGAACAATTAAAACGCCAGTACCACAACCAGAAGCTCATTTACATTGGTGACAGTCGCACGGACTTGCTTGCCCTTTTAGCAAGTGATATGGGTGTGATTATGGAATCTGGAAGTCTAATTCAAAAGCTTCCGTGGGACATTGATGTGCGGCAATTAAGTGGCGGGAGTGACATACACGGACTCTACACATCAAATTGGTACCATATAAACGAATTTTTGGAATTAAATACTATATAATACAAATCAATGCATCTTTTACAATAGACTGAGACAAATTTTCTTCAAATGCTGCTAATTTACAATGCTAATGGAATAAAGGCTGATGCGTAGGTTATTGTCTCCAGTAAGAGTAGTTGGGGACCTGAGAATAGAATTGGGGCGGCGGAGGTCCCATGGGTAACGGGTAGTTGCCTCTGGGGGGATGGCCCTGGGGTGGCTGAGGAAGTTGCTGGGGCCCTGGGGTGGACTGAAATCCCTGTGTTTGGGGGTACGGCACCTGCTGGTGGTAGGGCGGTGGAGGCCGAAGGATTTGGTGCTGGGGCCCTCCCTGGGGGAGTTGACCCGCTTGCACGACGATTCCTGGCGGTGGTGGTGCAAACTGATAGGGCGCGGCCATGGGAGATGGGCCTGGCCCTCCGTTGGGGAAGGGAGCAAACTGTTGGGGCGACGCCTGCGGGTGGGGCTGGTGGGAACTGGGGGTGGTTTCGACCTCCCGTCGGGGAGCTGGCACTGGCGTGGACGCCACTGTAGTGGCACTTCTTTCGGGCTCCTCAGTCTTGGTCATCGCTGGCATCGGCGTATCTGATTTGTCGGCCAACTTAATCCGCTCCGGCAACTCGAGATTGAGGTAACTCAAAATCAAACTATCGGGCAACTCTATGGGGGTTCTGAGGTCGACCTCGTCGGGGTTCTTTTTGTAAAGGTCAATTTGAGCGTGTAATTGCGCAGCACTTTCGGGATGACCCAGCTCGTTAAAGCACTTGAGCGACCGTTCACATGCGTCAATGGCATCAGCCACTTGGTTTTCACACCGTTGGTACACACAGCTCAATCCGTCCCACGCAAGGGCCGAGCCCAAGCTAAATTCGTCGGATTGGAGCCGCAATGCCTGTGAGTATGCAGATAAGGCATCTGGCAACTGGTTGAGATTGAGGTACAAATGGCCAATTAAAAGCCAGGTCAACGATACTTTGGAGGATTTTTGCAAGCAGATTTGAAGGCAGTTGAAGGAGTTTTTGAACTCGGCCAACTTGAAATAGTTGTAGCTCAAGAGAAACCACGGCAAAAAATCATTGATCGACTCGTTGAAATTGACCACATAATTCAAATTTTTCAACGAGAGGTCGGGATCCACTCGATTTAACAAATACAGATTCACCACAATGAGGTGATAGTTTGACGGGTTGAAACGCACCAGCTGATTCGAATAGTAGTATGCTTCATCCATCTGCTGGGTGTTAATAAGGGTAAGAATCAAATAGTAGTACAATTTGTTGTTGAAGCGCTCGAGCACTCTAGCAGAGTCCAACGACATCAAGCACTGTTGGTACTGTTTTTCCCGGAATTGGTGACGAATCGTAAGGATGTGTAGCTTGAGCTTCTGCTCCCGAGATGACGCGAGCTCATTACACCTGTGAAGACATTCTTCAAGATCAGGTGTCTGACTCACCTGGAAGTAGCTCAAGGCGCTTAAATATAAAATGTCGAACCGGAGGTCTGAGTCGCCGGAATCGATACGTTGTAACGTCGTCAACGACTTCTCGAACTCGCCGACATTGAAGTAGAGTTGGGCCAATTGGAAGGTCACCTGTTCCACATCGGACTGGGTAACACTGGCGTTTGCGGTGAAGTACATCAAAAATTGGTTCAAGTAGTTGATGGTCTGATTGGTGTTATCGAAGCCACTGGTATCATTCTCGAACTTGGCACAGCACTTACTGAGATTGATTAGGGTTTGGGGGTTGGATTGTTTGATTTTGAGTACACTTTGGAAACACTTGATGGAGACGTAGTAGTTATCAAACTCGACTGCCAAAGACCCTAGTCTATTCCAGAGATCGATGATGACATCGTCATCGGTGGCGCTGATGCTGGCACCATTGGAGTCACCGTTCATAGCGGGCTGATGGGATGCACTATGGTTGTTGTACTTGACAGCATCCATATCAATCTATCAAAGACAGGGTGAATTTTGACTTGCGGAGTCTGACGAATGATGATTTGTAAGGAAAGGAGTGGAGTTGTCAAGAACAAGGTTGGGTGGCACTAGAGGAAGAATCCAATTTGATAAATTTTGCAGATGAACAAAACACGGGAATATATTGGGTGAATTATTTGTTCTGTTTTTTAGAAAAGTTTAATGGGTATGGAATATCAAGTTTTTTTTTATTTTGTAATTGTGGAAAATTAAGTCAAAAAGAAAAAAAATTAAATTTTAAAAACAATTAAAAGAAAATATTTGAAAATGTTTTTCCAATAGAGCCAGTTTCCGACCAACCTAAAACAGCAAAATTATTTATTTTAAAAGAAAAGTTATCATGAACTAACCTGGTGCATAAATAGAAATAACACTTGGAACCCACCGAAGACACAAACCCAGGAAATATAGTTCTTGTTCTACCCAAAGCCTACTCGTCATTAGAAACTAAAAGAATCTCCGACCCATACGGTATTTCACTATCTTTCAGTTATATGACAAAGAGCATTGGCCCATCGAACTCTTAGAGTTTTTTTGGCAGCAACAATGTCTTGCGGTTGGGCGTCTAGCTCAGTCGCCATCCAACCCCCCTTTATGTACGTAAAGTCAGCCATTTAAAAATAAATCGTTCGTCCCTCGCATAAACCCATGTGTACTGTATATACAATAGTCGCCCGCATAAGAGGAGTACATAAATACAGGTCTGGTATTGGGGATTCAACCGCCATACAGCACCTAATTGGTGAATTCGTCTTGTAGACATCCGTTCCTTCGGCATTTTCCACCAAGGTGTATTTGGGTTGCGGTAGTGAAGTTTTTGCCGCTTGACAACACCATTCTTGTGCTAGTTCACGTTGCCACATGATTATTTTGATAATACGCGTAACCCCATTAACCGCAAGTTGCAGATATTAGTTCGCTAGTTCTTCCTCTGCCGGGAGGTGCAGCTTTAAGAATGCCCAGTGTTTGAACCGCCACCTCTCTATTGTTGATAGACCTGACTACTCTTTCAAAAATTCTGTGAAAATGTGAATAAAATTATAGGTGACATAGTTATGATGCATGGCTAGCTCAATGTAGAATCTTGATTTCAGGTTGTAAACTTTCAACGGATATTTTGAATGTTTCCTTCGGTAAATTTGAATGTACTCTTTGGAAATTTAGCGATAAAACATGTTCTATAGTTGGGTTAGGCGCAACTCACATAGCACGCGTAACTTACAATAGAGATTCCAGAAATGCAAGGTGCCATTGGGTGTGCGTAAGACATGTACGTATGTTGATCTCGTAATCCTGCAAGATGAAGTGGACTGTCTGAATCCATCCTAATCTAAGAACAATCCGGAGAGGCATGTGCATTTGAAACTAGGTGTCCGAGTGCCCGTCTCAATTCATGTTATTAATTTCTTGATGTCGATGTAACCGAGAATGAAATTTAATTCCATTCGCTACCGCCAATGGGAATCGCAGCGCGGCCATACCGACCATCCAATAATAGCCACCTTTTTTCTTTAATCCCGACAAATACTAGCAGTACACTTTTCGTCAATACTGGTTACACCCCCCGTACTAATATGATAGGACTGACCCAAAAAAATTTTCAGGGCAATAGTTCCATGGTATTGGTGACTCCAACAATAAGGAGGTAAAGGGGCTTAACTGCAACGGAACGCACCTTCTGTATGCGGTGTTATTTTTTAGTGGATTTAAAATTGTCCTAATTGAATCTGTACCGGTTGCAAGCGTTGAGAAGATTCCATGCGATCCCACCCACAAAGCGGCGGCGTTTGTTTTGTTCCCTGGTATAATTCGGCTGACATAAATAGAATGTTGCGCGTTGTACAAGACTGTTAACCAAATTAAAACCTTATTCTGCGGGATACCCATGAACACATTACCTTGCGTGCCCCGTGCTATTGTTTAAAACTAAGTTCGGGCAAAACATGTATCAGAGTGTTGCTGCCCCATCTCAGATTTTTCAACTAATTACATCTGGCGGTTACGCGGACTTTTCCGGATTAGGACAGGAAAGGTGCATTTGACGTTCGCCACTCACACGGAGACGCTGGCGAGTATGTACAGGTGCTTCAAACAATAGGGGAAATGCATTTGTGGATTCTACATCAACGGGGCCCGGCGTCCCTCGGCCGCGCGGTGGCGGCCCGAGACTGGCCCTAAACTGGCCCTAACCAGACGATCAGGTCTTCCCAAATTACGACATTCGCTCCGCGACTTCACTGCTGCGACTTCTCAACTGCGACTTCTCAACTGCGACTCTTTGCTCATCGCAACTCCATGTTAACCCGTTTGCTATATATCCGAACACCGCATGTGTTCCGCCGAAGTGCTTCGGTGCTTTCAAACCTCGTGTCCAAGTGTAGCTCGTGTGGGATTCAGTTGCAGCTGACAAGTGCCGCTGCCCCGGGGTATATACCCTTAGTGTCTCACAAACCGTTCCAGAGACAAGAAGACACCATCTACAACAAATACACAAAACACCTCGATCCCGAGGATATGGCTCTCCTTAATCTCCATCCGACGGCGGCAGAAAGTCAGCATCCAAGACACAAACACACCTCCGACTCTCTGTATAAGGATTGTCTTCGGTGCCGCCAAATCAAGCACAAGCATCAGTTCAACAGCGTTGAAGAAACGCAGAATCTTTCTACAACGTCGATAATCGACAAGGTTGAGCATATAAATGGTCAAATGGTTTATGCCATCAGCGCCATCGACTTCCCCCTTGGAATCAACAAGCAGTTGGTCAACCAGTATAAACCAATTGTGGTGATCACCAAATGTGACTTGATTTTCCCCCAAAAAGAGACCATGGCCAAGTTCCCATTCTACAAGGAATACATGACCGCCAAATTCGAAATTCCGCCCACCAACGTGTTCCTAGTCAGTTCTCGTCGCGATTGGGGCTTGCAGACCCTTAACAGCGTTTTGCAGTCAAATCCACAAAAGTACTTTATTGTGGGAGACATCAACAGTGGAAAGTCGTCTCTCATTTCTAAGCTTCTTTTGAGAGACCGGGGCGATACCCGGATGAAGTATGACGTGTGGGCTGCCCGCAATGGTCCTGGAATCAGTAATTTGCCCGGATTTACCCGAGGTGAGTTGCAATTCTCAATCTCAAACTACGAGCTTATAGACCTTCCTGGATTGAACCACATGAATTTCCCTAATTTTGCTCGACTAAAAAATGTGTTCAAAGCACCACCGCTCTATCGTAAAGGGTTATATCTGTCCCAGTACGACACCATAAAAGGGGGTCAGGTGCTAGCGGTGGGAGGCTTTTTCTATGTCAAACTTCCCGACAATGGAATGATCTTGCAGTACAAAAACCTTATCAACGTGCTGCCGGTGGTTCTCCGTGACACCGATAGAATCGGGGCTTTGGAGCAGAAACTCGACCCTTCGCTCACAAACAAGTTTCTTATCCCTCCCACCACAAAACTCAGAAAACTTCTCATTCCGCCGTTTGTAGGAAAAATCGATCTTGTGGTCAAGAACTTGGGGTACCTAGAGTTGACACCAACGGGGTCGAAGTCGGACAATAAGCTCATTGAGGTGTTGGTGCCGGAGAATTTAGATCTTCAGATAATAGTCAGAAAACCACTTGTAACTTACGTGCAAAAAGTGCTTAGTGGCCGGAACAAAAACGGAAATGTGCTCAGCTTGCCCAACTTGTGGAAGTCAACGAAAGTTGTACAACACTACCGTAATGAAAAGTTGTACAGTCGATTATACCCGTTTTTGCAGTCGCAGCAACAGTCGATTGAAGCTCTTAGTGGGATGCAGTATGCAGAAGACACCGAGATTACCCGAGAGAACTACGATGCTTATTGGTTAGAGTAGCGTGTGTAGAGAGCCTGTAAATAGCTGTAAATAGTTTATTAACTATAAACACCCTATTTCATGAAACTTTATTTTAAGCTTCCATCGCTGCGCTCACCGCTGGTACTATCTCGGCCGAGCGCGCACTCAGATCCAGATTGCCCGAGCCATAGGATGGCGCGGTGGCAGCTCCTGCACCTGACCGCGTCGCAGGGGCACAACAAGCCTCCAAACCAATGCCACGTAAAGGGGCCAAGGTAAACAAGATTAGTCAATCTGATTGCCGTTTGGGGCAGCGATGGAAATATTTTCGCAGGCGTCTTTGTTTGCTCCAGGCCCTTGTGCGACCAAAACATTGTTTGATTGCCAGCTCATTAACCAAACCCTTTTTATACCACAACTCCCAACACATCTACCAACTACTTTATGTTTTCCCGAGACTCCAAAACAAGGCGGCCCTTGAGCCAGTCGTTGTCTCTTACCAACCTCCACCTCTTTACCCGATCTCGTGAACCGTCGTTGTCCCACACCAAATCGTCTGCTCCTTTACAAAACATCACAAACACCGCGATCAACACCTCCCGTCTGCGGCCCGCTAAGCAACGCTACTCGTCACTATTCGACAAGGAGAACGAGACCAGACAGCGCCTTCATAAGCGGTTTTCCGTCAACTTCAAACAGGTAGAAGACAGTGACAGCGACGATGAGACGATTAAAAGCATCAACACATCTCCATTCACAAACAACGATATGATGTCGCTCAATCTTTCGAGTATCACCCTCGAAGATGAAGAGCCTTCGAAAGACAAACCTGAACTCTCCAAAAGTGAACTTCCCAAAGACGACAAGCGAATGTCACGAATGTCGAATCTCTCGAGCATTCTCGAGTTTGTGCACCAGATCAACTATGACGTGGCGCCGCCGTTCGGTGACCCGGCGAAGCTGAAGGTCTTTGAAGAGGTGCAAATCGGCCAATTTAATGCCACTTCTGACTACCATATCAAGTTGGTGCACAACGCAATGCTCTTCCAGTACGACGAGGCTGATATTGTGGACCCGTTGGGGCTCGATGACATTGACTACGCAGCCGTGTTTGCAGCGCCATACCACGAGGAGCTAAGCATCTAGCCGTGGGTTTGAAATGTATTTACGTGGTGATGATTTTAGAGAGCCGAAGGGCCAAATGTCGCAGCTGCATCGCGAACTCACCTCGCGAGATCTTTGTATAATAGTGTATAATTCCAATCATATTCTTATGAGCAGGTACTTATTCTCGCGCACCGCCGCTGTGGTTGGCGCCGTGGCAGCATCGTCGTTCGCCACGTACACCCTCACCCGTGCCCATCTTCAATCCAACCTCCCGTCCGATTGGTTCCCCAACGAGAGCACCACCAAACTCCATTCCATTTCTACTCCCCAGTACGCCACCCCATCGCAACTCCAGCACGCTATCCGTGAACTACGCGATGTTCTAGGTGACACCAATGTCGTTAACACCCCCGTGGTGCTTGAGTACCACACTCGTAATGAGTTCAATCCGCACGAGCCCAAACCTCATGAGAAGCCCAAGTATGTGATATACCCTAGATCCACAAACGACGTCAGCGAGGCCATGGCCATCTTGAACCGGTACCGTGTGCCGGTGGTGCCGTTCAGTGGCGGCACATCTCTCGAAGGCCATTTCTACTCTACTCGGGAAGGTATCGTCATGGATACCTCCAAAATGGACCAGGTCCTCGCCATCAACTCCGAAGACCTCGACGTACAGGTCCAGGCGGGCGTCAATTGGGTTCGCTTGAACGAACAGCTTGCTCCGCACCAGTTGATGATCGGGTCTGACTGTGGACCTGATGGGTTGATTTCTGGCATGATTAACACCAATGCTTCGGGTATCAACGCATCCAAGTATGGGGCCATGATCTCCAACGTCATCTCCCTTACGGTGGTGTTGCCAGACGGGAAAATAGTCCGTACCAAGCAACGGCCCCGTAAACTGAGCTCAGGGTACAGTTTAACACAGCTTTTTGTCGGAAGTGAGGGAACGTTGGGAATCGTCACCGAGGCCACCCTTAAATTGCACCCAATTCCCAGGTACGAAACAGTGATTGTGGGCCAGTTCCCCACACTCTTGGACAGCACCAAGACAGTGAGCCAATTGTACCGTGCTGGAGTCCACCCTAATGCCATTGAGTTATTGGACAGAGACATGATGCACTGCATCAACTATCTGGGTTACTTCACCCAAGAGTGGGCTGAGGTACCCACACTTTTCTTCAAAGTGGGTGGAATGAGCAAGGCAATGGTGGACGAGCAGGTTAAGGTTTTAAAGGAAATTAGTGTGAAGAATAACTGTAAGGATTTTATTGCTGCAAAAAGTGAGGAAGAAGGAAAAGAGCTTTTCTCGGCCCGCAAAAACGCATTTTACGCCATTCTCAACTATGGTCGCAACGAGATCGACCCCGATATTCGGTTGTGGGTCACCGACATCGCGGTACCGCTTTCAAAGCTTCCGCCAGTGTTGGACCAGATTTACGCCATGATCAGAGAGAGCGGGTTCCAGAGTGTTATTCTCGCGCACGCAGGAGATGCCAACTTCCACTGCGATGTTTTCTACAAGGACCACGAGAAGGACAAGTGTGAACTGCTTATCAACAAAATGATGGATCTCGGGCTCGTCAATGAAGGAACCGCATCAGGAGAACATGGTATTGGTAATGGGAAGAGAACTTTTTTGATTCAAGAATTGGGTCAAGATGCGGTGGATTTAATGAGAAGAATCAAACTTGCAGTCGACCCCAACCGGATTTTGAATCCTGATAAGATTTTTAAGATCGACCCAAATGATAAGGGGGAGTTTTAGGATATGCCCCACAAAAGTATTTAGAGACATAGGATTACTGATATGACATAGACCAATCTGAGCATATTAGATAGAGTGAAATAGATACCAGTAATCAGCAACAGAGAATATACTCAATAGATGTGGCAGCTGAAATTTCATGACTTACGACACTGATATCAGTCACAACGATAGTGAAATTACAAATATGGATAACATAGCTATTATTAGTTAAGATATGACCTTCTCTTATCTAGTGTCTCTAATCAATATCAGGCCAATAACCTCTGCACCGCTTATCTGACCCAAACACCCACCGTATGTCTCGGACATTGCGCAGCTACAATGACACATTGCGCAACCGGTGGGGTCCATTCCCAAATTGTGTCATCTTCCCCTATTGAAGGCTCGTGACCTGATTGGCAGATAACTATCTCAGACTCCACAGCCGTACCGTGGCTGCTACCCTGTCTTCACCGGCGCGTATAAGCCGAGCGCATCTCTTGCGGCCCCACCACACAAATACCCTGCCAAACCCAATCCACAAATTCGCGCTTGGCCATGGAGTTGGCCGAGCTTATCAATTCGATCCACAAATTCACCATAAATCCATCACAATCAGATAAGCACATACCGTCCTGTAGCAACCAAGTCCCGGTCAAGTAGTTTTCCCTTTTCCAGAATCGTGACAAATCCTTTGGTGGCACGGCGAGACCCTTTTTCGCCAGGCCTACCATGGAGATGCGCTTATCTCTTATCACGAAAAACAAAACAACCGCTGCCGTGCTTATCAGAGAATCCACAGTGATGATAACATAGTAACATTTACGTGACAATAGGGGCCTTCGGTCATAGATTTGAATAATGTGTGGAACAGGAACCAACTTCCGAATACGACCTGGCGGTTGCAGTTTCCCAACCCCTATGTATTGTATCTACGTTTCTGGTCACCGATTAGGAGCAATCATCAAATTTTTCACTGTCGCACCTTTTGTTTTTCTCCTTTTCTATACCCGGAAAAAAAATTTTTATCATTCAAAACACCAAGTACACATTCATGTCGTATAATTACAACGCCGAGTTGAACCAAAAACTCGATGGGTTGAACTTGAGTGACAAACGTAACATCAATATCCTCCCCAAGCGATCGTTACTACTGAGTTCTCTCGCTAACGAAAGACTCAATTCCTTGCATGGCGACTATGAAGTAAACTATTTGGCGCCTGCTCAACTATCACCAGAACATCCAGAAGACCACCCAGAACCCACCTTACTTGCAACCAGCGTTGGTAAGGACTTGGATGGCCGGCTCATACCTTCGTCCTCGACGATTTCCCTCATGTCATTGAACGATCAACACCAACATTTATCACCCAATCTACCCCAACAACAGTTTCTCACTGGCGGCTTCACCACGTCGCCCCAACAACAACCACTTGGAAGTCAGGGTCTTGACGACCCTAACTACACCCTTTCCTCCAAGAACATTCTCGATAGAAAGTCCGGACTCCGTAGTCGCAATTCTATCACCCACTTGAACCAAAAGCGCTTTGAAACATACCAACGCATGTCGAGCCCAACCACCAACGAAGACGACCATTCGACATCCCAGAGCATCCCCATTAACGGCAAACTCATCCCGGACCTGCCTAATCTTGATCCCACCTCGTTGACGGGTTCTCCATCTCGATTCTGGTTATCGTCTCAGACTCCACCAAGGTCCATGAACAACTCCTATAAAAAGCTTTCGGCGTTGTCCCACCTTCTGCCGCAGGTCCCAAACCAGCAGCATCTTCACCGGCACCTTCTGCACCTCCAGGCCCAACAAAGTCAGTCTCAACAAACGTACGATATCAAGTCTGGGCTCTCCCAAGCATTTCTGTCACAGGCTGGGGTCCTGGATCCCGTTAACATTCCTCAGCATTCGGGTGGAGACTCTCCCATCTTGAACCCAGTTCAGACTCCCAGTGAAGAACAGCCAATGACTCCGTTGTACTTGAACAACAATGAGTTTTATAATCCAACTAGCTACTTTGGAATGAACTCCACCGAGAACATCGATGAAGAGGATGAGACTTACCGCGACGATGCGGCCGTGTCCTCCATCATGTAGCTGCAATTTATAGGTATAGGAAGGTAATAGCATAGAGCATTGCTCATTAGATTTAGTATTCTGGTTGTATTTTGGTGGTAATCTTTATCCCTTTCCATCACTAGGCTGCATTTTTCAAAATCTGCGACTTCTAGTCAGAGGCAATATGTCCACCTACGAAGGTATGTTTAAAGCGCTACCACCACAACGCCACTCTACTAACGTATAGATGATCACAACATCTCCTCATCTCGCCCCCAAGAGGACAATGAGAGAACACGAACCCACCAATCACTCTCGTCCATTATTGATTCGTTTGTGACCTCCAACCACTCGCACATAGAATCCTTACCAGAAACTCAAGAAAGTCAGATCGAAACTTTCCGAAACGCACTTCAGGTCCTCAGCGCCGAAGAAGGATCCACATTGGCGACAGACCTTATAGGAGTTCTTGAGGATCAAGATTTCAACCCCAAAAAGGGTCTCCCAGATGATTACTTGGATACTTTAGACCGAGTGAGCCTTAAAGACTTGACCCCTGAAGACGACTGTCCCATTTGTACCAATCGCTTCGTGGAAGACAAGTATCCATTGATTGTGAAACTTCCCTGTAACGCCAAAACCAAACACAGAGGCCATATTTTTGATTTGGAGTGTATTGGGCCATGGTTAAAGATGAATGCTACATGTCCGTTGTGTCGATTTGACTTATCGGAATTGAACCAGAAACGTAAAGAGAGACTTGCAGAAGAGCTTAGACTCATCAAGGAACAAGAGGAAGAAGAGGAGGAGGAAGATTGGGACGTTTATGGGTGAAATCTATGTTAAAACTTTTTTTTTTCATTATATACAAGTATAAACCTGACCTGGCATCACTGGTCCATATGTTTTTTGAATGCATCGGACTTCAACAACTCGTCCACCTTACTCATAATAGGATCATTGGAGTCTTTGAAGCCTTCGGGGATCTTGACATCTTCAACGCTCACACTGTCCAACTGCTCCACAAAGTTCGCAGACTCTCTGGTGATGATTTTGGCAGTATAATGAACCGTTTCCAACGCATGTTTGTTGACATAACTCAACCACAAGTCCACCACTTCTGGGTTAGCATCGAATGCATCCAACTTATAGTTAAAGGTGGTTCTGTAGAAATTCTCTTTGGACTTGGCTTGGGCAAACGGCGACTTGATGACGGTATATAATCTCTTTTCCGTCTTCTGTTTCATTATTCCTGATACTGGTATTCCCAAGTAAAAGGCAGCCCTGCTGGCGAATTCAATAGCTATATTTATATCGGTTTCATCATATCCTCTGAATTTCATGGAAACCACTTTGTGTCCATGTGTTTTGGGCAACCGTATGGGTTTGTACTTCAAGAGTTCCACGTTGATAGGAATAGGTTTGGTTCCAGATCCCTTAACGGCGTTTTCACTCAAGTATTTGGGTTTGTACTCAAGCTCACCTTGCAACAACGACTTCTCAAACTCCTGTTGTTGAAGCTTTTCTTGAGTCTTTTGCTGCAATAATTCGGCAGGGGTGAGTTTCTGAGCAGCAAATAACTTTGGTCCCGTGCTGAAAAGCCTGAGATTCAAGCCCAAAAGTCTTTTGCTACCAGTTCTGATCATGGTTCTCACTGGTTGAAAATTTTTTGGTTTTTGGTTTTGGCTTTGGCGACAAAAAGTGTCGCGAAACCAGTTGAATTTTTCAACTGGTGAAGCTCATCTCAGCCATGGGGAAAAGCAGTAAGGACAAAAGAGACTTGTACTATAGAAGAGCCAAAGAAGAAGGATGGAGAGCTCGTTCCGCTTTCAAGCTCCTTCAACTCAATGAACAGTTTGAGCTTTTCAAAGGAATCTCCAAAGTAGTGGATCTTTGTGCTGCACCGGGCAGCTGGAGTCAAGTTCTTTCCAGAGAGCTTTACGAAGTGCAAAAAAATCCCAATGGACAAATAGTCGCCGTGGACCTACAACCAATGACACCAATAAATGGAGTTACGACTCTCCAGGCAGATATCACCCATCCCAAGACCTTACAGCGGATTTTGGATGAATTCCACGGAGAGTTGGCAGACTTTGTCTGTAGTGATGGTGCACCAGATGTTACTGGTTTACACGATTTGGATGAATACATCCAAGCGCAGTTGATTCTTTCTGCTCTTCAGCTAACGACGTGTATTCTCAAGCCTGGTGGGACGTTTGTTGCTAAGATCTTCAGAGGAAGAGATATTGATTTGCTTTACTCACAGCTCAGCTATCTCTTCGAAAAGGTCATTTGTGCCAAACCTCGATCGTCGAGAGGTTCTTCGTTGGAAGCCTTCATAGTATGCTTAAACTATCGTCCCAGGCCTGAATGGGTCCCCAAACTCGAGCTAGACAAGTCTACGGAAGAGTTTTTTGAAGATGCAAATATTGGTAAATCCAAAAACCTAGAGTTCTTGGACCTTCCCAACGACGAGCGAGTGATTGCAAAATTTATTGCGTGCGGAGACTTGAACGATACCGACTCAGATGCAACATACACATTAGAAGGAAGAAGAGAAGTACTAGATCCAATCCAAATGCCTACCTCTCCACCGTACAAACAAGCACTTGAGATGAAAAGGAGAGGCGCTTTGGTGAGGAATAAATAACCATTAGGTCAGAACTATATTAATTCTGCTGTATATTAGGACAATGTAAAGAGCTTATTTAAATCTATTGGTCAGACAAGACCAATTCTTACTTCTCGCTTCTATCTTCACCCTTGACAAAGTCATCGGGTTTCAAGGTTGGGAACAATAACACTTCTCTGATGGTGTTGGAGTTGGTCAAGAACATGGCTAATCTGTCGATACCACAACCCCAACCTGCAGTTGGTGGCAACCCATACTCCAAAGCGTTACAGAAGGTCTCATCCACCATTTGGGCTTCGTCATCACCTTGATCCTTTTGTCTAGCTTGTTCTTCGAATCTGGCTCTTTGGTCAAATGGGTCGTTCAACTCGGTGTAAGCATTACAGATTTCCTTGGTGGCCACAAACACTTCGAATCTTTCACACAATCCAGGAATACTTCTATGTCTCTTGGCCAATGGAGACATCATTTGTGGATGTCCAAAGATAAAGGTTGGGTTGATACAGGAATCTTCCAAGTCACCAACCAACTTGTCCAACATTCTGGCGTTGGTTAAAGGTGGAGTACAGTCAAGTTTGTTGTCGATTAAGATCTGTTTCAAGAATTTACCGGTTTCTTCGGTGTGTAATTGGTCACCAGGAGGGAACTTGACGTTGTAAACCTTCTCCAACTCTTCGATCATGTTAATTCTCTTCCATGGTCTGGTAAAGTCCAAAGTCAAAGCTTCTCCAGTAGGACCATCAGGATGGTAGGTGACTTTATAGTCACCAGTGATGGACTTGACCATTTCACTGAACATCAACTCGGTCATGTCCATCAAGTCGTACACATCCGCATAAGCTTGATAGAATTCACACGTGGTGAATTCAGGGTTATGGGTCATGTCAATTCCTTCGTTTCTGAACTGTCTACCGATTTCATAAACTCTGTCCATACCACCAACAACCAATTCTTTTAAGTACAACTCAGGAGCGATTCTCATGAACATATCCATGTTCAAGTCATTGTGGTGAGTGATGAAAGGTTTGGCAGTAGCACCTCCAGCAATTACATTCAAAATTGGAGTTTCCACTTCGATGAAATCTCTGGTGTCTAAGAATCTACGGATGTACTTGATGATCTCTGACCTAACCTTGAACCGTTCTCTGACATCGTCATTAACAATCAAGTCCAAGTAACGCTTTCTGTATCTTTGTTCCTGGTCCTTGAATCCATAGAATTCAGTTGGCAACATGTGCAACCCTGGAGTTAACAACTGCACCGTCTTGGCAAACACAGAGATTTCCCCGTCACCACCTTTTGCAGGACTAGTTCTTCCTGGGTAACCCACGACACCAATGATGTCACCTCTTCTCAAGAGTTCGTGCATTTCGTGGTAAGATTCATCGCTTGGTGCGTCTTGGGCCTGACCCATGATTTGCACTTGAATACCATCACCCTTCAACACGTAAAACTTCAACTTGGACCCGGCTTCTCTCTTGCTCATGATTCTACCGGCAACAGCAACCTCGACATCTGGTAAAGTTTCTCCTCTGTTCAAGTGTCCGTATTGTTTCAAGAATTCAGGTAAGGTCAAAGTCCTGTTGAACTTGTGGGGATAAGGGTTGAAGGCCAGAGGGTCATCCAAATTCTTTTGTCTCAACTCCTTGACTTGACGGGATCTGATCTCATAGTATTGGTTGGGGTTTAAGTCGGCTAATTGGTCTTTCTTAACGGGTTTGGGCTTATCAGCGTTCTTAGCAGCCTTTTCAGCTTTCTTGGCTTCGATGGCTCTGGTTTTCTGTCTCTTCTTTAATTCACTCTTGGACACATAGTCGCCGGTGACTTCGTCTAAGTAAGTTTTCTGGAGTTGATCGGTAACTTGGCTCACTTCTTCAGACATGGTTGGGATAGATAGGAAATAGAAAAATTTTCGATGTGCAAACCGCTCACTGTGCGAGTGTCGAAGTTGAGCAAGAGGAAAAAATTTTCAGGTCAAACCGTTTGAACTTACACCAATATACACCATGGCCAGTAAATCAAAGCAGTATCAAGAGCCTACTGCTACCTCGATAGGTATCGACTCAGGTGCATTGTTGTCCCTTGTTAGACACACCTCTGAGAATTACCCATCCTTGTACTCGGGACCATTATTTGGATTCGAAGATGACAATGGATCTGTTGATATTTCTCACATTTATCCATACCCATACCCAGATCAATACGAAGGTGGCTCTTTGAGATCAAGAAGTGGTGCCAAGTACCAACAAGAAATCTTGGACTCGTTGAAGACTTTGGATTATGGTGTGGAGTTCCAAGGTTGGTTCCAATCAACCCTTTCAGGAAGCTTTATCACCAGTCAGTTGGTGGAATCCTTAGCACAACAGCAGTTGACCAACAAAAACGCGTTCATATTGGTCCATAACATGTCCTCCATCGGAAAAGAGCTTGATTTGAAAGCTGTAAGATTAACCAGAAACTTTGTCACTACCTACGTGGAAGGAAAATGGAAGTCCAAGGATTTGGAAACTAACAGATTGTCATACTTGAACATCTTTGAAGAAATACCTATCACCATCAATAATCAGGCATTGGTGAATTTATACTTGGCATCAGAGACCGACACTCCCAAAAGCACCAACGAGTTTGATATTTTGAACTTGTCCTCCAACCACAACTTGACTGCTAAATTGTTGGAAAGCTTGTCAGGACAAATTGACTCCTACAACTTTGACCAAACCAACTTTAACTACTACCAGAGAATGTACCTGAAAGAAAACTTGAAGATTTTACAATGGAAACAAAACAGAAGATTGGAGAACTTGGAGAGAAGTAAAGCGGGCCAAAAAGAATTGGACACCAACGAATGGCAGTCATTATTTAAGCTCCCAGCCGAGCCTTCAAGATATAACAACATGTTGCATTCGAGTGCCATTGATAATTTGGCCGATGACTTGTTGAAGAAATGTAATGAGGAGTTGACCAAAAGCTTTGCTATCGAAGGTAAGTTTGCTAATGAGTAGATGTATTTAATAGATATCAGTACGATTTTCCGAGACAGTAAGTGTGGATATATTGTAGCGCATCTATGGATTTTGGTTGCAAAAATATTTATTTAATTACTCTTTTTGCTCTAAAGGGATAATCTCCTTAGAAACAACTTCGTCGTTACTATGGTCACTACTAAACTCAAGCGGATCAACTTTATTGGCATCTCTTCTCTTTTGCCAGTCAAACAAAAGCTTGACCAAAATACCCCAGCACACCAATAAAAGCGATGTCACTATAGAAGTGATCATACCTTTGTGGTATTTAGGGGCACTACTGGCAGGATAAAGGAGAGTTCCCCAGAAACAAAATAACACAGACGAAAACATATTCATACAGAATACGGTCAAAGCTCTTAATGGATCATCTCCCTGGCATATTTCATTTGCCCAGGCAAAATAAAGCGATTGCCCCCCATAAGATGTACCTGCAAGATAATAGGCGAAAAGTCTACCTCCCAAGGATACGTCCCATTTAAGAAGAATTGAAGCTGCAATAAGCTGAAGAAGACCAATGAATCCAATAAACTCCCATTTATGGTCGGGTAATGCATCGTTATAAACGGCTGCAACCAATATCGAAAATATACCCACCCCATTTACTGCAGTAGGCCATTGGTTAATTTGGGCAACCGTGTACGTACCTTCTGCTTTCATGGACAAAATCATAACTGACTGGTTCGAAATAGCTTCTATGGCTCCACCTAATACCCACAACATACTAAGAACTGGTAACTTCCAATCAAATAAAGCTCTCCGGATAAGGGTAAAGTCCAACTTGGTATTGGGTTTAGGGGGTGGTAGTCTGTTTCTTGCAACCTCCAACTCTTCTTCCGTGAAATAGAACATTTTGGTGGTGGTGGGCGTATCAGGAAAGAAAAATACCCCATAGAGACTGAGTGGGAAAACAACTATACCATCAATAATGAACATCCATCTCCAACTTGCCAATCCATGAGTACCATTCATATTGTTATAAATGGCTGTCTGAATATACCCCGAGATCATAGACCCTGCTACACCCGAGGCTGCAAAAACACCTATTCTCTTTCCAATCTCGTCTCTCTTCAACCAGAAACCTAAAACATAAATGGTACCGGAGAAGGTACTCAGTTCAAAACATCCCAAAAGAAACCGTACTGCACAAACAGATGAAAATGACTTACAGGCAGCTGTAGACATTGTACAGATAGCCCATAATATCTGGTTAATGGGAAAATAGTACCTGGGTTTGATCTTCTGCAATAGAATAGCATGAATAGGCATCGAAATGATATAACCGACCGTCAAGCAATTGTTGATGACATTGTATTGGTTTCCTTTCAACCCTAAAGACTCTTGCATACCTGTGACATAAGCGTTAGAGAAAGCGGTTCTATCCAAGTAGTTGATGAAATATGATACACAACAGTATGATAAGATGAAACCATCTACCTTAGCCACAAGTTTTTGTTCAACTTTGGACTCGTAAAGGTCAGTCCAGAAAAGCTTGAGAATTCTTCTTGACAAGGACATGTTCTGTTTGTCTGTCATTGTTGATCTGAAGAAACAACTTTAAGCACTTACAGGCATGGTTATAAATATGTAGTTCTAGTATTGTATCTTATCTGTCGACCGCGATAGAGAAAAATTTCGGCGAAGTTTCCGAGTTATATCTTTGTACATTTATTTTACGATAACATTTTTTAACACCATTCCGTCTAATCCTGAGATCCAAGAGAACAACCTGTTAAAATTCTTGCCTGGAGTGATAACACCCATATGCGTTTTTTCCTCGGATTCAGAAAATCGGGGAATTTCGGCGTATGCTCCAGTAATGCACAAGTAGCCCAATATTGCAAATGCTACCGCTTCTTTTGATTCGGCATTCACTGGCGATCTCTCATTTAATTTTGCAACTTTGGTAGTTGGAAACCTTTTTTGGAGATTCTTCACAAGGTTGGTATTGTAGGCTCCTCCTCCACATAGGTATATTTCGTCTATCTCGGAATTAGTCACTTGTGGAAGAACATGCATTTCGTAGGCTCTGGAAATACTTTCACTAGTTATGCGAGTAATTGTTGCAACCACTCCAGATGGACTCAACCCTTTACTTATTAGCTCCTTAGTGATTCTTTCACTAACATTATCACCAAATAACTCCCGACCGGTTGTTTTTGGCGGCGAAAGGCCGAAGTACGGCTGGTTTAAAAACGCTTCAACATACTCATGGTCTATCTCATTCTCACCTTCATTAGCCATGCTCCCAGAAACATCGTATTGTTTCTGGTTGTCTGTCAAGATCTTCACAGCCGTGTCAATCATCATATTCCCAGGGCCGGTGTCAAACTGGAAGAAAGTTAATTTGGGATCAATGACAGTAGCATTTCCAATGCCACCAATATTCTGGCTGATTATCACTTTAGCATCATCGTGAAGAAGTGCACTTTCTAAAAACCCACATATAGGTGCTCCCTGTCTACCCACTGCCACCTCTGCTGTTCTGAAACCACTGACAACCGTTTTACCAGTAAGCTGAGAAATCACAGAAGGCTCACCTAATTGCAAGGTTGAGTTCCTAACTCCTCCTCTTGGTTCATGCCATACAGTTTGTCCATGGCTGGAGATGAGATCCACCTCATCTAAGTTTATACCACTATCCAACACCGCGTTCCCAAACGCTTCACCAATAGCAAAGTTCAAGTCACAGACATCGGCTATGGTTGTACTCTTACCTGGGTAACAAGTGTCTAATACTAATTTCTTGAGGTGTGGGTCGATTTGGGCTTCGCTGTAGTGGAGGAGTTTCACATTAAGACTGAAAAAACCAGCAGCATTATCAGCCTGTTCAAGGGATACTTCCAACTGTGCCACATCAATACCATCTATACTGGTACCACAATTGAGTCCAACTACGTTGAGTTTCTTACCAGTCATTTAGTACAGACAGCTACTGTTATCGATAATTGTATTTTATAGATAAACCATCGAGCAAGTCCGATTTAGGAAGTCGGCGAAATTTCCCGTCTTATCCCGTACTTAATGTTCATCCAATAAAATATCAAATACTCATCCCGTGGAGTTCATCTGCAAGACCAATGGGAATATAATCAAGCCATTTTCCTCTCTTTCAATCCTCCGTTAACCTTCATCATGACTATCAGTGGACTTGAAAATTTAGCAACGGAGATGCAAAATCCCCACACTAATGATATTGACCAGATCACTACTGATAAGCTCTTGCAGCTCATGAACAGAGAAGACCACAGAATGCTTGAGTCGGTCAGAAACGTGATTCCCGTTATTACTCAAGTAGTGGAACACCTTGCACCTTTGGTTAAAAGAGGTGGAAGATTGATCTACTTGGGCGCAGGCACTAGTGGAAGATTGGGGGTTTTGGATGCTTCGGAGATCCCCCCTACATTTTCAGCCCCTGAAAACCAGTTTGTGGGATTGATTGCTGGTGGAGATACTGCTCTTCGGAAGGCTTTAGAGAGTTCAGAGGATAATGAAATGGCTGCAGCAAAAGATTTGCAACCATTGAATTTGAATCCTGAATTAGACACGGTTTTGGGAATTGCTTCATCAGGAAGAACTCCATACGTGATCGGTGCATTACGGTACGCCAAACTGCTTGGCTGCGTTACGGTAGGATTAAGTTGTGTCCATGACCCAGAGATAGGAAAACATGGACTATCGGATTTTTTAATCTCGCCCGTCACAGGCCCCGAAGTAGTCACTGGCAGCACCCGATTGAAGGCTGGAACAGCAACAAAGCTTGTATTAAATATGATTTCCACCGCCACAATGATAAAAATTGGCAAAACATATGGTAATTTGATGGTTGATTTGAGGCCTACAAATATCAAGTTGCGTGAAAGAACAAGAAATATATTCAAACAAGCTTGTGGAGGAGAGTACTACATTGTCAAAGAAGGAATTATTTCCAAGTTTGCAGCATCTCCCACTGATTTGGAAGAAAATAAATTTATAGACCATATCCTTGATTATTCCCAGGGAAATCTCAAGCTTGCAATCTTGGTTGCAAAAAGAGGTGTCGATATTTATGAAGCAGACAAAATGTTGGCCAAAGCAGATGGAAACTTGAGAGAAGCTTTACAGCAGCTGGGTACGAGGGAACAACTCCCAATTTCCAAAATGCCACCAACCAAACAATTTGATAAGTATAATCTTTGCATTGATATATTGACAAATGAGATCCAGGTGGTTCTCTTCAACAAAAGGACATACATCCACAAACAAGTAATGATTGAAAACTTGGGGTCCGACTTGTCTGAAACAATTGACAAATGCATAGAAGAGATCAGTTGTAACCAGCATTTCAGTTCGAACATGTTGGAAAGCATCAAAGTTGGAACAGTTTCTGGACTTGAGAATACTATTCTAAACGCACTCTTCCTCAATTACGGAATTGATTCGTCCAGGGTGGCAATTCTTCTGGGTCAAAGTGACTTGTGTGGCTTGGTTTTAACTTTGTTCAATAGATAGATTATTTAGCAATTCAATTTATGCTTACTCCTGAATTGGGGACTGATACATAGATTTCAGTATTTCAGAAGAAAAGATGTCGACAAACGTATTAGCATCAAAAATTTCAGCTTGCCAAAGCTCACTATAGTCAGACACCTGGGCAATGCTTACAGGGTAACTGTCATCCAATGGGATGCTGCTTCTAACAGGCCAGAACTCATTCATCATATCGGCGATTTCATTGCCATTGAGTGTCACATCTTGACTATAGGCGGGGATTCTTGGTAGGGTATTAACACTTTTCTTTTCAGCTTCATTGGTACTTCCGATTTGTTGCTGCACTTTTCTTATTCCTTCTGCGAGGAGTTGGACAGAACTATAACAGGGAAGATTTGACGATGTGATACTTTCTTGCAAAATGCCATACGCACCTTCACATATAGAAATCAAATATTTCTCATCAGTTCGGTAGTTGCACTTTGAGCTGATAGTGATTATTTTCAAAAGTAAAGCTGTTGCAGTTATGAATACTGTTGGATAAAACACCGGCCCTATTCTGATTAACCGTCGGATATCTTTATCAAGCGATAGCATTTCGATGATATCAACTCCCACACTCTCTGCTCTGCTCATAATAGAACCTATGCTTGGATTTTCCTGTCCTTGGTTGACTGCTTGGATGTACACAAAAAGCTTAGTGAAATGGAAAGTCAATAGCAAAGGCTTGGTGGATGATGGATCCAAATGGGAGGTCAACTTGACAATCCAGTCTGCTAGCCAAGTATTCAATCTGGTAACCCACTGTTGGATTTTATCATCGAAGATTTCACCAGTCTCCAAATGCTCTTGAATCTTCATGATAATGGCACATAGCTCTATATTGGCATGTAGTTTGTATTCTTTCAGGTGATACTGGTTTCCATCATCCCGCACAAACAATTCATTCAAATAGTGAGGCAAGAAATGATCCCGTTGTTTGGCCATATCATTCCGTATGTTGATATACTTAGTACTCGTATAAGAAATTTGCAACCTTCTCTCTAAGATGTAACTTGCCAAGCTGAAAGCAAATGCTGCTTTTCTCTGCTCATTAGGAATGTTGATTTTATCAAGAACGGGTGGATTCAACCGTCCTGCCAAATCACTGCCTATGAGGCAGCATCTGGCTCCCAAATCATTACCCAACCACGCAGCAGCGATAATACAACCAAGCAAGTCGTACAAGGTTTCATTGAAACTTAGTGGAATTCCTTGTGCGTCGAACATCTTCGATGGTGTCAACTGTGCTACAGACAGCTCCAAGTCCTTTACCAAAATATCAAAGTACTGCTCGCAGGTTGGTAGGTATAAACAAGAAACCGACAAAATTGCCAACAACAACAACCTGGAACTGTTCTCCACATGCACACTAACAGAAGGTATGTAGTCAAAGATGAATATAGGAAGATATTTAGATAGGTTTTCATGGAAAAACCTAAGACATTTTTCTTTATCTTCGTCCGTGAGTTCGGTTTTAGAAGTATCTGAGTTTATGTGAGTAATTGGCAGTATAACTTTGGAGATGGGAGAAATAGCATCCGCAGTTCTCGCAGACAATATTCGTGTCAACTCCGACAAGCTCTTTTCGATTCGTTCGATCTTTAGATCCGTTTGTCTTTTCCATTCAAATTCATCTTGCTTGGCTTCAAATATACACGAACTGTTCAGGGAAATACATCTTCTGCATTTCTGGGAGTTGGCCTCAACTTGGCACTTTAACTTCTGCTTCTTGCACCTGACACAAGCATTTTTACGCTTTTTTGTGCCTTCAAAGTGCAAGAATACTTTTGATGGTGAAGTCATGGTGCGTAATTTGAATACTTCACCAAAGGGTGCGAATATTCTTCAGGGGCCCTGGGTTGTACCATCACAGTAAATAAGTTCAGCATTAACAGCCAACTTAAGATATCACCAAAAATTCAGCTCAGTTCTACTACTCCTTTTCCCTTCCTCTAGCTAAGATAATACATAATCCCACAGTTTGCTTCTAGCTTCCACAGTGATTGCAGCCACTGAATTTCGCGCAATTGCAACTTACTATTTCTTTCTTTTCCAAGTTAGGATTACAAACTATGGGGAAACCAACTGTATGTTAAGCACACCACGTCGTGCGATAGATAGCACATCTCAAACGAATCCATACTAACACACTTCTAGTATATCTTACTTGTCAGACACGGTGAATCAGAAGGCAACTGTAACAAGGAGGTTAACCGTTTTGTCGCCAATCATAAAGTGGCACTTACTACTCAAGGTCATTCACAAGCCTATAGCGCAGGGAGAGTGCTAAGAGATTTTCTCAGCCAGGAGTGTTTCGACCAGCCGCCGGAGAACGACGTCAACCGCCGGTCCGTGGTATTCTACACATCGCCATACTTAAGGGCTCGTCAGACTTGCAACAACATTATAGAAGGCATTAAAGACCTTCCCGGCGTCACCTATGATGTGCACGAAGAACCAAGAATGAGAGAGCAAGACTTCGGGAACCTCCAGAGCACGCCCGAGGAAATGGACCTGATCTGGAGAGAACGGGCCGAGTATGGCCACTTTTTCTACCGAATCCCCCACGGAGAAAGTGCTGCCGACGTCTACGACCGGATCGCCAGCTTCAACGAGAGTCTCTACCGGCAGTTCCAGAACAAGGACTTCCCCAACGTGTTAATCCTCGTCACCCACGGGATCTGGGCTAGGGTATTTCTTATGAAGTGGTTTCGGTGGACCTACGAGGAGTTCGAATCGCTTCGGAACATCCCCAACTGCCAGTACCTCATAATGAAGAGGTATGGGTCTAAGTACTGCCTCAAGACACCTTTGGAGACTTGGGACGACTTGGACGACGATGAGATCAATAATGGTAATGAGGTTGCAAAGGAGGTTGTCGATGAGGTCAAGTACAACAGCAAAGTGAATGTGGATGATCTTGATATTCAAGGGGTGATAGAAGCACAGAAGGACGCTATTCGATTGCTAAAAGCGAAGGATAGGAAGGTGAGAGAGGCATTTAACAAGATCTCATCTCCTGATCCCAACGGATTGGACCGAGGGCTGACAAAGTTCAAGTACGATAATCAAAGCCAGGTCAACAGCAAGGACTCCTTTGTTTAGAGGTATATAGACTATTTATTCAATGATAAATACAAACACTTATCGGTTGATAGTTATGGTGGTCTCCAGACTGCGAACCGCATTCGGGTGGTCGGATGATGCTCGTCCTTTCGCGTTGAAAATGAAAATCGGTTCCCTATAAAACCTCCAGCGTTTGCTACTTTTACTTTTAAATCTAAACTATTACATTTATACATCATGGCCCGTCAATTCTTTGTAGGAGGAAACTTCAAGATGAACGGTACTAAAGAGTCCGTCACCAAAATCGTCGAAAGCTTGAACGCTGCTGATTTACCTGCTAATGTCCTGGTGGTTATTGCTCCCCCAGCCCCATACATTTCTTTGGCAGTTGAAAAGAACACCCAGAAAACCGTCGAAATTTCCGCTCAAAACGTCTACACCAAGGCTTCTGGTGCCTACACGGGTGAGATTTCCGCCAACCAGGTGTTGGACCTCGGTGCTACTTGGACTTTAACTGGACACTCTGAAAGAAGAACCTTAATCAAGGAAAGTGACGAGTTCATTGCTGAAAAGACCAAGTTCGCCTTGGAACAAGGCTTGTCTGTTATTTTGTGTATCGGAGAAACCTTGGAAGAAAGAAAGGCCGATGTCACTTTACAGATTTGTGCCAGACAATTGGATGCTGTTTCCAAGATTGTGTCTGACTGGTCCAAGATTGTTGTTGCTTACGAACCAGTTTGGGCCATCGGAACCGGTTTGGCTGCCACTCCAGAGGATGCGCAAGAAACCCACAAGGGAATCAGAGAACATTTGGCTAAGACCATCGGTGCTGAACAGGCCGAAAAGGTTCAAATCTTGTACGGTGGTTCTGTCAACGGAAAGAATGCAGTGGAATTCAAGGACAAGGTTGATGTTGATGGGTTCTTGGTCGGAGGCGCCTCTTTGAAGCCAGAATTCGTTGATATCATCAAGTCTAGATTGTAGGTCCTTGACAGTTTTATAGGAGAATATAACTTCGAGTATGGTTTGTAGGCCAGCAGGTTGAGGTATGCATTGCTACTAATATGGTGTCTACATTTGCACATCTACATCATGTTGGGAACACCAGTTGATCAGTGAGTATGTTTGTACAAGTTCTGCTTTATAATAGCATAGAACCTCTCGAGGTCCCAGCCTCGACTTACACGAATGGTCTCGGCAATACCGAAGAGATGGTCGGTATAATCCCTCTCCAAATGCTTGTCGATACTGATATCTGTTTCAATTAGGATCTGACTATCATCGAGATACCCAACCAACTCATTAAGTTGCAGCCGTTTGTCTTCCACACCATTTATATAGTGCGAGAACGAGAACCCGAGGTCCTGGTCCCGCTTCCTATACTCTGCCACCCACCGGCGCCCCTGGTCCACCGACCCGCTGAATGAGTGAAGAATTACTTGGGGAATCTGGTGATATTCTCGAACTATATCAAAAAGTGGCCCATGAGCTTTGACACAGTGAAGAGAAACAGGCCGTTGCAAGTCATTAGCAAGCTGTAGCATGACTCGTAGTATCGCCACTTGATGGTCGATTTTAACTCTGCAAGCGCTTAGCTTCACCTCGGAGTTATTCAGGTCCTGGTTTCCATAGTACCCGTTTGAAGGGATCCGAAACATCTTATCAAGACCAATTTCACCAATTCCAGAGCCAGGGTGTTTGTGTAATAGGCTTTGTATAGCTTTCGAGTGTTTGTGGAGGTCAATTGGTATTGGTAGTACCGCTAATAACTCCGGTGAGGGTGCTGGCGATAAAATCTCATTATAGTGTATTTCCTTGAGCGTTTCTGTATTTGTATCGGAGAGAGTAGTGAATAGATGTGTGTACCATGGATGAATCCCAAAGAAGCCTTGGAATACCGGAGATTTTAAGTGATCCATCATATCATCGAGGATGTGCACATCGAGATGGTTGGTGGACATCACCTTAAAAAACCGTGAGGGCAATTGATACTGTTTATTCACAAGTTCCACCACTGCCTTGGAAGCCTCCAAAGTTAAAGACGTACTCAAGTGGCAGTGGGCATCACCTAGACGGGCTATTTCATAGTTTGTCATATTTGCAGTGGTTGCATCTCAATAGCAGCTTCAGAAAATCTGGGTTGCGCGACAATCATTAATGCAGCAAATCCACTTTCTAGAAATTCCATAGCAACAAACAACATATATAAAAGGTCCTATTCCCAAATTTTGTTCAATTGTAACCCTAAAAATGACAATAATTATCGGTTCATTGTATGTATCGTTGCCTCCCACGTTTTTGAATGTTTAGTGCTTTTACTAACACCTTGTAGGTTTTTACCCTATACAGTTCAGTTCGAGGTTGGTCTTCAAGACACATATGTGGAGAAAACCAGCCCGAATACCTCCGGTATCGCCAGCGCCAAAACACGTCCCAAGCGTCCCAGTGTGACCGGGTCGATGCCTGTCCCCATAAGACTGAGTTCTATCTTACCGTCATTGAGCAATGCTAACTCAAGTCATATTTCACCCAGCACATCTCCAACCCAGCACAAGCACACGGCGGTTCAAGAAGGTGGACCTAGTTCTGTCGAGGACTTCTTCTTACAACGTTACACGAAACCCGAACGTACGACTCTGGAAATCTTTGCTGAAAACTTGGATGAAAAATTACAGCCTCACTTCATCCAACCCAGATCGATGTTCTCCAAGAGAATGGACAGCTCGGTGGTGGATATAAAGAAACAGTCCAACGACTTTGGCTTGCCTTCATTGAAAATCAGCCGTTCAGGAACCAACTTGACTTCCCTTAATAGTGGTGGTTCGCATCTGACATCCAATGCATCTAAATCTCTGAATGTGGGTGCTAGCAGAGCAAATGCGTCTTTGAATCGGTCGGCATTATCTATGTCGTTGCAGAACAACAGTTCAACGTCAGTCATCGATCGAATAACTGAAGAGGTAGATGACGATGACGATGCTACAATTGCGGGTCATCACTTGGACATAGATAGTGACAACGACTGGGATAATGATTTTAACGAGATAACCAACCCCCGAGCAAAGATTAAGTTGGCACCTTTCGGGGGCTTCTCACATCCCAGCTTGGAGAAAGGAGTACTCTCGAAGTCGAGTATTTTTGAAACCAGCCCTTGGAAAGTGTTATTTGCTGCCAAAGGTAATGGGTCTTTGATCAAGGCCGTGAAAATGGCGGTGGGTGAAAACATCATCCATTCAAGAAAGTGGGTGGGAACATTGGCTATGCCTAGTGACGAGGTTCCCCAGCACGTGAAGGATGATATTTCTAGCACCCTCAAAAACGAATATTTCTCTGAAGTGGTATATCCCAGTGATTTGACATTTTCAGGCCATTACAAATCGTTTTGTAAGCTGGTGTTATGGCCCACCTTGCACTATGAGATTCCGGACAACCCTAAATCAAAGGCATTTGAAGATCATTCCTGGAGCCACTATAAAGCCTTGAATCAGATGATTGCAGACAAAATAGTCGATGTGTATAAAGCAGAAAACGGAGACCTAGATCCCGATGACCCAGAAAACATGATTTGGATTCACGACTACCATTTGTTGTTGGTGCCTCAAATGGTATTGGAGAAGCTTCCTCGTGCTAAGATCGGTCTTTTCTTGCATGTTTCGTTTCCATCATCGGAAGTGTTCCGTTGTTTGGCCCAAAGAGAAGCTTTGTTAAAGGGAATGCTAGGTGCCAGTGCTATTTCGTTCCAGACGGAGGAGTATGTTAGGCACTTTTTGCAGACTTGTTCAAGGTTGCTTTTGGCTGATACTAGTGATTATGGTATCAGTTATGATGGTAGATTCACTATGGTGAATACTATTCCTGTTGGTATTGATGCCAGTAGTCTCCATGAGTCTCTATTTTCTGACAGTGTCAAGGATTGGAGAAACAGAATCAGAGAAAGATGGTCTGATCAGAAGTTGATTGTCTCGAGAGACAAGTTGGACAAGTTGAGAGGTATAAAAGAAAAGTTATCAGCATACGAAAAATTCCTCCAAAAGCACCCATCTTACATTGATAACACTGTTTTGATTCAAGTATGTATTGGGACTCCCTCTGATGATGACTATTCAGCAGATGTCATGCAGATTGTCAGTCGAATCAATGCGATGGCCACCAATATATCGGTAAGCCAACCTGTGGTCCTTTTGCAACAAGATATAGCTTTTGACCAATACTTAGCTTTACAGGTTGAAGCTGATATGTTCATCGTCTCCTCAATGAGAGAGGGTTTGAATTTGACTTGTCATGAGTTCATCATTGCTTCGACCGAAAGAAAATCGCCGTTGATGTTGAGTGAGTTCACCGGTTCGTCCAACTTATTGGAGTTGGATGGACAGGGTGCGGTGTTGATAAACCCATGGGATGTGAATGATTTTTCCGAGAAGTATTATACTCTGTTAACCATGTCACCAGAAGAGAAATTGACTAGATGGACCAACTGTAACAGTGTTGTTGCTTGCCATGATTACAGAAGCTGGATTAAGGGATGTATGGCCAGTATTATTGAGGCATGGAAAATCAACCACGAAAGAAACAGAATCAACTTGAGCACATTTAGTAAGAATGTCTTCCAGAATTTTTATTCAGACAGTAAAGGTGGTAGCAGGTTATTCTTTATAAACTTGGAAACTGCTTCCGCAATCACGAGCTTTGCAGATAGCAGACCAGACAGTGTGCCTGTTTCGATGAAGACAAGGGACATCAAGAACTCGGATATTCTTCCTCCATCCCACCTAGCTACTCTTTTGAACAATGTGTTATCGGATGATAATAACAAGGTGTTTTTGTGTAGCTACATGAAGAGACTGACTCTCGATACCATGTTCAGAAGAGTTCCAAGTATGGGTTTGATTGCAGAGAATGGAGCCTACATCAAGTTCAAAGGATCAAAGAAGTGGATTTCGATCGTCAACGAACTGGAAATTGGTAACTGGATGCCTCAAGTAAGGCAACTCGTGGAAGCCAAGGTTGAGCGGCTCCCGGGTTCCAAGGCAGAAATAGAGGATTGTACGATTATTTTCAACCCGGGGAAGTCTATTTATGAGGATAAGCATAGAAGCATCGATCTTATGGGAGACTTAATTCAACATGTCAATTTACTCTTTGATGAAAGTGATGGTATTCACGCTTCATTGATCAGGAACAATGTGGTGATCCAGCAAAACCAATTAAGTTTAAGAGCACTCAATTTCTTGGTCCACTACTTCAATAATAATTCCCTCAACGACTTCAAACCTCGAGTGGTGAACGATTCTGCAACGTCTACTCCCATCAAGGAAAAGACTCCTTCTCTTGAGTATCCGAATGATGGACATGGAGTTTCAGGTCTCTTTGTTAGTGGAGGAACCACCTCCGTGGATGAACCCAATTTCCAACTTGGAAACACGTTGGGAGACCAAAACGTCATTCCCAATGTGTTGACAGTAGCGGCTTTGGATAGTAACTGCAAGAGTACCTCGGCCAAGTACGGTGTTGCGGGAAGAAATGAGTTGTTGAGTATCATCTCGACATCGATTGCAAATATGTAGACATGATCGTTACATTCACTATAAGTTGTATATAAATAAAAGGTCGCCTAAAACTGGTTGTCTTTGTAGCTGGCCATCACCACGGTATTGAAGTCATCAAGGGTTTCCAACAATGCCTTTTCGTCTTTATCCGAGAGTGAGTCATATCTGTTCCAGTAGTACTGTTGAAATTCATGTTCAGTGACATACGGCACCTCTTTTGGACGATTTACCACCCAGAGATTCTCCTTTGACCTTTTATGTGTTTCTCTATCGTCTTCCATTCTCAGAAGAATCTGTTTTCTTGACAATTCGTTAGGGCCATATTTATCCTTGGGCCTCAAATTGAACATTTCCGACTCTTTAACCTCTTGTTCCACCGGTTTTTGGTGTTTAAGAAGCCTAAGTCTCTCATAGTAGCTTTGTTTACGCTTCTGGGAAAGTAATTCCCAGGTCCGAGTCACAGGATCGTTGGCAGAATCTGAATTCTCAAGGGTAATGTTGGGATAGGGAACATTCAAATCGATGTTTTGTCTGTCATTATCGTCCAAAATATCTGGACTGAAGGACGAGAAGTCATCTTCAAACTTCTGGCAGTCAATCTTCAACACCCGAGAAATATTTCGAAGACTGTTGAAAACACTATGGAGATTGTAATTGTTGGAAGCAGGTAACACATCCAATAAAATCAGGGGTAGTGAGTTTTTGACACTGGAAATGTAAGGATATGAGTAGTTGGACCGCGGTTGCAGTGATATAGTATGAGACTCGTTAACCAAGATATCGATAAACTGAAAGATGGTAGATTTGGTATTGACCTCGATTTTGGGGTCCTGGAGAATACTCATGATGGAAGTAAACAAGTAGTCTTCATTTTCCCAGTTTTTGATGGCGAAGTGTGCCGCTTTGCGCAAGCTCTGCACAGTTGGGTTCAACTCACGCAATAGTTGAGTGAATTGGGTGTTTGCCTCAAAAGAATCCATGTAGTCTTCCCAAGCACAGAAAAGCAGCACGAAATTGAATATCAAGTGCAGCGCGCGGCCTGTACACGACTGTTGACACCATAAAATTTTTTCTCAAACCATCGAGTTTTTTATAGATACAGCAAATCGTACTTACACCATGGGAAAATCTGGTAAAGGTAAAGGAGGAAAGAACAGAAGAAGAGGAAAGAACGACAACTCGGGACAAAAGAGAGAATTGATCTACAAGGAAGAGTCCCAAGAATATGCCCAAATTACCAAGATGTTAGGTAACGGTAGACTAGAGGTCAGTTGTTTTGATGGTATCAAGAGAATGGGCCACATTAGAGGTAAGTTGAGAAAGAAGGTATGGATGGGCCAAGGTGATATTATCTTGGTTTGTTTGAGGGAATTTCAAGACGAAACCTGTGATGTTGTTCACAAGTACAACTCAGACGAGGCTAGAACCTTAAAGAATGTGGGAGAATTACCAGAAAACGCAAAGATCAATGAAACCGATACTTTTGGAGGAGACGAAGACGAAGACGTCAACTTCGAGTTCGGGGCTGAAGATTCGGAAGAAGAGGGAGCTGATGAATTGGACATTGACGACATCTAATTAGAACATCTACCTGCTGCATTATATAGGGTTTTCTTCTGTCGAAGAGTGTATTTTAAACAACGAAATATATATTTATGTTAAAACCTTGATATAGTACACGAGCCAGGGCCATTCACGGCTGTGTTTAGTTTCTATGCGTGGCTTGAATGGTGGTAGCGTCTTCATCACTTTCCAATTCAAAGCTATCGAATCTTCTTAACCCTACTGTTTCTTCATCGTAGTCTCCTCTCGAGACTTGCATGGATCTCCTCAACGACTGGAACCCAGTGACACCTCCATCCATTGGGCCAATGTCTTTACCGGTGTGAACTCCGAAGATTTCTCTGGTTCTGTCTTCGTTCTCTTTTCTTGAGATGTTCAACAAGTACACCCCAGAGAAGATGATCAAGAACCCGATCAATAATGAGATGATGTTGACAGCCGACGTAGTGTTGAATCCTCTGAAGAGAATGAACGAAGCTACCAACGTGCACGTCGTGAACGTGACATAGTACAACGGGTTCACAATCGAAGTGTCGAACTGGTCCAAGGCCTTGTTGAAGTAGTTCATTTGGGTCACGATACATACACCCACCACAAGCACAAAGAAGTATGTGGACAAGTGGGTGAACTGGTTGTTTCCTCTGAAAGTCAATTTCAAGGCAATTCCAAACGCTTTAATGGACATCACCGAGATGCTACCAACCGAAGAGCAGATCGAAATGTAGATCATTGGGTTGGTATGGCCATACTTTGGTACAATCTTGTAGATGGTGAACAACGAGTAAACCGTCACCAAGAAGCAGTAAAACAAGAATCCAGGCTTGAAGGCATAGCCCAAGATTTCATCAACAGTTTCGATCTCTTTATCTGGTGGAGCGTGTAACACTATAATAACGGACCCCAACAAGCAGATGGCACAGCCCATCTTTCCGAGGGTTCCCAACTCTTCCTTCAAGAAGATGGCTGCCAACACAGCACCAATAATAACTGATAAGGCACCTAAAGGAGTCACCAAAATCGGAGGAGCAAACGTATATGCAGCAAAGTTGGCGATTTCTCCTATGGCCATCGTTACCATACCCGCCCACCAGATAGGATTACCAAGGTACTCGTGTCCATCGGCGTTACTGTTTCCACTTCTGTGGGAGGCATCTAAAAGACCCTTTTTCGTGACAATAAACGAAACACCTATGGCCAATGAAGAGGACATGGCGAGCGCCAAACCAATATATTTATCATCCACCATGGCTGATGTTGTGTGTACAAAAGAATGAAATATGTGACGAGTGTAGTTTGATCTCTTCAAATAACCGGTCCCGATGTTGGGTTATAACAAGAGAAGGTAGATTCAGTCTTTATTTTTACTGAGATCGAAACGCGGTAATGTGTGTTTACCCAGCAGCGCCTGGTTTGTGCGGGGCACGTGAAAGGGTGTTCATACACCTAAAAGAAGTAGTGAATGAATGGCGGGTGGTGAAGGGGCGCCGGTTATTGGGTTGAGAGATGGTAAGTCAGAGACGGTATGTTGAGAAATACGAATTCATAACGAGCTTGTGTGTCAGTATGTAGTGAATCCAAGGCCAATGGTATATAAACCGACAAGTAGTACGTTCATGGATAACAGGGGCATACCTTTATATGAATAGTTATAACGGAATATACGTATATGATAATTGTATGTTTTACTGCCTTCCAATATTGTATATCTCTCATTCTATGGTTATGTACAGCCACGGTTGCAAAAGGAACAAAGCTGCGAAAAACATCGAGCACAAACACCTTTGGCAACTACCATTCTTTCAAATGCTGTACAACCAAGTGCATCAACAAGAACTGAGACCAATAAACATGATCTCCTTTCCTGAGTTAGAGATTGCAATAGGCATTATCTCTCAGGTTTACTCAATTGTTTCCTTCTGGTTGAAACAGCAATATGAATCCACCGTGGCGCAAGCTTCTGTTCATCATTATGTGCAACTTATTCTGGAGAACTCCAGTTTCCTAGAATATTTGTGGCTCTCGTGTCACTTAGGTACAATATGGGGGGTTACTATGGCATTCATTCTGATTTTAAAATGTCCCCTGCTATTTGAACACTACTACCACTTAGCTGCAGTTAATATTACTATTACCTACTTTATTGTACTTTATCGCCATTTTTCCATTATCATCAGGAACAAGACCTCAGTAAAAGGCTTCGTTCCCATATCCACCATTGTCAAGTCTGAAAATACCCTCTTGTTGGTGATTTCAATGCTTTTGTTATACACACCAAACGTCTTCAAGTTGTTTCCCTTCATGTTGTACTCAATCTTCAACATAAACTCGGTAATATTTAGGTACGTCTGGGAAGACCCTTTACTTTCCAAGAAGTTTTCTCCCTACTTGACCACCTTCGAAGAAAATGTTTGCATTGCCTCGTCAGCCTTGGAGCTCTTACTTGTTCCAGTTTACTTGATGAATTCCACCAGTGGTAGCGGATTTGCCTATTGTTTTATCCTACTCCTCAAACTCGAGTCTTCAGATAACTTGAGGGCCATATTTGTTTTGTATTGCAGAGTTTCTTGCCATCAGATGTGTAAGTACTTGTCACAGAGCCAGATTTTAAGAATAAAAGGTGCGTTGGAGGTTATTGAGTTTCTCTTTCCTACTCAAATTTATCCCATCGACAACCATAAAAGAGTATCAAAACAGAGAGTAGCTTCATTGAACTTTGAAAACCTTGAAATTGTCGACGATATCTAGCTAAATAGTTTGAAACACATTGCTACTAACCTGGTAAATCCCCCACCTTGGAATCTAGTTAGAAAACTCTTCTTTCAAATCTTGTAGTCTATACCATCCATCGGAGTCCTCCCAGGTATCCTTTCCCTTCGACATGAGCGACCTAATTGACTGTTTGGCCTTGTACTTCCAGTCTTTGCACACCAAATCGCCTGCATTGTGTTTACCTGCCATTTGTCCCAAAGACTCATAAGCCGCAGTTAAATCAGCACATGCATCGACGGCCTCATTCCATACCTGCTCACTTGTCTCTAAATCAGGGTTTCCTGTAACAGCTCTGTAGGCTTTCTCATGGCAGTCCAATGAGGCCCAAGGTCTCTTTCTCCACAACTCAACTCGGGCAACAATTCTCCAGCATCTTGAGGAGGTGGTGATGACTTTAGGAATGATGTTACATATTAAGTCAATACAAGAAGTTTGGAAATGTGTCAACCGTCCATCTTCTTCTGTAGGGTATTCTGTCGACACTAATATTTCCACCAACTTCTCTACAATAGGAATATCAATTGAGCCTTCACCTTCAGAACCTCCCTTAATGTCCACCAATTCTCTTGTTGCAATCAACACGTCGTTCCACTCGTGTAACTTCAAAGCCACAATCAAGTAGTTCTCATAGATCTTCCAAGACCGTGACCGCTTGGTTTCATTGGCTGCTCTCACGGCCTTCTTAAGAGCGTTGAAGGCAGGTCTGGTCTTTTCTTGTTTCAATAAGGATGTAGCAAGATTGGACCATGCATGAGAGTTGACATCGTCCAAGGAAACGCACCGGGTGAAAGCTTCAGCGGCCAACTCATACTGTTCACTCTCCAATCCACAGCACCCATAGAAGAACCAGTTTTCGTAACTCAATGGGTTGACTTGCAAAGCATGGTTCATGTGGATGATAGCCAAATTTAAATTCTTGCTTAACCCAGTCAGTTGAGGAGGAGAATAGTAGTAATGCGAAAGAGAAGCTTTGGCCTTGTGGTACTTTCCGATTTCCCAAGCTTTCTCCCATAATTCTGGGTCTTGAGTGATATCCCCAAGGATAGAAACGGCTCTGGCATCTTCTGGGTGTAATCTAATTCTTTCCAATAAAATCCTCTTTGCTTCTTGTTCTTGTTCAACAGCTGCGTAGCAAAGTGCTGTCTCACATGATAACTGTAATCGTTCAAATATTTCAAGGGCAGACCTTATCACCCCGATAGACATGTACTTTTCAGCCAACTTCATGTCCATTGACCATTGGGGCATTAAAGTCATCTGGTGAATAAACCGTAACCTTGAAGCAGCAGGACTTGAATCATCCAAAGATGCTTCTTCTTGGGCTTGAGGAATGATTCTTGTCTTAATCTTGATACCAATTTCCTCGATTAAAGAAGTCATCTGAAGGATACCTCTTTCGATTGTCTTTGCCTTCCCCGTCTCTAACAAAGATCTTTCCCATAAGGCCCTGGAGAAAATCGACCAGTTCACCTGTTTTGAGTCCATGTATAAGATTCTACTCACGAGAGCAAGAAGTTCTTCCTCCACTAGAGAGTTTCCAGAAGGGGTCGTCTGCCTAATGGTAGTCAACCTCAACAATAACTGAATGTTATCCAACTCATTCAACGGAGGTTGATTATTTGGATCTATACCCTTCAATGATACGGGTATATCTTCCTGCTTTGGGGCAATAGGAAGTAACTTTTCCACGTTGTGGTCTTGTTCAGGCTCACCAGGGTCAAATTTGATTCTCTTGGTGTCAGGCTGATCTGGCATTTCCAAGTCCTCAAGAGACTCAAAGTGAGGCCTTTCCAACAAGAGATCGGAATTCAAATCATGGCTTTCTGGGGCATCGTCCTGATTGTGTTCAGGTTCATAGAAGTCGGTGGATTGACTCTTTGCAAGTAAAATGAGATTCGCCGTATGGAACTTTTGATACTTGGTTCTCTTGGCTCTGGCTCCCGTCAACACTAATGCAAGGTCCGAAATCTTTCTCACTTGCCCAAGTAAGGGAATTGCAAGAGACTCGGTTTGACTATGAATATTCAACCTGGCATTTTCGAGGTAGTAAATGATCTGTAAGTACTTTTGCAAATGTGGTTCATTGTCTTCACTGGAAATGACAGTGTTTACGATGTCTGGAGTGATGAGTAGCGTGCAAATGGAAGGAATCGTGCTAGAAGGTTCCGAAAACAAAGATGTTTGCACTTGTAACGCTCTGGACCTCCACCACAAAGCACTTGCAATTATAGGGTTGGATTTGTTAGCCTCTTTCAATGCATTAGTGGAAGCACTACAGTCTTCAATATTAACATTGGTAGACAGACCCACCAAAGACTGGTTTTCGCTGACATTTGTGAGTCTTTCAAATATCAAGCACGAAATGATGAAGAACACCGGATCAACACTCAAGTCGTACGGAGTTTGGCCTTCTAATGACAACAACTTCAAGGCCTCGAACTGCACCAAGTGCTCATCTACGTCTGGAAATAACACTGCCTGTGTGAATCCAACGCTGGGTCCGGTAAAATTGAGTTGGATGAACGTCTGGAGAAAAGCAATGGCTATCACTTGTAAATGAACATCTGCTAAGGAACCAAATTTGGCCTGAAACGAATCAAACAACTGGTCCGTATATTCTCTTAGCACGTGGCTAAGATCAGAACTAGGAAACAAGCTCAACTGTTGTTTTACGGTGTCTCCATATAATATTGGATCATACTCATTACCACGAATGAGCTCTGAAGATCTACCTTTGGCTATGTGCAAAATTGGATTGTAGGCAGATTGGATGTCTTCAGGAATATCTATTGTCTCGAACTTCTTGACAGGCGCCAAGAGGAGCAAGTTGGCAAGCAACTTCTTTACAGCTGCTTCACTCATGTATCAAGCACGAAAAAAATTTGAAGAGATGCGCATCTTAGTAATCTGGAGTATCTATATTGAGTGTATATGTAGAGTGCGTCTATGAGTTTTGGATCAAGCGTGACAACCTTTTCTTGCTTTCTCCTGACGTGCTCTCTGACCGCTTGTGCTCTCCTGACCTTCGGGCCAGCTTCTTCAAAGAGCTGCGAATGGCCAATCGGTTCATCTGCTCTGGGTCCTCATCGTCTGAAGCCCAGTCTATAACCTCTTCTTGTACTCTGAAGTCAGACGGGTTGGAGATACTGGGCACTTTCTTCTTGAAGTGAGGGCGGTCGGACGGTTTCTGGAACTTGTCATCTAAATCCAAGTCAATCAACGAGTCGCTGAGTGGGTTGAGAAATGTACTTGTCATAATTGGAGTGGACAATGAAGATTCGGAGTCAAGGCCAATCTCCAAGTTTATTAGGTTCGGCTCTTCGGTAGAAGGCTTTTTGGGTGTAGAAGAATCGCCTCGGTTGTCACTGATGGAAAGGGAATTTACTTGTTGCAGTAATTGGGACGCTTTAGGCAAATGCTGCGTACTTCTGTAGTCACCCCAAGGATTAGTAAACTTCTTGGAATCGGAGGCACCATCTGTAGAAAAGTTGGCTTCTGAAACAGAACGAGGATTCACTGGAAATGGGTTCAAATTTTTACCTGAACCTGAGCGGATCATAGTAGAACTCGGGTATTGGACAGGATTTGACACTAGTGGCTGCGAAAGATAATTGCTACTCGCAGAGACTCTGTTATCCTTTATCATGGGCTCTCCTTTAGGAAAGGCTCCTGTCGTGCTATTCAGCACTGGGAGATCTTCACGGGCCTCGTAGCGAGTTTCTGCAACCTCCTTCTTCTCAAAGTTGTCCTTGCGAAGAAGCTTTAAATCGGTGGGAAGAAGCTGGTCGGTCTTTGTATCGGATACAACTTCGATACTGGGCTCTGGTTTTGCCTTACTAAGACTCAACTCTGACGAATTGTTACTCTTACTCAACCTTACCTTGGCGGGCTTGATTATGACATTCACATCTTCTTCATCCTCGCTTTCCAAATATCCACCGGCAGGTTCGGACTTAATACTTTGAGAAGTCTTTTGCTGAATTTGAAGAACATCAGTGGGAGATCGAGATTTAGACCCAAATATGTCGTCAACCAATTTTTCAGCCTCTTCACCCATACTAGGTTGGCGTTTCTCCCATGCCTCCTTCTTTTCAAATTCCGTGGAATACTTTTCCTTATTGGGCTCTGGCCTAAGGTATTGCTGTGACACTCCAGCTTGTTGGTAAGACATCCAATGGCTCAATTGATACTGGTAAGCCTGATGCAGATAGTTGTATTGCTGTAATTGTTCAGGTGTTAACCTTTGAAGGTCATGAGAACTTAAAATCGGTGGCTGAACTGGGTAGTTTGGTACCATGGGAAGTGGTGGGACAGCACTCTTCTCTATTTTCAGGTCTTTTGGACCGGCTGACTTAATACTACCAGTTCCACTTTTAGGGGCATCGTTTTCGACTATTATGTTTTCCAAAGAAGGATATCTTTGTTCCACGTCTTCAAGATCTGCCAAATCACCAAGCGTGGTATCCAAACCTTCTGTGGAAGAATCGTCACTTTCACTTACTTCAGGGTCAATAAAATCTTTCTCGTAAGCACTAGGTGCGAGGCTTTCTGCTTGTGGCTGTGGTTGTGGCTGTATCTGCTGCTGCTGTAGCTTTTTCTGTTGTTCAAAGTAATCTTGTTGTTGCTGTAAAAGATCCTTCTGTTTCTTCTGCTGATAGTCGTGCAAAGCTTGGAAATCATAGGATCCTACTTTGTAGATGTCTTGGATTTTCAACGTCTTGAAGTCTGCATTGGTCATCTTACACACCAATTTTATCACCTGGACAATATTTGGACGAAAGAATGGGTTTTCTTGCAACATAATGATGATAAGGTTCTTAAGATCTCCTGAATATACGGGAGCTGGTGGGAATTGAAAAGATGCATGCAAAATAGCAATGTCACCATTAGCTTCGAAAGGAGTAGTATAGTAGCACAATTTGTACAAAAAGCACCCCAACGCCCAAATATCCGATTTCTCGTCAATTGGGAGATTCCTATAAAGATCGATCATCTCGGGTGATCGGTATTGAGGAGTGGTTTGATAAGTGATATCATGGGCCAACGCTTGGAACTCCTGCTGGTTGGTAGGAGGCATCAATGGCAGACTAGTAGATCCAAAGTCACCTAGCTTGAACCGGTGATGGGCATTTATGAGCACGTTTTCGATCTTTATGTCTCTGTGGATCATCTTCAGTCTGTGCATCTCATAAACCCCTATGCTAATATCAAACATAATCAGAAGAATCTCAGACTCTGTGAGCTTGGTCTTTATCTTAGCGTTCATGTAGTCTAGTAAGGATCCATGGGGGCATAACTCCATCAACACAAGTACCTGATAAGCACCGGACTCCAACCTCTCGGCGTGTGAATCAAAGTATCTTACAACGCATCGGGAAAGTCTCAATTTCTTCATAACATCAACTTCTTTACGCAATTGATCCAACCCGCTCTTGTCGGGGACTATGACACGCTTCAAGCAGGCAATATCCGAATCATCTTCTTTGGGAGACATCTGGACTTTATATATGTGTGCAAATCCACCCTCGGAGAGGTAACTGAGTATGGTTATTTTATGAGACCCCACCGTCATTTTGGTCCCCTCTGGAAGCTTTTTCAAGGGTTCCATGGTGTTTGGCTAGGCTTTAAAGACGGAAACTCTATCAATTGTCGGTTTTCTAAGGAGGTGCACTCAATGGTACGGATGAGAATGTGTCAATTACAGGTTTCAATCCTTAACAAATGATTAACCCAAATAATCGCGAAAACACAACCAAGCCCTCTGATCTCAATGGCCATTTAATACTAATATAAAACTACAAACCTTATTTTGCTGCATTTAGTAGCGTAAATAATCTATTTCAACGATTCTTTCAAAAGCTTGTTCATCTCCTCGAATGTGTAGGCAATGAATACCTTCTCTGTACCTGCGTCATCCTTCGTCAATTTGCACATATTGTGTTCCAAAAATTCGGTTAGCATGGCTCGAAAACTGATCTCATTAGAGGTGACGAAATGCTCCATACAATTTTTGTGGAGAGCTTTGAAGTCGATGGCGGTTCGAAGAGTCCCTCTGGTAGAACGTACACCACTTTTGGGATTCAATTGTTTAATTCTCTCGATTTGCAGTTCAAGAAGAATCTTGTAAATCGTCTTGGAATTCTCATTCAATGCCCTCAATACAAACATGGCACCTCTACTGCTGGAAGTTCTTTTTGTTTTGCCAATGTCAATGGCATCTTTGAAGGATGTTTCCACAATATAAGGCTGGTATGTGGTGATATCATGGTATACAAAGTTGTAGTTCTCAGCCTTGAACAGGTCCCATAATAATGGTGCAGCGATGTTTTCGGCAGAACATATAAGCTTTACTTCAGGTAGATTTGCCAACTGACAAAGTTGCACTTGGGTTTTATCATCCCTTAAAGACTCTGAGTCAATGCAATGAATCACCAAAATGAGTCTTGGTTTCGGGCTTTTGGTATTTTTCCTCTGCCGCTCTAACTGCTTAAGCAAGAGAGGAAACGAATCCGATAAAATCTTGGAATAATGTCTTCTAACTCGGTATTCTTCAGGCACAAGTACCAGCACCAAGCTCTCCATGATGTCTTTTACCTTGCAAGATGGATTATATCCGTTCATCACCAATACATTTGGTATTTCTTCATTCTTCAACTGGTGGTACTTGGCTAACCAAGAAGTGAGATAGTTGGTTGCGAAATCGGTAATCAATTCAATTTTAGACCCGGTTCCATAGAAACAAATATTGAAATCTTGAGAGAGTTCAAAGCACCATTGATGATATGACTTCTTGAGAAGGTTCAGTAGTGCCAACTTTTGTTTAGGCTTGAAGTATTTCAATAACTCCACCCGATCCAAAAACTCCAGGTTACTGAGATCGATTCCCAAACTTGACAACAGATACACTGCATGTCGTTCTCTGTGGCTCATTTGGTCAAAGTATCCTTCTGTTCCTTCGGAGAAGTACGACCGGTCGTCCAATGCCTCTCCTTCCTTCGAGTTTTCCCATTTAATATTGGGTAAGTATTTTTTCACATACGAAGCTGGTAGCTCACCATCAGCACCTACCGGAGGAATAGGTAAAGGGTCGAACTTTTGCCTCTTGCTTCTGTCAAGTGTGACAAGTTCGTCTTCAGGAATCCCACTGATATAAGGAATATCCATGGGTTCCAAGTCATCCCAAAAAGTATCAGATGCGTTGGTTTTCTCTAGCTTTTTGATTGTAGTGGTTTCGCTTTTCACCGGATTGTTCGCTAGGAGATCAGCATCATCTTGCCTGAAAATAGAAAGAATCTCATATTTTGCCCGCTTCTTTCTGGGCGATTCATCCTCTGACGGCGGAACTGGTCGAAGTTTACGTGGACGACCACGTCCCCTTTTAGATGGAGTAGTTTGTACCTCGTATTTCGAAACAGCTTCATCTGAAAGCATCTCGTCACTGTCTTCCTCTCCGTCGATTTCACTGTCAATTTCAGAGACATCTTTATCGATCTCACTGTCATTGGCATCGTCTTCGTCTCCACTGTCAACATCTAGGATGATGGGTTTTCTTCGTACTCTGCGCTTTGCCCTCGTTTGAGTTGGAGTGGATTCAGGTGAGTCTGGTGGTGTCGCCTCCTTTACCGGGTCTTGATCCTCGTGTTCTGGCTCCAAATCCGTCACTAGTTCTTCGTCACTGGGATCAATCTCAAATGGAATATCCTGGCCAAACAAAAGACGAATACCTCCATTTTCCTCATGAGACAGCTGGATGATAGACTCAGCAATCCTTAAATCCTGTTCGTTCAACTCTTCTTGGCCATCGTCATAGAATGAGTCCTCGTCGTTCAAAATCGAACTTATCTTCACTCTGTGCGCTCGCTTAACAGCAGAATTATTCACGTCTTCAAAACTTCGTTTAGTAGGCGACGGTAGCCCTGCCCTCCCTCTCGGCGTTCTTGCCGGTGATATCTTCCTGTGACTTGGAGAAGGGAATATTATTCCCTTTCTGGATGGAGATGTGGTGGAAATATCTCTCACCGGAGATGGAGAGAGCTGAGGAAACACCGATATGACCCTCTTTATCAGGGGCGTCTCAAAACCTTTTTCAAGACCCTTGTTGTAATACTCTACTAAACCCATTTCTAAGTGCTCAATTGAGGTGCCCGAAGTTACAAAAATACTATTTTAAGGAAGCTATAGGTCCTATTCCAAGTTATGTAGATTGAGAACAAGCGACTGAAAAAGTGAGACTTTGATCTCTGCGCGTTAAGTTTTCTAGAGCTCTGCTCATCTTCAGTACACCTTTTTGCATTCCATTTATCATGCTATCATTTTGCCCATACTGCTCCAACATGTTGCTTCTATCGCTGGAGGATGGTGACTCGAACAAATTCTATTGTCCCACATGTCCTTATGAGTTCAAAATTAGTGGTTTCCAGATGTTCGATAAAAAGGTGCTTCCTAGAAAAGAAGTGGATGATGTTTTGGGTGGTGAAGGTGCTTGGGACAATGTGGACCAAACTCCAGCGCAGTGCCCTCGAGACTCGTGTGGTGGTGACAAAGCATACTTCTTCCAGTTACAAATCAGATCAGCTGATGAGCCTATGACCACTTTCTATAAATGTGTGAAATGCTCTCATCAATGGAGAGAAAACTAAATACAACAGTTTAGCTTTTGCTGGTGCACTTCAAATGCATCGAAAAGTACGAGTCTGGGTCCTCCCTTAACTGGCGTGCGATTCTGTTAATGTTGGCATCATCCAAGTCCTTGGGCTGGCCTGCGTGTTTGCATGAAACTTCAATCGAATCAAATGAAGAGGTCACATTGGCCTCGTTCCTAAGGGTGGGTGTTCTAACTGACCGTCCGAACTCATCGAAAATCTCATTCTCAGTTCTGATTTGGCCCAGATCGGAAGACGGAAAGCTGATTGAGACCCGTGTATAATAATCCAAATCTTCAATAGACAGATAAGAACAGGATTCGTGTAGGCCCAAACGATTGAGCTCATCTAGATAGTCCACTTTACAGGGTACTTGTCCTGGAAGACTCAGCTTTATGTATTTTTCGTAGAGGTATTCGCTCTGTTTCATGAAGTGCTTGAAACTGGAATCGTTTCTATTGCTGATAATTTGTGCTAGAGTAACGGTCTTCTTTTCTTTGGTAGTTCTAGCTTCGGGCTCCAGAAATGATACTTGCAGGAAGAACTTGAAGTCCTGATAGGATTCAAAATATTTTGCAACAAAACGAAGTTCATTCTCACAGTCTTGCAAATCCCATCTGTTGATAGTTTTAACGGGTCTAACCATGATTGGAGAAATTGGTATCCCATGGGTAGCACAGTTGATCACATCAAAGGCAAAGTTCTCAATACCTCCCAGAACACATACATCCTTAAACAAACGAGACATGACAAACCCATTTTCCCATGTCCCTTTGGACGTCACACAAGGATACACCAGAACGGGGTTGAAAGTTTTAACAAACTCCTTACACTCAGAGTACGATGAGTGTCTTGAAAACACAAGTTTTATCTCACTGGGAAGAAGTTCGTTGTTCACTTGAATCCAAGTGCGTCCCCTGTATCTAACAATGGCATTTCCCTTTGTAGTATAGTCAACAACTTGTATACCCTGTTTCCCTTTATCAGTTAGTGTCTTCATATCCACGGGAAGCAAGCATCCTACAAAATCAATCACATTCAAGTTAATACACTGTTTTATCCTCACTGGAAACTTAACTTTTTGGCTGCAAAAACCCTCCTCGCAAGCGTGAAATTTTTGACCACCATTGGTGTCAAAGTGACCAAGGACCAGTTCATAAGTTTCGCAGTTTGGGTTCTTCAGCACCACTACGCTTCTCTGGAGAATTCTATTGGACATATGCATTGAGCCACCAAGACTCGAAACGATCATGGACCATGCCTGCTCAAACCCCAATGTGTGGTCAGCAAAAAAAAACTCGATATCTGGGTCGTCAGTTGGATATAGCAGGAGCATTTTTATGGCTGCAGCTATTCCATCGGTGTTTGGGGGGATTTCGATATATGGTTCTCGCCGATACCCGAACGTGGTGTCGAGGTAAATGCAGTCGAGAGACTTGAATCCACACGTGTAGGGGAACAAATACATGTTTTTCTTGAGTCCCATAGTCCACCAAGTTTCTGCCCTTATGTCTCCTGTGAAAAGGACGTTTTTTTCCTCGGACTCTACCAAGAACATCGCTGAACCCGGGCAATGGTAGGCACTTATCAAGGTTAGCACCACCTTTTTATCATTTAAGATTATCAGAAATGGGCTATTGAAAGCTATCCCCCGTAAGTACCGTAACCATGGCGCATTCCTGTTGTCTAAGGAAAAAATTTGTTTTGTCAACTCGCTGCAATAGACAGTGGACTGAAAAGACTTGTTTGCGAGTCCAACTAAATGGTCACTGTGACAGTGGGAAAGCAAGAATATCTTAGCATCGACGTTGAATTTGTCAACAGCTATATCGGGAAATTCAAGTAGTTTTCCCCCAAATGAGTTCTGTGGCATCAAATACTGGTGCTTTCCCATCTTCATATAGGTGCAACTTTAACGCGTCCGTTTCCTGAGCTGCGAAGAGATGAGGTTGCAAATTATCATTTGTGCATATACTCAAAACACACTACCTAGGCTATATAAGAACTCCGTAGTATTCTGCACGTTTGTATCTGTTTGCCACAGCAGGCCATTGTACAATGAATCTGTCTGTGATGGGTAACAACAACTTTCCAGAAAGACTCAAGTCATTGACTCTAGCAAGACTCTCGATGTACACGATTCGAGTGTTTCCAACTCCCAAGAACCTAAATAAGAAGAGCATGTATGCAATGGGCACGCTGGTTCCGGGTCCGTTAACAAGTAGCACGTCTGGGAGTTGGGGCAATTGGCGGAGTTTGAGAAACGTATCGATGAAGGATCGTATTGTGCTCTTCAAAGACAGCAATAATGGTTCACCCACATCTCGGGCTCTAAGAAGACTGATAAACAGCGGCGCCGTATTCGTCTTTAAGGTGTCTTCATACTCCTTGCATTTTAATATGGAAGTTGAGTCATTAGATGATACCACCCAAATCCTGTTGAGCTGTGTCAAGTTCACCTTGGAAAGTATGCTCATCATCTCACCAGTATGCCCACCAGAACCAAGAAATATCATAATGTTTGAACCTGATAACCATGAAGGAAGCTCAGCGCCATCAGCACGGTCATTGATGACAGGGGAGTTAACTGAGGGCAACACAAATATCAAACGGGACACGATCACAAATAGAGGTAGCACAACAAGTAACAGTCGTACCAAAATCCGTGTTTCGTACTCCATTGGTTCAGATATAATTTGTTTCTGTATTGTACTAGTGTATTTTGTTTTCTATGAACAAATAATCGCGGCTCTTGATCTATCAAAGTTCGAAATCTGGCTGCGAAGCCTGGTACTTGGTCGATATTGGCTTTGACTTTGCAGCAGTCGACTTCGAAGCTTGTTTGGACTGGTTGATTGAGTGGGGGTTTTTAGAAGCTCCTTTGCTTACCTTGCTATCTTTCTCTGCCAACTGTTCCATGACCTTATTAACCACTAATGCTATTTTTTTGTGCTCGCTGGAAGAGATTCCTAGTTGTTTTACTTCACTCCATGCAATTCTGACAGGAATTGACTTCCTGAGCAACAATAGTCCTGGAGTAGACCGGTTCTTATTGAGCCCGTTTTCTGAGACAGAGTTGGCCAAGTTTTCGGCTGACTGTCTTGAAGTGTAAGACACAAACCCGCATTTTGCTTTATGGATAATAGATATCAACCTGATCTTACCGAATTGTTCAAAGTATTCGGACATTTCATATTGTGGACAGTCCTCCGGGATTCCAAAAACAAAAAAAGAAGTGAGTTCTTTCTCACTGCTTTGTATTGACCCGCTGAATGGGAGTCTCTTAATGACCTTGGACAAACCAGCTGGAATAGAAGTATCTGGAGTTCTGGCTGATTTTGATGCTTTTCTCATAGGAGATGCTTCTATTGATGTCTCATTAACTTGTGATGCTAACTTCAGAAGTATTTGTCTGGCTTTCTCGTTATTTTCAAGTGTTTCCTTGTCCTGTTTTTCGAATTGTGCTTGTTGCTTATCTGCGATTATTGCTTTAACCTCTAAGTTCCTGGTGTCTGACTGCTGCGTTACTAGATGACCCAAGCCTGCCATTCGGAGCGCTGTGTCACGGATTTCTGTGGGAATCAAGAAGTTCACATCAAGCATACAACACTGGCAGCAGTTTTTCAGCCTAGCACAAGTCTTGCAAATCATTGTGTTTTTGGACCGTTTGGACCCATCTTTGACTTGCCAACGGAATACTGTAAATGGTCGGGTACATATCTTACAAGTTTCTCCTTGGGGCTGTTTGATCATCCGGACGTTTGGATCTTTGCCAAGACACTTGGAACATAGAGTAGGTACTTCAATGTCTGACATGTTGTAGATATTTTAGTGCGCATTATCTCATCTCAGACAAGACCATAAGTAGAGCAAGGTATAATAAAAAGCCGTCCACATAAAAAGGGGTGGTTTAAGAAGCGCACAGTACCCAATACACATTGGGTACCTGAAGAGTGCCGTTGACCATGTCGAAAGAGGAATTAATATTAGGAGAAGCAGCTCGAATATCACTGTCTACAGTAAACATACTCTTTTTCTCTTGCTCGAGACTCCGGTGGTTTACAAGACTTTCACCAAGGCAAACAGGAACTCAGTGTTAAAAAGCTCTGAAATTTTTTTGTTCCACATGAAGGTTCAGGTGAAGAAATTCGTTGTAAATTATTCATCAGCATTCCTGTTTACAATGGGTGAAAAGACTTGAAAGCAAGCTAACTCGGGGTCAATTGACAAATTAAGACAGACTCAGCTTGGTCTAAGTCGACGCACTGTCCTTTGTAGATTGTACTTATTTCGTCTGCATTCTCTAGGAAAAGAAGAGAGTTATAAGTGGAAAAAAATTTTCCAAATCCTCGCTGAGGCTAAATAAATACTCGCCTCTGCACTACTAGCATTGCCAAAAGGATGGCTGCAAAAATATATTATTCATTTATTTACAAGAGCAGTTGAAGTACTTGGTGGATGTTGCAATTCTTACATTTCTCACGAAGTATTTTCATGCTTTGGTCGAATGTTGGATCTTGTATACGTTCTTTTGCATACTTCAAGATAGTGAAGTTTTGCTCAAGAGAGCTGAACACGAGCATGTTGCTTGTATATCCAGTAATATCAGCATTCTGGAACTTGTCAAAAAACCCGATCATATGATCTATTGTGGAAATTGAACTTTCAGTAAGATGTTGAATGGAAGATCTTGATAGCTCGGCACTTTGCAAAACTTGAATATATGTTTGAACTATTATTACACCGTTTCTATAAGTGTTAGGCTCCTCTAAATCGAACAATGCATTTTCATCATCCCAGTTCTCTTCAAATTGAACCAAGTTCTCCTTAGTAAAAGCAAAAATGTTCACTAACTGTTGGGCAATTTCCAGACTTAGCTCCAGAGACTCAAAGTCACGAGCCAAGAATAGAGGAAAGTCTTTGAAGACCGCATAACAAGACCTGGAATATGGATATTCGAGAAGTTGACAAATGAACTCACAAGCCATCTCCCTGATACGAATATCCTTGTCGGTTGCTAATGAAAAAGTAAGTGACACAAACTTCAAGTACTTGTCTGATTTCTTCGAACATGGGGCAAGGTAATTGATAATCAGTTTCAAACCATTCATCCTAATACTTTCGGGCATATCTTCATGGGTGAACTCAATACACTCATTAAGAAAGTTTTTGATATGTTCGGAACAGTAGTTTGAAAGCACATGCAAGCTTGCAGCTTTGATGTCATTACTTTCATTTTCCAAAGCACGGTATAATGTCTTTATGTGTTCCCCGTTATATTCAGAGCTTGGATACTTTCCCAAAACCTCAAGAGCTTTTCTTGTGATCAAAATGTCATTGGATGTTTCCAATATCTTCCAAACCAGAGAAGTATCAAAATTTTCAACGCTTTTATTTAGAAAATCCAACACAATCACTGTAAAATCAAAGCACAAGTCGAAACAAATGTTAATCAAATTGTTCACATTTTCTGAAGATTCAACATGTAACAAATAAACCAATAAGTTGTTCAACGCTAGCCTTTTCAAACCTGAGAACTCTGGGGAAATATTTTTAACGAATATATGAGATAAGAGAGTTTTGCAACTCTCAGGCACATCCAAATATCGGATGATATCAATATACGTTTTTAAGGTCGACCAACTTTGATATTTTATTAAGGGCAATAAAACCTGTTCTGGCGCCTCTAATTGTTTCAACTTCACAATTTCTAGCAAACATAAGAATATACCATGGTTGAAATTTTTGTCTTTGGTGTCTAATAATGATACGAGCTTAGAAACCAAAGTTGAATGAAGACTGGGTAGTGATATTTCAGATAAGGTCCTTGATGTCATTTCTCTAACTTTCCAGTTTCTGTCACCTAATAATGGGATCAATCCGACTTCAAATTCTTCCAAAGTTTCTTCATCATTAACAAAGTTCAAGTTTGATATTATGCTTAAAATGGGGAATACCCACTCAACATTATTCGAGTCTAGATACTTCAATAATGTATGTTTCAACTCATAGTTTTCAAATATTCTCGTTGAGAGGGGTTTTATGGCCTTATTGAATAATTTGTTATTTAAACTGGTGAACAACATTAAACCACAATTCCTGACTGACCAATTATGGGAACCAAAGTATAGGAGGCAGAGATTTAAAGACTCCTCCCAATACTGCAGGCTCTCTTCCCTCAATAAAGAATCGTTGACAATGGCTTTCACACAATTCATTGCATTTACTTGAGGCAAATCATATTTATTCTCATTCTCACCTACCTCCAACTTTATGGTTGCAAATAACGATTTGAATGTCAAGGTCATTAATGCGTCACAGTTCTTATAAGCACCTTTGCAACCTGTTAAGATGCCGGTTATTAACAATGGTAATCCACCACTACGCCTACTGATTAATTGGCTCTTGCTTTCAATTAGACACAATATCCGTTTTAATAAAACTTCGGGATGTTCACGAGTATTCGGGTTTGTGCAACAGTAACTTATGATTAACACAAAGGACGGATAAATCGCAGACAACGCACCCTTATGGTTAATATTTGAAATTTGATCAATGAGAACTTCAATATAATCCAAGAAGCTAGTAATCTCCACTAAATTGAATTTTGATGAATTAATTTTGAAAATCGTGTTGACTAGATCTGTTGATTCCTTAATGAACCTCCAGCTAAAGTTGGAGGCTAGTTTTTGTTCTTGTGATATATCCACTTCTTCATCCTCATTGTCTTTGCTATTCGACAAGAAAGGTTTTAATTTCGGCCACATACTCTGAAATAGCTTGAGAAGCCTACCAAAATGTGTACTCCATAATTCGACATTTTCGTCAAAAACACTAGCAGGTAGTGCTTGCAACACAAACTTCAACGCCGTGCATATCCCATGGTGCCTCAGCTCTTCTGTAGAAAAATCTCCTACGAGCTGCTCGGTATGGAGAAGATACTGAGACAAGTACAAGACCAATTCGTAAACTCTCTGAGTTTCGCCTCTTTGAACAAAATACAAGGCAAGGAAATTGAAGTAGTTTGCACCACCATCACTCCTCCTTGACCTCAAGCTGAAGCAATACCTTGTTGCTTTACTAATAAGTTTTGATTTTTCAGGTGTATAGTAATTTAAAAGCTTTGTTAAGTTTTCTTGATGACATCTCAATAACACTTTGCAAGACATATCTCTGATATCGTCATATTCATTATTCAAGTTATCCAAAAGAAGCACAATAATTGTGTCAGTGAACACGTTAATCTTGAATGGAAATGACAGCTTGTTGTTCTTATTCAAGCCAGTAAAGCCATCCAAGTTCAAATCTATCAACTTATTGGAGAAACTTAATGCAATGAAATTATGAGCGTAAGACGATGATGGTAGTAATCCTCGTTGAATGAAACCCAAGAACCATTTCAAAAACTGCTCCGAACTATTGACATATTCTATGTCTTTCGACTTGTTCCTGGTATAGCTGGAGTCCCTCACATGTATTAAGAATCCGTTAATAGTGTTTATAAACTGGTTCCTCGTATCCACCGAATTCAAATCAAACAAGACCGAGTCCAAGTTATTTTGAATCAAGCTAAATACTTCCAGTGAGATAGTTGAAGTTGGTTTCGCTGTGAAGCAAAGAAATTCCAAGTAGTTAAGTCTTACGTTAAGAGATCTGAAGGTCAATAAGTCTTGTAATGACTCAACTGAAATAATGCTGGATGAATCAATCAGCATTGTTTCACCAATTTTCAATAGGCTCAAACCTAACTGGATTTTGAAATCATCATTGGAATGTTCAAAGTTGATGAAGAACTTCAACAAAAACTTCAGAAATGAATTTTGATCAATTTTAAATATAGCAGGCATCAAGTAAATCACCATATTTTTAGAGTGATCTTGACTGATCAAAAAGGAGTAAATGAGTTCGTCCCAAGAATCGAAATAACGGGATGAGTCAGTTTGATACATATTTGCAAAAATTGCTGTCAACACTTTGCTAGAAGAGTTTGCTAGTGAGCTCAGTTTGAAAAACTCCAAAAGCCTTAAAACAAAAGCTTGGTTTGCCTTATAGAAAGGGTAAACATTCGTGGTGATGTTCTTGACCAATGTTTCCATCATGTTGAGTAAGTGCTTTGAGTTCGTTAAAGAATCAGCCAATATCTGGACCCATTTGAGTATTTGAGTCTCGAAATCGTCTTGGAGTTTCGAATATCCCACCATCTTATTGAGGGTGTTAGCAATAATAGTATTCATCTTGGTCTTGTTGGAATTATCTAAGTTGAGAAAGAGAAATTGAACCAATTCCAGATCTATCTGTAATTGCGGGCACTTTTCTTCGCTTTTGGTGGCCTTGGTCAATTTCAAAATGATAATTGAAAGAGTATCAAGTAACTCCATTTTCTTTTGCAGTGATCGGGCTTCCCTCAACTGCGTATAGATGTGCTGATACTCTCCGGTTAATTCACTGGTATCTTTGTGGTCGGTGATCATCATAGTCTTGAACTCGTTGAGCTGAACGTCTCGTCGTACCTTAGTCATTGTCGCAGAAGTATGGTTTATATTGATGGATCAAAATACTTGGTTTCGCGATGGCTGGAATCTCATCGCCATTATCTCTAGAATTCGCAGAAGTTTTGCAGTAATTAGAACAAGAGGACCACTAAGACAACTTTTTTAGAACAAATGGCATACTAGAAAGATAATGCCGTATTCCAAAGCAATTCCCATGTTGTCAGTGCCGTACAGATGGCATTGGTTTAAATTGTTTTGGGTGCAGGGTATCTACTATGTCTACTTCCAAAGCAGGTACCCCTATTTCGGACCGTGTATATTGCAACATTCTGAAATATACCTCTACAAAAACCTTCAAGTGTATATTCTAAAAGATTCTGCTCTTTCTTTTCGCCGTACCCAAATATCCACCTACATCATGGTAAATCCTTTCTACTATAGTCTTCGCTTGCTTATCGGCTTAAACTGGTCTACTTCTGAAAGTTGCGAGAAAAAAACACTTCAAAATACGCTACCCAAACTTTTTTTCGATAAACCCTAAACAACTGTTAACTTGTTTGTTAGTCCCTCATTACCTGTTGCAATATGATCACCCCGAAAACAGCATACAGAATGCTTTACTACTCCCTTCCATTTTACATGTTGACCACCACCGAGTCGGTGATGTTGCGTATGTCTTTTTAGTTTCTGGAGAGCGAAGTCTTTGAAACCTTGACCAGGAAGGTCCAAGCTTGTCTAGTAAACCACTGCCAGCTGTCGGACATCCACTGTTGGTTTCAATAGTCTCTTCCTTGTTTCGAACAAATTACTAACTTTCTCTAGATATGGTATTAGTATTGTTTGCTGGTCTCCTTAGCTACAGTTTCTACAACGCTGCACAAGTGGCAAGCAAACTCATTGCCGCCAACTTGTAACCACACATAGTTGCCCCCTGAATCGGTCTATCCGTCGCATGATACTGTTTCATGGATAGACCCGTGTTAATACGTCTTCTATAATGAATATACCTAATATTTTAAACGTGAACACGCAGGTGAATAGCTGGTGAGTATCCACCATGTCTTTGTCTACCATGAAGATGTAAAGAGTTTGCATTTGTCTCAACTAACTCTGATTCTCTAGAATACTATATGCTATATTATGTCTATCTCACTGGATGTGATGAAAATCGCGTCTCAAATAAACAGTACATATGTACAAACTGTCTACTGGTGTAAGAGCAAAATTCAAGCCCCCGAGGCCACTTGGCATTGCCCCCGTCAAGGAATCCCCACCTACATCACAGGGAGATGGGAGTCTTTCCAATAAAAGAAAACTTGGTCAAATCACTCCAGTACACCGAAAGTTATCACTGCAATCTTCGAGTACTGATTCGACACAAACCTCAAGTTCACAGAAAACAGATGAAAAGTCGGGTAAACGGTTCATGGTGCAATGGAGAAAAGTCACAAACAAGAAGAATAAAACATGGGATGGAGACGGCATCATAGATGTCAAGGGTTCTTCAATTACTGCAAAAATTGACGGTAGAACCATCACCAAGATAATTCCTAGAACCGATGGTATTTTCAAAGTGGGAGGCTACGAATTGGAAGTGGACTGTGAAATAGGAGGGTCTGATAAGCAAGAACGCCCTCTCCAGCTTGAACAGGCCAAAACAACCCCCCATCTTGCTCAAATACCATCGTTCAAGAAGCTTATGCCCAGCTTAACCAAGGTTAAAAAACCACTTTTCCAGAAAACTGAAGATTCATTTGTGATGAAGAAGGGCAAAGAGACTGATACTGATGTCATTATAGACCCAATACTACTGAAAGTTTTACGTCCGCACCAGAAGGAAGGAGTCAGTTTCATGTATAATGGGGTAATGGGCTACAGTTTCGGAGCCAATGGAGTTTTATTGGCAGATGATATGGGGTTGGGCAAAACTTTGATGTCTATAACGCTTATCTGGACATTAATAAAACAAAGTCCAAACCCAGAAAAGAAAAATGAAGCTAATAAGGTGTTGATAATGTGTCCTGTTACGTTGATTAACAATTGGAGGCGAGAATTCAAAAAGTGGTTAAACATCAACCAGATTGGCATTTTGGTGGTCGATAACAACTCCACTAATTACAAACAAGACCTACGGAACTTTAGCAAGTCATCTGCGTACCAGGTGATGATCATGAGTTATGAGAGACTATTGAATTGTGAAGAAGAAATGCTTGATATTAAATTTGATTTATTGGTGTGTGATGAAGGACACAAATTAAAGAATAACACGAACAAGTCATTGAAGATATTGACAAACATGGATGTCTCAAAGAAGGTATTGTTATCTGGAACCCCTATACAAAACAACTTGACTGAGTTCTACACTTTAATCAACTTTATAAATCCAGGTGCATTTGGCACTTTTACCAGCTTTCAAAAGAAGTTCATTAAGCCAATCGAGATGAGCAGAGAGGTCAACTGCTACAATAAGGAAGTCATCAAGATGGGTAAAACTGCCAGTAAAGAGTTGAGTTCTATTACAAAGACTTTTGTTCTAAGAAGAACAAACGATATTCTCTTCAAATACTTGAGCTCTAAGACAGATGTATTGCTATTTGTCAAGCCAAGCCACCAACAATTAGAACTATTTGATCTAATTATGTCAAACTGCTCCTTCGCTGACTACGATAATAACAACGTCTTGAACCTTATCAATGTTTTCAAGAAGATTTGCAACTCGCCGTCTCTTCTCCAGGATGATAATCTATTCAATTCTCTTAGTGGCGGGTACAAAACGGAGTTACTGACTTCAAGCGGAAAAATTGATTTATTAATAATGATGCTTATAGAGATTATCAACGAAAAGAAAGAGAAATTGGTTATCGTGTCAAACTATACCAAAACTCTTGATCTTTTAGAGAAGGTGTTGAAGAAGCTAAACTTTGAATTCTTGCGATTGGATGGTTCAACTAATCCTTCAACTCGTACGTCGATTATAAACCAGTTCAACAATGTATCTTTTCCTAGATACCCCATATTTTTACTATCTTCTAAATCTGGAGGGTTTGGAATCAATCTTATTGGTGCCTCGAGATTGATCTTATTTGATAACGATTGGAATCCTTCTAATGACTTACAAGCCATGTCAAGGATATACAGAGATGGCCAATTGAAACCAGTGTTTATCTACAGGTTCTTTACCACCGGTTGTTTGGATGAAAAGATCTTTCAAAGACAGCTCATGAAGAATAATCTCAGTGACAAGTTTTTGAATGATTCCAAGGCCAATCTGAATGTTTTTGATATGAATGACTTGAAAGATCTTTTCACTGTTCATGAGTACACCAATTGCAATACTCACGATCTTTTGGAATGTGATTGTGGAGGACAGGGAGATACACAACAGCTAGAACCAGAAGTCTCCGATATTCTTACCTCAGAAGCTGATAATGAAGATGCCCAACAATCAGCAGTGAGATCATCTTCACTTCTGGATGGTGGGTGGGTTTCAGCATTGAACTATAGTCAAATGGATCAGGCTGGGTCTAGAAAGAAGCAATCCTTCAAAAATGCATTATCTGATTACAAGCATCACGATCCTAAGATCAATGCTTTCAATTGTCCTGACGATATTGTTCAAACAATTATAAAGAAGACGAAGAGCAATACAGCTATTAGTTATGTATTTACTAAGGTTTCTAATCCGGTCGGCAAAGGCCCGTTACTTGAAGATAGCTCCAAAGAGAATTCGGTTGAATCTGCTACACCAGAAGTCGACCACTTTTCACCAGACCCTTTGAATAAGTCTTCGCCAATCTTCTATGAGTCGGATTACGAACCTCTGCAATAAATATAAATATGCATATATTAAGCCTCAAACTTCTTCATTCTGGCTTCGGCTGCTCGAGCTCTTTGCTCTCTCAAAACTCTCGATTTTTGGTCTTCGTTTAATCCACTGGTACTGGAAAGTAAAGATACTCCTCCCAACTGCCCCCCGCTAGAGAATGTGGGTTTTTTCAACTCCATCTCAGTCTTCAAATCTAATTGCTCTTGGATCTGTCTCTGTTTTTCTAATCTAATTTTTTCATTCTCCTCTTGCTCTTCTTTTTCTATCTGCTCTTTCGTCATAGCATCCCCCACCTTGGCTGCATCCCAGTCACAATAGTCGTCACCCAACTTGTGTCGAGCCAATTGAAAAATCAGCCTTGTCTGTTTATTGGAACTCAACTCGGCTGCAACTTTTCCCAGTGTACTTTTAAGTGTAGGGTCTGCCTTTAAATTCACCAATAGAACTTGAACAATATGCGTCAAACCATTTGCAGCAGCAAAATGCAACAAGGTTGGTGTAAGTACATACTGGGAAGTTGGGGTCAACTCCAAATTTGGAGAGAGGTTATGTTTCTTCAAGAAGTTAATCAACATTGGAGCTTTCTGCCTCTTTGCAAACCCTAACAAGTCGACCGTTTGTTTATCTGATTCCGTAATTTCTTGCTCCTTGGTGTGTTGCTTCTGCTGTGTGGATTTGATAAGGTTTTCCTGTTGTTTTAGGAGTCTTTCCTTCAACAGTTTGTCTTCTTTGACTGCATCTGTAATGCTCAAATATGCCAACTGTGTCCAGGCTCTCTTCAATTCAGAAGTGGTAGCTCTCTTGGTTGTGAAAGGGAAACTTTTGATTCTGACATCACCTTGTTTGATAACCGCACCTTCATATCCCACCAAAGTTTTCTTCCCTTGTGAAGCATTGGCTCTTATGAATATGGATTTACACTGGTTTAAGTCACTTTCCCACAGCTTGAGCAAATCTCGGATCTCTTGTATAAGAGCTTGTTCCATGTATCTACGGATACTGGACCCAACAGATTTGGCATTTCCCTTCGCATTGTCATTTGCACTCTGTGATCCACCTTGTTTTCTTCTGGTGGTATACCGATGAAAAGTCTTGGACTTTATGATTTCAACTTTTTGTTCTTCAACAGAAAGCTTATGATTCACTGCATTTCCCTTTATGTTCTTCCTTCTGTGGGAAATAATGGCACCAGCGAAATGCCCTCCTCCCATCATGAAAAGTGCAGACTTGCCGGTATCCTGTAGATCTGACCATGTCTTTAAAGATGTGATTGGGTCCATCATTTCCTTTGGTGAAAACAATGCTTTGAAAGCTCCAAGATGTTTGTCACCTGAAAGCATCAGGGACTTGAAGAATATGGATGAAGACTTCGAGTTCAAGTGTGAGGCGTTGGAAGTTTCATCAATAATCGCTTCCGATATCTTTGTTTCTGTAAGACGCTTATAGAGAGCATCATCCTCATCTTCTGAATCACTGGAAGAATCAGTATCAGAACCTGAGATACTCTCGACAGATCCTTGTTCCAATAATCTGTCAAACTCGTCCTCAGTTAGTCTACTCAACCCTTTTGCCTCTCTCTTTTGGTTGTACTTGGTGAGATCATCATCATCATCATCACGGAGTCTCTGGACTTTCAAAGCCTTTGGTGCGGTCTCCAAGTTATGCTGTTCAGACACATCGAACTTTACAAGCTCAAGGCTTTCCACTAGTTCCTGTGAAAGACTAAACACGTACAAACTGTTCTTGGGTATGTTCTTTCCAGACATTATTGAATATGACTCAAGGAAATTCTCTGCTTGGATTTTCGCAGACATTTGATTATCTATGTACAATTACACATGTTAGTCATTATATATAACCCAACCCTATGAGCGAGTCACACTATTGGCTACCAAATCTATGGCATTCTTTCAAGAAATGCTCAATTTTGGCAGGCTCCATGAACGGATGAGTCCCATGTCCAAAGTTAATAATGTAGTTCTGTTTACCACCCCCAAATCCTTGGATCATCTTCTCAACCTTTTTACTAATCGTCTTTTCAGACCCGTACATAACACCCGGATCCAAGTTTCCTTGCAAGGTTATCCTTCTTCCATTTACAACCTTAACAGCATCCTCTGGGTCGTATAACCAATCCAAAGAGATGGCATCGTATCCAATATCACAAAGCTCATCCAAAGCATACCACGCACCTTTTGGAAATACCGTCATGGGAATCTTCTCTTGTACACCCAACTCAACCAATCTGATTGGGAGCTTTTCGGCGATTTGCTTCAAGTAAGGCAATGAGAATTCGGCAAACTCAGCAGGACCTAATTCTCCGGCCCAAGAATCAAATACCTGGATCATTTGGGCACCTGCAACAATCTGTTGCGCCAAAAACTCAACGCAACAGTCAGTAATCGCCTGTAACAATTTATGGGACTCTTCCACGTACTCGTAGATCCATTGCTTGACAAACCGGTACATCTTTGACCCTTGTCCTTCTACCATGTACACCAACAAAGTCCAAGGAGACCCACAGAATCCGAGTAATGGAACTCTTCCCTCCAACTTCTTTCTTGTTAAAGTAATGGATTTAAATGCCCAATCCAAGCCTTTCAATACGTCCGGCTTGTAGTTGACTCTGGCCAAGTCGGCTGGGGTCCTTAATGGATCAACAAACACAGGACCTTTACCTTCAACCATTTCAATGTCGAACCCCATAACCTGGGGTACCACCAAGATATCACTGAAAATAATGGCTGCGTCAATCAACCCGTTGAAGTGGTTTATTGGCTGGATGGTGATTTCACTGGCGATTTCGGCGTCTCTGCAAGTCTCGAAGAAATCTCTCTTTCCTTTAACTTCATGGTATTCTGGTAGATATCTTCCAGCTTGTCTCTGCATTACGGTTAGTGCTTGTTATTTGCAAGGTTTAAAAAAGTGCAACACATACCATGATCCATATTGGTGGTCTTTCGACCTTTTCACCTCTGGCAGCTCTAAGAATCAAGTCGTTTTTTAAAGGAGCAAATTCACCCATTGTCGTATTGTACAAATGATAGTGAAAAAACTTCTGTAGTCGCGGATTCTGGGTTGCTGAACCACATGGGGAGACCAAAACCTAAAATGCCTGTTTGGGGTTCTAGTTGGGTTGAAGTGATCATTTTGTTCTATATATCAAACTGTGTATGATGTTGTATGTCATGAGGTTTTGTTAAACAGTCTTGGTATAATTAGGTGAATACCTATTAGGGCTTAAGCGTATGTGAAAACGGTTGCGAAAACCTTTGAACTCCAGTGGAAGATCATTTGTAAAACAATCAATCCCGAGAAATATTGACTCGGAACGGCTGGTGGGGCTGAGGTCAGTCAATATAGGTTATGTGTGTGTTTACAGCCCATTACGACCGGGGTTGCCCAACAAACTGTCAGAACAGCCTCTAAAATTGCCCAATCTTTAGCAAATTTCGTCTGTGAATGCTTCTCATTGTTGGGTATCATGCTACTCTTCCTCTGTACTCAATAAATCCATTGTTGTTCCCCTGCTTCTATATTCATTAGTTTCCTCATTGTGCTGCTGGTTTATCTATATCCCGCGCACGACCCAATTTCATCTTACGTGCGGCAGCTGGCCCCACGGAAACTAATTCAGTGCACATACATCTTATACCCAAAAGCATGAGTGAACAAGGAGACGTGGGCAATTCTGTGGCCCAAACAGCTTCCGTGGCTTCTGTGACTTCAGCACCCAAAAGGTCAATTGTTAGCGTCAATCCCGGCCAACAAAAGTCCAAGGGTCCAAACTTCTTTATTCGCTTCATAAGGTCAGTGTTTGGATACAGAAAGACATCCCTCTCGTTCTTTGTGTTTGTGACATTTGTGGCTGTTTATTTGTTGTCCTACGTGGACAACAGTCTCGAATGGTCAGTTAGCTTGCCGTCCGATGAATTGGAATCATCTCTTTTAGATGCTTCTTGGACTGACTTGCAGCATATTGGAGAATTTAAACATCCTTATGGTTCAGTGGGAAATGACTATGTCCATGATTATATTGAACAGAAGGTCAAGCGCTTGATCAAAGAATCTAAGCTCCCCTATATCGAGTATGACAATGACTTGAATAATAACAATTCTATATTGTTCAAGGATACTTCTGGATATGTCAGTTATTATGAAAGCAACAACATTCTTGTTAGAATCAATGGAACCAGAGACGACTTACCAGCGTTGTTGATCAGTGCTCACTTCGACTCTGTACCTTCTAGTTACGGTATCACTGACGATGGTGCTGGAATTGCTTCTCTCTTGGGAGTATTAGACTACTTTACCTCGGAGAAGGTTCCTCAGCCAACCAGAACCATTATTTTCAACTTCAATAACAACGAAGAATTCGGCTTGTATGGGGCCTATGCTTTCTTAAACCATCCATGGTCCAAACTCGTCAAATACTTTATCAACTTGGAAGGTACTGGTGAAGGTGGTAAAGCTATCTTATTCAGAGGAACTGATTATGAGATCACTAAAGAGTATAATGCGGTTAGATTCCCATATGCTTCTTCCATCTTCCAGCAAGCTTTCAACAGTAGGATTATCCACAGTGAAACTGACTACAAAGTGTACTTTGAAACTGGTGGAATGAGAGGAATTGACATTGCCTTCTACAAACCAAGAGACATTTACCACACCGGATACGATGATATTAGCCATACTTCTAAGAAGGCCTTGTGGCACATGCTTTCCAGTGCCTTGGACTTTGTCGAAAGTGTCAGCTCCAAAGAACTTGATATTGATCAAGCTTACCTTGAAGCAGAAAAGCCATCTAAGCAGTTTGCTTCGTTTGTTTCTTTCCTCAACTTTTTCTTCATTGTTTCCTTACCAAAGTTGATAATTTTCAACATCAGTTTATTGGTGCTCGTTCCTGTTGTGTGCTTCTTCTTGTTGTTAATTATATTCGGCTACAAACAAAACTGGAGATTGGGTTTTGTCAACTCGGTCAAGTTTCCAATTTCTTTGGTTTTCTCCGTATTTGTGGTTGACTTTGCTAAACAAACAATGATCCAATTCTTTGAGTTTTCTCCTAATTCAAGTGCCACCAGCATGGCTCTCACTTTGTCTGCTGTGTTCTTATTCTCCAATTACTTGATTTTGAACGGAATCAATTTCCTCTTCAGAAACTATAAGTTTATCCAACACGATGAAAAGTTGATTGTTATCATTCAAATCTCTTTTGCTTATTGGGTTTTATTGATAGCATCGACTGTGAGATTGTCAAGCAACAAGTTCGGAAATGACCACACTGGTGAGGCCCTTCTTACTGTCTTATTTGTCATTCAGTCTGCAGGAGCCATATTTGGTTTATTGGGATGGTGTTTTAAAGCCTCCAAACAGGACTTAGAATATGAGCTTACTGCAGCCGGTGCCACGCAGCCATTGCTTGTTGCTCAAACTGATGAATACGGAGCTGCTGACCATGACCACCACACTCATTCTGACAACTCGTCTTTGATTTCAATTGATTCTTACACGGCTCGGAGAAAGTTGTCATTGATTCAGAAGACTTTCAGCTACGACTGGCTTATCCAATTTTTGATTGTTGCTCCCATTCCTTTATTGATCATTTATAATAACTCATGGTTAATTTTATCCGGGATCAACAAATCCATCCAGGAGTCCTACAAGAGTGAATTGTTTATTTACAAGCTCATTGAGTACATTGGAGTTGTTTGCGTGTTTCCAATTTTACCATTTGTTTTCAAGATCAACAAAATCATCATCTACACTGTCATCGTTGGTGCCGTCTTAAACTGTGGTATATTATATGCTTCAAACCCATTCAACGCTGAGAACCCAATGAAATTGAGATTCATTCAGACTGCTAATGCAAGTGCTGATATTTCTGAGTCCTATGCGACAGTAGTAGGTAGATACGGCAGCGGTTTCGAGGACCTTTTGAAGGATATGCCTTCTGTTAAAGCTTCTGGGCTTGATGTGAACTGTACAGAGCCTTTGGATGGTTTAACCACTTGTTCCTATAAGACCCCGTTGTCTCCTAAGTTGGTTCCTGGTGCTACTTCTTTCAGTGATTATTTGAGTGTCGATATCTTGAAGAACTCGAGCTCATCGGCATTTGGGTTGTTAAATGGTGAAATTCAAATTAATGCTCATGGAAGTAGTATGTGCAGTGTGCTATTTGACTCTTCGAGAACCAAAGACTTACCTGTCAAAACGGTAATAGTTTATAATCATGATAAGACGAATGGTACTGTTAGCTCCATGGCCACCCCAGAAGGATTTTCAGTTGATAAGGATGGTAACTTCATTTATAAGGATCTTGCTGGGCTTCCCGGTTTCAAATTGAACAAGCTTGATGACGAAAAGCCTTTCCATATCGCTTTTCAATGGTTGCCAAGTCTACTTGACTCTGACTATACTACTTCAAAGGATTCCTTAAGTGTCGCTATAAAATGTCTTTGGGGTAACTTAGGAGATGGAGACTCGCTCGTGCCAGCTTATAAAGAACTAAACCACTATTCGCCCACTACTGTAAGCTGGTCCAATTTGGCAGGTGGTATGGTTTCTGTTAGCACTACTATTGAAATCTAATGTATATTTGCTTAATGTAACCTTAATATAGAATTGTTCCTGAGACCAATCCGCGTGCAAGTTGTTTTTGCAACCAATTGTACAAACAGCGGTTGAAATGCAATTAAAGAATTTATTCAGCATTATGCTGTTATTGGCAACAGCATTGTGTTTCATTCACCCAATTACTATTCAAGGAAGATACTTCGTTGATACTATCACCAATGAGCCAGTATGTTAACTACTTTTCCATGTGTATTTATCAGGGTATACTAACTCAATAGTTTTATATTAAAGGAGTTGATTATCAACCTGGGGGCTCTTCGGGCGTAGTAGATTACAAGGATCCATTATCCGATGCAAGGGCATGCGCCAGAGATATTCTACTTTTCCAGGAGCTTGGTATTAATGTATGTTATGATTTTACAATGATATTGATTACATACTAACTATCGGTACCAGACAATTCGTGTTTACTCCGTCAACACCGATTTGAACCACGATGCTTGTATGTCTATGTTGGCTGCAGCAGGGGTTTATTTAGCTCTTGATGTGAACTCCCCAATTCCCAACCATCATTTAAACAGATATGAACCATGGAATAGTTATAATGTGGAGTACTTGGAGAATGTCTTCAAAGTGGTTGAACAGTTCTCGTATTATAATAATACGCTTGGGTTTTTTGCTGGAAATGAAGTCATCAATGATATCACCTCTGCAAAGGTACGTATACTCCATTCAAGGCAAATAGAACCATACTAACAACTTTTAGAATTCAGCAGTTTATGTCAAAGCCATGGTCCGAGATATCAAAAACTACATCTCGTACAATTCACCCAGGCCAATCCCAGTTGGTTATTCAGCGGCTGATGACTTGAACTTCAGGATTTCCTTCTCCCTGTACCTCCAATGTATGGATGAAAGCCCATCTGATTCGGTCGACTTCTATGGTGTCAATTCCTACCAATGGTGTGGAGACCAAACCTTTTACACTAGTGGATACGATTCCCTTGTCAACGATTACCTTTCTTATTCACGACCTGTATTTTTATCTGAGTATGTTTACCACATTACGCTTATACTGAGATACAATATTAACACAATTTAGATATGGGTGTAATCTTATCACCCCAAGGCAGTTCGGAGAAGTTCCTACACTTTATTCCAATGATATGGTAGACGTATTTAGTGGTGGTTTGGTGTATGAGTTCTCACAGGAACCTAATAGCTATGGATTGGTAGAGCTTAGCTCTAATGGGGATGTGAAGCTTTTGGAAGATTTCCTCTCTTTGAAGAGGCAATTTGATGCCTTGCCCGAAATAGACTACCACCATGTTGCCCAAGCAATGAGACAAAATGCCAAGGAGATCCAAAGCATAAAGAAGTTCCAAAGATTTGGGTTGCAACCCTGTGACGAAACATATGAACATATCGATATCAGCAGGGGAATTCCCAAGAGTTTGGCTGATGACTTGGTCGATTTTGGAGTCGAAGTTCAACGGGGCAGGTTCATTTCACTTTCAGAGCAGGACTTTACCTGTGCATTCAACATTTTGGATCCCAAGGGTCAGCCATACCCCATATCAAAAACAATCACCCCTATAATTGACCATATGTCTGGAGTTGGTTATGATAAGTTCAATCGGGTCAGGCACAAGAGCGGTATGTATAATGGTGACGAATCTAAGGATGAAAATGGAGTCTCGGAGTGGGAGTACTCCGACAGTGATGCAAGTGGATCCGAAACTGATCTGGAGTCGATGGGTAATAAAGATGAAACCATATTCAGCAAAGCATCAACTTACTTGGCGAATGCTTTCCACTCGATTGCCAATATCTTCTCTCATCTGTGAGTTACACGTGAACTTCAAAAACTAACTCAATTCTAGGAGCTGGTTTTGAGCAAGTCAAATTAACCTTCTTGGCATTAGCGTATGTGTTGGCGTTCTTTAAAATCCTTGTATAATTTAAGTGACTTCGTACAAGATCATTCCCTTAAAGCTCATGATTCTGAATTTTGTTTTAGCCTCTATCAACGGCCATACGAGAGTACGCCAGTCAGTTTTAGAGAGATTTTCAATTGAAATACCGTCTTGAGTCTTCATAAATCCACAATTCTTACATGTGTGAATAGTTCGTGGCATGTCCTTGACTTTGATAATAAGGTATTTGGTCTTGGAGATATGGTTCAAGAATTCGGTCAAGGTATTTTCTTCGTGTCGGTCATTTTCTTCGTTCTTGTGATTGTGGTTGTACTGGTATAGTATATCGAAATTGTCGAACACAAGGCATTTCAAGTTAGCGAAATAACCACTTCCGGAACAGAGTAGCTTGAAGAAAGGATTAAAGGTCTTGAAATTAAACGAACCATTCTCATAGAATAACTTTGAGTCCATATCCATGATAAGTGTCTCCAACATGTCATTGCACTTCACCATGTCTATGACCGATAAATCCAGGTTATTGGTCAAGTTCTCTAGTCTCAAACTGGAAGTGCTTTTGAGAAGCTCTGAGGGTGTTCTCTTTTGGCATCTGTTGGTAAAAGAACACGAAACCAAGGAAAGCTGGTGTATTATCACCGTCTTGGGTATTGATAATCCCACAAGCTTGGACTCGTCAATAATAAAGTTGTGCAACTCTAACTCATCAACGCTGTCAAAAATGTCCAAGATCTTAGAGATGTGGTTAACCCTAAACAAAATAGACCAACCGGTTTGGGCTTTGATCACCAACCGGTGAAGAGTTCTGTTCTGTCGTTTCTTATACTTTTTTAGTAATGATGTATCTACCAGAATGTTGTTGAAAAGAAACTGTGGGGAAATCTCCAGTATTATGATGGTCTTCAAGTTATAATTCTCTTTAAGTAGCATATTCACTCCCAGCACAAAATCATTGAAATTCGTTACACTATTATTCGATATCACCACATTAACAGAGTAGCTACCTGCTATGTTGGTCCTGGAGTTTTGTGAATTTTGTACGGGAGGATTCACAAACTCTACCGTTCGAATCAAATTGACATGAGTCGATGTTTCACTTACTCCGTATCTTTTATTTGGTAAGTGGGCATGGGTGAACTTGAGAAAACTGTTTGTATCCTTGAATCGAACATCCTTGTAGAGGAAGTTCTTGACTATTATATTGTGAAGTTTTCGGCACACAAGGGAAATATTTATGAGTTCCAATGTGTCATTTTTGAAGTGAGAGAAAATTTTGATAAGGATCTCTGGAGGCATGGAGTGTAGACTTAGGGGTCCATAGTCTGGGGTCTGTGGCCTATTTACCTTCGTCTTCCGGCCAATAAGCTGGTATCTATTCATAGTTATGATTTTTGTGCTTAAACGTTCAGCCTCACCAAGTCTTTCAAATAGTTATCAGCTCATCGAAATTCGCATCAAACAATACAATTATTATTTAACCATGGCAGCAGAGCAGAGAAAGTTATTGGTGCAATTAATGGGCAATGATTCCCTCATCTCGCCTGTGGTGAGGAGGAGAATGCCTGAAATAACCTCTCATAAGGTGTGTAAGAGTTTTTTGGTGGGCACTTGTCCGTATGATTTGTTTGTGGGAACCAAGCAGGATTTGGGAAGGTGTCCCAAGCTTCACTTGGAGAAGCTCAAACTTGAATACGAGTACCGCACCAAGAAGGGAGAGCTATTTCCTGACTTCAGATATGAATATTATATGACCCTAAGACGCTATGTTCAAGACATTGATTATACCATTGAAAATGCCAATAAGAAGCTTGAACATACCCCAGAAGAAAAGGAGAAGATCTCAGAAGTTACGAAAGATCTCGAGAATCTCGATACTAAAATTGGGTTGATGCAACAAGAAATCAACTACCTTATAGCTGAGAACAAAACTCAGATGGTGCTCAACCAGTCGATAAAATTATCAGCTCTAATCGAAGAAAGGCAGAAGTTGGGTGAAAAAGCCCGTACTATCATCGAAAACATCGGACAATCAGCCCAACAGAAACTTCAGGTGTGTGAGCAGTGTGGGGCATTCTTATCACGGTTGGATAGTGATAGACGGTTGGCGGACCATTTTATTGGTAAAATACATTTGGGCTACGTACAAATGAGATCAGAGTATAAAGAACTTCAACAGCAGTATAAGGACCAAACCTAATCACTCTTGGTATCTTTTTCCATCGAGACCTTTTCCTTGGAAATATATCCAATGGCATTCAATCTTTCCGACAAAATTGGGTGGGATCTGTAATAAGCTGAATATAATGGGTCTGCCTCAACGTAACTCAAATTTTCAATGTTCAACTTAATCAAAGATTTACCCAAGTCGTCCGTATAACCACACGATTTAGCGTATTCGTCGGCTTCATATTCGTGCTTTCTAACCAACAAGTTTTGAAGGAATTGCAACCCCGATTCAAGAGGCTTGAAGATATCTGAAAACAACAAAAGGGCAACGATAGTTGGCTTGAGGCCAAAGAAACCAAACGACTGGAACAACGAGTTGTTCCCAAGGAAAGCAGCAAACATGGAGAACATAACCATCATGTTGACTTGGGAAAATGCCAACATCCTTGGTAAATGGTTCAATTTCCAATGTCCGATTTCATGAGCCAACACGGCCACAGTCTCGTCGACAGTAGAGTGTTCGATCAAGGTGTCAAACAAGACGATTTGCTTACTCCAAGGTAAACCTGTGAAGTAGGCATTGGAGTGACCCGATCTTTTAGATCCATCAATAACGTATAACTTGGTCAATGGGAACCCTTGCTTTTTGGCCAAGTCTTCAATGGCTGTCTTCAATTCACCATCTTCCAAAGGAGTAAACTTGTTGAAAAGAGGTTGGATCAAGGATGGGAAAATAGTCATGAAGAACAATTGGAAGAACAATACAAGACCGCAAGCATACAACACGAACGACTGGCCGTACCATTCAATGATTTTCAAGAATGAACCCAAGAATGGAGGAAGCAACACCATCTGAATCAAAAGCGACTTGAAGAAATCAGCAGCCCATAAGCTCAAAGTAGACTTGTTAAATCCATACTTTTCTTCCAATACAAAGGTCTTATAGTAGTCAACGGGTATAGAAGTGAGTTCACTGAAAAGCGAGTTAGCAAACAAGAAAATGATCGATTGGGTGATCACTCCTCCCATGAACTTAGGTAACACTGGCAAAAGGTGACTAAGTACAGCTCCACTAAAAACCCAAAATTTGGGTAATAAATCGTACTTAATATAAAGTAGGTTTTTAATCAAGGAGTAAGCACTGGTGAAGAACGAAAAGCCTTCTTTGGCTCTGCTGTATTCTTGAGACTTATCATATGTTTCTTGTGTAATCTCTGCCTTCAATGAGTGAGGGACGGCCGTTCTTTTCAATACTTGATATTGCTTATAGCCTAAGAACGATTCGAAAATGTATTGACCAAGCGTGAAGCTAACGATCACGGTTTTCCAATTGATGCTTGGATTATCCAAAAATCCCAAGTTCTTGAGTGGGTTAGTATATCGCTTGTATCTGCTGGTTTTTATGATTAAACATACACTTACTAATGAGTACGTCATTGAGTTATTCAAATGAAAAATATACGTGGAGCAATTTCTCCAACGAAAATGCGCCATCGAGAATGCGCAAAGCATTAAAAATATATGAACTGTACTTTTTTATTGATAGGCTATATGGGAGAGAGTAACACTCTAGATCTAGTTAGCTTCAGCGGCCAATTTTTCGGCCTTGGCAATGACATCTTCAATACCACCAACCATGTAGAAAGCATTTTCTGGCAAGTGATCATATTTACCTTCCAAGACTTCCTTGAAGGATTTAATGGTCTCTTGCAATCTGACTAATCTACCTGGAATACCGGTAAAGACTTCGGCCACAGCGAAAGGTTGAGACAAGAATCTTTGAATCTTTCTGGCTCTTTCGACGGTCAACTTATCAGCTTCAGACAATTCATCCATACCCAAAATGGCAATGATATCTTGCAAAGACTTGTAAGCTTGCAAGGTTTGTTGAACATTAGAAGCAACATCATAATGTTCTTGACCAACAACGGCAACATCCAACAATCTAGACTTGGAATCCAAAGGATCGACAGCTGGGTAAATACCCAATTCAGAGATACCTCTAGACAACACAGTGGTAGCATCCAAGTGAGCAAAAGTGGTAGCTGGAGCAGGATCAGTCAAATCATCAGCTGGGACGTAAACAGCTTGGACAGAAGTAACGGAACCCTTCTTGGTGGTGGTAATTCTTTCTTGCAACAATCCCATATCAGTGGCCAAAGTAGGTTGGTAACCGACGGCAGATGGAATACGACCCAACAAGGCAGACACTTCAGAACCAGCTTGAGTGAATCTGAAAATGTTGTCGACGAACAACAAGACATCTTGACCTTCTTCATCTCTGAAGTATTCAGCAATGGTCAAACCGGTCAAAGCAACTCTGGCTCTGGCTCCTGGTGGTTCGTTCATTTGACCAAACACCAATGCCACCTTGGAATCACCATCCAAGTTGATGACACCAGTTTCAATCATTTCACGGTACAAATCGTTACCTTCTCTGGTTCTTTCACCGACACCAGTGAAAACAGAGAAACCACCATGAGCTTTGGCAATGTTAGAAATCAATTCTTGAATAAACACGGTTTTACCGACACCGGCACCACCAAACAAACCAATCTTACCACCTCTGGCGTAAGGGGCCAACAAGTCGACAACCTTGATACCGGTTTCCAAAACTTCGGCAGCAGTGGATTGTTCAACGAACGATGGAGGATCAGCATGAATTGGGTTTCTTTGCGTAGCTTCAATTGGACCTCTTTCATCAATTGGTTCACCGACAACATTGATGATTCTACCCAAAGTACCTCTACCAACTGGGACGGAGATTGGAGAACCAGTGTCGGTGACAGTGGTACCTCTAACCAAACCTTCGGTACCATCCATGGCAATGGTTCTAACGGTGTTCTCACCCAAGTGTTGGGCAACTTCCAAAACCAACTTTTGTTCACCGTTTTTCAAAGTTAAGGCATTGAAAATGGCTGGCAAGTTACCATCATCGAAATGGACGTCAACAACGGCACCAATAACAGCTCTAAAATAAATAGTTAGTAAAGTGTCAACCAATTACTGAAAATTCCTCAATATCATTGTTGGTGGTTTTATATCCGATTTTTCTGTGAGGAACCTTTTGAAAAATTTCATTGGACGAAATCGCATTCCTCGTCGAAAATACTCAATTCGATTTTGGCCAACAAGCAACATCACCATTTAATTTCGTAGATCCAATCGACTCTTCAGTTAGGTGATGTAGAAGCCACTTAGGGTCTCAATTGCTTGTATTGCTTTGAAATTGTGTGGGAGACATCATTGAATATATCGGTTTCTTCGCTGAAAGTTGTACCCCCAACCACTGCCAATTTGCCAACTAGCCACAATATTGAACCAATTGATCAACAGCACCTAAAAGTGTGGGAGGTTCATCTGCAGCTCACCTGCTATATATATACAATTGATTTGCTGGACACAGTTCAAGCTCCTCAGATCAATCGAGTAATTTTTCAGTTTTTTCATGTTTATAATATACATACCTAACCTTACCAACAGCTGGAGCAGCAGAGGCCAAGTTTCTGGTTAAGTTAACTTTCAAGCCTCTGGTAGCAGTGTTGAATAAATTCTTGCTAGTATTGTTGAATAATCTTGGAAGAACCATAGTAAAATGAATTTATGGTAATTCGGACGTTTGACCTTGGAAAAACTGAAGAATGGGAATTTGAGAGTTTTTATAAAAAACTTTCAACACAGTTCGGGTTCTGGCACCTTGTGGCAGCCAATGAGAATTACGGGTTTTTTTCGTGGAGGGGACACGACCCCGGTGGGTGCGACGGTTACCCGGTTGATTTTTAATTGGTTCTGCCGCCAGCTGGCGGCGCGCTCGCCCTGGTCCTACCGCCAGTAGTGGGCCCTAATAGTCGGTCAAAGGCACATTCACATTCAATTCATTATAATACATAAAGTTATGGTAGAAGGACCTCAATTGACAGGGCAAATCTCTCCATTTCTTCGGTGGTGATATTAACCACCAATTGCGACTTCGTAGGAACGTCCGCAAACTTTTTAGCACAATCTAAGCATAGATGAATCTCAATCTTACTGTTCAAATCGTTCATACTATGACTATGGTTGATAATGGACATTTTGGACTTCATCAGGTGCACTTCCTTTTTGGGCTTGATGATCCGGTTGGATTTACGAAGGTTTCTTCCCGGGTTCATCTCGCTTTTAATGTTGGTTAGATTGCTTCTGCTACTAGAAGTAATATCTAGTAGTAAGTCACAAGATTCTAGAACATTGTGCTCTTTATCTTGAATACGGTCAAACTTTGCAATTCGTACTTCTAGAGGTGACGATTCTGGAGTTAGGAGCTGGTTGATGGAAATCTTGGTTGTTTTGGAGTCTTCGACTGCAATTTCATTAAATCGGTGCTTCCGATTATTGTAGACACAGAAGATGTGGGAGATATGAGTTTGGCATATGTCACATAATTCCTCCTCATCCACTTCGTCTTTATTGTCTTCCTCCAAGTAATTTTCATAAGAGATGACGTTGCTCAAGTCCTCAAGCTCGAAATTCTTATCAAGAGCCTTCAACGACATCTTGGTTCGGGCAATAAACTGTTTATAACTAGAAAGACACCGCCTCACCAAGTCAATGTTACTCTCCTTACCCACGCTGAAGTTCAACAAGACATTTTCCATCAACTTGAAATGGTTAAATACGTTTTCTTTCTTGATAAGCTTATAGTCTGAAATAGAGGCCTCGCCGTATTCCAACCACATTTCCATTGTGAAATTCACAGCTTCATTGACATTGAAACCCGAGTTAAACCCGGCATGGTACACTTTTGGGTAAGTTATCACAAACTCGTTGGGGTTCTGGTTGGCGTAATAGCACTTTATGTTATTGGCAACAATTTGCATGGGTGACAATAACGATACCAACTGATGCAAAAGATCAGGTTGACGTTTGAACAAGTCTGGAGCTGTGCTTCTCATGAGCGCCTCAAACTTAGAAGAGTCGCTGGCAGGAATCCCGTACCATTTTTTGGTGGAGCCAAAATGACAATAATTGGCCGATAAGGTGTAGTGGTCTTCCACATGCCAACAGAATGTAGAAAGTAAAGATCCCACGTATATCCACGGAACCGTCATTCCCGAGATGGAATGCTTAATGTAGTTCAAGAGTGAGCCCTTGGAGTACGGGAGATTCGTCAAATTGAAGGGGTGGCCGGCATATTTGTCAAATTCAACCTCATCAAAGTACGCTTTGATTCGAGGAGGGGTGCTCTTCATGGGGAACCCCGATATCTGCCCCGGCTTCAAGTTGTGGATATCTGCCCCATACCGAACCTCGATATCACTTCTCTGTACTTCCACAAACTCCCAAAACTTCTTTTCGATCTCTGCTAGGCCCATAGGACCATACTCACTAAAAAACTGCTTCTGGAAATTGGTTGAGTGTTCAAAAAACTCTCCAAGAGAGAACTTCCTATCCACCTCCTCTTCAAACCCATACTCTCCTGTTCCCACAAGACACTTTTTGCAGTACCAGGTTCCACTGGGCACCTTTTCAAGTCCTAAACACCGTATATGGTAGGGGTTATCGCAGTTTTCACACAATAATGTCTCATCCGGAGAGTGGTTCTGCCCACACAACAAACAGTTCTCCAATTCGTCTTCCGAGTCGGACTCGGGAAGGGTACTGGACAAGTTGCTGTTGAGAAACTCGGCGTACGCCTTGATACTGACAAAGTACTCATTTTGCAAGTAGATGGAATCTTTGTGCACCCCAAAATGATGGTTTATTGTTTGCCAGTCGCTCCACCTCAAGTTGGCATAGCCACCAAGATTGTCAACTTGAACGAACAAGTCGTAGTACCAGATAGTTTTACTGTTGACCAGAAAACTCAACTCCAACGGTTTTCTTCTTCTCATGGTCAAAAACCGATTGAGGTTCTCGGTGAAAAACTTCCTAGAACGACTCCTAATGCCTAAATCACTCAACTTTTGCAACCTGGTATGGAAGCGGAAATCCAGTGAAAGCAGAAATTGCGGAGTCCACCCGGTGGGAGGCACCACTTTCACGATCCCGTAGTGATATCCGAGATTCTTAATATCGGGACGAGACAAGTAGCCAATAGGGTCCCTGAACTCGGTCTGAGTGGGCCGCAAAGTCGGACACTCCTCTAGTTGTGAGATGTCGAACATGACTGTGGGGTTACCTGTAACCGAAGAAGCTTCTTGCTATAAATATGGCGGAAGTGGCCTAATCAGTAGGCACAACTGAAATTTGCGACTTTCCAGCTGATAACACCGGTAAAGGTTGTGGTCAAGACAGTAAAAGCAGTGGCAGTCGACCAAGTGATATTTTCTTGGTGGTTGTGGTGGTGGCGGTGTGAAGTTCGTCCTGTGAAGCCTATATCCAAAGTGGCTAAACGAAACAATATTTCGAACTTACCTCCAGGTATGGTTTCGGAAATGTATTAGTTCCCTTAAAAACTGCGAACTGCCCACAAACGGACGCCAGAAAAGTTAACTGCAGCATTTATACTTTGATCTCAAATGAAGGACTACACAATTGCAGTATTGGGATGTGGTGTCATGGGCACGGCCGTGACGTCTGCCATTTTGAGCACATCATTTGACGAATACCCATCCAAGATTATCTGCTGCAACAGCTCGGAAAAACTGTCGAATGCCTTGAAAGCCAAGTTAACTCACCCGATAGTTGAATACTCATTTGGAGCCGAGTCCAACAAAAACGCCGTTGAACAGGCCGACGTCATTGTACTTGGTTGCAAGCCCTACATGTATAAGGATGTGTACGAGCAGGTGAAAGGTGGTTTGTCTGGAGACCAATTACTCATTTCGTTGTTGGCTGGTATCACCATCGAGGAATTACAAGTATTCAGCCCGTATGTGGCCAAGGTCATGACCAACACGCCTGCGCAGTTTGGGTGTGGGATGGCCACTATTGCCTTTTCGTCCGAAGCTGAACCCAAATATGAGCAGTTGGTGATGAAGCTCATCTCTCCCGTGGGAAAGGCCATCAAGATCCCCGAAAAAAACATGGACGCCGCCACCGCGTTGGTGGGGTCTGCGCCGGCCTTCTGCTTATTGATGATGGAAGCCTTGATCGACGGTGGGGTGAGAATGGGGATTCCCTATGATACTGCTAGACAGTGTGCTGCTAAAGTCATGGAAGGAACCGGCAAAATGGTGGACCAGACAGGTGACCATCCTGCCGTGTTGAAAAGCAAGGTATGTACTCCAGGAGGGACCACCATTGGAGGGTTGTTGAAATTGGAAGATGCTGGTGTAAGAGGTGCGATTGCTAGGGCCATTGAAGAGGCTGCGAATATCTCCAAGTCCTTCAGTAAGAAGTAGTCATATAGTTTGTATATACAAGATGTACGAGTTCATGTATCACTTTTGCTTGCTGTAGATGCTCAAAAGTGCCTTGAGGTCTTCTGGGGTACAACTGATGTTGTTTTTTCGTAACTCCACGTAGAAGTCCTTCAAAGCATCAGACACTTTTTTATCCATTAAAAGCTTTGCCAACTGGAACATGTTGGGCTCAACACCGGGCTTGACACCTTTGGCTTCAAACACCTCTTTCAAGTTTTTGGCACACTGTTTCAATTTCGGACTGGACTCCATGGCTTCAGCTATATTGCTTAGTGTTTGGTCGAGGTCGGAAGGGCTTGAAGCATACGTTCTGAACGGCGTAAAAACGGCAGACAGAGCTCTCACATAGACACCGGTTGTTTGACTCGCCCTGTACACGAGTCTTGCTCTGATCCCAACTCTAACAACACTGCGTAACATATTCTATTGATATTGCTTGTGGTAGGGGGAAGAAATTTACCAGCTGGTATTGGGTCGTGCGCCACCGGTTGGCAAGGTTGTGCGCGCTCTGAAAAGTTGTCGAAGCTCTTCCACTATTCAACTACTACAACACCTCTAATCAAGTTCTAATCAATCATGTCAGCTGAAGGTCAAGAAGAATTATTGGACTACTCCGACTCTGAAGAAATTGCCGTAACCCAACCAACCACCACCGCCACCGATGGTAACGAAAAGGAAGCCGATAAAAAGGGTTCCTACGTTGGTATTCACGCTACTGGTTTCAGAGACTTCTTGTTAAAGCCAGAATTATTGAGAGCCATTGGAGATTGTGGGTTTGAACACCCTTCTGAAGGTTCGTATTATCCTCAAAATGGCCGTTCGTTTGTGGTTGTGTGAAATTATGCTTTCTTTTACCACTTTGCTTCTTGCAGAAGGTTATTGCAATTGTATCACATAAGTTGATAGTGTGTGACATCTTTGTTGACCCACGAAGTTATGGGGGCAGGTTTCCCCTGTGGTTTTCGATTCCAACTATTTTTCTGATCAAATTGTCGAGCATTTTGTATGCTCATCGACTGCACTTTTCACCTCCACATTCGAAAGGACCTTTTCCAAGCATCCTAACTAACATTTTCTAAAGTCCAGCAAGTCTGTATTCCACAATCCATCTTGGGTACTGACGTGTTGTGTCAAGCCAAGTCTGGTTTGGGTAAGACCGCTGTTTTTGTGTTGTCTACTTTACAACAATTAGACCCAGTTCCTGGTGAAGTTTCCACCTTGGTTGTGTGTCACACAAGAGAATTGGCCTACCAAATCCGTAACGAGTATGCCAGATTCTCCAAGTATATGCCAGATGTCAGAACCGAAGTGTTCTACGGTGGAACCCCAATTAACAAGGATGTTGCCAAGTTGAAGGACAAGGAAACCTGCCCTCATATTGTGGTGGCCACCCCCGGTAGATTACATGCTTTGGTTAACGATAAGGCCTTGAGATTAAACAACATCAAGTCTTTTGTTATCGATGAATGTGATAAAGTGTTAGATCTGGTGGATATGAGAAGAGATGTTCAAGATATCTTCAGAGCCACTCCTCATCAAAAGCAAGTGATGATGTTCTCTGCCACCTTGTCTCAAGAAATTAGACCAATCTGTAAGAAGTTCATGCAAAATCCATTGGAAATTTATGTGGATGATGAGGCCAAATTGACGTTGCATGGTTTACAACAATATTACCTCAAATTGGATGAAAAGGAAAAGAACAGAAAGTTGAGTGACTTGTTGGATTCATTGGAGTTTAACCAGGTGATTATCTTTGTCAAGTCGACCCAAAGAGCCAATGAGTTGGATAAGTTGTTGTGTGCTTGTAACTTTCCTTCTATTGCTGTGCACTCTGGTTTGAAGCAGGAAGAGAGAATTGCCAGATATAAATCTTTCAAGGAATTCAACAAGAGAATCTGTGTGTCTACTGATGTGTTTGGTAGAGGTATTGATATTGAAAGAATCAACTTGGCCATCAACTATGATTTGCCAAACGAAGCTGACCAATACTTGCACAGAGTTGGTAGAGCCGGTAGATTTGGTACCAAGGGTTTAGCCATCTCCTTTGTGTCCACGCCTGAAGACGAAGAAGTTTTGGAAAAGATTCAATCTAGATTCGATGTCAAGGTGACCGAGTTCCCAGAAGAAGGGGTGGATCCTTCCACTTATATGAACACTTAGTTCTTTTAAAAGTAAAATGTATATGTTGTTTTAATATAAATTTGTCTGGTGTCATGGTTGCGAATACGTTGTGCATATTCCGTCAACTGTATCGTACACCACCGATATTTCCTTCTTGGGAATGAGAAACCATTCCACGTGAATGTTGAATCCGTTGACAAAGAGCTCGTTGGTTCTAGTAGAATTGTCAGAACATCCTTTGCACGATACACTTCCTTTTCCGTATTTCAGCCATAGACGTTTGTGGATTTCACCTTCAGCTTGGGCCAAGTTCCCCGAGCAGTAGAAAGCTCCTTCATCCGTTAGACTCGAGTACGTCTTCTGTTTGTCCTTTACCGCCAACCTCTTAAACAAATGCGATAGTTTATTTGTGTAGACGACTTTATCGGTGTGCGGATTGATGAGCATAATATCATGGTGGCATTTATCCTCCCATTGTTTGATACGTTTCTTGACGCTCTGAGTGGTCATTCCCACTTTCAAAAACACGTACGGTGACTTGCGGAGCTCGTACAGAATCCATTTGTCTTTGTGTTTGGGTGGAGTGTTGGGAAGGTTCCGGACCTTAAACCAGTTGTTTTCGCGTTTGTTGAAGAACTTGTTCAAGGTGTAGATGTAGATAAATCCGGGAGAAGGTTCGGGGTATTGCTTGCCGGGGCTGATCTGGTGCTTGTGGTAGTGGCAGTAGCCGTGTGGAGCCGGTATTTTACACCTGACGCCCTTTGTTGTAGTTCCTAGACATTGCAGCATTGGCTGCGCGAAATGGAGATGGCTGGTTTTAGTCGCTACCGCAGTGGATCGCGGCCGTAAGTCGACTATGGGTGTATGGGTCAGAAACACTGCTGTGGCTGAGGTGCGAACGGCTATAGCTTGGACTGCGGTAGCTAGAAACCGACCGGAACCCAGAAACCAGGAAACTTTCCACCTCCAGTCCACATCCTAACCCACTCCCAGCCCACGTCCTAGTCCACGTCCTAGCCCACATACTAGCCCACCCCTAGCCTACGCCAGTTCTCGTCCACGTCCAGCCCATGTCTAGTGCCAGCTCAACCCCACTTAACGTGCGCGCCCCAACCTAATTACGAATGCATCCACAGTTCGGAGATCCTATAAAACCAACCCATTTCCCCTTTCCACCCGCCACCAATGAAATTCGAAACCAAACAAGTCCACGCCGGACTCGAAATCGACTCCACCAGAGCCAGAGCCCAGCCCATCTATGCCACCAGCTCATTTGTATTCAAAAACTCCGAGCATGGAGCTGACCTTTTTGGCCTCAAGGATCCGGGGTACATTTACTCCCGTATCGGTAATCCTACCAATGCCTCATTTGAGAGAAGAATCGCTGCCTTGGAGAACGGCAGCCTGGCGGTCGCCACCGCCTCGGGTCAGGCCGCCCAATATTTGACCATTTCGTCCCTCTGCTTCGCAGGTGATAACTTTATCACCAGCTCGCACCTTTATGGCGGTACCTACAACCAGTTCAAAGTTTACTTTAAACGGTACGGAATCGAGGCCCGCTTCGTCCAAGGTACCAATGTCGACGATTATGAGAAGAAAATTGACCTGAAGACCAAATTGATCTATGTGGAGTCCATTGGTAACCCCAGCTACGACGTAGCCGACTTTGAAAAATTGTCCCAATTGGCCCACCGTTACGGTATTCCCTTGGTGGTGGACAACACCTTTGGTGCCGGCGGGTACGTGATTCGGCCCATTGACCACGGGGCCGATATCGTGGTGCACTCTGCCACCAAATGGATCTCCGGTAGTGGTACCACCATTGCGGGGGTGGTGGTGGACTCGGGAAAATTCCCTTGGAAGGACCACCCCGAACGGTTCCACCAGTTCAGTCAGCCATCCGAGGGCTACCACGGCATGGTGTACAACGACGCGGTGGGGTCCGACGCATTTGCTGTGTACGTTAGAACTGAAGGATTGCGGGACGTGGGTCCTTCTCTTAACCCATTTGGAGCGTTTTTGTTGTTGCAAGGATTGGAGACATTGTCGTTGAGAGTCGAGAGAGAAAGTTCCAATGCCTTGAAGTTGGCCCAGTGGTTTGAAAAATCCCCCTACGTCACCAAGGTGTCATATTTGGGATTGACGTCGCACTCGAGCCATGAACTAGTGCAAAAGTACTTGGCCAATAAAGGGGTTTACGGAGCGTGTCTTTCGATTGAGGTGAAGAGCTTTGACAAGCCGGTCGACAACGATTTCAAGGAAGCAGCAGTGCAGGTGGTGGATAATCTTGAGATTTTCAGTAACTTGGCCAATGTGGGAGACTCCAAGTCTTTGGTGATTGCACCATATTTCACTACTCACCAGCAGTTGAGTGAGAAGGAGAAGCAGGACACGGGAGTGACGAAGGGGTTGATCCGGTTGTCTATTGGAACTGAGCACATTGATGACTTGGTGGCGGACTTTGAGCAGTCGTTTGAAAAGGTATACGGAAAGTAGGGGAAATGGAAGTAGATGCAAGTAGAGCACGGAAAAATGTACGAAAGAGTGTACCAAATAGTGTATGATGTAGATTACTAAAGAGTACCAAAAGAGTACAAAAGAGTTCCAAAAGAGGTACCAAAGTACAGAGTCAAATTAGTATGCGTATATCTAGTTCCTAATGCTTCTCACCTCGCTTCTTGTATAAAATGTATGCCAACACAACCTGCCCCATCACCACCATAATCACCGACATGACAAGCCCCACGTACCCCGAATCAGCCCTAAGGTCTGCCACCGTGAATTTCTGCAATAATTTACACACCTTGTAGTAGAATCTGAGCTGAGCACCCCATGCTCCAAACTGCACCACCATCAGTGGCACCTGTAACACCATCACCACTCCCACCATTCGTGCCGATACGTTTCTGAAACAAGCCCAGTGGAGTACAAAGAGCAATGACACACACGACACAAACGAGCTCATCAATGAAGCCATGGGGACCTTTCTCATGGTTTTTCCAAATCGCTCAAACTTGTACGCATCGTGGGCCACCTTTAATTTGGTATCACTCATATGCCCGTCTTTGCTGGTCTTTTTCGCTTCGTGGTACATTTCGTCCAAGTTCATGATGGTGTGGGAATACGTGAGCGAAAACAGGTCGATGAGCTTTTGGGGGTTTTGTGACTTGGAGATGAGCGACAACTCCACTCCGAAATCCTTCACCAAGCACCCCATGATGTCCAACCCGTTGAACGGCACAAACGGCCTCGTGTGGTTGTTGTCCTTTTTGTACCCATCGTAGAAGAAATGGAAAACGTTGCCCTCGTCAAACGTGTCAATGTCGTTAATGCCCGTATAGTTACTAAAGCTAAAGTCTTCAGCCAAAAATGTCACCACCTTCAAACTCAGCCGGATACTGCTCATGATTTCCACTGCTTGGCTGTTATCCTCCTTGATGCGAAGTGTAAATTGGGGGCTGACGTGGTGGTCGTCAAAAAGGAAAAGACTTTGAATGAACACCACCACTGACAATAAAAATGCTACCGAGAGGTATGTCAAATGAGGTTTGGATGACACGATAGCCGGTTTTTCAAAGACTCCCACGTCTCTCTCGTCATCAAGAGATGATTTTTCTAGCTTTATGGACATGGTGGATGGGAATTAATTTGGTTGAAGGAAAGAATTGATGATATATAATTGAGACCTCAGGAGAAGCTTTTGTAAACATTCCTATTTAGGAAAGGCTCATTTGTAATTAGCCAATATGCCTGCCTATTTAGGCAAACCCCAAGCCGAAGTTTTTCTGATGCCATCGTGTGTCTACCGTGAGTGTCGCTACCAGGGCTGATCGAGGGTTATGAGAAAGAAGGACTATTTTTACATCGGCCATGCATCTTATGCATCCACCAAGATTACAGCAACATTACCAACATTACCAACATTACACCAAGATTTGATCCCCACATCCACCCATTATTTGCTCCTCGCACCCATCCAACTTCTTTGGTGGCGGCTCTGTTCAGCCCTCACAATCCTTACTCTCAGCTTGTTCAACTCTCTCCCTCATATCTCCATAATCTCGTACCACCCAAATTTCATACCTCTGCACCTCCGTGCCTGGTGCTAATTTTACTCACTGAACCCGCTCTATAAATGCCACCCTCGACCAATCACATTACCCGCCAGGAGTGAAGACGCCTGGTTACAACCGCAGCTCCTGTGCCCCTTTCGAGAATATGAGCCGCACTTTCTATTTTCGCAACCAAAAGCCAGCCAGCTTCATCCCTTAGCCAGGATCATGAAGCGAAGAAAGGATCTTCCCATAAATTGCTACCGGTTCCTCTTTGTTGGATTTTACTACTTGTACACCCCAGGTTCAAAATCCCACTGTTTTCCCTCCCAATGAGCTACAAACAGAGGCTATCGTCGTGCGATGCTCCCAGCCCTATACCCGCATCGTTAGATTCCCTAGATCTCTCCCATGTGGGATACTCCCATAAAGCCGATTTTAAATACCAGCTTGAAGACATTCCCGGCCTTCCCATCTTCAAGAAGAACGGCAAATTCAAACGGTTTGTTACCCGAGACCCCAATCAAAAAAGAGTCCTCAGTATGCCGTTGTTGAGTTCAGAGTCTCTAGATAAGGACTTGCCAATAATACCATCCCGATGTGTCACCAGCTTCAACCGGTTTTCCATGCCGCAGCTAGATGAACAGCTTTCAGAGCCGTTGGTGGAGTTCCAAAGTACGCCTCCACGCCCTCAAACTATGTATATTGTGCCTCCACACAGACCTTTCAGCAACCAACCTTTGAGAAAGTATATAGTAGACAACGACGATGACATCGACAGCTTGTTTTCTACAAACAAATCGGGAACTTCCAACATCACCACATATACCACAGACGATATAGAGACGGCAGAATCGATTTTAGACCTTGTTCAGGCTTATGGAAATGACTCTAGCTCCGACGACCTTGAAGAGGCTGGCGACGACTCGAGCAGCATCTACTCCCAAGACTCCAAAATCTCTGGACTCGTCACCAACTACATTGAAGAGCCCGATGTCGGACTCCCGTTCGACGAAGATGTGTATAGTATCATCGACAGCTTGTTTGACGATGTTCCAGTTGTGCCTGTGGCTGCGAAAAAACTTCCGTCAATTCCTCAGCAGCTGCCAAGTCCTGAAAACCCCCCAATTATTTCACTCGACATCAAGAAGTCCAGAAACAAAGTCAGCTTTGATGACAACAATATTAAATCTGCGTGGCTGAAGGCTGATTCCAGCTCGGGTTCTACTGGAGTATTTCCTCTGCCTTTTCGGAGACCGGTGAGCATGAACTTGGATCTCATGAGACCTAAACACCAGGTATACCAGAGACCTGTAAGTATGATGTCTACGTCCAATGTTAGTGTTTCTACCTGTGTGTCGACCAATACTGTCCAGATAGCCAAGTCGGACATCAAGAATATCGTCAGACAAAGACCTTATAGCTACTGCTTGGACTCTCCTTCCACTTACAACTATTCCAGGTACGCCATTACTCCACAACCAAAAATTACATCCAACCCATACCTGTCAACCTTGGCTCCTGTGGTTGGTTCTGTTCAGTCTCTGGATGCCAATAAAGTTATACCACCCCAAACCCCCATCACCCCCACAACTGGTCAATTCACACCCCAGGGCTCTCCCAAGCTTCTCCCACCTACACCTCCTCCCAAACAGTCTCAGTCGAGAGCTGTTAGTCTTCCGGTGACGCCTCCAGGATCACCTGCTTCAAAGGAGGAAAGAATGAAGAGCACTATCGCTTTGTTTTTGAAACAAGAACGAGGCAGAAAGGTTCTGGGGTTATAATTACTGCTACCCCAGGTGCTCATGTAAAATATCGGTGATAACAACCGGCTCCCTATGTAAATACATGTAATATAAACAAGCATACACAATTCCTAACTATAACTTCACAACCATGTCGTTGCCCTTGTATTTCGCAATCAACTCCTCGATGTGATATTTCGCAGCAATCTGGCCGTTGATGAACCTTCCTCCTAAGTAGTGTGTAACTCCTTGGGTATGGGCGATTACTGCACACGGCTTGGGGGCAGTCAAGCTGATCAACATCGAAGGTTTTATATCCATGTCTTTGCCCACAGGCCCGTCGCTGACGTCCCACCCAGAAGGGATATCTACTGACGCTATGGGTGCGATTTTATCATGATTAACACACAAATACTTTATCAAGTCATCAAAGGGGGCCCGGATCGGAGGCTTGAAAGAAAATCCAAAGAGTGAATCGATAATCAACTTGACTTGTCCTGAGCTCAATAGGTTCTTGACTTCTGTCAATTCAGTAACTTCACTCACTCCGAGGTGTTTCAACTGGGTCATCAAGTTGGTATACAATGGTTTGGCAGTCTTCTTGGGATAAAATACCACCGGCTCGTAGCCATTCCAGAGCTTGAGGTGTCTGGCTGCTACAAGTCCATCGCCTCCGTTGTTTCCTGGACCTACAAGTATAAGTACTTTATCGTTGATGGTCACTGGAGGATACTCTTTATATACTGCTTGGGCCACTGCAAGACCTGCCAATTCCATCAATTGGTCGATGGAGAATGCCCCTGTAGACATCAATTCCTGGTCAAGTTGAATGGCCGCTTTGGCCGACAATGTTTGGAACATGTTTTTATAGTGGATCCAATCAGGTGATGAAAGATTGAGGTTTAGATTTGCGAGGATGCGAAAATCTGGAGTAGCTGGCAGCAGTGTAAAGTGTCCTAAGAAATGATTTTAGGAAAAAGCAGAGTAACTCATACTCTCACTCGATAAATTTGTAGCAGTACAATATGATGCATTTTTCATGGGGTTCTGGTGCTATGCAAACAAGAAATTGGAGTTTTCCACCCCAAAAAAAACCGGTGTACCGAAAAAAATGGACAGCACACTAGTAACGGTGCCTATATACCCATCTGTACTGTCAAATCACCTCTAAATCCTCGTCTCCCTTCCTCAATTCAAACATTACACGCTGTAACGGCACTATAATTTAGGCGTGTATTCCTGCACAGTTTCTCACCATCTAGCTCGATAAATAGCGATTCATCAACAAATTCAATTTCACCAAGTCTCCTCAAAAACAATTAACTGCACATCAACTAAAATGGATGATCTGTACAACTTTGAGTCGCCATCCATGGTGGCTAGCTCCCCTATGATCAATTACAGGAAAGATGCCCGAAAGGGAGTCAAATTCTCCTTTATGGTAGTGGGAGAACTGGGCACTGGAAAGACCACCTTTGTCAACAGTTTATTGAGCCAAAAGGTTTTGGCCCACCGGTTTGAAGGCGATCACGCCAGTGTCGTCGACTCCAAAACCATTTCGTTCACGTCGGCCAAAAATGTCGCTTTGCCCAACACGTCTATCTTGCAAAGAAATGATTTCAACCCTTCAACTGCCAACGAAGAGCCAGGTATCGCGTTGACCGAAACCAAGGTGGAAATTGTGGATGAGGCAAACACCAAATTACAATTGACGATAGTTGACACTCCTGGATACGGTGATAACTTTAACAATGAAGTGTGCTTTGCCGAAATTGAAAATTACTTGAAGCAACAGTTTGACTTGATGTTGGCGGAGGAAACCAAAATTAGAAGAAACCCCCGGTTTGTGGACACTCGTATCCATGTGATGTTGTACTTCATCACGCCCAACGGCCATGGCTTGAAAGAGTTGGACATAAGTTGTATGAAGCGGTTGTCAAAGTATGTCAACATTATTCCTGTTATTTCCAAGGCTGATTCGTTTACTGAAGACGAGTTGAAATTTTTCAAAAAACAAGTAAAAGTCGATATCGAGCGATTCAACGTACCAATCTTCCAATTCGATAATCTCATAGACGAATATGATGAGGAAGAAGATTATGAATTGATTCAGGAGTGTAAGTATTTGGCCAAGATCCAACCATTTGCTATAATAGGATCCGAAGACGAATTTGAGGTCAAAGATACCAAGACGGGGCAAACTCAGACTATCAAGGCTAGGCAATACCCCTGGGGGCTTGTCGATATAAGCAATCCCAAGTACAGTGACTTTTCGATTTTAAAGTCAGTGTTGTTGGGATCCCACTTACAAGACTTGAAAGACTTGACTCACGACTTTTTGTACGAAAGTTACAGAACTGAACGGTTGACAAGGGTCACGGGTAGGGGAGGACAAGATGTTGATTATGATGATACTGAGTTCCATGACAGCACTGATCACCAGGTGAACTTGAATACCACAATTCCTTCTATGTCAAATTTGGCACAATTATCGTCTGCTGGTGCTTCCAACGGTCATATTCTTGACCTCCATAGTACCACTGGTTCTACTATCAATGATGATTCAAGCTCGATAACGTCGTCGTCGTCTAAAAAACCCAAGTCAATGCTTCTTGACGATGCGGATCCATCCGTGAAGAGTAAAGATAATGCCTCCTTCACATCGTCAGCTTCTACTATTTCCTTGGACCAATCCAGAAACAACTTGAATACAACCAATCCTGCGTTCAAGAGATTATCCATTGCTCCTCAACGTAATCAATTGAGACAAATAAGTGAAACTGTACCTTATGTGATCAGACACGAGAGAATCTTGGAAAGACAACAAAAGTTAGAAGAGATGGAGATGGCCAGTGCCAAAGAATTAGCCAGCAGAGCGGCATTATTGGAGAAGAAGGCGGCTGAGTTGAAAGCCAGAGAAAGAGCCATGAAGAAAATAGCTTTGGAAAGAGAACAAGCTCATGAAGCGTCGGTGGTGGCTCAAAGTACTACCAACGGAGTCGCAGACGAGACTGTCGAAGGAGATGAGACAATTACCCAGAACGGACAGAATGGAAATATAAGTCACTCGAGTATCAGAAAGGAAGAAACCCTTACTGACTTACACTCTATGGTGTCTAAACCATAGAATCTTTGTTAGCTCTATTTAGGAATTATACGTTTGTACCACTCTAATTGTAAACCGTTTGTTATGGCGGCGCGCGCACACGACTTTTGATTTGTCGCTGATTTACGTTAAAATTTTGTTTCCAGAGTTTCCCTACAACTGACGTCTAATCTGTTTGAAACGATCGATAGAGTCGTTAATCAGGTGTATTCTTGAACCGAGATAGTATATATATTACTTTTTGCTTCTGATTGAGTCATTGGAACCGATATTGCTTCCAGTTCAAGTCTCCCCTTTTGAAATTAATTTCCCCCATACCATCCATCAGCTCGACGGCCAATTATTGACATTCACGTTATGGACATCTTACAAGTGTTAGAAAACGCTATTTTAAGCCAAGATCCGGCCCTCAGAACTAATGCGGAGGCCCAGTTACGTGATGCTGCCACCAACCATTTTGTGGACTACGTTAGCTTGTTGGTTAATGCTTTAGCAAACGAGGAAGCTCAAACCCAGGTCAGAATGTTGGCGGGTCTTGCTTTAAAAAACGAGTTTACCGCCAAGGACTTAGTCACAAAGAAAAGCATGCAAGAGCGTTGGCGTGCTTTGGATGATGCTGCCAAATTCAATATTAAAGAAGCGTCTTTAAAGGCCTTGATGTCCAAGGATGAAAGTGCTGGAAGAAGTGCTGCTCAATTGGTGGCAGCTATAGCAGACATCGAGTTGCCTCTCAATCAGTGGCCAGATTTGATTCCCTTTATCATTGAAAACACCAAGATCGAACAGGAAACCCATGTTAAGAAAGTTGCCTTGTTAACCATTGGGTATATTTGTGAAACCTTGAATCCAAATGATGCCAACGTGTTGGCCCAAGCCAATGGGATCTTGATCGCCATTGTGCAGGGAGCCCAGGCTGAAGAGAAGAATCTTGATGTCAGATTGACTGCTTTGAACGCTTTGGTTAACTCGTTGGAATTCATCAAATATAACTTTGATAAGGAAGGAGAAAGAAACTATATCATGCAAGTGGTGTGTGAAGCCACCCAAGCTGATAGCAGTGACTTACAAGAAGCGGCTTTTGGATGTTTGGCCAAAATCATGTCGTTATACTACAGATACATGCAAGTGTACATGGAAAAGGCTCTCTATGGGTTGACGGTATCAGGAATGAGAAGTCCAAATGAAAGAGTGGCGTGTATGGCTATTGAATTCTGGTCTTCTGTTTGTGAAGAGGAGTTGGACTACTCGATGCAAAAGAGTGAGTTTGGCGAGGATGGACTTAACTTGGTCAGTTATAACTTTGCCCTAATTGCCTTGAACGAGGTGTATCCAACCTTATTGACTTTACTTACCAGACAAAACGAAGATCCTGAAGACGACGATTGGTCGGTTGCCATGGCTGCTGGTGCCTGTGTGCAATTATTTGCTCAAAACACCGGTAACTATATCATTGAAAGTACCTTGAACTTTGTTGACTCGAATATCGGATCGGAAAACTGGAGAGAGAGAGAAGCTGCTATGATGGCTTTTGGTTCAGTTTTGGATGGTCCAGATGTAGAGCAATTACAAGTTCCTATAATGAATGCTTTACCATCTATATTGGCGTTGACTAAGGATGAAAACTTACAGGTGAGAGAAACTACTGCCTGGAGTTTGGGAAGACTAGCTGAAATAGCAATTGCTGCTATTGAGGCGGACCAGGGATTACCAAGTATTTTGGAAGCCTTACTCAATGGTTTGAAAGATCATCCTCGAGTTGCTACCAACTGCTGCTGGGCATTCATGAACTTGGTGGAGCAATTGTGCACTGACGGACCAGATGCCACCTCCACTCCTCTTTCTCCTTATGTGACTCACTTTATACCGATGCTCATTCAATTGACCAATAAGACTGATAACGAATCCAGTTCAAGAGATGCTGCTTTTGAAGCATTATCTGTATTTGTTCAAAATAGTGGTCAAGACACAATCCCAATAGTTCAAAATATTGCACAAGAAATCTTGGGCAGGCTAGAACAGACAATCGGTCAACAACAACAACCATTGTCGACCGAATCCCGAGTCGAATTGGAAGAATTGCAAATCAGCACCTTGTCTTTATTGACCACCATCATCAGAAGACTCAATAATGATGTTTTGCAAGCGTCTGACAATTTGATGGAGATGTTTTTAAAATTATTGGGTACCTTGGAACCAAACGCCTTAATTGAAGAAGATATACTCATTGCCATATCTGCTGTTGCTTCTGCCGTGGGGCCAAACTTCTCCAAGTATATGGAAAGCTTCCTACCATTTTTGACTAAAGCTTTACAAAATACTGAGTCTCCAACTGCTGCTACAGCTGTTGGAATTGTTGCTGATTTGTGCCATTCCTTAGGTCCTGCCGTGTTACCGTACTTGGAGGTATTAATGAATATCTTGGGTACCAATCTAGGCAATAACCAAGTCAGAAGAAACTTGAAGCCGGCTATCTTGTCTTGTTTTGGACACATAGCTACTGCCATCGGTAGTAACTTCCAACCGTATGTGGAATTTGTATTCCAAATCTGCAGAATAGCAACTTTGGTGGATGCAGATGACAATAGCGAAGAAACCTTGGAATACCTCTTCAACGTCAGGGAAGCCGTGTTGGAATGCTATGCTGGTATTGTTGGGGGAAGTCTGGAATACCCTCAAATTTTGTATCCATTTATTGGCGAAATCTTCACTTTATTACATGACATTACCTTTGATGTTGATATGATAAGCATCGAGTCGGTGGCCGCATCCTTTGTTGGTTTACTCGGTGACATTGCTTCCATGTATCCAGGAGAAGATTTCAAACAGGTGTACCAACAACACTGGGTCACCGAAATGATTAAACGGACCAGGGCCAACTCTGCCTTCAGTGAAACTACCAGAAGCACTGCTAGGTGGGCTAGAGACCAACAAAAAAGAAAGCTTCAATAACCTCCTCCCAATATCACCTCTAATCTCACCTCTCATCTCACCTCTCACGCCTCTCATGAACCTCTTACGAAATCCAGTTATTTCTTTCCCTTATACAGCTTTTTATATCTCCTACTTATTTTTAGCATCTTCTAATATACAATAATTTAAACCTTGCTGAATTTGATGTCTAATTGAAGCCTCTTGGAGGTATTTTTATAGTTTGAAATCTGCCAGATCGAGAATGAGATTGCAAGTTGCAACATCCCCACACCAAAGGTGCGCTATTAATTCTGAAAACACTGAATAACATCACAATATAGGTGATGATCTTCGTAATATCTGCAAGTGAGCCTACGTCTTGCAAGCCAGACTTGAAATTCCCATATCGTTTTTGTATTTACCCTAACGGGATAAATCTTGACAATGGCAGTTATAAACGCGTGAGAAGATTTATTCAAATGAGAAACAATAGGAATTTCAACCAGTCAGACGCTTCTTGGACATGAGGAAAATACTCGCCTATCCTTGAATCATTCCCACAAATTTCACATCTCTTATCACTATTAACAGCAAGACCTCTAAGCGAAGTCCTGGTGAAATTTACTTAACATACAAACCTGTGACAAATTGATGCTCATGGCGATGAGACCTTAGCCCGCGTTTCTGTGCGCTTATAGTTGGCAGGCGGATGTGATAATTGAAAGACATTCAATTGCTCAAAGTAGAATATTAATGGACGTGAAGGTTCCCAGACAGGTTAAAATCACAGTATATATACAGTATAGACCCTTGATTTAAGTTTCTAAAAAACCAGGCGGACATACAATAAATTAAACAATAGAGCAAGGCACTTGACAAACCTGGGCTATTGTGTGAAAAATGGAACTTTATGCGCATGGGACATCGCGTTTCCAAGACGAGTTAAATCTCACAATAGCAGAGGAATTTTGCAGGAATTCGTCAAGTCAATCGTAGATTTCCCATACAAACACGCTGGAAAACGAACGTTGATGTTCCAGATACTGTCCTTGGCTTGAATATTATTTTTTTCTGGTTGTTGGCCAAATTTTCTATTGTTTTTTGAAAAGTTTACGAGTCGAGTACTTTGTCTGCTGGGATTATATAAAGATTGAAATCCCTTGCTTTTTTGGTTCCCACTTTCCCATTTTTACCTCCCATCCCCCATCCCCCATCCCCCATCCCCCATTTCCATTCCTTCTTGGGTCAAACCAAATCAATTCTCATATTCTTTCCCTTGCTCAGTCGTTCATTGATTAGCTGTTCACATCATGCCTACGTATGAAAAATATAACCCAGTACCCTTCGACTTGACGTACGTGGTCTACGATCCAAATGATCCACTCGGGTTGTTGATGGTTCACTTCTCCTTGTTCCCAATCTACACCATGGTGTTCTATGCGTCCTGGTTTCTCTTGTCGAGAGAAGTCGAACCGGTGATTGTGGTAGCTGGTCACCTTGCCAGCGAGATCGTCAATAAAATCACCAAGAAGATCTTGAGAGAGCCAAGACCAGATTTCCATAAGGACTTCGGTACTGGCTCATTGACCTATGGGATGCCCTCAGCTCATGGTCAGCATATGGGGTTCTTTGCCGGATACTTCATATGTATTTTATTGTTTAAGATCAACCACATTACCAACCACCAGAAGATGATGGGATGTGCTGCTTTGGCGTTCTCTAGTATGGGAGTTTGCTTTTCCAGAGTTTATCTCAAGTACCATACTCCTCAACAAGTACTTGTTGGTACGCTATTCGGAGCTTTCTTAGGGTGTCTTTACTTTGTCGTATCTTCCATTTTGAGAGACGTGGGGGTTGTTGATTGGGTGTTGAGCTGGCGCATTGTCAAGTTCTTCTACATCAAAGACTCATACTTCCACGCCTATCAGTCGTTTAAAGATGAGTACGAGTTCTATTTGTCATTGAAAAATACCAATATACTTGCTAGTAATCTTACCGATGCAAAGATATAGTATTTGGATAAAGATTGTTTTAATTGGTGTTTCTTAGGGTGTGTATTGTTTAATAAAACTACTTATAGACATTGTTGTTGGAATTATTGATTTATTGTTACACAATTGTACAAACTAGAAGTCATCCCACTGTTCGTCATCGTCTTTCTTTCTACCACCTCCAGATGCACTGGATAATTTGGTGGGGGTATCGCTCTTCTGATATCCGAATGCAGTTTCCACTTCTCCCTTTTGCTGGTCTGATAAGTTTAAGCCCTCAAAGAATTTACCAAACTTGGAATCAACCGTCTTGTTGAACCCATTGGCTTGAATTTCCTTGGTGAAAGTCTGGAAAGTCTCTTGACCAAACTTACCAGTATCTTGCATTTTCTGGCCAAATTGAGCCATGGCCCTCTTGGTTTCACTACTTATATCACTCAGTTGAATTTGGTTCAATCCGGGCCTGATGACAGATTCGTGAACTTCGGTGACCGATTTGGCAACCGTAGATGAAAACAACCCCCATCCCTTGGTGAGGGTACCTAATGGGTCGGTTTGAAGGTTGTCCAAAGTGAAGTTTGCAAACGAACCTTTGTTGCCGTTAGAGGATGGTGCTGGAGTGTTACCAAACCCACCATATTTACCACCTTGAGATGGTGGTAAGTGGTCAGGTCTGGAATCATTAGCATTTCCTAGCTCAGCAAAGTACGCTTCGTTCTTCACTTTCTGATCACCCGAGAGTTTGGGGGCTGTACGACGTGATTGAATCGAATCCTGGTTAACGTTGGAAGTTGAGCTGTTGTTTGAGCTCAAATTAGACGACCCGAGATCAGACTTTCCATTTGGCAAGGACTCGCCAGTGTGATCCTTGGCCACAAATTCCTTGCCTTCTACCAAACACGTCAATTTTTCCTTGTAGTCACTGGCCACGTAGTTGTCATATTTTAACTTGGCAGGTAATGAAACGTCAAGACCGTTGTTCTCAAAATATACTTTCAAGTTATCGTTACCACCTTGTTCCATTCTCAAGACCTCTTCGGACTTGAACTGGTCCATGGTGATAGATCTCACGAAGGAAATATGGACTCCTAAACCTCTATGAATCCCAGCACATTCAAGGCAAATAAAAATCCCAAACTTGGGAGACGCCCATTGGGGATTTGGGGCGTTACAATCAACACATTTCTTATTACCACCGTTCTTTTGCAATACAAGCAACTTTCTCCTTGTTTCGGGGTCTATGGACATCTTAATCACGTCTACAAACTTGGGTTAGTTCGGTATTGCAGTATTAAACAGTATCCTGTTCTGGTATTCTGTGTGTACAGATAGTGATTCAGGACACCAGAATCGCGCTCGGTAAACTATTCAGCACACGAACAAATTCTTTTTTTTTGGGGCCCTAGCGAGAATTGCCAAAGGCTGCAAAAGAGAAAAGATTCAACAAGTAGCTGTTAATTAGGGGAATTCGTGCAACTGTGTTGGAGACATATTTCTTCGGTGTTCGAGAAGGTGGTAGATATTTTCGGGATTTTTTACCTCATTTTGCTGCTACTATACTGGAATTATGTGATAATACCTTATTTCTGCAAATTTCACAGTTTCTTCCTTTCTACTGTGATTTATTTATCTTTATAAAACTATAGTTTTCCGATAGGCTCATTATTGGCAGCAATAATACGAACAGGATAAACATCATCACCAATGAAACTTCCTACATGCCAAACAGCTCCATCGACCACCTGTATAGTTCCTGTGACATAATCAGCAGCAGGAGAAAATAGGTAGATGGTGGACTGAGCAATGTCTTCGACCTTACCGTATCTTTGTAAAGGAACCTTCCGCTTGAGATTACCTCCCATAAGTCGATCAAAACCTTCTGTACCTTCTATCCATCCCGGAGCTATGCAATTAGATCTGATACCCAAAGGTCCCAACTCCACCGCCAACGCATTGGATAAGGCATCGACACCAGCCTTAGCAGCTCCCACATGAAGCTGGAATGGGATTCCGTAGTAGTGTAATGTTGCACTTACAAAAAGAATTGATCCCTTGTTCTTTCTGAGTTGCTCAAAACACGCCTTAGCAGTATTATATGAACCCAATAAGTCAATAGATACCACAGTCTTGAATGCATTGGATGACAAGTGGTTGAAATCACTCAAGAAGTTTCCGGCGGCTCCAGCAATAACAAAGTCGATTCTCCCCAATTCCTGGACAGTTTTCTCCACAGCTTTTGCCAAAGAATGAACATCCCTTACATCTGTTCCACTGCAAGCAACCACTTTGGCACCGGATCTCAACTGTTCGATTTCTCTGGCTGCTTTCTCGGTTTTTTCGACGTTTCTTCCCACAATCGCTGCATTTGCTCCTAATAATACCATTGCTTCTGTTTGACCTCGGCAGATGGTTCCAGCACCTCCAGTAACAAATACCACTTTCCCCCTAAAAAGGTCCGGCTTCCAAGGTCCGTTCTCTATGAATTCACGTGTAATTGGCATTGCGTCAAGTCTATTTGTATCTAATCCACAAATGTAAGTAACTTAAGGCTCAAGTATATAAGTGATCTTGTGAAATAACTAGATCACTCCACAGAAATTGTGCGAGCGCTCGGAAAAATTGACAGCCAAAGATGGGGTAATTCTGAACGGGTTATATTATACATTTGTATATCAGGATATACAGAATTAATAAGTTACATAGACTGGGTATCAATCGTAAATCACACATCTATAATCATTCATTTATGGAACATCATCATTAAGCTCGTTGAATAAATTATTCGTTTCGTTAGGTTGTTGGGTATCAATATTCTTCTTCTTTGCTTGGGTTCCTGATTCAGGATCAGCACCGTTACTATCATTATCTCTTTGTCGCTTTTCTTTCTTCGTGTCGAATTCCTTTTGAATTTCTTCGAAAAGATTCTTGTGTTGGGCTTGGCAATCTGTTTCCTGGTCATTTGTATTCTGAACTTCATTCTCTTCTTCAATTTCGCTTTCTTCGTGAGAAAAGGTTTCTTTGGAGTAGTAATCGTGGAAATCATCGTAGTCTCCTTCATCCCCCACGGGGTATTCCTCATCCTCTTCTACAAGATCTCCATCAGTATTCAAGTCCCCATTAGCATTAATATTACTGGCAAGGGAACTATTCATCGAGATATGAGATGAATCTAGTTGCTCGTGTAGCTTGATGAGATTACGACCTGTTTGAACGTATTCAAGGTCTTTAAGGCAGAAGTCCTTGAAGTTATCATGAATATGGGCCACCAATGCTCTAATAGCAGGTCTATTACGACCAAGAGGGATTTCGTTAAACACCTCCAATAATGAAAGACAGGTGGAATTGGCCAAATTGTTGGCTTTGGAGACGGTCTTGAAGAATGCAAAAAACTCATCAATAACAAGGCTCTTGAGGAGGTAACGTGTGTACCATTTGTCATTAAATGCAAGAGCGTTGCTTAAACACCCAACTGCACTGATTTTCAATGACATCTTGCAATTAATCTTGAACAATCGACTTATTCCAAGGAGAATGTTCTGGTCAAGGAAGAAGCGTCTGTGTAAGTTTTTATTGTGAGTTAAAAGGCAGAAGGAGAATAATTCACATAACTGCTGGTATAACAACTCGTCACTCTTGATCTTATGTTTGAGCTCTTCAGTGACTTCTTTGGTATTACCCAACTCAATTAAGTTTTTGTACAATATTGGTGCAACCTCACTATAGAATGCCTTGAAATAGTCTTCGGTGCTGATATCACTTCCACTACTATTTGATGCTCCATAATCTGGAATAGCCCCATTTTCATCGATCTTGCCGATATTCTGATCTAATAACACTTTCAATGCTTCAAATGCCTGTGTCTTGAGCCCAAAGTTCTTCTCATTCAACAATAACTGAGTCAAGAGTGTCATTAAAGTCATGTCATCGGAGAGCTTCAAGCCAATATCTTTTTCTTGATTGGACTCATCCTTACTCTGATCAGGCTGTTTGGCTTCGATGGTGGATGCATAATCCATTGGAGGTTCGGAATTATCAATGGATTCACCGTCGTTAATTGAGTTCACAAGGGATACATCCTGTTCAATAATACTGACTATCAATTCCGTACCCAAGGCCTTGATAGGCGAATCATCATCATTCAATGAGAACTTGATCATATCGATTAAACCATGCAGAATCAATTCTGAGAAGAACATGGTTCTTTGGTTGGATGCGAAGTTTTTAGTTAATAAGACATACTGATGCAAAAGTTTGACACCATTTCTTTGTAAGGTGATGTCAACTTCATCGCCTGTGCCTTTATAGAAGTCGAACAATTTCTCTAAGAAATGGTTATTCTTTTCACTATCTCTTAGGAAGTCAAGCAATGCAATTTGGTTAAGATGAATCAAAGCATTCAACAAATTATATGTCTGATCGTCGATGAACCTAGCCAATATAACGTCTTTTAGAAACGTATAATAGAAGTCTTTCTTAAATATGTTCAACCCCAACTCATCGTTTTCGACCGGGAGATTGATGACCATTTTGAAGTTGGCTTTTTCTTTCAAAAATTGACGATGACATGACTTTTGGTTGGGAAATTCGGCATCATACTCCAATATTCCAATCACTCCCAAGATGTTCTCTTCGGTGGATAACATATCTTGGAGAATTGCACTTTCACTGTACAAAATTAAGGTCTTGACAATCTCACTCAATGAATAAAGGTTTATTAAATTGTGTTCATCCTCTGATTGTTTGAAAGCTTCTAGTATCTTTATAAAATATGATTTGTCAATCAAGTATTTCAGCATACAGCTTTTAGAATAGTTGGACATGGAACTTTGGTTCAAAGTATCCAAAACATCCTCCAAGTTCGAGGTTGTTGGTAAATCAGGATACACCATGGGACCGGTAATGAGTTCAGTTATATCTCCAGAATTTCCATTTTCATCCGCCTGGTTGCTTGATATCACGTAGTATAGGGAAATATCCGGACTGAGACTATCTTGTTGGACCTTCACTATGAACTCACACAAGTCTGCGCAGCCCTCAGTTTCCTGAAACGATAAGGCAATATCCTTACCAGAAGGATCGGTCCAAACAATCAAGGTATCTTGTTGTCTTTGATACTGGGTCGAGCCTTCCAAGAAGGCTTTCAAAATTATTTCCTCCAAATTCAACTCGTTTCGTACCAAAAAGTACGGTTTTTGGGTGTCTCGGTCTATTTCACCAGTACAAAATCCAGTCCCATGGTCCAACCAACTATCTTCCTTCAATAGATATACTTTCACTCTTCGCTGCATCTTCGTGCCTATGGTATCTATTACTTCTTGTTTGACCTCATTAGTTGATTCGTTATGAGGACTGTGGCTTTGTTGCTTGTCATTTTCATTATGGTTTTCCCAAGTAGGATGGTCTTGTGATTTACTGGGGGTAGGATTATGTTGTTCCGACTCTTGTGAGGGATGAACAACATCGTTTTGTTCTTCTTGTTTCACTCGTCCATTACCGTTTGTGGTCATCACCATTGCACTTGCCATGGCTTGTGGAACTGTTTCGACGAACCCTTGTGTCAACGCGTCAAGATAAAAGCCTGAGTAGATATGGTTGTAAAAAGCTCTAGGAGGGCTAACGGGGGTAGGGGAGTATTCAAGTTCACGCTTAGTAGCCACTTTTTGGACTTCTGCTACTTGAATGTACCTTTAAGCTGGACTGTTGCAGGTGGGACAAAATAATAAGTTCGTTGTCAGTAAACAACTTCTTCTTCTATTGCGCGGGATGGAAATGCGAGTCCCTGACATTTCGGCCTTGTCAGATATGAATATTTGTTTATTGATATATACATGTAGGTCATATTTACACTTTCTGCCTCAATGACACAATAGGGCGGCACTTGTCAAGCTTCTCAACCAATCGGCCTTTTCGACATCATGGGTATCTTCAACTTCACCCCAGAGGTTGGTTTGGAAAATGGTTTCAAGATTTCCAAGTTCAATGATTTCGTCAATAGTCTTGAAGTAGTGGTCTTCAAGCTTGTCTTTGTTGACCTGGTACAACTGTTGTTGCTTTTCTGGGCTTGAAACGCTGGACCTTAATAAACTGAGTCCACAAAGAAAAGATTTGGAGGTCAAGATGGCCTTCTCTAAGGCCACCAACTCAAACGTTGACAAGTGGTTTACCCAGTCCAACACCACATTCTGCGTAGTGATGGTCTGACGGTTTCCTCGCAAGCCGTCGGTCTCACAGTCTAAATATTGTAAAGTGACTTTAGCATCATGAGAGGGTAAAAGGTTTCCTCTTTGTAAGGCCCATTTGGTGAAGAAGTCCTCGTGTTCTTCGATTAAGGGAAGGTACAACTCATCTTGCTTGGCCCTCAACTTTCCTTCGTACTCATCCAAAGTGGTGAAAATAAGACATGTATCGGTATCCAAGTACCTCAACATGTTGAGCTTGACATCCTCTAATCTTCCAACTTTGGCAGCCAAGTCACGGTCTTCTTCGAATTTCTCATGAGCAGCCTGCAAGTCGATGGATCTGGCGGCAATCGAAGTTAAAGGCATGGAGTTGGTTTGGATCTTCAAGTTGGGTAAATTACTCCACTCGTGTTGGATCAAATGGGCAAAGTACTTTTTATCTTCCGGCAAAGCCAAGGGGAATCCCAAGGGGGTTTTCAAGGTCTTCCCATCCAATTGGATCTCGTACTTTTTGATATCCTCGTTGTAGGAAGTATCGACCTTGTCCCAAAACTTAGTCATTGTCTTGGACAACCGGTTGGTGTCACTTATGATATTATTCTCAAGGGTTTTGTCAACTCCCAAAGGTTTGGCGGTGGGTGCAAACCCATTCACCGTTCCTTGGCTGGCATGCAAGGGTGGGAAGTTACCTATGCGACGAACAAAGAGCCGAGATTGTAAACTACTGTTGAAGCCGATTCTTAGCATTGGTGAAGACAGTGGAAATTTTTCTGCGAGCACTGATTTTGATCGAGTGAACACACCAAAAACTAGCATGTCTATGAATCCCGAAGCGTTGCAGAAGCTCTTACTTGAGATGGACAACCAGCTCAACAAGTCGAGGGCCGAGTTGTCCATGTGCGACTTACAGTTGAGCCGAGTGGAAACCAATTTGAATATGATCAAGCAAACCACCAAGTCCTTGAATGCGGTTTGTGATACTGCAAGTGATGAGAAGGTGTGGAAAGGCGTAGGAAAGGCATTTGTGGCCACAGATGTCAATACTTATTTGAAAGGGGTGTCCAATGACGAAAAAGAGTTTTTGGATAGCAAAAAAAGCTTACAGACCAAACAACGGTACTTGGAGACCACGTTAAAGAATACTATAGACCACATGACCAAGTTGGTGCTGGGAAAGTCCGGATAACTGCTCACGCTACATGTATATTATCATCTTAGTTGATTATTTATTTCGTATCTAATTCATAAATGATCTAATGGATTTAGTCACTTTCATCTTCATCTACTCCATCATCCAAAATCCGTCTTTCGATATCCTTGGAGTCCTGTTCTTTGGCATACTTCATGCGCTCCGTCAAGAATATGTTGATGTTGTCCTGTAAACTGGTTAATTTAGCTCTCAACTGTCCTAAAGAGCTGTTAGAAGCCTCTGTAGGTCTATCTCGATCTTGACCTCCAGCCTTGATAACGACGTCTGAAATCTGGGTGGTTTTTCCGTCTGTGGTATGAGGCCCATCACCAACCCCAATCTCATGTTCGTTGGTGAAATCGGGCGCTCGGTACTTGGCTATAGGCGTTAAATCAACCATGTTGGTGGTGGAGATTAGAAAAAAAATAAAGATGCGAAATCACATTAGATGACATAGACTACTTACAGGAAAAATCCTTGATAGGAATTTGGCTGGCCACATTGGCATAGGCATTGAACTTGATCTCTATTATTTCATCTTGGGAGAATGGTAAGTAAGGAATGTCGAAACATGAAGATGCCATCAAGTAACCGTAAAATACTCTCAAGACACTTTCGTCTGCAATAATCAACACATCTCCACTCATTCTTTCCATTTCGAGAATCAAGGGTTCTATCTTTATGGCCAAATCGTGGTACAGTTCAGCCCTGGAAAACCGGTGATGGTAAGGGTCCTTTAAGTATTGCTCATATTCGGTGGGAAAAGCTTCTTTGATTTCATCTTCCTCCATGGACCCTACAACCCCAGGGTTCTTTTGAGACAATTGAATTCGGTGCCTGACATTGATATTGGCCGCTTTGAAGTACTTGGTGGATTCTATAGTTCTCTTCTTCACAGAGGTCCATACTACCATGGAATTGACATCCACCCCATCGGCTCCTGCTGGTAGGTGTTTTTCATCCAACGAAAACAGTCTTTTCTGCTTTAAAGACGTGGGTGTGTTGGTTCCGGGAGTCCCATCCTCGTCTTGAATACCAAGGTCAATGTTTTCGACGTATTCTTTCCTCTGTTTCTGTAAATGCTCGATCAACGTATAGCATAAGTTTTTGGCATAGGTTTTCCCGTTGGTGTCCAAGGGAGGATCATCACTATAGTTGATGGAATTGTTATGGCACCGGGCAAAAAACACCGATCCAGACTTGATACGGGAGTTCATCAAGAAAAACACCACCTTGTTGATCAAGTAGCCATAGTTGGAGTTGTGCAATTCAATTCGTTCACCAAAGTTAATGAACTTGATATATGATAACTTATTGTTATCATCTTCATCTCCCATGGGGATATAGTATGGCATTAACGCCTTGATTCTGTCACTATAGTCCTTATAGGCCTTATCGTAGTCCCAGTTGGCGTAGTCTGGAGAAGACGCTGCTGCTGACTCCATGTTCTTCATGATAATGGTGTCGTCCGTCACAGAACTTTCAATGAACAACGTCTGAATGTTCAAGTTCTTAAATTTCTCGTGCAACTCGAACCTATTCTTAGGGAATGGGTTGACTGCATCGTATATAGCAACTTGTCCCTTGTCGTTCTCAAAGAAATTCAACATATCATTGGTGCACTCGTTGATAATCTTGAGTCTCAACTTTGTATCCTCAATGAACAAACTTTGGTCCAAATCATCAAAATTCCGCCTTCTGTAATCCCCCAAGTGAAACGAATGAGTCTTAACCCCCAACCATCTCAAGTAACGGGTTAAGGAAACCGATAAATGGGTCTTACCTCTTCCTGGTAATCCTGCCAATACAATACAGATTTTACCAGCGTGAAACAATCTACCTGATTCGGTGGAATACAACTGGGCGGGAGAAATATGGTTGGCATCGATTTCCTTGTGGACTCCATCAACTCCCGTGATGTCACTTAGTCTTCTCCTTCCTTGGTTAGAGGCTTCCAGAGGTCTTTCTACCAAGTTGGGTTTACTGTCGTTGTGGAAAGACCACCTTTTTGTAGTTCTTCTACCTGAGTTGGCAGCAGGAATGGGAGTCGTTGATACGCTTATGGGCTCTGAGCCAAAGCCATTGGTCAACTCACAGTCTTCGGCAAACACAGGGCTTGTTGGTGAAGTCATGATTGAAATAGGTCCCCCCGGGTTGTGATTAGTGCGAATTGAATTTAAATTAAGCACAGGCAAATTTGAAGGACGAGCCTCCACCTCGAAACTTTTACAAAGCTATAATACATTCATATTTAACAAATTATTTAAAGATTTTGGTTACTTTTATTTATGTATAAACGTTATCTTATTAATATGAATTAATTTATTCGAACTTACCACCCTTTCTTTCAATCAAAGCCTTTCTGTCTTTGTCCAAATGTAATTTAGTAATGACAACTTTAGATGGGTGCAAGTTGATTGGCACGGAGGCACCGTTGGACTTTTCCTTTTGAACCTTGTCAACTTGGATGGCGAACTTCAATCTGTACACAGAAGAGATCTTACCTTCAGAACCCTTCTTGGAACCTCTGACAACCAAAACTTCGTCTTCTTTTCTGATTGGCAAAGATTTGATGTTGAATTGTTCTCTCAATTCCTTGGATAATGGAGCAGACAACAACTTTCTTCTTTCCACGGAGGAAGAGGTGAAGTAAGCCTTTCTAGCTTTAGAACGAGAAGATGAAACGTCTAGAGATTGTTAGTATGGAAAAACATGGATATTGGGTACAATAAGGTGCTCAGTTATGAAGGATGCTCAACCGAGAAGTGAAGGAATAGAAGGAAACCTTTGAGTGACACTTTCATGAGGTTTGAATATAGGTTCATTTGACATCCACTTAATTTTAGGAGTAGGAGGTGGTTCGAGTCCCACTAAAGGAAGGGTGTATGTTTGGTGCTTAAGCTTGCGTGATAACAATGAAACCTTTTGTCTCCATTAGATGTATATCATACCTTGACTGATCTTGGCCATTTTCGTCTATATGTAATGTATTGAAATAAAAATTCAATTGAAAATTTCCTAGCACTTGATGAGAATTTTTTTCGCTCGCACAGACAGATGATGGGGTTACACAAAGACCCCTGCGACTATCGCGGTCACAGGGCAGCAGCCCTAACATAATGTAAGCCAAAAGAAAACTATCAGAATACGACCTCGAGGCCTTTTAGTTGGTGATACGTACAGAAGTTAATAACAAGCACAGGTTCTGAATGGTAAAAAAAAAAACCAACCCTTGGCGGGACTCGAACCCGCAATCATAACCGCCGGAAGATTACACCTTAACCAATTAGGCCACAAGGGCGCGTCTAGCAAGAAATTTTAGACTGTTATCTACGCCATGAACAGAGTGTAGTGCCTTCACCAACACTAGTCAACAGACATTTGTACTTGTTTTGTATCAGAAGCGTAGCAGGATGAACCTGTTGACTTCCCAGTCGTTGTAGAATGTGGCCTCTGTATTTATCACTTTTCTGAGATCTGAAATGGTATTACCTCTACGGCTGCAAAATTCACATATTTCATTTCATTCCTATATCAGTATTTGTGATTAAAAGATTGCCTCCAACTATGGGGGGAGTGGTCTTGGAGAAGCTGTCATCGGAGTATACAGATATATGCTCCTTCATTTGGCCTCCTTCATTTCCCTGAAGAATCTCTAAAATATCATGAGGTATAGACTTCTGGCTAATTGTGTCAAAATGATCATGAACCACCACTTTATCAACTGCAGAAACTGCTTCAGAACTGTTCATCTTCTGTAACTTGTCTGGAAAGAATGCAAATACGTTCTCGTTCAAAGTATCATTATCACTGGGAGAAGGAGAAGATAGTTCTGAGAGACTAGAGTTTGAGCCTGAAAAGTACAAGGAAGCAGCCGACATCAACGAACGGGAATTATTGGCAATTGAAGCCCAAATCGATGTGAATGGCAACAACACCACGGTGATGGTGGTGCTTATGTGGATCAAAATATCATTATACCCGTAGAAAGCATAGGCCAAAATCGTTAAGATAGTAGGTACAAACAACGTCTGGGTGAACATGATCAAAAGAATGTGGTAGCTCAGAAACTGCTTGAGACCCAAGTATCTTCTTGTTCTCACCGCTGCAACAAGCTTCAATACCAACACCAAACTCATGGCAATCACAGAAGCAGAGTAGAGAATGGGAGGTAATCCAGTAACCCAGCTGTCCATAATATACGGGTCTGTACTGTAGAATATGTGCTGATACTGTTTGGTACTTGCAACTGCACTATTTACATAGAATCCAAACGTCACAGCCATCAACACTCCCAACGCCAGGGTCATGAATACACCGAACTTGCGGACTTCGGGGCTTCTGAAGATGATGTATATCTGGTACGTAAACGATACTTGAATGAGCATCACCAAGATAATCAATGCAGCATTTGCAGCCACACTCACCTTATAGAAATGCTTTTGATCATCAGAAATAATTCCCGTGAACGAAGCAGTTATGGTACTCAATGGCGACTTCATGAAACCTATGAACAAGCTGGACCGGACTATAGCAAAGAACAAGATCACCTGGTTCAAAACAAACACCGGAGTTTTCTTATTGCGGATGAACAAGTTCAACAACACCAAAAGTGTAAGACACACGGTAATGGCACATGAGTGGATGACCAAGTATTGAATCAGAAACAGCAGTTGAGAATCCAAATCATTAAATGTGATGGTATACACCTCGTCACTCAATGGTAGTGCAAAGTTTAGAGAAATGTCACCAGGGTGGTTAAGTAAGTAGGAATCCATTTTTTTTGACAATTCAAGAGACAGACATTGGTGGGGATATATATAGAAAGGCAGGGGTACCAGAGCCTGGGTGTGGGTGGGAGTTTGCTAGATGGAAATCAAGATCACCCATCTTTGTGTTTTACTTAGGGACCAAAATTACCTGATTGAGCGATGCCAATAGGCCAGAAGCCTCGAAGATTGCCCACACCGCAAATAAGCCCTTAGCGGGTCCTATTGACCGATCCCAAAGTGGTATTAATTATCTATGACTTCAGAGATCCCAAACGTACGAATATGTGGTCTGGTACACATTGCTGACCATTTGAGTATCATATCGGTAACCGGGCATGACTTCGGATTTCGCAGTCAAATCCCCAGCGCCAAACCTGAAGCCCTGGCGGTAGGCACACGACGATAATTTGATTAAACTCTTGACAGACAATAGACCCCAGAGATCTAACAACCGAAACCATCTGGAGTAGATAACCATCGTACAGATACTTACAAAGCCACCATCAACATCCATATTTATTGGTGGTGGATGGCTTTCTATTTGGTCTTATCACCCCGTGGAATATTTTTTCAGTGGGTCCGCCTTTTTTCCATGACTGAGCATGAAGAAGTTGAAAACTCAAATCTCTAGATAAACAACAAGTGTTTTAAGAATACTGCAAAAAATTATCGGCAGCTTGGGGAATTAGACACATCATAAGGCTGAACCTCCCGTCACTTTCTATTTCAGGAATTGTCATCCATTGTTGCCCATTTTAACCTGACAATCTGTCTTTAATCCCGCTGTTGTCCAATGTCCAATTCTTCAGCGCCTGGTGAATCCAAGGACATTTCTATGGTGGATGTGTCCAACGCCTTACCGGACGTTTCTTCTGGCGACAACCAGAGCCAGGATACCTTTACCGCTCCTCCAATCCGAAGAAAATCCACGTTAATATTGACTGACGAAGACCATATGAAGCTTGAAGAACCTTTGACAAACACCTCGAACACTGACGCAGACACGATGCACATCGACCGAAGTCAGACCAACTTGAACCAGGGGCCCGCCCAGCTGTCGCCACCGCCAGCCTCGTCCCAGTCCCAACAACTGCCTCCCCCTCCTCCAGCACAAGCGACCGCAGAAGCTGATCTCACCGTAACGGTACCAGTGGAGATCAAATGGTCCCAGGGTGGCGAAAAAGTGTACGTGACAGGCTCCTTCACGGGATGGAGAAAAATGATTGGTTTGGCTAGACAGCCCGACAATAACTTTTTAATCACTTTGGGATTGCCGGTGGGAACCCATCGGTTCAGGTTTGTTATCGACAACGAATTACGGTTTAGTGATTACTTACCTACGGCCACCGATCAGATGGGGAATTTTGTCAACTACGTGGAGGTAACTCCTGAAAACGTCCAACTGTATCTTGATCAACAGGCCCACGCGGACCTTTCAGACGAAGATAAGTCCGAGCTTGAAAGTCAGCTTACAGACGAAGAAACGTCGGTGGGGGATGTCCAACCACCAACGCTGTTACTGCGTAAGAGCTCTATTTCCAGGTCGGCCACCCGCTCCGACTCTATGTGGGGGTTGACCAATGATGACGATGATATGGGTAATGGGTATTCGAGGTATCACGACGAAGACATCGATGCGAACTTGCACAAAACATACCAGTTTATCAACGACATACCCCCGATTTTTGTGGATCCAAAGGTGATGGAGCAGTACTACATGGCGATTGAAAAACAGTCTAAAGCACAGAATGGTCAACAGGCCTGGTTGCATCCTCCACAGCTTCCTCCGCATTTGGAAAATGTTATCTTGAACAATTTCAACTCGATGGATAGAGATAATAACTCGGGTGCGTTACCGATTCCCAACCACGTTGTATTGAATCACTTGGCCACCACCAGCATCAAGCACAACACTTTGTCGGTGGCGTCCATCGTGAGATACAAGCGTAAGTACGTTACCCAGGTGCTCTACGCTCCATTGCAGCAATGATTGGTGCGTTTAATTCATAACTAGCATAAATACATAACACGAAGTCAATACGCCCCGTGTGGGGGGTTGTCACGGCCACCGGTGTCTGCCCCCGTGCCAGCCTCGTAAGAGCCTCCGCTGTGCGAGGTGTTGCCGGAGTTGTGGGAGTTACGACCGTAGGAGTCGGAGTCGAAGTTGTTACGCCCACCGTCACCGGCACCACCATATGAATCCCGCCCGTAGGTGTCAGTGTTAGGCCCCAAATCACCGCCACCAGAGACGTAGGGATCGCTCCGTGCTGATTGAGTTGTTTTCGACTCCTTCTTTTTAGTATCTTTCAATTTTTGATCTTGAGAGATCTTTTGGTGCTCTTCATCGCTGGAGGAGCTGGAAGATGAGTCAGATGAGTTTTTGTGTCCTAAGCCGAAAACCATTGTGTAATTATTCAGACTACCCGAAAAGACGTAATATATATACAAAAACCTTAGCCTGTTACATCATTGATCACGAATAATGGAAAGCATCAGTTTGCAGCCTTCGCACCCAGGAACAAAAATCCGGGGTTATGGGTTCATGCGCGGTACGGCAAGAGGGGTTAAAGGTGCAACAGTGTAACAGCAACCTTTCTAGTGGGGGGAAATAGGGTTTAGTGGTCAATGCCATTATAGTGGCCATTGACATGATTTAGAACTTTTTTTAGTGTGGCTGAAATTGCTGATTTAATTTTTTTATTGCTATAACGTGGTACATAATACACTTAAAATTAAAATTAGTATCTGTCGCTGTCTCTGTCGTTGGAGCCATAAGAGTCTCCACCTCTAGAAGAGCCGTACGAGTCGTCATTACCGCCTCTAGAAGAGCCGTATGAGTCTTCGTTGTCACGGTTAGAAGAACCATACGAGTTGTCGTTGTCACGTTTGGAAGAACCATAAGAGTCGCTGTTTCCAGAACCATAAGAGTCAGTGTTTCCAGAACCGTAAGAGTCACTGTTTCCAGAACCGTAAGAGTCAGTGTTTCCTTTAGAACCGTAAGAGTCACTGTTTCCTTTAGAACCATAAGAATCATCGTTTCCACCTCTAGAGCTTCCGTACGAATCACTGTTTCCAGAACCATACGAGTCAGTGTTTCCAGAACCGTAAGAGTCGCTGTTTCCAGAACCGTAAGAACCACTGTTTCCAGAACCATAAGAGTCGCTGTTTCCTTTAGAACCATAGGAGTTGTCGTTGTCTCTGGAGTTAGAAGAACCGTACGAGTTGTTGTTATCTCTAGAGGAAGATCTGTCTCTCGAAGAAGATCTGTCTCTAGAAGAAGATCTGTCGTTCTTGTCGTTGTCGTTGTCACCAAATCCGAATACCATTTTGAAAGTTAATTGATGAAAAATCCCAAGGGCCAATTGGGGTGGTATTTATAGTTTGCTTCACGTGTCGGCCATTGCACGTTCGGAGAAATTTCAAGTGGTGGAATCCAATTGACAATTTCATTATGAATTTCCCCATTATGTCATTGCTCCATCGCACTCATCAAAAATAAAAAAAAACACACCTTAGTGGACTCGCTTGCACATAACAGACCTCCTTGTCGCCATCAATAGCCGGCTTCCGCGTTGAATCAGCACCTTATTGTAAATTTCACCCTCACTGCCGGGGTGGTGCATTTGTGTACGCGTGCCTCAGATGCAAACATCCATGTAATTGCGACCACCGAACATTCTCCTCGCAACCAATCATCTGCAACAAGTGTGGAGACTTTGTAAACCTGGTTTGTTTGTTTTTGTGGTCACCCATTTGTGGAGTATGGCATTGTGGCGAATTGGAATTTTCAGCGAGGCAGTGGGATAGCAAGGTTGATGCAGGGTGAAGAAGGGGGTGAAGAGCAGCATAAATTTCCTAAATCGTATTTTAACATTTAGCCAATTGAGACCCAGATGTCCATAGATATGACTCCTGAAGGAGTCTACTCCTACTAGTTGTTTGCATTACTATCTACAAATGGTTCAATGGTTTCTGTCGGCGGTTCTAGGCTTGGCCTTCAAAATGTTGTCGACCCTCAATAGAACTTCAGCCGCTTCCGACGCAGACGACACCACTGCGCGTTTCAACTTGAACGACTCAACAACCCCCAATTCTCTCATATCAGTCACCACTCCGTTATTCAAGTCCAACCCAGAAGTGGTGATGCCGTTGTAGATGGCCGACCGTAACTTGGTCACCAACTCAGACGAGTCAAATCCGGCATTATCAGCCAAAATCGTGGGTAATTGACGCAAGGCTTTGGCAAACGATTCGATGGCCAACGCTTTTTTACCCGTCTCATTGGCAGCAATCTGGTCCACGGCCTTGGACATGATCATCTCAGAACATCCTCCTCCCAAACACGTCTTGGGTTCTCTGGTGGTTTGCGATAACACCGACAACGCATCATGTAATGATCTCTCAGCTTCTTCCAAGCCCTGATCGGTAGCACCTCTTAACACAACCGTACAAGCTTCTCCGGCCTTAACCCCAGAGAACTTCAACATGGACGACTCTCCAATGATGATTTCTTCGATGGTTTTACAGTATCCCAACTTGGCACCAGCAGCGTTGTCGAAAGTCGACACAACCTCTCCCCCGGTGACTAAAGCCAATCTTTCAATCCCGTCGAAGTCAGCGTGTTCGATGGAGTTGATTTTGGCGTCTGTGAATAGTTGCTCAGGGTAATCATAGATCAATTGTCTGTTGATGAAGCACTGAGCGTTATACTTTTTGATCTTCTCAACCTTGGTCTTCATCTTCAACTTTTCAGCCTTCTCCAAATCAGCCAATTTAGACGTGGAATCGACTTTGAATTTGGCACCAAAGATCTTCACCTTATCAGTATCCATGGATGTGTTGGCGATCAAGATATTCACGTCTTCGATCTTCTTTGGTTGATTTATTCCAAACTTCTTTTCCAAGATAAACCCTTCGTCCAAAAATGAATCGGCCAATTTACCACCGGGAATCTTGATGATTTGAATATTATTAAGGTTGGTGGATCCCTTCAATCTTAACACAGCATCGACGGCCAATTTAGCGAAATGTTCTTTGTCTTGGGACAAAATCTTCGAAGATAAGGTGGTTTTGGCGATGTTGATCAAATCTTTTCTGAACAAAGCTTCATCCTTACCATTGTCCACAGCTGTCTTGGTCAAGGCGTCTATAGCCACCTGACTGGCGATTCTGTAACCTTCGATGATGGTTTGAGGATGGATCTTCTTGTTGATCAAAAACTCGGCCTCTCTTAACAATTCGGCTGCCAATACGGTCACAGACGTGGTTCCATCTCCAACTTCGTCATCTTGCACCTTAGAAATGTTGACCAATACTTTGGCAGCAGGATTATCCAACGGGATGGACTTCAAAATAGTGGCACCATCATTAGTGATCATTGATTTATTCATATCAGAAGCACTCTGCAATAACTTATCCATTCCTTTCGGTCCCAAGGTGGACTTCACGAGGTCTCCCACGGCAATGGCACCAATGAAGGACGATAAACGAGCGTTTTCGGCTCTCTCTTCACTGGCTTGATCTCCAAAAATTTGTACTGACATTATTCTGGTACTGGTGAGCTTGTGGTAGGCAAATTGAAAAATCTTCAAACATCCGCGACTTACGTGTCTGGGGAGAATCTCATCAGCAAATAAACTTGGTTGTATATAATATTATCAAAAGACTTTTGCAAACTACTATCAAATAGTTGTGGCTATCTGCTATCATAAAATTATAGGTTTCCTGCGTGCTTAGTGTATATACCGCAGTCTATAACCGTCATTTCTATTGGGTTTCATTCGAGTTCTCAAGTTCTCCATTTTTTTCTCAGCCGGTCCAAACCAAGCGAGACGCTATCAAATCAAACATATTGTGAGTGATAATATTCGTTGACTGAAACCACTCATACCAATGACAACAAAATTGCTGGTGATATCCAAGGACGAAGCAGACTTGACGCCCGAGGAACGAGAGCAAAAGAACATCTTGGTGTCTATTGCCAATACCAAGCCAAATGATTACGAAAAGTTATTCAGTAAGCTAGATATCTCCAACAATGGAGAAATTACTCTTCAAGAGTTCAAAAAAGCATTGTTGAGGATGGACCATCCGGTCAAGGAGAACGAAGAGTTGGTGAAGCGGATTTTCACCAGTTTGGATACCAATAACGATAATAAGGTTGATTTCAACGATTTCAAACTATATTTGACTGTCACCGACGACCAGATTCTCCAAGGTTTCAAGAAAATAGATCAAGACAATGATGGGAAGCTCAACAAACAAGACTTTGCCCATTACTTGAACAAAAAATTGCATTTAAGTCCTACCACCGAGAGCGTTGACACTATTTTCAACCAAATTGATACCAAGCATGATGGGTTTGTAACTTTCGACGAGTTCAGAGACTTTTTGTTATTGATGCCGCGTTTGGACGGCTCAAGAATCAAGACAGCGTTCCAGTATATCGTGGAAGAGTTGGACATATCATCAGATGGTGATGTTACGGTCATTAATCAATTTTTAAATGGGTTCGGGTACTTTTTGGCCGGAGGTATTTCGGGCGTTGTTTCGAGAACATGCACTGCTCCCTTCGACAGGATAAAGGTATTCTTGATCGCAAGAACCGACTTGGCATCGACGGTGTTGACTCCTCGTAAAGTAATAGAAGAGAGAATCAGCCATCGCACGGTGATTGAAGAAGCCAAAAAGGCTGAAGCTCACCTCCATCATAAGACAATCAGGTCGCCAATCATCCAAGCAGCTAGAACGATCTGGAAACAAGGAGGATTCAAAGGCTTTTATGTTGGGAATGGGTTGAACATTTTTAAAGTGTTTCCTGAGTCTGCCATGAAATTCGGGACTTTTGAATTCACCAAAAGGCTCTTGGCCACGGTGGAAGGAGTCGAAGACACTAAGGATTTGTCCAAAGTGTCGACGTATTTGGCAGGTGGTTTGGGAGGTGTGGTTGCACAGTTCACAGTATACCCCATTGATACTTTGAAGTTTAGGCTCCAATGTTCAAATATCGATGCAAATGTCAGCTTGTTCAACACTGCCAAAGATTTGTTCCGGGAAGGAGGATTGCGTATTTTCTACCGGGGGATATTCGTTGGAGTTGCAGGTATATTCCCATATGCGGCATTGGATTTGGGGACTTTTACCACCATCAAGAAATGGTTGGTGAAGAGACAGATGACAAAGTATGGTATCAAGCACGAAGAAGATGTCAAGTTACCCAACTACATGGTGTTGGGATTAGGGGCATTGTCTGGATCGTTTGGGGCTACTATGGTTTACCCCGTCAACTTGTTAAGAACAAGATTACAAGCTCAAGGCACTTATGCCCATCCTTATAGATATGATGGATTCAGAGATGTGCTTCAAAAAACCATTCAAAACGAAGGATATCCCGGGTTATTCAAAGGGCTTGTACCTAATTTGGCTAAGGTTGCTCCTGCGGTGGCCATTAGTTATTTCATGTATGAGAACTTGAAGAACATATTTGAGTTGGAGACCAACAAGTGAAAAGTTTCCAGATATGTATATAGTAAATAATTCATAAAGCTCATTAATTATATGTCGTGATACTCTACATAGGCATTGAAGTTAAGGAACCCAACACTCACTTCTTCAAGTGCTTTCAAGTTGGTGAGATGAGAGGGTTTGGAGTTGTACACCCAATTTTCATCTTGATTCAAGTTGAGGCTCGAGGTAATGAGAAGCTTGAACTCCAATTCCATGAGTGCCATGACACTCTTGAGGTGTTGTAGATGATGGAATAGAAACGCGTTTGCCTGCTTATAGATTTCATCCCAGGTGAACCCGTCTATGTCTATGGCTGCACTTCTGCTCTCATCCTCGGAGATTTTAGCAGACAACTTGATGAACTCATCAAACCTGATACAGTATCTGTAGTAGATTTTGTCCTTATTGAAAAGAAGGAGCGTTAGTTCACTGATTTGATTGGAAGTAATGAGTAATTTACTGAACCTATTGATAAAGTCATCGATGTACTCGTTTAGCATCTTGGACCTTGACCGATAGACAACCATATTTAGCGACCGGAAAGGCTCGAAGATGTATTCGGGATAAACCTTGTGGTAGTAAAGAATCGAGTTAATCCACCCCACTAATATCTCCTTCACCAACTTCAACACATTCCCCACATTGAGCTCTAACTCCATACTATAAGATGTCTGCGCGAATCGAGGCGCGCTGCAATTGCAAAATATACACAACGCGAGGCCATGTTGAACCAAATACAAAAGGCAGATATCCAGAGAATCACATCTGGGCAGGTGATTATAGATCTTTTGTCCATTGTCAAGGAGCTTGTGGAAAACAGCATTGACGCCAGCAGTGATTTGATCGAAATCGCGTTCAAAGAACATGGACTAGAGACCATTGAAATCAATGATAATGGCCATGGTATCCCTCCAGAAGACCATAAGACCCTCTGCTTGAAACACTTCACGTCCAAAATCTCAAGGTTTGAAGATCTTGATCTGGTCCAGACGTTGGGGTTCAGAGGAGAAGCATTGAGTTCAATATGTTCTGTTGCATCGGTTCAAATCACCACCAGTACCAAGGAAAGCTTACCAGGGGCCACCGAGTTGGAATACGACCATATGGGTGAGCTTGTGAAGCAGGAAATAGTTTTGAACAAGAGGACGGATTCGGGCATGAAGATATCTGTTTCAGACATATTCAAAAACTTGCCTGTCCGTCAGAAGAACTTTGTGAAGAATATCAAAAAAGAGTTCAACAAGATGATTCTGTTTCTCTACAACTACATCATCATCAACCCCCAAATAAAGTTTGTGGTGACAAACCTGGTGGCAGGAAAGAAGAAGGTGTTAATTTCCACTCAACGCACGGGCTCACTCTTAAATAACTTCATTATCATCTACGGCACCAAATCGGTTGAGTCACTTAAGCCAATAGATATTGAAGTTAACTCCAACTTCAAAGTTCTGGGATACATATCTTCACTTTCCATTGGTAAAGGAAGGTCTATCAAGGATAAACAACACCTCTACTTGAACAACCGCCCGATTATTCACAGTGAGATGATGAAGCTTATCAACGAGGTTTACAACCAGTTCAATAATCTCCAATTCCCGGTGTTCATTTTGAACGTGCTTATAAACGATAGTATTGACGTGAATTTAAACCCAGATAAGACCCGAATCAACTTCTCCCAGGACTTGAACGAGTTCAGACAAGAGTTAGTGAGGTTCTGGGAATCTGAGAACATGGAGCAACAACTTGTGCTCAAGCCAAGTAAAGACCCCAAACCTCAAGACCATAAACCCAAACCCGATATAATATCCACAAAACGGATCCCTATCGAATTGTCGGCCCCTAAACCCAAAAAACCTAAATTCGCCAACTACATGAACGAAGAGATCTTCAAAACCCAGAACTTAAAAACGACAGTAAACCTGCATTATATCCGCTTGAAATCGCACAAAAAAGGGGTGGTCAGCCTTAAACTGAAAGACGATACACACCCAGGTGACGAACGGCTTGTTGAAAAAGAGATCTCCGTCAGCAAACTTCAATTTAATCAAATGCAACTTATCGGACAATTCAATCTAGGGTTCATATTGACAAGACTACAAGATAATCTCTTTATTGTGGACCAACATGCGTCTGATGAAAAATACAACTACGAAGACCTCAAAAATAAATTTAGGGTGCAAAGTCAGCAGCTCATAACCCCCATCCCTTTGAATTTGAACCTTGTGGAAATACAAAAGCTAAGCGAATTTATTAATTTGGTAGAGAACAATGGGTTCAAAGTAAACGACGATAATCAGATCACTCACTTGCCCACATACAAAAATATCCAATTTGATAAAGAGGATTTAGTCGAGCTTTTAAGCCAACTTCCGTGTCATCCGATTCTTCCAAAAATTAATTCGGTGCTTGCGATGAAAGCTTGCAGGAAATCAACAATGATCGGACAACATTTAAACGTTCACACAATGAAGAAAATTTTATCCCATTTATCGGAGTTAGATAAGCCCTGGAATTGTCCGCATGGGAGACCAACTTTAAGACACTTGCACGATTTAGGAGGCATCAACAACAAGGTGACAGACTATTTGTACAAGTGAGGCCGCATCTATAATTGGAATCTTTTATATGTATTCCCTTTATATAACAACCAGTAAAATGAAATTCCTGTCTTTTGGCCACTGACTTTCTGCACCTCAATTTTAGCAGTTCGCGAAGAAGGCAAGCCCCAAAAAATATCTCTGTTTCTTCTGTCATTCTCATAATACACATCCGTTGTTATGGATGAGATCATCATCATGCCGGAAAGAAAGAGCAGGCGAACCCATAAGAATTCGCGTGATGGGTGCCCAAACTGTAAGGTCAAAAGAATAAAGTGCTCCGAAGAACTTCCCATGTGTGCAAATTGTATTAGAAAGAACTATCGATGTGGATACCTCGACTTCCCCGAAGAGAAGTTGCAAGAGATCCGAAATAAGAACCTCCCTGCCAAGGGTCGACTGCTATCAAGTGGTCTGAATGGCCCCGGAGACTTTACAGCCAAACCCAGCCGGTTTCGGAAACTAATCAGCTCCTCATCACCCTCAACTTATATTAACAGGACGAGTGTATTTTCCTCTTCCATAAGTCCCGCATTGCCTGGTCCTGTTACTGGTAAACCAAGCATCCTGAGTGCTCTGTCCACTCAACCTGAGTTTTTTTCGTTTGATCCCGACATGATTTTCCAGCCTTTTCCATATGAGAATAAGCCGTACAAGTCCTTCACTCAGCCGTCTCCTATAACCTTAGCGTACCAGACACCATTCTATCCACAAATAGATACTCCTCCGCAACCACAAATCTTCCCACTACCCAACCAAACCCATCTGCAAGGCTTGATTCAGCGAGTAATGTCTCCTCCGGCTGCTGTACACTCTCAGATGTCGCTAACTCCACAATTCACCGACCAATTGACGCAGCCCCAGCCGCTAGCCTCATCCCCACAGCCGGGATACACGGCGTACCACACGCCCATACCAATGCCCGTCACAACACAAATGCAAGCGCAAGCCCAAATTGTGCCCAACAGCAGCTACATTAATTCAGAGCTCCCCAACTATCAGATCATTGATTATGAGGTGCCCTTTAACCCTATCCACTTTAATGGCTACGACCATGGGAATAGCAACCTTGCTTCAATAAATGAGACTCCCAAGATGAATAGAGAGAAAACCAGCTTGCCGAATTGTCAAGTTAAACCCACAAAGTTTTCGAAACAAAAGTATAGTGAATTAAAGGAACCACGAGACCCACTTGCCGTCTACTACTATATGCCTGTCTGGGATAGAGAGTCATCTAGAACCTTTTGGTTTGGTTTCTTCATGTCCAGTTTCACCAACCCTATTTTCAATTCATTTTTGCTTGATAAGTCTTTGGGATTATTATTAGCAAACGTCAATGTGGTGTTGAACAGTGAATACTTGAAGAATTTCCACAACACATATCATCCTGTTAGTTCCATAAAAATAAAGAAAGAAGATAACGGGGAATTGGACAAGGTTTCGGATCCAGGTGAAACTAAGGAGAAGAAGTACCATGACTTTTTCTTTGACAAGCATGTTTTGAACACCTTCATCAAATTTAGTTATATCTACTATGCCAAGTTGATCAAATGCATTCGAGATGGGTTGACCTTAAGTGACATAGAGGACACCATTCGTATTAGTTTCTTGTCATCATATTCCAGTTACTTTTTGTTGAATTCTACAGCAGGAACAACCATCAAGTTATGCAATGGAACCTCTTCGTTATTGAAAAAGTTTGTGGGTGAATGTAAGAACTATAATCAGTTATTACCTCGAGTCAAATACATTACTGACATTCTTCATAATCATGTTAACTTCTGCTTGGTTCCCGATTTGAACTTTGACGTGATCGATACCATCACCGAACAGTTCCAAATGTTCAAGAATTTCTTGACGAATTCTACCAATCTTTATCAGTCTCTTAAAGATAGTGTGCTGATTAGAGATTTCTTGCCCAAACATGATTGTATCGAGTTTGAAAACTTTCTCAATTACTTGAACAATGACTTCCGTACCGAATTGAACCATATAAATAAGGAGTATAACACCGAAGATGATAATATTCGGATAGTATCGGTAAAATCATTGTATGAATTGGTCAACAAATATTTCAAAATGTTGCCAAGTTTGGCTAACTCGATTGGGCCTAATGTGTTCGTTATCCAAAGAGTATTTTACTTATTCTTCATTGCCACTGGGAAAGCATTGATTCACATTTTAACCCCTATCAAGTCGATTTTGAATATTGACTGTACCAATGTATTCTATCCCATCATTGACTTTGACTGTGGTGTCTTCAAAGTTGACAAAGAAAAGGATTCTTTGAATGATCTTCAGTTTGAAGAATTCAACGGCAAGACAAAGAATTTGTTGAGATTAATTAACTTTTACAACCTTCGGTCCTTATTTTATGGCCACTTTTTATCAAACAAGTCGGTTTTGGATTCAAAGTACTTAAAATTGGTGGATGGATCTATAGGAGATGTAAAGCTAGTTGAGATTTGTCCTAAAAAACTTGACTTCAGTGAGGTTCCATTGAAGTTTAACAAGAAGTTTGAGTTTAAGATTGGGTTGGAAAACTTGCCCAGGTTCCCTGAGTTTGACTATTATCCCAAAGAATGTTTCGAAAATCCCAATGGAATTTGTGAATACCCAGGTGAATTCAACTACGACATTGGATTGAGTTCATGCGATTTCAATCCTTCCAAATTGGTAGAAGAATTTTTGAACCATCAAAAGACCAAATGGGAGTTCAATACTGTGAGGCTATCAGCAATGCAAACCAGAAGCCTCTATTTCGATGAGAGTAGAAAGACTGTCAGCGAATCACTAAACCTTGATGACTAACGAAAGGTGATTGTGCACTTGCACCTTTGTATTTGTACATTTAATCCACAAACATGAAATAGAAAATGCGTAGACGGTAGTGTAGAGATGAAAAGGGTGCGGTTATCGATGTATGTCGGAGCCTTGAAATCTCCATTGTTGATGTATAACGTTCCTACGACCCCAATGAAAATTCACCAAAGTAAGGCTTCCTTAATGTTGGTACAAAAGATAGCCTGCCTGTTTTATGTTGAACAACGGAGAACAGGGTTCTTTCATGAACAGGGTCTTCTCAGAAATCGGAGCTCTCCACATGGCTCCCGTTCATTGGCAGATTAGTAAATATTAGTAATACGTGATCTACAGCGGTTTCCAAATTTCCTGCAAGAGTTTTCAAGGAGGCACAAAAATTGGGAAAGTAAAAATAAAAAATAAAAAACTAGAATGCATAAGCCATCAGGTACAACCGGCCTCAGCGACCCATTTAACTTTTTTTTGTGATCTATCTTCATCCTCATCCCAATGAGATACAAATCAGATTTAAAATACAATTACATGGCCACAAATTCAAATTTCGGCTGCTAGACACCACTGAACAACTGTTTCCTCATCACAAATCTCGTAGATAAGCTATTATTAATTAGTTAAACTATAGCAGTCTTGTACTGATGTTTATCGGCAAAAGGTTCCTATATCCTTTCAATGCAAAAGGGCCTAACATTTGGCATCTCAACATGAAGTAAACTATCGCCGTTCGCAACACCTGCAAAAGCCAAATTGGGGTTGTATCCAATGATTCAAGGTTGGGATATGTTCGTATTGTAGGAGGCGGGGACGATCCCTTGTTCCCAATACGACTGCGGGTATCAGATTCGTTGCAGGAGATTCATTGCAGGAGACTCATTGCAGGAGATCCATTACAGGAGATTCTTTTGACGCACCGGAAATGGCAACGCCCCTGAGGAAGCTGATAGATGAATTATGGAGGCTGGAGGTGGCGAGCTGAGGGAATAAGGTTGAAAGTTTGGGAAAGAAAATAACTAGAAAATAAGTGATATAAGAGCCATGCAGTCCGTGCATTTACCGTGAGATTGGCTCGATCCTCCACTACCCTTCGGCTAGTGGGTGGGAGACGATAACAAGAAACAATATATCGGTGGCAGTTCAATGCCGATAGCCGACCTTGTAATTGCCCTGATGAGGGAAGTTACCGCGGTAGTGCTAGTGCACTCCTCGCAGACGTTCGAAGGGTCGACATAGATAGATCCACAAATGCCACTCTTGCCCGCCCCGATAAGCAATGGAGTTCCCAAGCCCCGTGCAAATATACTAATGCTCTACTGCAGATCGCGCGCATCCCAATATTATTATAATAATGGTCAATACCTTGAGTTAAGAAGGTGTTCAGACTAGCAATATTGATGGACATGATGGTGGAAGCCGCAAATAAGCTTCGCACCCTCATGCCTCATCGGGGCGGTGGCAGGTATTCCGCGGTAGTCGAAGCGGATTTTTCTGCACCTCAACCGCAAACCTATTCATGCGGGACTGTGTGCAGGTGAGAGGGTAGTTTATTTTTCAATATTGGAGTTGAGGTGGGTGTGGTTTCAGGGTTTATATGCCAACACACAGCCGTTTTTTTTGGTTCGATTCGAATCACTCCACTAGCACGAACCCCAAGTCCCAAATATTCCCTGCCTCCCATCGCATCCCAATGAACAAAACTATTCGATCGTAATTCAACTGCCGCATTCCATGAAAAAGCTCTCATCATCAGTTTCAGCCTTCACCACCTTCACGATTCTCCCTCCGGTGCCAACCCGAGCGCCGACCCAGCACGAGCACCAGCTCCTCAAAACCACCACCACGGCCACAGCCGATCCTGCCCAGAGACGGGTGATTTTAACGTCTCTTCTCGCCTTGTCGACCTTTTATATTCGGGCCAACTCGATCAAACGATACAGCATGTCCAAACCGGATAAATTGGCATTGCGTCGACGGCTCTACAAGCTTGGACACTTTTACTATAACCAGGCGATCCAGCAATTGCGGGAAGTACTTGCACATACCCGTTTTAACGTGGAATTAGCTATTGTGGTGTCGGATTTCCTTAACCGTGTAAGCATCCTTGAGTTCAAGAATTTGCATAATTCGGTGGTGTTCTCGCAGGGGTTGACAAGCATATTCCAGCACCTGGTGGTGGCAGAGGCGCGGCATCGCCCTTCGAAGCTGATACTGCCGGAACTTAACCGGATCTTTGCATTGATTATATTTGCTACCGCTTCCAGGCAATATCCCAGTTATCCGCACACATTGCTTTATGAATTCCAGGAACAGATATGGGAATTCGAAGTTCATTACGCTCACCTCTTCACTTCTATTTCACGCTTCTATGTTAACCACCTCAAACACTATACCCAGATGTTGATTGGGTTATTTGAATCGACCCCGGCAGCCCAAATTCAGGCCGACTATCATTTGGTTTTCAAAGTTCTCCGGCAATGGTTAATCAACCTCCCGAGCCGGGTACAGCTCATCGACTTCATAGAGGACCCGGTGGAATATGTGGGACTCCGGTTATACCAAACATTAGCCATGATCCTTAACAATATTTTCCCCACTGTTAGTGGATGGTTTCTTACTGACTTCCGTGGTAGCCTTGTCATGTTTAACACACCAGACTATCACTATAAAACCCCAACCCGGTTATCCCAATTCCCCGTCTTACAAGACCTTAATACCTACTGTGTGAGGGTGACGACCTTCTTTCGCAAACGCCTCAACGTCCTTCTGATGTCCTTTAATTACCACAGGTTCGGTGATAGGCTTCATCTTCGAGCAAACTTGTCGTCGCCGGTGCAACTCACACAGCTGCAGATTTTGCAGCTGTTGAATGAAGTACCAATTGATACCTTTAAATCTACCGTCATCAAGAACTACCATTACCTTCATATCCCCGAACTGGTGCAATTCACTAGTCTTCCGAGGTTCCCCAACTGTGCTGACATCCAGGAAGATGTGCAGTTCTTCAACTATAACAAGCACCACATGGAAAAAATCCGAACTGCCTACGAGGAGCGGTTCCGGCACGCTGCCACTGATCACTACGAGGGCTCAGAAGTTGATCCGGTATTCAATTGGTTGTACAGTAACATTGCCGATGGTAGCAACTTGGTAGATGAGCCTAAAAAGTTGGAGTTCAGGTACCAGATGTTCTCCAACATGTTCGATAGCGATAAGTTGGTTAGCGATATGGAAATGGATTACTTCCAGTTGTTGAACGGAAATGTGGAACAGTACCATGACCTGGCAATTGCGCCACACCGAGGGCTCTATGATTACGACAGGGATATCAAAGATTATCTCCATACTCCCAACTACGACTTCCAAATGCATCTTGAACAACCACTTGACCCATTTACGGCAAAGCAGTTTTTCGACGCCTTCAACGATTTTAACGACCAATTAACCAACAACAATTACGAAGCGGAGGATGAGAGTGATATTGTAGAAAAGTTCTACGACGATATGAATGACATGTACTATAAGTGAATAGACCTATCTATTTAACTCCGATTAGTAATAAATATTAATGGGAAAAAAGAATCTAGGAGCCGACGTGCGTGTGCATATACGGTAGGATCCAGAAATTGTTATGCCCCATGTCTTTACCGCAATAGGCAAGTTTGCCTTGAAATATGCACCCTGCCACAATATAATACCGGTCGTTGCTTGTTAACTATAGCCTTTACGTAGTTGTCGCGGCGTTACCTAGTCAGTTTTTTTTTTAAAAAATACCTCTAGCCGGCCCTTAATCAGGTGTCATCTTGGGGATCGCCGATCTACCGAAGACCCATCGCCGCGCAGATCAGTCTCACATTGCCAAGGGATGGTCTCGGCCCTTCCCATGGTGACTATACCGTACCGGCTTCTTGGTTGTGCCGACTGCAGGTTTAACCGTTTACGGGGTTAACGCCTACCGCTATTTCTGTATCTGCGCGTTACAATGGATGTGGGAAATTTCTTAAATTATAATCAAAACTATATTCAGGGATTGTAAACTACTATTCGATACCTGTGAAACCACCCAGTGGAAATCATCTATTTCTGTGGATCTTCAATTGTGTTTGTGGAAATCCCCAAGTTGTGTTTGTGTGATCATCCCTAATTCAGCCCTATTTCCATCCATGTCGCCAGACGTCATTAAGAGAAGAAAACATAAAAACAGCAAGTTCGGCTGTCCCAACTGTAAGCGCAGGCGTGTCAAGTGTACCGAGGACCTCCCCCAGTGCATGAACTGCGTCAAGCATAAGGTAAAGTGTGGATACTTGGACTATTCCGATGATAAACTTGCCCAGTTGAAAGAATACAAAGAGCAACACCAACGACAGCTTTTGCAACAGGACGAAGACCTGTACCGCCTTCTGAACGATTCCGGCAAGAACTCGGTGTCGCCCGATGCAACCACCACGGCACCCCCTGGCGAAGCTGTGACGGGTATAAGTATCCAACCCACCAAGTCCAATAACTCGAATCTTGACGATGAGATCAATAACTTGACGCTAGGATTCAAACCCACCAGCCCGGCCCCAATACCGCCCCCCCTCCAGTCCTTACATCCCCCTACGCACACCGCTAACTACACAAATCTCCTCAACCATGGGCAAAACTCTATCAGCCAGAATTTTGACGATTTGCTTCCCACCGCATCGGACTTATCAATTGTGTATCCGGTCTACTACATTACCAATAACCAGGGGCTCTCACCGTTTCTGGGACAGAATGTGATGAACTACGAGTACCCGAATTTGGATGGGTTTTACTCCAATGGCCAGAGCCTCAGCCCGGTTGACATTCAGCAACAATCACTTTTGCAGAGCTTGAGCTCCTCCGTTATTTCTCAGGATCTCTTGATCCAGATGGCGTCGCCGGTCCCGGTCAAGACCGAAAAGTTCTTGCCCAACGCCGTGGCATCTATGCACAAGTTCAAGCGGTTGACCACAGAACGGGTGGACTACAGGACGTTGTTGATCAATGTGGTGATCAACCTAGGCCCGTTGATCAACCAGGGTCTTGCGTCGTTGCTCGAGATCCGGGAGCTCTACAGCTTGTGGTTGAACTCATTCTTGTTTAAGAGCTACGAGTCCGATTTGATGTTCAGTTGTTTGATCAACTTGACCACCAACTTTTTGATTTCCAACCCTTTCAACAACTTCAACTTAATCGACCTGAGTGCCAACAACTTTCTCCACGTCACCAACATGAAGAACATCTTGATAATGGTGTCGATAAAGTACTACGCCTTTGTCATCAAGGGGATCCGGTTGTATTTGAATAAAAATTTTGATCCTGAGTTGTGCTCGTCCGTGAGCTACATCTTGAGCTTAATGTCCATCTACGACCCGGAGGCCACCTACAATTCCACACGGTGTTTCTCGGACGGGTTGTTCAGTGTGTTGAAGTATAACATCGATTTGTCAATCAAAAAGGGGTTTACGCCGCCTCTTCTCATCCCTATCCACTTGAGGTTGATGCACAACATCGAAAAGAGCATCTACTTTCCGGGGTACGACCCAACATTTTTACAAGAGTACCAGGTGCTGTTGGCGGAGTTTGGGAAGTTTTTGAGTCAAACCTCCATGCCTGGTAACCCCGAGTTGTATGCTATTCTCCGTAAAAACTACCAGAATTTGTGGGAATTTACTCACACCACTTTGAGTGAGTATTTGCCAGTTTTGATCTCCCAGCTCGAAGATAATACCATTCAACAAGAAATCCTCTTCCGCATGACCAGTCGGTGGGTACGACTCTTTCCTTCTCGCTTCTTGATCATTGATGACTCCGCTCCACTCTCCGAGAAGGTCTTGTATCTTTACTTCAAGCTTTTCAAAAAAGCCATGTTTGCTGTGTTTCCCCAGGTGAAATTCTACTTCTTGCGAGACTTCGACAGTCCGCTCATGTTGGATGTTTTCAATTACATAAACGATAATGAAATCTTCAATTCTCCCCAGTTCGATGACCCGGACTTGAAACATTATAGAAGTCAATTGAAGTCCCAGACTGCCTATTTAATCCGAGCCCTCAATTATTTCCAAAAGAGGCTTCAGTTCCTCTACAAGACCATTGTGTACCAAAGCTCAACCAAAAACCTCTTTCCAATTGAGGACCGGAAGGACTTCATCATAAACATCCCGGAGCTACGAAAGATCTTCTACGAGTCGTTGGACTTGAAAGAAACTAATATTAAGTCGTTCAACCATACATTCATCAGACCCTACCACTTCCCGCACACGGGAGATATTGATATGGATGATGAGCCGGTGGATGTGGAATTGGAAACCTTAACGCCAATGGGGTTTTTGAAGGACGACACCGTGGGGATCTAGAAACACCAAACCGTGGAGTCCTAGGGTTTTTCCTTGTGTCTATATTGTATATATTTGTAGTACTAAATCCGATTTTCACTATCGCGCACTCTGCAATGGACGATATCGAAGAGTACAAAGCCCTCACGTCTGTATTTCTGGCCTACTACCATTTCCACCAGTGGGAATACGACCAGCTCATTAAGCCTCGTGGCATCAAGTACAACTCCCTCCCGCCCGATGAGCAGCGTCTCTTACCGTGGTATACGCAACATACCGAGTCGTTAAAGCAAGCCATCAACACCAATAAACAATTCACCCAATTCGTGGCCCTCACGATCTGTAAACAGTTCGGGATCGAGGAAAGCCCCTCGTCGTGGTACGAAGCCGGCCATGACGACTTCGACAAGGTCCGGTCCATTCTTTTGCAGCTTAAACGAGAATGGGGTGATGAGGGTGAGCACGAACGGCTAGTATTCGAGCGGATGATATGTGAATTGAACCACAAATACCCCGACTTCAGCGCCCGTCAACACGTTAACGTGCTTCTCCCCGGGTGTGGCTTGGGCCGACTTGTGTTTGAAGTGGTCCGCAATGGGTACCGGGCCCAGGGGAATGAGTTTAGCTACCATATGCTCATCATGGCCAACTTCATGTTAAATTTTTGCAGCCACCCGTTTCAAATCCACCCATACTTACACAAGTTTTCTAACGTCTGCAACCGGGCGGATCAGCTTAGGCTGGTGGTGATTTTGAACCATGCCGGTGGTACCAACGGCTTTGAACAGTTGATGCTAGCACACCCCGATGTCCCGTTTATGGAATTGATGTCTATGGCAGCAGGCTCGTTCACCGACCTCTACGGACCCGACCTGCTCACCACCAACAGCACGAGCCCCAACGAGTTCCGTGCCACCAACAAGGCACACTTTGAAGCGGTTCTTACATGCTTTTTTCTCGATACTGCGTCCAACATCATCGAATACTTGAAAACCATCGCATACTGTCTCAAAAAACTGGGGATTTGGATCAACTTGGGGCCACTTTTGTGGCACTTTGAAAACGACTTCAACACCTCCCACATCACACTCCCACTGGGGGAACAGGTTCCTACGATCATGAAAGGGCTTGAACTTTCCCGAGCAGATTTGATACAGCTCATTGAGGACATGGGGTTCCAGTTCGAGAAAATGGACACGCACGAGCAGCGGACCGTCACCATCTATGCAGCCGACCCTCGGCTCCTCTCGAACTTCACCTACCACTGTGAATTCTGGATTTGCAGCCAATAACGATATGGCGGCGGTCGTGGCGCGCCCCCGTCACTATCACGAGTGCGCGCAAAACACTGAGGCAAACGATTCAACTAAAGGGATAATGAGCTTTCCGAACCCAGCCAAAGCCGTTAAGTTAGTATTATTGGGAGAAGCGGCCGTGGGAAAGTCGTCGCTTGTGTTACGATTTGTATCCAATGATTTCCAAGAAAACAAGGAGCCCACCATTGGTGCCGCATTCCTCACCCAGAAATGCACCATAGGAGACAAGACCATCAAGTACGAAATATGGGATACCGCCGGCCAGGAGCGGTTTGCCTCGTTGGCTCCCATGTACTACCGGAACGCCCAGGCCGCGTTGGTGGTGTACGACATCACCAAGCCCGCATCGTTTTTGAAGGCCCGTCACTGGGTCAAGGAGTTACACGAGCAAGCCTCAAAGGACATAACCATTGCATTAGTTGGAAACAAATACGATTTAGTGGAAGATGAAAATGACGGGGACACCTTGAGAAAGGTGTCGGTGGAAGAGGGCCAGAAGTTGGCCGAGGACGAAGGCTTGTTGTTTTTTGAGACCAGTGCTAAAACCTCATATAATGTGAACGAGGTGTTTGTGGGAATTGGAACCAAGATCCCCGAGTCGTCGGCTCCTACGGGGGTACAGCAAGCGGGTAATGAGGCGGGTAGAATTGACTTGACTACCGGGGCTGCTTCTACCACTCAACAGACTTCTGGATGTTGCTAGTATCGAATTTATATAGGTGATAAGATGATAGGATTTTATTGTGTATGACTGTATTGCGGTATCTACGGTGGTATCGAAGTAACTGAGGAAATATCAATTTTGTCTACCGAATAGCAAAGCACAAGAAAGTATATTACTACACATTATGTCTATAACACCACAGACTCCAACCGCTTCAAATCCTCCTCTGTATATATAAGATCCTGCTGCTCCAAGAACTCTGCATTATCAAACTTCCGGTAGTCCTGTTTCTCCACATCCTGCTTCAATCCATAATTATCTTGAACAATGTCGTCAGTGCTTTTCCACCTGAATAATTCGGTATAATCATTGGAAACCCCGTTAATTCTATCCACCACCGTCCTTCCCAACACTGGCAAGAACTTGAATCCATGGGAGGACCCTCCAGTTGCAACAATCAAGTTTTTGTACCCAGGCACAAAGTCGATCACAAAATCACTGTTGATAGCATCGGTATACCAGAGAAGTTTAGAGGTCACTTTGATTCCCGTGAGAGAAACAACGTCTGGAGCTATGGCCATCAATATGTCTTTGGCTTCCTGGATAACACTCTTGGGTAATTTCTCGTCTCCCAAGGTCTTGGGAACAGAAACGTATTTTCCATCAACCTTGACTGGGTTCCAGTATTTGAGTTGTCTAGTGTTTACCTTCAAGATCCCTTCCTTTTTTGTGGGAGGAAAGAAAGCAAACCCACCTTCTCCATCTGAATGGTTCTTGTTTCTGTCAAACTCACTTGAGGTGGTTTTCCACTGGATATGGGGATACTCTGAGTACTTGTTGATCAAGTCTTGTCTAGATTTAGGAATTTCGAGATAAACAATGTTGGCCAACGACGCTCTGGCATGATGCTCCAACGCCGGCACTAGAGATGTTGACCATGGCCCAGCACTAACAATCACAAGGTCTGCAAAGTGGGACTTTCCGTCTTTGGTTTTGATTCCTTTAATTTCGCAGCCATCGGTGATGGGGCTTATAAACGTACCAGCATCGTCATAATGAAACTTGACACCCTGCTGCTCCAAGAGGATTTTGACGTAGAAGCAGGCTTTGTCGGCTTTGAGCATTCTTCCCACTCCGTCCAAGGTTCCGGAGATGGTGGTGACTTTTTTCCTCTGTTTCCAGTCATCAATAACATCCAACTTGGCAGACAACCCAACCAACTTGGCCCTTTGAGTATCTTTTTTCGAGTTAATGTTATATTGGAGGTCCCGTAACCCAAGCTCATTGAACCCTTCGAGATTGGTGAGTTCAACTGCACTCAATGCTGATGTGCTGTTAAGTCTCATGGCTCCTGACATTCTCACCAACTCCAAATCGTCATCGATGAAACGGCTTTTATCCTCTTCAGAAAGTTTCTGGATATCTTTATTCCACTGTTCCCACACGTCCAAAGCCAGAATCGCCAACTTGGAGTAAAGGGTTTTGTTTTCATAGTAGATTCTGAAGAGTTTGTTGATATCTCCACTGGCGCAGTCAGATCCATTCAATGGGTTGTACTTGGTCTTATCGTGATTAATTCTGTCAAAGATCTCTATATTTTTGTAGCCATTTTGTACCAAATTCAAGGCACTAGAGAGTCCAAAAACACCGGATCCGACCACCAAGATCTTTGCTTCTCTGGAATAAGCCATTAGTTAGCTTTGAAGAGGATTTGGTCCGGATTTATAGGTTCTAATGGTGGTCGCAAGTGTGAGTGCGTGCGGATCTTAGTTACCTTTTGGGGAGCCCCCAACTATCGCCATTGTTGCCGTGTCACGTGGCGCGAGTGAATTATTGGCAGCAATGGCACAACAAGGACACTGGTTCCGTCCACCGGGGCTTAAGTTCCTGTCTCAGTAAGAGTAGGGCATAACTAGTAAAGACAAAACGTTCCTTCTCAGCACCGAGGCTTAAGTTGCCTTCTCAGTAAGTGATCTCTATATTCAAACAATACCATTAACAAACTATAAAGGATAAATAAACCTCTTGTTCTCCAAATCAGTGAGATCAAGCATCGACACATCAACCTTGTCCTTCACCAAGTCCCCGTTCTCATCAACAGAATCAATGAACCCGTAGTCAAGATCCTCACCTTCTTCCTCTATTAATCTTCTTCTTTCCTTATTTCTCTTGGACAAAATGTATCGAATGGTCAAAAGACAACATGGTGCCAAAAACCATGAAAACACCATCTGCATAATCCAAGGGATTCTGTATCTTGGCTGGTACTGAGTCCTCCACATTTGCGGACAAACCATGTTACTTACAGCGTAAGCCAACATGAAGAGTAAGGTTCTGGTGAGCTTCTTGGTATGCCCAGCAGCAGTCGTCTGACACAACGAGAACGAAATGATGTAGGCGGTACCGTTGGAACGGGTCATGAAGATTCCCCCCAAAATACCGGGTTTGTTATCCCAAGGTATACTGACGGCGAGAATTGCACCCAAAAGTGCAGGCCACGTAAACACTACTGCCACAAACACCGACTGTTTTCTAAACCGACTAAGGGCAAAGGCTCCAGCACAGGCACAAGAAATGGAAAAGGCGGTTGTCACTGCGATCAAAAGCGTGCTGGTCAAGTGGCCGAATCCCAACTCAGTGTAAATGATGGAGGACTGGTAGGAGGTGGAGTTTTCCAACATGTTCATGAGGCAGAAGAGCACAAACAACCACGAAATTGGATCCTTCAAGCACTCCACAAACTGGTATTTCTTGAAGGTTTTCTGTTCGATCGAGGACCTTGACTGTTTTTTGACCCGTTGGATAATGTGAATCTTCTCTTCGGTGGTGAACAACCGAGATAAGGCAGGATTATCAGGGTAAATGAAATACACAACCACCGATACCACAGAGGAAATGATCCCAATTAAGAGCCAGTACCATTTCCACGGTCTCCATTTGGTGGTGTACTGAAGTCCGTATGCGACAAATGCAAATGGGAGATCGATTCCCAAACACGAAATCCAAAATACCGGGTTTACAAATGCCTGTTCTTCCAACGTAAAGAACATTGCCAAAGTATGCTCCACGCATGGTGTGATTCCTGACTCGAAGGCCCCCAACAAAAACCGAAGAACTGCCATTCCCGCGTAACTTTTGCACCCAAGGGTACAGAAGGACAAAATGGCCCAAACTGCCAAAGTGGCAGAGATAAACTTGGATACGGGGAATCGCTGGAACAAGTAGTGGGAAGGGGCTTGGCCCACAAAATATCCCAAGTAGAAGAACGTCTGGATGTTATTGTAATCAGGTGATGAGATACCCATATCGTCAAAAAGCCCCAAAAGCGAACTGAATGTCACCGCATCTTTATCGATGAACAATGTCGCGTTGACTAAAAACGCAATAGGAACGATGGTTAGCCAAAGCTTGATCTTCAACTTCCTCTCTTTCTCGGGAGTCAATTCGGCCACGGTCCCGCCGTTTTTTTGAATCAAGTCCAATGTGACATCCGCGTAATTCTTGGAGATTTCATAGTGATTACCTTCAAAAAAGAACTTGGTTAACTTGGATGGCTCTTCGCGCGTAGGAGAAGGCGAATCAGAGATGTCACCTGTCGAGTGAACCTCAATGTCTCTGGGGAGTGATTTATCGCTTGACATTGGATGTACGTAGGAAATTAATTACTTGCAACCCCATCACTTTATAGACCCAGGGGAATGTCGTTGCCTAAACCGTAGAAAACAAGCATTATCTAAACTGTGGGTGATCATCGGACCGATTCTTCCCAAACAGGATATATTAAACGTCGGCATTATCATCACTGGCTGTGGTCCATCTCATCATGACTACCACAGTCCGTGTCCGCAGAGCCACAATCCGACAGTTTGTGAGAAGAGTGGGAGTCTATCACGTTCCAGTGGAGCAGGCGTAAGATTAGAGATACGAATTGGGGTTGGGTACACTCCGGGGCTTGTGGCAAGTTTCCGCACTGCTGAGAATCTGAGGGAGATCGGGGCGGAGATTCGCTGCCTAATCAGTTGACGCTTTTTTCCCCTCGCAGCACCTCACTTGCTTACTAACCATCCACACTTTAATATCCAATTCAAGTTTACATCTTCTTCTACACGCTATGACAACAATCACCCTCAACAACGGAACAACCATCCCCCAGCTCGGTTTAGGAGTCTTCTTGACTCCACAGGATGTTGCAAAACCTACCGTCTACTCCGCTTTGGACATCGGATATAGACATATCGACTCGGCCCTGAAGTACGGAAATGAGCAGCAGGTATGTGAAGGAATTGCTCAATGGCTCAAGGACAATAACCAGAGCCGGAAACTGGTTTTCTATACCACGAAAATCTGGAATTCAGACCATGGTTACCAAGCCTGTAAGAAGGCCATTGAGGTATGCTTGAAAAATGCCAGTTCAATCGGATATATTGACTTGGTTTTAGTCCATTCACCCTTGAGTAATGCCGAAAAGCGTCATGGAACTTGGTTGGCGTTACAAGAAGCAGTGGATGCCGGAACTGTCAAAAATATCGGAGTTTCCAATTACGGGGTGGCCCATTTGCAAGAACTCTTGGCGTACTCGGACTTGAAGTACAAGCCCGTGATCAATCAGGTGGAAATCCATCCGTGGTTGACCCGTGAGGAGTTGGTGCAGTTTTGTCGGGAGAACGAGATTGCAGTGGAAGCGTACTCTCCATTGGCCAGAGGAAAGAACTTCGGAGACGAGTACATTGTGCAGTTGAGCAAAAAGTATAACGTTACAGAGGCCCAAATCATGATTAAATGGTCGTTGGCGAAGGGATATATTCCCCTTCCAAAGACAGTTAATCAGGATAGGCTTGTGAGCAATTTTGATGTTTATAGCTTTGAGCTTACTAAGGACGAAATTGCCCAACTCGACGCAAAAGATGTATACGGTATTACCGGCTGGGATCCCACCAAGTTCCCATTGGACGCCGATGCCGATGCCGATTAGACCTGTTTAATGTGGTACATAAGTAAATGTGGTACATAGGTTAATACTGTCTTGAAATACACTTTCCAAAAACAACCGCGTACACCCACGTCTTGACACCTCTCTGACCCACACACCCTCGGCACTCTACATATCTGTCCCGTCGTATACCCACACATTTTCCTCCACACTCCTCTGCACGGCACGCCATTTGCGCTCGCACTGTGGCTATCTAAACACTTTACTAAACACTTTCGCACCCGCCAAAAACTTCTTTTTGAACATCCTCCTAATGAACCGCATTCCTGGTGCCAGCCAGTTTCGAACCACAAAACAGTCCAAAGTGGTGTCGTGTGTCCGCTGCTGCCAACAGAAACGCAAGTGCTCCCGAGATCGGCCCTCATGCCTGTACTGCGTGACCCACGGCCACATTTGTAGCTACGTCAATCCGGCTCAGAAACAAGTATCTTCCACAAAACCCTCCTTTGACCTCACATCGTGCTACCACAACGACCTTGCGTCCACCAAGGCCACCGCCGATGAAGTCACATCTTCCTCCAGCTCGACGGCGTCGCTGGACTCGGTGTTTTCGTCTAAGCATGAGAATTCAACACCACCCCAAATCACTCCCAAAGCTCCTGCTACCGCCAGTTCGGTGCCAGCCATCAACTGGTTGGTCAACCCGTCGACCGAAGATGAACTGCTCTCTACACCTCCCATGGAATCACTGCCAGCTAGTCTGTGCCGCACCGTAGTGTCGACTTCGTCGCTGGTCCCGGTGGTGTTATCGCCAGGCACAAAAATTGTACCGCCAATCAACTCGTTTTGGCCCAAAAGCTTGCCCAACACCTCCTGCTCTCCGGCTGACCCCAAGACACGTATTAGCACAGGCCCAGCGTTCACAAATGTATTCAACTCGGCCCTCAACCAAAGTGCTCCTGCGATGGTGGAAGACTTGAACTCGCTCGCTTCATTTATGCCGGAGAAAAGTTTGGCCGATACGCTTTTTGCCCGGTTCAAGAGTTCCATCCACCCCCTCATCCCCATATTGGACTGGGAGGCTATCTGCCCAATTTATGAGCGGTTTTGGATCGATAAGCTGGTGGACTTGTCGTTCTACATCCAGGTGTTCACGATTTTCTACGCGGCGTCGGTGTCGGAGTTTCAGGAGGTGTCGTTTCACAACTACAGCAACACCTCGGAGTACTCTGACCGGTTGAAGTACTTTGTGGGGGCGGCAGAGATAGCATTGGCCATGAGTGGCTTTCCTCGGACTATTTCGTTGATCGGACTTCAGGCCTCGGTGATTCTTCACTCGGTGGTGCGGAATGATTGCCGCTCTGACGACTGTGGTTCCATAGGTACCTTGGTACGGTTGGCCCAGTTGATCGAACTCCACAGAGATCCGTTGAAATACCATAGAATAGAAGACAAAAACGAAGCTCAGCTCAAAAGACTTCTTTGGTGGCAGATCTACTATCTTGATACAACCACCGCGATCTCTTCTCACTTACCTCCGATTATTACGGAGAACGAGTACGATACGCTACTTCCCAATGAGTACTACTTGGACCACAACGACAAGTTCAAGCTTGACCAGTCGCTTGCGTTTGCAAACGGGAAGTTTAGGTGGATTGAATGTTGTAACCGAATGTTAAGATTATCGTTTAGTCTTCGTGCTCCAGATTCAACTGCCATTCAGAAGTTGGAGAAACACATAAGCGACTTGTCTATTCACTGTTCCTCATTGATTGAACGAATGTTGAGTCCCGCTAATATTAATCTTTCACAGGAAGCTTTTGTGAACTTCAGTGCGTCAGTGGTTTCGACCTTGCCTGACAGGTGTAATATTCTTTTGCAGGTACTTTTCACTGCGAAAGACGAACCTCCGCAATCCAAACCTGAAATCTCGTCCGTGTCAAAAGACAGCATTCCTGCAACTTCTCGTATGGTAGACATCCAAGTGCACTTGTTACGAGAGTTCATTCACCATGGCTTGATGCCCCAGAATATTCTCTATTTGTGGGAAGTCCGCAAATTCCAGCCTATTCAAACTCTCCTTTCCTTGCTCAGAAACTTACTTCTTGATATCAAGCAAATCAACGCCCATAACACGCTACCTAGTGTCAAGATGTTAAGAAACGACAAAAGAGTGAAGTGCATCGAAGATGCTGTGAGTAACCTTCTGTACTTATCGAAGAATACCACCAAATTGTGTGAAGAGAGATGGAAGTTTTTAATCGACATGAAGCAATCAATTTGGAATATCATCTACGGCGAGACCGAGGTGGATTCCTTATACTTCTCATCAACTCCTTCTGAAAATGTGTTCTCGGAAACAAGTCTCAATAATGGTGCTCTGCCTGCGTACTGGGAAAAATTCAACGAGGAAATCAATGATTTCCAACAACTCATAGAGGATAACTTGAGTGTGAAGCTCTGGGATGAGTCCTCAGGCCATTTTTTTCTTTAAGTGTGTGTATACTAAATAGTGTAAATTATATGTAGCGATAACTTTTCGCAGCCATTATATTCTTCCTGATTAGCTACTATTTTTTTAGTGGGGCTATTGAGGTGAAAAAATCACTATTAGAATACTGTTGATGTCTAGTTGTCAATTACGTTTTCAAAAGCACATAAGAGCAGTTCCAAGGGAGTTAAAAAAAGATAATGAATGAGGCGAGATTCGAACTCGCGCGACTTTACGTCAACAGGACTTGAATCTGCCGCCTTAACCACTCGGCCACCCATCCATTAACTGCCTCAAAAAAAGGCCCATTTCCTGATGTTCACTAAAAGTACCCTATTACCACTTCTAGCGTTCAATGTCGTCTATCAGACTCAATATTATTCCCGTCTTCCTTGAATGAGTTTGTCCAAAGATGATTGAAATAAATGAGTTCTTTACAAGAAAAGAACATACCAAGAGGGTTCTGCGAGTCTCACACAACTGTGCGCATTCGTTTATATAGTCTATGAAGCCACATACTCGGGGTGCTGGTCAATTAACTGCTGGATGGTGTCGATAACCGACTGTTTCAAGCTGATGAAAGGACCTACAAGAGACCTGGTTTTTTCGTTTTGAATCTGAGGCAAATTACCGTACTCCGCAACCTTTGAAGCATCTCCCTTAGGGAGATAACTGAGTTGTGGGAAGTTTGCACGAATGATATCAACCAACCTCTGGGTGTTGAACTTGACATCATACATATACAAACGAAGCTTGGTGAGCTCGGTTTCAAAAGCGAAGATATGAGCTTTTGCAACGTCTCTCACATCGATGAAGGCTCCCGCCAGCGGAGGAAGTGGATCATCACTGTTCAACTTGATAAGTTTTCCCACAAAGTTGGCGCTGTGGTTCAATGGAAGTTTGGCATTGGAAGCAACTGCTTGTGGACCAAACACAAAAGTAGGGTGCACCACGTTGAAGGTGAAATTAGGCTTTTCCTTCTCCACAAAGTCCCATACGGCCCTCTCAGCGAACGTCTTGGAGATCTTGTATCCCATCAAACCAGTGGCACCGTCATTTCTACCGAGATTACACCACGATTCTTCAGTGACCACCGAGTCCTTTCCATCTGTGGGAGAGACGATAGCGGCATTGGAGGACGTAAACACGAATCTCTTCACTAGCGGGGCATACTTCTTTACAGCCTCAAGGGCATTCAAAGTTCCGGCAATGGCAGGAACAATAATGACGTTTTCGATATCGTCACTCTCCAAGATGAGTGGGGAGGCATTATGGAAGAAACCCACGATATCATGGTGTTTCTGCAACGCCTTATCAAATGCTCCTGGCTCAGCGATGTCGGGAACCACTTCATATTCAAGGGGTGGGAAGCTTTTCTTCAATTCTTGGCCCTTTTCTTCGGATCTAACGGTACCCACCACTGAGTAACCTTTTTCAAGCAACTGAGCCAACAAATGCTGGGCGATATACCCATTGACACCGGTAATGAAGACTTTAGACATTATAGCGGTTGAGAAAAAAAGTGAGTTGAATCGTCGAATATCCGCAATCAAATGCGGAAAGTGTCCTCCGCAGTCTTGCTGCAAAAACATCGAGCCCGGTAGAGTGGGCGTGTGCAGCCCAACCTCTGTTCACACATATATTCACGATAATGTATTACATATTAAACGAAGACACCTACGTGGATTTAGCGGGCGCAGACAAGTCGACTTCGGTGGTATCTGGATCAGCCACTGTTGGCTCCGGCACGTCAGCTTCAGCCTCTGTCTCTGCCTCTTTCACAACATCCTGGTCGCTCTCAGCCTTATTTTCCTCATCCGTGACAACCCCAGTGTTGGTGGTTTTAAGAGCTGGAGAAACGTCTATGTCGAACAAGGCTCCCGTCAACACATTGTTTCCACCCGCTACCAATGTCTTGGTTTTGGCTGCTGGAATCACCACGTAGAGAATCGTCAATGCCAACGACGCAATCGACAACAACCACGACAAAACGGCAAACGCCAACAACGCCTTTCCATTATGACAAGCCTTCCGATAATCGTGGAGTATTGAGTGATAGTACCCATAGTCACCAATATCACAGGAAATTGACCCATACTGGGCGTCAGCAATGCTTGCAAACGATGCCAACCAGAGAATGAACAAAACCGACTCACTTACCAACAACGAAATGGTGGGTAAAAGAGGATACACTTTAGGGATCACCGTGAGAGCGATATATATCAAGGTCAAGACGGCAGTGGCAATACAAAGCCCAGCTCTACCGGAAGTGAAACTGGTGGAGGCCAAGGCCGCCCCACATCCCAATACAATAATACTGAACAACAATTGGGTGGCCCTGACGCCAAGGGTCACACGCCCTTTCAAAGTAGAAAACAAACCAAGCATCGTTGAAGTTAAAACAAAAATTTTGGGAGGAAACAACCCCCCGTTTAAATACACTTTCTGGTTGTCAACAATTGGCTCGGGCCAAGGAAAACAGACACAGACACATGCAAAACCATAATATGAGAGCGTGTCTACCGCTAATCCTTCTACTGAAAAGAGTCGTAAGTGAAATGCCAAAGTGCCACATCAACTATCTATCGGCGGGGTATGGGGTTTGTGGCTGGAAGGCCTGACGAGGCTGATCATGTCGGTCGCATACAGCCAACCCACTTACTGGGAGTAGATCATTGCCGCCTCTCACGATAATTGCTCTGGGTTGATGATTAGTCATTCACATCTCAAAGGGACGATCAAAGTTCGTAAATAAGAGGCTTTCGTGCAAAAAGTCAATTGCGTGTCCCTGGTCGACCGCTTCTATTGTTTATCTGCAACAAGCCCCCAAAATAGACGAATTAAAGGTGGGCCACGCCACTCCCACATGCAGGTTGTTTTGCTTAGCTGCCCCAGCCGCTCAGGGGAAGACCCTGGGATTCGTACCAATTGTACCCCGAGCAGGCCCAGTCCTTTCAGGATGGCCAGAACCCCTCCTAATCCCATACCATAACTGTCTTCAAATCCCATGTTTCGATTTTTCAATATCGCTGGAAGTGTTCCCTATACATATCGCCATAAGTATTCCTAATACGTGCTGCATAAATATCGTAGAGTGAAATTATGTAATTACATGTTCTGAAAAGATAAATCCGCTTTATGAAAACCAAGCATTCCAAAATATCAGTTAGTTCTTTCCTTTACTAGTTTATTGTATTTCTTTCTCCGTTGTCATAGTAAACCTTTTGGTATCCTGAAGATACTAACGTCTTCCATGATCCTTTGACAAGAATGAGGTTTTGAAGTGGTCTGGCATTCCCAAATCGGTTGCTTCTCTGAAAGACACGAAAGTGTTCAAAGAGTCCCGAAGTTTTGCTCTTGACTGTCATGGACTTCATCGTGAAAACTGCTGTTGAAATATTTGTATACACGTATGTCTGACGCCTTAGAGTTTACTAATCTGGATCAATCTCCTACTTATCCTTCTAGTTACTGAAAATACTGGCTTCGGTAAAAGCCCAAATAGACAAAAGGTGGGCCAAGCAATTCCCACATACAGGTTGTTTTCTTAAAAGCATCTTCTGCTCCGGTTGTTTAAGAGAACTCCTTGAATTATACCCAGCCGTATTTTTTCATATTCATCCTGAAGGCAGGTCGCTAATTTATTGTCAAACTGTACAATTTCCAGCACATTTATCCTCAGACTTTTGACGCATTTTCTCGATATGCATAAACGAATGTACGAGAAAGGGCTTCAACTTGAAGTGTTTTACATTCGTACATACAGGGAAAATAGCAGTAATGAATCCACTGCCTTTTGATGTCAGTCAAATATTCAAGGATGTCCATAGAGTATGCTGTATTAGTGTTTGATTTCGTATTCTTTCAACTATGATTGTAACATTTGGAAGGAGGCCATCAACCCTGTGAATCTTCGCTTTGCACTCTAAAACACAAATCCCCCCACTTTTGAAAAAACGCATGAGGAGAGAAGATGAATTCCAGTGGTTTTCTCGATTTTCAAAACACCAGCCACCACCCCATGAAAACTGGAAAAGAACTAAAATGTATACCACCTGGGCCGTTTAGTATTCCTTTTCTGTGTACTCTCGCTGCTGAATAGTTCCTATTATTGTAACAGGATTTCAACTTCCTGTTCAGGTAATTACAGAAAAAAATACTGGTGTATATTTCTAAAACTCTTCGAACTGGAGCTCAAACTCCTGGCACGTCCCATCGGACAACACAATATCCTTCTGATCATTAGTGCCGTCAACACACCACTTAAACACGTTGTTGTACCCTACTTTTCCATCTTTCACGTTGAATTGATTTTTTGTGTTTTTACTGCGATTGCACTTGAGAGCATTGTCTTCCACAAAACACGTTCCTTTGCTCGACAAAAGGTTGTAACCACCAAACTCAGCTTTCTTAACCCTGAAGGTAGCACACGTTCCTTTGGTGAAAAACTTTCCACTCGAAATGGCACATCCGTTTCCTATCTTCAAGTATCCTGTGGGTAAGTCTGAAGGATGTTTAGGAGGTGGTGGAATATGCCCAAGAGATCCTTTGGGAAAGAATTTGATGCCAGTCTCAGGACATCTCGAAGACTGCGATGCATCAATGGGCACAAACTGCTCGCCCGTCAAAGGGCCTTGTAAGTGGTGGTAGTACCACACCTCCTGAAGACCATTGTACTTGTTACAGTGGAAGTACACCTTTTTGCCACCAAAGTTCTTGTCTAATGCCGACTGAATCTCGCTCTTGGTGTATGTCTTGTCGTTGGATGGAACAATGCCTTCGGCTGCCAAAAACTGGAAAGTGTCGAGCTTTTTGTACAACTCGACCGTGACTCTAAAGTAATCATACACATTTTGGTGTGGCTTGTAGCTGGAATAGCAATTGGGCTTGATGGTATTAACACAGGTTCCATGTTTGTTGAACTCGTGCTCCCACAAACTCTCGTCATGGCCGTTGAAGTTCTTCCAGTATTCCTCTAAGTCTGACAACAATGCTGGGTCAAACAGCGATAAGATCTCCTTGGGGTTATGGACCTCGAGTGATGGGTCACAGAACTGGTCGTAGGTGTTGTCGGCCGAGCAGCGGTTGGGCCACAACCCGTGGAGAGTGAAAGTCTCGTTTCCACCAATTGGTGGGTAGTAATCCCAGAATTGCGTGAGTAAAAGGATGCCGCCAGGGCTTTCGAAACAACAAGAGTTTTCAATGGGAGTGGAATTTGTGCACGTCGCAGGCACAAACGGACAACTGTTGGTAGTCCCCAAGTCATCTGGAGCCCCGAAGAACACGGAGCCGAGAGTGCTGAAGCCTATAAGTGGATTAATTAACATGGGACAAAAGAATGTAGTCAGCGAAAATGACTTTATCTTATCGCGCGCGTGGAGCGGCTGGTTTATAAATCGTCTAATCTGCCCCCGACACCCAGCAAAGTCTACGGTTGGTCCGTTGAGGAATTGTTTATTAATTTATAATATACCTTTAACCCAATCAAAGATAAGTCAAGTCATTAAGTCATTATGCAGTTGATGCAAGGAGAACAACAAAAATCAAGCAGTACAAAAAACGCAAAGGTAGCCTAATATCTGTAGATATCAGCCTTGAAAGGACCTTCCACCGCAATATCCAAGTATTCGGCTTGGACCTTGCTCAAGGCAGATAATCTGACTCCCAAGTGATCCAAGTGCAATCTGGCGACGGTTTCGTCCAAGATCTTTGGCAACAAGTGGACACCAACATCGAAGTCACCAGCCTTGGCAAATTCTGGGTACTTGCTTCTGAATTCGAGGTTCTTGGAGTTGAACAAAGCGATTTGAGCCAACACCTGGTTGGAGAAAGAACAGGACATCACGAACGAGGAGTGACCAGTGGCACATCCCAAGTTGACCAATCTACCTTCGGCCAACAAGATCACGTGTCTACCGTTCTTCAACAAGAATCTGTCGACTTGAGGCTTGATGTTCACCACCGATTCGGCATTGGCCTTCAACCAGGCCACATCGATTTCAATGTCAAAGTGACCAATGTTACAAACAATGGCATCATTTGGCATCTTGGAGAAGTGTTCTCCTGTGATGATATCTCTACAACCGGTGGTGGTGACAAAGATTTGTCCCACAGACGCAACCTCTTCCATTGGTAACACCTCGTAACCCGAAACAGCAGCTTGCAAAGCGTTGATAGGGTCGATTTCGGTGACAATCACCTTGGCTCCCATTCCTCTCAAGGCCATGGCACAACCCTTACCAACATCACCGAAACCAGCAACCACAGCGGTCTTACCGGCAATCATAACGTCGGTGGCTCTCTTAATACCATCGATAAGAGATTCTCTGCATCCGTACAAGTTGTCGAACTTGGACTTGGTGACCGAGTCGTTAACGTTGATGGCTGGGACCTTCAAGTCTCCTTCCTTCAACATCTTGTATAAGTGGTGAACACCGGTGGTGGTTTCCTCAGACAATCCGAAACAGCCTTCCAACATTTCAGGGTACTTCTTGTGGACCAAAGAGGTCAAGTCTCCACCATCATCCAAGATCAAGTTCAACTTCTTGTTGTCCTTGAAAGCGAACAATTGCTGGTCAAGACACCACAAGTATTCTTCTTCAGTTTCTCCCTTCCAAGCAAACACTGGGACACCAGAAGCAGCAATGGCAGCAGCAGCGTGGTCCTGGGTGGAGAAAATGTTACAGGAAGTCCAGGTGACCTCGGCCCCCAAAGCTGTCAAAGTTTCGATCAAAACAGCGGTTTGGATGGTCATGTGCAAACAACCGGCGATTCTAGCACCTTTTAAAGGTTGGTCTTGGCCGTACTTTTTTCTGATGTGCATCAAACCAGGCATTTCGTTTTCGGACAATTCGATGTCCTTTCTGCCGAAGGCGGCCAAGGAGATGTCGGCGACTTTGTAGTTAAGAGCTGGAGCAGACATGATATAAGTTATTTAAAGAAAAACTTGGTGGTAGAAAAAAAGAGACTTAGATCGCACTTTATATGAAGAACGTTGGGAAAATTTTTCACCACCTTTGTGTAAGTAATAAACGAGCAGACCGAGAAACGACAAACGAGCCTCGACACGGGTGCAAAATTTATGGGGATCGTTTTATTATCGTAAACCATTATAATATACAAAGACTGGGCCTTAGATCTCGAACTTCAACCAGTCGAGGTCTTGGGGTAAATTGTCTTGGTTAATGAACGTCTTGGACGAAAGGTCCATTCGGGGGTTCATGGCAATGGGGGACTCGCTAATAAGGGAGTTGTGTCTATTGGAGCTGAAAGAGCTTTGTGACGTCACCGAACTGGTCTCTATATGTACATTGGAGTTTCTGTGTTTTTGGGAGAACAGGAGCTGTGACGGAGGTGCTTGGGGGATGGGGCCAACTGGTTTATCAAAAAAGCTGGGGTGGGCCATCATATTAAGGGAATTAGAATTGGAGCTTACAAATGAGTTGCGTTTGGGGATTGAGCTGACGATTTTGCGGGCATTGAACGAGTTGGAGACGGAGCTGGGGTACTGTAACGACTGTAACGACGTGGCAGATGGTCTCCGGCTAGCACTGCCAATGTTCATGTTGATATCTGACTTCTTCCGTTTGAACGACTGGCTGTGCTCAGGGTTGATAGTAAATGGGGATGCTGGACTGTTGGGGATGGATCCGGGGGTTCTATTAGGAATGGGGATGGATTTGGAGTCGTTGAACGACGGTTTGGGCAAGATCAACACATTTCGGGGCCGCGAGCCGGGGATCGAGGTGGAAGAAGTGACACTTCCTGGGGTATTAGCGTTGTTCTCGTCCGAGTTGGCGTCGATGGGCGAGCTGTAGTTGGAGTGTGCAACCCCCACACTGATTCTGGATCTGTCGGCCGAAACCATGGTGCTGTTGAGAGAGTTGGGCAAAGAACTCGAGAGCTTGGTGGAGCTGGCTGATTTTCTGGACGACCGCTTTTTTATCACGTCGGTCTTCAAGCTGAGTGGCCGCATGGTGCCATGAAGCTTGAGGAACAACCCACAGGCATTGCACAAGGTCTTACCGTCGGGGTCTTTACGCCATAACGGCGTTTTCACCGTGTGACAGTTGTGACACTCGATGAGCTTGTCAGAGGGCATTTTGTGCTGCGACAACGACATGGTCAAGTTGGACTTGGGTGCGAGCTTGGTAAACGACTTTTGTCTCAAGGAGTTGGTGTTGGCGTTGGCGGGAGACGAAAATGTCTCGATGTTATTATTACCGCAATACGGACCTTTGGGGGTCAAAGCACTTATTTGAACGGGGGAAATCGTGGTGGTGGCCTCCCGCTTTATCTTCCCGGTTACCGTCATCGACTGCAACAGGTGAGTGTGGGGTGGCGAGTAGTCGTTGATGCTCGCAGGGGTTATGTCCATAATCGAATTTATGGCAGCAGACTTGACTCCCGTGTGGCCATTGCCATTACCGGAAAAACCAGGCTTTTCGGGATAGTCCACTGACAAAGGACTCAAGAGATCAAGCACATTGTGAAAACTGCTGGCGCCCATGTCGGTTTCTGTTTCAATAGGTCCATAACCTTCAGGAGAAGAATCAATGTTCAACCGGGTGATCAGGCGGGCGTTTTCCTTTCTAAGATGGCGATTTTCCATCCGTGCTTGGAGCGATAACAACTTTTTGGCCGAGTTGTACAACTGGTATATCGAAGGACTGTCGAAATCCTTTTGGGTCATATTGAGTGTTTTGTCGCTTAGTTGTTGGAAGAAGGATTTTTTGACGAGCAGGAGGGTTTATGCAAGGATCCAGCGCTATTGTGGACGTTATTATATGAATGGACAAGCCTATTGAAGATGGGATTTGATGTCTCAAGTAGTAAAATTAGTCCACCTGGTAACAAATTGACTCTTAAAATGTCTTCAAAAAATTTCGCAAAAAACGAGTGAGCAGACAATGGGTTACACAAAACGCCGCCCACACGGACTTAACTCGATTACCGTATCGGGCAGGCTGTGCCGCGGCCGCCGCCGATGTCTATCTAGGCTGTACTGTGCATTATCTATTAGTCGTTACGTTACAGGTGGGCAGGGGCCGACTCTGGGTGAGTGGCTGGAACAAGCCCGGCCTCAGGGAGGTCCGTGGTGGCAGACACCGTCTCCCGGCGCCGGTGCCGACCACCATTATGGTGATTTATGCTACTGGAATTGTTGCTGAGGGTGCTCGCATCGGTATTATAATCAGCATGAAGTCGGTACTTATAGGTGACACCCTTGATGCGGTCCGACGTGTTGGCACCGTGGACGGCCGCCACGTCGATGGCCCCAGGCCCACCGCTGGCCAATATCATGTCACATTCTCGAATCACTCGCAATATCGCATCGCACACAATACGCTTTACAGGAACATTGGTCTTTTTAAACCCATTACCACCACCAGCCGGGGTCCGTGATACAAGGTTGGCGTTCCACACGCTGATGATGTCCTCATCACGACGAATACTCACCACCACGCCGTTGATATCGGAAAAGGCCACCTTTACCACGTCCTCCGCCGTGTCGTCTCCCGTCAGAAGCGATCCAGTAACAAAGCTAAGCACCAATCTCTCCCAGATCAAACTCGTACGGGCCCGCACGGTGGCGTCATCGTCCACATCGCCCCCGGCACCGTCGCTGTCGCTACTGGCACTTTTGCGAGGGAATTTAAATACCCACCGACCGCCTCGAGAATTGAAAGGGTCCTCCCACATCGGCGGGATGCCTGCTTTAAACATGAAATATTCGGTACCAATCTCCAGGTCTTTGGGTGTAACAAGGTGGCTGAAGCTGGTCCATAACTGCTCGACACTCGCCACGTACTTGGTGGTAGCATCGGCACCAGACCCGCCATAAATAGGAAACTCGAGCTCTTGCGTCCGCAGCAAGTAGTTTTTACCGTCCCTCTGCTTGGGCTGGCTGTACCGAGCATGGTGCCAGAATGTCCAGCAGTACGGAACAATGTGGAGGTGGCCCACGGCCACCTCTGCCTCCACCACGGCCGAAGGCACCTTCATGGCGTCGTGATTCATCAACTCCTGGCGATGACGGTTTCTTCCGTAGTTATGGTTGTTGTTGTGACTGTGGTTGTGGTTGTGGTGATTGGGGCCAACAGCGTGGTTCTGGCCGTCGCGGGTATCGCCGTGGCCCCGGCTCCGGTCGCGGTTGTCCCTGTGAATGTCTTTGTGGTTGTCTCTGTGATGGTGGGGGGTTTCTCTCAGTCTAACAGCGGAACGGAACGGGGTGGGTTCTTTGGCGTTTTGGTTCATGATCCGGTTGAACAAAGACTCCGCTCTCTTCAAGTTCTCCGACATCGTGTGATTGGGTAGAACTGTTCCGTGGGTTAGGGCTGGGGGAAGGTGGTGCTCGGGGTTTTGGCAGTGGTATTATGGTAAAAATTTTCAGTTGGTTTGGCCGCGAATGCGAATACTAACGTGCGAGGCAAAAGAAGGGAACGAAGTCTCTGTAAGGAATGAGGTGTCTGTATTATGAGATGATATCTCTATATAATTACCTTTCCCTTCGTCTTAAAGGAAGACACTACACTTGGCTGAATCTTGGTGATCTTGTTTATAATAAATACTCAATATACTCATTGTTTGGCATAGTAGTGCAAATAGGCTCCCAAGGTCTTGCACCCATTAATGTAATTGGACATATCCAACTTCTCATTGATCGAATGGGCCCCGTCATCTCCCCGTCCCATGGGCAACAACAAGACGTCCTTTCCGAGCTCTTGTTCGAACGACAAGGTGATGGGAATCGAGCCTCCTTCTCGAGTGAAGTCCGGCTCAATGTTCCACACATCGACAGTAGCCTTGGCTGCTGCCGTGAAATTATCATTGAATGGGTTGGACACCCAGTAGTTCCCGTCGTGGATCAACTGGGCCTTCAAGGTATTAACAGAACCCAACTTGGCAAACTGTTCGTTACAAAAGTCAACCACCAACTGGTCCAACTTACGAGGCTCGATGTTTGGCACCGTTCTGATCGAGAACTTACCCGACACACGCGCAGGGATGACGGTCTTGGCTCCCGGAGCAGAGAACCCCCCTTCGATCCCGTGTAACGACAAGGATGGGTATCTCCATCTGTGCTTCAAAGCATCTTTCTTGTTGTCGTGCAACGAGATCTTGGCTCCCGTGGCGTCGTTCAAGTCGTCGATCAGGTAGTCGATTGGATCATATAACTTGTCTTCCTCGTCGGTCAAGGGGGCCACCATCTCGGCGATGCCGGGGATTTGGATGCGTCCTTGCGAATCCACCAACAGGCCCATTACCTTCACCAAGTCGGTCATAGGCTCTCCCACCATTCCTCCAAAGATCCCCGAGTGCAAGTCGGCCGCCGGACCCAGGACAACGATTTCGTAGTAATGAACCCCCCGCAAACCATACGTCAACACTGGTTTTCTGGTGCCCAACCAATAATTGTCAGAAATGCAGGTGGCATCGACAGTAGAAAAATACTTCTTGGCCTCCTGGGCAATCAACTCAGGCAACCCCACGGAGCCACTCTCCTCCATTCCCTCGAAGCAGCACACGATGTTGACAGGCAACTCCCATCCCAACTGGCGGTGGGCTTCGATCACGTTAAGCCAGCCCATCACCGGGCCCTTGTCGTCGGTGGAACCACGGCCGTACAAAATGTCCTTGACGGTATCGTGGGTCAACACAAACGGGTCAGTGTTCCACCCGTCCTCGATCAACGCTGGTTGTACGTCGTAGTGGCCATAAATAAGCACCGTCTTCTTGGAGGAATCAGCACCACTCCGTGCCAACACCACCGGTGGCAATGGCAACTTGGGGTCGTTCACTGGGGGTGGTTGGATACCCAAGTCCTTCTTTTGGATGTCGACAAAGCCCAATGCTGTCAACTCATCCACCAAAAAATCGGCCATTTTGGCCACCTCTGGTCTCAAGGTTTCGTCCGCAGAAACAGACTTGATGGCAACAGCCCGGGTTAATCTATCAATGAAGCGAGGCTTCAACTCCTCGATCTTGTCGAACAATGGTTCTAAGGGTAACTTGTCGTGGGTCATCTTGTGGTGGGAAAAAGACTAAAAAATTCTGGTAGCTTTAGGATTCTCCCTAGCCGTTTGAATTGATGGCTGCGATGCAAATGCCGCGACTTGTGCCCGCGACAAATTCGCAGGGAAATTGAAAACGACCCCACATGAGTACCAACAGCAGCAGCAGCAGTGAGGATGAGCTCCAGGGCTTGGTGGGGCCGTCGTTCCGCCCCGCCACGTCCTTTGCCCTGAACAGTGGTGCCTCCACCGACGTCGACACAGAAGATGTTTCCTTGGATTCGGTCCTAATAGTACCTCCACAAACCAGCCTAAGGCGACAACAACTTGCCCAACGTGACCGAGAGATCAAGGCCGGCTTGGACGAAAAGTCCCGTGTTCTGGACGCCCGGAGGGCCAAGATTCGCAAGTTGAAGCACCAGCTTTTGGTCGAATTGAGACATGACGGTACTGTCTCATCCTCTACCAGAAAATCATACTACACCAAACTCGCAGATCGGTTGGTGGCCGAAAGCACGGACCCTCAATCATACACACGGCGGTTCTACTTGTTTGATTGCATCCGTGACACGCCTCTGCCGTGTCCGGCACCGTTTGCAGACCCGGTTTGCTTTTTATCGGCGTTTGTGGCGTCCCCGACGCCATTTTCAGGACTCACGTCAGTGCCAGATCTTCAAAGAATCGACCAGTACCTAACCAGCATGTTGAACGAGGGCGTGGTGCTGTTCAATGGCGGGCTTGAGTGGGATTTTCTGGACTTGGGGGTAATTGGGGGTCTGGTGAAAGGGCCTCTCACATTTAAATTAAATCACGTCAACCCTAGTTCCGACGTGAACCTCTACCGAGTGTCCATCTTCATCAGGTTGTGTATTCTTGAGAAGAAGTTGGATGATCTGTCAGTTCCCCTGTTGTACAAGCTCTTTTTCCTCACGTTGTGCGATGCCAACTTGGTGGCAGACCACTATCCAAAACTAATCAGTTGTGCTTCGCTTTTGGATTACATGTATAGCCAGTATCCGTTGGACATCACCAAGCTCCTCACCGGTCTTATCAATGTCCGGTTCTACAATCACAAGAAGAAGATACCCATTCAGAAACAAGCGTATGAAATGTGGTACATCATTCTCAACATCACCAACACGGCTCTTAGGCTGGGTGACTACTCCGTGGGTAATAGTATTGCTCATGCCACGCGTCACTTTCTAGAGTTTACGTCGTTGAGGCAGTTTTCGGGGGATGTTGCTCGACTTGCTGCACAAGAGCATCCTGAGAATATGCTTGAAAATGTTGATGTCATCAACCAATTCCACAAACTCCACTATAAGCTCCGGCTTCTTAACTTTATTATAGATTACGACTTCCAGGTGCTGGAACTAAAGCAGGTCAGTGCCGATTTTTTGGCTGCGAAAAATGCATACCATAATCTTCTAGGGACTATCACGTTTTCCAAGTCCACAAGCGACCCGTTTAACCAGAGGGCGGTTATTTCTGAGCTCCTTGATGAGGATTACGTGCTTCTCGACTATTTCCACGTCAAGTTCAGTAAATACCATTCGTTCTTAGCAGGCGACCGGCTTTATCAATAGGCACCGTTTCATCACCGCTCATAAATGTACATAATTGCTCATCAATAAACACTTCAACATGCAGCTCTGATCGATGCCTGTGCCAGCACATTGAAATCCAGCTTATTCTAAGTCCATTCAATGCAAGCTTATACTAAATCCATTTAAATTGTCGCACACGGTTGGTCGCGCAAGTGCTAATTAAATACTGCCACTTGAGACGCATTTCTACCATGACTAGCCCTGTAACGTATACGAACCCCGAACTCGTCCAGGATACACGCCTTGGATGCACTGTCCAACTCCCACTTGGCTTTGGGCCCGTTCCTCCATCCCGCAAAAAGATATTCTACTTCGATATCGATAACTGTCTCTATCAAAGATCCACCAAAATCCACGATTTGATGCAATTGAAGATCCACGACTACTTCAAAACCCACTTGGAACTTGACGACAAAGACGCCCATGCTCTTCACATGAACTACTACCAGACATACGGGTTGGCATTGGAAGGGTTGGTGAGAAATCACAAGGTCGATGCGTTGAAGTACAACGAGCAGGTGGATGACTCATTAGACTTGAAATCGGTGTTGAGCTACAACCAGGAGTTGAGAAACATGTTGATTCGTATCAAGAAAACCCACCAGTTTGACTGTTTCTGGCTCCTCACAAATGCCTATAAGAACCATGCCTTACGGGTGGTTTCGTTCTTGGGAATTGGTGATTTGTTTGACGGCTTGACGTACTGTGACTACTCGGAGTCGCCCATTGTTTGCAAGCCCATGAAGTTGTACTTCGATAAGTGTTTGAGCATCACCGGTGTTGACAATAATGACTTGGACTTGGTATACTTTGTGGATGACAGTGAGATCAATGTCAAGGCCGCGTTGAAGTTGGGCTGGGGCCGGGTGTTCCACTTCATTGAAATAGATGCTGATTATGAGCGAATCTTGCAGCTGGACGACTTTGGTGAGTACTATAGCCAGGATAATAGTGACGGCCGCAAAATCACCATTCTTAGGAATATCTTGGAGTTGGAACTGGCATTGTGAAGGCTTAGAATTATAGACCCAGAAACTAGGGCCAGAAACCACAAGACTTGAACTAATGGCCCAGAAACTAAGGCGAGAAACTACAATACGTGCACTAATTGCACCCACAGTTCCAGTGTGCATCCATAGATTAGCTGGAAACCCAATCGACTCTCCTGCTGGCATATTTGTAGACTGAATAATATACTAGAAATACCCCTGGTTTCACCTGTCAGAGTACCCTGACCTCTTCATTATTCCACTGCTTGCCATCTGCCTCGCACCTGTTTCAAACTTATAGTACTCTACTATCTACTTACCTGGCTGCAAACTTCGCGATAAATTTTTCCAACTACACATGCCTTCTCCAGCCTACAAAGGAAGAGTCTTGTTCATCCACGGATACACACAGAACTCGCTGGTATTCTATGCCAAGACGTCTGCCTTGCGGAAGAAGCTCATCAAACTCGGATACAAATGCGTGTATTTGAACGGGCCTTGCAAGTTAACTCCTGCTGATTTACCATCCAGTGATGCCCTTAGTAAGTTCAGCTCCGTTGCTCCCACCGACTCCGAGGAAACTGGGTGCCGAAGCTGGTGGACTAAGTTGACCCAGCTGAATGACGGAGTCCTCTTGGAGGACGCCATCTCTACCATCAAAGACTACATTAAAAATAACACGGTTATTGAAGATGATGATCTCAAACAAGATTTGACAGAAGACCACAAACTCCCAGTAATGGGGGTGGTGGGTTTCTCCCAGGGGGCGGCATTGGCTGGTGTTCTAATGAGCCAGTTCCACCACTTGTTGGGCCCGGGCTTGCAATTCGTCGTGTTATACTCGGGGTTTAAGTTGGATACCTCCAAGAAATCGGGAAACGAGCACTACGCCAAATACTTTCAGAACAAGAGAAACCCCCAAGACTCTTTCAAGGTGTTACATGTTCTTGGAGAACTTGACACGGTGGTCAGCGAGGATCGGTCGATGGCGTTGTACGAGTATGCAAAGGAGTACTCGACAATACTCAAACACCCTGGGGGCCATTTTGTGCCCAACTCGAAGTTGTATGTGGAGCATGTCACCAACTGGATATGCACCGATGAGAAGAAGGAGGAGAAAAAGGAGGATGATCTCGACGACTTGCTTGATATGATGGATAACATCGGCAGAGCCTAGTATATACTATAGAATTATATTTATAACTTTACGAGTTCTGACCCATATATATATATATATAATTAGCACAAGTGGCGCATACGCTTCTATAGCTCGTCATGTTCAAGTTCGGGTTGCTTCTTTTGCTTCCTGATCTTTTTGCCGAGTCTGTACCTCTCGTACGTTTCCTTCTCCTTGTTGGATAACTCACCTTCCAATGGTTGCACTCCAGACTTCTCCATGATCCATTTTGAAATCTTCAACTTGTCATTAAGCTTTCCTTCGTACCGCAAAACTGATTTTTCTTCTGTGTCGATTAACAAGAGAGCCGACTTGCCCATTTTCTCCAATGGCAATTCCACCTCTTTGTCTCCAATAGACACCTTTGCATCAGTCGGTTGCTCCTTGATGGTAAAGACCCCGAAACTCACGAGACCCAAGTAGTCCACTGCCAAGGACTTGTACATGGCACTCAAGGCACTAACTTCGGTCACCAATAGCACTCTTTTGGTGGAATTGCCCTTGTTGAGCCAAGTGCTCACCTGTTCAAACAGGTGTACCCGTTTGACATAATTTTTGATCCGGCTGGCGAGGAAGTCCACAATCGGCTTGAACAGTCTCTGGCCAGTATACACCTCCGATACATGTTTTGTGACGGTAGGCTTGGTGGCGTCATACTTTGGTGGTCTGAACACTTTTAACGTGGGGAACCCAGTAACCTTCTCATCAGCACAGAGCTTTTTGTTATAGCCCTTGTCACAGTTCACGGCCGCCACGTGCACACTGTACCTCGCGTCGTTCTGAATGAACTTCCCCACCTTCTGGAACGTTGATTTCAACTGTTTACAATATCCACACCACGGAGCATAGAACTCGACAATCGTGGTGTAGTTGGATTTGTTGACCACCTTATCGAATGTGGCAGGTGTCAACTCGTAGATGTTCGGGTTCTTATCGTAGAACCCGTCGCTGGCTGCCAACACCGCCAAACACTGCCAAATAAAGAGTATGTACTTGTACAACACCATAGTTCCTAACAAATGATTTTCGCATTTCCAGCACATTCATCAAAGTAGCACCAATAACCGAAAAATTGTATTTATTGATTTATATTCCCTAGATATATACGCCCACGTAGTTGGACAACAAGATACTTCCGAACCCAATTGACAACGACGCGATGCTGGCACTCACCAAGTAACTCACATGAGACTTGTTCTTTAAATTGACCATCAAGGCCGTGGCCAACGACAAAAGAGTAAGGACCAATAACAACACCGTCACGAGCCCCAAGTTACGGTATACTATGCTTGGGTGGATTTCACTTGCCTCGTTGAGGAAAAGCGTATTGTACTGTTCGTACGAAGCACCGTATGACATTGTGGATGGGTTTGGCACAAAGAACACGTCTTGTTGAAGATTGAAAAATGACAAACGGTGCGCACTATTTCATCTCTCTCACAAATGGCAAGCTCAGGTTGGAACACCATAGACTCCGATGCAGTATGTTAAACACGAAACCTCCATCCCCCCACAAGTGTACTAACCATATAACAGGGTGTTTTCACCCGCTTGGTGGAAAAATTGAACGTCAAAGACGTACAATTCGAAGATTTATATTCGATTGATTCGGACTCGCTAAGGGCCCTCAGTCCCATCTATGGAGTGATTTTTCTTTTCAAGTATAGTGCCATTGACAGACAGTATGCCCTCGACAACAATGCGCCTTTGGCAGGTGAATACGACCAGGACTTCCAACAATACGATATATTCTTCGCCAACCAGACCATTCAAAATGCCTGTGCTACCCAAGCAGTGTTGAATATTCTTTTAAACCAAATACACGTTGATGTGGGAGAGGACTTAGCAAACTTCAAGTCTTTTGTGACGGGTTTCGACCCGTTGATGGCCGGAGAAACTATCAGTAACAGCGACTTGATCCGCTCGGTCCACAATTCGTTTCTGACCCCTTCCATCCTCGTCGACGAAGACCCATCCAAACCACCACCAGACAGTGACCACAAAAACGACGGGCTCTTCCATTTTGTTGGATACGTCAACGTGAACGGATATATCTACGAGCTCGATGGACTCAAGGATTTCCCCATCAGGCACTGTTCCTGTTCCAGTCAGGACGAATTTATCGACAAAATACCCCTGGTATTGATGGAGAGAATCAGCAAGTACAAAGACGAGTTGCGGTTTTCGACATTGGTGATCACCAATAATAAGCTTAAGCAATACAAGGAGATTGGAGATTCTTTCATGGTGGAGTCGGAGATTAATAAAAGAGATTTATGGGATCGTGAGATAGAGCTCAGAAAGCATGACTACACGAATCTCTTTGTCAAAATCGTCAAGGACATAAGCTCTAAGAGCTCTGACCAGGACTGGCATGTGCTTCTCGACAAGGCACGTCAGAAGAGCAAGCGCAGGCTAATGTAATCTTGGTGTACACTGTGCTATTCTACTGATCTAATTTTAATGCTATACATGGTAGCGTATACCATGAGTATTTAATGAGTACTAATATAAGGAGTATTGGTGATACATTTATCTATTCATAATTGTTAAAGCTGAGAAGCCCTCCTCCACCTCTCGAGTGTCTTGAGAAATAGTCAAAGTCGATGCTTACAGCGTTACCAAGTAGAACCGCCCGCTGGTCGAGCGTCAAAGGACCTGCTACTGAAGGGTACAATCCACCCATCCCATCAAAACTAGCAGGATCCATCCGAATGATGTACACACCAGTATCGGTGAAAAGCTCTCTTCCCAATCCAACCCAATTTCTGTCCACAGACGCAATCACGTCGCCATCCGCGTTAGAGACAGGGAAATCAAACGACAAGAACGGGGCATCAATGGCCCCAAACTGGTTGTATTCATCGGTGACATCGTCGTCGAGCTTGAACAAATTGTACCTCCGTCTCCACAAATGCCAACTTTGAACCGACTCGCCTATCGACTCTAGTTCCATTTCACCGTGGGAATTAACACCCGGCAAATACGCTTTTATATGACTGTTGATAAACGAAAACGGCCGTTTTATCACCATCAACAAGTCTCCATAGTTGTTAAATACCTCAATGTCAAAAGGTCTATGTAACCGGAAAAACTGTCTGCCCAACATCTTGAAGATCCCCAAATCCTTCTCTTGCATGAACCCAATCTGCTCGCCCATGGCGTTCATTATCTTGTACCGATTGGCCTGTTCGAATCCTAAAAAGAGGTTCATCATCTCAACTTTTCTCTCAATCACCAAAGTAGGTTCTTTAAGGATATCATAGATCCCATCGTGGACAGTAATGAGGCCATTTTCATTGGGTGGCCTGCTAAACACACTGTAGCGAGAATTGGGATCTGATGATGGTTCATCCTGGTAATAAAACTGTTTGGCACCTGAAGGCTTCAGTCTTGAGTTGTAGTATTTGGTGACCTCATCCTCCGGAATTTCTTTCGCTTTACGCACACGTTCACGAGGACGCCACCTTATAGGAGTGGTGGTCAAGAGCCTGGTAGGAGCATGGCCATAGGCAAATTTATTGATGTGTATTAATTGCCTTCTTATCATTTGCCATCTAATGGATGAGCGCGAATGAGTTTGTCAGGCGAGGTCGCACCGCTGGCACCGCCAGACCGAAACTCTCGCCGGGTGAATGGATCTCTCGATGACTCGCGCCCCCCACACTCTGGTGACTACGTCCAGTCCAATACTATGTTTAATAAATATACCTAGTCTAATTTTTTGTTGCCCAGAGTCAAACTGGGAATAGGGGTGTCGCCGCTCAATACTCCCTTCATGAACTCGTAAACAGTAAAGGTAACAGCTTGTCCCGGAGCCACTCTCATGATTCTAGGAGTGATTCCCTTATACAAAGCAGCCATACCTTCTTCATGCACCAATTGCTTTCCAATCTTGACGATTCTCACCATACCAGATTCGTTGGAAGCATACGTAGTCTTTTGTAATCTGGTTTTGATGGTGTCCAAAGGAGCGTTGGATAAAGGTCCCAAAGCCCCTGAAATCAACCCAATGCAACTAGTTTCCCACGCGGGCAACACGTCGGTTTGGTGGTATCCTTGCAAATATTCCTTGATTTTCGAGTACACCGTAAAATTGACTCCCTGGTTGGTGGCTTGTCTGGCAGCCGTCAATGACACTCCTCTGTACAAGGTCTTGAACCCTTCTTCCTTCACAATCACGTAGGCGGCGTGAGGGGCGTTTCTGTATTTAGGGATATCTAAGGGATCAGCCATTGAGTGGTGTTGCGCCTGCAATCTGATCTTCACCACCTCCATGGGGTTCACCACGAGAACAGCCTCGGTGATCCCAGCACCTACACCGGCCAAAAATGTCAGACTGGTGGAGATTGATCCATCTGGAGCGTAGAGTAATGACCGGTAGAATTCATAGGACGAGAATCTTAGTCCCATTTTAGGTACGATTCCAATGACAACCGCACCCAATCCCTTGTATAGACTCAAAAACGTCTCTTTCTGGACGATGTTGATTCCGGTTTTCAAAAATCCCGGGGGTTTCTGTCCACTTTTTCTGTACAACTGCATTCTGACCTTGACGGTATCCAATGGGTGACAGCATAACGCTTCGAACAATCCGGCAGTTCCACCGGCCACCAAGTCGGTGATCCCTCTTCCCTTGGTCTGGGGTTTTTGTGTGGCTGAAGACATGTCAATAAATAGTGAAAAAAAGTGTTTTTTAGTTTCGGAAGGACAGATGGGTATTTTATATATTTTTCATGCTCCCCCACAAAATTAACTTGCGTCTTTCCATTTCTCCGGGGTATCGCAGACAAATAGGAAACAATCAGATGCCTCGGAATTTGGCAAATCTGGGGTCACGGCTCCGGTCCGGAGTGACCTCTTAAGGTTTCATAGTCCGCTTGACCTTCGTTCAGCAACCTCTTCATCATCTGTTTACTGTTCATTAGTCATTTCGTGTAAACGCGGATGATTCATTTTCTTCTGTTGTCGCCGAAGAAAAGACTCCTATCGACCCTCACACGCCGGGATTACTGTCTGATCTGTTTGTTCGCGACATCATTGGCTCGAACTCCCGGATGCACAACGGTTACTGAAACGTCTATTCATGTGTCTATACCATAAACTCTATGTAGCTAAAGCCCGCAAACCTGGTGTCCAAAATTTGTCCGAGGCTTTCGATTAAGTCTTCGGCTGCAAACACAAACTGATTATCGTACAAAAGCATATTAAGATTCCTCAAGAGAAGCCATACTTTAAGAATCGACAACCCATCCTCTCGTGTCATCAGCTTGTCTTCCACAAGCCTGTCTTGAACAATGTCATAGCTTGGCTGTTAGTATGTTATTAGTGGTTGGTGGTGTTTGTGTACTACTACTCTTTCTTTATCTCTGGGAAAGCTTTGATGAAAGGGTATCTAAGCACCAAAAGGGCTTGTACAGTTTCTTTAAGGGCATGTTGCTGGAGTGGAGCAATTTCCCTACGGAGCCTTCTGTACTTTAAATACTCCATACGTGCTTGCATGAAGTTGGTTGCAACTGCGAATTTCACAAATGTTAAAATGTTTTAAACCTAAATAGCAATAGTCATAAAAAGTCGTAAAAAATCACCGCTTTTACTGCTTGTCAATTATGGCACTGACATGATCAACACCACTCTTGGCATCTTCTTCTTTCTTCAACTGGTTCAATCTTTTGGCCTCCAAGTGTACATCTTTCACATCCCCTGCCAAGTTCTTATAAAAGTCGTGTACCTTCGCACCATATGGGTTTTCTGCCAACTGCTCAAAGTACTTGTTGAATTTACCGTAAACCACCTTTCCTTGACCCACCAAGTCTCCCAACAACTTGGAAGACTTGCTTTCAGGGTTCTGCAAATGGATATATTTCTCGTCCAACGATTTAACAAACCCTTTGAAACGGGTGGAATATCCATGTTCCTTGTCGAACGAAATGGACTTTTCAATCATCTGATCACTGATTCCGTATCCTTGCGACAACAATTGCGCCATAATGGCATACTTGGGCTTTTCTTCCTGCTCAATGTCGTCGTAGTTATGATCTCCCGTGGCGGTGAATGACTTTTTCTCATCACTGGTGCCCACATCTTCAGGCTTCTTGTCAGGAACCTCCTCATACGTAGGTAACTTGTTTTCTTCAACCTTGATGGAACTGCCTTCTAATTCGGCGTCGTTCAACAATAAGGCAGTGGAAAGGGCTTTTTCACTCTTGAAATTTACCTCGTACTTGCCAGATCCAAGAGGATTGATGGATTTGACATCTCCACAGAAGGAGAAGAATTCTTGTAACTTCTCAACCGTTACAGTGGAAGGAATATTAGTAGCAATAATAGAAGACATAATAATTACAAAAACTGAAACTAAGCGTGGGGGGTTTTATTTATAGTGAATGTCCACAGTCAATTGCTGCGAATTTTGGTGACCGAATTTCATGTCATTATTATGTACATCATCTGATTAAAAACAAGGCTTGGAATCTTATATTACAACAAGGTTTGGCCCAAGGCACATCTACCGATTGCACACGCGGCACTGACGGTATCCAAGATGTGATCGCTGGTTTCTCCCAAAGAGGGGTTGGTTTCCACAATGTCTATCGAGCTCAACAACCCGGTGGCTGCGACTTCCTCAGCCACAAACAAACCTTCTCTCAACGTTAAACCTCCTTCCACTCTAGTTCCAGTGGCAGGCACAAAGCTTGGGTCAATGGCATCCACGTCATAACTCAAGTGAATGGGAAAGTCCATGTTGGGGTTGATTTTTTGCAAGGCCATCTCCACCACCTTCCCAATCCCGTACTTGTCAATGTGGTACATGGAGAAGGCTGGGATGTTGTGGTCCCGCAAGATCTTTTTTTCTCCCGAGTCCACGTCTCTTAATCCAATGTATGCAATGCGGTTGGATTTCAACACAGTAGGAATCCAGTCAAACTCAGGAGGGTAGCTTTCTCTGTCGATTCCCATCAAGAACGACACGGGACACCCGTGCAAGTTGCCGGACCCGGTAGTTTTGGGCGAGTTGATATCGGCATGGGCATCGATCCACAAAATGCATGTGTCCTCGTTGTTGGTTAAAGCTCCCAACAAAGTACCGGTTCCGATTGAGTGGTCACCTCCGATAGTTATGGGTAATCTTTGATTTTGTAAACTTGTGTGGACGGCAGCAAAGATTTTACGGTTGCAATCCAGGACGATTTTGGCGTTTTTGACCCCAAATGAGTCCTTTTCATCATTTTTGGCAGCTTCAAAATCGGTACCTTCCAAGGGATGAGTTATCTCGACGTCCCAGCCAAGGTCTTGAATCTGCTTGGCGAACCCGGAGTTCAAAATGTATTCTGGGCCTAATTCGACTCCTCCTTTTGGTTGTCCTCCGGAGAATGGAGCGGTGATGATGGTGGCCTTTTTGTGAGGGTGGTATTTGTATATGACTAGTGGTGTTAGTGGTTGGCTTGGGGTTTATGAAGCAGTGGGATACGTACCGTCAGACATAATAAGGGTAATTTGTACCACAGGGGTGGGAAACAGCGGTATTTATAAGTGTTTATCAGTGCTGGAGCTGTTTGTGTATGGCAACCAACCGCGACAAATGTGGATTTCGTGACACAAAGAGAGGGGCGATGGTGACACAAAGCTCCCGAAACGACGAGGTCGGTGCGATAGGCAAGTGACCGAGAGAAGAGCGCTGAGCCTGACTGCGAGGGGTGCTTATTGGTACCAATTCTGATACCAGGTGGGGTACAGTACTGTGGTGACGGCGGTGATTTGTGTGACTGGTATTAGACTGCTGCAGTTGTTTATAAAGATGTCGCGGCAGCCGATCGACTGCGCGATATGTCAATAGCTCATCGTCCATGTCATGGGGGGTACCATGACCCATGTCGCACAACACCAAAATGTCGGGGTCTCCGTCTCCTCAGCTATATGTTTGTTTTCTCTGAAAACCTTCGACTGATTCTCTGTCTATATCTCTATGTGTTCTCCTAGTGGGTGCCATTCTTCTGGTCCCACTTACGACCGTCTCCGCCCTCTATCGACCAATAAAGTTTAATAAATTAGGCCCTCGTGGTGTCGCATTCATGTTGGCAGCCGTTGGTTCCACGCGGTGGCCATGCCGCATACTAAACTGCGAAAATTCCCCCTACAATTTGTTCGTTCAACCCTAATAAACAGGTTATCCTGTGACTCGTCGACTCGTACCCCACTAGCGACGTAGCACCAACCCGTCACCCGAATTTTGACCCAAAATAACTGAGCCTACTCGATCATTGGATTTTTCAGTGGGTGTTTCTAATCCCAGGACCAGATTTGTTTACCGTTCCCCCGTGCTTCCCCACCCATTGTCGTCACTATTGGCTCTCTATAAGTGATACATAACCTCCACAAACTCTTCTTTCGACAACCCTTCGCCTGTAAAGAAAACCACCATGAAGTTTGGAAAGACGTTCTTATCTCATCAGATCCCCGAATGGTCGATTTTCTACATGAACTATAAGAACTTGAAAAAAATCATCAAGAACATCGACTATGACTTCAATCCGTCTGAGATGGAAATCAGTGACATGGTCAATTCCATCTTGACCCAGTTCTTCTATCAGTTGGATGGGAATATCGAAAAGGTTGATACTTTCTACAGTACCAAATTTGATGAGTACAACCGTAGGTTGAACAAGATCATCAACTTGTTGAACTTTAGCCAAAACAAGATCCATCACCAGATCGACTCCAACGATGAGTTGGATGAAATCATCTCGATTCTCTTGGAGTTGAAGAACTTCTTCAGAAACTTGAAGTGGTTTGGAGAGTTGAACCACAAGGGGTTTGTCAAAATCTTAAAGAAGTTGGACAAAAAGATGGTTTCGTTAACCAACTTATCCAATACTCACTTGCAGAGCCAACTTGTTAACTTACCAAGCAACAATAAGGAAGTTTACTTGTCTACTAGAGTTAATGCTCTACCTTTTGCCAATGAAATCGACTTGCACAAGAATCTTGATTTGATTAACAACCTATTGAACCAGCTTAGTTACCATGATTTTGCTTCCAAAACACCTGTTTCAACCACCCAAAGTGTTGCTGCCGTGAAAGACAAAAAGACCATGGACGCCATTAACAGCAGTTTCGATTCCTTGTTCTTGACGAGTTTCAAAGACTTGATAGCCAGTGACGACCCCAAGGGGTTACTCTCAAAATTGGAAAGAATCCCTAAAGAAAAGAAGAATTTGAAGTTCTTGATCACTTTGTTGGGTAAATTGACGATTCTGAACGCCATCGGGTGTATTGATTTGGTGTTTGGTTTATTAGACTCGTTTATCAAAGAGAACAATTTGTCTACCGACAACTTGTTATACGACAAGTTTGATATCAACGGAAGAAACTTTTTCCATCTTTTAGTGGTAAGCTATGGCAAGCAGCAGTTGAGTGATGCAGAGGATTCCAGAAAGGCCAGCATCAACCAAAAATTGATCCCAGGAGAAAACAACAACATCAACAAATTATACTTGAGTAACTCTGGTATTGATGGAAACAATTTAAAGCCAATCATCTTGAGCGGATTCGAGTACATTCTTGAAAAAATTAGTGCAGGTTCTGGTTTACACAACTTGAAATTCTTGTTGAACGCTAAAGACAACTACCTTAGAACTCCTTTGCATTATGCTTCTCAATATGGTATCAAGGATATGGTGAAATTGATTTTGAGCTACTTGTTCAAATGGAATCTAATCAATAACTCTTTGGCAATTGATGATAACAAGTTCTGGGTTGACCAGGAGAACTTGACTCCAATTCACTTGTCTATTATCGGTAAGCACCCCAAAACCACCGAATACTTGTTAATTTATTCAAATACGGATAGGTTGACATGTTCCAATTTACTCCTCTTGGCAGTCAGATTGAACAGCCCTGAAATCTTAAGTCATTTGATTAAGTTAGGAAGGATCAACATCAACTACACCGATTTCGAACATAACAATGAAACAGCTCTCTACATTGCTGCGAAATTGAACTTGCCGGAAGTTGTTGAGTTCTTATTGAACAACAGTGCAAACCCTGAAATAGGGGAGATGATATTTGGTTGGACACCCATTTTTGTTGCTGCCAGTGAAGGGTTTGAAAGTGTAGTCAACATTTTGTTGCAGCATAATTGCCATTATGACTTGGTGGATGAATCTGGTTGGTTACCCATGGAACATGCCTCGTTAAGAGGTCATTTAGCAGTGGCAGATTTGTTAAAACCAAAAAATGAACAGTTGTTATTTTACGATATTAGCAACCACGAGAATAACTTACAAAGAGTTCCCGCCAGCTCCATTCAGAATCCCACCAGCAATGCATTATTGTTGGATGACTCGTTGGTGATGTCTTCCACTTCTTCTATTGACATTTTACCTGAATCTAACAAAAACGCCGTCAATGAGGTGTATAAACAGTTAAAGCAGTTTGACAACTCGTCTCAGATCTCGGTGGATTCAACTGCAAATCAGAAATCCAGATCGAAATCCCCTATGAATGTGAAGAGAATCAAGCCTATCAAGTCTTTCGGTCACACATACTTGAATAATGACGAGTCTTTGGTGCTCATCACCTTGGGAACCACTGACTTGAGAGACGATAAGAAACCAATTGAGTTGAATGATATCTCGTTGGCTAAGACCTATATCACTGAATTGGATACAGCCTTGTCGTTGGTAATTACCTGTCGGAACAAGTTGAACAATGAGAGTATTGAGCCTCCAGTGGTCATCGACCTTCCGTTGGAAGACCATCATGGGTCAGCTACAGACCCAATCACCTTCAAGTTGACCAACAATTTGACTTCCAGCGATGTGATTGTCACGTTTGATATTGTCCCTACCTACCAATATAACCAGAACCCAGACGTTGTATTACCTTTAAATAAAGAAGAAACGATTTTAGGGAGGGCTGTTGCTCTTTTGGGTGATGTGTATACCAATGTGGGACCAAAATTAAGATCTTTACATTCAGTTGTCACGTCGCCCATCATTGAGTCAAGGACTTTAAATGTCTTGGGCAGTGTCAGATTCGAGTTTCTATGTGTCAAATCTTTCAACCATCCAAACATGAAGATTGGAAGAACCGATACTTACTGGAAACAGTTGGTTTCTACCAGGGTTATTGGACACAGAGGTTTGGGTAAGAATGTGAGTAACAAGAAGTCCTTGCAGTTGGGTGAAAATACGGTGGAATCGTTCATTGCCGCAGCTTCGTTGGGTGCTTCATATGTCGAGTTTGACGTCCAATTGACCAAGGACTCGGTCCCTGTGATTTACCACGATTTCTTGGTGGCCGAGTCGGGAGTCGATATTCCAATGCATACGTTGACGGCCGAACAGTTCTTGCACTTGAACGATAATGAACCCTACAGCAACCACAAAAAACAGTGGACTCCAAGCAGAACCAATAGTCCTTTAGAACTCGCCGATACCAATGGAACGGAAGTGACATCCTTGTCATTAAATTCTCCCAGTGTCCAGTCACCAAAGATCCAACCTTATGCCATGGACGACGAGATTTTGAGTAAAAGATCTAGGTCAAAAGGTGCTTACAAGTCTGTTCCGAACATGGCAAAGAACCATCATTTGCACCAGTCGTTCAGTCATGGAGATCATGAAAGTGACGACGATTTGGAAAGAGAATTGCAAGACCAGCACAGCAGAAGAATGAAATTGACCAAGACCTGGAAAGATAAAGGCTTCAAAGGTAATGCTAGAGGTTTATCAATTGCGTCTGATTTTGTGACTTTAAAGGATTTGTTTAGGAAGTTACCAAGGAATGTTGGGTTCAATATTGAAGTCAAGTACCCGATGTTGGACGAAGCCCAAGAAGAAAGTATGGGAGATATTGCCTATGATGTTAATCACTATGTTGACACTATCTTGCAAGTTGTGTACGACGAAAACCTTACTGGAAGAGATATAATACTCTCGTCGTTCCACCCGGATGTGTGTTTGATGTTGTCGTTGAAGCAGCCTACTATTCCTATTCTTTACTTGACTGAAGCCGGAACCCATTCCATGGCAGATATTAGAGCATCCTCCTTACAGAATGCCATTCGGTTTGCAAAAAAGTGGAATTTATTGGGAATTGTGAGTGCCGCTGAAACCTTGGTCAAAACCCCTAGGTTGGCCCAGGTTATCAAATCTTCAGGGTTAGTGTGTGTAACCTATGGAGTATTGAATAATAGCCCAGAGAATTGCAAAATCCAGATGAAGGCCGGTGTAGACGCGGTCATTGTCGATAGTGTTTTGGCAGTCAGAGAAGGAATTAGAAAGGATGTTGAGAAGGCCAACAGCGAGAGCGAAGCCAGCAGCGTCTATTAGTTTTTATATGTTTTGCGTTTACCTAGTTTATTATACGAAATTTAGACATTCGTTTTCGCACTTCTATCAACGAGATCGGATACCTCTTTATTTCATACGCCGTGATGTCTAAACTGGACAACGCCAATAAAACAGTGCCAGATGGTGGCCATAAAAGTCCACCGAAACCACCAAGTTTTACTCGAAACCTTAATTCTGGGGTACAAGTACCAGCTTCAGGAATAAACGCTATTCATATAGATAGTGCTCGAGAAATGGTAAAGATACATACCAGAAACAGATTACCCCAAACTCCTCCAAACCCCCGGTTCAGTATCCCAACAGCAAGAAATGTGTCTGTAAAGGTTTCCAACGACGCAATCGCCAGTATGAGCTCCAGTTTCCCCAAACCAACCACAAATATATCTGTCCCAGCAAGGGAACATACGGGCAAGTGCACAAATCCCCAGTGTGCCCACTGTGGATCCGTAATAATCCCTGCTCCCAAATCATCTTTCCCTATCCAGGACAAGCCGTCTATCACCATTAATGACTGGAGTATATATACCATCAAAAGACCGATTTTGAGTTCTCAGGAACTCGATGACCTTGAAGAAAGATTTAGATTCCCGTTACCAGAGATGATATTTGGAAACAACTCTGTGAAGTTGGTGAATGACAAAACCAAATCGATCATCGAGTTCAATGCTTTGGATGCCCTCGACTCAATTGATAAGTCTTCTGACTTAAAGGTCAGTTATCATCAAGAATGGTTGGAGGCTAGAAGAACCAACTCCTTGTCGACAGACTCTCATGACGCATCAGCCGAAAAGGCCCTCAAAGAAAACGGAAACATCGATTTGACCAAGTACACAGACTTGGAAACTATTAAGAACTACGACTGGACGTATTCTACAAACTACAAGGGGAGTATCACCAACATGGAGTTCGCCAAAACAGACGAAAAGTTTCCAATTGACAGGCTTTTAAATCCAGACCCTATATTGTTCTTTGATGAGTCGATCTTGTACGAAGATGAACTTGGAGATAATGGTATATCGATGTTGTCCACCAAGATAAGAGTGATGCCCACCTGTCTCTTGCTTCTTTGCCGACTTTTCTTGAGAATTGACAACGTTATATTCAGAATCAGAGATACTCGTGTCTTTGTTGACTTTGAAACAAACAAGGTGTTGAGAGAGTACAAGGAACAAGATGGTGTCTATAATGACGTGTTGGGTAAAATATCTGGAAAAGTCACTAGTGACCCCAAGTCACTTCTTAGAGATCCCAACTGGGTTTCTCAGAACATTCCCGTGCTCAAGTCTGAGTTGGAAGCTGCCCAACTAACCTCATGATACATAATAAATAACGTATAATTGCATAATAGCATTGGCTTCTAGGCAGCGACTTCGCGATTTCGAAAGGTGAAAAATTTGAAAACCTCACCTGAAGTATGTTCAGCAGAATCACCAGTGCTTCCATAAGAAGTATCGTGCGCTGTCAGAGATCTGTGCATACGGTTCCTCAGTTGAAGAATCAAGATGTGTTCTTGAAAAACGGAATCGAAGGCTTATACACCCCCAAAGGGTTTGAGGCTTCTTGGTTACAGTACCAAAAGTATTTGACCATGAACTTGACGTTATTGACAAACGGGACTGAGGGCGAATCCAGGCCTCCTTACCAGATTCTCCTTAATACAGCTAGACAAACCTTAGGTCAGCACACCTTCCATTTTGCATCCCAGGCCCATAACAACCATTTGATGTTTGAGCAGTTGACCAATGCATCTGAAGCTCAACAATCTCAGCCTTCCAGATACTTGTTGGGTAGATTGGCTGATGCTGGATACAACAACATCGAGGAGTTCAGAGATGCATTTTTATCAGTGGCAGAACTATCTATTGGACAAGGGTGGGTGTTTTTGGTGGAAGATGCAGATAAGTCTGTGAGAATTTTGAGATGTAATAATGATGGAACTCCTTATTACTACGGAAAAAACCAGTCTTTGGACTTGAATGGAGGAGTCAATGAAGGTAACTTTGAACAATTAAATTTGATCAAAGAAGCTGGTACCAGTAACAAGAGAGACTTCACTCTCCCTATCTTGGGTATAAGCTTCTGGGACACATCTTACATAAACGACTATGGAGTGAACGGCAAGAAGGAATACTTACAAAGCGTCTGGAAGTGTATTGACTGGAACGTTGTCAACGGTAGATTACTCCAATTGTAACTCGTTGGTTTATTCCACATGTATATAGTAATAAACAATTAGAACTAATGAGAATCAATCCAACACTAGCTAAGGTTCAAGTCTATCATGAGAAGGTCATCAATGGTCAAATCTTCGAACTTGTTCTTATTGATAAGGTGCAAGTAGTTGTCAAACTGCTCGGAGATCTTGCCACAGTGTTTGATGATACTGAAGCATACCTTGTCATCATACCAGTTTAATGGTAAACACATTATGAAGTTGGGTAGAAAATTGGCAAGTGAGACGATAGTAATCCATTCCTTAATCAACAGGGAAAATTTCCTCCTGGCAGTCTTTTCATCTAAAGAAGAAAGTGACTCTTTGATGGCGGCCGACTTCTTTATTAAGTTGTCACTCTTGGCCTGTTCGATATCTTTGATCAACCGGTTGACCTCGATAAGCTTGGGTCTGATGGTTTCATAGAGATCTGCAAGATCCTTTGTACTTTCGGCAAATATGTCAGATAACTGGTTATTTATGTTATACTCTTGCATTAGTTTGTGGATATTGGAAGACGAATTCTCGTTTTCCTTGGAGAACAAAAACTTTAAGTTCCGGGAGATATTGATCTCACTGGACGTGAGGTTTGAGTCCACGTGGAATAATGATCGTAGTATGGGCACCATCACCTGTAAATAACTATTCAATAGCGTGTCAGTCTTTAGACTGATTTGTCTCTTGAGTAATGTCAACACCTCTTCATGAGATGGGGATTCGGACACAATTGGTAGCTGACCTATCACATACTCATACTCTGTATCTATAGAGCTCAACTGCTCGTCTCTTAATTGCTTCATTTCATGATAGTATGATAGGGTATCGAGAGTCTTGATGAAGTGATTGTACTTTTGGGTATACTCAGCATCGGCCATATGTTTTGGCTTGTCCCCTGCCGCACCATACCGCACGTGACTGAACACTGGTACTCCGTAGTGTTGGGATTGAATGTCGGTGTAGGCCAAAAACTGATCTACAGCTTTCGATAGTTCTTGAGACATCAATAAAGTGATCTGCTGGAGACCGCGACAAAAAAAAGGTATCCACAGTGAGCGCATTCTATCAAAAATTCCAACTGTGGTGGTTAAAACTTTTGCACAATAACAGCTATAAAATCCATATATAACTGCCGCCTTGCCGTATTTGAACATGTCTGGATTTAAATTTGATTTGGTCAAAGCCAAACTCCTTGCAATTGCAAGAACCGGGGTGTTCGTCAACTTTTCGCCTTCCAAGGTAGACGATACATACAACGAGCTCAAGCAACTTCTTATCAACGGGGACTCCATCGACATCAAAGATGTCTATGACTTATATGAGCTCCACGTTTATTTGTCGTTAATCACCAACCATGATGTGGAGGCCAAGAGCTATATCGACAGAATTATAGATCAGTTTGGTGATGAAAATTCCCAGCGGATCACTCTTTTGAAGTCGATATATTACGAAAGCCAGGGGTCGAAGAAGGAAGGTGCCAGTATCTTGGGCGCCAACAAAAATGAGTTGAGACTATCCAGGAGATTACTTACTTATAACAGAGAAAACCTTAAAGGTGAAGAGTATGTTAGTAACTTGGTATTTTACTTGAATCTCCAGCCAGCGGATTTAATTGCATGGGCCGAGTTGGCAGACGAGTATGCCAAGTTGGGTCACTATGACAAGAGTATCTTCTGCTTGAAGGAAGTTCTTTTAGAAGAGCCCGTGGCATATCCGATCTTGTATAAGGTGGGACTTTTGAACTACTATCTCTTCTTGCAGAACTTCAAGGAAGCTATTGTTAAGAAGGATGCGTTGGTGGAATTGATGAAGTACTTGGTGGATTCTCGGAACAGCTGGTTGAGAACGATTGAAGTGTGTAAGGATCACAAGGCCAGTTGGTTGGGGGTGTACCTTATTTGCAACCAGAGCAGTTTCAACGACAAGTTGGACAAGTTGGCAAACGTCAAGGAGTTTGAAAAGTACAAGGCCGACATCAAGAGGCTTTCTGGACCGAGTGCCCAGAAGGTCATGGAGTTGAATAACATCACTGAAAAAGAGTTGAAAACTTTGGTGTTGTAATATTTATTGACTATAAAATTTTACAGCAGGACCTTTACCATGAAATGACTTAGCATGTGCAATCGGAGCACTCGCATTTGTCTCCACAAGAGGAGCACTTGTTGTTGTTACAACAGGAGCAAACATTGCATGAGCAGTTTGATTTAGCATTGCAGCATGCACACGCAGAGGCAGCAGCAGAAGGAGCACAGGTATTTTTGGAGCACATGGTTATTTTAAGATTAAAGTTGTTTTGTTGGTTTGAGTTGATTTGAAGGGTTGTGGAAGGGCTTTTATACCCACTTCCAAGATCTGTAGCTATAATAACGCATAGCGAATATGGAGCAGTCGTGCGCAGTCCCAATGTTGAGCTAAAAGCCCGCAAATATAGCAGAAATGCCTCTAGTGTGGTAGAAGCACACGGAAGCGTCTAGAAGCAGGAGGTTAGGTAAACAGAAAGAGTTGCCCTTGAAGTACCCAGTAAGAGGAATCCGACAGAAAATACACAGCTATTGCATGATCGGTAATTGTAACGAAAAATCGTGTATTAAAACAAACAAACAAACAAACAAACGTCAACATTCCAACGACAACCCATTGGAATGAAGCTCGATTCACACAATCAACTCCCGGCACGGGGTTGACCAAACTATCTCAAAGTTGACGGGTTATAAACCAGTCACTTACTTCTTGTCACAAGCACAAGTTCCGCTGGTGTCGGTTCCAGAACATCCAGCACATGTGCAAGATTCGCCACAGGAGCAGGTAGCATCAACAGGGATTTGTTTTGTGTAGGCAGCCATTTTAAGAAGAAAGGTGATTGAATCAGTGAAAAATAAGTTAGGTGACTCTGGGGATTTTAATCTCGGCTTTTGGTGACTTTTATTGAGAGCAAGGGGCGTGCGCAGGTTGCGAAGGGTTTGGGTTTCTTATATTTACAATGCAAATTGAATCCTATGCTAGCAATTAAATCTATATCTTAAAAAACAAATCAAAACTCTCCTTTGTAGTCTAAATCATCACTGCTCAAGATATCTTCTAAAATCCCCGAAGCAGACGCGATTAATCCCACAAATGGTCTCGATGGATCCAACACTTTGGAAATGTACTCAGGATGATATTGGGTTCCACACAAGAACTTATGTCCCTTGAGTTCCAACATTTCCATTCTCTGTTCGGTTTCATCTTTACCAATGAACTTTAATCCCTTGGCCTCAATTTCTCCAACCAACTTAGGATTGACTTCATATCTGTGTCTGTGTCTTTCATAAACTGAGGAAGCACCTCCGTATAACTTCTTCAAAACAGACCAATCGGTATCAGCCACAAACTTGGTTTCGTGGATACCCAATCTCATGGTTCCTCCCAACTTGATCTGGTCAACATCAGGCATGTAAACTACAGAAGCCGTAGCTTCGTCAGTTTCAGGATCAAATTCCATACTGGTGGATTTCTCGTATCCCAAAACGTTTCTGACAAACTCGATAACAGCAATTTGTAAACCAAGACAGATTCCCAAGTATGGAACGTCGTTTTCTCTGGCATATTTGGCGGCCGCAACCATACCTTCAATACCTCTACTACCAAATCCTCCAGGAACCAAAATCCCATCGGCCTGGCAAACGTAGTGCCATGCCTTGTGATAGTTGGACAAGTTGGAAATCTTGGTTTCTTCCTCCAAGTCGGTGGATTCGACCCATTCGATCTTTAATCTTCTGTGACATTTCATGGAAGCATGTTCCAAAGACTTGATCACCGACAAATAAGAGTCCTTCAAGTGAGTGTACTTTCCAACCAAGGCAATAGTGACGGACTCAAAAGATTTGTCATGACTAGAGGTCAATTTCCTCCATTTGATCAAAAGTTGTTCACCCTTGGATAAAGCTTCGGTTGGCAACTGGACGTTTTCCAACGCCAACTTCTTTTGCAAATACTTCATCATCTTTTGTTCCTTCAATAACAAGGGCACATGGTAGGTGGAGTTAACATCATGCACGGCAATGACCTGGTTTGGCCCCACATGACAGAACATTCCAATCTTTTCAATGGTTCCAGCTTCCAACTCTTCCTGACATCTACAAGCAATCATGTCTGGGGTCAAACCCAAAGATCTCAAGTCCTTGATAGCAGCTTGGGTAGGCTTGGTCTTCTGCTCTCCGTGAATAACAGGAACCAACGACACGTGAATCAAGGCAAAGTTCTCAGGCCCCACTCTAAATTGAAACTGTCTTAAAGCCTCAACAAATGGAGCACTTTCAATGTCACCAACGGTTCCTCCCAATTCCACAATACAAATCTCCGGTTCCAATCCTGAATCATCAACTGGAACTCGACTGACTCTTTCAACCCAGTCTTGGATTGCATTGGTGATGTGAGGCACTACTTGCACGGTTTTACCCAAGTAGTCTCCGTTTCTTTCCTTCTCAATAACATGGGAATAGATCTTACCAGTGGTGATGTTATGATCTCTAGTCAAGGTAATATTCAAGTACCGTTCGTAATTTCCCAAATCCAAGTCGACTTCACCCCCGTCATTCAACACAAAACACTCTCCGTGTTCTAATGGTGACATGGTACCGGCATCGATGTTCATGTAAGGATCGATTTTGATTGAGGTTACCCTAAATCCCAAAGTCTTGAATAACAACCCAGTAGAAGAGGCAAGAACCCCTTTACCAATACCTGAGATGACACCTCCGGAAACAACAACGTACTTCATGATTAAGAGGAATTTTATTACACAAAAAAAAGAATGGATTTAATACCCTCTTAAAATTATATTTTAAGCGGGAAGAAAGAGAGGTAAGAGGAGGGAATCCCATCGCAGGGAAATCTGGTGTTTAAATAGTTTTTGTAAATTTTTGCTTTTTCAGACGCGATGAGTCTCTGGCGTCGACTGCCGCATTCGGAAAGCTGTTTCATCCGCCACCATGTGTGCAACTGTATACGTTTTATGGGAGTGGGCTGAATCTCTCCAAAAACACCTAAGTTGCAGAAGGTTCATATTTGCCTATTCAGCCGGCCATCGGCAAGCTGAAGAAGCAGACAACTTATACAAAATCACCTGCTTCACGGCATTGTTCTTGAGCTACATTCCATTCGTTTGTTCTCATAACCCGTGTCTATTACTTACACAATCTTCACTCCACCAATCTGTTCGGGGTCGTCTTCGCTCATCAATATCTGCGCTTTTCCCTGTTTGATCAACACATTTTTTAGCACTTTTACCAACATATTATAGTCAAAATTCTTCAAGTCAGCAGGAAGACCTGAATCTTCCAGTTTCGTCAATTCGTACACCGTGAGAACCGTTCCCAGTTGCCCCGTGTTTTCCACGAAATCGTGGATAAGGTTGGCCCAGTCAACTAGTGACCTCCAATATATGAGCACCCCTGCTTCAGGCAGTTTGGCATTGATGTACTCGGCTTTTTTCAGTTTGTGGATCAAGTGGCGGAATATCGTCGACTTGAACTCATCGTTCACAGCCCTATCGATGGCTTTGTTCTCAAATACCGGTGGTAATTGGGTTATGTCCAAATCGTCAAATTGCGAGTAGATAACGGTCCCTGTGAGAGTGATGGAACTTATCTTGTAGTATTCGCAATACGAGAGTATTATATCGCACCAGGACCCAAGCTGATTGTCTAGAATGGTGGCATTAGGCTGTTGTGTGTACATGGGTGGGAACGAGTGGATTTTGGGGAATTCGTACGGTTCCATGGTGTTAGTGGGAATGTGCGAGCAGTTTGTGGGATTGTGCGAACAATACTCCCACCAAACTTCTGACGAAAGAACCACACAAGTACGTCTAACTAACTTCCCAACGTCACAAGCATAGTACAGCTGCATCTTTTACTGTGTGTGTATTTCAAAATACGGAGCGTTAACTTAAATATACAATATGAGGTTTTATATGATTATTTAATAATGACATTTAAGCTTCAGCCATGTCTCTCAAACGACGGATGGTGGATCTGACGGTGGCAGCAGCGGCGGTGGAAACAGAGTAAGCACCTCCAGCAACGGTCTTTCTACAAGATCCACAGCTCCAGATACCAACAGCACCTCTCTTAACAGCTCTCTTACCACAGAAAGAACAGTCGTATCTAGCGTGTTGCTGAACTTCCATCTTCTTGGTTTGCTTTCTCAAGGAGGAACCGTATCTGACACCGAACTTACCGGTGATACCCACTTTTCTAGTTCTTTTAGTCCTAAATAAAAGTTAGTATAAATTCGTGAAATCCGTACAAATGACTTAGAAAAATCTTCCAGCTCTGTGGTTGAACTGATGGGAATGGGCCTGAGGAGTTGTGTCAATTTCTGTTGGTAATTATGTGGACGAAAAGATTTTTCACATTGCTCTTTGGTGTTCTGGTCAACACTTTGAAAGGGAACGAGTATTCGTGGGCAGTTCAAAGGATAGGTGGGAACTTGGTGTTCTGTATTTTCTTATCTTGAGCACTATTATTGAGTTGGAGGTGTCATCGCTTTGGTATTATATTTGCTTTCAACATACATTTTAAATCTATGGTAGTTAGATGAAAATTTCTATGGAATTTTTAATTTTCCTCTCATAGACTTTTCACCGGTGAGCAGAATAGCTACGTGCGCGCACACAATTTCTTTGGTCAGGACCCGCAGTGTGACTGCTAGATCAAAAGGGCACCAGCCCCGGTGGCCCTCGTGGCGCGCGCCTGTTTGACTGCAAAATCTCTGGCGTCTACTACCTGCCACAAATATGAAAAGACATGACTCAGATGACTCTTTCTTCTCCAAATACGTGGATATCAATGGATTTGGGACCAGCACGCCAATTGATTACCGCTCACCCAACTGTCCGCTGAAATTGGTGCAGTGGGAGTGTAAGTGATACTCTATTTTTTATTTGGTGAAGTACCATATTAATCTAGATACCCATCAGACTCTTTTGGGGAACTCAAGTGCTGGGAAAAGCGTACTCCACTGAGTACCAGAATCTTAGAAAGAAGCAGTGGTAATATTTTTAGGAACTATGGGAAAAATTCAGTTCTCTATGATGCAAATAAGCTAAGTCCAAACTTTTGTCCCGGTGATATACTTGGCGATGACTCGAATAACAACAGCCAGGTGATGTATGAAAAGCCAAAAAGCTCGCTTTCTTCATATAATAAAGTGCATATGTTAGGTTACGGTCCTTCGGCATTTTCCTCCAGTCCCCTCACAGAGTTTACCGGTGATGGTGTAGAAGTAATCAACGAAAGAAGTTTAGAATTCTATAAAAACGACTACATTTGTGGCGTTCCAATGGTCAAATGTAAGGATATTATTATGCCTTGTATGAAGAGGATATCATGTAAGCTTCACTCGATTGTTCAAAAACGTGAAGTTCCTAGGAACATCCCGGTAGAGAGTTTATTAATGACTGAAGCAGCCAACCCCAGTATTTTTGAGCAAAGAAGACAAAAGATCCTTGAAATTTCCAAACAACAGTCCAACGAGTATCAGGCATATAAAAAGCGTCGGTATCCAACAAAAGCTTCAATAGAAGAGTCAATTGTGTTAGGAGCAATGCAGTATTCGAAACGACCCGCCCAACAAATGCAGTCACGATGCAAAAGAAAATGGATTCCGGTCAGAGGAGAATCGGAAACAGAAACAAAGAGCTCAGTGTCACTGGTTCTGGTGATAGGTTTGGAAGATGAAGAATCAGGTTCTTCAAAGTCTAATACTGTTTCAGATACCTCGAGCTCTACAAGCAAGTCTGGTATTCCTCCAAATAACTCGAATTCGACCCTGGGATATCAAGGCACAAACGAATCCTCGGGTACAAGTGAGTCATGTGACGCAAGCACTAACAATGAATCAAAATCCAGTACTTCATTTTCCATTTTCATCACTAGGACCCCTTGTTCACTCACAGTTTCCTTCACATATTCACTGAGCGGAAGTTCGTCAAAAGAGATTTACTTGAAGGAGTATGTAAGTACCCTTTCCAGAGAAACAACCACCAGAATTCCTGAAACTATGACATACTTAACAAAGAAGTTGATAGAGTATAACAAGATTCCTGTGAAAATCAGATTGAAACAGATTAGCAGCCGGTATTGTTATTGAGAAGTATACGGAATCGTGTTTTGAATTAAATACATCGAGTACATAATTATGCATTATCGGGGGTCATTATTATGCCCCATTATTATTAGTGCCGCCAAACAAATCAGTGGCGGACATCTCAACATCGCCATCTTCATCGTCGTTCATAATTGGAATATCAGGTTGACCTTCATTAGGAAACACTGCCGGTTGGGAAATCTGAGGAGCATTGGATCCAATTCCATTCATGATCTGCACTCCTCCTCTTCTTTGACCATACGCCATTGCTCGTTGACTGAACCGCTGATGTTCTTGGCTTCTTATGAACCTAGTGAAATTTTCTCTCAACTGCTGATGTGCACGTTCGCCGGGTGTCATTTGTTGATTGTTGGCCCCATCCCCTTGTGTAAGTTCTGTGAAGATTTCTCTATTAATGTCCTGGATTTCATTTGGAGTCATTTCATTGTTGTCTCTCAAGATCCCCAATCCTCTTTGTCTAGCCCATAAGCTTATTCCTTCTTCGTCATTGGTACCGGTAGCACCAAAATTGCCCATGGGTGGAGGATTATCCAATCTTAGAATATCGACATTACCATTTTCGGTATTAGGGTTGTTATTGACAGCTCTATTTTGAAAAGAACCAATTCTATTTCCTGGGTTCATGTTGGCCAACTGCGGTTGTCCTTCGCCTTGGTCTAAAGCATATGCTCTGTCCTCCATGATTTGTTGTAAGTGATTTCTTAACTGGTTAACTCCATCTCCCGAGAACACACAGAACAAAGACTTTTGGTATTCGTTGAAATCTGGAGGAGGCTCACGACAGTACTGGGTGATCTCTCTTCTCAAGAATGCTTGAATTCCCGTCAACGATAAATGTGTCAACCTCGGACAGGTCTTCAAGAGCAAATAAATAGGCCCAATTGATAGACGAGTACAGTAAGATAAATGAACTCTTTCCAAACAGTCCTGCTCGCCTCTCCGCCTGACCAACTCAACTATTCCGTTGTCAGTTATTAAATGGCATTTGACCAAACCTATTCTTCTCAATTTTGGTAAAGTGGCCAATTCTGCCAATGACCAATCGGTCAATTGAGAGCAACAGGCAAGATCGATATACTGAATTCGATGACAATATCTGACCAAAGAAGTGACTCCAAAATCAGTGATTAGTAAACAGTGGCCCAAATGAAGGTAGTGTAAACTTCTACCCAACTTTGACAATGCCCTCAACGACGCATCGGTGATCTGCAAGCACTTGGACAAGACAACGTTTCTCAACCTTTGGGCGCATATCACTAGTTTCTCAACAAACTTATCCGTGATGGCATTACAGCCAGTCATATCGATGATTCTTAACTTTTCCAAGTAGAAAGAGTTGGGTAAAAGCCCCAATAAGTTGTCGGTGATCCCTGGAGCGTTACTAATCCTGAACTCCCTCAATTGAGACAACTCCAAAAAGATCTTTCGTAAGTATAAGTCTGTAACCTCCGGGCAGTTGTGCAAGTCGACTTCTACCAAAGACTTGCAGTTCTCATACATGGCCAAAATGGAGTGATCGGTGATATTTTCACTGTTGTTGAACTTGATTCTCTTAAGCATGGGGCAAGCCCTTAATAAGGTGATCACTGCATCTTCACTGACATTACCACACCCAGGAGCGTACAACCCTTGTAGTCTAGGGCAGTTCCTGGCCAATGTCAAGAATATGTCATCTTGTATATCGGTGACACCCGTCAAATCAATCGACTGGAGCCGTTCACACCTATCCAATACATTACTGATTGGGGTTCTGGATAATTTGTTACAATTAACCAAAGTCAACCGTTCAAGCTTGGGACAGCCTATAAACAACGAGAGTAAATCATCGTTGACGAGCTTGGTCATAAACGACAAATTAAGCCTCTTAATATATAAGCGATAATTCCAGTGGGTGGTATGGGGTGGCAAGCTCATGATTTGCCTGATGTGTTTGAAAGACATATCGCTTTGCATGTTTGGTCTAAACCATAGGATTTCAATGATCAATTCGCTGAACTCTCTGCATACCGTCAATAGGGAAAACAAGTCCCTTCTGTCTAAATGATGAAAGATTTGTAATAACACTTCGGTAGGCAAATTCAACAACGGCGAGTTCCGATAATTCAAAGTCTGGATTTCACTTCTCCGACTCCGTATATTCACCAAAGACTCTTTAAGTTCTTGGAAATTGGTGTCGGCATCGTCGATATCAGTCATTTCAAAAGTACTAGGATCATATTTACCCTTTCTTAGGTTGGGCGTCAAAGTATCTGAACTGAACGAATCTCTTTCCCGACGGAACTGCAGATTTCTGGGACCTGCAGGAGCAAACACAAACTCGGGATCCTCGTTGGTGCTGCTGGGAGAACTCATTTAGAAGAACAGAATTTGTAATGGCTTGGGGTTTCTTACTGGATCTCGAATTTCAGGACGGGTCCACGATTTATCAGACCTCTAGGATGAATTGAGTATAATGTTGATACAAGTATCAGCAACGTTGATAAAGTTACTAAATGCTTCTATAACTATTACAGTATTTTTGATTGCAATCAAAAGTACGTATGTGTAATGTGGATTTCCGGTGCTTGTAAAAACAATTTTCGATCTCGCGCATTTTGTTATTGTTTTGCGATCCAGTTGATAAAGGGAAACCCGAAGGCATTAGTGGCGAGAAGATTATTGTTTTAACTATTAACTATTACTGGATTATGTTCGTTCAAAAGAACAGGTTCTGCTGTTGAGCACGAGTATCACCTGGGGTGCCAGGATTAGAGTTATATCCCAAAGCCGCAGAACTGAGGGACAATTGCTCCAATTGTTGCATCATGGCTACATCTTGCTGTTGTTGTTGCTGCAGCTGTTGAGATTGGGGCTGAGGAGGCGTTTTGTCATTGTATCCGGAAGAAGAGGCCGACGCGGGATACTGGTAGTTCGTCATCATTTGTGGTGTCATCATCACCGGATAACTCTGTTGGCCAGGGTATCCCATGGCGTATGGGTCAGATACTGGAGGACCTTGAGGAGGAACTATTCCACCTTGGTACATCACTCCTGGACTCCCCATGTAGTTTACACCAGGGTATTGGTTCATGCCTGGGTGATGACTAGGAACTTGGTTAGCATCGTGAGGTGACATCTGATTAGGACCAGCACTTCCCATGTTCATTCTGCGAGAGCCAGTGCCATTGTTACCACCTCTCTTACCACCACTACCTCCTCCTCCACGTTTGGACAAGGACGAGCTTCTGGTGATTCTGGTGTTGGACAACCCAACTTCGTCCATCAACTTCTTGTAGGCTTGGTAGTTATTGATGTTCAACTCGAGCAACAATCTTCTGATCTGTTGTATAATGAACTTCTGGTACCGGGAATTTTTATTCATATCCTTTTCGTCGTGGTTGTGGGAATAGTTGGTCAAGTTCAACAATAATGGGTTTGACAAAATCTTGTAGATGAATAATGGGCCAGCATTATTGTTGGGATCGGAGTCTTCAGTCAAAATGGTTTCCAAAAGCTTAGATGGGGGTTTGATGGTTTCATCACCATTAGTGTCATCAAACTTACCAAAGATCTTGTCCATGATGATTTGTTTCAGCCTCAAGTCTTGTCTGTTATTTAAAATCTTCAAGATGGTCAAGTTGGCCAATTTATGACGACATAATACATCCAAGTGTTCCACGAACTTCTTGGTCAATAACTCGTACTTCTTTTCGAACCTGTGTCCAAATCCACTAAAGGTATCCAAAAACCAAGTGATCAACAAAGACCCGTTATTATTGACCACCAACTCATTGGCATATTCAATAATCAACCCACTGATCAAAACTATCTGCTCTTTGGTGATGTATCTTTCATCAGAAGTTTCTAGGATAGTCCTGATACTTCTGGAGCCAAATCTTCCAAAACTTATTTCAATGAAGTTATCCAAGATTGACTCAAAAAGGAAATCATTAAATGGTGACTTGAACTTGATACAACCTTGCAATGCGTAATTACCAAACTGGTCGTTGAATAACTTGACTGTGTAAGGCTTTAAACTGGCCCCAATAATATATTGCTGTTGGTAGTCGTCATGGCACAAATTAATAATCTTTTGGATGGCCCAGGTACCGTTTTTGTGGATGCTCAATTGAGTCAAGTATGGAGTGATCTCTTTAACCATCATCAACTTAATCAAAGGTGATTTTACAAGGAGAAACAACTTCTGCACAACAGTATTTCCAATGTAGTCGTAGCATAACTCTGGTAATTCGTCCAACATGACCAAACATAAGTCTTCCAAATCCATCTGGCTCATGGATCTGTTATCACCAATGTTGTGGTTTTTGAGTTTATCGTTGGTTTCAGGCAACGTATGGCCTTCTAACACAAGCAATTCGTTGAATTCCAAATCTTTTCTCAATTCCCTTAACTTAGGTGCATCAAATTGTCGAACAGGGATAGGATCAGGTAATGGACCGAAATTGTCTTGATAGTTTGAGTTTGTGTAGCTCAAAGTCCTGTTGATGATAGAAATGATCTTATTTTTATCAACACGGGATCCGTGATTATCACCAATAATTTGATCAATTGTATGTAACAAGGAATCTTTCACTTGCAGGACGTCAATTCGACTAATTTTTTTGTTTTCCAAAACAATCACACCCTCGTTAACAGGCTCATGGTCTGGGGAATGGTTCACGTTGTTTGAGTTCGTGGTCTGGCCTGAAGTTGATTTTGATGATGAACTTGATGAGCCAGTGGAAGTGGGCACCGGGTCATGGCATTTGGCAAATGCAATATACAAAATGATTCCTGGGACCACTTCATAGTGATTGAAGTTAGCTTTCAAGTTCATAGCCACCTCAAGAGACGAGCAGGTAACCAATGCTAATTTCGAGGTGGATGTGGTTGTGGTTCTGATGCTCAAGATATTGTTCAAGTGCCTGTTGTTGTTGCCAAAGGAGTCGTTTAAAACAGAAAATAACTTGGCCGAATCGAAGAACAGAGGCAAGTTGTCAAACAAAAGGTGGTTGGTTGGCCCCAAGTTAGGGTTCTCAAAGTTGTTGGTGATGACCATCAGACTCATATCAAAATCATCGACAAGAAGCGGCTGTTGAGCATAATTCTGGCCATATTGAAATTGAACTTGTTGGTACTGTGGTTGTTGCTGAGCATGTTGCTGTTGTTGAACATGTTGCTGCTGTTGCTGCAAACGGTTGTAGTATTGTTGGGAGTGAACTCCTTCAGACTGAAGAGGAACCATTCCCGAGAAGGTTTGGGCTCTGTTACGAGCTGCTCCAGGACTTGTTCCGCCTATATTTGACATCAAGTTGCCGAGAAGTGAATTAATCTCGTTTTTGTTTCCAGCTGAAGTTGACATGTACTGAGGAGACAACCCAGACTGGGCATTGACACCATTAGCATCAAGCATGCTCAAGTCCATGTGACCATGTCCATTTGCTGGGAGAGTTGCATTGGTTGTGTAGGATCTATTTCTATTAATCATTTGGTGGACATTGGCATTATAGTCATTATTATCAGGATCATTAACATTAGGGTTATTGGAAACACCATTCAAATTCAAGCTTGACGGCTGGGCACCCAACGTAGGGCTAATAAAGGAACTGGGGGTTCCAATTGTGTTGTTGCTGATGGTTGATTCCAATAAATTTTGCGACTGGATGGAGATATTATCGTCGTTCCAAATGGAGTTTGTGGAGAAGAGCGAGCCAGACCGCTTCCTTCTGGCGTTGATGGAGTTGCTATCCAAAAAATCACCGCCAAGCGTATCGGATGGATGGCTGGTGGCCATCAATGGCGAAGTGGACGAGGAATTGGAATGGGTAGTATTTGGGTTGGGAATTGGAATTGCCAACGTTGGGTTAAGAAACGTCGACGGCAAAGTCCCAGCACGACTTCTGGTTCTATGGGCCCCGGATCCAATGAGACTTCCTGGTATGGAAGCGTCCAGTTCGACTCCGGGGTTCGAAAGGGTCAATGAAATTGTTGGTGGAGGAGATGGGTTTGTGGACGAATTCATTAGACACACTCAACGGAAAAATACAAGTACGGGACTAAAAATGAAGGAATCGATTGGAGCAGATTCGCCTGCAGTGGGTGACGTTTAATTCAGGAGGTTACAGTCTGGTGATACTTGGAGTATAACTCTGTGGTCCCAATGGTAATAAAAACGTCTAATTAAGGTGTTGCAAACAAAAGACAAATGTATCCGAAGTAAACGGTGATTTGGAAATTTCGCACAAACAAAAATAGGAGAAGTCGCGGCGGCTCGAGTGCGGGAGAATCAGGCATGGGGCAGGGCAGTGTGTCAAGGCGCGCGCGCGAGATTTTGACACGGCGAGTGGTTCAATGCTCGTGGCAGAAAAGGGCACGACCTTGACGGCGTCGCGCGCCCCTGCACTGGTACTGTCTTCTGCTCGAATCCCTCAGGTCCCGCACCGGCTCTTGTTGGCTCATCGCGAACTTGACTCGTTTGTGGATTCTACAATGTCAACTTTGTCCCAGTATCTATCACATATTGATACCGCCATCAAGACCCAGGACCTGCGGCAACTCAGCACCCTCATAGAGATCAACCCGCCAAATGGCCAAGGACCTGTGCGAAGCCAGTTCCAGGACCCTAATGACTTTGATTTATTCGCAGTAGATGAGAAATTCAGACCGGTGGTAGTAGCATATTTGAAGCTATTAAAGGCTATTTATGTGGTCAACGATATCAAAAAATCCTTCAACAATTACATTGAATTGGTGAATACTTTGAACAGAGCCGCCAACACCGAAACCAACTGGATCAATCTCCCGTTGATGAAAGCATGTAAAGAGTTAATGGATATATTTGGAGTCATGGAGAAGCTGTTCCCCGAAGAGGTTCAGGCCAAGCAACCTGACCTGGAGTTTCAAACATCTGCAAATAGTTCTTCGTTGGAGATCTTGGCCAGTACCATAAACAATTCGTTCAAGCTCTCGTTAAACGATAAAAACTTGGACTTGAAACAGAGTAAACGGGTTGATATCTATTTTTTCTTGGGTTGTTTGCTTCGATTATACTTCAGACTCAACACTTTGGATATGGCCAAATCTGTGGAAAAGGCATTGAAAGGAACAAGATTTGAATTACCGAAATTCGATAAGCATTTAGTTGATAAGTCATCAGCCATAACCTACTTGTACTATAGTGCCATCCTATCATTGGACGACTCAGAATTCAATGCTGCCCACGAAAAACTTGAGCAGGCAATGTCATTGTTAGCGTACATCAAGAAAAGGACATCTGTAGAAAGCCAGATGGAAAAGTTATTGGTGCTATATCTTCCGTTAACTCTTTACACTCAAAACAAGTATCCCAAGCCGTTCATTTGGAAGGAGTTCCCGATACTCAACTACATCTACAATGAAAGCTCATTTAATTATATCAAGTCTGGTGATGTGAACAAGCTAAATTGGTTTATACAGAAATTCGAGTCATTCTTACTAAAGAAGAAGCTTTACCTTTTGTTTGAAAGCCTCAAAGATTTGTGTTATATCAATTTGCTCAAGAAGACTGTCAAGATCCACGCCTTCATCACCGATAGTAAAGGTTCCCATATAGTGCCGTTTAGTGCCTTCACAGTATCGTTCAATTTATCGAATTCTACTGGTCAGGAAACTTTCAATAAGCAAGAAATCGAATGCATTTTGGCAGTCCTCATATCCAAGGGAAGAATAAAAGGCTACTTGTCTCACGGAAATGGGTGTATAGTTCTTTCCAAAACTGTTCCATTTCCACCATTGTCTAGTTAGATATGATTTATAGTGAGTGAAAAGAATATAGGAAAATAAATGAGCTGGTATTCGTTGATAAAGCTATAGGCTCACAATTGTACTATTAGTAAAGTATGAATACTTTTATCTCATACCCTTTGATACCCATGAAGCATTTCCAAGAGCGTAGGGAGAGTATTTACTACTAGGAGTACCCTGTGCATGACGTATCCATCCAAAATCCAGGCTGTCATAACTTCCTTTCTCTCAGAAACAGATTCTCCTCAGTCGTTTGGCAGCATTACAAATTGCACCCATTTGAATTCTAAGTCGCGCTGGAAAAATTTTCAGATCCTGTTACGTTAACTACATCAAAAGTATCTGTGTCCAAATACACATCACCGTATTTGAAAGTTTTATGAATAATATACTGCCAATAAGCAAGCTACATCAACTTCAATATGTCCTTCATCAACATCTGCCGTGATAACACTGACCCTTTTTACAGGTATAAAATGCCTCCCATCCAATCGAAGGTTGAAGGTAGAGGTAATGGGATTAGAACTGCCATCGTCAATTTGGCTGAAGTCTCCAGAGCTTTGGGAAGGCCTCCAACCTACGTATTGAAATACTTTGGTTCCGAGTTGGGTGCTCAAACCAACGAGTCCCAAGACCGGTATTTGATTAATGGAGCACACGATGCCAATGAGTTACAAGACTCTTTGGATGGATTCATCAAAAAGTTTGTTTTGTGTGCCAGTTGTAAGAACCCCGAAACCGAAATCCAAGTGAAGAAGGACATTTTGCAAAGAGACTGTAAGGCCTGTGGGCACCTTTCGTTAATCGACCCCAGATCAAAATTATCATCCTATATAATGAAGAACCCCCCAGATGGTGGAAAAGGTAAGAAGGGTAAGAAGGCTGCCACCGCTACTGCCAACGTTGTTGGAGGTGGTAAGACTATTGCTGATCTTGTTACTGACCAAAAAAATGATGATGAAAGTGGAGAAACTTCTTTGGTTGTTGATGAGAATGATGATGACGATTTCTTGACCAAAAAAATCAATGCTGAGGCTGCTGCTTTGGCTGATGAGTCTATTGAAGTCAATGACGATGACTGGGCTGTGGACATGTCCAAAGAAGCTATCGAAGCCAGAGCCAAATTGGATGGCTTAACCTTAGATAGTAATGCTGAGTTCAACCAATTGGGAGAATGGTTGTTGGAAGAATCAAAAGACTCCAAAGAAGACTTGCCTTCGGATATTGATATTTATAAGAAGATTGTCGAGTTAGAAATCTTGGACAAGGCTGAAACCATTCAAGTCTTGGCCCAGACTTTGTTTGATGACAATATTGTTGAACAAATAGAAGAGCATTTGGGGTTGTTGGCCAAATTAATTAAACAAGAGGAAGAAAATTCAAAGGCTTTCTTGGGTGGTTTAGAAAGATACATCGGATTGGAAAATACCAGTTTGATTGAAAAAGTCCCAAAGATCTTAATGGCTTTGTATGACAAAGACTTGATTTCCGAAGAAGTCATCATTTCTTGGGGCTCCAAGGTTTCTAAAAAGTACGTACCAAAAGAGGTTTCTAAAAAGGTCAGAAAGGCTGCCAAGCCATTTGTCAAATGGTTGCAAGAAGCTGACGAAGAAAGTGATGAAGAGTAGATTTTTCTGTTTATATAATGTATGCATTCTATTTATAATCGACTAATGGTTGGAATTTGGAGATAGTAGATTCGTTTATTAATATACAAAATACCTTACTTCTTGGGAGGCGGTGGTGGTGGTGGCAAGTTGCTCTTACCAAAGTTCATGTTACGGGGCATGTTGGGCATGTTAGGCATGTTAGGCATGTTTGGAGGCATTGGCATATTAGCCATATTAGGCATGTTAGGCATGTTAGGCATCATACCCATTGGTGGCATTCCCATTGGCATACCTGGAGGTGGCACCGGCATACCCATTGGCGGCATAGGAGGACCGTTCTTTCCCTTCAGACCTCCCATAATTTGAGCCATCAATTTAGCTGGGTTGAATTCACCTCTCAATTTGTCTTGCTTGCAACAATAAGCAGTCCAACTGATTTCATCGAATCCGTAGTTGAAGTAGTCAGAGATATCAGCCCCTGGTATTCTCCATGGCTTGTCTTTCAATTTCTCCAAGTCCACTTGTGTTAAGGGCTTTCCATCCAATTCTACCACTTTATTTATATCTAAAGACTCTTTCTGGTTATTTGACACGATACTGGTGGGTTGGGTAGTAGACTCGGTCGACTCGCTCGTTGGCGCTGTCGTGACCGACGTAGATGCTGTGGATGGTCTGGAAGTGGACGTGGTGTTGTCACCAATAACGATATCAATATCATCATCACTGCTTTCTTCTTCGTCGTCGTCATCATCCTCATCTTCACTTTGGCTTGGCCTAGTGGCTGCAGCGTCGTCTTTAGCAGGATTCTCTTTGGTGGTTCCGTTCACTTTCTGCTTCTTGGTGGAGGGTTGCCCATCGTCCTCAGAGCTGTATAGGTATGCGTCATCATCATCTGACTTTGCCATATTGATAGTTTAACAATATTTTTTTCAGTGCGACATTAGATTTTGAAGATATTGAGGGTCTTAGAAGTTGCAATGATCTCCTTCTATACTTTATTTGATTTACAAATTAAACCAATTGACAAATACTTGTGCTCTTGTACAAATTTGAATTTTTCCAACTAGTTCATAATATGCTGCAACTACAAAACGAAAAGAGCACCCAAGCTGCAAAACAACGTCTTTCTCTCTGCCTAACTATTACCACTAATTAATTATCCACTTCCTCTGGTTCTATGAAGTATCCAGGGTTATCTAGAGGAACTGTGGTCAAAGAATTATATTTCTAACTTCCAAATCGTATCCCCTTACGCTGTAAAACAAGTTGGGGTTCAAGCTTAGTGCAGTGTACTGCATTATTATATATAGTGTATTCTCAGTCTGGTCCCAACTGAGTTCCATTACTTACGCCCATGCGTACTTACTTTGCTGTCTCAACCGCGGTCCGTGCTTAGCAAAAAGGAATGCCACAGGGATCAACAAACATCCAATAAGAGCAAGGAAAGTGCTTGCCCAGTGAATTCCCATCTTTTTGTACATTTGTTTGCCAAAAAGTGGGAAGACTCCACCCATTATGGATCGCACAAGTGAGTTTGTGGCCATGGCAGAAGCAGCATATAACCTGTATGCATCAACAGTGTATCCAAAGATCCCATTAAAAATGAAGATAATCCCAAACCCGAAAATAAACATTCCAATTATGGGACCCATCCAATGGACATGGGGATAAGCAGTCCACCCCATCACGAGCAATCCCATAGGAGCAATAAACACTCCGATTTCAATGCTGAAAAACCGAAACTCTGGTTCCATTATTCCCTTATTTGCAGCCGCCTTCTTATTCATGTATTTGGTAACAAAGAAGGGACCAACAAGTGACAGGATCGCCATCCCCAAGATCAACCCAATGAAAGTGAGGCCAACGTGATCGATTTCAAACCCGTACACCGTTTCAAAAATGTATGGCACTGCAACAAAGAACATGTACACAATGGCAAGATTGAAGCCAGTGTAGAAGCACAAAACAAAGGTCATTTTATCCCTAAACAACAATCCAATAGGCCTTTCACAAGATAACAAAATGGCTTGAACCAAGCTTCTCTTGGATTTCTCTAGAGGTGCATAGTACCTATCATCACCAGTTTCTTTCCTGACTCTTTTGGCCTTAGCCATCAATAGTACCGGTTGGTACGTTTCTGGAACAAACAACACTACCATCACCACGATAACGGCACACCAAATGGTCATAACGTGGAAAGTCCATCTGAAGTCGATATACTTGTTGATAAACCCCGACATAAGAGGTCCCAAACCTGGTCCCACAAATGGTGACATAGTGTAGAGCGCAACCGGGTATGCTAGCTTGTCCTTTGGGAAAATATCAGCAAACGTCCCAGAAGCCACAGCCATGAAACTAGATGCAAAAAATCCAGAAACAAAGCGACCAAACAAAACACCTCCAAAGTTTTCACAAAACCCGGGTAGTAGATTGAACGTACCACAAAGGAAAAGTCCAATTGTGTATGTTTTTTTGCGGCCATAGTATTCTGACATGGGTGCCAAAAACACCCCTCCACATCCAACAGCTATAATGAACAAGGAAATGCCAAGCACAGAAACTTCTTCACTAACTCCAAAGTGGTTGATAATATTAGTAGAAGCTAATGTCCAGCATGAAGATAAACAAGTGATACACGTTGAGCCTAACGATATAATAACGACAATGAGCCATTTTCGAAGCGTCGAAAGTTGTGTGGCATCCTCCTTATCATTGAGACCGTCGAAGGTAACTTCGTAACCGATCTCAATATCTTCCTTTTCCGGCTTATTTTCTATATCTGCCATTTTAAATTGGCATAAGTAAACTCTGTACAATCAAACTCTGTACAATTAAACTCTGTACAATCAAAGACCTTTATACAAAGTAGAACCGTTTAGAGGCTCGGAATAACAACAATAAAGACAGACGACTGACGACTGACGCTTACTAATTATACTTCGGAATCTATACAACTATTTTGTCCTCCAACCTTCTGTGCTAAGAAGTTTATTAAGATTCCTGTAGTCCAATATAAACGCTCTTTTTCCAACAGCTGGCGGATGGCAGATAAGTACGGAATAAAGGAAATGTTGCGGAAATTGCTTATAAATCGGGTACTTTTGAGTACTTTTTAACTGCAGTTCCGGCGACTTTCCGCATTTATTTGTCCTCTGCAATGGATTAGTAATGGGATAAAGGGACAGAAGCTCTGATAAATGCGGTATATTTGGTTATAGGCTAAATGTGTCTGGCGCATTTATTTACTTCGGAGTTGTACAGCATATTCATGCGGATCTAATGGGTGTTTACATTAAAACTTATTGTACTATTTATTATGATACATTATTAAATGGGGCTCTTGCATTCACTGGCCCTCCAAGGTAAACCAGGGATTATTAGTTTTAGTCTTAGCTTGCTCCAACATGGCCTTAACCCATGGCAAGCGACGGAACCGATTATGTTGAGCGATCGTTTCAAAATACGAAATCCACTGGTACTTCTCATGGTTATTGGCAGCGCCAAAGTCGATGATTTCTCCATTTGCAAACTTGATCTTGAATGAATCTGGTACCAACAAGATATCACTGAAGTTTCTGGCCTTTTGTGCTGTCTCAGGACGGTTTCTGTCCACGAAAATCACGTCAATGATCTTGGCCAAGTTGATTTTAGCTCTTGTCTTATGGTTGAACTCTGAATGGGCAATCAACGATGTACCTTCAAGCTTGAAGAATCTTCTCTTCAAGCTTTCACAATCTCCTCCATCTTGAGTCAAGTAACCTTCATATCTGAGTTGGTTTTCATTGAGTAATTGGCTAATAACTTCTGATGCAGACCTGATACTCGTAGGTAAAGCTTCATGCATCTCGGATCTAGGAATGAACAACATCTTGACTTCTAAGTTACCAATTACGTATGGCTTGGCTTTGATAGGTCCACTGCTACTTTGAATAATTTCCCATTCATTGAAGCAAGGTATGTCAAAACTGTTGGTGTTATAGCTTATCTTGGACTCATACTGGTCGAAGTCAATGTAACATCTTCCAAATGATCCGTCTTGAGCAAATTTGGTCTTCCAAGAGTCAACTGGATCTTGAGCAACAAACTTAGTAGTAGTGATGACTTCCTTTGATCCAAACATACGACTCAATCTGCTCTTAGATTTGACAAGCCTCCGTTCTTGTACTTCAACTAACTTCCCCTTAGGCTTTTCGTAGTTCATCTTCATCGTCAAGATAAACTCTAAGCTATCTCCTACAGTCAATTCGAATTCCTTTCCAATCAATACCCGGCGGTCATCAACTTTATAGTTGGGTGTTTTGATACAATGGACACCATTATCTAATGTCACAGAAAATTCGGCATCATGACCTTGAATGTCTGGTAAGTTAATGTTTTTCAAACCAACAACTCTGAAGAATAATCTACCTCTTTCCACAGGTAGAAGTTCATCGTTTTCTCTGATAACACTGGATTGAACAGAATGTTGCTTCCACGAGTCTTTTGTCTTTCCATTGTTTTGGTTTAATAATGTGTTCGAAGATGTTCTAGATGGTTGGGTAACATTAGTATTGGTAGTGTACATCGAGGGAACAGACACCACACTCAACTGTTTCTCATGATAAGGTGACTGTTCCTTTCTCAACTTGATGTTTGAAATTTCACTTCCAGAAAATTGTTCAGAAGATCCACTAACCTTGTTCACTTGCACCTCAGGTTCAAGTGTTGAAGAATTGGATAGTCTTGGTGGAGCCAACAGCTCCGTGAGAGATCCCAATTTTGGAGGTGGTGGAGATTGGACAACTATTGATATACCTGAATTTCTCTTAACAACTTTAATAGGAGAAGTTTTAATCTTGATTGGACTTCCTGGTTTACCTTTTTGGATCATATTTGGAGGTCTGTTCTCTTTATCCTTCATTTGCGTATTCAAACCATCATTCAGATGTTCTGCATCATCCTTAGGTGGAGTTTTGAAAATATTCGAAGGAGAACTAAGAATATCAGCATCAGGCTCTGGGAACAGTTGACCAACATTGATATCTTTATTCACTGCAGATGAAATTCTGGAGGAAAAATTCGAATTTGGAAGCTTTGATGAAGCCAAATCCGAATCATTAAAAACCTGCTCTTTGGATAATAAAGCTTGAGGTACTTTCATCAACTCAGATGCCAAATGGGGCATAACGTCGTTATCCAAAGGAGATGAATCCATCGAGTTATCAGCAGCATTGTGGATAGAAGCTTGCTGTTGTAAGGAATCGTACTTTTCAGAATTGTCATGGACAATGGAAGATTTTCTTCCAACCAATTTGACTTGGCTATACTCCTCATGACTAATCATCCTCTTGGTGTTCAAGATTTTTTTCACATCGTCCTTATCCATACTGGGCAAAGTCTTCATTCCATGGCCCTTGATTGTTGGCGTTGTTAAGCTTCTATCAAGAGCAACGGAATCCTTGAAGATATCATCATACTTGTCCCTAGTCTTGTTTTGTTCAGCTAGAGTAATAGACCTCTTGATGTCAATTGAAGGAACTCGGAACCTAGATCTCTTTTGATTTATCTGAGTGATTGGTTTCTCGGGTACTGCAGGTGGTTTCGACAATCTTGTTTGGTTTGCTTCAGCTTTTGGTCCAAAAAGGAGACTTTCTTCAGACTTTGCCGCTTCAATATTGGTCAAAATGTTACGATCACTCAAGGGAGTATTGCTAAGTCTATTGGCAGCAGCAGATCCTTGAGAAAAGACCTTTGAATCATTGGCTGATACATTTATCAAGCTGTTGAAATGCTTTTCGAATCCTGAATCCTGTGATAATTCCGGTAAAAAGTCTTCGTCATATTCTACTTCGTTTGGATCAACAACTTTTCGAGAAACAACATTCACATCCTTAATCCTTTTGTTTAACAAAGCACTTGGAACCCTGTAGCTATTTGTGTTGGGATCATAAATGGTAATATCACTAGCTTCAACCAGTTTGGTAGGTATTGGTCTCTTTGGCTTAATCCTATTTTGTAAGTGCCATATGGACAAATAACTGGTGGTCTTTGTGGTAGGCTTATCCTCGTCAAATTCGGCTGACAAGGATTGTTCAAATGAGTCTTCTTCAGTACCTTTCGAGTTATTAAGCGTTTTCGTTATTTCTTCAAAAGATGAATAATTACCTGGTTCGATTGGAGGCAAAGTGAGCTCTTCAGGGGGAATATTTGTTGAATTAGCCAAGATTTCAGAATCGTTGTGCTTTGATTCAAAATCTTGAGGCTTTTCGTTGTTCAGGTCGTATTTCCCAGCATCAGTATTAGAAGTAGATTCATCGATGTCAGATACAGCTTCTCTCCCTTCATCGGAGTTCTGGGCATTCACAGAAAACATTTCTTGATTGACTAAAGTTTCGTCTTCATGTGCTTCAACTGATTCAAGGTCAGCAACAGCAATCGGAACTTCGTCTACCTCGTCTTGAGTGACACTCTCATTATTCAGTTTAAGCAGTTTTTCGGTATTTGGAGCTTGAAGCATTTCCAACTTGGATTCTGCTAGTCCAGGAGAAGTAGATTCATGTTTGAATGTGGGTGTTCTGGATTCAACAGGAGAAACTGAAGCGTATTTTTCTCTTAATTTTGCTTCCCTTGCTAACCTCACGGGCGTTGGAGGAACAGTAGCATCGATACCAATATCAACACCTTTGTGGGTGACTAAAGATCTCACTGGGGAGTTTTGCATGGAGCTGACACTTCTTGGAGGAGCTAATGATACTCTATCAGGAGAATCTTCAATGCTTTGGCTAGTGTCTGGAGATAAGTTTACCTCCAATGGTTCTATGTCTTGAGAAGAATTTAACATGTCCGATGCTGGCTCGATATCATCCAGTTCGGGATCGATTTCGTCTTCGTCTCTATTCAAATGAGAAAGGATTGTGACATCATTGTTAGTGAATTCGTCATTGTCCTCTCTATCAGCATCAAGAGAGTCTTCATATTTCCATCCGTTTTCAATATGATCCCCGATTCTGAAATTCGAGACTTTCTCTTCTTCAAAGCTATCATTGTATTGTTCAATTTCGTCGTCTGATCCAGTTGCCCTGAGAACGGGTTTCTTGATATCTTGCGAAACTTCTTTTGGCAGAATTTCATCAAGTTCTCCTTTGAGTTCAACATCTGCCATACTAGGAGACTGCTTTATTTGACGTTCGTTTGGTTCAGAAGATCTCAAATCTTGAAACTCGATTGGTTCTTCCTTCACGATTGGATTCTTTTCGGTGCTTGTGTGTTGGTTCATTGCAGCCGAAGATAACAAATCCATTATCGATTGTTCAGTGTCTTTGTATTCATTGTCGAAAGAATCATGAAATTCATCATTTTCTGAAAGAAGTGACTGCTTTGAAAGCCTGTTGGGATTGGTATTGAAAGATAAAAGCTGAGATTCGTCTGAATTTAATAGCTGAGCTGATCGAGATTGAGGTATTAATTGTTCAACCAAGTCATTTGAGAATCCGTGGATCCCATCGTTCAATTGGATACCTTGAAAGCCTTCATTCTTATCGTTATACTTAGAAGGCAACATCCTGTTATCTTCCAAAAGAGACTGTAATGATGACTGAGAAGAACCAGCTGACCTCAAAGGAACCTCTGACGACTTGGTTAAAGAATTCAATGGGTTCTCTACCTTATTTCCTAGTTTATTTTGCAAATCCAAAGACAAGTGATGGATGTTCGATTCCAACCTATTCTTCGAGTCTTCATGAAGATCCTGTAAATGCTGGTCTAATTCCTTTGTAGTGTTTTGATCTCTATCATCTTGACCTAACGCGTTTTGATTGTTAAGAAATATGTCCAACTTTTCGTTCAATGATAAGTTATTCAAGTTTTTCAGGTGTAGCTTAAATTCTTTCAAGGTATTCTGGTCCATATCGGTATCTTCTGTGGCTTCATAATTCAAACTGTTCAAGTCAATTGAATGCGGGGGAGGGACAGGTGGAGGGGTATCTTCGGAAGATACTGAAGCTTGTCTCACTTGGTTCCAATGGTGATTTAAAGTCTGTTCAATCTGATTGGAAAATTGACGATCTTCTTCTTCTTTCTCGGGATCTTCTTCCATATTGATGGAGGAGTCGGCATTCTGAGGGTAATGTATTACTTGAGGTACAGAAGTGGTGAAAACAACATTCTTTTTTGGCGAATTGCTAGTTGTCTTCTTTAATGACGATTTGCTGGGAGACGAAAAAGGATTTGGATTATTCACCAGTACTGTGGTAGTTATACCTTTGGGAGTAGCCTGGGCACTTTGCGGGTTTGCATGCACAAACAGAAATTCATCGTTATCAATTTTGACCGTTTTGATCACCTTCGAATCGGAATCAGAAGTATTATCGAGATCAAAGTTTCGATCAAACGAAGCTTCGTGGCCATCGGTTCTGTCCTCGGACATGTCGTTGTTTTCACTGGCGTAGGTGTCTGTGCTTGAATTAAAATCCTTTTGGGATAAAACTGGAGTATCGCTCTCGCGTGGATGAGGACGAGTTTTGGACAATTGAGGGTCTAAAATCAGATAGTTAGTAGGGGACAAGCAACAGCGTGATGAACCCAGTAGTCTGGTAGTAGTTGAGCGATGTGTGGCAAGAGAATTCAGGGTCTTCCACACGGGAGTTGTTTATTTTAGATCCACAAGAATTTTCACAGAATGTAAACACTCGCTCGAGAATCCAGTTCATTGTTTTTGAGCGCACTTGTTGCTGGCAAAATAAACAGATGGAGACGAAGGGGTTCGAAGAGGATACCTCAGTACATACCTGAAGGGTTAACGTTGGTGGCTGCAGCCAGAACGTCCAATGTATCGGTGTCAGACATGAAGTTGTATGTGATAGAAGTAAATAAAAAGTATGTAGGAAGCTTAGGCTAAAGTTTGTTTATGTTTGGACAAGAAGCGGCAGGCGCGAGGCGCGACATAGTACCACTCGATGGAGATGTTAATGCGACATCGAGCGACATCCGTCCATTGAAAAGTTGGTACCTAAAAGTCGTGTCGCCCTACTTGCCGCCCGACGCCCCTTGCCCACCCCAGTCTTTATACAAACAGTCACTCCTGTGCTCGTGGGACCCCTGCAGACAATAGGACCTTCTTAAACGAGTTAATAACATCATCGCCTCTTTTTTCTCACTTTTTTTCGAGCCCGTGAAGTGGCCTGCGATCATAAGCATCTCTGTGCACTCAATATTGTATGGGACGAGGTCAAATTTCTAAATATATTTCCCTGTGCGTTTAAGATTCTGGTAGAATTACAACTTTGAATAAAGTAGTTCCCAAGTCTATTCATTGGTAGTTAGTACAAAGCATTCGTCTTCCATCCCGCTGGTGTCTCGAAATGGAAATTTGTGCAACCATGGAGAATCGCGTCTGAAACCCTCATAATAGGCAAAACGTACCTGAAAGGACTGTGAGCCCTTCTGCACTCTGACATAAGTTACTAGAGTACTTGCAGGATATTTACCTTTTAATTTCATAGCGGTTTGTGACCCGAAGTCTATAATTCATCTTTAGCAAGTAGGTTTTTTTTTCTCGACTAGCATTGCCTATATATATATTTAGTTGACGATTTTTTAGAAAACTGGGTTTTTTTGTATTTGTGCTTCTTTTCAAACTTCCACTCGCTAATAATAATATGTTGATGAACACTTTGATGCCTTTGGCCGTGGTTTTGGCCGGTGTTACCGCAGCATCCAGTTCCAACTCTTGCTCGTTTGACGATGTCACCATGACTGCTGCTGCTTCAGTTAGTCAGTTGGCTTCTTGTCCAACCTTGGAAGGAACTTTAGAAATTACCGGTAACGATCTTGGTTCTTTGAGCTTCAACAGTGTTGAAGAGATCTCCGGAGACATAAGAATCTTCAACTCCTCTTCCATCACTGACGTTGGTTTCACCCAATTAAGCAAAATTTCCGGATCTTTGGAAATTGATGCCTTAACCCAGTTGCATGTCATTGACTTTTCTAAATTGGGTGAAATCTCTGACTTGAGTTTGATTTCTTTACCATCCTTGTCTACCATTAACTTGAACACTGGTGTTTCAAAGTTGAACAACTTGCAAATTAGTGACACCGCATTAAGTTCATTACAAGGTTTAATCACCAATGTTAACACTCTTGGTGAATTGGATGTTAACAATAACAAGAATATCACATCTATTGACTTGGGCAACTTGCAAACTGTCAAAGAAAACTTGATTTTGAGTTTCAATGGTGACTCTTGTGAAATCAATTTGGATTCTTTAATCTGGTCCTCTAATTTGACCATCCAAGACGCGGGTTCGATCTCTGCTTCTGAATTGTCTGCTGTTAACGGTTCTTTGATCTTCGGTTACAACAAGTTTGAAAAGTTTGAGCTTCCAGTTAATAAAATTGGAGGTGCTTTACAAATTTTTGCTAACGACGATATGACCGAATTCTCGTTAGACAACTTGACCGCGGTGGGAGGAGAACTCAGAATCTTTAACAATACCGAATTAGATAACATGGCTTTCCAAAGCTTGGAAACTGTTAAGGGGGCTGTGAACATCAATGGTTCCTTCTCCAACTTTACCATGCCTGAGTTGGAAGAAGTTGACGGTGATTTCACCGTTCAAAGTGACAATGACGACTTCAGTTGTAAGTCTTTCAAAAAGTTGAAATCTGACAACAAAATTGAAGGTCACAACTTTAAGTGTATTGCTCCTGCCAAGAACACTTCCAAGTCGGGTTCTGCATCTTCCGGTTCTTTGGAAACCGAAACTTTTGAAGGTTCTAGTTCAAGTGGATCGTCAGAATCTGATGATGATGATGACAATTCTACATCCTCCAGCTCCAAAGACAGTAGTGCTTCTACTTTGATTGGAAGCGGTCTTGTTGCTATAATTTTGACCACCGTTTTCTCGGCTTTAATCTAGTTAGGTAATATAAACTGTTGTGTTTTATTTGGATTTTTTAATTTTGATGCTGGAATGCTAGAAAATGAAATCTAAAACTCGCAAATTTCATACATGCGTGTAAAATGCCTCCAAAAGCCCTAGAAAAAATCTGAAAAAATGGGGCATACTAAACATCACAACCACAACAGACTCTCCACACAATTGCTTCCTCTTCAGTCCATATATTCAAAGTGTTCTTTTTCTCGTAACCTGTTATTCCCGGCAGGAGTTGAAATTCGCAAGCCAGGAAATTATTTGTGTTTTGTCCAAATCGGTTTAATGGGATCGCGTGCACATATAAAAATAGCAAAAACTCATTTGTAAATTCACCTACCAAACCTTCTTATTTAAAGCCAGCGTGGTACCATAAAAAATTTTCATCACGAAAATGACTGAAACTACAATCGATGCCTTCAACCAGGCCAACCAGGCTCATCTTTTCCAATTCTTTGACTCTTTATCTAAACAAGAACAACAGCAGTTTTTGGATCAGTTGACCAACATCGAAGACCCAGTAAAATTGGTGAGAACCGTGCAAAACGCCATCAGCTTTTCGCAAAACAACTCATGCTCCAGATCATTCACCCAGTTACCCAGAGAGCAATGTGCATCTACCTTGGACACTCCAAGTGATCAGAAATCCCATTGGTATAACTTGGGATTGGAAGCCATCAGCAAAAACGAGGTGGGGGTGATATTAATGGCTGGAGGTCAGGGTACACGGTTAGGCTCCAGCGATCCTAAAGGGTGTTTCAACGTGCATTTGCCCTCGTCCAAATCGATGTTTCAAATCCAAGCCGAAAAGATCTTGAAGATTCAACGCTTGGCTAAAGACAAGTATCCTGGATCCAAAGCCGTGGTTCCATGGTACATTATGACCAGTAAACCGACCAGACGGTCTACGGAAGATTTTTTTGAGTCTCATGATTATTTCGGATTACACAAGGACCAGATCACCTTCTTCAACCAGGGCACTTTGCCATGCTTTGACTTGACGGGAAGTAAGATTTTGATGGAGGGTCAAGACCGGATTTGTGAAAGCCCCGACGGGAATGGTGGCTTATACAAAGCCTTAGCATTAAACGGAATCATTGACGACTTTGAAAAGAAGGGCATCAAGCATTTACACATGTACTGTGTTGACAATGCCTTGGTAAAAGTGGCTGATCCCGTGTTCCTTGGGTTTGCAATCGACAAAGAATTGCAATTAGCCACCAAGGTGGTAAGAAAAAGAGATGCCTGTGAGAGTGTGGGTCTTATCGTATTGGATGAACAGTCTCTCAAACCCTGCGTTATAGAATATAGTGAGATTTCTTCTGAGTTGGCCAATCAGTTGGATCCCGAAGACCCAAACAAGTTGTTCTTGAGGGCAGCTAACATCGTTAACCACTACTATTCGGTGGACTTGTTGAAGAAGCAGATTCCAAATTGGACCAGCAGCCAACAGTACTTACCTTTCCACATTGCCAAGAAGAAGATCCCATCGTTGAATGATGAAGGTAAGTTGGAGAAGCCCGTTGAAGTGAATGGTGTCAAATTAGAGCAGTTCATCTTCGATGTGTTCCCATCCATTGAACTCAACAAGTTTGGATGTCTTGAAGTTGATAGGACTTCTGAGTTTTCACCATTGAAGAATGCTGATGGAGCCAAAAATGATACGCCCAAGACATGCAAATCCCATTATCTCAGTTTGTGCACCAAATGGGTCAAAGAAAATGGTGGTATTGTTGAAGATGGAGCATTGGTGGAAGTAAGTGGTTTAACTAGTTACAATGGTGAAGGTCTAGAATTTGTTCGGGGAAAACTGTTCAAGAACGGTGATATTATTTAGGTCAACAAATACACGGTACGGAAAGAATAAATAGGTTCAGTAGGTCGATCATCAAAATGCATTTGTGTGTGTTGTCTACTGACCCCAAACATGGCATGGCAAAAGAAACTTTTTACACGGTTAGGCCAGCTCCTCAAACTTAAAATCCGTATAGGAGCCTGGCGAGCCCATCTGGTGACACCCACAGTGTATCCCAACAGTTGCTCAATTCTCCTTGGCGCATCTACAACGTCTCCTTTAATACTGAATTACGACGTATAAAACAATCACGATACCACATCAATCAAAACCCTGAAAAAGAACCAAAGATCAGCCCTGCGGCCGGGGAAAAGCTTCCCCGATGTCGAACCTACGGCAAACCTCTCCACCATTAACTACGCCCCCAAATCTACGTCGACGGCGGCGGCAAAAAGAGGCGCTTGGGGTGCCATTTCTTGCTGTTTGCTGTTCATGCCCTACACCGCCATTTCGTTGCTGTTCGCGCCTGCGATTAAGTTCGTTGCGGTGGCCGATAATCTTCCCCAGGTTTGCGAAGTGCGCGCTCTGTAGCACAAATTCAAAAGGGCCGGGAATCCGCTGTTGAAGATTTTTTTGAGTTTATTCAAATAGAGAATATGCCTCGCCGTAACAGTAATGCTCCTTTCCACCCACTTGTGGGAACCATTGACATTGGAACCACATCGGCTCGAGCGATTCTCTTCAACGCCAACGGAGAAGAAATCGCCAAGCACCAGATCGAATACTCAACCTCAGCCTCTGAAGCTCCGGATGAATCTCAAAACACCGATCAGTTCAGAAGAAGATCCTCTTTGATGAGACACAACCAGCCCATTTTCACGGCCGAGGGTGTGGCCATCAGTATCAATGATGACATTGAAATTGAAAACAACCAGGCGAGTGTTGGACCTACTTTAAGGTTTCCACAGCCAGGTTGGGTTGAATGTATGCCAGTTCATATTCTTGCCAACGCCGTACAATGTTTGATTGCGTGTTTGATCACCTTGAGGAAAATCAACCAGAATCCCAACTTGAAAACAAAGTACAAGGTTAAGTGTATTGGGATTGCAAACATGAGAGAAACCACAATTGTATGGTCTAGAAAGACAGGTAAACCTTTGAGTAATGGAATTGTTTGGACCGATACCAGGACTTCTGAGATTGTGCAGCATTTGGAAAGAATGACTGACGACGAAAGAAAGCACGAATTGAAAGAGAAGACCGGGTTACCTTTGTCGACCTACTTTAGTGCTGCCAAGTTACGGTGGTTGATTGACAATGATGAGATTATAAAGGAGGAGTATGAAAAAGGAGATGGAAACTTGATGTTTGGTACGGTGGATACGTGGTTGATCTACCACTTGACAAAAGAAAGGAACTTTGTCACCGACATCAGTAACGCTTCCAGAACATATTTCATGGATATTGAGAGTGGTGACTATGATGATGAGTTATTGGACTTCTGGGGCATTGATCCAGAGAAGATCCGTTTACCCAAAATCGTGTCAAGTTCAGAACACTACGGGTCTTTTGCTTCACCTAACTTTTCACACTTGGGGTTCCACAATAAAATTACACCTGAGGCTTATGAGATCTTGCGTACCATAAATGGAGTACCGATTTGTGGGTGTCTTGGAGACCAAAGTGCCAGTTTGGTGGGTCAGTTGGCGTTTGAATCTGGTTCCGCCAAGTGTACTTATGGAACTGGTTGTTTCTTGTTGTACAACACTGGTACAAAGAAATTGATAAGTCAACATGGGACTTTGACTACAATTGGTTATTGGTTTCCTGGATTAAAAGGAGACGATTCGAAACCTCATTTCGCTCTCGAAGGGTCCATTGCCGTTGCTGGGTCTATTATCCAATGGTTGAGAGATAATTTGAAGTTGATTGAAAACGCCAAAGATATTGGGCCTTTGGCTTCCCAAGTTCCTAACTCTGGTGGAGTGGTATTTATCCCAGCTTTTTCTGGATTGTATGCTCCTTACTGGAACGGAGGTGCTCGTGGTACAATTTTTGGTATGACGCAGTATACGTCATCCAGTCATATTGCTCGCGCTGCATTGGAAGGAGTGTGTTTTCAAGTTCGTGCTATCTTACGGGCTATGGCCAGTGATGCTGGTGCCAGTGAAGATTTCTTGGAAAAGGCGTTGTCTTCTCAAAATGAAGATAAGCCCTTAAGCAGCTTGGCAGTAGACGGAGGTATGTCCAAAGCGGATGAGGTGTTACAAATTCAAGCTGATATATTGGGTCCATGTGTTACAGTCAAAAGAGCAGCCATTTCAGAATGTACAGCATTAGGGGCGGCTATTGCTGCTGGACTTTCTTTTGAAGATGAGAGTGAAAGAGTGTGGAAAGACTTGGACGACGTCAGAGAAAAAATCGGTAATGGGTCCGGAGAAAATAACTTGTTCAAAGCTAAATTGCCAGATGAAGACCGGAGAAAGTTTTGGAAGCGGTGGGAAAAGGCTGTTAGTAGAGCCAAGGATTGGTTAGATGATGATAAAGAATAAAACCTAGAATGAAACTAGAAATAATAGAATAATTTTTACCTTTGTAAACCTCGCTTCTGGCTTATGCCCACCAGCAGCTGGATCATCTTGATAGAGTCAAAAGCGTTAGCTCATCGACGTCTTCTCCAATATATTTGCTGTTTTAGGCAAATTTCAAAATATTCTCACATGGGTATCTGCGCGCAATCTCACCATCAACACAATTGCTCCAGACAAAAAGAATCTTCCACATTAAAGCTGAGGGCAAATTTTCTCAATTGAACTCCTTAAACTTAAACAATGGTTTTATTCTCCAGTGTCAAACTTATCTTAATTTCCTTGGTGGCCTTATACACCTCCTACTTGTATATATACAAGTGTGAGAATGTCTCCACTTTGGAAGCTATTTTACACCCAATTAATAACCACCACAAGTCTTTGTGTGACTATGTCTACAAGACTGAAGAATTTGCCAAACCTCACTTGTCCAACGCCCAATCGTTCTTGGACAAGAATGTTCACTCTACTGAGTTCTTCCAGAAGTACCAGATCCACGAACACTTTGTTTCATACTCTACCAAGGCTTATGAGTTTGTTCATCCTTTCTTGATCGAAATTTACAAGCTTGTGGAGATTGTTGAGGTCTACGTCTATGACTACTCGGTTTTGGCTTGGACTAAGGCTGTCTATTTCTACAATACCACGGTGGTGCCAAAGATCAAGGAACTTACCTCCAAGTGAATAGTGAGGTTTTCTTGTGTGTTCTGTTAACGCTTTCTATATATTGAAATAAACGAATATAACTATGTAAGCTTCTAATGTACAAGCTAGTCGAAGTCGACTTCGGGGTCGTCGGAGAAGTCAACGTCTGCATCTACTTCCTGTTCATCTGAGTCGGGGGATGAATCTGCGGAAACGATTGTCAGGGTTTGGGTTACGGTTAGGGTTTCTGATTCCAATTCCAACTTACTGTCGTCGTCTTCTTCGATAGTTGCTGCTTCTTTCTCTAATGCTTTGGCGGCTTTTGCCTCAAGCTCGCGAACTGCTTGTTCCCGCCCTTGGTAGCTGACATTGGCTTTAGCACGGATCAACTGCAAATACTCTTCGTTGTCTCTGGTGATAAAGTTCAAATGGTATGTCACTGATCCGAGAAACTTCAACCAGTTGGTGAAATCATTATTCAAATCGACTTTATCAAACAGTTTATCTTTTAAATAGTTGGCTTGATCAAAGATGTGGTCTCTTTGATCAAGTACTAGGCTCTTTAATTGATGGAATTTTTTCCAGGTATCCCATTCCAACTGTTGACTATCTGATTCAGAGAGTTTCAAAGACAATTTGTTGGAAAAATCTTGGAATGAAGAATCCATGAAACTTTCCAAGATATCAATGGTATCTTGGATAATAACCAAATAACGGTCGATTAAGACAGCAAAACGAACATTCACCGTTGATTCCACGTCTTTGGCCTTGTCTTCAGTAAATTGCCTTATTTCGCTAATAACATCTCTCATTTCTTGTCTATGAACTGTCTCCACTACCTGGCCGGTTTCTTTGATCTTTGACAAATCTCCATCGATCTTTTTAATAAGCTCATGTGCCTTCTTATAGGACTCATAATTCAACAGTTGCACGAGCTTAAACAGTTCAGTTACCTCTTCCTGTAAGCTTTCAATGGTGCTGTTGATGAACGGATTGATCTCATTGGCAATGTTAGCCAATGCCAAATCAACTGTCTTATTGACTTTAATAGCGAACGAGTCCAACACTTGATCAATTTCGATTTCAAACGGCGTACGAGTTTCAACACTTCCAACCGCATTTCCTGCCTGGGTTTCGTAAATTGTCGAAACTATAACCACCGTCAAGGGTTCGGAGTCGGAATTGTATTCCTCATCATAACCGTCCAAGTAGATGTCCTTTACGTTCACGTCAATTTTTTGCTTCCCGAACTTCAATTTGACTAAATTGTTAAACTCATTTTGCAAAAAAGTAGTCTTTTCCTGGAACTTTTTAAAATTTGAATTCTCTGTCAACTTAGCACATATATTGGAAAAGGTTTCAATTAAATGGTGGAGTCTTGATTCAAGATAAATCTTGTGGTAAGGGGACTCAGTGACATGTAACAATGCCCAGCGGACTTGCAACTTAAATAAGTCCCAATAAACGCGTAAGTGGTTCCATGATGTGGCGACGCTGTATTCAAGCTTTGGATGCACATAGTATTTGAACCAGTTTGAACATTTAGTGATCTGGGTCTCCACGTACAACTTGTGCTTTGGATAGAAATACTGAGTGTAGTACGACAAGTAAGGTTTCACATATATCTTGTAGTGGAACTCTGCCGAGTTCACTAGTTTATTCACGCTCTCACGTGTGAAAACACTAAAGTATTGACAGTTGAGTGACACAAACGGCTGAGCTGGTGTCAAGTCAAGCAGAAGGTCAGAAACCCCGAGAGGAATGACAGTGCTGGTGGCAGATACATTAGGACACACAAGGTATACAAATACCGAGACGTAGGTGGCAAGCACAAACGTAAGCGTGGCTATTGGCTTCCACATGGGATATTATTATTGATAATGTTATAGATGAAGATCTAGTGCGACAAACGAAAAAAAGTAATGATCACGAGAAGGAGTTTGCGTGATGAAAAATCATGTGACTTGTGTGTTTCCTTTCGCAGCCGATACATTGTTAACTACAAGTCTCTCTATTCGCTAATATTAAATTCTAACCCATATACCTCTTAACTACTCTTAACACTACTTCCTACCCCCCTCCCAATTGCCTTGAAGAACAACAAAATCTCCAACCGGGACTCAAAAATTGGGTATACAATAATGGTGCCGCTTGCTAGAAAAGCAAAAATGAATGTGACGACAATCCAACCGGTAAAGAAGTCTTTGCTGAAAATATAACTTGTTCCATACATTGGTATTGGCCAAAGTATGCATATACTCAACACAAAAAAGAGTGCAATAGCAAGCAACCTTAGAACTTCTCTTTTATGGTGGTCTTGGTCGGGCCCAGAAACGCTCTCTTCTACTTCTTCTCCTGTGGCTTTAGAATCCACTTCTTCTTGATCCACCCCTTTCTCAGCTTCTGTCAGTACAGTCAGGTCATCACTTTGGTTCACATTCACAGTTTGTAACCCTTTCAATTTCTCGAAATCAAAATCTTCTGGCCCCAAAAAAGTAATCAATGGTGTCAAGATAATTGGTGCGGTAAGGGCTATCATGTTTCCAGCAACAATAGGATACAAGTCACTTAATGTGGAGATGGTAACGGAATTGGATCTATGGTATGCAACAGCTATCCATGTACTAATAGATATCATTGAAGAAAGGACCGGTACAATAGCAACTGCGTACTTTGACTGCTTTTTCCAAAAAAGTGTACACGCAGAAGGAATTACAGCCCCATCGATCAAGATACCAATTGCCGTAACAATGAAGGAGACAGAGAAGCCAGCATGACAGAATCCAACTGCAACTGAAGCAATTACCAACAAAAACAAAAGCACTGACAAATGTGACACCCGCCGCAATGTTCTATCATCTGCATTTGGTTTGACATAACCTCTGTATATGTCATAAGTCAAGAGAGAAGTTACTGCAACAGTTTCCGAACTGAGAGCACTTGTGACTGCTTGAAAAAGAGCAATCAAAATGAGGATTACTCCCCCTTTGCCCATAATAGCATAGGCTAGATATGGCATCACCATGGAATTATTCACGTCTGCAGCACTCAATGCATTAGGATACGTGGGCCATGCAGGAGTCAACTCCAAAGCTCTGGCACCAAGTCCATAAGTTATAGACAAACAAAATGGGATAGTGAACCAGCATAAAGCTCCCAATACATATCCCACAAAGGTAGATCTAGGATGAGCAGCAATGGCTTTTTGGAATAATTGGGAGTCTACGGTTGCAGAAAACCCACCTCCTAAGAAAATTAAACCCACCATTCCACCCATGACACTCCGAAGAGTAAGGTATTCTCCACCTGCATTACCATCAACTGGAACCTCGGCACTGGCTTTCTTCAAAAGATCAAATATAAACCCTGGTGAACCGGCAACTTTTCCTGTAGCGTAAAGCACAAAAAGTGAGATCAACATGATGATAAAGAGAATGGAAGTGTGCAACCATTCAGTTAAAAAAGTAGCTTTAAGACCTCCGAAGTAGGTATAGATACCAACTCCAAGAGGAAATAAAAAGCACGTAGCCTCTTGTGACATTCCGGTAACATTTTCGAAAATTTGTGCCGCTCCCACTAGCAAATTGATCGAGATGAAAAATTGATACACCAAGGAGTAGAAACACAAAACCAAATGACCCCAAGCACCATATCTGAATTTCACCACTTCTAAGAAAGTGTGTGCATTTGGAGCTTTCCTCTTGAGTTCAGTAGCTGCGACTGCAAAGAGAAATATTTGGCAACAACAACCAGCACTATACCAAAATGAAGCAGAGATTCCATACAGGTATGTGAAAGTTGTTGATGTAAGCAACGTAGCAGATAATGTCCAAGACGAAACAACAGAACTTGCAATTAATCCAGATTTAATGGACCTCTTAGCAGTAAGGTACATTTCGGAATCTTGAACTTCTTGGAAGTACTTCTTGAGCAAGAAAGAAATAAGGCACATCACCAATGCAAAAGCACTGCTGAACCCTATGACAAGGCCATATCCAACCCCAGAGGAGTATAATGGAAATATATCATTTGCAGTTGACATATTCACTTAGATCTAATACCTGGAAATCAGTATTGACAATGGTTGCATCTTTATAGCATCGCGCGAGACGCAGATCCGATTAATTACGTGGGGCAAACCCGATGCAGTGGTGGCATCTGTGGACCTAATTAAAAAAGAGACTCAGAAATTCGTCATTGAGATTGTGGGGGATTTCCGATGATAAGATAAAACCGAAAAACTAAACCGAAATTCCGCGGTTGCAAACGGAATAGAGTACCAACGAGAACGGATTATTCCTAAAGTTACGCCGTTGAGTTGTGTGGTTGCATATTGTGTATTCTTCTACTCAAGTATACCAACTGGGAGTTGGAATTTCATCTAACAAGAAAAAGGATCCAACCTCACGTTTTTTATAAGGCAAAGGATCATGGAGACTATGAAGTCTAACGTTTCTCCAAAATCTATCGAATGCAAAGTTTCTCAACCCCGATCTGGCGCCAGTCAACTCGAAAATCTTCGATCCAACCTCTAAAGCAGTTTCTGCCCCAAGAATTTTTGTTGCAGCCACTTTAACGGCAATCTCACCTCTTCTTCTTTCAGTGAGAGACTTTCTGTCAGAATGAAGAACATCAGATGATAACTTTGCAACCTCACGGTATAAAGCCTCCGCTCCCCAAACTTTGGCAGCCAAGGCCCCATAGCCCTCTCTGATATACCATTCGTCTACTGCCTTCTCTTTGTTGTCACCTCCGTAGGGCCAAGCTCTGGTGTAATCACGAGTATACCCAGCTGCAGTCTCGAGAGCCCCGATAGCAACACCAATATGAACACCAGCAAATACTAGTTGAACTGCTGGCAAAATATAGGTGGAGTAGACATCGTCCACAAGTTTATCTCCAGAAGGCGAGAAACCCAAAGCATCTTCCCACTTAACACGAACATTGTCGACAACAACACCACCAGATTCGGTCAATCTTTGGCCGATAGAATTCCAGTTGTGCAAGTACTTGATTCCTGGATGGTCTCCTGGAACATACGCAAACACGTGCTCACCACTAGGTAAAACTCCTTCTAAGATCAAATGATCTGAAACCACCGATCCGGTACAGAAATATTTTTTCCCGTTGAACACAATGTCATCACCATCAGGTTTGGCAAGAAGATCACTGTTTCTAGGATTCACAGCTCCGCCAATGTAAGAATCATTTTCAGTCAAGATTTTGATCCACTTCTCTCTTTGCGCATCAGTGCCAAAGTATACTGCCGACCAGAACCACGAATAGTGGTTTCCAAGTAAATGGCCAATACTACTGTCTGCTTTAGCAACCTCAATCACAATTTTGTAAGCCAACTCCCAAGTCTGTCCTCCACCCCCATACTTTTGAGGACCCAAGAGGTTTACAAAGCCGGCTGCCTTCAAAAGACCAATTTCTTTGAATGGGGACTCGCCTTTTTCGTCTCTTTCTGCCGCATCAATGTTAAGGATCTGTGCAACCCTTTGGGCCCGCGAGACCCATTCCTTCTCAGATGTGGGAGTTTGATTTTGCCATTCGGTAATGGCTTCGTTTCTGGAAATTTCTGCCCTTTCTGTGTTAGAACTCATTGTTGACGGGAAATACAAGGGAGGAACCGGCTTTATGTACTTAATTGTGGTCTGCGAACCAATGGCACCTTTTGACTGCAAAATCGGAATAAATGCGGAACGCCACAGTGGTGGGGAAAGTCCGAAATTTTGACGAAGGCACTACCTCCACAGTTAAGTGTTTATATAAGCTCCAATGCCCCTTATCAAACATCATTAAGATGACAGTTGCAAAAGAATTTGAAAAATCCAACCAGAAGTACGTTGATCAGTTTGCAAAAGGCGATTTGGCGTTGCCTCCTCTGAGAAAAGTTGCGGTGGTGATCTGTATGGATGCCAGAATTGACCCAGCCAAAGCTCTTGGCCTTGAGGAAGGTGATGCTCATGTGATAAGAAATGCGGGCGGGAGGGCTACGGACGCTTTGCGGAGTGTTATAATTTCTCAGAGATTATTGGGCACCAGAGAAATTGTTGTTATCCACCACACTGACTGTGGAATGTTGACTTTCACCGACGAATCGTTGCGTAAGCAATTGGTCTCGGAAGCTGACGAAAATGTGGATCATTTTGCTTTCTTGCCATTCAATGATTTGGAAAAGAGTGTTGTTGATGATGTGAAATTCTTCAAGAAAAACTCATTGGTTTTGGATGTGCCAGTCTCAGGATATGTGTATGATGTCAAGACTGGGGCAATCAACAAGGTTATTTAGTTTGGTTTTATTATTCAGTTAATTGACACATATATTCAAAAACCATATAAGCCTTTTTAATCTAAATTGCTAGCAATCTATGCGTTTTTTCCATAATACGAACTCAAAAATATCCTTCGTCTTCGTAAACTGAGGCTGCTGACTTGTATTGACTTGCCGCAAAAGATCTTTCACACTCCCAGAATTGTCAATAATCTTGCTATGTCTAATAGCCTTCATAAATTTGAGTGTACTAAGCAATTTCTCATCAGAAGCTTTAGAATCGGATATCTCTTCAATTTTATTTGAAACGTAACCTGGATTTTGGAAGTCTAGAGCCAAATTATCTTCTCTAGAAGCCAAAAACATACGAGCAAGCCAATAGTATTCCATCGCATCTCTGCAAAATCCAAACTTTGACCATTCATTTGCAGGTATATTTTTCATTGATGCTTCCCAGGTTTTCCTCCAGTTCTCCAATGCCATTTTTTGCTGTGCAACCTGACTGATAGTGAACGAGTTGAGCAACTGTTTGTAAAGCCACATATTAACATAAAGGCCATGTAGGAGGACGAAAAAATCATACATGTACAATTCAACCTGTGAGTGCAAGTCTTCGTTGTTCATCAATGAGTGCACCACATCTAAAAACAAAGGTCTTTCAGAACATAGCAGATGCCAGGATTCATAAGATGGAGAATCCCACCAATTATGATGGCTGGGTAATGGAATGTTCAACTCAGCTGGAAACAATCTAGGCGCCTGTTCAAAGAAAATCAAATAAGAAGTGTCAAGTAACCAAGCAGAGTACACGACCCTTATTCTTTTCTCTGTATCTACCCAGCTTTCCCAGTCACTTTGAGTCCTAGCGTAGAAACTCTTGTGTCTTATGTTTGTGAGATTCTGATTTCGAACCATCTTCACAATCTTAGGAAATTTCAAGATTGCATTGTCTCGTTGATCGGATGTGCCAACCCATGTTTGGGCCGTATAAGTGCAAATGTAGGCTTGTAGTATATCGAACTGTTCTTCTTCAGGGGACTTGGATACTTTCAGTTTAGCCTGGATATAATCATCGACAGTAACAAGCAAAGAGCTTGCGAATTGCACATCTTCATGGTCATCTGAGTATAAAGCACCCACAATAATCAACGAGTACAATAATATGTCTGGTGTTGTCAAGGGATCAAATGTTGGTTGATGTAAAAAAGGGGTGTGTAAGTGAAATCCTGAGAAATAACTGTTGATGAACAGGATAATGTCACTTTTAAGTAACCAAGCCTTTACTTCTTCAGGGAGATTTTCAGCCATTGTTTCAATTTTGATCAGAAGAGCAGAAGCAACCTGGCCCGGTGATTTCAGATCAATGAAAGAGAACGGCAGAAACAAGGGAGACCATCCGATAAAGGTTTCATCTAGATCAAAGGAATGTCCGCCAAAAGGATATCTAATAGGGGAGTTTGTAATCACACTAGAATCGGTTGTCAGTTGAGAGTTGTAAGTATCTACCTGAGCACCCACCTCATAGCATTCTTCCATAAACTCATTAATAGATGTAACCAGAGATATATTACACTCACTTCCTCGTTTTAAGCAGGTGGAGCATATGTGGGAATTTTCAAAGATGCACTTCTTCTTCATAGAAACACACCTGTCACATGACTTTCTCTTTCTACCTTTGTGTTCGTTTGGGAGGGATCGGGAATCAGGATATAGCTTTTGATTATCATAAACTGCTTTTGAACAGCTCAAAAGATGTCTTCTCAATGCATCTCTTCTAGCAAAGAATTTTGTACAGTGGGAACAGACTACTTCGGTATTGCCATGGGCACTTTCGTGGTGTCTCTTGAGATGGTCGAGTCTTGAAAACAGCTTGAAACACACTTGGCACGTAGGTTTATCCATTGCTGAACAAGTGAATTTTCTTCATCCCCTTTTTTTGTGGAGCAGAAACTGTGGCATATTCTGAAGATCTCAGATATTTCAATTATCTCCATGCTACAGGGAGACATTTAAAATTGGGATGTATATCGCATTCTTCTTCTCGAGCGATGCTCAGCTCAAAAGAGGATCAGATTGTAGCAACTATACTGAACCCATATCTGACAGAAATGGTAGTTGAAATTTGGAACTGTTTCAAAAAATTGAGTATAAATTACAAGAATCGCATTATATGATTATTATACTGCAAAATATGGTTATACAAGATTCAAATAGAATCACTGTAGCTCAATTTCCAAACCGTTTGATTCAGAAAAAGTTGATATGATTACTCATCTTGGTGCTGTGAATTGAGATCTCTCTTCACTAGGAAATATACCTTACACAAAGTTTTATTGTCTCCTGGTCATAGGTCACAATTCTCGCCCTAGAGGTCCTTTATTTTCGTACCAATCTTCCTAAATTCGCACTCATGGTAGATAAACGAACTCACACATTAGGGGCTTGTAGCAAATGAAAATCATACTTGTTGCATTCTATCATACGGGAAACTTTTCCACACAAACTCTGCGGCGAGTCCCGCAGTTTCGTTAATCGGAGTGGATCCTTTCAGGCCTTTTAATTGAAGAGTAAACTCTTCTTGTCTAGCTCTGGGTTATTGTTTTAACCCCTCCAGACTCCCAGCCGGCATGCGAGAGCCCATGGTATCTCAAGATCACCTCATCACCAACGGCCACCCTCATGAAGGACGATTCATAAGAAAAAAGGGTAAAGATGGCGGCCGGATTGGCTTCTCTTATTTTAGGCATAACTCCGTATCTCAATATTCATTGTACAGTTGAAATCGATAAATATTTTCTAACCCGAAAAAATAAAGGCGCAAAACACGAGAAATCACTCCATGCGTCTTTACAATAACCGTAAGACTGAAATAATATTACCCAACAAGATCCGCAATCACTCAATATTAACTGATCTCCGATAGCAGGTTAAACTTTCCTGTCAACAAATTCGTAAATCAAATATACGTAGTGAATTATTGTTGACGACACGATTACGAGATAGTAGCAACTATACTGAACCCTACCTGACAGAAAACGGAGGTTGACAATTTGCAACTGCTTCAAAAAATTGAGCAAAGAATACATTATATGTGTATTATACTGCAGAGAATGATTACACAGGGTTCAAATTGGATCACTGTAGCTCAATTTCAAAAACATCTGATACAGAAAAAGTTGACCTGATTATTCACTTGGTGCTGTAAAGTTGTATCTCTGATTTCAATATCGGGAAAAATATAAATGCGGGTTTAGTTTCCAAACTTAAATTCTCCATTTGTGACGAGCGATGTGGAACTAAAAAGTTGGACTGATTGAGAAGTGAACATAGCCAAGCAGTTAATTAAGTCTCATTACTTCGTTAACTATAGCCGAACTGTATAGTTAGCGAAAGCCGAAGCATATCGATAAGAATACTGTCTAAGTTTCTACAAATCCAAGTAATACTTATTAGCTACCCAAAATACAGTACTCGTATATTGAAAGAGACTAACTTGAACCCCTAGCCCGAGCGTCAAGTATTGGTTGAATATGATCATTTACTTTTGTGTATACCCATGATGTAACCTTATCTTTCTGGGGTTACCCAAAGCAATATTGCTAGCCCATAAAACTTACTTAGCACAGTGTTTGCTAGGTATATATTTGGAAAAAGTCATCTGGTAAGTGACATATGACTTGAACGCTTGCTGGATCACAAACAAAATAATTATGAGGAATATGCTAAAATCACTCATTCCCAACCCAAATATCACCAAAATAAGAGGACAAGTCGATCGAATCCTGATCGAACTCAAATACTCTCCCTACTTGAGTGTTATCTTGTCCATCCGAAGTAAGTCCACCTATTGAAGAGTATGCACACCATAAATAACTATGACAATATCCACCTTCCATGTGCCACCCTTCTGCTGGCTCTTCAACTCTGTTGTCTGCACGTGTTTTCAATTTACCAATAAAGGGAGGAATAATAGCGCTTTTAAGTATTAAGGATCCTTCGTAATACTCTCGCATGGATTTTGCGTCTTTTAAGAACTTGAAGTGTTCTTGTTTCTTGACTTCTGCTTCAAAGTCAACAAGATCGCTTTT